CGGCTTTTGCATCCGATCCTGTCCACCAATTGTTATGCACAAGGCGACACACACTCGATTCTGTAATATCGTACAGCCTGATCATGATGTTATCTCGTTTAGATTTTCAGCTGAAAAAGCTAGCAGACACGCCTGCAGCCGCCCGGACCGCCTAGACGGGGCCGGAAAACACAGTGCTTGCTTCATTTGGGATAGCCGCAGAGGTTATTGATGCCGCATGCCATGTGGAGGACTAGTGAACCACGCCGGACCATAAACTTTGGTGCTTCATGAGGTTTGACCCGGAGGAAGCTTTCTCAGCCTGACCTGAACACTCTTTGGTTGACTATTTCCCATGTTCGCATGTTATCCCGTTATCTTCTGTACAGAAAATGCTTATTCAGAGCGGCGCTCTCTTATCTCTCGGACGGACATATCGGGTGCCATGATCTGGTCCAAGGATATCGATTTCTGTGATTGTGGTTTACTCGCTTCAGCCTGACGTGCAACCACGCTTTACATCTGGAACGGCATTGAGGAGCATTAGTCTCGAACCTTACCCAAATGCTTGAAGGCCCTGTGTCACTCGATGAAGGTGGGTCAGGCCATGTTGTCTGGCGTCAGCTACATTGAGTTCTGTGATCGGGAGGTGGATATCATGATTCTGCTTCCGGTCCACCTGAACATTAGTCTGCCTTGCCTGAAAGAGATACAGAAGGGTCATAGCCGCTTCCGAGGTGTCGATAGTGACAATCAGTCTCTACCAGGCCGAACCCCTCTAAACCGACCCCAACACGCTCTCTTACCAAGTGGCTGGGTTTTGCAACATCATCTCGAATCACGGGCGAAAAGGGGAGGTCGACCGTGAGAGTCAATAGAGGTTAGGCGCACCTCTAGCCTGGCGTTACGGGCAGTGATTAGTATCCAATGCGCCTGATGGGACTTGCCATACAATACCCGTACTTCTCGTTGACGTGCCTTCTGTTCTAGGCACTCGATGTCCCTTGCTGGTATATAGGTCACTCTAGACTACATCCCATTCTCGGGAGGTTTGTAAATCTTGGAATGGTATTTACTTACATGAGACTGGTGGTTAATAGGATGGTAAAACTCTCGAGGATGAATGGCTGCTGGGGCATGGTTGTGAATCACATGAGGGTGTTGAAGATCATCCATTTGTTACGGCAATTCGTGCCTTGGATTCCTAGTGTTGTGCACATCCGCGCCCTCCAGCTCAGCTCGTGAGACATTCCCTTCTGTCTCAGCCACTACTCGGTTCGTGCCAGCAACCTCTGCACTGCCGTTTGTTCCCAAATCGGAATAGGTGCGTGGCCAGAGGAGAGGTGTTTGCACGGCACGGAAGTCTGCCGGGGTGGTTTGCACATGTTGACGGTCCTCTGCAGCGCTGCGCCCGTCGATCTCAGCCATACCTGTCTCAGAACCAGCTAATCTCTGTTTATCGTAGGCGCTCAGATCTCCGACGGCATGAGAGTTAGCTTCAAGCTCGGGTTTGTAAAAGCCCTGAGTGTGACTAGTCATCATCTGCTCTGCGATATCCAAATTCTGCATCTGTGAAGGAGTTCTCTTCCACCATTGAGTGAGTTTAACTGTGGCGAGGCCGGCAGCGGCGAGGAGACAGACACAGGCCAGGACAATGCCAGCAATAGCACCTTTTCCCAAGGATCTTTTTGCATGGCCCTCATTCGGGGGATATATTGTCACCAACATCTGTGGCACGTCGTTATCAGGATATATAGCCTGTGAAACGGAGAAGTTGTTGCGGTCGTAGTCCACGATAACATATGCTTCTTGCAGGAATGGTCTTCCTAAAACGTACTGCGTGGCATTTGCAGCTCGCCGTATCGGAAAGTACCTTGTTGAGCCGTTAGGTGTTAAAGGCCAGGATGCCGTAAGATCAAAGGCAGCGTAAGGCAGTACAATGTTGACTATCGGTTGGCTCGTCGGTGTGCTGCCAATCGTGAAAGTAATGTTTGGATTCTGAGCTTGGAGTTGGTCATGTAGTGTGGAGTTCACAAGGTAGAGATTCAGGCTCTCATCCCAAGTTATTCCGAAGACTTCTTCAAAACGCTCGCAAACTGCAGTAGGAAGCCAGAGTTGGCCTACAGTAGAGTCGATCAAGGCCATGAAGCCATCGAGTAGCAGGCTGTCTGTCCCTGAAGTGATCGTTTGCACACCTATCAGTAGGTCGTGACTCGTGTCCTCGTCACGGGTTATTGTCAAATCGTTCGGAATGAATCGTGATGAATCATACCCACCGAACGTCAAACTTCCAAACGTTTGTGTGGGAGAATAGCGGGCACCAGCTGTATAGCCCCATGATCGTCCAGCTATATGTTTCTGGTCAAGAAGCATGTTGATGATGCCTGGAACAGGCTCATTGTAGTCTGTAAAGTTCACCCCCCACGGATTGAGTCCTAGTGACCCGATGAAGAAGTCTTTGCTTGCGATTGCTGCTAAGACGCTGTCATTGAGTGTAGCACCTCCACTTCCGGGGTCGGCCAGGCTGATATTATCAAAACCAAAGTCTCCGTTGCCTGAATAACCCCAGGCTATCTCTGTGGAGAGGTCTAATCCATATATACCTTTCTCTGTCCACGTTGTCGAACTAGACTTGTCGAATATCCCTCCACGCAGATCATCGCAGTTGCTTGGATCGGTCTGTGTGTTGCAGCCCTCTGGTGCAATGACCCAAAGGCTGGAACCCGAGGATGATGGAAGGACCCGAATGAACTGTGGTGGTGTTCCAATCTGGACTCCAAACGATGACCAAGGGCCGTCATTTCCGTCCCTTTAAGAAGTTAGAGCAGAAGGGAGATGACAGAAATACATACCATGACTCACTGGGAGGTACTGACACCACTGCGGCAGCACTCGAAGCAGCGATGTACTGTGCAATACACAACACATATGCAAAGACTGTGGCCTCCATGTCTACTCAGATATACGGCCCAAGGGGAGAGTCAAGATTTCCGGGCACTTTTAATCCAGACAAGTCAGGCGTTGGCAAAGCTCTCCATAAGAACGAAGGGATGTCGATTGATGAGTTCTCTTCGGCATTTAATGATCTAGGCCCGAATAGTTCATCACACTCTGCTGTTGTTCGCTTGCCCGCCTGTCAAGCTTGGAGGGTTTTGCGAGCAGACCTCGTGGAATTGTCGACCCATACTTGTGCTAGTGACGCCTAAACTAAGCCTTACTCAGGTAAGTAGAAAGGAGTTTCCAGAGACCATCACTATCAAGCCGTGTCTTGTATAAGTCAAAACTCACCGGCCACTCTCAGCCGCAACCTAGTACTTAGCCTGATCGAATACATTACCAGTATTATCCCGAAGACCACCTCATATGCCTGGCACAAACGATGGCGAAGTAGTTAAATTCCTTGATGACATTCAAGACAGCATGCACCCATGAGACGGGTACGATTAGAGACACACTTCTCTTGGGAGGCTGGTTGACAGACCATGCAGACATCATGACAGTGCATGAATACGAGGCCTCGAAGCCGTAGTAAATCGAGTCAATGCTCCAGACCCCAAATCGCTTAAGGTTGGATCAAACTTAAATACAATCTACCTCGTAAACCCTTGGCGATACATGAAGTTCGACACCCTCGTTACGAGTATCCTTCATGGGGTTGAGACCATTAACAGTAGGCATCAAATGAGGGCGTTTACCTGACAGACCAACCAGGTGTTTTTGGCCGTGCATGATACGAGCCTCACGACCATAGTAAACTGGGTTATTGCTCCATATTTCAAGTCAAACCAAAAGCCCTCGCTGCCTGTCTCAGCTTCCGCCAGCGCTCCATCTTCCACTCCCCTCGTATTGTACTTCGAGACATGCGCTCGCCCATCCGGCGCCACGAGGTGCCACACCGGAGCCCTTTCCAGATTTGTGCAAGACTGTCCATGCAAACAGCAAAGCTATTGACTTGGATGCCCTACATGCCAAGCCTTGTTGAGGTATGGCACAGCACAGGTATGATCAACCGTCCCGGTGTGGATGCAGTCCAGCTGGAAAGAAAACGTGTAGTTGACCATGGTAGGGCCCATTTCGCGCAACATATGGGGCTTGCCTCCATGTCGAACTACATTATGACCTGAAATAGTCCAGTGCAAGCTGTGTCCACTTTCAAAGCCGAACTGATTTTGAGAGTCCTATTACTCACAAGGCTGAATCTGCACATTGACCTCAAACCCGCTCGCCATGTTGCCCTGCCTCGAATGGTTCATTTGCTTGTGCGTAGTATTCCCAGACTATTTGCACGCTCAAAGATTGCAGCCGCGGGTCCCACAGGCTACGCAAGGTAAGTGGACTACTGTAACATGTGTTTCATGCTGAATTTCACAGTGACTGGAGGTAGTAGCACCCCAAGCTTGACTCCTACGACCACCACAGCCGGATGTCCGCTTTGTAGTATACTTACAGTGGAGTACGAAGAGTGGAAATGGCCTGAAACCACCCATAGCACTCTTGCGACTATAATATATTATGTCAACAGCCAGAATGAGACATCCACGAGCACCTCCTATGCTGTCTTCACGGACGCCTATGGCAGCCAGGTGCCATATGCCACAGGGGGTGATTCGGCCTTTTGGTCATCGATATTGACTCCACCGGGGCCGACGGCATTCAATATACTTAACGGTACACCCACGGTCACTTTGACCACAACTGTCAGTACTGCACCTGGAAAAGTCACTACCATAACCACAGCTATGTAAGTCATACGGATCGTAGTTTCCTCTCTTTTCTCGGCTAACATGGCCCCGTTCAGGCCATCCCCTAGCTGGTATGAGAACTATGGCTTTGTTGCAGCAACCGAGTCTCTGGCCGTACAATCATGGTACACAGAGACTCTGTTAGGCACGCCGGTCACCTCAGCGGAATGTGTAACTACGGGCTCGTCGTCCGAGTTCGCGTTGACACCCTATTCCACCCTTCTGGGGAACACGGACCCCTATCAATTTCAAGTGCCCTTCTCATATTTTTCGCAAATGGTGCAGCCGTCGTTAAACGCTGGCTGTGTCATTGCGGCCGTCGCGTTTGCGTACACCGAACTACCAATAGTGTCGGCACTGACTGCGACTACGACACAGTATGGAGACTTTGTCGCCTCTCAAATCTCTAGTCCCAGCTCTCAGCACTCTTCGGTCGTGCCAATAGCATTATCTTCAAGCACCTCGGTGTCATCAGCCAGCGCGACCCTCACTACGTCGTCCACGACTTCAGCACCTACAACGACTTCGCGCCCTGCCATTACAACTTCGACAGTTTCCCTTGTGTCAACAACTCCTATATCCACCCCCACGAGTGGACAGAGCCTTGGACCTTCGGTTGTCACCAGTAGCCTTGCTGCATCAACTACCACTCCACCTTCGACGTATGTGTCAGAAACAGCGGGAGTAACTACACCTATCGGAGTCCTCAGTACAAGCCTTACGCCTGGTGGTCCTCCAGTGACTATCGATGGTACCCAGGTCAGTCTTGCGCCATCTGGGACAGCTTTAATAGTGGGCAGCAGTACACTAGTCCCTTTCGTTGCGGGAAGCAGTGTTGGGCCCCCAGGCGAGTCTTCTTCTACATCGTATGGTTCAACCACCTGGTCTGCGGTAGGTGGAACTTCGACTGAGCTGCAAACATATGGGGGAAGTGCTACAGTGCCGAGCCTACCCACCTACACAGGCTGGGCTGGGAGTCTGCTCCACTCGAACAAGAGCTCTGTGGTGATGAATGTTGTCATTATCATCCTTATCCACTTACTGGTTTGGACTGCGTGCCTCTTTTAGTCTGGATTGCGGTGTGGCTGCAGACAAGGACTATAAATGACAATGGTGGACAGGTTCTGTACATAACGAAATGTGTGTTCTGTGTACCACCTGTAACGATCTATTTGCACGGGGTAGGCCAATGTCTCAAGACACGTATATCTCTCTGATCAGCGACATCTTTGCGAACTCATTGTTGTCTCGGATGATGGTCGATTGGATGAATTGAGCCTCTCCTTGTAACATTGTCTTTATCCTTTTTGACCGCAGTAAATTACGAGGCCGGAAATGTCTGGCCCGAGGGGGAAAACTGGCGATCATAGCAACATTTAGATTTCAAAGGAGCTACCAGCGCATTCATGACCACGTCAAGTCAAATTTGAACTCGTTACCATACCATACGTTTGTCTTAGGCAGTCACCCTTTCGAAGATCCAACCACTACCATGGATGTCTCAGGCCTCTAATATATATCATCACACACATTCCAATCATGCTCGCGTCTCTTCTGCCAGTATTGCCCGTTATGCTCCCAATAGCTCTCCCCAGTGACCGGATCCGTCTTCTTCTCAAACCACTTGGGCCTCCACTCTTCACCTGCATTCTCACGCTGTCGTCGTGCAGCACGCTGTTTCTCCTCAACCCGATTCTTCTCTGTCGCGGCACGATCATACTCGCCATCCTCCATGGCGCGCTGATCAGGCCGCAAGCGCGTATCCGTAGGTGGGAGATGCGGACGCAGAGTGTCGCTAACGGCATTGAGCGTTACCACGAACGGCGTCAAATTGAACGGGATCCCGGTAGGGCGGGAATGGGCTTCCCACACCAAGAATGCCTGGTGGCCAGATTGGCCCTTTGTCTTGCCTTCGCCGACGGCCTCGTCTTCGAACCCTTCTGTGAGACGGGCGTAGATCTTGTCGTTCCATCTACCTCCAATACTCCACTTGGTCACGCCCTTCGCATCCACAACTTTGCCGAAGACCTGGAAGGCCGAGCTGGCTTTCCAGCCTCGTTGCTTGAAGTCCAATACGCAGACTTCGCCGGTGGTCCAATTCTTGATCTCCATCGGGCCATAGTTATCCACCGTGGGGTTGCCGGTAATGATCCCCACAACCGAGCTCGTCACCTTCTTCCACGTATACAGTTCGGGAGGCGCCCCACTAGACGGCCGCAATCGCAAGAACCACGTTCCCAATGGGTTGATGTCGAATGACCTGCCGTAAAACTTGGATCTCACAGCCGATTCACCCCAGTAGTCCCATCGAGCAGATTCAGCGTGAGCGGCACCAATAGGTGGATGATGGCTGACTTGCTCAATGAAGAAGCGATAACCTTTGTCAGGACGCACGTATTCATACGTCTCGCCCAGCAGTGGATTAAAAGGTTTAGCCACTCGGCCGATGGTGCTGGCATATTCCGAGGCTGCGAAAGCAGCGACATAGACCAATCTTTCCGTAGAGTCAGGTCGATCTGCTGCAATGTCCAGAAGATCTGCATATTCCATGTCCTCTGCCACCCGCTGCAACAGCGAGGTCGGCTCATTGAACGACACAGGCAGAGTCATCTTTGTCATGTCCTTTCCAATCATAGACTTGAGAATACCCCAAAGGGAGATCTTTGGACGGTCATCAGCGTCCATTTTGAGTTTCTTGCGAATGCCGTCTTCGTAACCGGCGTATGAAGGCACAATCTGCATCTGCTTCTGAGCTCTTTCGTCACGGTCGGAAAACGGTTCTGCTTCTTCTTCTCTGTGGGCCGAGGAGACCTGTACTGGAGGCGGACTGGCGAGTGGAGGTTCGATCACATCCACTCTCCCGGCATCAATTGCGTCGAAAAATTCCTCGTCATCTCCCGACTCCGAGTCGGAGAGATTGGTGTATTGTGCAATGATTGACTTTCTTCGGCTGCCTTCACGTGTGAATGATTTCCTCCTCGATCGATCTCTGGCCGTCGCTTGCGCTTCGGGCCTGAGCGAGGTTTGGTCCGCGACGGCTTCTCCAAACTGAACCTGATCTGTTGATTCCTGTTGCACCAAAGAGCCGGGCCGACTGGCCGAAAGTGACTGCCCCTCGAGTGCCTCCTTCAGAGCACGCTTGGTTCTCTTGCGTTTATCCTCGGATTCGGCAATCGATTTCTTGAGATCTTCGTGTTCATATGCGACCTTGGCCATGCTTTCCTCCCACATTCTGCGGACATCTGCATCTCGTTCTAGGCGATATTGCCAATAAGCGTCGCGATCCTTGGCGATTTTCAACAGATCTGTCACCAGTCCATTCAAGCTACTTACCGCCGTAGAGTAGGCAGAAAGTGCTTGAGAAACATCTGGATGAGAGAGCGTGGTATCTGGTAGAGACGAACTGCGTGAAACGAGTCCATCAGAAATGCGCGAAAGAAGCTCGAGCTGCAATTTGGCCGACTGCGCAGTGATATTGAAAGCGTCTTTGGTGCCAGGTTGCTGGACCTCATGACTACTAGCATCGTCGCCATCGCCATCATCGTCCGCGTCGATTGGCATTTGACCATTCGTCGGTACCCGTTGTAGTTCCTCGCCAGCGACGCTCGCATCATAGGAATCATAGGCTGAACCACCTTCCACATCTGAGCGAAAGCTGACTTTGGAAGATGCCCCTGGAGCACCAAGGGTTCCTCCGACCGTCGGTTTAGACCTACTTGTGGAAGGTGTGAGCATGTCTGCAAGTTCCACTCTGGCATGTGGTCGAAGAGCATCTGAATCAAGCGTTCGTCTTTTTTCATCTTCTCTTGCTTCGTCTTTGGTATACTGAATGGCATTGTTCAACGCCCAGAACCACCTTTTGGCCTCAACGACATGGTTGGCTTTCAGGTGGTATTTGACAGAAGACTTGCCATGAATCTCAAACCTCGTCTTATCCTGTGGATCCATATGCAGCTTCGCGATCCGCATATTTATGGCACCACGACAGGCGGACCCTGCATCATCTTGGTGCTTATAATAGCTCATGACGCCTTCTTCGAGGACGAACCACCTGAGTTTATAGCCACTCGTGTAGTTGGTCCACTTCTTAAGATAGCCCTTCATCTCACGAGCGTCTTTGGATGTATCATTCGGCCCAGCGGAGCGGGCCTGAGCTGGGGTGTTTCCAAGGATAGCTTTTTCTTGGATTCCTCGCTGGGCTGCAGCTGCGGCTGGGGACTTCTTCAAGATTGCCCTCGTGCGATCGTCTTTGGTCACGTCTTGGGGTAGCTTGCCCTTGCGATCTCTTCTAAAAGGGTCCGCCCCGTGCAACAGCAAGATTTGGGCCAGCTGCAGGTCTCTCTTGCGCGCTGCTTCGTGGAGCAGAGTGCCACCTGTTTGGACCGTCAAGGGTTCTGTCGCCAACTCCAAGGCATTCACATCGAGTGTGCCCTCAACCCGAGGCTCTACCAGTAGGGCCTCAATCTGTTTATAGTCCCCTTGCGCCAAAGCCGCCTGGATTGCTCTGGTCTTTTCATCTAGAAAGATGGTCCGAGCTAGTTGTAATTGTTGAAAAAGCTCAGGTGTCCGGGCGAGGTCGATTGCCAATTTTCCCTGCCTGTTCGTTATCGAGTCATTAATGACTGGGAGCTCTAGCAGGTTTTTGACGACAGGTCCGCGACCTAGCTGCGCAGCCAGGTGCAGAGCAGTGTTGCCCTCCTTATCCTGCGCATTCACATCAAGACCGTTTCCTTCTCTTATGACCTGATCTACCACGTTGGGCTCTGCACACTGGACGGCCAAATGAAGAATAGTCGTGCCGGGAATAGGCTGGGGATTCGACGACGAAGGTATCGATTCAGATATAGCCTTTGAGATGGCGGCAGTATCTTTGCCACGCAGGACCTCAAAAACACGGAAGGTGCGAACGGAATCTTCTATCGAGACACTGTTCCCGGCTGCGATGCCCGAGGGCACTTTGGGGGAGACGTCTGGAGAGCCCGTGGAGATGTCACTAGGGTCCATGGCCGAGGTTCTCGTTATGCTGGGAGATAGAGGAGCCAGTCGTGGAGCGTCGACAGGCGTTAGCTGCGTGTTGGAGGTTGTCGCAGAAAAAGGACCAGTACTCGAGGTCGCCGTGGCTGGAGATTCCGTATCTGAGCCGCTATCTCGGGCCGGATCGTCGCTGCGCAATAGATTCAGGACTCGAGCGCTCTTGGAACGCTTGTGTACAGGTCTGTCTGCCATGTCAGCATCGATGCCAGGGGAGAGCTGCGAACATGTGTAAAAGCAGGATTCTGGATGTGATGCGGGAGGAGGACTAGGACGCGGGAGACTATACCTTTGTAGCCAGAGTCACTTGCTCCTAGTATGAATACTCTATTGGGCAACTCCGTGGATGGCTTCGAGTAGTGATGGTGTCGACCCCGCCTTGGTCGAGATGATTGGTGTTGTGGATAGCGATTGCGAAAGGATGATCAACCGCATGCACAATGACGGAAGAGGAGTCTCGAAGGGTTTCGAATTGGATTGCGGACGAAGGTCACTGATGGAGCGAGAAGAATGCCTCGACGTTGGAAGTCATGGTTAAGTAGATAGCAAGCTCAACACTCCGGCCATGGTGAATGCTAGAAGACCTTTATGGGACGCCTGGGATAGCAAGCACAGTACTGTAACTTGTTCCTGTTGATATTGTCGAAGCTCCCCCGCTAAGGACTCGGAGCTGTCGGGTTCCCGCGTGTGTCGGCTGAATAATCACATTGGATGGTTTGAGGGCGCTTGGATCAACGGATCGAGCTGCGCCCCTCCTTTCGAAACAGGGCAATAACTATGCCGTCTCGACTCTCCTATTTTGAAGCAACGATGAACGAACACAGCATTTTCCATGTTGAACTTTTGCATAAATCCCAATACAGGGGAAGCCTGTTAAATGTTCTCACCGATAGTAAATCATGTTTCAGTTGCCAGCGCGCTGGGTGGCTCATTGAAAATTTTCGAAACGTAAATAAATCTAAGCTCCTGTCTATCCAAGAAGATCATCCAGTCCATTGCCCAGCGATGTGGTGGGTTTCGCCTGTGAACTTGCAGTGTTCGGCGTAGGTGCTGCTGCTCCAGGTCTTGGTGTCGAGCTTGCCGCTGAGGCGGCTCCCCAGATACCAGCCTGACTCTTAGCCTTTGCCATAGTTGCCAGATCAGGTCCCTTTTGACTTCCTGTCGGGCTCTTTACGCCCGCCTTACCACTCGCAGTACTCCAAAGTGACCCAAAAGCATCACCACCACTGCTGCTTGATGTCTTAGGCGTCGGCTTACCGAGGGAAGCTGCTGATGTTGATGATGTGTATGAAGGTGTCGCCGCGCTCATTGGGGTCGAGGCAGCCGATGTACCAGAAGGCTGCAACGGAACCGAAGTAAAATAGTTGGGTCCGCTGGACTTGAAACCTCCTGCTGGTTGTAGGGGCTGTGCCGTCTTTTGTGTTGGTGGAGGTGAGAAAGCCGACCCAGTCGGAGACATTATGGAAGACGTGTTTGAAGGAGCAGGAGATGCGGTGGTAAGAATGTTGTTGAAACCCGATGCCTGGCCAGGAGCGACTGGTTTGGGCGCCGCGAACTGTGTGGCCGACGTCGTAGTCGAAGTAGTCGCTGGTGGTGCAATAGAGGCCAGGAGATTTGGAGGAGCTTGTGTGGGTGCTGCGGCTGTAGCTGATTGAAAGTCGTCAAAGTCATCCTCATCATCATTCACAATGCTGCTTTGAGCTGCCCCAAAGTCACCCAGACCGCTCGACGGAGCGGCTGCCTTGCCGTTGCTGGTGCTTGTCGATGGCTCATCTGTGAAATCAAACAGGTCTTGCTCTGGTGCTTTCGGCTTGGGCGGGTCTCGCTTGGCTGTCGGCGTTGGTGCCGTTCGCGTAGCAGTGCTCCTTGTAGGTCTGGTTATCTCTTCATCATCTGCCTCATCATACTCTTCAAATTGATCTGCTCGTCGTTGTGTGCCAGAGAAATCGGTCTCACGACCACCAAAACCACCACCATCTCCATAGACTTCGCCTTGGTAGCCCCCATATCCGCGTTCAGCTCCAGTATTGGTTTCGCTGCCGAAGCCACCGTATCGACTACTGTTGGAGAAACCCACTCCTGAACCCACGCCGCCTTCGACACCACCGTATTTGTTTCGATTTTGGCGCGCCTTCTTCCTCTCGGTTCGAATGGTGTCTACATCGCCGAGCATCTTGACCAGTTCAGCGGATCTGTTTCGAACGTTGACGCCTTGGTCTTTGCCGTTGGGATCGATGTAGTGAAACTGCCGAAGCATCCGTATGAGTGAGAGATGTGATCTTGCATCGTCGATGACTCGTTCTGAACCGTTCTTGCAGAGGTATTCTAGGAGTTGCAACGCCTGCACCTGTGTGAGTCGTGATTCTCGAAGAACGGCATTCATCCTCCTACCTTGTATATCTGCCTCCACTCCTCCGCAGTCTTGTCTGTGAACCGCTTGTAGATCATGGGCATGATTTCGTTGAGTTGTTGGCTGGGAAGGTCAGTCGACTGGCTCGGTCGAGAGAGGGTTCACGAACTAGTTGTTGGTGCCTGAAGCAATCTCTTGCATGAGAGTGGCAGAGGAACCCCAGGGATCTCCATTTGTGGCTTCTCGGACCTTGAAGCAGCGTTAGGCGTTGATCATACGGGAGGGAGAATTGGTCGCACCTTTGCCTCCATCTCGGTCAGGTTCATGACAGCTGGTCATCTGTTTAGCCAAACCTCTCAAGACTGTTGCTGGGAGTCGTACCATTCTGAACCTTTCGTACACCGGCTTTGAGGTCGTAGAAGGTCAGTTGGCTAACCTGGTTTTTGAGGCTTTCGAAGTCCATCTTGGGCAAAGGATGGAGGGTTGACGAGTCGAGAAAGAAGAGGGTGAATGCACCGAACACAGAATAATGAGAAGGGGATGGTGATGAGGACCTGCTGCACGGTGTAAACATTTAACGATGGGAGAGTTCGAGATCTGGTCCCGCAAACTAGCGAGTCTGAGCGCAGGTGCAGCCAAGAAGATCCCTTGAACTCCCTTCCCTGTTCCTCAGCCTTAGGCCCCCTTATTTACTGTAGATGCGAGTCCGGCACTCATCAAGCCACCTCCGGCTGCTAAAGCCAATCCCCTTGCTATCTCATTGCACACTCCGTACGTGCAATGACCTGAACAGGTCAAATTGAAATGATGGTAAATCCTTGACTTTTACGATGTTACTGCCCATGTCTCCAGTCCAGGCTGCTCCGGAAGCAATGAGTGACCTGGAATGACTCCAAACATATCCGCCCTCCAATGGTTTCGTGAACGCCTCTTATCCGAACAATATGGCAGTCTTTCCCCCAAATACGGTGCCCCAGTGAACGCCAGAATGGGACCGTGATCGTTTTTCCGCTGCAGAAGGACAACAAGACAAATCCTCAGAGCCGCTGTGCCGTATCGCTTACAACAAGTCAAGTACACAAGGATCAAGCAGCCGAAGGCTTTTGCGCTGTAGCATATGAACTGCATACCGTCAGTAGCTTCCAACAAACACTTTGTGTGCTTGACTTACGAGTGAGTATACAAGTGCATCTTTTTACTCTTGGTTTCTGCTCGTACTTGGGCCAGGAGCACTTGCGTTTCCGCTTCGCTCCACCCTCCAAGGCGAGTGAAGAGTGCTAGGGAATATCCATCGACGGCACCTTCCAGGAACTGAAGTTCGAAGAACAACCCGATCTGCTTCAATCGTTTGTTCTTGGGCCACGTACCGATAGGAGTCGGTTCTTCATGAGTTTTGACGTTGACGAACCCGGCTGCTTCGAGAAGACCTGCGTATTGCGGAAACATATCAAACTCAAGACCGGCACCTCGAGATATCTTGTAAAACTCGGACTTGATATGGACATCAGCGACTTCACCAATGCAGCACCGTATGAGAGGTAAGCTCAGGTACATACCACCCATCGATACGTCGCCGACTGCTCAGAGTACGTGTTGTCATCACAGCACATGTGTGGACGTCCTTCTGACAGCTCAATACGTCCACCAGGCTTTAGATGTCTGAGAATGGTCAGCTTTTGAGCGGCGTAAAAGGCGGATTGCCAATGCTATACATATATGCTTGCCGTAACAGTTCCGGCCAGTCTCGAATACTACCAGCCATACCACGAGCATGGATGAAATCGAAAGACTCTGGAGGGAAAGCCCATTCCTGAGTGGCGTCGTCAATCTGGAATCGCACATTTGGTGGTATCCTTTTGCAATGTTAGTGCTTAACATCACGATCCACGATTTGTCGACAAACCAGCTGGGCTGTATCGGTGAAAGATCTGTGCCTATGATTTCTGCTGAAGGATATTCATCACCCACTGAGACAATATGTCAGCAACTGCAACAGCAAAAGTAAGTCTTGACCGAGCTTACTGTCGATGGCCCAGATGCCTGTTCCGGTCCCAATGTCCAGTATAGTACCAGGATTATGCAAATCTGGGGCGGTCCGGCAGAGTGCACCACCCAAGGTCAAGCGAAAGACATGATGAAGAATGTCTAACCGTTCTTGCTCTTTGTCATCATTCGGAAGCATCTTCACAAGAGATGTTAGAGATGATCGTCTCCTGCTTGCTGCAAAGACTTTTCACGTACATACTTGCCGGCTTGATAGGCGTGATACCGGCGACCATTCTCATATTCATAATTCATCACAGACGATTTCAAGGAGGTCAGATCTGATGCTACGCTCATGGTATCATATCCCTCGTCTGGATCGGCCTAATAGGGGATCAATTATCAAACTCAATTTTGGTTGTGCGGTTGCTGGTCTTACATCAGGTTCGATGACACCGACATTTTGACTGTGCGCCATACGGGCTCTTCGAGCAATTGCCGGGTTACTCAAGCGCCCCAAATTGTACAGGAAAGGGCGGTCATTGAGGAATGTGTGAGAAAGAATGAGTGATGGAGGACCCCGCCAGCATCTCTATGTACTTTGCTACAAACGAGTGGACACGAACGGTGGCACAAGGATGAAGACTGACGGCTTCGCTCATTGACCATGACCTGTGGTTTCGGGGGCTGTGTCGACCAATCCACCTTTTCCCCCATTTTCTGTCTACCAACAGGAATGGACTTTTGACCGCGACGAAAACCGTTGCAGCCTCGGGCCTTTCCTAGCCGCGGACGGATGTTGTGCCTGGTGGACACTGTTGTTATGAGTGGATAAGACGGCAGTCGATCACACCTCAAAGCTTCTCTAGACGCCTCTTGCGTCTTCATGGTGCATCCTTCTTCACAACTCATCCGCCAATTCTTCAAGTCTCTACCATGCTAGTGCAGATCTCCGTTCTTCTGCATTTCCAAACGAAGCTTCTTGCAGGGAATCGACCTAGCCGAGCCATCATCGGCAATGCGTACGAACTTTGCGATGAATACGACGTCGCCCTCGTTTGGCCCAATCTGGCTCCATCGGTCCATTTCTTCATCTGCCACGTTGACCGGAGCTGATCAACCAAACTAAAATGCAATGGATACTCTGTAAGTTGAGTGTGGACTTTGTCACTTGTGCAGCTCCACTCGCATGTTTCAAGGTAGTCTTACTTCACCAGCCGGGTACGCCTCCGTATTTCCTGATCCCTCCAAGTTCATCGGTCGTTGGGTTACACACATCTACAACCAGACAATGTCATTTTGACGCTTGACACCTGCCCGTTACAAGCTGATCTATCACAAAAAGCCATGCTTGTACCCCAGATCTCCTTTGCCAATGTGGCATACACAGCCCTCCTCACGTGGTTCGTGTATCTCACCTCTCTCGCAATCTACCGCTTGTACTTCCACCCGCTCGCAAAATTCCCTGGACCCAAAATCGCCGCGCTGACAGGCTGGTACGAGTTCTACCATGACATAATCCACAAGGGATGTTTCATCTGGAAGCTGAAAGAGCTTCACGACAAATATGGCCCCATTATCAGAATATCACCCTACGAACTACATATTCGAGACTCAGATTACTATGAAGAACTCTACGCACCGGCCGCCAAAAAGCGCGACAAGTACGATGGATGGGTCACCATGGCTGGCGCCCCAGCGTCATCCTTCGCAACGGCATCCCACAATCTACATCGTCTACGCCGTGGAGCGCTCAACCCATTCTTCTCCAAACGTTCCGTCTACCAGACTGAAGGTCTGATCAAATCCAAGATCGAAGAACTATGTCGCCGTTTCGAGACAGCCATGAAGAACAAGGAAGTCATCCGCCTAGACGCCGCATACATGGCATTGACAATGGACATAATTACCCACTACGCCTTCGGCAGCAGCTACAACTACCTGGCTGAACCAGACTTCAAACTCTCCTGGAAAGAGACCGTCATCGCCGGTTCCGCCAACGGTGCGTTTTTGCGACAATTCCCCTGGGCCCTACCCATCATGAAGTCCGTCCCGCTATGGCTGGTCCAAAAGCTCAACCCGCCCGCCGGCTCACTCATGGCATGGCAGCAATTGATCCGCGCACAAGTCGACGGCATCATCGCCAACAACCGCACCAGCGGCGGCGAAAAGAAAGCCACCGGGACAATATTCCAAGCATTACTCGACAGCGATTTACCCGATCAAGAGAAAAGTGCAGACCGACTACAAGATGAAGGCCAGACTCTCGTTGGCGCCGGCTCCGAAACAACAGCAAAGTCATTGAGCGTGATCACATTCTATCTCCTCGACGACAAACAGAAACTTGCCAAACTGCGCGCCGAACTCAAGACTGTGATGCCAACTCCGACAAGCGACGTCAGTCTCACGGCACTCGAACAATTGCCATACCTGGTATGTCCTGCCTTGCCCTGCCCCGCCTTACCCTCGCATCCCTGCCGTGAAGCTCATGTTGAGTAATGTTTGACTGACTCCTCCCAAAAGACCGCCGTAATCAACGAAGGCATCCGCCTCATGTACGGCGTCACAACGCGCTTACCTCGCGTATCTCCCACCGAACCACTCCGATACAAAGACTGGGTCATACCTGCCGGCGTGAGTGCCCATGACCTTCTCAAGCAGTGCTTCGAGACGTCGTTACTGTCAAGTATGCTAACGCATGATCATGAACAGACCCCCGTAGCACAGTCAAACTACTTCGTCCACACCGACGCCTCCATCTTCCCCGACCCCCACTCCTTCGATCCAGACCGCTGGCTGCGCGCCGCCGACACCAAATTCAGGCTGGACCGGTACTTTGTATCGTTCTCCAAGGGAAGTCGTATGTGCGTTGGCATCAACTTGGCGTACGCCGAACTCTACTTGACGTTGGCGATCATCATGTCGCGATTGGATCTCGAGAACTTTGAGACCACGGCCGAGAACGACATTAAGATCGATCGCGACTTTTTCGTGGGGATACCGAAACCAGATAGTAAAGGTGTGAGAGCGAAGGTTGTTGGGATGAGGACTGGGGATTAGAGAACGGGTGGCGACCATCCTTGCCATCAAATTAGAGCTGGTACCGTAATGTCAAGCGAGTCAGCCTGCCTTTCGCATAATAACAGAGATTGTAGCTGGAAGAATGATATTCATTGATCACATACGGCCCCTAAGTAGGGCAGCACGTATCTCAAGAACCCTCTAGTCCTAAGAATAATTGCTGGCATGACCGTCCCAGCAACCTCAAAGATCTCGGATTCACTAAATTCCTCCCCCCAGACCATCCATCCCAGACAGGTCGCTCCCCTGCACGCTACTAAAGTTATAAGGAAAATCCACAATCCCATCTAACATCCAGTTCAACGGATCAAACACATCATAACTGGCCTGCCCATAATCCATGGAGAAATCATCAACCATGCCCGTCGCCATACCAGCCATTCCCGGAACAATCGCAGTCGACGACAGCATGGGATCGTTCATGGACGGCTTCGCATCCAGACTGGATGTCGGAATGATGATGCTATCAGGCTGCTGAAGTTTGGCACTTTGTTGTCGCACTAGGCCATCATCAGAATCGTATACAGACATTTTGTCAAAGGTCTTACCATCAGACGGCTTGCCGTCCTTGAACTGGAAATTCCGCCGCCATCGCCATACAGAGTCAAACACCAAAGACAGCGACATGCGACATTTGACCTTCAATTGCAGACTGTCATCGTCGCCTTCGCCATTGGAGTCTGCACGTACATGCCTGCCACTCTTCCAGACCTGGGCGAGAACTTCTGCCAGTCGTTCAGCGAGGTCGTTTTCCACGGTACTCATGTTGCGCAACGCCCAGACCGTCCTGGAAAGCAATTCAGATGCACCTTTCGTGTCGAGTTCGTGCTCGTTGAGGAAATTGTGCATGAGCTTGAGAAGAGAGAAGCCCGCCGCTAGCATCATGTGGAAAATGTAATTTGTGGCGTGCGACAACGACAATCCGTGAGAATATGTCGACGGCAGACTCACGCTGATGCTTGATTCCAAGTTGAGACAAGTCTCGAGAAAGTCGGTGGTGGCTTGGTACAGCTTTAACAGGTCGACCCGGTACGATGGCAGAGACGGAGGAGAGAAGAAGGCGCTCAATCTCATGTGCAGGCCTGCAGCTTTGAGGTAGATTTGAGTGATCGGCGACGTATCGTCCTGGAGCCTGTCTTCAAGCTCTTCTAGGTCATGAGCCAGGAAGGAGACGTATGTAGGTCGTTCTGCGTCCGTGGCAAGACCGACCGGGTCGTGTGTGTTCATGTACAATGTCCTGGAGACTTTGTCCACAAACTTTTCGATTAGCAGGCGATTGAATATCGGCGCAGGTAACTCGTAGTTCGGGTTGGTCTCGATAGGCTTGGGTCCCAAAGTCCAGTCATACATGGTCAGTGGAGGTTGCCCGTATGCAGTACATATCCTCTGAGCCACAATATTGCACACGCTCCAGACCACCACCCGATCCTGGAGTTCTACCTCCCTAAGCTCCACACGAAACTTGCTGAAGTCTTGAGCGTGTGTCGGCCGATGTAAGCCGATTTGCATTGCTATCTGCATCATGAGCCCGCAGATCATGAATGTCGGGTCGGTCGAGGTGCTGTTCGTCGGCAAAGGCCATGCGCACAGTAGGATGAGTGCTTTGACAATGTGGTAGTTTTGAGGCACTTCGGCGATGGTTGACCACATCAACCTAGTCAGAGGCCCGGAAAGAGCGCCGAGCAGTTCAGGCTCGGTTGTGTAGTGCCGTGCCCCAATTGTCAGTATGGTCCAAAAGAGCAACGGCGACCTCGTATGATATTCTTCTGGAGTTCGCTCGGGGTTGAGGAAAGGCAGGAACGGATGTTGAAATGTGAAGAAGCGCTGGAAAAGATCTTGCACCCGGTCCATGGTCAAAGACACGTCTTCTAAGCGCTTGAAGACCGACCTCCCAGGACTCTTGCCTTCTCTCAGGTCGAGAAGTCCTGCGGCGGCAGCGTCTTGACCGAAAGAGCCGAGCCCAGATTGTGAAGGATGCAGACTTGCGCTTCCATTCTGCATGTTTCCATTCGATGTGTTGCCGGACTGTTTCGCTACCACCGCTTTTCTCAGCTCGATGATCTCGCGCTCCATTTCCGCATTCCTTGATCTCTTGCCAACACGTTTGAAGTTATCCTCTATCTTGCATTCGAGGTTGAGACGCCTGCATCGTGTGCAGATCTGGAAGGGTTCTTGTACAACATCGCATCGCAGCTATACTGTTGTCAGCAGGTCGCAGTTCCCCATGCATGCACAAGAAAGACTCGAGTGGGCTGCGCCTTTCGGCGAATCCTTGGTAAAGACAATCGGAACGCAACAGTGACATAACGTCAGTCAATGTCGTCGCTCACCTTCTGTTGTCTGCATTCATTGCAAGCCCTTTTGACAGGTCTGCGCCGGCCATCACGGCCATGTTCATCTCCATTCAAGTCTGGTGATTCAACGCTTGCGCTTGCGGGTGAACTGTCGAAGCCGGCGATAGAGACATTTCGTTTTCGGCCTTGGATTGGGCTGCCCAGACCGGGAGCAATACCCTCGCCCTTAATGTGGCCTGGTGATGAAGCCAGCTTGAAGTTGTCGTCACGGCTGTTGAAACCTTGGGCAGTGTTCCAAGGCGAGGCCGATATCGGTTGCGCGGTGGCAGTTGCGAACTCGGAAATCCAAACGTCGTCAAGCGCCGAAAAAGGCGCCAAGTCCATGATTTTTGATCAGATAAGATAAAAAATATCTGATCAGATCAATAGTGGGAGTGGTGGGCGATCCAGTCTCGAGCTACTCATTATCTTACTCACTGTTCACGAGCAAAGTTACTGGCGAAGCTCAATGGCGACATCGCAACAGACCAGAAAGATTCAAGGTCCATTGATCAAGAAGAAGACGGGTCAAGACGGATCAATCGAATCAAACCACGCTATCAACACTATCCACTTCGCCCTACAACAAGACCAAGAGCAGCGAGGTAAGTCGGAATATGACTCATCCACCTTCACCGTCTAATGAGACATATAGTGACCATATTCGACTCAAGTGTCACTCCAGAACCATTTCTAGACTCAGTCACATTGGAACATCTGAGAAAGAGGCAACAGGCACAAGCAAAGAAGTAATGGGATTATTATAAAAGTTGATTCAGATCGTTGCCAACATATCCATAAATCCAAGTGAACACACTCTTTAGTTGTACATATAATCATCAGATCATCCAAATCATTCACTCATCAAGACATCGGATCGTGAAGTCTTCATGCTCGTCGAAATTGGTTTGCTCAATGAACAAAAGCGCTGCAACAAAAGCCTTCCCAAAATAACAAAATAACGTCCTCAGCCGCCAGGGCCTTGTTAAACGTCAAAAATCAAATGTCGTGATCTCTTCAAACTCCTTTGTGTCAGATATCTCTTGATAAACTGGTGTTACTGGCAGGGAATCTGGAATCTCCCTGCATGACGACGTTGGCTCCAATACTTCGTCTCAGTTGAGCTCTTCTCTTTTCTCGCCGTTCGTCTTCTTTCCTCTGCTTCACGTGAATGATGCGCTCGCGGAGATCCTTGAAATCAAGCAGATGAAAGTGGTAGCCCAGCCCCGATGTACTGTAGAGCTGCCGGCCAGCCCGAAGTCTGGCAAGACTTCCATGGCTAGACTGCTTGACGATGCCTCTTTTCTGCCGCCGACGTTCTGATAGGCGCCTGACTAGCGAAACCGGTCCTGTGATGACGGTCCGCTCCTGTGTGAGTCCCAGGGAGTTCTTCACTATGCCCACATGCAAGGCACGGTTCTGTGATTTGTCAGGTTTGGTATTGTCAGTGTCGTCCCAAAATGCCCGTGGTCGCCAAAAAGGATGTAGATCGCCATCAAGTTCCTGATCAGCCTTCTTGTTTCTAGCATTCTTCAAGCTGAGATTGCGTGAAATCGAGCTCATAAAGGACTCGGATCTGCGGCGCGACCCGCCAGGGCGCTTCACAGAGCCCTGACGTGCATTAGCAGATGGTGCATCGTACCGCGATTCCTGCTCGAATTCATCCCCTGGAGTCGGTGGAATGACCTGAAATTGAGGCGGCTCCGGTGGACGTCGAGGGTTCCGTAGCGGCGAATGCATCTCAATGTGCGGCAATTGTTGTCTCTGGACCTCGCGCACTGCTTTCGATTCCTGCACTGGAAATGGCTCAATGAGCTGGAGGGAATTGTTGTTGTGTGCGAAGTAGTTGATTGCCTTGGCTTCGTTAAGCTCTGGAGAAGCAGAGCGGAACGACGGTTGCGAGAAAGGAGTCTCCAACAAAGTGGAAGCTGGTCGAAGAGCTGCCCATTCCTGGGTTCCGGGCACAAGCAAGCCAAATGCATTGATCGAGGCCTCTCCGTCGGTAAGCGGGCGGGCCGGAAAAGTGCCTCGAGTTGACGGAGTCTGGACCTCCCGTGCGTCCATCGATGCCCGGGACTTATAAACAAGTTTCACAGACTGATCCACGGGCTGATACTCAGCTTCAGTCACAGCAACTCGTGGAGTCTGTATCAGCATCTGGGTCTCCATCCTATCTAATGTCTTGCGCAAGTCTTTCTCCGCTTGTTGCCTGCGCACCCGGAGCTTCTCAGAAGTGACAGAATTTGCGCGAGAAGTACTCCTTGAAGTTGGCGCAGACAACGATGACCTCCGTGGGGGAACCACCGGTGCTTGTTCTATAGTCCTTCCACGATCGGTGGACTCGGAGAGAGTTCTTTTGTGCTGCCAAGAGGACGGTGGGTTGTCTGAGAGTTTGGCAGCATGAGAGCGCGCAGAGCCTGTCGAAAGCGACTGCCTTTTGCTCTCGCTAGTGCTGGAAGATGGCAGCGAGGATTTTCTCTCCGGTATCACGGCCACGCGGATAACCTCGGTCTTCGGCAACAGAGCACTTGAGGCTAAACTTTGAGATCTGGACACCTCGGATCCGAAACTCCACCTGTTCTGGTTGCTCAAACGTGCCTTTTTGTGGACCAGACGATGAGGTGAGTCCGACGTCGACTGCAGCGAGTTTCGTTTCGAAGCAGGCAGGGGTGAGCTCGCAGAGCGTAGAGACTCGTGTTTGCTGACATGGCGCAATGTAGTCTTTCTCTTTGGCGGGGTGATCTGTTCAAACACATATGCTTCGATGGTTGAAGTTGTAGAGATGCCCGAAAACCGGCGGGTATCATCACCTACAACCTCTGCAGTCGCAGCCGGAGTATCCTCAAATGGAATAGAGTTGTTCCAACCAATGATGCTCGCAAATTTCTCAGTGGACGCGGATGGGTCCTGGACTTGTGCTTCAAGAAGCCTGTCCCGGAGGCTTTTGTCGCGCTTTAACTGATCTTGAGTCGGTCTTGTTCTGGGCCGTGACAGAGACCCGACCTCGTCGTCTACATTGACTACGCGCACATTGTCCTGCGGTTGACTGACCAATCGGACGGGTGTAGAAGAAGTGCTCAGCGGTTGTGGGCTTGCATGCAGTCTGTTGTTGTGGTCAGGACCTTCCGACGAAGCTTCATGATGGGAGTTGGTCGCTTCGACAGGCTCGTCGAGAAATTGCTCTTGCGGCTCGCTGAGAGCCGGCTGCTCATCGTACACGTTGACCAGAGGTGAGCGTGGCAGGGCGCTCTGACGCAATCTATGCGTGATCTGACTGGAGCTATCAATTGACGCGCGAGGATCTCCTTGTCCGTCTTCCTGATGTTGCGAACCATCGTCTAATTCGTCCTCAGAGGCCATGTTTTCTCTTGCAGTTGTGAAGGACTCGGCTCGCGTCGAGTAAGATGATGGCTGAGGCCCCAGAAATGGGCGTACAAACGAAATCTTTCTATCCCGTGGAGGTGTATTATCCGGAGTTGGCGGGCTATTCTGATTGATGGGAGTCACCAACGATGATCTGAAAACAGCAGCGTCAGAAGCCCTTTTCTCGTTTTCAGATATCTTGTCCTCATTGCTTGCTCCAGGTGGCGTGGGAGGTAACTGCGGCGAGGTAGGCAGGACAGTGGAAATCGACTTGTGAGACTGCTGTTCATCTTGCTGGCCTTTGGCATCTTGTGCAGAGATACGATAGAGCATTCGCAAGTTAGGTGAGGTATTTCTGGAGTCGGTGCGGTAGGGTAAAGACTTTGGTGATAAACCGCTGGACGTTGCAGGCGGGTTCCCAAGTGGCCCCATGATTGTATACTCAACCATTGTGTCGGCCGAATATAGCATCAGGTCGATTTTATGATTGCCTCCTCCTCATTGCGACGGAGGATGGTTCTTCAGAGGAAGACCAGGGCGATTGTTCAGGACATTCAAGGTAATTGAGTCGCTGCAGGTGGGTATATTGAGGATAGGAGTAATTCGGTCCGTGGGAGTCCGTGAAGCGCTGGGAAAAATGCGAGAATGCGTGACGCGAGGTGTAACAGGCCCTGAAGACAGTGCGCGGTGGTAGGTGGTCGTGCGCAGGGTCCAGAAATGGATCAATCGCGTTCATGAACAGCAATCAAATGCCTGTCAACTTTCTAGGCAGGTTGCGACGAGCTTCAGGCCCTGCGTAGACAGAATTTTCGCTGCGCTGCTCGAGCTGAGAGTCTCGAAGCGGGTGGCTGGGGTCCACGAAGCGCCGCTGAACAGACGAATATCGATTGTCCGGGGATTAGACTTTTTTGGCACCGGTGAGCGTCGCAAGCACCACAGGACCAGGATATAGCTGAGAACGAGGAAGCCAATCAATATATGGCACAGGATTGAAAGCCCGACCGGATTGCTGGAGGTATGCAAAAGAGACGAAGAGATGGGAGACTCATCCGGTCGAGAATAAGAGAAAATAGATGCGCAAAATGACGAGGCTAAGTTAAAGCGTAACGTAAAGGAAGAATAGCTCGCCCCGAAGCCTGCGGCCCTTTCAGGCCCCGGACCGGCGCCTAGACTCGGTTTCTGCCGTGGAATTGGCTTCGTTTGACGATGTTTAGGCGACTTCTATTTCATCACTCTAGGATATCACCACAAGGTACATACAATTCGACCTGGTATCGATGTTTCTCTCCGTATGCAAGATAAACCATCATCACTTCCATCTCAGATAAAATCCATTCCCTCAGGGGACATTATCGATAGATCGTCTCCTGCAGATAAGGAACCACTTTTGACGTCGCCTCCTTAATGGCATCGCCCGCAATCTTATCGCCAGTTGACGTGACAAGGCTGTCAGGGCTCAGGTAATTTCCTCCAGCCGCCCACATCTTCCGCGCGCGCACAAGGCTCAAGCGCTGAAGCTGTGGTCAACTCCCCGCGTACAGAACATGGTGCTAGAAGAGTTCTATATCGCACAGAACAACCAGATGCTCGATTGAGGGTATCACAAGACAATATACGAATCACATTCCTAGGCCCGCCACATTCCAGTCAGCCCCAAAGAAAAAGGCCTAAAAACAACAACACAAATCATCAGACTACACGAGTACCACAGCTGCAGCTGAAAAGGTAAGATCTGTCAGAAATCGTAAGCCACCCCATCTGTCATCGGAAAGTGCGCAGGAGGTACTCGTACTTCATCTTTGATCATCCTGCCTCCGAAGTATCTTACAAAATGTCTTGATGGTGCCTGCCATGCTCACTCTCTCATCCCGCAAACTACAATCATGGCGTCCAACAGAACCGCACAATTAACCACACTTCTATGCATGCTCGCACTGCTTCAACATGCTCTTGCATCCCCTGTCGCACGCATTGCTACACCAAAGACAGACGCACTATCCTTTGCTGAGCTCGTCATTCGAACCTTTCGGCGAATCCTCGACCTGGGCTTCCTCCAGGGCATTGTCTCCTCCCTCTTGATCCTGGGTTGCCTAGTCGGCCTTCTCATATGTGCTCTATGCGCTTTGGCAAATTACATGCGGCACACCAACGAAGGAGAACTTTATGAGAATGTCGGCATAAGCGAATCTGGGAACCTCTTCTTCACAAAACATGAGAAACGTGGACGAGACGTCTGCAACCTCTCGCAATCTCCATCCCAGAATCCAAGCCGCATTTCGCGATATCTCCTCTCGAGACAGGACTCACCAGTCACAAAGATCAATATTCACACTACTTCTTCCCGGCGTCAGTTCCTTGCACCATCAGATGCACATTCCAGATCATCACGAACTATTTCTCCATCACGATCACTATCCCGGCCTCTGCGCTCAGCATTGTCCAAGTCTCCATCACCCGCACGCCGAAGGCAGTTGACGTTCTTTGGCTCAAGAACAGCGAGCCCCAATGGCACCTCAAAGTCCGTCCGATGGGCCGACGAGATCCAAGTCGCTGTCATTGCCACTGTTGTGGACGTCCACACGTCTGAAACGGTGGCCGAGGTTGAGATGGACATTGGATTGTCTAGGTACGAGAAGGCAGTCGAGGTGGATGCTTCTACCGACGCGCCGCCCGCCTACAACATCGCTGCAAATGATATTACTCTGGACACTCAAGAGACGGAGAAGGCTTTGGCAGCATGATTATCTTGTTTTTATTTATATTGGTGCACGATCTTGTGAGTGAACGCTCCTCTGGAGGCACGGAGCATCTTTGGCATTTTGATACCCCTTATATGACGAGCGACATTTCTAGCAGGAGATTATGAGAATGATATTACTTGATGATTGAGTATGAATTCCAACTGAGCACGCGTAAAGCCGATGTTCAAGACGCGCTGCACAGTGGAGCCTGTATTCTGCTACTGTCCAGCACGTCACGTCAATTAACTAGACTGTTTGGAATGACATTCGGATTCCGGCCTCTGCTGTGTAGCAAGAACGGCATGACTCTACCGACTAAGACTCAAGGTCCCAATGCACATCTTAGCGCCTTCGGTCATCCAGTCTAAGTACTTTGCGACAGGGTAGTCTGATCCGTGACCAAAAGACCAGCAATTGAAGCCGAAGTCAGTGTCGACAAGACCCCTGAGAACAGCGCCGACAAAGCCACCTTCGAGACATCACCTGCCCTCGACGGCGCAATTTGTGACAACACGCCAATCTGGGTACCCAAGGAACCAAAGTTTCCAAACCCTATAAAACGCGAATCAGCCAATGCCACCGCTTCAGGTGAGGAAAAACGTACCGCAAAGAGCATAAGTAGCAATTAACTTCGACCGCGGACTCATATTGATATACTCAGCCTCACTGGTAAGACTGTTATACGCAACAAACTCATTGGCGATAACCTTGATGCCGATAAGCTGGGCGACTTGCAGTAAATCGTCCCGGGGCACGCCGAGCAGGAACGCGACAGGATAACAAATGTACCCCAGAATCAACTGCAGCGTGAGATAGGCTTCGCCGTCCTGCGTGATGTTGATATACCTAGGTACTCCCGGTCAGCCGTGTTCCTATTCAGGATGGATCGTTGGTACTCACTTTCCCCACCACCCCAGCAACCCATTAATCAGCCCGATCAGCGCAATGATACAAAGCAGCGTCGCAACGATCATTCCCGCGATCTTGATACCAAGCCATGCGCCGTTCGCAAACGCATGCAGAGCATTCGTCGCGCGATGCTCATCATCGTCCGGCACCACGCACCGCCCGGAAGTAATTGTCTCCTCTGTCTCCGGATACCTCATCTTCGATACAGCCAATGACGCGGGAATCGACATAATACAACTTGACACCATAGCCTGGGCATTCAGTCCGAGACTGATATATGCGACTAGCACTGATCCCGAGATAGTAGCAAACCCGCACGTCATGACCTGATGGATCTCGGCGAGCGTCAAGTGCGGCACAAACGGCCTCACCAGCATTGCCGACTCACCCTGGCCGATGAACGGGGACGCAGCAGCGACGACCGCCTCCGCGCCTGACACGCGCAAAGACCAGAAGAAGAAGACGGCGAATTTGCCGATGAACCACTGCAACACGCCGAAATAGTACAGCAGCTGGACAAGCGACACGAAGAAAATGATCGGCGGCACCACTCCAGTCAAGAACCAACCCAATTTCAGCACCGACGCCGCGGTGAGAAATTCAGTTCCCTGGTTCGCGAAACCCAGCAGATCCCTCGCCAGACCGGAAATGAAGTTGAAAATGTCGTACCCGGCTCCAGTCCTCAACACGAACACGGCAATCACAAACTGCGTCAACATCCCGCCGATGACAGTGTGCCAACGGATCTTGGAGCGGTCGCGCGACGTCGCGTACAATACCACCAACATGATCGCCAAGCCTAGCAACGATATAGCCCGGTTGCCGCGCGTGTTGTCTTGGGACTCGGGGGACACGAATGTGCCGACGAGGATCACTGCGATGGCCACGAGCGCTGCAAGAGGGGTGCGTGTGCGCTCCGGCAGAGCCTGGTACACGCGCACACCTGTGTTATTCCAGACAAAGTGCATAGGTCGCGTGACGATGGTGATGGGCGCCCAGAAGAAGATTATGCGCAAAGTGATGGCGAGGTACAGCAGGAAAGGGATCAGCCAGCCGTAGTCGTGTCGGTGCAGGATAAGTCCGGCGATCCACCATCTAAACGACTTATCAAAACCCCGAATCACAGAAAGAGGAATACAGTCCATGGGATGGACAAGATGATGATCACTCACCCGGTGAAAAGAAGCCAGACGAACAGATGCACAAAGATCTTGTTCTTCGCATACATCCTGGAAACGCGGTGAGTCCGGCCTTCGTCCTCGGAGACATTCGTCGCTGTTGGGCCTTCGATCGTTGCTTTCCCTGCCTCCATTGCGACAAAGTCTTTCTCGTTGACCGGTCCGGTCCTCAGGTGATGCGTACTGTAGTCTTGGGGACCCTTTTCGCCAATGTTGGATTTATCGTAAGTAGTGCCCTCCGCGTAGAGGACTTCATCGTGGCGACCGGCCATTGAAGCCCGATTGTGGTGTAAGTGGTTATGCTGGTGTTCATGAGAGTAACGCAGCGTCAAGTCCGGATTCTTGTCAACACCAGTTTGCTTCGAAGGGTTATGCCCGTGGGCGGGAACGTCATTGTGAGTCTGATCAGTCGCTCTGTGGTCGTCCACAGAATGTGCGGCGGCGATGTGGTCTTGGTCTGCTGCGCTCATTCTGGCTCTTCCTTCGGCCTGGCCGGTTGTTCGTCAAGATATTTGGACAGCACAGTGGAACGCAAAACGGACAATCCCACGAGAAGGACCGGCACGAGAGCGACAAAAGTGATCAACCACGACGACATGGTGGGGAAAACAGTTTTTCTTTATAAAGAGCCGCGGTCAGATAGGGTTATTACCATGTCACACTGATAGATGGAGACCTTGCCCATCTGGAAGGGTCTTCCGATATGCGAGCGATATGAGTTGTGGACATCTGTGCGATGTGGAGCAAGGGTTTCCTTTCCAGAAGCAATGCTTAATGAATGTGTGGTTGGAAAAAAGTGAGCCGTTGACGCCGAACCAGTTGCTACCACCCGCTTCTATACCGCTACCCAATGAAATCGCGGTGTGACTGGTTCGTAAAGAGGAGGCCCGCCCCTCTAGACTGACGATCCCACAAAGCTAGTTTCCTAGCCGGGCTTCGCTGCAACGCCGTTGTTATCCTGTGTCTGACTTATCTCTGCACATATTGAGCTTGATTCGTCGCTTGAACATGTCACCAGATAGGCAGGTCCCTCTTCCAGCTCTCGGTTCAACCGAAGAAATCGCCAAGTGATAAGGAAAATGTAAGACGGCTTCGTTGTTCACGAGACTCCTCAGGAGCATCTTGGATGCAACGTTGACCCTAGCCTCGATGGAGCCGATGGGGCCTAACAGACCACCCACCAGTGACCCTTCGACATCAATTAGGTAAGTCTAACGTCCGGGGACACAGGGGTATACCCCAGGCGAGAAGCCATGCCGTTCGGTCCCCTCCGCTTCTCGTATCGCTCTATAGCCCTGGCCGAGCGTGCGGAGATGTCGCTCCCACGATACGTTGTACGGAGAGTGTGGAAATCAGGACAAGTATCATACGAGACTCAGAGGGCTGCTCCCCCTAGCTTTACCAGCTGCACCTCCAGGATACCCGCATTAATCACTTAGCATGGCATCTCTTCTGCAGGTGTCAGAGCTTAGTGCATTAGACCAGCACTGTTGCCATGAACTGCGTTTATGGTTTGACGAACAGGAGTGGATAGATGGGCCGATAGGCGAAATCGCAGATCGCGCGGGCGTGGAGGAATAAAGCCTTCGAACTGTATTCGAGGTTAGACATTGCTCGCAAGGTCTGCAAATATCTCTACTACGGGCCGAACATACTTCGACTATTATAGGGTAGGGCCAGAGGGGCTGGTAGTGGTCTTATCGCATTACAGATCGCGCGCTAGGGGTCTCCTCAACATCTACCACTCGTCCACAACAGATGGCCATTCATGTAATTCCAATCACGATCTTGGGTCAAGAACCGAAAATAGAAGGGTCGAAGATATCGGAAATGAAAGCGTATTTGTGCTCGGAAACAACACACATCACGCCGAGCGTACAGATATTATGTATTCTCCCACGGTGATCTGCAGGAGCAATGATTTTAAAAGCCCTCGAGTGGCAATTCCACCACAGGTGCTGCAGGAGGAGGTCATTAAAGGCATGCGAATGCCCATCCGAAATTCAGATGCCATAAGAAAATAAGTTCAAGGTTGCATCTTGCTGGGCCGTGTCTGACTTCCCCAACGCCAAGCTAGTCAGTTCATTAAATATATGCTCGTTACAAGGTAAGCAGACCAACAGTAGGAACAACCGCAAATCAAAGTTCAGTGCTCAAAGACAACCCCTGAAGCGCCTTGCTGCCCGCCTTCGGACCATGCGTGCTCAGCATTCCGAAGCGTAGGAACACCTCCGAACAGGTGACCAGGATAGAGATGCAGATCAAGACAATGATGATCCAGGTGATGCGCGACATCTTGTCGTCTGATATGTAGTCTGATAAGACTTCGGCCAAGTCCAGAAAGACACGACATCTCTCGTTCAGCATCTGGATTCGAGGCTTGATTTCGAGATATTCGCGGACCGCGTTGTAGAGAGGATGTAGCGTTGGTTCGCTGTCCCAGATCAAGTTGGGTACATCGAGGACGTTCGATGCTAAAATGCACTGTCAGCCACGGGTACGCCACAATCGAAGAAGCAACTTACATAGGTTGACTTCGACCCGGCTTTTGAAGAGGCCACCTAGCAGCTTGATGACCTCCTCTCGTTTGAGTCCTAGTTCGCCGGTTTTGGCTAGTCGACCAGGCACATCCTTTGCTTCTTCCATCTGCGAAGCCATCGTTTCTTCAAAAAAGCCCAGTTTCGTGCTTTGCGCTATGGCGTGGCTAATTGCCAGCTTAATCATGTGATCGCCGCTGCGTAAGGTAATCATGTCGTTGTACAGTCGGGGCCGGGATATTTCGTTGTTGTACTCGAAATGGAACTCTTCAGTCTCGAAATCTTCTTCGTCCAACGGCACTGCCGTCAGTGAAAGCGGGGTGACGTTGTTGGTCACCGGATCAGATATTGTCGCAAAAGCGAAATCGGCGAGCACGTCTTTCTCTTGTCTTTCGGTAAAATTCCAGAACACAACAACCCCGTAGCTGAAGACAAACATCTCCGCGAAACGGTACGCATCAACGGGAACGCCGGCTGGTCCAGGGCTTACGGAACGTTGTGATTGGTTGCTGTCTCTCCTTTGTCCGTTCAGTCGAGGGGGTCTATCGTCTGCGTCGTTGCGATTGGAGTCGAACCCATCCTCCGGTGGATAACTACCTCTGACTGAGTGTTCTTCTTCCTCCTCGGCGTAGTATGTTTCGCGGTAGTCTCTTTGTTCACTCCGCTCGATGGCCTCATCCAGCAGAGTTCCGCCCTTCGTACTCTGGACAGCTGGGCTGCTTCGTAATCGATAACCTTCATTACCAGGTAAGAAAGGTAGATGATAAGCACAGTATAAGGAATCATCGTAAAGCTTGGTTCGTGCGCCATGACGTTGCCGGACGAACGTTGCTGTCGACTGTAGTTTGTATGATTGTGCGGTACAGTATGCCGTCACTCTGGGCAGTTCCTTCTCCGTCCGTCTGGCTTTAGGTAGTCTTTCTGCATAGCTCTTCACTCCCTCTTTTCCAGGTCTTCGAAAGTCCTCGTCATCTCTTGGAGGACCTTTGTCGGAATCAAGGCCAAAGTCGCCTTTCTCATCTTCCTCTTCTACAGCCTCGGGTAATAGAACTAGCTTCTCGGACGTCTTTGTCGAGCGGGAGGGTATATGTGGGCCGACATAGCGACCAGTAAGTCTAGGATCGACGGGTTTGCCTGAGCCGGTTCGAAAGGCTCTTGGACGCGCTGGCTGTCGTTGCTGCATGGAGGGCATGTCGGATGAATATTGAAGGACATTGTCAACGGTGATGATGCGGGATGTCTGTCTTCTTTGTGGACCTGGTCTGACGACGGAGTCCTGCCGTGCCTATTTGAGTACGATATCAGCTATGTTGTGGACGGTGAAGATACGGTCCGATAATACTGACCAGTATACTGGGACCTCTTTTTGCCGTTGAGCTTGGAGCCATGGTGACCGAAGTGCTCCTGCAGCCTAGCAGACTAGGAAATAGCGAGTCAAGGTGATGCGACGAGAGTAGCGAGTGGAGTGGACGAGTTGACAGAAGTGCAAGTATCACTTCTCACAGACGATGTTGGTTGCATCAAGGCAAGTTCCAAAGAGAAGTCGATGATGCACGTGCTCTTCGTCATAATCTTGGCAGCATGCAGATTAGATTAGATGGTGATCGTCTCTGCAAGGCACCGACCAGCCAGTCACGACTGCGGGGGATTACTCGATAGGCCGGAACCGAGTACATCGTCTTCCAGATGGTTCCCTTCATCTATCAACCGTCGATTCCGTCCTGTCATCTAGGTACCTATCAACACCTATGACATCGCTCCAGCCGACATACAATTTATATTGATTTTGAACATTGCCTGCTTTCCGGCATTCAGTCTTTCGTTCTAGGATTACTCGGTCGTTTCCTCAGGCTCTCCTTCTCCCCTAGTATTGTCGTACATCTGCGTGTCCACGGCCCAGCCTTTGGCTCATGATCTCTCCACTACCTCCAGCATGGAGGGATTACCAGAGGGGATCGTGTCAGACATCCTCGAGTACCTCGACCCCCAGGAGCTGATCTCCGCCCAAAAGACGTGCACCGCCCTAGCAAGATCGGCACGTGCCAATCGACTATGGAGGGTTAAATGCTTCGAAAAGTCTCCCAGTGCTGCAATGAGACGGCAAGCCGGTACTTTGAACAGTCTGACGAATGCGTTGCAAGGTCTGACCTTATCAGATCGTCCTGCTCTTTCTTCCTCGGCCACTCCCAGTCACCAGCATGACCAAGAGAGTGTTATGAGAGAAAGTCCCAGAGCCCGAGCGGTAAACGGATGGGACCGGTCCGCAAAGGACGAGCGTGTCGACTGGTATTCGGAATACAAGGCAAGACATGCACCATTGAATGCCGAGTGGCTCAATGAGCAGCCTTCGAAACCCTTAGATATCAAAGGCATTGCAACGTTGACCGGGTCCGATCGAGCAGTTGGTTTTCTGGAAGACGCCAGCGTATGCGTCTGGGACTTTGCAGAAAGTGTTTCGGGTAGACGGAAATTCAAACAACTCGGACGAAGCAAATCGATACTCTGTACCGACACCGTGCAGCCCGACGAGTCTTTGGTTGTCGACTGTGTCAGCACCTTTTCACCGCAACAAAGGGCATTCATTGCCATCGGCAACATCCTGAACGAAGTCGACCTCAACACTTTCCAAGTGATTTCACATTCGAGATACGCTTACCCAATAACAGCATTATCACAATGCACCTCTACCGATCTACCACTCACGGTCGGAACACAATGGAGTCTGCATATTCTTGATCCCAGACTTTCCCACTCACTCACATCACAAACACGCACAGAACGGGTCGAGGAGGTGCCCGCCGTCTCTGGCAATAGAACTGCAATCCTCCCTGACTTCACCCAGAGCCCAGGGCTGTATTCGTGCAATTTTGGTCCTTCCGCTCCCTTCTCTGAAGAGCCTAGTCCCCCCACATGGTCTCCGCGCGTGTCGAACTTGCACCCTTCACACCGTCGGCAGAATCCTCACTGGATGGCATACGCTCGAGTCGAGCCAGGACCCCTGTCCATTCTTCACCACGCCGAGAACGAGATCTTGCTGGCTGGACGATTCCCAAGCATCCTATCATACGACCGAAGATACTTCCCGCGCCTACAATATGTCATCCACTCCGGCGCAAGTCTTTCATCCCTTACCTCCATACCATATCCGCCGGCAGGGGCTCCATCCAGCGTTACTGGTGGCTCAACACTCGTCGCCTGCGGTGAATATCGGGGCCGTGGATCTCTAGAACTCTACTCCCTTCCTCACGTCATACCCGGACAGACCCCGTCAGGCCAAGATCCCCTTACGACCAGTAATCCCTCAGAGGACGACATGTTAGACCTCGGGAGGAGTCCTAGTGTCAGCTCCGATGGCTCACTGTTCAGCTACAAGAACAGACAAGAAGCCGCAAGCTCGAAAGTGCTGTCTGCCGCCTCGCAGGGGACGAAGATCGTCTTCTCTGACTCCGAAGGCGGACTGAAGTGGATTGAGCGCGATGGCCGCAGCCTGGTTCGTAAGTGGAACATCAATGGCTTCGAGGTCGGTGAAGGCGGCGCCTCCGTTCACGGCGATCAAGTCGCGCGCAAGATCATCCCGCTCGAAGTTTCCAATAGTGAGTGGGGACGCCGTGGTGATGGAGATCTCCTCGTGTGGACGGGCGAGAAGATTGGCATCGTCACGACGACTCCGCAGTACGTGGACCATGAGGAACTGGTCAAAGAGCTTGAGAGCAACGAGACTGCGAGTGCAAAACAGGAACGGGAGGAGCGCGAGAAGGCGGAGGAGTACTCAAAGGTGATGAGGAAGGCGTTGGAACGACAGGCTGATGAGAGGCGGTGGATGAGCCAGTTCCGCCTTAGGAGGGGTTACTTTTAGGGGAGCCCCAGTGATATGTGAAGCTGTCCCATACCCGATATATGCAGTCGATAGACATCTAGAATGGAGTTGATCTAGCAATTGGAAGGCTGCATTCCGTTTTCGATGTTGCATGAACTCATTCCTCAGCATTGCACTGGTTGCGCTGCCAGCGCTGGTGATGTTAGCTAGGCCTGCCGTGGGCTGAGGAAAACAATTAGCACTTACCAGGTCAGGCATTCGACAGGAAAACAATTAGCACTTACCAGGTGAGGCATTCGACCTTGCCAGTAAGATCAATACCGGCACTCATGTTACAGCACGCATTCAAAGCGCTAGCAGGTTGTTGCACCTCTGGGCAGCAATTATGGCAGTGGTCGTTCATTTAACTTATGTCATCTTCGACAGTATTCCGCAAATAGGTATGCATACCTGCCTATTTAAGTAATTTTCCCTACTTTTCATGACCCAGCAAGAACTTTTGGACACAATTCACCGAACACGGCTTTCACTCAGTCGATTCAGATATTCTCTCAATGTTGGCAGCGCATCACCCACGACCCAATGTCATCTCTTCTCCTGTACATACCAGCGCTTGTAGAGTGAAAGGGAGCTTGTAGAATGATGTGAGAATTGAAAAATAAATTGGTATTTTGTTTTTCAGGATGCAACGACTTTTATTTACACATTAGACATGATACTGCTGGTAACTGGTAGAGCCCCAATCGCTCTCGTTTCCGCCGCCGCATTTCCTGGTATCCCAACTAATAATATGAACAAACGCTATGAATAACAAATACATCCGTGCCTGTGGTGTTGCGTGCCGGCAAGCTCAAGCCTTTTATGAGATGACATTATCGTACTGATAACAGAAAGGACCAGCCGTCGTGCTGATCAAGTCCTGAACCTGGATGGGATTGAGCTGGAAGTATCCCCAATCAGGCTCGGTGGTATTGAGCGTGACGACGGGGCTGGGAGGCACGTTAAGCGCAGTTCCGGTGCTACCGTCCAACGTGTTGGCCAAGTCGGGGTAGTTAATTTGCCAGCTCGTGTAGACTCTGTCGATCATGGTGTGGAGGGGATACCAGATGGGATCTTGAGCGGAGACGTGAATGCTGTCCATTTGCCCGCCGACACTGAAGTGCGCGCCCGAGTGGATGCCCAGACTGGCACTACCTATGACACCGTTGAGGAGGTACTCGAACTCGCTGGCATTGGCGGCGTGGGCGGCAGCCACGAGTTGGTCTTCGTTCGTATATGTCTGGGACACGTAGGCGTTGATATCGCGCATAAGACAGATGTCGTTGTAGTCGAAGGCGCCATCTGGTAGTGTGCCGTTGAAAAGGTACGAAGGGTCGATGAACTTGATTGGTGCGATCATATCGGCGAATGGGCCTGTGGTTACGCAGCCACCGCCGGCGCCGTGTGGGATCGTCAGCGATGGGCCAAGGACGATGGGGCCAGTGTTATTGTACACGCCATCGCCGGACATGGAGTACTCAGAGCCATCGAAGATGGGGAACGACGTTGGGTCGGAGGCGGTCGAGGCGAAGTCCCAGTAGGGGAAGGCGCCTTCGTAGCCGCAGGTCTGTCGGAGGTCGGTCTCATAAAGAAACAGGAAGTAGCGATGCCATGTGAGGAAGAAAGCGTCAAGGTGGACATGTTGGGTCCGGTTGACGTGGATGGTCGCGTAGTCCATGTAGCGGTTGACTGCGACTGGGTACTCCGAGTTGTCGATCTGAGAGGGTTGAGCCATCAGGCACTTGACTGCGTCGGTGTAGGCTTTCCGGTCGGCTGGGGCCATTTTGTTGAAGTCAACCCGCGTTCTGACCGTCTCGGAGTTGCAAGGTTGACCCCATTCTTTACCCTCGCCCTGCCAGTCGGACCATTGGGGACTTGGGTTGCGGGCATCGTGAGAGCTGAATGGGGCGGCAGAGACGAGGGACGAGGAGAGTAAGGCTGTAGCAGCAACTGCTGATAGAAGAGAGTTAAGCATGCTGGGTAAAGAGTGTTTCAAGCGATTGTGTTGGTTAGTGGTTGTAAAGGAAACGTATTGGTCAATCGCCGATCAGTGAGTGAGTGTGTGTGAACTGACTTTTGTAGTGAATGAAAAAGTGAAATGCATGGCAAGAGCGAGGCATCATGAGGACTAAATAGCCCCGTGAGGCTCGATGCTGCTACTGCAACAGCTGGGGAGGCCTCGGCATTTCCAGTCTGTCAGCACTGCTCCGCACAGCCTTTGGGATGTGGCCCTGCCGTCTTTACGAGGTGATCGAAGCGGAATGTGTTCGGCCAGACCTTTGTTTGAAAGTTCAATTATGGTGTGTGGTGGCGATGTCACAGCATTTTGCCAGTTGGGAGTTGGTAGCCGTATGACACCCGCATATGCCAATACCCATAGCCTGGATAGCGGTTTATTTTTGGGCTACACAGGCACAGACAGGTGGTCCCTTGGTGGCTCCCCAGGCTGGTTCACCAATGGCAATTCTCCGTGGCGCTCAGGCTGGACACTTGGATCTGTTGGCTAACCTGTTGTCGGTTAGTTCCCGTCTATTTGCATCCGACCCCAGTGAGGCTGCGCTTATTTCCCCTCATCGCCTTAACAACATCGAGGGGCGTAGGTCATGATTCATCGCAGCGACTACTGGGATGAACCCTGAGCTGCAGGTTTTTGCACCTGCTGAATGGTTGTTTCTCTCCGCCGTTAGTGCTCTCGCTTACCATGCTGCGCCCGAGGTTGGCAGAGCATGGGTCGTTTGCCTGGTGTGGCTGGCCATCCCTTACTCCAGGATACGTTCAGTATAGTTCTTTCCGAGGCCTCGGATGCATGGGCTGGATGTGACTTGTCAAACCCGGGTAGTGATTCCTATGTGATGTTCAGCTGGTAGTGCCACCGACTCTACTCGTCGGCTCTACCATCCGTTTCGACCGTTTGCCCATCTACATATGCCAAGTCATCAGCCGTCCCGGGACGTGCAATGTGCAAGTAAGAACTACATTGGGACGGGACAGGATGTTCCAGCAAGGAGGGTGCGCCTCATTCGACCTTGATGTTGCCTTTTGGGCAATCTGTTTGTCATACATATCATCTGTTTGGTGTGCCTGAGGTCTCCCCTGCCGTGTCCCATGTGAGAAAGCTTGATGGCCAAGCACCATGCTGCACTTTGCAACGGTTTCCAATCGAGCCGTGAGGGAGTCTGTCTGGGAGCTCACTCTTCCGGCCGATCTTCACCGCATGGGACGAAAAGTTTCCCCATCATGCAAGCATCCCTCGTCCCTAGTGCCTGGCCGTCGTCTGAACAACAGACATGATCATGTGCGGAAAATTGTTTGCAGTCGTGCAGAAAGGGCAGGAGAGTGGGGAGTGTATGGTGGAGAAGAAATAGCTGACTTGGGTTGCACAGCAGCAGGTTCGTAGAATTTCAGGATTGGGTGCAATGCTGTTTTCGTACTCATGCTTCTGCTTTTCATGTCGAGTCACTTTGATTGTGCTACGTGTCATTGACTTGAGACAAACCGACATGTGGAGACGATCTACTGATGTTTCCTCGTCGACAACGAGGACCCGGCAATATCATCTGCGCATAGTGTTCATACTGCCAAATTTGCAGATAGCTGGATCGGACGCCAGGGCGCGCCACGTGGTGTTGATGTTGGTAAGGCTGTCTTTCAGCTGGGCACAACCTCAATGCGAGGTTAGCCGAGACGGTAAGGGTGGACAAACAAACAAGAATGGCAAGATTCCCGGTCCCCCTGCAGCAATGCTGACCATGCAGCAAAACAAGGTCACCGTGCAAGTTGGTCCTTGATTTCTTCTGAGCAACTCGTATCGAATCTGCCCGCCACAAGCAGCCTGGACATATATCTCAAAAACAAACACCCGCATATACGATAGCTAGCACAGCAATCATTGATCCCTATGAAGACACCCGCCGTCAGCCATGGAGGTCCAAAGGAGCACGTAGACACTGTAGACACTGCCACTCTCGGTCCGAACAGGAGCAGATACATTCGGACCTCGCTGTAAGTCGGCGTCGCTCATATACTTCCGGTATTGAGGAATGGAGATGTCGTCCGAGCTAATGTGGCGTCCAGCCACTAAGAGTCAATCCTCCGAAAGAAAGTTGCATTGTCGACCTTGATGATCTTCAGGTTGAGCATGGTGAATGGCAGCTACTCTGGAAAGAGACTCGCCGCAGTTGATATTCGTTTGTCGAGGTCATCGGCTCAGACACCTTGGTGTAAGCATAGCAAGCGATGATGCAACATCAACCACCAAGTGATCCTGGGAGACCCCTGATTTATCGACAAAGATTAGAACATGCAACATGGTCTTTGATGCATGGGTGTATCATGATCCATTACTCAATATATGATAACTGAAAGAAGGCCACAAAGCCATTATTAGGCGGCTTGTTTCAGCAGAGAATAGCGCATCATGCCTTCATCTGAATAATCTGGTCAATGCGATTATCTCAACTAGAAGCTCTGCGGCTAGTCTGCAGCGTTTCACGACAAAGCAGTACCTAGGTATTTCCATTCAACAAGGTGATTAGTCAGGGGCAGAAGACGGCACAGCGGTATTGTTACCAGTCTCACCTTGTGGTAAGGACACGGGAGAGACAACGGACAAGAAGGATCTAGAGTGAACGCGCAGGCTCAACGCACAATTCGCCGCGTTCAACAAGAATATCAGTAGCATCAAGGAGTGAAGAGTCCGAATCGTTGTTTTGATTCTCCTGATTCATCACACGATCACGTGTACTGCCAAGCCAACCTCATTACTCGAAGTCGCTTTGCGGTGATTGGCCAGCGACAAAGGGAGCAGCCGATTCTGCGGTCACAACGGCAAGACATTCATCTCTTTCCCAGCTTTTTATTGACACTCCTCCTGAGGTGATACTATTTGAACAGAAGATCACCTAACGGCTTCCGACTCAATGGTCCTCTTCTACTCATCTCTTGCCCTTTCCAGCACTCTCTCACGGCCGTCCGCCGCCCTCCAGTGAGATGCCGAAACGCGAGGCGGATTCCTACATCACAAAGGAGAACGGTATTACTGCGAATACATCTCAGGGTGAAGACAAGCCCAAGATGTCGACCGCAGCTCAGCTTGCAAAGAGAAAGTACGTCAATATCCTTCACTCCCGAGAACCTCATTCCTCGCCGTGCTTGTTGTTGTTTTTGGAAAGTGAATGCCATCGAGCCGGTTCGGCGCGCTGTCCCGGTTCCATGGTTATATTTTCCCTTAGCAAAACAGTCAACTTTACCCTTCCACACCGTTCCGCAATCACTTTAGGGCATTGACATTAACTTGAGGCAGGATCGCTACGCCAAAAGGCAGGCTAGGTGTGAACCGATCTCAACATTCCTTCAACAGCGGCAGCTCACCGAATCCCTTCGGACAGAGCACCCAGCAACAAACCTTCTCTAACACGAACGGTGGCACCACATTTGGCGCGAGCCAATCCTTTCCTCAGCCCGGGCCTGGTACGAATGCCGGCTTCAGCTTCCAACCTCCTTCGTCGAGTTCCTTCACCTTCGGCACCACTTCCTCCACGCCGAATCCTTTTGCTTCGTTGAACGGGACTGGGGAGGCGGCCAACAACGAACAGGATATCTCCATGGAATCACCTCAGAAGAAAGCTGCCCTCGGAAATACCTTTGGGGCAACCAATGCTGAAAGCAATATGAGTTCCGGGTTCAGCTTCGGGCAGCCAGCACAGCAACAATCAGCTGGAACATTTAGCTTTGGCACGAATCAAGAAGCGAAATCTCCTGTGAAAACAAATGGTGATGGTCTCTTTGGTCGAACCTCGAAGCCGGAACAATCGACCGCAACGAGCAATCCATTCGGTCAGTCCTCGCAACCTGCTTTCGGTGGATTTGGTCAAGCGGCACCTGCGCAGCCGCCGAACCAGACATCAGGCTTCAGCTTCGGCCAGAACACACACACCTCGACTGCCCCGACGTCTGCTTCCAGCTTCAGTTTCGGTAGCGAGAGCTCGTCAACCGCTCCAACCCCACTTCCTGCTTTTTCCTTCGGCCAGGGTAGTACTTCGCAACCTGAGGCGCCGAAGTTTAATTCTGCACCGAAGACGACTTCACAGGCCCAGACCAATGGTGCCAGCACTCCAGGTGGTAGTAATATCTTTGGTTCCGGCAACACCGCGAGCAATCAACCTTCTACTACATTCTCATTCGGACAGACTCAACAACCTGAAACTTCCAAGAACCCTTTCGGTGGTCTTGGTACGACTACGAATGAAGGAACAAAGTCAGCTACGACGTCTCTTGGTGGTTCTGCGACCTCCCCTCAACCTGCGGCATCCGAACAGCGCAGCACATCTCCTGAAAAGCCAGCTGCTTCAACCTCTGAGCAAGACTCGCGACCAGCAGCCAACCCATTTGCCAGCCTCTTTGCTGGTTCGGCTAGTGGCTCTCCTGCTCCTATATCAAAACCAGCCTTCAGCTTTGGCACGTCTTCGGCGGCGGCACCTGCAGCAACGCCAGCAGACGCGCCGCAGCCGTCAAAACCGGCCTTCAGCTTCGGTACAACGAGCCAGCCGTCTGCAGCAAGTGCAAGCAATACGAACGCATCCTCTTCAATAATCCAATCGTCGAATCCTAATATCTTTGCCTTTGGCGTAAAGCCAGCACAAGCCGAAAACACTGCTGCGGGGGGAAAGGCTATCGGACTGGAAAAGACACAGAATGAGATTACACCCTCGCCAGCGAAAGCAATGTTCGGTTTTTCGGCGCCTTCCCAACCTGCCTCAAGTGGAGGACTGTTTTCGCCTGCAAAGACATCTGCTGCGCCAACAGAGAAGTCTAAAGAACTGTTTGGGCAGCCATCCGGCGAAGCTGATACGCCTGCGAAGCCAGCCTTTGGCGCATTGTTCAAGCCAGCATCCACAGGCAAGCCAGAGCAAAATGGCTCTTCTTCTCACCTCTTCAGACCTTCGGAGAACACGTCAGAGGCCGACAGGGCTGCTTCAACTGCGACGGCAGAGACCGCTGTTCCGGCTTCCACCTTTGGCAGTGCAACTAGCAACAAGCCTGCCGAAACGCCAAGACCAAGTCTACAAAGAGTCGGCGCTGCGGAGCAAGCTACGCTGTCACAGGGTAAGGACATGGAGTCTACACCGGCATCCGGACAGTCAAAGAGACAAGTCTACACAAAGGCATCATCGCTCATCCCTGGCCATCTTGGTGCCGAGCAATTCCGCGACTTCGATCGTAATTACCGTCTGCACTCTCTGAACCTTGGTCTGCAACGGAAGATTGCGAGTCTCAACCCCCGCACCACCGACTTTGACAATATCATTCGCCATTACGTTGCAGCTCGTGACAGTATTGGAGCTTCATTGGGTTTGTTTAAGCGAAATGTTGCAGGGTCTAAACGCAAGGGTGACGAGGTTGATAACCACGAGACCGAACCTGCTCATAACAAGCGATATCGTTCAGAAACTGCCGCCCAAACTGCGCATTCTCAGTCAACTCCTGCTCCTGCAGCTTCCACCCGCGGCTTCCAACCACAGCAGTCAGCTCCCGTTGCCGACACGACCATGTCTGATGGCGCTATGCGGAACACACCTTCCTCACAGGCAACAACGTTATTCAATAACATGATTCCGAAATCCAGTACGGCTGCTCAAGGAGCACAGCCTTCTTCTGGCTTTCAGCCGAGCTCCAATCCGTTTGCTGGACTTACCGCTGGGTCGAGTGCAACTCCAAAACCATTTGCGTCCATAAGGGGAGGTAATAGTGATGCCGCCCAGCCAACAGCGTCATCGACATTCACACCCGTGCCATCCACGACTCCAACGAAGTCACCGCCGAAGATGCCGACTTTTGAGGTGCCCAAATTCGGAGGTGGTAATACAAACTTCATGGGTGCATTCGGCCAGCAAGCAAAAGCAAATGCAGAGAAATTCGAGAAGGATTTGATTGAGAAGCGCAAAGCAGAGGACTTTGACTCTGACGAAGATGATGAAGAGGCCTTCAACAAACAGCTTGAGGAAGAGGCACGAGCGAAACGAGCCAAAATTGAAGCCATTTCGAAAGGAGGATTTGCTCCCACTTTCAAGCCAACAAGTGGATCAAGTTCTTCAAAGGAAACATCCAAATCTTCGGCTGTGTCTGACGCACCAAAGGATGCTCCGGCCCCCAAATTCTCCTTTGGCAATTCATTCTCTACAACGTCTTCTTCCAACCCATTTGCATCCCTTTCCTCGGCAAGCACCAGCGGCGAGCAATCGCAGGGTAGTAGCGACCAAGCTGAAGAAGCCAGTGAAGATAAAGCTGATGACGACGAGGATGAGGTAGATGATGCGGATGACGATGATCAACAGGAAGACGAAACCTTGGAAGACAATGAGGGAGAAGAGGAGGAGGACGACGACGACGACGATAACGACTTGCAAGCTGCCCTTGACCGAGGACGAAAGACTGCCAGCGCAGGGAAAAGCTTGTTCGACCGCGTCGAGCCAAACCCGAACAACAAGGAAGATGTCACGTCAGTCACCGAGGAGAAGGACGAGACTGAGCAGGACGAAACGCCCATAATGCAGCAGGCGAAGAATTCCTCTTTCCCACCTGCCATTTGGGGCTCCCACATTGGAAAATCCACACCCGAGACTCCTTCATTCTCGCCGTTGACCCCAGCTACTGGTACCTCCAAGTCCTCCTACAAGCCTTCCACCTTCACATTCACCCCGACACCGCCAACCACGTCTTCAACGTCGACCCCTGGTGCTTCGATCTTTGCTGGTGGCTTGACTAGAGATGGACCAGTGCCTGGCGAGGGACTATTTGGGTCTCGCCCAACGACGCCCAGCAATGCAGAGAAACCGAGCAGTCATCTGTCCAAATCAGTTCTTGCCTCACCAGCAGGCACCGATAATACTTGGAAGCAGGGGCAAGCAATCTCATTCGGGAATGGTGACGACAAGAAAGATGCGCCATCCTTCAAGTTCACGGCTCCTTCGCCTGGCGGCACGTCAGAACAGAAGCCATTCGGTTCTCTCTTTGGCACGCCTGCAACCACGTCGAAGCCCGCCGACACTCCGACTCAGCTGGGGTTCCAGTTTGGTGCACCAGCGTCTGCTCCAGCGCCAGGGTTCCTGGGTGCTGTGCCCCACTTGGGAGGTGGTTCAGCTACCAGCTCCGCGGTTTCATCCCGCGCCACTTCACCTGGGCTGACGGACAATGAGTCTGTTGCCACCAACGACACAGACGAAACGAACGATGACCCGCAGACATCGCTAATGGATTCACGAACAGGAGAAGAGAATGAGACTTGCCTATGGGAAGGCCGTTCGAAAGCTCTTATGTTTGTCACTGCAGAGAGTGCAAAAACCAATCCCAAGATGGCCCCTAACGACTGGAACTCTATGGGAGTTGGCCTGATACGCGTCCTCAAAGACAAATCTTCCGGCAAAACTCGCGTCGTGTTCCGAGTCGAGCCAAGCGCATCTATCCTGATCAACTCCCACCTGATCGAGAGCGTCACTTACGAAAACGTCCCTTCGAATAAGAGTGGCGCTGTTAGGGGTGCTCTCTTCTACAAAGGGAACCTCACCCGATGGGTATTCAAGGTCAAAACTCCGGAGATGGGCACTCAACTTTCAAAGGCCTTGGAAGATAACAAAAGTGCTTGATTAATTTGCTAATGTTTTATTCTACAAATGATTCTTTCTCGATTCGAGCGGAGCTGGAGTTTTGGGCGACAAAAGTGGTCCAACCGAACAACATTTCAGCGCAGCAAGGCATTGTACGCTCAAATTGCTGAGTGCAGTACCAGCCTACATATTGCACAGCGAGGAGTTTGGGCTTTGTTTGACAGTTTACGGCATTCTGCTTGCCACCTGTACAGAAGGAAAAGAGGGTTTTTCTTCGTCGTATCTTTACAACATGGTTGGATTGGAGGTTGTCATATGGAGAGGCTTACGATGCATGTGGATTGGTTCAGGTTGTGGGAATGCCAGATTGTACTCTGCTGGTGACGGTTTCGGGATGTCCGCGGGTCAGTCGTCGAAAGGATTTGTCTCCGAGTCCTCTTGTGGGCTATGTTGAGCTGCCTTACGCCAACCGACGCTGTGTTGACTGCCAAATGATCGGGGAATCTTGCCGTGGAGTATGTGGAAACGATGGAAAGCAGCAGGGAAGACGGATTGAGCCGCATGCAGACATGACCAGCAACGGTGGTGATCTCTGGCAAGATTTCACTTGAGATCTTGTCATCGAGCTCCTGTTGGATAGGTCATTGTTTGCTGCAGATCTGGCTCTCCGTACATCACCTTCTGCATTCAGGTCTGCTGCGTAGAAGGGGAACAGCACCACAGTTGACGGTACAAGGCGGAGGATGCTGTGGCAATGATTGTATTAAGGATGCCAGGCTTCGAATGACATTGTGTTGATAGATGACAAAATACACGGAACTTGACTGTGCATACTCCGTACTGCGTTCTTCTTTGCGCGACTATGCTCGCTCGATGATTCAACGAAGGTATACAGGTACATATGGGAAGCATGATTTCATTTTTGATTCGTGAATTGCTTTGGCCAAGTAGATTGTCGCTTCTGATATTGCCAGCATAGCCTAAGTCAGTACGCTCAGCAAATCCGCCCTCGGGTATCTACCAGGTATCTGGCTGTACCCATCCAGGCAATGTTCCTCTGTGCCGGGATTGCCTGCACCATCATGTCTCTTCTCTGGCGGCCGATTCATTGGTACGCCGACCACCCCTTCGATGTTCGAGTATGTGAAAAAAGGTTTTCGCTCATGCTTTTTCGTCCAAGTTCAAAGTTGCGAGATTATGAGTCCTCAACAACGACAGTCTGCAGACCCTTGGCCTCCTTCTCCTTGACGTTGACGGCCTGGACATAGCTGTACAGCTTCTCCTTGGCGCCCTCCTCGTCGTTACGCTTACGGCTGATGCGCACGCGCAGACGGAAGGGGACACCCTTGATGCCGGACTCCCACACCTTCTTGTTCAATTGGGGGTCGAGACGAACATCCTTGGTTCCCTGTTAGGAGCGTTAGCGACTGGCCCTGACACCACTTGCCTCACACCAAATGGTGTGACGAAGGGAGGATGAACATACCATAGAGATGGTCGCAAACTTGCGAATCTCCTTGATGGCGCGGGGCGCTCGCTTCTTGAAAGAAACACCGTGGATCTTTAAATGTATATATCAGTCTTCCGTCCAAAATGCTTAGAATCAAAAAGGGATAAGCCATTCGGGTGGACTTCATAAAACTGATTTCCATCTCTTCCTTGGGTTGTGTTTTTCCCGTTTCTTCGGGACCAGGATACTGGGTGACTCAAGAGGCTAGACATACTCGTTTGTGGAGGTGAATGGTGTACTCGCGGGCGACGACATCGGAGATGGCAGAGCGCGACTTCTTGGGAGCCGGCGTCGTCTTCTTGGGCTGAGTCTTGGGGTTGTCTTTGACCATTTTGGCGGTTCTGTCTTGGAGTCAGCAAATTTTGTTCTTCGCATTCGATGTCGAGTTGATCGGGGGTTTGACGGGTTGTATACGTACTTGCGAGAAGAACAGCGACAAAAAGAGGGAAAGTGACGAGGTTGAAGAGACTGCGACTGAGAACGAGGTCGGATTGAATGAAGCACTTTGCGCAGACGGAGAACGAATTCGAGATGTGGGCTAGACCGAAAATGGAAGGTCACGCCAAGATTTTGCATCCAATCACGTGACTGGAATTCGTCGCGATTTTTGAGGAAGAGAAGTGATAGATGGTGTTCATTTAATCTACCAGATGTTGGTATGGCATAATGTCCTCTTCGTTCATGTATGGGCCTCTAAAGCCTGACTCTCGTTCACTATCCAGACTCATCTTCAAAACGTACTTTTCCAGCACTAACGTCAGGGTAGACGTCAAACCTTCTCTGTGTATAGATAGGAATGCCTTTCCTTGTCTCCTCAATCTTTTCTCCATCAATATCCGCATATACAATGTCCTCATGCTCTTCGGCCTCAGTCAAAACATCGGCATTCGGATTGACAATCATCGAATGTCCGTAGGCATGATAGGTTGCTTCCGTGTCTCGAGCAGGACTGCACATAGCCACGTAAAACTGATTGTCCATGGCTCTAGCCCTCGCTTGTAGTGACCAGTGCATAGGACCAGTTGTAGTGTTGAAGGCTCCCGGATAGACAAACATGAAGGCGTCCTTCCTGGCGGCGATCATGGCAAGCTCCGGGAAACGGACATCGTAGCAGATGGCAAGACCGATCTTACCATATTCTGGTAAATCCACAATAGTCACCTTGTTTCCTGGAGACAGCACATCGCTCTCCTTGAACTTGATCTTGCCAGGTATATCGATGTCAAACAGGTGCGTCTTGCGATGCGTTGCCAGTAACTTGCCCGTAGGCGAAAACACCAGTGAGGTATTAAAGTATTCTTTCGTTTCTGGTACAAATTCAGGTATGCTTCCACCAATCAAATATGTCTTTGTTTCTGCTGCCACTGAGGACAGCATATGCCACGAAGGCGACTTTTCTTCGGATGGAGGTGACGGAAGAATGGTCTCTGCATATTTGGGAAAGTATTGACAGCCGTACGGAGAGTTGAAGCATTCGGGGAGCACGATCATAGAGGCTCCAGCCTTCGCTGCCTCAATCACTTTCGACCGGGCATGGGCGAGGTTTGCTGTCTTGTCACCTCCTGCAAGCACGATCAGTTCCTGGCAGGTTCATGGCTTGGTTGTGGAACTCACCACTTACCTGACGCAAGCTGGATAAGTGCGAGCTTGAAAGGCTTTTTGAGTAGACCTGCCATAGTGAATCTTTGCAAACGTGATGGAAGTACTCAAAGCTATAAGCGAGCGCAGAGAAAGTTGGTGGTTGTTGTCCTGAATATATCGTCGACGCTCCAAGGAAGCGGGATGTCAAAAGTCCAAAGTCCGACGTGACGGGGATCTGCTCCGACAAGCGGAGTGCCGTAACGGCGTAGATTTTGCCGTTTGATAACGACCTCTCCTCCTCACCTGCGTCACCAGATTCCTTTCATTCCTCTTAGCCCATCTGATCATGCTCTGGTGCAAACAGTCCGCCTCAACGGTCTGATGCTGTTCGACTTGCATATCGACCATGATGGCGCTGGTGAGTGGGTGCTGCTTTGAAAACAGAAAGTGCGGTATGCAGGAGGCTGACTTCCACATGCATGAGGCCGTGTCAAGCATTAGCAATTAGATGGAGTGAAACGCTCCAACAAAGAGCATTATGCGTCCGAAATCCTCTATACTGAAGGATGTCCAGCTTGAATGCTATGGGGTTCATCAGTCGAGCTGATCAATGGTAAGGCTGGATCAGAAATAAATGAAGGCTTTTCGAATGGTCAATAGTGGTGCTTTTCGCGACTATGCACTCGTCAATTTGGCACTTGAGATATGACCAACCTGTATTCATTCTCGATGATGTTGTTCGTCGTCTCTCAGAGGCACTTGCCTTTTGAACGGGTTCCTGCTGCACTGGGTTGGTTTCTTGAATCAAACGTGACAAACACCTGGACTGCGACTACCTTCATCATATTAACCACCATTGCCTCTCTTCTCTTCTTCACCGTTTATTCCTCACCTCGTTGCTCATTTCCCAGACTCGGATCAAACGCAACCTTGCAACGAATTGTGAACCTTCTCTAAATCAATATACCCTTTCTCCTCTTGCTGATACTCACCAGATCACACGAACATCGTTGCCAGATCACCAAGCGAAATCCATCATGTCTGAAGTCATCCCCCCCACCAAGACCGAGACCGAGACCAAGTCTCACGAGTCTCCCGCTCAGGTCAACAAGACTGAAGCTGTTGCTACGATCCAGAACCCCATCAAGACTACCGATCCTTCGTCAGTCAGTGGTGAGGGCGTGACTCTTTCCTCACCATCAGCTCCAGCCCACATCAAGCAAGATGACCACGTCACTTCTGCTGTAGACGGCTTTGATGCCACTACTCCAGCAAGAGTCAGAATCCCTCCAAAGTTCAGTGAGGATGTCGAGAAAGAGATTCGAACCATGATGAACAACGCCCGAAGCGTCAAAGACCACAACATGTTCAAGACAGACGAAGATGTCGTCAAGCTGGCCACCTTCACCACAAACTTGATCCAGCTCATGAACGCCGAATACACCGTGGGTCCCAACATATCCTGATCTGCTTGATTCGAACTAATTCTTATGATTCTGCAGGCCAAGGATGTCATTGTTCGAGCCGTTGCTTACATGCAAGGAGAAAGCCACCTCTCACCCTACCGTGCACTCAGCCAAGCTCAGAGAGACCGCAAAGCAGCTCGCCGTAATACCAACAGTGGCCAAGGACCCCGAGCTCTTGTGGACCGCGGAAGCAAGCCACGAACCATCAGCGACGCTGCCAAATTGCCCCTTGATGATGTCAAGAATGAGTCTGCAATTGTGGATGGACACCACTCGTCTGACGTTGATACTACCAAGGCTATTGCATCTCCTTCCAATGCAAGCTCCAACGCAGAATCGACCGGCAATGGCAACGGCTCTGACAAGGAGAATGTAACTGGTAAGGGCTCTGGCTCACATGCAGACAAGCCTAAGAAGAAGGGTTACTGGAAGGCTCGTCGTGAGGCACGCAAGAAGCATGGTGAGGCTAATGGACACAAGGATGGTCAAGATCAGCCATCTGGAGCAGACAATAGAATGACTGCCGCAAAGGATCATACTGGCGAGACTGGCAATGACAAGGCTACTGAGCAAACTTCAGGAACAGCTCATCAGGAAATTCATGGAGGTGGTGTCGCCGTTCAGGCATGATTGTGGTTGTCACTGACGGCAACCATACTGAGTGTCTGCTGGGAATGCAAATCATGGCTATGGAAGATCACTGAAACATAAAGCGAAAGAAGAGTGATCCGTCATGTTAGACTTGGTAGTTACATAGATCCGACGATCCGTAGGCAGCAGCCTGCGCATATGAGCTGAGAGGAATGTGTGTGCGAGGCAATATCATGCAATAGACTCTGCTGTTTGAGCTGCCTTCATTGGTGTTCCTTCCTTCACGGTGTCTTTCCACGAGCATTCCTCATGACTTCTGTGGTTTGGTGTTTCATGACTGTTCAACCGTGCCGTGAGGATCAACGCATGACGAATGTTTGAGTCCACCCTGCTACAGCTGTCTCAGCTCCTGCGCCTGTTCCTGCACCACTGTCATCCTTGCTGGAACCTTCAGGTTCTTTAGCTTCCCGTCTGGCCATCGCCTTCTGTCTTTTCGCAGCTTTCTTTCCACGTGGCGCTATCTTTGGTCGTTCTTGAGCAATGCGATGACAAAGCTGACAGCCCTGCGAGGGATTCGTGATTTGTCTCATTGGGAACCACTCGTACGTGCCAGCCACTTGAGATTCGCCGGCTGTTTCATCGTCCTCGTCCTCAAAAGCAGGGTGCCACTCTTGCAGAGGGTTTTCGAGGTCTTCGAGCTGGATATGACGGTACTGACGGTTTTCGAGTGTTGTTTCTCCCGTACCAGCAAGTCTCAGGTCGTTTTCCAGACTCTCCAGCGCTTCAACCTGGTCGCACCAGGATTTGTCGTCCTTCTCAACGTGTAGATGCAGCTCCACCTTGAGCTCATCTTCGGTCCCGTCCTCCACATTCCTTGCGTACCATCGAGAAAAGTCCAGACTCTCGTTCCAGTGCACGGTCACCCATCTGGTATGCTGTAGGGCGTGTTTGCCCGTGGAGGTCTCCTGAAGGAGAAAGACAGCAGGGAAGAGGGTTTGTCCACGGAGGACTGGTGGTTCGAAAGAGAGGTCGACATCACCGATGCCGAGGAATGGTGCCACGTTGCCAATGGCCACCAACAAGCTCTTTACGCTCCCCACATCGAGAGCTGGTATCACGACCGGCTCGATCGCCGTCGTGTTCTCAAAGACAACACGGGCCAGGACAGTCTTCTCGCACGCATCAGCGTGCTTCCGCTTCTTGCCAGCGGAGTTCATCATCGTCGTCATCGTTGTTGTTGTCTGGATGTAAAACGGAAGTGAGTAGAAGACAACACGCGAGTCAAACCCCGAAATTTCAAAACAACAACACCGCCCGCCATCTCTTCTACCGCACCTACTCTTCACTTACAAGCACGGCATCCACCTGAGCCAACGACGGTGTTCAGCAGGCGTGCGCCTGAACCACAGAGCCCTGTAAGCTAGGAGATGAGCACATGGTATCCGCCCTTTCCACCTCATTGCGGTCTATCCGATGTCAATACCGTCCTCCGGCAGGGTATCCTACATTAGTTCATTGCTTTGTTGCGGCGGCATCCCTGGCCTCACCGTTATAGAACTCTGGTCACAGGCACGACACCACCGGCGGCCTCATAGAGCCAATCCAACAGGTGTGACAGCTTCACCTTCATATATTGAAGTCGATGAAAACTGCTAAAAATACCACCACACGGTATCAATAGCAGTGCATGTAACCTAAGGCTCCGTGACGATGTAGTTTACTGGTTATTGCCTTCCTCGACTAGGCTTCTCGACAACCGGTGCATATGCTATGCACTTCCGGTAGGTCTTAGGACTTCGCTGCTGTTGATACCGACTCTTCTCAAGGGGTTTCTCTCCTTGCGAAGGTGTTAGTTGGTTCGATTCCAACCTTGTATTCCCACTCACATATTCTAAGGGGTTTTCTCTCCTTGTGAAGGTGTTAGTTGGTTCGATTCCAACCCTGTATTCCCACTCACATGTTCTAAGGAGTTCTTCTCCTATGAAGGTGTTCGCTGGTTCGATTCCAGCCTTGCCTGTAGGGGTTCTTGTCCTAGTGAAAGATCCCCAAGTGAGGGCATCGGTTCGAATCCGGTTGTTTTTTTTCTTGCTGCACAGACTTTTTTTGAGTCTGGAAAGGCATTTTACTGTTTAGTGGGGACGATAGTGTGCGTGACTATCGTGAGGTGCGGCAGTATCAATGAAGCCAGGTTCTCTACCCTTGGCAGTCAATTACACTTCACTTGGCTGCCTCGGGTTGTCGGATCGCGAAACAATGTTTTCAGCAGTCAGTAAATCACTGACTCTTCTTCGCTGGTACAGTATCCCTGTCAACTCGCTCGATTGACGGCATGGACGTGAACAAAGAAGGCCAAACCAGTTCCACCTCATCCTGCCTATTATCAAGACAATACCGAAGCCATATACTCCAGGTCAGGTTGAAGTATTGAGCAATTCCAGTGAAGACGTGCCTGTGAAGCCGCGTCAGTAGAGAATGCTGATTTCAACGGCCGGCAATACATACCACCAACCATGACCCTCAAGCAATATGCCCCAAGGCAGACCCATGGACCGACGCCAAGTCCGCAGATGAGAACAAAATGCGGTGTCCAGATTCCAAATCAAGAACCCAAGACCGACCGAGCCCAACCCAACCGGGATCATCTGACACCACATAGTGTTCAAGATCTCCTGGTCGCGCCGTTCTCGCCTGACGCGCTCGACTTCGCTTGTTGCGCTCGCCGGTGCACGTTTGGCTGTTCGTGACGGACGAAGACTCATCTCCATGGAGTATATGCTTCGCAAAAGGACGGTTGTGGTGATCAAGGCAAATGCGTTCTGGTGGAACAGCGGATCCTTGATGTACAGGTAATACCCTGTAACGAACACGGCGATACCCGTTGCGAAGAGACCGACAAGTACGCGAGTCTGCGTGGCCTTGCCGTGCGCGAAAATGGCGAAGAACATGATGCAGGTGGTGTATATCATTGAGAGCTCGTCGAGAAGTTGCATGCTGTATTTCAATGTGGTATGGAAGAAGAAACTCCCCAGGCCGATGACGAGGTAACTGATAAACCCGAGCAAGAATACTGGATCGTGGCCATTGCGGATACAATTATTGATGCCTTTGTACGCTAGGTACACGAAGACTAGATTCGTGAGCGCATTCACGATCTCGGCGGAGTATGTTGTTAAGTAATAGTCCTCTTCGCACCAGTTCAGCGTGGCTGTGACGGGACCCCAGTATGGCGGATATGGGGTCGGATATGGGATGTATGGGAGTGAGAAGGGCATTGTGGGCGATGTTGGGGATAGCGACAGTCGTTGTACATGCCCATCAGCGCGGTCAAGCTACCGTCTGGAGCTTACGAAGCTTCATCGAGAGAAGAGACGTTTGTTATTTCGTGGAATGATGGATCCACCTGTATTATGTAAGGGCTTGGCAGGCATGTGTGTCCTCTCAATCTCAGCCTCGTCGGGCTAGCCTTGCATCAGGAACATCTGGTGGTTGACCTCGTTGAAAGGACAAAGCATAAGGACTGGACATGTTGACGAAGCACCCACCAACTGACAGCAAGACGGGAGGACAGTCTGGAGCACTCATGAAGCGGAAGCGATTGTGTGAAAGTGACAAGGCTGAAAGTGTGAACTGGCTAATCAGTAATACCAGGTAGTCTCGCCTGCCTATGAAAAGCTCATTGGTGACATATTTGCTATGGAAGCATTCTCAGCCCGTACCAATTCCAGCCATCATGTTTTTTCACCGGCCGTGCAACCTGTAGTGCGGCATTTCTTCAGATGATCTCATCCGAATCGGTATGTGTGTGCTTGCCTGGGTCTGTTGGTTCACATGTTGTTCAACTTCTCCTCAGCAGCCTTCTTGGCCTCCTCGCTGACGTTGGGGTTGTTCATTGCCCTATTCATTGTTAATTAGCTTGTCTCCTAGCCCAAAGTGTTGTGTGCATTCTTACGCCTTGTATCCGCGAGCTCGATTCTTGGGGTCAACCCCATCGTCAGTGCTGCCGGTGGTGTCTTCGCCGCCCAACTCGTTAGCCAGAACTTCTTGAGCATGCTGCTTGGCTTCGTCGGAGACGTTGGGATTGGTGAGAGTCCTAGGCAATGTCAGATGATCAAGTCTTGTGAGGTAAGATAGATTCCTGCGTACGACTTGTAGCCTCGAATTTGGTTCTTCGGGTCAGGTCCCTCGGCGCTGCTGAGCTTGGCACCTGCGTCCTTCAGCTCGTTGTCGAGAACGTATTGAGCATGTTGCTTGGCTTCGTCGGAGACGTTTGGGTTGGAGATAGCCCTGTTGAGAAGTCAGAATTCAATAGCCTTGTGAGCATGAAGATTCTTGCGTACGCCTTGAATCCTCTAGCCTTGTTGGACGCTTCCTCTGGAGAGAGGGTTTGGTAGGTGTCGGACATTTTGCTGTTGAGGAGTTCAAGTGATGATCGAGAGTTGGTGGAATTGCTGTGATGTTGTGATTTTTGTGTGTGGTTGGTAAGAAAGATTGTTTGTTTGATCGGCTTGCGAAAGGGTTAATATGCAGTGGGCAGGTCACATGCAAATAGTGATTCGCGAAGGCGGTGAAGGGCTTGGTGATACTAGGCAGGTATTCTTCACTTCAGTCCTGCTTCATCGCACTCACTACTCACCAGCAAACTGCTCAAGGTTACACAGATCATCAGATCCTACCTGCGACATCCCAAACTAAGGAAGGCTTGTGGGGCTTCCAAGTTCCCACCAAGCAGGACTAGTAACCGGTATGTACCTGACCCAGACCCTATAGCCAGGACTCTAAAGGCTCGACGATCATGCAGATGAAGCTGAGACTGAAGTCAAAGTGATACGGAGGATGCCGGACTCCGCATCTCGGATGAGGCTTCCGATCATCCTGGAGAAGTTTGGCGGAATGCGTGCCAGATCCTCAATCCGCATCTTTACTATAGTTTGTAGGTAGTGGTTTAAGGCATCAACAGCGATAAACCACCTGACTTGTGGTCCTTGTGATGATTATATGGGTTGACAGTCTGCCTTCGCCGGCCATGATTCCCGGAGCGGTTCGTCCGAGGGAAATATTCCCCGTAGTGATAGCATATTCACGTCATGAACCTTGACCCTCTTCCCACTACGAGCGTGAGAGTCTATATCTACTTGCACACACCTTTGACTCTTGAAAGTGGCACAGCCTTGGAAAGGAGGATCAAGAACACAATCCGATCAACCATAGCCATGTCTGCAAACGGCGGTGAAGGCGGGGAGTTCAAGCCGATCAAGGAGAAGCAAATGCAGGACCTGCCAGGGTATGTCTCTTCCGTGGCGGTAGATTCTGTAGAGGTCGACTGACGGTCTTGTCCAGGACTGAGGAGTCGATGAAGCCGACCAGCGAGTCCACGAAACTCGAAGGTTCAGAAGGTTTCGTTGAATATGCCGCAGCTGGCAAGCTGAAGGGCAAGAAGGCTTTGATCACTGGAGGAGAGTATGGATAAATGCTGTCATCACTGAAGATGTCTTACTGACCAGCTTTCGTAGTTCTGGTATCGGCCGTGCAGTCGCCATTCTTTTCGCGCGGGAAGGTGCCGACGTGTCTATCGTGTACCTGCCAGAGGAGCAAAAGGACGCCGAAGGAACCAAGAAGGCCGTCGAGAAAGAGGGCAAGGAGTGTCTCCTCATCCCTGGCAACTTGATGGACATCAACACCTGCAAGGACGCAGTTCAGAAGCATATGGACAAGTGGGTGCAACCGCCCTTGTCGTTTTCGATTCCTCTAACCTATGCTGAATCAAGGTTCGGGCAACTCAATATCCTCGTCAACAACGCATCGAAGCAGATGATGTGCCAGGACTTCGCAGAGATCGATCTGGAAAATGTGGAGAGCACTTTCCGGAGCAACATTCTTCAGATGTTCGCTGTGACCAAGTTCGCCCTCCCGCATCTGAAGAAGGGCTCGTCGTATGTGTTGTGCCCTAGCATATCAACGACATCGCTAACTTACCAGGATCATTAACACCACATCCACTGTGGCTTTCCGTGGCTCTGCCGCCATGGTCGATTATTCTTCGTCCAAGGGAGCCATCGTCTCTTTCACACGGGCGCTGGCGAAGAATCTTACTCCAAAGGGCATCCGAGTCAATGCTGTCGCGCCAGGCCCTGTGCATACGCCACTTCAGCCGGCTTCCAGGCCTGCCGAACAGATGGAAGGGTTTGGTGAAAATTCGCAGATAGGCAGACCAGGTCAACCCAGCGAGATTGCGCCGAGTTTTGTCTTCTTGGCTTCGAAGGATAGTGAGCTGTACTATGGTCAAATTCTGATGGCACATCCGCTGGGAGATTGATTGGTTCGCAGCGGGCAAAGCTAGTTCGTCGCATGAGGTTTCCGACAAAGTCGATAGAGGAAGTCATGGCCACATGCCAGGTGCAACTTCATCGGATTGCCTTTACTTGGTCATGAAGTACTGAATGTCTCCATGGGCATATGCCGCACCAGCGGAACTGCGAAAGGCGATATCTCCGAGAACATAGCGATACCGCATGCTGAGACCTAGGAAGAGGGAGTAAGATAAATGGTTTGCATGCTGCATTGATTCATATAGAGGCAACACGCTCGATCGTTGCGTCGCATTGGTTGTAGCGAATACGAGCTTTTCTCTGAAGGAAAACGTCCCAATCAGGAAATCGTAACAAGGATGTCGGTACTTTTGGTCTGGGAGCGAGTCGTCGACCAATGCTTCAGGTGCATGCTCGTTGCGTGACTACTCGATCTGTCATTGACGTTGATCAGTCATTGGCATCGGCAAGGTCGAGAGGAGCATTGTGGTCGAGCCCCGTCCATTTATTGGTGTGTTGCATGTTCAGGCATTGATCGGGTACCCTCGAGCTCTGTACTCAAGTGCGCTCGTGTCGGCGCATCTGGACGCCCGGACAGCCAGTCGCACGCTTGTTTCCAGAACCGCCGACAGCCTTCTCCATGGCCATGTACGAACGGGATGAACCGTTTAGAGATCTCTTGGACACCTTCCCAACTGGCTTTCGTGGCTGGAACGGCACTACCCCCAAGCTGTTCAGCAAACCACCATTGAAGAGATCTTCCACGAGAAGTCAAGCCGCCAAGCACAGTAGCCCATAGCATCAGGTCAGGCTGCGTGTGCCAATACCCTAGCTTATCGCACTCGTCAATGGCCAGCATCAACTGCCGGGATGCATTTTCATGATAAGGAAGGATTGCAGGCAACAGCTCTAGAGACTCAATCAGATGAACTAGCACTCCCAAGCGACATATGGTGTACAATGGATCGCTATTCGTTTCCGTTGAGAGCGCTTGGTATTGCGCAACCCGTCTGGCGGCAATCACATTCCACAAGTCCACTCCACAGCCTGGATCCTGAAGGAACATATCATAGTTCTCGATAACGTCATTGGTCTTCTCCATTATCTTTAGTAGTGTTCGACCATGCGCTTTGTTCCGCAAGAATTGAAATCCTGGAGGGCTTCGAGTGATCGACTGGCTTCTGCGGAGACTTTTGAATATGAAAGTCGGTGAGACGAATATAGGAAAATTTGGTTTTCTCAGGGTTGAAAAGCATTCGACGGTATCAATTCTGGTCGGGTAAGCGGTCGTCTCATGTAAAGGAGAGCACCTTACATAAAGACCATTGCTGCCACGCTTGGTATCGCGATATATCGTGGCCCACCCTTCATCTTGGTGAGGGATATCAATGCGCTGAAATGGGAAGGTTCCCAAGGCTTGGTGAAGTAAAAATCGTTGTCCCTGTAATGTTCCTTGTCGGTCTTCGCTGGATCGAGGTGGTAGGATGGTGGGCCATGCATGGTGAGAAGAGCAACAGCGAGCAACAAATCATCGGTTGGTTGGCCATTCAAGTGTTCCACCGCTTCGCGTACATGTTTCAATGTCTCGTGATATGACTGAATCCGGACCAGATTAATCGAGGAATCTCTCGGACCAAGGAAAAACCTATACGATGAGCCAGCGTAGATGATGGCCTGGAGTAAATACGGCTTGTCCATGGCACACCTCATCGTGGTCAACTTCCATCGCTCCACGACTGCCGCCTCGCAGGATACCGAGTACGTAAACCATTGATGGGTTATGGCTGTCCAATTAGTCCAAGTTCCACCCAGTGCCTGCGACTGGCTCACCGAACTGTAGCATCATCTGGGCACAGGAAGAGATTTCCCGAACGCAGCACGCATCGAATGGATCTATGCTATCCGCACATGGAGATGCACGTAGGACGACTGCTGTACTCTCGTCTTCGGTAGCTACTGCTCCCCGCCCAGATCTGACACCATCGGTTGCCTTGGTTGGAGACCTCCTGTCAATCGAGGGTCGTGGTACTCGTACCTTAGCCTTGTCGTCCTGCGACAATTTCGCGTTGATTTTTCTCCTTCGATGAGTGAAGATTGCAGCATGTTGATGCCGACGAAAGCGTTGCTCGTATTGCTCTTCTTCTGACTGCTTCGCAGGAGCCCAGGAAAGGAACGTTATGGTGGGGCTGCTGCCAGATTCCATGGTAGAGAAATTCGTGAATTTGAGAAAGGAGGGAAATGGCAGACTGAAAGGGACAGATACCCGTATCTTTTGCATCTGGGAAAATCATCAAGACATGCCGCAACTTCGCTTGGCCTAACCCAGATCCAATTGAGGACCCGAGCTTGGGAGTCGAAATCGGCAGATCTGAAGCTGGAAACAATGTGGCTGCCTTTCCAAGCTCCCTAAGAATGACAATCAAGCTACAGGTTGCGCGCCTAGTCGTAATCTTGTAGGGCTGACAGGGGTGAGTAACTTCTGTTGTTGAGGCCTGCATCACAAGCCAACCATTCTTGTGCAAGTTCCATCTCGATTAAGCAAGCGATGGGAAGCCAGAATCCTGTTGTGCAGAAGTCCCTGAGCATTGGTAACCGGACTCGCTAATCGTCTCGTATCCACGTCTCGGCAACCCTTGGCATCCACTGTACCGACATCTTCATCCTTGCAAGCTGGCGCTCCGAACTTTTGCAGACATGCATAGATAGTAGTCTCCTCTGTAACGGACAAGTGTCAGTCGCAGTCGCGGGACTTCAACTTAGACGGCAAGCAAGAAAACGTCGACGCATAGCACTGCCAACCCTACACTTGTGCATTTAGTCGATATTAGCAACCCCAAGTAAGTTGCCATATCCATCTCTGGTTCCACTAGGAAGCGCTTCCGCATACTCCGTCACGCATTGACGTGTCAAGCTAAAGATGATCCCCTCTCTTCTAACGCAGTCTTGTCGGTGCACCACAGCTGAGCCAATTCCGAGAGATGACGAGAGAGGCTGGTCCCGTTCGAGGCAGAACAATCTTCAGCAGTGTCAAAATCGAATGCGGCTGACGTGAAAGAACGGCGTGAATCGATTTCATGCTGTTTCTTGCACTTTACCGTCACGAGTACATGCAAGTGCCGATTTGTCAGGACTGGGACGGGAGGTGTCAAAAACTTCTGCCACGATGCGTCCCTGACATCTCGTTCAAGTGTCATCGTTGGTGGTTTACTGAAATGGCGTTAACTGCCCACAGCACTTCTCGGTATTCCAAGTGGGAATCGACGCTTCCATGTCGGTTTGGTGGTTGTACTTAGGAGACCGCAATGAAAGCGTTTCCAGATCTTGCAAGGTTTCAGCTAATCCAAGTCCAGGGTCCTCAAATACCTCTGCCATCGATGATACTAGTGCTTTGACGATGATGACTTGCATAGTCCAAGCCGTCGGTTGCCAGAATCCCTGAAAAGGCGATTAAGAAATTTCTGAAAGCACTGATACTATACAATCCGGTGGCACAGTGCGAATACTCGCCTGTGTACAGACCTAGACAAGCATGCGAGTCTTGTTGCCATTGGTGACCCTGTCGCTTACACTGACAAAAGCGCGTTGGATGGCAGACGCGTATTAGTGCATCCCTGACATGAAAGCACCGGTTCAAGGCAACACTCTTGTCGTGCTTTTCAGGAAAGGTCAAGGTCATACAATCCCTAGGTTACTCCATGAAGCATTTGTGCAGCAGATGAGCGATCAGCCCACAAGTACACTCCGAGTCGATGGAAATGACCTGTTGATATCGATGCAATGAACATACAGGAAAGATGGACGAGTCTTGACCAATTATTGGGGAAACAAAGGGTTCTCCGCTAGTACTGATCCAGGCAGTCTACGCGACGTAGAATTGTACCTTTAGGCATCTTCCGCCTAACCTAAGCTTCCTTGGCTAGTGCTCCAGATAAAACCTTCAAGCACTCAACTCTAAGACTTCGCCTTTAACAAGTTGGTAAGTTTTTCTCTGCGGAGGCATGAACCAGGTGGAGACTAGTTGACCACTGGTTCTAAAATGGCGACCAGGGTGTGATTGAGCACGCAATCCTCCGAGTACCAAAATCATACATAAGCTGGAGGGGTCATGGTCGACCATCCACCTCGCTCCTTCGATGAGCATGTCACAGACGAAGAAACTCCCCTCATCATGGCAGACCCGTCCGGTGCAGATCCAAAACACGTACGGAGTGATGCAGTGGCTGCTACCTTCGCGGGATCCAATACGCGTCCGGTCTCATCCAGCCTCGATGAGAGCGACTTTGTGACGGCCAGGGAGGATCAAGATCTTCGGAGAGGTCTGCATCAGCGACATATCGGTCTTATCGCCATCGCAGGAGCTATAGGTACAGGACTCTTCCTAGGCCTAGGAGGTTCGATACAGACTGCGGGGCCGCTTGGCGCATTACTTGGGTATGCCACCGTCGGTCTCATTGTCTGCGCAGTGCAATTCGCATTAGGCGAGGTGACAGCGCTATTCCCCGTTACTGGAAGTTTCGTGCGACATGCTGAGGTCCTCGTCGACCCAGCCCTGGGGTTTGCGATAGGGTAAGTTGCATCGCTCCGTATGTGCCCCCGAGGTCTTACTGACTCTTCTTGAAGCTACAATTTGGTATACGGCAATTGCTTGTCCATTCCAACAGAAATCACTGCGATATGCGTTCTCTTTCAGTATTGGACGGACCTCAACTCCTCGCTTTGGATCATGATTTTCATCGTCTTGACTGTCATTGTTGGGCTATCATTCATCGGAATCTACGGCGAAGTTGAATTCTGGTTCGCACTACTCAAGATTGTCTTCATAATTTTCCTGGTCCTCCTCGGTCTGGTCATCGACCTGGGTGGGGTCCCTGGCACATCCCGAATTGGCTTCAGGTATTGGAAAGATCCAGGACCCTTCGTGGAGTACATTGCAAGTGGTAGCTGGGGGCGGTTCCTGGCTTACTGGGCGGTGATGAGCAATGCAGTCTTCAGCTTCGCTGGTGTCGAAAGCATTGCCATGGCTGCAGCTGAGACTCGAAACCCAAGAGTTGCCATACCGAATGCGTGCAAAAGGGTGTTCGTCCGAGTGGCAACATTCTACATCCTCGCCGTCCTCATTGTGGGCATGCTCGTTCCCAGTGACGACCCTCGGCTTAATGATGAATCAGGAACAGCAGCACAGAGTCCGTTCGTCATTGCGGCGAGTGCAGCCGGACTCCGCGGTGTGCCATCAGTTGTCAACGCCATTGTCATTACATCAGCTTGGTCATCCTCAAATCAGGCCTTACTTTCCGGCACACGAGTTCTGTACGGCCTCGCATTGAAGAAGCAAGCGCCTGCCATATTTCTGAAGACGACTCCATGGGGTGCGCCGTACGTTTGCGTTCTCTTCTTCGCAGCGTTCATGTTTCTTTCATTTATGAGCCTGTCAGACGGCGCATTGACAGTCTTTTGGTGGCTGGTCGACCTTACCGCTTGTGGCGTTCTGATATCTTGGATCACGGTTCTATTGAATCATTGGAGGCTCATACGTGCAATGAAGAAACAAGGACTGTCTTTGTCACGACTTCCGTGGCATAGCAGATTTACTGGTGCGTAATTATCCAGGCCTTACTGGCATGTGCTAACAACAGCGGGCAATAGAATACTCGACTCCAGCGGCACTGATCATGTGCGTTATCATCCTCTTCACAGCAGGATTTCCCGTTTTCACCAAAGGCAACTGGTCCGCCAGTAGCTTCGTTTCGTCCTACTTGTAAGTTTGAATTGCACCCTCATCGACAGCGACCTTTTCCTGACATTCATCCGCCACAGAGATATCCCTCTTGTCATCACGGCCTATGTGGCGTGGAAGGTGTACAAACGGACCAGCGTCGTCAACTTGTCGGAGATACCACTGGAAGAGGCTCTGGAGCGTGCAGTCGGTGACGTGGAGATTGAGAAAGAACGTCCTCCCTGGAGAAAGCTGGTCGGCTTTCTCTGGGACTAGACGATACGACGGTCAACTTCAATCATATTGGAGTGTTCTTGGCATCCGCACCTCGACGAGGGTTCGAGTCAATTTTTCTATGGAAACATAGGGTGGTGAAGTGCCGGGCGCCTGAACCTATCGAAGCGTCAATGCCAAGTCCGAGACAACGACCTGATCATGGCTGCGGCATTACAGCGGCGATCGCTAACAGCAGAAACGAGAGACAAGCGCACACCAGCCAGTGCTTCGTTTCCCAAACAATCAGCAAGCAGCAAGTGTGCTCAACATTGCAACGGCACATTGACTACCCGTCCGAGCCAGCAACGATCTGCTGATGTATGTTTTCTCCCCGCAAGTAGTTCACCTACTGCAAAAACAGAGTCTCGCACCCACGAACAGTGTTGCCAACCCCACGATATGTCAGTCAAACCATATCAGCCGGATAGATTTGGGACATTTGCCAGAGGTCGAAGGCGAGGTGAATGCGGAGATCTGTCCGTTGACGTGGCACAGACAGATGGGAACTGGCTGCATCTCGTGGCACGGTGTAGATGGCGTTGGGTTCGAAGCCGTCTGCTCGAGTTTCAAGTGAGGGTAACGACGATTGACGGGACTCTGGCATCCCCGTCACGACCTGGGTCGTAGGAACCATTGGAACGAGCTCATACGGCAGCGCTGCTTGCCTCGTGGTCGAGGTCGGAGACAGACGTTCTCGGTCCTCCGAATATGGATGGAGAGCAGGTTGATCTCGTTGCGATCGCCGTCGACGTATGGCTTGGCATACTAGGAGCGCTGAGGGTGGCAGAGTGACAATGACGCCAATGATAGCAATGATGGAGTCTGAAGAAAGAGGCATGTTTTCTTGCAAGGAGGTGCGGAATATAAAGGTTTGGTCAACGTAACCATCCACGGTGCGCAGTCTCGACAAGGAGAGAAGAAAAATGTGAGCGTGATGGGATTGACCAATGCTCCCAGAGCTGATAGGTGAGGTCTGACTGATCGATTGGGTCAGGGACTTTGCATAGGGCACTCAATCAGGCTTGGATAGTATGATAACGAACATTGGATTTCTCATGACAACAGAATTTTAAGACACATTGTACTGCTAACGACAATAGTATAAAGTCGAGAGGACGCAGAGAGGAATGAGAATTGGGTATAAGGGATATGGATGGCCTCTTGGAAGGTGTTTCCACGCCCAGATCCCAAATAAGTAAACCTACAGGGGTCGTAACGACTGCGCCTTAATCTTTGGCGTAGGGGATTGTCAACCACTAGTTACTACCTCGATTGGGTTTTGAGGTTGGGCATGCAGGCATGGCATCATATTGGCATGCCGGGCCGTTGTCATGGCTTGAAGGGTGGAACCAATCATAGTAGCGCTCCTACAGATCCATCTCATTTGAAGCACGCTGGCTGTCGTTCTACAGGGACCCAAACTTCTAGAACTTCTAGAATGACGACAGAAGTTTGCAGAAATTCCAGAAGTTCTGAATTCGAAAACTCACCATCTGTGCCGACCAGCTGTAGTCGACAGCGGTTTACAGGGTGAAGCACGCCCAGTGTGAAAGGTACAAGGATAAAGTATCGTTTCAGGCGGAGTGTCGTCTCCGTCCTCTACGCACTCTTGTAGTATGCGAACATCTGGTTATGTGGCGAAGGTGTTGTGCCTTTCTCATTGGAGACCGCACCTCCGCAGCCTTCCCCCTTAGGCAATGCATCAGTTCTAGCCCGCTCATCCCATCCTCATCTAAAGCGCCACTGGCCTCCAGTCTACTCTTGCCTCAAGTCCTCGGCCAACCTAGCGACTCCCTACGGCCCGTCGAAGCCGGATCCAGATACGGCTTCTCGCCAACGCCTGACGCACGCACACCAATTCGTATCCCGTCAACAAGATGTGTATCAGGCTGTGGCAGACACAAGATTAGCATTCATTTCTAGCACTACTTCCTCGGCATGGCTGAAGGGGCAAGGGGGCCAACCACCAAATCTTCCCACCAAATCTAACATAGCAAGTAGGGGAAGACTCACCGTCGCAGCATGCAAAGTACAAGGATTACTCCAAATCGCACAAGCCTGCTGTGTCCAATGCATTCTGGCAATACAATCGTGATTGCGAGTGATCAACCTCAACACATAATCGCGAATGATTTGGTCCTCGTAGGCATAGACATCGTTGATCCGGGAAACATGCAATCCGACACCAGCGAAGAGACTCTTCCATCCGGTAACAGGATGTGTGCGAACGACAGGGTGGACCGGTGCGAATTTGTCGCCCACATTCAATGGTGAGCCACGAGGCGAAGTCAATGGGTACCCTCCGGCATCAGACGCCGACTTCAAGACAGGTTGTGCGCATGTAGCTGTCAATGTCTCCATGAATGCTTGAAACGGTGGAGACAGACGATCGTATCTGGATCACCCACATCAGCATCACTGGGACAAATACGGACGCAAATGCAAGGCAGCCTCGTCTGGGAGAAAGGGACGAAACGTACAACTCATATCCAGATACCCACAGCGTATCACCGCCGGACGGAGGCGTGTCTTGCATTCTGAGGAAACTGAAGTCGGCGGGACATTCTTCAAACAGTACTGTAGCACATGTCAACAGACCGCTGTGCACCAGGGAAAGGATCGAGACGAACAGTCACTGTGCCACTCGCGGCTCAGATCTTTCGGCTCGCCCGTGCTGTTCGGCCGGTCTTTCATTGTCTTGTACAACTTCTTCATGGCCTCCGTGTTGATCACGTATCTTTTTGGAGAGACGTCAGTCAGCCACTCAGTCAAACATCCGGTTTCACAGCAAGCAATGCATAACAGTCACTCGTCAACCTGCCACCTCTCTTTCAACGTGCCCTCTTTTTGCCTGTCTCATGGACATGCCCTCCTTGCTCTCTCCCCAGCAAAGTCGGCTGAAGTCCAACCCACTCGCGTCCCCGTGCAAACATATGAAAAAGGAAAAATCAACTCACATGTTCTCATCTTTCGTCCCATCCTTCATCGGAATATTATCAGGCGCATTGAACAAAGGATGCACATGCAGACCATTCTCCTTCGGCCTGCCCGTCAATTTCCCCAAAAGATCAGTAATAGTCTTCTGTTCCGCAACACTCAAATCATCCTGTGGCGCGCGGAAGAACACCACGCCTCTCTCGCAAATAGTAATAGCCAAATCCCTCAATTGATCTTCCGAATTTGGCGCATCGAGAATATCCTTCAATTTGGCTGTCGGGTACTCGCGGCCGATGATGGGTGTTACGTCGACGTACTCTAGATGATCGATTGAGCCGGAAGTTTTGAGGGGAGAGCGACGGAGGTTCGTGGACATTGAACCCATTTTTCCCTTTTCTTCGCTCAAGGACGAGATCTAGATATAGCGGCTGGTTCTACGAGGCGTGATATCGATCTCACAGCGTGGGTGAGTAGGCGATGGTTTTGCAATTTTGGTGTGTACTCAGGGCACCAAGAGTCAGGAAGTCAGACAGAGGAGTCAGCAAGTCAGCGACGAGGTTCGTGCTGTGTATGTACGTCGGTCGGCTCCCGGCACAGCATCAACGTGAGATGTCGTGGGGCTGCCATATCAAAGAGTGCGGAGTATTCCCACATCTTTTGATCTTTTCGATGTGGGGAAGTGTCCACCAGTTCATTGTCGATTTGGAGTTTCCGTTACTCGTATGGCTTGACCCCATGGGCAAGTTGGCCCAGCCGTTCGGGCGAATGCCGTGCTTCCGGAGGAGCCATGAAGCACAACTGCCGTGCTACTATCTCCAACGTAATCCACCTATAGAACTTCGATAAACAAGGGGAGAGGATGAGTTGGAGGTCAAGCATTTAGACCGATTTCTGGCTGGAGAATTAGTGATTGTCACCCCTTTACCGGCGTCAGCCTTGTCCAACACCCGGCAATGACAGCCTGGACCACCTAAATAACCTAAACAGTGTGAACATGTAGCGTTCATATTCCATTATCGTGCTACTATGAGCACACACCAGCCACGCCAATATCGACTCTTTTGAGCAATACTGAATAACAATAGAAAAGCAACTCATAAACTAACTCCCCTGTGGCCTTGACACGACGTAGAATCATAAAAGCATACTTTGTACAGCGCTGAATGCATCCTCGACGAATATCTGCAACGCCTCGCACGACATTCGCCGTATCAATCATCTCGGCCACGTCCTCTATATCCAGTTCCCCTGTTCGAACCCAAAGTTCATGGCCAGAAACTCATCCCCAAAGCCAAACGCCATGAGCTCATCCGAGGTAAAATCCATGGGGGGACCCAAATCCTGGCCTGGCATACCATAAGACATCATACCTTGATTATGCATACCCATCTCTGCAACTCCAGGTAGCATTTGCGGCTGATTCATAGGTTGCATCCATTGCTGCTGGGGAGGTTGTTGAATGACTGCTTGTGGTGGAGGACCAGGCCCCATGGCAGCATCCGAGAGCATCTGAAGGCCATTCCGTGGTTGTTGTTGATGGGCTTGAGTATTTTGGTCCATGCTGGCTCGACTGTTCGTGTTCCAACCCAGGCTCGCTGGATCTTGTTGTGGCGGAACAGCTTTGTACACGGGTTGCGTGGTGCTTCTACCCGCCGGAGTGCGTTGCCTCGAGGAGGGGTTGGTGCCATTACTTGCCGGCTCCATCCTCTTCATGTGCCAGCTCTTCAACATGTTAAATATCAAACTGAATTTATGTGCAACCCTGCTCATGCTATTCTCGCATGTCCTTGCAAGCACATCAATCATGCGATCAAGGTAGTATTCAACCTTCAAATCCTTGGTCTTGAATATCTGGGCGTACTTGGACCCTTTCGCCGACACAGCAGAGTACAGTTTGATCAAGGCAACTGCAGCGTAAGATGACCTCACGAAGACCAATGTCGGTAAAGCCCGAAGCATCTTGATATCAATACTCAGAAACGCATCGAAAACATTGTGTGCCGAATGGATGCAAGTCGTCAAAGCTTCGATGTGAGCTGGCGTGACGTTATCAGGATCTGGAGGCCCTTCAATTGGGGTGGCGTTGAAAGGCGGTCGAAAATCGTCGATATTGTGGTTGTGGTGCATGGCAATTTCATGCATGTACAAGTTGATGATTCCTTCAGTATGTTGCACAATTGGTTTTTTCAGCATCTCTGGAGTAGCGGTGTTGTGCCATTCCTCTAGTCGTCGCTCGAATGCTTTGAGGTGGTATTGCGTCTTCTGATCGGTCAATGTCAATTGTGACAAAGGATCGTCCATTGAAAACTCCAAGCCGATGTCTTCTGCCATGTGCTGTGCATGAACGAGATGACAAAGGGACTTGTCGGACGGCAAAGCATCCGAAGCAGTGTTCAAGATTTCCACGCATTCTTCAGCGTATGGACTCCACCGAACGAGTAAGGGACGTCGTAGCGACATGGCCGAACTGGAAACACATTAGGCTAAGAATCGCCGCATTGTCATGAGACTTACTTGGAGCACATGTAGTAGCAACCCAACCAACATCTCCTCGTCTCTGCACTGTTAGGATCTGACAGAGGTCGCTTGTTTTCGTTGTATGGCCGCCACATGTTCGGTCCACCTCGTTTAGCTCGTTTCCCCATGCCCAAATCCATGGCCATGACAGCGGCAATGTGGATAAGCTGGTTGAAATTTAACTCTTCATACTTTTCTGGCGGTTGATAAAAACATGCAGTGACCTGGATGGCCTGGACAAGCTCGAGTGATTTCTCTCCTCTGAAAATGACACGGTCCGCAAGGGCTCGGGTGATTTCACTGATCAACTTGGGTTGTATGTCGGGACGAATGGTGCTGGAAGCCACGGCAAGGACAGCTAGGAACAGGACAGGCTTGTTCTTGCGAACCTCGTCGGCGTTGGTTCCGGGCGGAAACACCACCAGTGGGAGATGTTCACCCATTTCTGCCATGTATCGTTCGAAGCATTTCCTAGCCGAATTGAGATCAATGAAACCACGCTCGATCGGATCAACGGATGGCAAGTCGTCCTGGTCAGTCTTGACTGTGTTCTCGCGCGAAAAGACTGGTTGGTAATGGGACCCAGGAGCGGCTTGCCTCATTGAGGGTGAGGATGATTTGTGCAGTTCACCACCAAAATAATCGTAATCATTGGCGATCTTCCGCTTCACACCTTGCTGAGTAGTGGAAGGTGACATGCTGGTGATTGGTGGGGGAGGTCCATGCCATTGTTCGCCGTAGGGAGGAGGACGTGCTGGTTGAGCGTGGTGTATGCTAGGCTCTGTTGCAACCTCACCCTCACCTCCCCGTGCAACCAAACTCGCAGTCAAGGCATCGATCTTCTTCTCCAATTCTGCCACGCGACTGTCGGTCTTTTTCTGTCTCTTTCTGCTCGGTGCGGTGACAATACATTGTCTGTTTGCCTTTGCGCATCGCTTGCACGAACCTGTGGGGTGATTGTCGTCCGGCTCGCATTTAACCTTCAGTTGTCGACAAGCCTCACAGGCTCGCGGTCTCTTGAGATCATTGGGATCGTTGGGGTTTCCTGACGGACTTTGGTCGTCTGGACTCTCTTGCGCTTGGTGGTTCGGTGGGTAGTAGTTTGGAGTTTGGATGCTCTGGTAGGAAGTATTGGGAGAGGGCTGTAAAGGTGAGTAGGCAGCAGCAGTGCTATTCTGATAATGCTGGGTTTCGCGAGGTTTGGAAGGACTACTCAAAGAAGCAGCTCGCAAGGCTGGATCGATGTGATTGTAGGACTCGATGTTCGCCATGGCTTCAGTGGCCGGCGCGTTGGGGTGGAATGTTGGTGGTGGAGGACGTCGATTGTCGGCGCTGCGGTGATATTCACGCCGTTTGTGCTGGCCGGTGTTCCGACCTCAAAGTCTTATTTGGGGGACTTTGTCAACAGCAGGACAATGCGAGTACACAGTCGCGAAGGACGATTGTGATATGCATCTGCGCGCCTCCAATGCCGTCAACGCCCAAGACAGTGACTGCGCGAAAAAGATACTCTGGCGCATGTAGTAAGTGACAGACAACACTGAGTGATGAGTCTGCTAGTCCTCTTCCAAGATGACGGAGGAACAGCCTCTTGGCGGGATGTATAAGCGACTCGCTACCGGCTACTATGGTTGGCCGACTTAAGGACTTTACCGAGGCTAGGCTCAAGTAATACTCGTAGTTGTGGTCATTATCCCAGGCCTTGACAGCCTAACATGGTCATTAAAATCATCCTTTGGCCCTTTCTGTCTGGAGGCTTTGAAGCTTGGGTCTGTCTCTTCCATTTTCGCGAGTCGAGCCACTTTGAACATAAGAAGGTTAATAATAGAATTCTGTCAATATGCCTGACACGAGGTATGGGCGTAAGAATCGCGTGGACGCGTCAAACCATAGGTATGGTAGAAATGTATTTCTGCAAAGCACCCTATGCGTGACGAAGTGACAAACGAGGTGGGAATCTTCATAAAACGAGAGACCAACCCATTCCCAAATTCTAATGCCCATGGCGCCATCATCAGCACCAAAGATCCACAATCGTAACGCGTATGCTGTCCTTATCATCCAGTCGTTCATAAGTCGTAAATCATGCTATAAGCTTATGCACCGGGCACTCTGCTTTGCGTCCGAGCCATTCAACAATACAGCTCTTGTGGAATTTGCACAGACATTCAAGTCGTGCCAATTCATCCCCAACGTCGTACTCAACCATACATATAGAACACTCCGAAGGAGTGCCATCCTCCCCAACGCAGTCTTTCTCCGTGGCAATGAATGGTAGCATCTGTACCCTTGCTTGAGAAGGACCTCCACCACTCTCGGTATGAGACGAAGGATCGCGCGATCGAATACAGTCCATGATGTGAGTCTCTCGAGCCGATTCGTCGCCATTGTCACCTCGAGGAGGTAATGCTCTCCGACATATCGGACAAATATCCCGCTCATCGAGACGAGGCCGCGGGGGACCTTCGATGAAATTCTGCAAAACACGTGGGAATCGTTCATTTCTGGGCTCATGAGATAGACGTCTTGCGGCATAATGCCCTGGACTCCCGGGGTTTGAAGCGGATGTAAAACCTTCGTGAGATTGGTGAGGCTGCATATAGGGTGGGCGTAATATGCCAGAGCCGGGTCGGACTTGCAATGGTGGTAGAGAGTCTCTTGATGGTACAGGCGGAGGAGCGGTTGATGTCCCGCGATGTGAAGTCAGCCAGCCCAGATGATTACCTAGCATTCCAGAACCATCACGGCCCAGAGAGCTAGACTGGCCTACTCGCTGATGACTTGCTTCGTCCCTCAGAGGCATGACTAGCCGTGGGTTCGGCCCAGAGTAATACGACCCCACCGGCTGGCTAGAAGTTCGCGAATGCCCTCCAGGAATATTCGAGGGCGGTTCTGCTCGTGTTTCACCTCCGGGGCCTGGGTAGTATGGAGGATTCGGCTGAGGATCGGGCACACATGGATTACATAGGCGCACTTTCTCGCCGCCTCCGAGGTAAGGACTCGTCACAAATCGAGGCGGAGGAGAAGATAATCGTTGTGATTCGTCGTCGTCGGTATCCTCGCCTGTCAAATCAATGGTAGCAAAAGCACGGTCAGGCTGATGCGGCGGTGAGGTAGCAACATCCTCACCAGGAGGTTGTACGATGAACTGTCGAGGAATAGTGATGCGGTGAGGAGAGCAGTCATTGCAAACGACTCTGCCACATTTCCTACAATGATGTCTCCTGAACATCCAGGTGAATGGCCGTTTGCAAATGGGGCATTCGCTGACCTCAGAATCCGGCTGCCATGGAGGCACAACGTAGCGTCTCGAACTGTGAGAGGATGTCCTTCGACTCAGACTGCTCCGTTGAGGCGTGGTAGGTGGTTCGGGAGATGAGGACGTCAAGTCCACGACTTCAGGGGACAATCCCGTAGGATCTGAAGCGACATGCCCGCGGGATTGAGACGAGGCCCCATCGCCGCGACGTCCATCCTGGTGCGTTCTCCGATCGTGATAACTGCCACTGTTTGTTCTTGTCCTTCCTTCTTCATAATTTGTGTTGGTCAACCTCCTCTTGCGGTCCATCGCTATGATGCTTCGCCTGCGCTCTTCCGCAGTTTGGTCAAGTGAGGGCCGTGGCAAGGGACGGTCACGTAGAATGGGAGCCGGTACCTGTCCGCCGCTGTGACTCGGCCGTGAGCGTATCAGTGGGTTAGGCAGTGGACGGTGGGTCGAAACATGTAATGCATGTTCGTTGTCATCGTTGGTTCCGTGGCGATCGTCTGCAGGCTGGACAGTCGTCGTGGCAGCAGTCAAATTGACAGTGCTCTCCGAAGTGTCCGACAACTCAGGGGAAGACATGGCTTTTTGTCAGATAACCCCGGTGAAGTGGCTTCTGTGAAGTGGAATTGAGTTGAATCTGCAAATGCAGAAGACGAGCACGCGGGCAGATTGGGTTGTCACATCATTGTTAGACACGATGTACGGAAGGGGAAACCGATGCGGGATATTGCGCCGAAGCATCCGAAGTTCGAGAAGACTCGGTACGGTTCATAGAAGAGATGTTGTTACATGATATGACAATGGTTTTTCTGATAGCATGAGGCTAGATTTCCGGACGGATGTTCTGTGAAGTACTTGGGGCACTGGATAAGAGAAGGTTGATTGCCACCATGATGATAAACGCCCTTCGTGGCTGCGAGTGGTCGATTTGGGATACTAACCAAATAGGAAATAAGTAACGGATATGGGCATGGGCGAATCACTACCAGGTATGTGATCGACACCAGTTTTTGAAAGGACTAAGTTAGACCATCTTCCCCCTCGCTTCTATCTATCGCGTGACCAAGCAATAACCAATACCCTTCATTCACTGATCTGCCCTTTTGTCGAACTATCTAGGTAGGAATCTGCAAGGTGTTCTGCGTCTCGCCGGAACACAGTGTTTGAGGACCGAACCTTGAGGGAGCCCGGAGAAGTGATACAGGATTCATGTATGAGGGGTGACAGGGATGCATTACCGAGGACCGTCATCCTCAATTGGTCTCGTTGGTGATGGATCCGACGCGAGGCACCAAAACATTTATGCAAGTGGTGGTGGATAGGTACACGTGTTGGCACATTATGTCGCACAGTGAACAACAACAAGACCCGCAAGCCGGATCGAAAAGGAGAGGAGAGAAGCACTTCGCTTGAAAGGGTTCGGTGCGTGTTGCTCGCTTATTTATAATGAATGGGAATGGGTGGGATTCCATCATTCTGCGACCGATACAGCCGCATCCTCCTCCTGGAGGCGAGAGGAAAAAAGCATCCCATGGGTGTCCAGAAATAGTAACTAGACAGGACTAAAGTGTTTCTAGACAATCACTAAGGGGAGATCGCCACACTTTAAAGCCTTAAAAAGCCCACCGTCGGCCAGCGTGACTGACATGACAGATGCATCACGATCAGCATGACAATGATCGTCTCTAAAAGAAAATAACAATACAGGCGTCTATTGGGTCAGTGAACATTGAGGGTTGTAATAGTGGCCAGTCACCCAGTCTACGAATACTCTTACAAACCTCGTACGAGTGGAAACAAGAACGAACAAACCTGCTGGTAGGTAACCGATGATCCCGATCCCTGGGAAAGAAAGTCATACACCACTGCAAGAAGCGTTTCCCCCCAACCCCAAAAACTCACCTTTTAAGCGTCTATCTAACTCCATTTGTATGTTGTAAAAAGCACACTAATGCTGATGCTTCCCTGCGCCCGTCTCCAGGTCTAAGAGTTCTCGCTTCAACCCTTCCATCATCCTCTTTCAATCAGGGCCATTTCTTCTTCTGCTGACCTTCTTCGTCACTCGTTGCTTCAGTTGTTTCTTTGGAATCTTTTCGTACGAGATTTTAGAAGACTTGTAACGTTGGCCATTTACCCGGCTCTGAACACTCATCCGCCTTTACCAATCGATAATCGCGTGGTCCGAACCTCATCTCGAGAAAAGATCCCCGACATTGGCACCTGTTTCATTGCAGCACTGCTGTGCCCTACTCGACACATTCCGGGCCGTATCGTGTTCGTGTCCGCCAGTCGGGGTTCTCGACTACAGTCAATTTGAGATAAGACATCCAAAGACGTCACTCCACCTCCTGCAAAGACGACTTTTCATTGCGGCGTTGTCTCAATCGTTCACCTTGACGAGCGAACTCGATTGTGTCCTGCGAAACGATGCCACACTACTTCTAGGGTCACCATTGACGGTTAGGAGGGATATTCATAGCACATCAGAGACGATGCGCAGTCAAGATGAAGTGTTGGGAACTCTCTGGGAGCAGGATGGGAAGAAACACAAGAAGTCTCCAACAACCTGGAAACGATACCTAAGGCTTCAGAAAAGCCCAATAGTCATCGTTCTACTACTGTCACTATGCTTCACGTCCTTCACCGAAGCGGCCTACGTCAAGTTCCAAAATTGTTTGGATAAGAGTATCACCAACTCAAGTCCACGACTACTTCAATTCACCCCACTCAATGTATCAGCCATCTTCAATACTACATCGACCTACCACAAACTCAACGTCACTGTATACGGCAATGTCTCTGGACAGGCGACCACTCAGACCTATCCGGCACCGGATGATCCCTCGTGGAAGAATACAAATGATACTTTCGGCAAAATCCCCGATGTGAGCGAGTCCAACAACAAATATACGACTTTGTTCGCTCGATACAATTTTCTCAGTTACACTCCTTGGAATGCTGATCCAAGCAGGTTTTGCGAGTCCGTGGTCCAAGAAGAATGTCCTCTGGCTCCGGCATTCTACGTCAATGCGAGTGAACTCAGCCAGTTGCCCGCGTTCTCGGTAGCGCATGACATGGAGTCGAGCTACGCTTTTGCCTCAATTCAAGCTACTCTTCGGATCCAGTCAGGCGACGCTAGTGGCCAGTATTACGGCTGTGTCACGGCGTCCATCACTCCGGACTTGGGTGGATATCTCAAAGGTCTTTTGCGATATCTGCCTCTCGCAGTCTTGATCGTGGTCGGCGTTGCAACGATTGCTGCTTCCGTCTGGAGTCCTTGGGGTTCGACCGATCTATTCCACTGGAGCAGCAATTTTGGCCGTGATGAAGACCTCTTGCGTCTGGTCACGCCTGGATTCGGTGATTGCTTACAATATATCCAATTTGTTGTGCTTACTGGCAGTCTAAGCCTCAATTATCCTGGCTTCTTTCAACCCGCCGTAAGTCGTGTCAGTTGGTCATCGCTCATGTTCAACGAAAGCTTCGTCAGCGAAGGAAATGGGACCCAAAGTCTGGTTGACGGCATTTATGAATATCGGAACGGCACCAAGTATGGACTTGACAACATGAGTCAACTTGTGGGCATGACCTCCGATAGAGACATTTGGGCGGACATGATAGTCTGGCTGGTTGTCCTTGTTGCGGGTGTGATAATCTTGTCCCAGCTGGGTTTTGCCGCACGTTGGGGATATCGACATTTCGCAAGAGAGTCCGCCGAAGACCTCAGATCCAAAAATGGGCCTTTCACCATTGGCAACGTTGTGCGCCTCGCTCTCAACTACTTTCTCTTGCCCTGGACTGCTTTGTCCTTCTACCAGCTGCTAATTGCGACTCGCGGACCATCATACTCGGTTGCATTAGCAGCAGTCTCGCTGGTGGTGATTGTTGCCTTCTCCGTACGGCTCATGCTTTTGTTTGCCCGGACAAGACCACGCTCATTCCTCTTCGATGACTTGCTGACTGTCCTTACATACGGTCCATTATACAACACTTATTGCGATGACGCAGCCACCTTCGCTTTGATTCCACTGCTAGTCAACTTTCTTCGGGGCATCGCTATTGGAGCTGTCCAGCCATCTGGAGTTGCACAACTTGTTCTCCTTGCCATCTGCGAGATGGTAATGATCTTGACGCTCAACGCTTTTCGGCCTTACCCATCAGCTACGTCAATGAACATCTATCACACATGTTTCGCCGTAATCCGACTCATTACGATCCTATTGTCAATCGCCTTTGTTCCATCACTGGCTGTGGAGTCGGCAACCCGGGGCTGGATAGGATATGCTATCCTTGTTATTCATGCCTGCACACTTGTTTTCGGCTTCTTCCTCAATGCGGTCCAAACGCTGATCGAGGTCATTGCTCGGATGGCCGGTGCAGGTGGGCGTGATCATGACACTGGAGGCGCCACAAGAGGTGGGTTGAACAAGGTGTTCGGCATGCGACAGTTGTCCCGTCGGATGCCGCGGGCCAGAGATCAAGCTTCACGTCACAGCATGGCTTCCAATACTGCCATGTTGACCGCTATGGACAGTGATCAGAAGACTCTTCAAATGGCCAAAACTCGATCTCGTAGTGTGTCAGCAGCATCTGGCGCATTGCTGGACAGTGGAAGGAGCTCTCACAGGCTGAGTCAGAATCTTGACGGAGCTTTGGGCCAGACGACGCCTGAACGATCTAACAGAGCATCGAGGCGCCTTACCAACAGGTTGAGTGGCAGCACTTCACTGGGTGGCATTGTCGGCCTTCACAAGGCTGAGACAAAAGACCCTTACTACAGACCGCCACGCAGAAATACCATGGACCAATTGTCTGGCAACGATGCACCTCCCGATGCATCAGTCACAAGTAAAAGCATGGTGCCAGACGAGAGAATGGTGGACGACGATGCAGGTGAAGGGACATCGACCCCTCTGCAGCCTCAGGAAGAAGGATTCGAGGATGTCGTGATCGAAGGGCCAAGGTCGAAAACCGATTATGCCGTAAGAGAGGTCGACTTCTATTATGGTGTCCGTGGTGCAGCGCTGTCAAGCGGAACAAGGAAATTGAAGACTGGTCCAGCTGACCCTACCGGACCCGTCTCGACGGCCAGAGGTTGGTTCAAAGGCATTATGGGCGGCAAGACTAAGGAAAAGACGAAAGGGTTTGAAGTCGTCCGCAGCGCTCGCGCCCCACCGCCGGGTTTATTCCCGCCTACCCCTGAAGTCGAAACCCAGGAGCCAGAACCATATCATGATGAGCAACAGCAGGTCGACAACAGCCGCCCTGATCATGACCATCCAAGAGTCGTCTCGCCTGTTTCACGAAGGAAGGGCGCAAGAGGGGGCGTATACGACGATGTTTCTTCCCTGGAATCTGAGGAGGAAGATGAACCTATTAGCCCCGTCCCATCACAGCCACCTTCTCTTCCCCTCATCGATTCAGTTGGTGGAATCGAGCTGCCAAGCAGGATTGGATCCGAAGTATCACGAAAGTCTCGCAACAACAGACCTCGGCCAGACGAGCTCCAAATTCCAGCCGTGCCAGCTATACCACGAAAGAGTTCGCGGAGACAATCAGGCTCGGATATGGAAGTGCCACAGCGGTCGAGAGCGTCTCTAGCAGGCCCCTCGAAATTCCCAGATCACAAGGGCCATACACAAAGCCTAAGTGCCAGTCGCATTCCGTTCACCACTACTCAACCTTCAGTAGCCAGAACGCAGAGATACTCGACCGGAGCTGAGTCGACGGCCTCCAGTGTGATTCGCGATGGTGAGGAGAACCCGCCCGCTCAGTCATCCTACATCACTAGACTTCGACACTCTGGCTCGGCGCTGGGTCCTGTACATGGGGCAAATATACGAAACGACCGGCCTTCAGGTATGGGCTTTGTTCACCAGCACAAAGCTAGCGACAGCATCCATTATAATCCCACAACACCAGAATATGAGGGTAGCACAGCGGAGGTTATGGGCCGACCTGGTTACTAATCTCTGTGGCCTGGGCATAAATCAGAGACGACGACTACGAATTTTATTTGAAGCTGATAGGTTCACAAAGAGAGCATCATTCGGAGGCATTTCCTGAAGACGAGAGCTACATTTTAATATATTTGGTGCATCAAGAGGCGATGGACACGAAAGATTTGGGGGAATGTTCTCTGTGGTATACATACAATAGCATGGCGTCTAGGTTTGGTTTCAGTGTAAGTATTGAGTGAGGGAGCATAATTCTGGAATGGGATGGGCAGGCAAAAAGTTCGGGACACAGATAGGTACTGTGTGGATGTTGAGTCAGGGTGCCTACAGAGCTTGCACACAAGATACGATGAGAGTTACAGGTAGTGTACAATGCAAATATGATGATCATATCTTTGAGAACAGGTGTATGTATACGCTCTACTAGTAGGTGTCGGTCCTCGGCCGGGAGCAGGTATATTCAACCAAGTCACCTTCCAGATGCTCTTGCAATCATCAACACCAGTGCTCAGTCCCCGTCAAGCCAGTCGTGTTCGTGTTCGTGCAGAATAACCCCCTGGTGATAAGGTCATGTCTGCCATGCCATCCGCACGAAATACTCTCCCACTACCAAATCTTCTCAGGCTCAACAGGGACTTTGCTCTCCTGCTTCTCAATATCGTGTAGTTCCGGCAACGCTTCGACATCAAGGTGCTCGTAGACCGTACCTGCATCTCTTAGAGTGTCCTCCACGACCTTCATGTACCCCAGGACTTTCTCCTCGGTCAGCCGACGGCCCACAACCTGCACCGCGCAAGGCAGGCCCGCCATCTTAACGCTGTCGTAGTGTTTATACGCGCCGCGCTCGACGCCATTCGCCGCGCGGAACGTGTTGTTCAGCCGATCCTTGTGCGCGTCGACTTTAGTCACGGGGACAATACCCGCAGTATAATCAAGTAGGTTCCACAGGAATGTATATCCGCAGCTGGAGACGGCGTCGTGCATCGCGCCATGAGGCAATGCGGGTGTCGCATTGCCAGGACACAATATGAAGTCGAAGTTCTGGGCTGGCTTTTCCCACCAGTCGAACCAGGTTGACCGGAAGGACTCGCGTTTGGCGACCCATGTCCAGTTCTCAGCGGCGCTGAGCGGGTGGAAGTACCGCAGTAAGCTTGCCCAGACTGTGTCGCGTTTAACATACTGCGTCCACAGGTACCAGAGGTATTTTATGGGTTTTGGGAGGGACATGTAGAAGGCGATTTGGGCGGCGCCGCGGTCATTCCATTCGCCGGTCCTGAAGAAGGATTTGTATGTTTTGCCGCCGTCGGCACAGAGCAGGACTGAAGCGATTTGTAGGCCCTGCAGGGGTGTTGCGGTGGGTGGGAACTTGGAGACGGGAATCTCGACGACTTCGTGGCCCGCGGACCTCAAGGCGTCGGCCGTGGTGTATAAACCTCTAGCGATTGCTGGGGAGGGCTGTACTACGCCGTCGGTAGTCATGAGGCCTACGCGTAGCTTGTTGGAGCTCGCGGCGGCGGCGTACACTTCCTGCCGCCAGGGGAGAGGGTGGACTGTGTAGTCCACTTCCCATGGTTTCATCTGGATGAATGACTTGGTGAAGTATGTGAGGTCGTCGAGCGTGCGGGCCATGGGCGAGAAGACAGATGGGATGCCCTCTTGGCCTGGCATGGATGTGTTCATGCCCATCTTGGGCCAGCGGCCCGTACTGCAGCGCAGGGAGTTGATGCCGGACCATGCGGCGGGTGCTCGTACGGAGCCTGCGACGTCTGAGCCTATTCCTATGCGCGACCCATTCAGGGCGAGTAGCGCGCCTTCACCGCCTGTGCTGCCGCCAGGCGAGTATTTTGGGTTGTGCGGGTTTTTGGCCACGCCCCAGAGGTCGTTTGTCGATTCGAAAGACAATAAAGTTATGGGCAGAGCTGTCTTGACGTGTGGGATCGCGCCTGCTCGCTTGAGCAGCTTGACCATAATCCCATCTTCTTGGTATGGCTTGAAGACGTGCCGTGAGTATCCTACTGACACGTCAAAGCCTGCGACTGCGATACTGTCCTTGAGCGATACGGGAATGCCGGCGAGCGAACCTTGTAGATTCACGTCACCGCCTTTGGCCCATGACTCGGCTTCGGGGAGGAGGAGTTCGGTCACGCAGTTCGTGCGTTCTTGGGCGATAGCTGCGGTCTTGCCATAGGTGCGGAGGATGTCGATCGGGGAGAGTGTGCCATTGTGTACGTCGCCCACAAGCGAGGCAATGGGCGCGTTGAGGATGGACCGTTGTTTGGAGGTCAAGGGGCCTTTGTAAGAGTCTGGGAGGGATTCGAAACGAGCATCGCGCTGGCGCTGCTTGATCACGCTGAAGTAGAACGTTGGTGTTAGAATCTGGATCCCTCTATGTGCTCGTGTGCCTTTGCATGCCGGATGCATGCCGGATGCAGTAAATGGGGGCCGGCATATTCAACTTACCAGGCTCGACGGTGCTCGAAATAGTCCAGTGGAGGATACATTGGGACGGTTACATGACTGTTGTCTGCCAAAGAGGTTCTTTATAGAGTGCAAATAATCAACGAGGCTGTCCGTTTGAGGGAGAAAAGAGACGAAAACGGAGATCTCTCTACCCAGCAGCCAGTTTGTCTTTTTATGGTGGCAGATTGATAGATTGCGAATGTTCCCATTATTCTGGTGGGCATCGCGGATACTACGCGCGGCAACCAGGGGAAACAAGAATCCATCAAACATGCTTCACTCTTCAAGTTTCTAATTCAGATAAATACTGACGACGACAACATTTCGTTCCTCCATCGTCTAGACTGTGGTATAATACGCTTGCTGGACAACCTCATATCATATAGCTAATAATACATGGCATGACACGGCTTTGCCTGCCTGCCTGCCTCAGAATTCCTTTCCCTTGGTCGTCACATCATACAGGCGTATCTAGTTAGGGACATCATGACTTGTGTGTCTATGTTCGAGGACTCATCGTGGCCACCATTGCTGTCCTCCCGGGGCTCCAGTATAAGGCCCAGTCGAGACAACGTGTTGCGGCTGAAGGAGGTGGTGAAATTGTTGTTCATATGCCATATACTCATTCGGATCGTAAATCACTGGTCCCCTTGGCAATCGGGGCTCCTGAAGAGGGTATGGTCCGGCATATGGTATCGAAAATTGCCACCCTTGCTGCTGCCCTGCTTTGTCTCTGGTTGGCTCGGTCATGGCCTGGCCTTGCGGTTGAATGTTCCCCATTGGGACGTTGTGAATATTGGCCGCAGACTGTCTGCGTGACATAGAGACGTTCTCGCCGTCCATAGGATGCCCAGGCATTTGTGCCGGCTCCCTTGGTGGTTGCTCAAAATGCTGACCTGTAGGACCTGGAGCAATTGCCTGCGCAAGCTCTCTCGGTGTAGCCGAGTTGCGACGTGATTGTAGTCCAGCCTCAGTCATCGGCGACAGCAGCGTCTCCTGGGGCGGCGTCGGAGGCCTGTCGGTAGTGACCCTCTGGCCACTATTGAATTTGTTGCCGTTGGTGTAGTCAGCTTGCGCCTCTGTCCTCCAGGTAGCGTTTTGCTGCTGCCTGATGTCAGCGACACTTCGACGGCGCATATACCCATCTGGGTGACCAAATGCTTCGTCCTTATGGACTGACTGATCGCCCAGAATGGGAGAACTGACAGGGTGATCTGCATGGGGATGAGGTTCCGCGATTGTATTATAGAAATGCGCTTCATGCTGCGGCAGGCCTTGATTCGGGTTTGTGGGTGTTTGAGCGGCAGAGTTAAAAGATCCAGTAACATCCATGGGTACGGCGTCGCCTTGGACCAAGGGGTGGACACCGAAATTCCCCATGCCGGCATCATGCCCACTGTGAGACTCGTTGACCGGTCGTGCTTGCTGCTCCGGCCACGGCACAGGCCCATTGTAAAAACCGTCGGACTTTTGCTGGAACCATTGGTAAGGCATCGTACCGATATCTAATCCTGGATCTGGTCCCCAATAGAGCGGGGGATACCATACCAAAGGAGGACCTACATGGGTGGTGGGCACGCGTTCGACTTGGGGATAATGTGGGTGACTTGAGGGATATCCAGCGTTTTGATACTGATTCTGGTCTTCTGCGTTAAAAGAGGCTGTGGCACTGGTAGTGAAAGAGTGCTGGTCGAAGCTTCCCTGTGTCGACGGATCATGGAAAGATGCTGATCCCATGTTGCTGTACTCCGCTATCGATTGCGCATACGGCTGCCCAGGCCCTTGTTGCCAGTGGTGCGGATGTACTTGAGAGGATACGTCGGGTGCTGCTTGCACTTCATTGTACCTTGGCCGTTTCTCCGGGCGGGACTCATCCTGAAACGCAGAGGGATTTGAACGTTTCGCTTTTGAAAGCCCACCACTCTCAACCGGCGTCGTGGCATCGCCGAGATTATTAGGCAGTGGCGCTGGCTGTTGACTTTCGACACGCTTCATTGATGTCTCGCGCAACTCAGCTTCATCCTTGATCTGGTTGTTGGTATTTCGTGGCGTTTCATTCTCCTTGATCGCCGCAAGGATCTCGCTTAGAGTTGATACTGCCAATGGGGCAATGGTAGATCTTGATGAGCTCGTAGCGGTGTCCTGGAAAATGGTCAAAACTCGTTCCACCCTTGCAATGTCGGCTTCCACTTCGTTCTCTCGACGGAGTCGAGAAATTCCCAAGATGAGTGAGGCGCAGTACAGTCCAAAGCAACGAGGCCATGAGGAAGTAGCCTTAGCAGGGTCAAGATCATAGATGTAGTCGAAAATGTCGGTCACTTGCCGAACTGACTGCAACAGATCTCTGGGGGTGGATTTCGAATTCGGTTTGCGCGGAAGCCGTGGCCTTCCTCCTTTGGTGGACTTCTCGTTGACATCGAGGCCTTGCTCTGAGAAGACCGTACGAGCCATGGCACAATGAAGTAGTACCTCCAACAATTGGACCTCGAATTGGTGATCGGCAATAGCAGTCCATAGTGGTATGTCGGTCAGGTGTTCCTGCTGAAGTGCCGGCAGCTTTGTCTTGTGTTCTTGCAACCACTTCAGATGTAGTTTGGATGCCTCCAGTCGGTCTTCGAAAGAACCTTCGTCTTCACTCGTCTTTGAGGTATTGTATTCCAGGATCTTCAGAGCCAGCGATGAGAATTCCTGCAAATTCTGCCGCAAGGTCCTCTCCTCCGCTTGTACCCCTTTCAAGGAGGGCCTCACACCATCCCGAAATGGGACGGTAACAGGGCGCCGACCAAGAATGAAGCTTAGCTGGCTGTCAAGGTCCATCAGTAGCCACCAGATGCGCCGCCGAGATTCAGCATCTCGATTGCCCGATGCAGCATTGTCAGATTCTCTGTGTGATTCCACTGGCATCGTTAGCTAAAGGGAAATACCTCCCAAGAAGAAGACTCGCTCACAGCCAAGTAACTCAGCCTCGCGCACCAACGTAGGCATTACCGTCCAGGCTTGAATGACGTTTCCTGCCTCAAGGAGTTGTCTAGTGGACAGGTACTTGAGATACAGACGGCGAAGAGGTCGGGCTAGCACCCTATCGATGTCCGCTGTGACGAAAGAACGTGGTCCCACGGTCTTCAACAATGATGTAGAGTCTGTCAGGTCGCCTGGTAGTGGACGCTCTTCTTCCTCAAAATGAGATATGAAGAGCTGGCTGGTCTGTAACGGTTCGATGAGCTCTCTCACTCGGTCCTGCCTGAATGCAACCATTCTGAACTATAGCACAATTAGTTGGAGTCAAGTGAGCGAGGAGCCGCTCCGAATGTACCTCTTCCACGCTACGTGCCAGTGAGAAGTCGCCGAAGAAGGTCTCAGAGGGCCCGATAAGAAGTCGTTCGCCATCGCCATCATCGGTTTCACCATCAGAACTCTGGTCGTTTTGACTGTTACTGTTGTAATCGTCGTTCTGATCTGCTTCGACAGAGCTAGCTTGAAGACGCTGCCATATCTAGTCAGCCAGGCAGAATGAAGGACAGCATGGTGTACACACTTCACCGTCCTCGCCATCTCTCGCGAAAGGACTCTGGTAATAGCACCGAGGTTTCTGTCGCTTCTTTTGACATGTCAAACAAGGGATTCCACCAGAGCACTACAATTTCCGTCAGAATGAGATGCGCGGACATGTGGAACAGGTTGATAGTACTCTCGACTTGCTCATGCGACAAGGTATGCATGAATTCGCTCGTCTTTTGGCAGTCTTGGACATATTACCACCTTGTGACGACCGCGTCGGTGGTGTTGTCATTTTGATGTGCCAATCTCATGGTTTGTGCAACGATTGGCTTCACCCGGCCCCGGATATGTACACCAGGCGTAATGGAAATCCAGATGTTTTCGAGAAGCCACCAGGGTACAATACACAGAGGCACAGAAAGCAATGACCCTATTCAACGACAGAAATGGCCGACGTAAGAAACACAGTATAGCCACAGGTCGTAAAGACGTTAATGATCAACCGAACCATGCGCACAAAAGCCACAGTGCGTCAAACTCTTAATCCTGCTTAGGAGTCGCTGAAGATGAAGCCGCGATCGTAGTAAAAGCAAATCGCAAGATGTCGTAGCAAATGTGGGCAACGTAATAAGGTCCGTTGGTGGCGAGGATGTGAGATGAGTATCGGCGTAGTTTGACAGCCAGATGCACGAAATAAGTGCTTCATCGGTCTACAAGGCATGAAGATGCCAATTGAAGGTGGAGGAACAGATGGTGGAGAGGCTTGATTTGGCATTTTAGCGTTGGTGTCTAAAGCTGACCAGGATAGTTGTTGGCCAAGCGTACCAATCGGGAATGCGGTTCATCTGAATCTGTTCCTCCGGGACAGAGCGAAAACAGCAGAGTAGAAAGGTCCCAAGGGAGGCTTGCAAAGGGGGGCTCTGGGAAGGCATCGATAGGCGAGGACTGGAGGATGCAAACCCCACTGCCGCAGCTATCCGTGACGCCAATCGAAGCAACCATGTCCATTCAGATCGGTCGCAAGCTCCACGACGTTTGACCCGGCGAAAGGATAACAGGATGACCTGGGGCACAAGAGGCAGCTTTAGCCACGAAGGACAGGACCTAAGACGATGGAAGTCTATTCAGGGCCATATCTTGCGCCCCGAGAGCGCCTGGTCAACTAGGGTTGACTGGTTGATCTTAGAAAATTGTACGGTGTACGTTCGCCACAGATCTGTGCTTTAAAAACTGGGCTGAATTCCATCATGTCGACCGGGGTTGCCAGCCTGGCTGCCAGCTAAGCGAAAATACGGCAATCGGTCCCCCGGGAAATTATAGATCACAACGCGACGACCAGGATTCAAACACCTGCTGCAAGGATAATTTGAAAAGGAACAGATCTTGCGCGTGTGCATCTCCACGGGCTGCGCACGATACTGGCAGGCCACGAGTGTTCATCGTGTCAATCCCCGAGGTTTATGGCCTCATGAGACCAAAGTAAGGCAGGTGCAGGTAAATCATTGCAGATGGATGAGTTTCAGTGGTTGCTCTGGGGTCGATCGTTCCAAATACCTAACTTAGAGACTGGAGCTGGGCTGCCAGAAGGGTCTCGACTGGAAATGAGGTCGATGCTGCAAGGCGGGGTTCGACAAGGATTGAGCGTTTGTGCGTGACAGGCCGGAAACCATTTTCGAAGCAACGATAGACGAGATCGCAGTCAGATCTTGCCCTGCGGCCTCTGCAAGTGCCACCTGTGCCAGCAAAGCGGACTGTGGTTAAGATCGTAGACTGACTAACACAGCGCCCAAGCCACTTTAGGTCGAAGGATCAAGTCGTCTCCCCAGCCTCGACCAGTCATCTTGGGTTCACAAGAGAACCCAGGCATGCTGGGAGGGATTGCGGGGACCTGAAAAATGCGACTATATGCGCCAACTCAGGGCTCTCCGACACTGACAGGACGCCGGCCTTGGGTCTTGCAGATGTCAAATGATAGTGACATGATGGACCAGCGCAATCAAATCCTTGTTCTGGCTCTTCTTGCAGAATCTGCCCCTTGTGCCTTTCACCGCTGATGAGGAGACCCTGCACAATGGGGGGGCTTATTGAACAACCTTAAGAGGATCGAGAAGGAAGGCACGTCCCTAATCGTTCCCTTAACCTAAGCAGGCCACCCTTCACGCCTAATTGAGGATAGAGATTCGCTTAGCTAGCGGCGCCCAGGCGGAAACGGCTGGCGTTTGCTGGGCCTTCCGGCAGGTTTAAGATGCCTGGTTTGTTGGTCGACTGGCGCTGATCAGGTCAGGTGTGAGTCCCCGGAGATATCACCGCACCAGTAATCACAACAGGTCGTAGTGATATGACAACATCTGCGCACGATGGAGGAAATGGGCCTCCCAGAGTCTGCCTCAAGCTGAAACAAAACCATGCACAGTACTAGTGGTGGTAGCTGTCACCGATCTCGACCCATATGCACTGAGGACTCGTCATTATTAGCAGGCAAACTTTTTCATGCACACAATGGTTTCGAATTCGCTCGCCCACTCCGGCATGCCCGGGCTGGATGCCAGGGGTCTCTCTCCCCCGGTGGAAAGGAATGACTTGGCGTCCCAGAGGTGTGGTCGGGTGTACGTACAACAAATAGGACAACCCTTGCTTGTCTCACGGAAAACCAGGCTAGCATCGCACATAGGGATCGGCCCCCAACATGCATCACAATAGTCACAGATGGTTGTGCCAATCCAGCAACAATGTGCGCGTTCATAACAGGGACTGGTATTGTACAAGTAGCTTTCAACGGACCGGCTCTGGTTTGTATTTTGTAGGTTTGTGGCGTCAAGTTAAGGACAGTTAGAGGCACACCGCATAGTGCACGGACTTGTTTGCATCGTAGGCTTTGACCTCGCGACGGAGACTCGGAATGGGCCGTCCAACGCCCGCACTTGCTGTGTAGATCTCAGGGAAGACATCAGTTCAGGCCCACGCAATCCATTTTCCTGTTCGTATGATAGACTTCTGGACCAAAATGACATGTACAGCGTTTCATAAACAGTCTCCTCTGCTATGAGGTCTTCTCGCATCACTATGCATTGCGAAACCCCCTAGATGACTGTCAGAAACGTCATTGTCCAAGGCCACATACGGATGTACGGCAAATGTTTGCGCTGAGAGGAGGAGCCCAAACTTCTGTCAAGCAATGCATATTTGTCACGGGAAGCAGATCCCCCCGACTAGCGCCTTAGCTGGCTGAAGCAAGTCATCCACCCAAGGACGAGTGTTGACGAGGCAGGTTTAAGCCTGGTTGACGTACCTCTATACAGTAGTATGTCTCGATTGCAGGAGTAGATCCAGGTGCCGGTAGAGCCTTCCGAATATCCCTGTTCTTGTTCCTGTACGACCTGAGAAGGCTGAGATTGGACTTCCGTTCTGGGCGCTTAGGTGGGTGGTGAAGAAGTCGACAGGGTCTACTTGATACACGGAGATGCAATCTCCCTGGCTGGGAAAAGCTATAGTAAATACGCTGACTATGGGTATTGGCGATTTCTCGGCCTATAATTGTTGACTGCCTTGCCGCAGACACCATGGATTTGACGTTGAGGTGATGCGAACTGGACAAGTCTACTTGTCGTCTGTCGCTTCAAACGCCGAGATCAGGCGGGTTCCACTTGTTCAAGTATCCCAGTAAGGACAGTACAGGTTCAATCGTCATGACGATGCGTTTCCTTGCGTACCAGAATAGCCGATAACACGAATAGGATCTGTGAAGTTAGGTGTAAGGCTCGCAGGCCCGACTGCTTTGCAAAAGACAACTTTCTGAGCCAGGTCGACCAGTTCAAGCCTGACAGGCAAATATGAAGCGTGGGTCGCGCTTTTCTCCCAGCCTTCTGCAGTCTCCAACACCCTGGCCGGCGCATCAAACGGCAGAAGGCGCCCGAGTAGGCCAGTGTCGCCATCGCGTATAACCCTATCACTTCGCCTCTGAATCCTTAGATCCCAAGTCTCCGGTAGCTGTGCCTCGTTGAAGTGAAAAGCACGGAAGAGCGCACGCAGGAGCCAAGTTTGCCTGTCGACCGCTCCAATTTCGAGCACGGCTCGTCGTTGCACTTCCTCTTGCTGCACGATGTACTTGTCCACCGTCTCTTTCGTAAAAGCCAGCTCAATACTGTCCGCACGCTCTCCAGGCGCGACAAGATGTTGCGCTTCGGCTCGCAAGTAAGCGTCGGCTTGCCAGTGTGCAAGCAGATCTGTGCATCGTCGAAGTGGACTTGTGAACCGCACATATGCCGTACTATCCAAGTATATGTGCGGTATTGGTTCAGATAAGCTCAGCTGAAGGGGGAATTGCTTGATTTCGTTCTGGGACATCCTATTGAGCACGGATAAAGGATAACCGGGCTGAGGTATCGCACCCGTAAAGCAGACAGGAATACCTCGAGCGGCGAACCACTTTCCCGCGGACTCGCCCGCCAGAACCATGGTCAAACCCGTCAGGCCTTCGAATTCCTCGCGCTCTGAAATCCTGAATGTCTTTTCGTGACGTAGACTGGAGTATTTGATGGCTGGATCGCCCAGGGAATGGTAACTCCGAAACAATCGATCAGGAGCATCATCTTGCTGCACATGGTCAACGCGAACAGAGGCAGGGTATATGGTGAGTGGAAAGGTGGCATGCTCAGTTATCTCTCTGCGTCGTGCTCGGCTGCGAGCCAATAAAAGCTTGTGAAGTTTTTGAAGTGTTTGCTGATGCTTCCGAGCTGTCTCAAGTTGTGCTTCTGGTACTGGCTCTTCGAAAGGCAAGGTCGTGCCAGCCTTCTGACCGAGATAGAGATAAGCGCTTTCTGGCTGAGATCGCCCCAGCACGGCTTCCGCCGCGGCAGGTTGGAGGCGAATAACATTATGAATCGTCGTTGGTCGAAGCTTAATGTCCCTGACCTCGCCATCTTCTGTCAGCAAAGTACTGACCGTGAGTGATGGTGCGCCTGCGCGGAGGCTCATAGCCTTTCCGAAACCTTCTGGCACCATTGGAAAATAAGAAGGGATGTAGAGGGTCGCGCCCAGGTGGTTCGCCCTTTTCGAAAAAATGTGTTCGGGGCCTATGAAGGCGGAAGGATGCGCAACATGAACATGTATCCAATACGTTCCAGGTTTGTCGTTGTTGGCTTCGAGGGAGTAAGCATCATCCCTGATCCGCGTCGATTCGCCATCTACACAGAAGATGGGCATGTCTCCAAGGTCATGTCGTAGAGAGGCCATTGAGTCTTCGAGCAGTTCGTGGTGAGGGTTCTTCGTAAGTCCAAGCTCATCACATGCTCTGTCGGACTCGGCGCAGATGTCGTCGAGTTCAGGAGCGGCCCTGCTTCCAGGGATTTGGTAGCCGATGTTGTGATAGACTGGATTTGCCCACGGAGCAAGGACCCCCATCTCTTGTAGAAGGAGGCTGCCAATTTTGCGTTCGAGTCGTAACTTGGGATATGCACCGATAGCTCGTAAGATAAGAGAACCGATCGAATGGTTGCGATTCTTCAGTGCAGGCCAGGGTTCACGAACGTAACAGTCCCAGAGGAATTCGAGGATTATCTTGTCCTGCTCAGAGAAGTCTACTCCGGTTTCTTTCGTGGCGATCTTGCCATTTGACATGGACTGAATCGAGCTAGGTCCAAGAATGCCCGTTGTCGTGGGAGAACGCAAAGCCCGACTTTTGAGTATCAGACGTCTGGCTTTGTCGACAAAAGCGCTTAACGGATTCCGTTCAAGGTCATGCGAGACATTCTTCCCAAGTGCAGCCTCAGCAGCAGATTCTTGATACTGTCGCGCCCACCCACAAACTGTCTCGTTGCCCCTTACTAACCTCCGAGGCAAAAACGTGAAAGCCTCGGCGTCTTTTAGGCGACAGGCGGGCTGTATGGTGTCCGGCCGCTTGTTCAGCGCGAGAAACACCGAGACTTGGGCGGCATAGGGAAGTTGATCTCGGCCAAGACCAAACAGGGTTCGGAAGATATCGTCGTAAGAGACGTAGACATACTTGTCGTCATGTGCAATCTGTTCGTAGATGGTGTCCAAGATTGGAAGGTTGTCTCGACGGAAGCCATTCACATCGTCGCGAAGCTTTTCAAGCCTTTGCTTCACATCAGCCGCGGCGGCATGAGGCACATCATCAGCGAAATGCCTGAGTACTTTGAGAGCATGGCCATCCTTTGTTTTTTCCAGTTGCTTCACCGGAAGATGCTTTTTGATGGACTCAACCTCCGCAGCAGATGCGAAATTTCGGAAGACTGGACACACTGCTACGTCGACCCTGTCCTCCACAATCCACCGTCCATCCTCGAGAAATATTTGATACTGAAACCCCACCATGGCTAAAAAGACACCAAACTGCGGGCGACCTTTAACCATGCGGGAACGGAAATAAAACAGATCGCCTGGGTTTACAAAATTCGCAAAGTCCCCCCAAGTACCTTCCTCGGACTCATCAAGTTCCCCTCCTGATTCAGGCTCATCATATGGTGTCTCTTCGATGAATAGGGATTGTGGTAATGTAGATAGCCTCGCCGAAGTGTTGTATTGTGCTTCAGCATTTTCAGCCTGGTTTCTCTGATTTTGCAGGCTCCATGCTCGAAGGTGATCACGAATAACAGAGTTCTGTGTGGATTTCTGTTTGGAGGTCGGACCCAGGACGTCAGGTATAGAGTTGTGCCGTGGATCGGAAGTGGCAGGACTCTGAGATGTTTGTGCTTGACTTCGCGATATGCCCGTACTACTCAGAGGTCTTGCGCTGTACGATGGTCTGCGTCGTCCCCTAGCGACATTGCCACTGATTGTGCCAGTGGCATCGTCAGTCTTTCGTTGCAGAAGAGTTGGGAATTGACGCCGCAGGTGGCGATGGCATGCTGGGCAGACGTATGGCGTTTTGTGGACGCTCAAGGTGCGTATATGAGTTCCGGATGCCCACATATCCTGGAGCGGCCTCGTCTGTGTATGGTGATATGTGGAAACAGCAGGGGCGCTGAGGTGATGTGGACAGTTGATGTCTGGTGAACATCGCGTCCTGCGTCTGTCTGCGGCGCCGCGATCCAAAAACTTCTCCGCACCAAAAAGTCGGGCCACGAGGGCCAAACCCATTTCTCCAAAAGGAGTTAGTCAGCATTTGACCACTGAATTGCCTTCCACGTAAGTACCAGTCATCTTCCTCAGGCTGCGTCACGGTCGGTGAGTCAAGAAGGTCTCGTCCGTCAAATGCTATATCTCGGGACAGACGTATCAACTCTCCTGAATCGATGTTCAAGCAGTCGTTTGACCAGAGCTACACCAGCATTCTGTTACGATCATCATGCCTATGATCCAGCAGCCCGCAAACCAAATCAAACTGACCAACGTTTCTCTCGTGCGGTACAAGAAGGGCAAGAAACGATTTGAACTTGCATGCTACAAGAACAAACTACTAGAGTACCGGTCAGGAACGGAAACCGACCTCGACAATGTCCTGCAAATCCCTACCATTTTTCTCAACGCCACGAAAGGCGAGACCGCACCCAATTCCGAGCTGGTAAAAGCCTGGCCGCCTACTTCGCAGACCTCGGAGCCGTCGCACGGGGGGAAGTCAGGCGGCAAAGGCGGCAAGAAGGGAAAGGGCAAGTCGGCAGATGAAGGGGACCCCGAAAAGTCATGGAAGGACGCAATCATTGAAGAGATCTTGAAGAAGGGAGAGATCCAAGTCAACGCCAACGAACGGAAGGAACTTCTGGACAGAATGGAAAAAGAGATTGTGGAAGAAGTCGCTCAGAGACTCGTTGACCCTCAGACGAAAAGAGTATACACAACAGGCATGATCAAGAAAGGTCTGGACGTCCTGACCAAACAAGGCGGTCATGCGCCACCACAAGACTCGCTCGGGCACAAATTAGGCAAATTGAATTTGGGCGAAGGAGTTAGGAAAGGTGCCGCAGCGCCCAAAGGATCCAGCGAGACGAGCGGCCAAGCAACACCGATGACCGACGACGACAACGACTCCTCAGGGACCACGAAAGCAAAGAAGAGTGACATGCCAATGTGGACGGGAGTGGTGACGACCAAGTCAGTCAAGCAGCAAGCACTGGAGGCCATTCGGGCTCTCATCGCCTGGCAACCCATTCCTGTCATGCGAGCCAGGATGAGGCTACGAATCACGTGCCCGACAAGTATCGCAAAACAGGCTACCAAGTCGAAAGCTGCCAGCACAGAAGACGGTACTGAAGGCGACCAGAGCAAGAGCACAGGCACTATCAAAGACAGGATATTGTCGTACGTTGAGCAGATCGAGAGCCAGGAGGTTCTCGGTGACGACTGGGAAGTAATCGGATTCGTCGAACCAGGTGCCTTCAAGGCACTGGGAGAATTATGTTCCGCCGAAACCAAAGGCAAAGGAAGACTGGAGGTTCTGGATATGGCAGTTACGCATACCGACGATTGAGCTTGTTGGCTTTGCGTCCAGCCGTCTGCCGGTGGCGCCGGTGATCAGTCCGCGGAATCGCACTTGTGAATTCCCAGAAAAAGGACCTACCGCAAAGCGTCGAAAGTGGCCGAGTTACTTTCTACCATGGAAGAGGGAATCCGGCTCGAAGCAAGAGAGAGTGCAACCCGTGCCCATCATTGCGGTGGTGCATGCTGGACATGCAGTGAGGCAGTCGCATCAAGACCTCGGGTGCCGTGTCTCACAAAAGGTTGGCATCACCTCCTAGCAATAGTCAGTGGCTGAACCATGGCCTTTTGCAGAAGGAGTACTGTTCACGACGTTTGGCCGACAAGAAAAGAGCAATCACCGTCAGGCCCGTGCTCGAGACGATGGAACCCTGCGCCCTATACGCTTATGCAAGCGTCTCATGCTTCTTGCTCCGGACGAGCGTTTGAGCGAGCGTTTCTCCGAGCAGTGGGGAACGAAGCGAGGACATGGGGACGAGATGACTCTAGGTACAAGGCTGAAAGGTGTGATAGATCAAGAACCAGCAACGCCATAGGGCGGAGAAGATAGTAAACAGGTAACGTGTAGAGAAAAAGCTGTGGTTGATTCAGCCCACCACTGAGGGATAGCATATGCCATCTACGCTGCCAGTGTATCCGTATATCATAAGTCTTGTTCCAGTCCAAGCCGTTGCTGCCGGTAGCCCATCCAGCCAGCATTGTAGTTTTTCTCTAAACCCGTATCAGGATCTATACCCTGCCGATCCTCCACTCAGACGTCCCGTCCGGGGATCACAAAAACTCCAGTCCCCGAATGCTAAAGAATGCTTCATCACAAAATAATGGTTCCCCTCACAGAAATGTCTTGATAGTCGTTGCCCTCATCCCCCCTGATCCAACACACTTGTCAGGTCATGGGTTGATAGTTTTTCGAATCTTTGGTTATACAGATGGCGAAGTCTTGTTTAAACGGTATAAGTATAAAGTGTCTTTCTTCAAGCGATAGCTGCGCGCCGCCGCGACGGCATCTGATATTCGTCTTCTTCGGCAAAGATTTTGGGTTTTAATGAAGCGCGAGTCATGGCTTGTTCGAGTTCCTCGACGGTGAATGGCGTGTCGTGGACGGTCATTTGCTTTGACAGCATGATGTCGGGAATCTCCATGCCGATGCCGCTGTCGTGCTGAACAAGTTTCATGTTGAGCTCGGCAGGGGCGGATGCCACGGCGGTGGTGTGGTCGGATATCGATGCTAGAAAGGTATATATTAGCGACAGGAAATGCAAGATAGGGTGGAAGAAGCATACTGCTTGCAGTCTCGATATCTAGAGCTGTGCTGGCGGAAATGCTCGCGCTGCCTGAGCTGCTGATGCTGCTGTCCGTATGGGCTTCAGTCCTCAAGTTCGATCGGTGAATGTCGAACGAGGGTCGTCTGCTGGGGGCTCGGCTGGCGATCCGGCTAGCTGCTCGGCTCTGAGCGTTTGTGCCTCTAGGTGAGAATGTGCCGGATAAGGCTGCGGAACTGCGTTTTTTGGCAGTTGAGAAGGCGTCGGCGAGGGAGAAGGCGGCAAGGCTGGCTGCGTGCTCCGGGTCGATTTTGCCTTTGTATTTGGATTTGGGAATCTCATTGGGTTTATAGTATTCGATGTCGGTGCGGTCGGTGTAGTATTTTTCACCCGTAGGCGAGCACTCTGGGAAGCTGCTCTTTTTCGTCGAGGAGGAGGAGAACGTCTTCCGTAATTTGATTCGTAGACCCATCTTGCTGAGGCTTTTGAAGTGTTATCGGATAGTGGTTGAATTGAGCGCGGATGTCGTCCGGCGATGTTCGATATACAGCATAGGAGACCTGAAGTGGCTTATCTTCGAGGTCGTCCGTGCGTATGGGTGTCGGTGGTTGTTTGCTTCGTTGTTTGTCGTATGGCAATGGTCGTGTCACATAGGTTTGATACAGAGAAGAAGACAGGGAGGGTTTCACGGAAGGATATCCATCCTAAATCAGCGCAGATATGGGGAACGGGTGGCCACCGGCATATCAGTTCGGTTGGCAACCACAGACTGGAGAGTGACGAAGCAGTGGACAGAGGGTGCTCTGGGTCTGGATACAAAGACAGTGGGGGCCCGGGGGACAGTGGACAAACCTGGCGTCGAAGTCTGGGATAAGACGGTCGTTGTGTGAGTGCAACACAAGATATGCGTGATTGTGTATCCACTTCCAAACATCGTCTTTATCGCAAGTGTTCAGAAGTTGTAACATGCAGGATCCATAGGAGGCAAAGAGATGAACTTGACAGGCCAGAAGCAGCTGAGAATAAGCCTGGAGGTATCCGGCGATTCCGCCCTTGTGCCTCCCATAGGCTGCCCAGCCCCTTCTAGGCCTGTGCTCCGAGCGGCGGAGTATGACGGGAAACCCAATTGGGCAACCAGCCAACTTTCTGGTGGGCTCTTGATCCTCCTATGCTACCTCACTATTCCTTTTATTTCTTTCTCCTTTCAATTTCTCCGTTCTCCAGTGTTGTCCACATATGTAACTTACCGTCATAAATTGGGGTTACGGAGATACCAGGGACGCCTGCATCAAGCAATATATGAGGCATGCAAGACTCAACAAATGGTCAAAAGAGATGTACCTGCTTGTCAGGGCACATGCGATCTGCACCTCGTGTTAAGTCAAAAGGAACGTGAGTGTCACCTTCTAGAAAACGTTCGGCCAGGGGTCTCGCCCCCGATATCGACCGTGACTGGCTGCTTGTGTGGCAGCTTGCATGTTCCTTGCATTGGGGGCGGCCTGGCCGTCCAAAAGTCAAGCGTGGCATGTTGACCTGTAAGATCACCCTGGCCTCAGCGTGCGTCCTACAAAATCGGGTGATCTCGCAGATGCCCGACCGAGCTGCATTGATCCGTAGATAGGCTAAATAAAAGACCCGTGGAGCACCGTGTTCTTCTGATAAGCGACCCGTGCCCATGTGTACACCAGGTGTTTTCACCTCCTTTACCTTCTTAAACTCGGAAAGCACATGCTAGTCCAGTACTCAGAGATAAGGAAAACGTTGTCGATACCCATCCTTGCCATACAGCGGTCTTATCCTGCTCTAGACAGCCGTTGGTAGCGTGACTAGTAATGAAAGTCTCGATGAGGCAACAGAGGTACGAGTACCAGGTACTTCCGGTGGCAGTGCGTGGCAAAGCAATCCACCAGTCTCGCCACGAGACAATTTGCTTCGGCATTGACTCGGCCCAGCTCTTGGTCACGTGTATAGCAGAATCACATGACGTTGCTGTCACGTGAGTTATGGTGAGCAGATGTCGTCATCATATCACGATCTTCCAAGTTCCAAGGTTGCCAGTGAATCTTCAGTCCGGTCTTTTGCGAGGCTAAATACACAGTAATAGTGTTAAAGAACGCGTGGCAGAGAGTTCGTTCAAACCTCGTTATGTTAGTCCTTGCGGAGTAGGTTGCGTTGCTTTTGGGGCATGGTTTTCTCCAGAAGGCTGAAAAAGCGGGCAATGATGTGCAGCTTGCCAGGTTTTAGCGAACATGTTTGTGGGTTGGCGCTATGAAGCTGACCATACATATCAAGGAGACTCTCTTATGGTAACATTTGGGCTTGGACGATGACTTCATCAGTATTACTTAAAAGCTGGAGAACTGACCAGCGGTCAAATCTCAGCAGAAGTCAACAATGAATCTTTGCACAACTTCAATGCTTTACCCCACCACAAAAGAAAGGCTTCACTTTTCCCAGTGGCTGAAATCTGTGTATTGGGCGAATTGGGCATCATGATCTCCCCGCCTTATGTGGCTTTTTACCCGCAAGATTGACGTACCATGCACCGAGGTCTGTGACCGTACTCCGTAGCTTTGCCTTGATTCAAGGTCATTTGGCGTTTGATGTAGGACGTGCAACCAAAATTTATGACGCAACGTCGAACACAATGGTGCAAGCATCCTGAGCTTCACCGTGTCCTCATCTCGAATTGTGTTTTTGAAAGGGAGTCTCTTTCATATGCGACATTCTTCTTCTTACCGACTCGCGTCTCTAATTCCTCCAGTTTGAAGTAGGCAGGAACGAGTATGGACAAGATCAAATCTCTACTGTGAGTAATGATGAAAGTCTAAAGTGATCCACGAGAAGCACTAACCAACTTGCATGGAAATAGTAACAAGGAAGCGGCTGAAGAACCTAACAAGACCAATACATCTGCCAGACTGACTGGCCAAGGTTCACACTTTCACAAGGACGATCAGAGTGAACCTACTTCGTCTGGCTATCTTCAAGGTATGTTCATTTGAGCCCAACTGCAATTGTCTCATCACTCTTTGCATCACACTCATACCTCTCAGGCACAGACGCGAGGCAACCCACTGGACCTACCTCTGACGAAGAACTTGGTACTGTTGCTATTAGCGAGACATCCACCTACCGCAAGCACCATCTACCGAAGGGGGATACTGTAGGCAGCGTCATCGACCCAAGCTCAACCGATCCTACCACGTACAGGATGCCCGAGCACACATATCAAGCAAACACTGGAGTGCCGGCCGGATCAGCAGAGACGGCTGCCACCTTGGCTTTCAAAGACTTGGACCCAATTGGTATGGACTAGCACATCTTGATGAGGTTGATGCAACTTACTGACCTGTATTAGCTTCGCAAATTCCAGGCGCATTTCCCAAAGATGATTCTATGACCGCCAAATCCACGCGCGGAGATTCGTCTGCAGCTGCTGGAAGTGGTGGATATGGGACTTCAAGAGAACCGTTCGGCACAAGTGGCACACAAGATGATACTGCTGGAGCCGGCTATGGAACATCCAGAGAGCCATTCAGCACCACTGGCACACAAGATGGAACTGCTGGATATGAAACATCAGGGGAGCCGTTCGGCACAAGTGGCGGCGAAACTTCCACCACTGAGGGTACTGGATACGACACATCCAGAGAGCAATACGGCACCACTGGCACACAAGTTGATACTGCTGGCTATGAAACAACAAAGGAGCCATTCGGCACAACTGGCAGCGAAACTGCTACTTCTAGAGATGCTGGGTATGGTTCGTCCAGAGAGCCATACGGCATAACTGGCGGCGAAACTGCTACCTCCAGAGGTGCTGGGTATGGATCGTCAAGAGAACCATTCAGTGCTTCTGGCACACAAGATGCAGCTGTCGGAAATTCTGGAAGTGGAACATCAGGAAAGCCATTCCGCTTTTATGATGCTCTAACCGTTGGAGACTCGGACGTGACAAACACTTCTTCTACTGGTGATCGATCAGTCGACTCCACCACTGCAACCGATGAGACAAGCAAGTCAGGAACTTTCGGCAAAATTTTAGGAGCTGTAGGACTTGGTAGTGCAGCTGGCGGCGCCGGTGCTGCAACTTCGAGAGCAGGTGAAAGAAATCAGCCGGATGTTGTGTCAGACACTCAATCTCAGCCGACAACCACTACTGGCGTTGACTCTTACACTGCCCCTACACAATCAGGACCATCAGCCTATTCCGGCCAATCAACCTCCTCTGCAGGTCGCGACTCCTACGGCGGTCCTACTCAATCAAGGGGCTCGTCTTCTCACTACCGCAAAGAAAGCATCCCTACCACCGCGTATCCTGCAGGCATCAACTCTCCTTCGCCTATCAACCCTCCTATCGGTGGCACGAGTGAGGCTGTAGATGACTCGGATCGTCACCACCACACCAGCCGCGATGCTGGTTTAGCTGCCGCTGGCGTTGGTGCAGGTGCTTTTGGCGCACATGAGTACGAGAGAAATCGACCACAACATGACGATTTCACAACTCAGTCTACTCCAACATCAACCGGGGAAATGACTTCCACAGCTGGTTCTTACGCGCCTGCCACAACTAGCTCCGGTCTGGGACGTGATACCTCCAATACCGGCGAATCTGATTTCACAGCTCCATATGACACAGCCGGGCCTGGTCCCGAGCGAGACACCGGCTATGGTAGGACTGCTGGTGCTGCTGACCTAGGTGCCGGTGCTGCTACAGGTGCATACGGACTGGAACACAACAGAAATGAAGGAGACGCGGGTGAGCTACGTGGTCAAGATCAGTACACAACCACTCAAGCCGAGTCTCAGCCGCAAGCTACTACTGGACAGATGCCTTTCCGTGACAATACACGTAGCGCAGCCACACCTGGCTCAAGTAGCGGGTTCGATCCTGCGCAGTCAGGACAAGACGATCGTCATCTCGGACGTGACGCCGCTCTTGCTGGGGCTGCAGGTACTGGCGCCGCAGCCTACGGCGTGCATGAGTATGAAAAGAAGGACCGTGCCGAGCCTACCACCCAATCACTTTTTGCGAATTTACACGGTTCCGGCCGTGACCTTTCGGAAAGCCAGCCAACTACTCAGGGCAACCAGTACGGTTCTGGCCGCGACGCATATGGAAGCCAGCCTACTACTCAAGGCAATCAGTACGGCTCTGGCCGCGACGCTTACGGAAGCGAGCATACTACTCGAGGCAACCAGTATGGTTCTGGCCGCAACGCATATGGGAGCGAGCCTACTACCCAGCGAGGACAGGATGATCGCCATTATGGACGCGACGCTGCTGTAGCCGGAGCCGCAGGTACTGGAGCCGCGGGTGCATACGAATATGAGAGACATCGTCCAGAGCAGACCACAGGTAGTGGCCGTGACGTTTTTGGCACCGAGCCCACCACCCAATCCACTCAAGGCAACCAGTACGGTTCCGGCCGTGACACTTATGGAAGCGAGTCTACCACCCAAAGAGGACAAGACGATCGCCATTATGGACGCGACGCTGCTGTAGCCGGAGCTGCAGGGACCGGCGCCTTGGGTGCGTACGAATATGAAAAGCATCAGCCGGAACAAACCACTTCTTATGGCCGTGACATTCCTGGAAGTGATCCAACCACCCAATCATCTCGAGGAAATCAGTACAGTACTGGCCGCGACGCCTATGGAAATGAGCCTGTTAGTCAGCGAGGACAAGACGATCGTCATTATGGTCGCGACGCTGCTGTAGCTGGAGCCGCAGGTACAGGCGCGTACGAATATGAGAAGCACCGTCCTGAACAGACAACTGCTTATGGCCGTGACGTTGGTACGAGCGAGCCTGCTTCTCAACGAGGGCAAGATGACCGCCATCTTGGCCGCGACACTGCTGTAGCAGGAGCCACAGGTACAGGCGCGTACGAATACGAAAAGCATCGTCCCGAACAGACAACTGCTTATGGCCGTGACGTTGGTACGAGCGATCCTGCTTCTCAACGAGGGCAAGATGACCGCCATCTTGGCCGCGACACTGCTGTAGCAGGAGCCACAGGTACGGGCGCGTACGAATATGAGAAGCATCGTCCTGAGCAGACCACTGGCTCTGGCCGCGAAGAGCCTACTACCTCCACCAGGGATACCAGAACCGCTGCTCCGGCCTCTGAGAAAGCCACAAGTCGCCAGCAAGCAACTGAGCCCGAGAAGGAGCAGAGACACACTGGTCGGGATGCTGCACTTGCCGGTGCTGCTGGTGCAGGTGCAGGTGCACTTGGAGAGCATGACTACAGCAAACAGGAGGCTGAGAAGGCCGAAGCTCAGAGACAAAAGGACCTGGCTGAGCAAGAGGCCGCACGTCAGAAACAGTACGAGAAAGACCAGAAGGCCGCTGAGAAGCAGGCACACAAGGAGGAAAAACAGCATGCCAAACTTGAAAAGAAAATCGAGAAAGAGCACAAGAAGGATGAGAAGCAGCACCACAAGGAGCTTGAGAAGGAGGAAAAGCACCATCAAAAGGAGGTTGCTGCTGCGGAGAGCGAACAGCACAAGCGACATGAGAAAGAGGCTGCCGGTGCCGCTGCCGTTGGAACTGGTGCCGCCGCTTATGGTGTCCATGAGCACAATAAGAAGCAGGATGCTTCACAGCTCTCGAGGGACGAGCATGGCTTCCGCGAGCCGGCAACTGCTGGTGCTGTTGGAACTGGTGCTTATCCCAGTGGTGAACATGGACGTGGTGTAACATCCGAAGACTCGGATCGCAACCGCTTGCACAAGGATCCACCACAGCAGAAGAAGCAGGGTATTCTTTCACGCATTTTCAAGCGACGCAAGAACAAGGATACTGGAGAGGATGAGGATTACAGCACAGACGAGGAAGACACCACACATCATCATCGCGGTGCTGAAGCAGCTGCCGTGGGTGCGGGCGCGGGCGGTGCTGGTCTTGCTGCTGCAGATGCTGATCGTCATCACGAGCGCAATGCAGCTGGAGATACCACGGCATCTGCAGGTCAAAGCACAGGCCAAACTTCCTATGAAGCACAGAGTGGTGGTCTGCAGAAACCCTCGTACAACCCTTTCTCCAAACAGGACCCTAGCGCAATGAGCGCGCAGTACACATCCAACCGTACAGCCGACACGAACCTTGGAGCAGGAGTCGGTACAAACCAGTATGACGGTGGCTACGAGACCCGACAAGGTGAGACAGCGACCGGTACCCAAGGCTACCGCGATGCGAACGAGGGACGATTAGGTGTCGATCAAGGTACGACTGGATATGGGTCTTCGACTGGCGCCGGTGTTGCTGGTACCGGAGCTACAGCAGGATCCGGCCAACAACAAGGAGGTTTTGTCCACAAGATTACCGAGGAGTTGAAACCCCTGCCAGAGGAGCATCACTATCCAGGCAATCAACACTCGCATAATGCGCGCGAGTAGATCAACTGCGTCACAGCCGATGTTCCACTTGTCGCTCATCTTGCTATGTGCCTACCGAGCTCAATGCCTTCAGTCCATACTCCTCTCTTTTCGATCACATGATACCAATGTTCTTCATCGGCTTGCTGGGATGGTTTCACGTGGTTTGCTGTATGTTCATACGACGCTGGATCGTGGTGAATACTTCGTTGATCCCGCTTACCGGCCATAGCTAGGTAGCTAAGTACTAATATAAAACCTGGTCTGAATTTCACCAATTCTACTGATATGGTTCCTTAACGTTACCAAATAAGCCTGCTCCAGGAAAAGCGGCGCTGTTTGGCCAGTGTCGCATCTCAAGTTCAAATAGGTGCTATTTCTTATTGTCATCTCGGAGTCCTTCGCACACAACGATAGAGCCTTGGCCTTTGTCAGAATGGAGGTCATCGGCTCTAAAAGAATCATTTTCTCTAGCTTAGCGTCCTGCAAGTTCTTCTAAGAATGCAGCTCTGGGATATAATACAACGCGCTGAAAACTTTCACAGACACCAAGCCCCGCCCCTTTTCCCTTCTGACTCCGCATTGGTAGCGAATGCACGCTTAAGGTGGAATACATGATGATGTTTTGGTAATAGTGGAAGGGAAAGCATTTCTCTCGCCATGTGGCCATGCCCACCGATATCAACTTTTGTCTCCCCTTTCCTTCCAGGAATGGTAAAGAGGTCAATCATCCTCATCAGCATGTTGTTCACGTTCCCTCTTGACCCTACCCTCTCGAGCCTCTCTTGCAGCCGCAGCAGCAGCGACAGCAGCATCTCGAGCGCGTTCCTAACGACTTCTCTTGGTGTACAGCCGGGCGGCGATGTTCATGCTCCAAAGCTCTTGGAACAAAAGCTTGGCCGCATAGGGGATATGGATCTGACTGATCTTGTTCTTGTTGTTGCAATTCTTGCACTCAAAAGTGTTCTTCTTGAGCTTGGCGATGACCGTCATCAACCCGCAGATGTCGCATACATGCACTCTGAACGGATCCGAGACATCGAACAGGCGCTCCTTCAAGAACGAACTGGCGCCGTGGGCAATCATGCAATCGCGCTCCATTTCTCCGAAACGTAGACCACCGTCTCGTGCACGACCTTCGACAGGCTGGCGGGTGAGAATCTGTGTAGGACCACGAGCCCGAGAGTGGATCTTGTCGTCGACCATGTGCCGCAGTCGCTGGTAGTACGTTGGGCCAAGGAAGACCTGGGCCACCATCTTGCGGCCCGTGTGGCCGTTGTACATCACCTCGAAACCGCGGGACTGGTAGCCCATTCTGCGGAGGATGTCCGAGATCTGGGTGACGGTGACCTTAGTGAAAGGCGTGGCGTCGCCTTCATCACCACGGAGTGTGGCGACCTTGGACAATTGACACTCGATCAAATGGGCAATAGTCATTCGAGAGGGAATGGCGTGAGGGTTGATGATCAGATCAGGTACGATACCTTCTCTGCTGAAAGGCATGTCTTCGTGACGGTATGTGATACCAATAGTACCCTTTTGACCGTGCCGGGATGCGAATTTGTCGCCGATCTGAGGAACCTTGGTTGTTCGCACTCGGACCTTGGCAAAGCGGTGGCCCTCCGCAGTGGTAGTAAGCATGACTTGATCGACAATGCCTGACTCTGTCGATCGAAGTGGTGTTGACACGTCGCGCTTGATGTGCTGTTTCTGTCTTTGGCCAAGCTCTTCGGCGTCGGGCGCCATAGGTGCTGTCTTGCCCATGATAATATCTTCACCACTGACACGGACTCCAGGAGCGACGATACCATCATCGTCTATCTTGTCGTATGTACCATGCTTGAGACGGAGAGTATCCGATCTCAAAGGCTTTTCAAATTGTTCGACGACTGAGTGTCCGACACTCTTTTCTTGATCTTGATAGGCACGGTAGAACAGCGACCTGAAAAGACCACGATCGATCGAACTCTGGTTCATAATGACGGAATCTTCCTGGTTGTAACCCGAGTAGACTGCGATTGCCACGATAGCGTTCTGTCCGGCTGGAAGTTCTCGGAACTTCAAGTAGTCCATAGACATTGTTCTGGCTAGAGGTTTCTGGGGATAGTAAAGAATGTTCGACATCGTCTCCATGCGCTGGTCGAAGTTTGTGAGGAAAACACCCATGGCTTGCTTACCCATAGCCGACTGGTAAGTGTTACGTGGTGATTGGTTGTGGTCGGGGAAGGGGATGATGCTTGCGCACACACCCAGAATCATACTTGGATGGATCTCGCAGTGAGTGAAGGTATGGGAGAAAGGATTGAGGAGAGGGTCGTTCCTGCTGAGCGGATCTTCCTCGCCCTCGATCTCCATACCTAGCCATCTCGCTTTCGAGTCGGCCAATGCCTCGGGCGTCATGACTAACATGGCAGTCTCTTCTTCTTCAGCGTCAAGATATTCCACTACACCAGATTCGAGGAGGTCTTGCCAGCCATAAGGCTTGACTTCGTCGTTGAACTGGAAGCCACTTTCTTTCAAGTACGCTGTTTGATCGAGCTTGTTGACGTGCTCTTTGTTCAAGACGAGGTTTCCAACATTCTCGGACGACCGATCTGTCTCGACGACGAACAAGGGACGGACGATTCTTCCGGAATCACCAGAGATCTTGAACTCTTTTTCACGGATGTCCCAGACCAGACTGACCTGAGAATCGAAAACAGCTTTCCTTCGGAGTTTGCGCAGGTCATCGACGAGACGCTTGGGATCTCGCAGGACGACTGCGAACCACACGCCATCCACAAAAACTTTGGTAGCTTGAGGATTTAAGCGAGGCTCCCAGTCTTCCAAGGCTTCCACATGTTTCGTTAAGACGTAGTTGACCAGAGGCCCGGTTTCGTAGGAGTTCGTAACCATGGACATTAGTGACAGATTCTTGACCAGACCACAGGCTTGTCCTTCAGGCGTTTCAGCCGGACATACATAACCCCAGTGAGTATTGTGTAATTGACGAGGCTTAGCGATTTTACCTTCTCGACCAATGGGTGCATTGGTTCGACGAAGATGTGAGAGGGTTGAGGCGAAGGTATAACGACTGAGCACTTGAGACACGCCAGCTTTGGCCTTGTCAAGTTTCTTTTGGTCACCCCAATTACCAGTGGCCAAAGAGTACTTCAATCCACTGGTGACGATCGGATGCTTGAATCCGGCCATCACATTGATGGGCTGGCCTGATTCGACGCGCTTCTGCATGTAGCGGTAGAAGTCCTTGGTCGCTTTGTCAAATTGCAGACGGAAGAGATTGGTCATTAGTGGTCCAGCCAGGTCCAATCGCTTCTTGCCAAGATGATCTCGATCATCTGGTTCTGCGCGTCCAAGAGCACATTTCAACAGGCGGTTGACCATGTAGCCAAGGAAGAAGGCTTTTCTCGCAGTAGCATCGGGACCTTGTCCGATATGTGGTAGGAACTCCTTCTGCAGGATGTCCGTAGCATGTTTCTGTCGTTCATGGGCCTTCAACGTCGGAACATTACCACGACGAGCAATGAAGTCTCTTGCGAGATCAGCGCCCTGTATAGCTTGACCCTCCTGAAGCGAGCCCATCAACATATCCATCATTTCTTTGTCACTTTGATCGAAGCAGATCTTCTCCAAGATATCTGCATCAGAGACGATATCCAAGGCTCGGAACACTATCACGAGCGGTATGTCTGCTTTGACGTAGGGTAGCTGGACTCGGATGGGATTATCGATCTTGGTACCTTCGGGACCATCGACTCTGCGGAAAAGTTTTACCGTGCATTGGGACATCATCCGAGCGCCACGGTCAATGACTGATCTGATTTCGGCAAGATGTGTGAATGGAGCCGGTGCAGCCTTCTGGAAGACCTGCACGATATTGCCGGCACTTCGTTCTTGAGCAATGAGCACCTTTTCACTGCCGTTGATGATGAAGTAGCCACCCTGGTCGTACGGACATTCTCCCCAAGCGAACAGATCTTTATCGCTTTGAAATCTGTCGCTCATGAGATGGCAGGTCATACTTCTGACCATGATCGGTATCTTCCCTATGTATACCTCTTTCTCCACTCCCTCGTCCTCTTCTGGTTCTGTGCTCTCACGCCAAAACAGCTCGGTGCCATCATCTTTCATCACGCCTTGATCTACACCTTCATCATCCCACGGTCTCTCTTTTGCATAATATGTTTTCTTCGTCATTTTCACAAAGACGGGACTCGCGTAGGTAAGACTTCGTAGTCGGGCTTCGTGAGGCATACAGTCGGTAGTAACGCCGTCGCCTTCAACCATGTTGGGTTTGCTGAGCGTAACTTTCCCAAACTTGACTTCGTGTCTCTTGATGACCACTGGATTCGGATCATCGTCGTCAACATTTTGCGCATGATCGAGCGTAACGCCTCCCTTTTCGTTGACCAAATCTTGTAGCCCGGATCTCATGAAATGGTTGAAAGAGTCGATTTGCATGGACGCGAGTTTCTTAATGTCAAAGAACGAACTGATGACTTTCCAGCAGTCTTCAGAAGTGATGTCCTGGTCGGCGGCAGCCTCATCCCCATAGTAGCCATCGGCCTCTTCGTAATCTGCCATGATGGGCGACCGGCTACCGTGAGTGAGAAGAGGATGAAGTTGTCCAGATGTCCTGGAAACTTTTGGTTTGGGTTGCCTCCTGCGCGCGACTCGGACTTGAATAAGCGCAGGCAGGCGGCGAGAAGGGGCCATTCCCGGTCTTGGCAGGTTTGGCAGGTTTTCACGTGATCATCCATGCAGTGAGCCTCTTTGCGTCGTCTGACACGGAGTACATCGACGATACAACTTCGAATTCCAGCAGGTTCACAACAGAGGATACCTTGACTGCAACTCAGTAGGACTGTACCGTACAGCTGATGGCATCCCTCCTGTCAACGGCCAGCGCTATATCGTTCTGTGTGAAGGCTTCCGAGATGACAATAAACATGGTATGTCGTTGAATACGACCAGCCACATCAGTCAGACTGGGCCACTTCTGCTGGAAACAGGCTCGCCATGCAGGGACAGAGGACAAAATTCGAATTGTGGCCTAGACACAGACTTAGCCTTGCTTCAACAGTCTCACGTTCACTTCGGGCATCGTGCGTGAAGCCGTGCATAGACTTAAGTGCGTGTCTGACTACAGCAAGTTCCACGCAATTCAATGCGAGTCCGGCGCAAGAACCCCCAAAATGTCCTCTCTGCCTGCCTTACACACATTGCATTTGGCGTCGTACGCCAGCAGCATCCGTACCCCTTCCAAGTGAAGAGTCGGTAGGTCTTGTTGACTCCACCAAGCACGACATCTCATGTGGCGGTCTCTCGTCCCAAAGTGCCTTCAATTCCGATGGTACATTCGGCCAATCTTCCGATGACAACGCTCTCTCTACGGCCCTCCGAAAGTTCTCCTACGTGCGTACACACTATCGTGGTAAGAATGCTAGCCAATGGCAGTGGGAGTGGGACGTTCAGACCCCGAACCGTTGATGTATACCTCATGCAGGATGTTTCACTACCCAGGTAGTAGCGCTTACACCGATCTTACGTTAACACGGGATGGCTATTGGCGCCCAGGAGCTGACCTGGTACTGCCAGCGGATCCCTGACTATATAAAGGAGCGGTGTCCGCAGAGTGCCTCTATCTGCTAGGTAGAAGTATGCATTCCGACTTCAGGACCAATTTGACACTCAGACACAGTCGATACATCTGGTTCCTATCCCACCCCACAATGCAAGGTCATTGCAACTGCGGATCGGTGACCGTTGAGGTCAATGTTCCCCCAAACAACGAACACAAGGGCTTTGTCTGTCACTGTCGGAATTGCCAGAAGTCCAGCGGCGCAGGTGCGTTGATTGATATTGTCACATCCTGGAGGTTGTGACAGGGAACTGATGTAGCGTCAAAGGTGGTGCCTATCTCTTAATGCTTCCTCTGTCGGACATCACCTTCAACGGACCTATAAAGCACTATCTGGACACAAACACCAACAGCGGGCGTGCGGTCCATCGCCATTTCTGTGAGACATGCGGCTCGTAAGTTGAAAGGCTCGACCGCAAAGACCCGGAAGCTAAAATAGGCGGCCTTGCAGGCCACTCTATGGACTCCTCAAGGAGATGATGCCTGGCACGGCTCGTGAGAACAACCGCTGAAACGCTGGAATTTGTGACTGATCCCTTTCCTGATACAGTGGTGAGGACGACGTTGTTCGATGAGTTCAAAGAGTCGCCGCCGATTCCAAATATGGAGTTGTATGTGAAAGATCGATGGTCTTGGGACCAAACCCTTCCTGGTGCCCAACAGTGTTCGGCAAATCCATGAAGCAATGACTTCCCGCCCTTTGCGTTGTGGAGGAAGAAGCCCCGGGCTTCAAGAGCATGAAGAAGAGGTTGGGACTCTTTCGACGCTTCGAGTTCAAGTAGCATGTTCCATCCTCATCCCAACATGCAAGCGGACGACGCTGCCGCCAACGCTGGTCTGGCCTGTAAGGCCGTGGCGTTGAAGTATGACTCTGGCGGGGACGTTGTGAGCGACTCCCTCCCTCGCCCAACTCGAGCTTGAAGGTCGATTGATGGGGATCTGGGATGGGATGGAATGCCGTGGACGTCAAGGACATGGTGTGGGCAGAAAGAAGGGGGTGTTCTTTGAAGAATGGGTATCATATTATGTATTATCAAATGTCATACATTTGTTGCTGGACCCGGTTAGCTCTTTTGTAACCGTGAAACATTGACATTCATTGCTCAACGCACAATAGCAATGCTTCGAGCATCTCTTCCGTGGCTTTTGCCTCGGCGCTTGCACCTGAATCCATCCCGTCAAGCTGGTCTCGCAGGCTGCGCTCGAGGACTTTCAATCCATCCTCCCCCATAAGGACGGCGATTGTCTGCCGGGCCCCATTATCCTCCGCCACCAACCAACTAAGTATCAATTCGAGAGCTTGTAGGGAGAACAGGCCGGCATCAAGCCGCCGAGACAGCCACTCGTCAGCATGCTCTTCCACGTCTGCAGCGTCCATCTCGTCTCGCTCCTTCTGGATCTGAGTGTCAGTCTTGACAAGCCTGGTCTTGTACTCTCGCCGCAATTCGACAAGCTTGAGTATCTTTTCATAATCGTTCTCGACGAACTTCGCCAGTGTTCGTATCCGTTCGGCAGATCCGCCCGGAAGATATCTCAACAGGCTGGCGAGGATACCGATTAGATGCTCGATCAGGATTCGTTCGATTTTCTGACTTTTCATGAGCATGCCGAAAATCGTCTTGAGTCCGGCAGCATCGACCAGTCGCATTGAGACCGCGATAGCGTTACCCCCACTCAGCGCGTGGTCAAGAACACGTAGTGCTCGTGCTTTGGCGAGTCGTGCTTCTCTTAGCATGATCAAACACAGTTCGACACCCTCTCCCTCGACGAATTTCTCGCCGGCGAGTTTTTCCTCGACACAGCAAGCCAAGCAGTCGAATAGGTTCTCCGCAAATTCTTCTTCGTCAGAGTCCTTCTCCGGGTCCCTCTTGCGATATATGCTCAACAATTCGAGAAGGGCGTCAACACCCTCTTTCTGGGCAAAGCGGTCTCGATTGCCTCTGTTGCTCTGCAGCAATATGGCAAGAATCTCTGCTGAATATTGTCGGTTTTGTCCAACCTTGCCACGGGCGTTAGTGTCGGCTCTCTTGATCCTCGCCAGCAGCCATTGCACTAGCGTGTCTTTGGATCCCACGACTTCCAAGTTCTCGGTATCAGACAGAATGTTCTCTAATACATTGAGGACATGGTAGACTCCGGATCGGTCCGTCTCGTTGTTTTCGTCAAGCCGGCCCAGATTGCTGGCCAGAAGATCTACCACGTCGCTCTTAATCATGGCCTGCACTAGGATTTTCCATTGATCTTCGTTCGTGGCGGAATCCTCATCTGTGAGTTCTGCAAGCAGTTCGCTAATTGCGATTGCGATGTCGGTGTTCTCGTGCGCAAGCAGACCAACCAGACTGCCTGCGCAGCCCAGTTTGACAAACTCCTCGTACAATTCGCCGTGTTCGCTCAGCAGGCTGAGGCCTTTTATCTCCCCATCCAAGTCAGCCTCGCTGCCCACGAACTTCATGGGGTCGCTCTCGTATTTGGCGCGCAGTTCGGCGTTCTTGTTGATCTTTCGCTCGAAATTGATGGCGGTTCGGCGAAGCCAGGGTGAGTCAATCTTCTCCTCCACCTCTCCGTCTTCATTCTTTTCGATATAGTCGATGACTTCGCGTTCCTGCTTGGTCACTCCTCCGCCAAAGAACCGCCCCTCTTCATCGTCCCCGTCTTCGTCCTCTAGATCCTCGGATGGCAGCGCCGGCCCGGCTTCGACGTCTTCTTCATCGAGGACTTCGTCTTGTACGAATGCCGCTTTACTGCCGGAACCGTTGGACACTGAAGACTCACGCGTCCCGTTGCTCGAACTGCGTGGGGAAGAGCCGTCGGTCAATTTGGAGGATTTGTTGGAGAGAGTGTGGGAGAAGGCCGCGGTTGGGTCTTGAAGTTTCCGTTTCCCACCAGCACCAGGCCTGCGGAAGAGGTCGTCAACAGAAGTCATCTTCGCAAGGAGACAGACGTCTCAAGACATCTTTTCGTTTGGTCAAGAATGCAGACCCAATGGCTGCAGGAAAAATGGAACGCAAAGAGTGTAACGATCCAAAACACTTGGAACCGTTCGGGATGTTTCGGTCATTCAAATTTCTTGCTCGGAGGACTTTCCTGGTTCGAGCCGCGGAGAAACGTCGGTAAACTTTGGCTTCGTCACCTCTTCAGCCGCCGTCCTTCAATAAGCGCTTGTACAATGAGTTTGTTGCCGGAAGCACTTCATATGATACGATACGATATATGATGGTTTAGTGCGAGGCTAGCAGACCACTGAGACCGCGCCTCGCAAACCTAGGACAACATGTAGAAGGAGGTGTCAACCAAAGATGGAAGCCTATCTGGTGAATCATACATTGGTCATTGCTCACTCACGCATATGCGTACTAATCGACGGAACTGCCGGAACCCGCCACTGTGATAGACGATCCCATACGGCAGCATGGATGCGCCTAAGGAGGGAAGAGCAGGCGAAGTACTAGTGCCATTGGGCTCATGTGAAAAGAACTGAAGGCGTTCTTCCATGCCATTATGGTTCATCATACCAGACATCCTCCATGCCGACCACTCCTCCACTTCCTGGTTCTCCTTTTAGCCGTCAGAGAGCAAGCTCATCTGCTTCATGCACAATGTCCAAGCTCGGCCGGCGACACTAATACTTCCGCTTGCGAACACTCTTTGCAACCTCATCAGCTTCACCTTCATACTCCTTGCCTTCGTGATAGTCTTTCTTTCGCATCGTCCCCACTCCCATACGTACTAGCTCCTGATCATCTTCGTCGCTATCCTCGACATTGTACAGCATCGGCAGCACAAAACTTTCTTCATCGCCCATCTTTCTTTCCACAGTCAAAACATCGACGACTTCGTCCTCTCGATCGAGTCGTCGTTTCTGGTGCTCCTCTTGTGGATACGTGTCGAACTCATCCTCGCGCTCAACGTATTCCACATTTTCCGTTACCTCGGTGAAATCAGGCGCCAGCGCCGACCACTTTTGTTGTGGCTCGATGCCCCAGATCTGGATACTCCCCGTTTCGATGCTTGTGCATGCTAGCATCGGACGTGCTGGATGCCATTCAATAATGGCGGGCTCCTCGCGGTTTTCCAGGATTCGCAGGAGTGAATTAGTGCGTAATTCCCAAATGTAGATATCTTTCTTCATGTAGGTGGATGCAGTGACATAGTCGGCAATGCCTGTGGAGGACGAATGGCTGAACGCGCAATGGTTCCACCGCAGACGATTGACCAGATCTTGGAATTTGTGTTCGGTAGTGAGAACAATGTTCTCAGCCAAAGTCGCTGGGTCGGGCTGGTCTTCTTCACTGGTGGGTTCGAAGGGTGGTGCAGTAGATGGCGTGATTAGTGATAAGTCGGGTAGGTTCATTGTGCGGATGATTCGGTCGGTGCTGTTGGCCAGGAGTTGGCGGCCATTGGATGTGAGGCGGAGCAAAGAAACGAGGCCGGGGGACACTTTGCTGGAATGGATGATTTTTCGTGATTCAGTCTCGAGGATGTTGATGTAGCCCTTGGATGTGCCGGTGATGATGTGGTTGCCAAGTATGGAGAAGATGGCGGATGTGGTGGCTTGTTTGTTCTCGGAACGCGGAATGTTGTCGCTCAACGGCGTGGTAGGCAAAATCTTCTTGATGGGTTCAGAATTGGTGATGTCCACAAGGTATGGTCGGTCTTCGAACAGTGAGGCGACGAACAGATTGTGGTTATAAGGGTGCAGTTCGGCGGTGTAAATCGGTGCCTCGAATTTCACCGTGCGTATTCGTTGTTGGGTCTGTAGATCCCAGAGACAGGCGCGGCAGTCTTGTGATGAAGTGAGCAGGTAACGCCCATCCCTTGACCAGCTCAGACTTTGAATCTGTTTCCAGTGGCCATGGAGTTTCATGGCCACACCGAAAGTCTCCATGTCCCTAGACGAGGTCAGTACGTTCTTGGCAACCAGTTCGCTGGAAATGAGGACAGTGTAGAAAGGGTTATAAGATACACAGTTCACTTACCATATGACGACCTTGCCATCGACTCTACCTGACGCGAGGTAGTCGCCTTTGCGACTGAAGCGGAGGGTGGTGGCATGGCCACATCCTGGTATGGTCAGTCTCTTAGGCTCATATTTTCGCTGCCGTGAGCATTGGCGCATCCGAGCTACGTACTGAGATCATTTGTGAGCGCGTCTGGAGAGTCTTGGGCTAGTTGAAAGGGGTCTATTAGTGCCAAATTCATGATGTGATTGTGATGTGGAAAATGCCTACGGATGCCATAGCGAAGAAATGTTGATAGAAGTCGCATGTTTCCGAATCGGTCCTTAGCGCCGCCTCACCCCTTACTGTTGCTGAGTCTGGATTCGAGGCATGGACAGATACAGCTTACGACCATGGAAAAGCACAAGGAAAAGAGGCCCAGATGGCCTAGATGGATCTCAATTATTTGTTTATATAGACTGTTATTTGTTTCGCGCACTAGGATGTTAATGTGAATGAATACCGCCTGCATTCAACGCAATCATAAAACACCAAGGCCTTCTTCCGCCGTCCTGCCTCTATTGCAAGGTTATGGATTCACATGGCACAGTCGACGGTAGTACCATATTGTGCAGTTCACTGACTGGATCCAGCAAAATCGAACTGTGAGAATGAGTCAAGCAGCAGTGAGATAGTCATTGTTTGACAAAGCGGATATATGCATCCGGTTCCTTTGTCTTCTTACGCCAAGGCCATTGTGCATGCTTTGGGAAGCAGCCACATCTCAAACATGTCGAAGATACTCTGTGATACTCATTGTCATGTTCCCTGCACATTGTGAAAAACATGAAGCATTGACTCATTCTAAGCAGGCAGTTGTTGTTGCGGCTCAAATGAAGGCAAATCTGGTCTGATATTGGCTAAACCTGTTTTGGCTTGGCGTTTGTTGGCGCCTGCGCTCTCCCTACATTGCTCTCAAAAATTCATCTGCCACCTCATACCAACTTCATCCTCTTCCCTCATCACCTTCCCTCCCCAATCATCTCGACTCGGCCGCGCTCACGAAATTACACGTCCCAGACGTCGAGTCGATCAGGAATCAGGAAGTTTCGGGTCAAAAATACGAGTATTGGTGGAGCGCGCAGCTGGCGAAGAGCGCATTGTTTTGGGTGGCCCGAGTGGGCGAAAGGTCGTTCTTGACCACATCGCGTAGCCATTTGCGCAGGCACTGCGATCATCGACGATCGTCCTGAAAAGTATCATCGCCTTCCAAGGATACACGAGCGATCATGGCGAGTCTCAATTTTCCCTACTCGAGCGCGCCTCTGCGCACCGTCGAGGAGATCCAATTTGGCCTGTTCTCGGCCAAAGAAACCGAACGCCTGGCGGTCATCGACATCGAATATCCTGAGACGATGTATGTAGAGAATAGAAAGACACATCCCATCGTGAATTGAAGTTTCTAACCTTTTGATACCAGGGATGAGCAACGCCTCAGACCTCGCGAAAAAGGTCCGAACGATCCTCATCTCGGAACAATCGATCGCAACTTCAGATGCAGTACTTGTGAAGAGAACATGGCTGAGTGTCCTGGCCACTTCGGTGCCATCAAGCTTGCTACTCCAGTATATCATTATGGCTTCATGACAAAGGTCAAGAAGATTCTGGAGACGGTCTGCCACAACTGTGGCAAAATCAAGGCACTTGATGTCAGTTGCTCTGCAATAGATGTGAATGCTTGTTCAATTGCTAACCACAGCTAAACACAGACTGAAGAGTTTCGACATGCAGTTTCTCTACGTGATCGAAAGCGACGTTTCGATGCAGTGTGGCGGTTGAGCAAACCTCGCCTCATCTGCGAAGCAGACCCTCCCGAAGAACCGGATCAACCTCTCAAAGGTGCCCTCCAACCCAAGCATGGCGGCTGCGGTAACAAGCAGCCAGAGATACGGAGACAGGGACTGTCATTGTGGGCTTCATGGAAACAAGAGAAAAGCGAGGACGGTGAAGATAACACACCTGAAAAGAAACGAATCTTCCCCCAGGATGCCCTCAACACTTTCCGCACTCTGACTGACGAAACTCTGGAAATGATGGGTCTCAGTCTCGATTACGCCCGGCCAGAGTGGATGATCTTGTCTGCGCTCCCTGTTCCTCCTCCACCTGTGCGTCCCAGCATCAGTGTGGATGGCAGCGGGCAAGGATCACGTGGTGAAGATGATCTTACCTTCAAGCTCGGCGATATTATTCGAGCCAACCAAGCGGTTCTGCGTACTGAGGTTGACGGCACACCAGACCATATCAAAGTGGATCTGTGCGATCTCTTGCAGTATCACATCGCCACGTATATGGACAACGAGATTGCTGGGCTGGAGAAGGCGCAACACAAGAGTGGCCGGCCGATCAAGTCACTCCGTGCTCGTCTCAAGGGCAAAGAAGGTCGACTGCGTCAGAACCTCATGGGTAAACGTGTCGACTTTTCGGCTCGTACTGTCATCACTGGCGACCCAAATCTGTCTCTTGATGAAGTCGGCGTTCCTCGCAGCATCGCACGTACACTGACATTCCCTGAGACTGTCACACCGTTCAATCTTGACAAGTTGAAGCGGCTTGTGGCAAATGGTCCAAACGAGCATCCTGGTGCCCGATATGTGATTCGAGACACTGGTGAACGTATCGATCTGCGACATCACAAACGTGCTGGAGAGATGACTCTGCAGTATGGCTGGAAAGTCGAAAGACACATTCAAGACGGCGATGTTATCCTTTTCAACCGTCAGCCTTCCCTGCACAAGGAATCTATGATGGGTCACCGCGTCCGCGTGATGCCTTACTCGACGTTTCGACTCAACCTCTCAGTTACAACACCGTACAACGCAGACTTCGACGGAGACGAAATGAACTTACACGTTCCTCAGAGTGAGGAGTCCAGAGCTGAGCTCGCCAATCTTTGCATGGTTCCCCTCAACATTGTCTCCCCGCAGCGCAATGGTCCCTTGATGGGCATTGTCCAGGACACACTTTGCGGCATCTACAAGATCTGTCGTCGTGACATCTTCTTGAGTCGAGAGGCAGTCATGGATATCATGCTCTGGGTTCCAGATTGGGATGGGGTGATTCCTCAGCCTGCTATCATTAAGCCTACTCCTCGCTGGACAGGAAAGCAGATGATCAGTATGATACTCCCAAAAGCTCTGAACCTCGAACGACTGGACGCCAAGGACAACGCGTACTCGCCCGTAAATGACGCTGGTCTCATGGTTCTGGAAGGCAACTTGATGTTCGGCTTGTTCAGCAAGAAGTTCGTCGGCACTAGTGCTGGCGGTATCATCCACACGATTTACAACGAATTTGGGCACGAAGCAGCCATGGCTTTCTTCAACGGTGCTCAAACCGTGGTGAATTATTGGCTTCTTCACAACGGCTTCAGTATCGGCATTGGTGACACAGTGCCCGATCCTGAGACTGTCCGTCTGATCCAGAAGGCCGTCGACGATAGAAAGGCAGACGTTGACCAGCTCACAATTGCTGCGTACAAAGAAGATCTCGAACCCGCTCCTGGTATGAACGTCCGTCAGACCTTCGAAAGCAAAGTCATGAACTTCCTCAATCAAGCCCGTGATCAGGCTGGTACCGCGACCGAAAACAGCTTGAAAGATCTAAACAACGCCATTACCATGGCTCGCGCTGGCTCGAAAGGTTCCACTATCAACATTGCCCAGATGACTGCCATTGTAGGCCAACAAGCCGTCGAAGGCAAACGTATTCCGTTCGGCTTCAAGTACCGCACTCTGCCGCATTTTGCGAAGGATGATTATTCGGCGCCCTCTCGAGGTTTCGTCGAGAATTCATATCTTCGAGGTTTGACTCCCACAGAGTTCTTCTTCCACGCCATGGCTGGTCGTGAGGGTTTGATCGACACCGCTGTCAAAACCGCCGAGACTGGCTACATTCAACGTCGTCTGGTCAAGGCACTGGAAGAGGTGACTGTCAGATACGATTCGACTGTGCGAGATTCGCGCGGCAATGTTGTCCAATTCATCTACGGAGAAGACGGCCTTGATGGTGGCCACATTGAGAACCAGAAGGTTGACATTATCACAATGTCAGACAAGGCTTTCAACCAGCGATATGCTGTTGATCTCATGAGTGGCGACGTCTCCATGTGGAGAGGCAAACTGCTGCAGGCCAGAGAGCTGCAGGGCGATACTGAGTTGCAAGAGATGTTCGACGAGGAGCTCGAAGCTCTTCGGGAGGGTCGAGATTTCCTTAGAAAGATGGGCAAGGGAACCGAGGACTCCATGCAGCTGCCCATGAACGTTGCACGCATCATCGATCAGGCGCAGAAAAACTTCAAGATCCGTCGTGGCGACAAGACCGACCTTGACCCTCGACACGCGCTTACCTCTGTCAATCAGTTGATGGAGCGCCTCACAGTGGTACGTGGAGATGACCCCATCTCCAAGGAGGCACAGTTCAATGCCACGCTGCTCATCAAAGCACAGCTGCGTTCGCGTCTCGCGTACAAGCGGCTTGTTCTTGAGCACGGTCTCAACCGACTGGCATTTGACAATATCATTGGTGGTGTCGAGAGTCGCTTCATCGCCGCGCATGCAAACCCTGGCGAAATGGTCGGTGTCTTGGCTGCACAATCTATTGGTGAACCTGCCACCCAGATGACCTTGAACACGTTCCATTTCACTGGTGTGTCAGCTAAGAACGTTACCCTTGGTGTCCCTCGTCTGAAGGAGATTCTGAACGTGTCACAAAACATTCGTACTCCTTCGATGACGGTTTACCAGCTTCCCGAATATACTGGTGACAAAGAAGCGGCCAAGCTGCTGCGAAGTCGGGTACAGCATACCAATCTGCGGTCCGTTGCAGAGACATGTGAGTTATGGTACGATCCGGACATTCAGAGTACAATCATCCCAGAGGATTTGGACATGGTCGAATCATACTTCATCATTCCCGAGGACACTGATACAGATCTGTCTCTCCACTCGAAATGGCTACTGCGTATCACACTCAGCCGCGCCAAGCTTTTGGACAAAGGTCTCAACATTCAAGATGTTGCTGGAAAGGTCAAGTCAACCTATGGCAAGGATCTTTCTGTCATTTTCAGCGATATCAATGCCGACGAGCAAGTCATTCGCGTCCGTCTTGTCCAGAGCTATGGCAAAGACGAGGAAGAAGAAAGAAAAGAGGATGACGAGATTCTTCGTCGCTTCCTGAACGAAATGCTTGATCATCTGACTTTCCACGGTGTTCCTGGAGTGTCTAGGGCCTTCATCGATCAGAAGAGTCGCGCTATCATCGACAAGGACAACTCGGTCTACATGGCAAGAGGTGACGAGCGCTGTAGCGAGTATGTGCTCGAGACCAGCGGTAGTTCCTTCGCGAAAGTCCTTGCGATCGAAGGAGTTGACACAAGTCGCACCTACACGAACCGCTTTACTGAAGTCTTTGAAGTGCTTGGTGTCGAGGCCACGCGCTCTGCGATTCTTCGCGAGTTGACACAAGTGTTGTCGTTCGACGGTTCTTATGTCAATGCTCGTCATTTGGGCATTCTCACCGACGTGATGACCGGTCGTGGTTATGTCATGGCTGTCACTCGTCATGGTATCAACAAATCCGACACTGGTGCTTTGATGAGGTGCTCTTTCGAACAGACAGTGGAGATCTTGCTGGAAGCCGCAGCTGCTGGTGAGCTTGATGACTGCCGTGGTGTTTCGGAGAACTTGATTCTGGGTCAACCGGCGCCTGTCGGAACTGGAACTATGGATATTCTGCTCGACCAAAACATGCTCTCCACGGTCGTCACGGACAATGCCAATCTCGGCCTTGGTGGAGCCATTGGTGTTAAGGGCGCTCAGCAATTGCTTGAAGGAGGTGCCACTCCTTACGACATGGGTTCGCCGATGCAAGACAACGCATATCTCGGCTCACCTGATTACGGTGCATCTTTCTCACCCATTGCCGCGTCCGGCTCCGAGACTCCAGGCGGGTTTACTGATTATCAACCTGGCTTTGGTGGTGCTGGAGGTTTCAGTCCTTATGGGTCACGCAGTCCCGGAGGTTACTCACCTGCAAGTCCTTTTGGTGGTACCAGCCCCGCCTCGCCGTCCTTCTCGCCTGCAGTCGGGTATTCTCCAACATCACCGATGTTCGGCGCGACAAGTCCTGGTTTTGGCCCGACGTCACCGTCCTTCTCCCCTGCCAGTCCAGCGTTTACGCCTACATCGCCTGCGTATTCGCCCACATCTCCCGGTTATCAAGCGTCGCCAACCTCTCCGAGCTACTCTCCTACGTCGCCCAATTACTCTCCGACGTCGCCCGCGTACGGATCGCCGACTTCGCCCAGCTATTCACCAACTTCACCAGCGTTCAGTCCAACCTCACCCACTTCACCAACTTCTCCTGTGTACAGTCCGACGTCACCCATGTATAGCCCAACAAGTCCAATGTATGGCGGTGCTGGCAACAAGCAGTCGCCAACATCACCAAGCTATTCGCCGACGTCACCGACTTACAGTCCCACGAGTCCAACATCGCCTACCAGCCCGCAGTACTCGCCCACAAGTCCGATGTACAACGCTTCTCCGCGAAGTCCGCAGGCTCGACCAGGGGCCATCACCAGCCCGCAATACTCTCCAAACAGTCCACAATATTCACCAACTTCACCAAAAGAGGATTAGAACCTCTTTGTATCATCAACGATTAATGTCAATCACATGCATCATCAGATGCGCGCGTGCGAAGGATGGATCCATTAAATTGACCTTCTAGCTTCTTCCGCGTTGCACCAGATGCGGCAGTGTTGTGTTATGCGTCCATTACTTCATGGTTCGGCCACAACTAAATTGCACCTTGCATGGAGGAGAGCGGTCATGCTAACCCCTATGCACTTCACTTTCCGGCCACAAATTGTTTTACAACCCAGGAAAAAAGATCGAAATCGAACATTAGCGACGGCGTTGGAGTGGCTTTACACTTGTTTTTTAAACAATCAAAATGTTATTTTGCGAGTGCTTGCATTGAAATGGAAAAGGAAAAAATATTTTCGACGAGTGAGAAAGATGAGAATGAGCTTTTCTTTTCAGAAATGAGATGCCGCATAGGAGAGAAACGAGAGGGGCATGCAGATGGGGTTGGCATCACCCGCAACGAGCTGTGAGGTGTTGCAATGCCCAACCCGGAGGCCGCTGGAAGCAACTGAGGTTGCTGGGGACGGGCACGAGGGGCGTTCTGCCTGTGTACTTTAAGATTAAAGCATAGACTGTCATCAGCTGGTGGTGGTGGAATGAGGTGAAAAGTGAACTAGGAGGCAGAGCGACTGCAAAAATGCATTGTAATTGATCACTTGTTCACCGTTGCGTATGTTGGTATGAACCATCTCATGTAGAATGCTACTGATGTGATTGTGTCAGTATCCCTGAGATTGGCTGTAGCGGTTCAGTGCATTCACCAGAGGGAGCTGCGTCACAATAAATATTCCACAGGCGGAATGGTGCTCGAAGTTTTGAGATCCCGTGGGAGGCTGCTCTTTCTGGATCTGTCCTGCCGGGCCCAAGGTTGCTTCAGGCTTTTCGTAGTCGTAGCGTAGCGAAGATGAATAGTGAATCAGCGGTCGGCTATTCTGCTCGCGACCAAAAATGTCGACAAGTTGGCAGGCCTGTTATCGTAGTACAGTCTGCGATAGACGTGGACATGCCCTTCGATGCTGCCCTGTCCTTTAATTGTTGCATTCCGACTTGCTGTAAGGCATACGAGCGATCTAAGGGCTCTCGGGCCTGTGAAGGCTTTCGAGAAGCGGCCTCGCATCTTTGCGAAGGGCTCCAGGAGTGTTGGTTCCACGGACATTTCGATCGAGTGTCGCCGCCCGCCTCGGTTCGAGAAGTGGCTGGGGTGCAGCTCTGTTATGGTAACGTTTCAAAGGTGGCATTGCGACCATGCCGATGGCAAGAGCTCCCTTGGACAGTATGCTGATATACGTTCGTCAACCGCGTGACAACGTAGTCAGAGGTTCATGTTGCGCCTCTCAGCGCCATCACCCCAAGGATTTGCGTCTCGAGATGCCTGATCGTATCGACCTCCTTGTCTTGACTCGTCGAGGTAGTACCGTTGACAGGCTTGCTGCCGCCTTTGCCTTTGCTCGTTTGGGGTGCACCGAGTTTATATACTTTGCGTAAACGATCGACGTCTGCAATCTTGCGGAACGATGCGTCGTCGAAGGCGCATTCTTTACCATGGATGTTCGATGATAGATGTTGGCTGACGCTGTCGAGAGTGACTTGTGGAGTGGTCGCGACTTTGAGAACGAGTAAGTCTTTAGTTGTTTCGCTGACGCCGAATCTGCGGAATGCTTCGCCGATCTTTTGACATTAGCAAAAACAATAATAGGGAGGTATGGTCTACGGACATTGTTGTTCGGGCTCAGGCAAAAGACGATTTCAGAGTGTACGTTCCGCGACTTGAGACGGTCGTTTATGTAGTCGTTCATGGCGCGAAATGTGGCGGCTAGAACGTGTGTCGTGGAAAGGACCTGGATGGGCGTAAGCGTCAGAATTACCTACATGGGGCGGATTCGGGGAGTCTGACCATGCTTGCATCAATGAAGGCGTATTCAAAGTCTGCGTTGCCGGCTAGAAGTTGGTCTTTGAGGAACGAGGCGTTCTCGACATCGGTGTACAGCGCGGCGAAGAGGGCCAGCTCCGGTGGCATGTGCGATAGGTGGACTGTTTCGACCATTGTACCGGAATGCACCTAGCAACGTACAATAGAAAGCGACGCGGTGCTACGCCGGGTACAAGAAGGTAGAAAGAGTGTTAATACAGGCACACCGTCGTTTTGCAAAAGATATTGTTCTTGGCACCGATGGAAGTTGTATGGCGCTGCTTTAGAGACGTCCTCAACGTCTTGCTCCCAACCGTCACATGTACATGTATACTACGATGCATGTACAAATGAGCAGAGACATGGTCATTGGAGAGGCGTTGAGACACAGTATTATCGTGACCGTTTATATTGAAATGTATGGCTTTTCACTCTAAGCTCTGAAGATCAGTGCTCCGTGTACAGCCTCGTCCAGAGACTCATCACATGTCAGACCACGGTCCAGCACAGATATCTTCTACACGCAGCTTACTCGCCTCCCATTCCCAGCTCCATGATTCAACAAGCCCCTTAAACGCCTCGCTAATCGTCTCAGAATGAATTGGTGTAGCACCACATGCCTGCCGGATCGATGCCCTGGCATCATTCATGTTTGACAGGATGTAAAACCATCATAGGCAAGCACATTCTCCCACCACCGTCATCACCTTCATTCTCCCATGCATTCTCCTTCCCCAACCATCGTCTCCAGAGGTATCCTGCAAACCCAGCATTGGAGTAGTACGAGGCACCTCTGAACACATGTTCCCCTGGACCAAACACGCTGCCCCCTTCGCCGTGGAAATAGCCATTACCATGATCCATACCAGCCCGCTTGCTGGCCTTGCTAAGGGGAGCATTGTTGAAGACCTCGTTCACGTGATTGGCAGGCCAATGTTTGTCAAAGTACACAGGAAGAGGAGCGTAGACCACCTTCAGACCGTAGTGAAGTGCAATGGATGCCGGATACATCTCGGGAAACATCGTGTGGTGATGTCGGTACGTTTCTTCATGCATAAGTTGCAAGAGACGGCGTGACAGTCGCGTTGCGGTAATGAGAGCCGCCCGGGTTGGAGGGCCGCCGCCGGTGCTGGTGTTATATCCTGTGATATCGTTTCGAAAGGCCCAGCGTGTATGCGAAGGGTCAAAGAGTGGATTGAATGTAATCAGGTCCACGATTTCGTTTGCGTCGGGCGGAATCCGCTGTGCTGGAATATCGAGAAATCCGTCCTCAGCGATTTGAGGGCCATGTATCGGGGATGTTGTGTTCTTTATAAGGCTGTTGGCAAAATTGGCGTACGAGTAATTGTGAAGTTGGGGGATGAAGAATTTCGAAGAGCGTTCCCAGCTGTATTCTGGAGGTTGCTTTTCAGCCCATGATGTGACCTGGTTCAGCAGCTCGTGATAGTGTCCCGTGACTCTGATGTCCATTTCCCATTGCCAGAAATAATCGAACTCTGGATGTCGAGACGCGAAATATTGCAAAGGGAAATGCAAAGACCGATATGCTCCGTAAATGTCCCCTCCAGAGAAGTTCTCAACGCTTTTGTTGAATGGTGGAGGGTAGATCAATTTCATCTGAGCTGTGGACCAAAGTGTGCTCATGCCTTGGAATTCTGCTGGTAGGCTGTCATTGAGGACCTGGTCGTGCAGATCCTGATCGGCCCAGATGGGAAGTTTGTCGTCCTGAACTTGTATCAGGAAATGGACGGTATACTGTCCTCCAGATGCAAGAGACAGCTCGCTGATCATGGCTCGAAGCATCATGATATGGTACTCGGTGTAGTGGAACGTGTTCCAGGTCCGAAGCACGAATGCCGTTCGCGAGGTGAGCCTCGCCGCATTCTTCTCAAGACAGCGTTGTTGCGCAAGATGCCATCTCACGCCGTCCCAATTGATGGATGGTACCTGCTCCAGTCCCTCTGTATCGCCTTCCATGTTCAGTCCGAGACCACCCTGCTCTTTAGAAGACCATGTTCCGTAAGGCGCAAAGCGGTTGATGCGATCGTAACATATGTCGTCTTTTAAGCCAAGCTCTTTCAATGATCCAAACAAGGGTTCTGGCATGCCTTGAGGTAGACCCTGGTATGTGCGAACGACTGGTGGGAGCGTTTGGCTCTCCTCGTCGATGTAGCATTGCTCCAGATAGTAAGGTAGTGGCGAGGGCAGCTCGAGAAATTCGGGCTCGTCTTGACCACCACCGTCTAAGATATCGGACGCGTTTGTATGTTGTCCAGGAACATATTGAGAAATAGGCACTATGTCTCTTCGACCGCGATAGAAGCCTTGGAGTCTGAGATTCCTGTCAGTTATGCATCCTTTTCGCCGAGCCTGTTTTCAGATAAAGTGGCACTGTCTGACTGATGTTGCTCTTCAAGTTCAAAAAATACCATTCTTTATGGTCATCTTGAAGTCCTTTGCACACAACGACATAACTTTGGTCTTCGAAGAAGGGAATCCATCAGCTCTACCGTCTACCCACATCAGTCTGGAGTCAGAATACCCGTGTCGCGGCATGCTGGACCTTGAAGTTGTATTGTAGATGTGCTTCCTCCCTGACAGTGCCGCTTTTTCTGGAAACAGGCCCGTTGCCAAAGTCATTTCGGAACACTCACCTTGGGAAATGCTCCCACCAAAAGATCTCTCTTCCACCTCGATAGCGAGACTGGCCGAGAGGAATTGCACCTCCGTCATCTGCTCGTGTCGGCACGTGGAGATGATCAATGTGGGTGAATGACCACCAGAGTCCAAGGACAGTCAAAATAGCAATAGCCGTAGCGCTGCATAGTATTTTTCTCGTTCGGAGACTCGACAGACTCAATTGGTGTCTGTGGCCCCATCGTGATCGTGGCGACCCGACGGGGCTGAGGGGACTATTGATTGAGGACTCGAAGCTGTCGTCGCGCTTCTCGATGGGGACATAAGAGTTGAAGTTGCCCTTGATGAAGCCGGAGATGTGCTGAAGCATTCCACGTGGATGGACTGAGAGGCGTCCCGCTGCGGGCTGTCGTCGTCAGCCCCGGGGAATTCTTAATTGGTGGAGGGGTCGCTGAACGATTGGTGATCACAGTGCGGGCTGCTTAGGGTCTCGCTGGGGACCAGTCATAACTGGTAGATCATGGGCCTGTCGCGGGAGAGATATTGAGCATTTCACAATGCAATGCGTCGCAAAATTGTGAAATGCGACCAGAGAAGTGATGGAGAGGAGATGAGGGTTTCTTTGGCTTTAGGTTGATTTTCTAAGTTAGCGCAACTCAGGCGGTGGTCTCTACAACGATGATTTCGACATACTGTAGCAACCAGGGGTGTACTAGTCAATGACGATAATGTTTAGCAGGATCCCGCCCAAAGGGCTTGAGATCCCCGCCCAATAGGGTCGCGTTCCAGGCGTCGAGTAGGCATTGGCCTGTATTTTGTGCTGCCCGTGCGGTTGCTCCCCCCCCTGGAGTGAAAAACCTACAGGCATCTCCCCGCTTTCCGCAAGACCATTCATGCCGCCACCTTCCTGGAATGAAGTAATGATCCTCCACCGGACCGACGGCCCATGCGAAGAACAGCTCCTTTACCAATAACAGTGGGTCTCTTTGTATTGACTCCCAGCACGTCATTTGACTACTGTCTAGGCACCCTTGCACAAGTGCTGGGGCCGGGGCCGGGGCGCCTGGTCGCATTAGTAATGCCATCTCAATCTCGGATTCCCTATCAAGCCACGGTGTGAACGAGGGCATCAATGACCTTGAGGTAAGTTCAGATAGCACTCCACAGGACAACACAACCCGCATTCGAAGCCGAGATGTCCACTGCAGTCATCACCGGAGCAAACAGCCCTGTAGGCATTGGCTTTGCCTTTGCTAAACTACTCCGTGACAAAGTCAGCATTACCCCATGAGACCAGTACCAGGCTAGATGGCACTGACTCCAGGTAGGGATACACGGTGTATGCTGTGGATAGAGACCATGGCGAAGGCTTGAAAGCTCTTGGGACGGAAGCCCATACAGCCACGCTTGATGTCACTTCCCCAGAGTCGATTCAGAAATTCAAAGAGTCGCTCGGTGACACCACTGTCGATATCTTGCTCAACGTGGCAGGCATTGCTGCAGGACCAGAAAAGGACGGCCTTACGACCAGCAACCTCGACATCCTCGAGCGTACCTTTGCAGTCAACACATTCGGAGCGCTGCTTCTCACGCAAGCCCTTTTACCGAACATTCTAAAATCTTCGAGTCCCAAGATCGGCATCGTTTCGAGCCGTGTGGGATCCATTGGCGACAACAGCACCGGTGGGCACTACGCCTACCGCGCGTCCAAGGCTGCAGTCAATTCTGTGGGCAAGAGTCTGGCCATGGATTTGAAAGACAAGGGTGTGGTAGTTATGCTTCTACATCCTGGCTTCGTGCGAACGAACATCCTTCCCAAGGACACAATGCCACCCGAAGCAGTCGAAGCGGACGAAGCTGCAAGGAAGTTGTGGGATAACATCGTTAGCAAGAAAGAGATGGGTGACACAGGCAAATTCTGGCATCGAGAAGGCTATGAACTGCCCTGGTGACAGTGGCGCTGTACCATCTTATTTACCTCGGTTACTTATCAATCATAGGGGGGTCTTCGATAATACGGCTCACAGTCGGTAACAACCCCGAATACTGAGCAATCCCCATATCTGGTATATCTGGTAAAAATGCTTAGAAATCACCTCATCCAAAAGCCACCGGAAGCTGTGTTAGGTAGGGACAGGTGAGCTCTTTTTAGCATTTCATATTAGATATCTGCATAGACCTATATTACAACCACTGTGCAGGCTGGCGTGGTTTTGATTCATTTCTGATTTTCATACACATTTTGAAGGGCGTTCACACACACACAGTCATGTCTTCACCGTCAACCTCCCGGGATGTCAATCCGGGAGTACCAGGTATACCATACTTCACGCCCAAACATGCAGCCGACCCTGGTGTCCCATTCGAGGCGTCAAAAAACACGCCCACACTTTTCACCCCTCTGAAGATTCGGTCCAAAACACTACGTAACCGCATCATCGTCGCTCCAATGTGTCAATACTCAACAGCGTCAGGAGGCCCCGACATCGGCAAGCTCACCGATTACCACGTCGCCACTCTAGGCCACTACGCACTCAAAGGCGCGGGTTTAGTCTTCATCGAGGCCACAGGCGTACAGTACAACGGTCGCATCACGCCATACTGCCCTGGCATATGGAGCGACGAGCAGACCGCCAGCCACAAGCGAGTCTCCGACTTCATCAAGTCCCAAGGCGCCCTATCTGGAATCCAGCTTGCTCACGCCGGCCGCAAATCGAGTACGGTCCCACCATGGATCGCAGCAGGCTTCAAGAAACCATCCGTTAGAGCTGGGATTGAATCAGGTGGATGGCCTGACGACGTCGCCGGCCCCTCAGGCGGTCCCAAAAACTCCTGGGACGGCAAAGGCATGGCCGAAGACGGAGGATTTTATACTCCGCGAGCACTCACCCTTGCTGATATCAAGGAACTTATCGACGCATTCGCCCAAGCCGCACGACGATCAGTCGAGGCTGGCATCGATGTGATCGAGGTCCACGCAGCGCACGGATATCTTCTGCACCAATTCCTCAGCCCCATCACGAATAGACGAACCGACCAGTATGGTGGAAGCTTCGAGAACCGCGCCCGCCTGCTGATCGAGGTCATCGAAGCTGTGCGTGCACAAATACCACAGGACATGCCACTATTTCTGCGCGTCAGTTCGACAGAGTGGATGGAAGAGACCGACCTGGCCAAGGAACTCGGTAGCTGGGATGTCGAAAGCACGATCAAACTCGCCCGTCTTCTACCCGGTCTGGGCGTCGATTTGTTGGACGTCAGCAGTGGTGGCAACCACCCGCAACAGCGCATCAACATGTTCGCGTCGAAGGACTATCAGACCAAGATCGCCAATCAAATTCGGCAATCACTTAGGGAAGATAACCACAATCTGCTCATCGGAGCGGTCGGGCTCATCACCGAGGCTGAGCAGGCGAGGAATATCGTCGAGGAGAATGATAAGAGTATTGGCGAGGAAGCGAGTGCCGCACAAGCGATGACTGATGCAAAAGGTGGTAAGGAGCCGATGGCTGATGTCATTCTTGTGGCGAGACAATTCATGAGGGAACCAGAGTGGGTGCTCAAAGTGGCGTGGAAACTGGGTGTCGATGTCGCGTGGCCGAGTCAATTCCTCAGGGTGAGGTTTCCCAAGTTGTAGAGGCTACGGCTGTGCGGATATACTGGGAGAGCATCGAGATGCCACGGGCAATTGCGCGGACTCTTTACGTAGGAACACTACTTTGCGATACCACGATTGGCATCCTGCGGCGATGGTTCGATACGCCGTCACGAGCCTCCATGCTGGACAGGGGGGTGGGAACAGGCATGGGACCACCTGAAGCTCACGGAAGGCCTACTAAAGGCCATGGAGTTAGTGGTGTACCACACGTTGCAGAATGGTCTCGCTGTCAAAGAGGTGCGCCGTCCATGCGATGATGGACCACGAGCTCAAATATTTTTCATCTGTTTAGACTGTTGCTTGCGGATGGAGTGCGTGCGCTATGCGCAAACCCACCCTGGGGTATAGACGATGCATTGACGGAGTAGGCGAAGCACGGTATGCGCCTTGCTTTCAGAGATAGAAGCACCTTCACATTGCATGCTTAAAGGCATCATCAATAGAACATGTACGAAGCCAAATCAGTAACATCCAGCAAATGGCCATCGTGGTTAGAAATGCCGCAATATGTTCCCACTAAGAGGCTGTCTTGCCAACCTTGTCCAGGTCCGACCCGTCAAGCAATATTCTGTCCTGCACAGTGCCGTACTATTAGTTAGGTCCACCAAACAAGGGAACAGCAAGCACACTTACCTGCATCCACATCGGCATAATGTGTGATGCCCACCGGACAGTTCCAGCGTACGGACCCCGGAAGACCTTGCCGACAGCGCCACCAAGCACATCGCCAACGACCTGTTTCGCAAACGCATCGGGGGTAGCCTGCTTGAAATCTAGCTTGTTCTCGTACTGCTTATCCAGAGCCCCCTTGGCGGCGAGGTACCTCGACGTCGGCGGGAGGTGTGGTTCAGGGCAGTTAGTAATGATATTCGTCTCAATCGAGCCAGTCACGACGGTGACGACCTTCACGCCAAGAGGAGCCATTTCGAGACGTAGGGTCTCATCGAATTGGTGTACGGCTGCTTTCGATGCATTGTACAAGCCTGCACGAAGCCTGTCAGCAAGAGACAATGCCCGGGCGACGGAGCGTTCGGGAAACTCGAGCTTACTAGTGAAAGGTTTGTGCAGGTATGCCACGATCGATCCGATATTGACAATCGTGCCTTTGGCCTCGATCAAGAGCGGCGCAAAGCCCTGGACCATGCGTAGTATGCCCCAGAAGTTTACGTCGAACATCTCCTTGGCGTCATCGATGTCTGCGTCTAGCGCAGGGATCATGATGTTCCGGCCAGAGTTGTTGACCAGGTAGTCGAGCTTGCCTCCTGTTTGAGCCTTGACACGCTCGACGGCCTCGGCTATGGACGTGGGTGAAGTGACGTCTAGGGAAAGGAGGGTTGTGTTGGGCAGCTTCTCAAGACCGGACATCTTTGAAGTGCTGCGAGCAGTTGCGAAGACTGTCAGGCCACGCCTTTGGAATTCCATGGCCAAGGCATGGCCAATACCGCCAGCACTACATCCAGTGATGAGGACTGTCTTGGAAGGCATTTTCAGCGTGAGAGATACCGGTGTTGGTATGGATGATCCGACCAGGAGTGATGACTTGAAGGGTAGCCATTCTGGCTGGGGGTTCTTATACCTACCTATCACTCAGATGTTATTGCCAGTTTGTCAAAGACAGTAATAGGATACCGCGCAGCCTTGTCTTCCTGACAATGGTTTAGTGTGTCAGCATTCTGCATGATGTAGCCTTGCCGTCCAGAAGAGGTTTAGTGTGTCAGCTCTCTGCATGCGCTAAAACCCAATGTGTCGGGTGCTTTGACGGCGGGGAGCTGCCTGGTGGGCGGTCCGGCGGACGAACTGATTCTTCATTTTTCCAACTTCATTCTTTCTCCCATACAGTCGACTGTGGCCTTCCTTCTTGCTCCTTGAGTAGAGTTCTGGTAATGGTCGCTCACGGTACTTTGTGACTTACCATGACGGTATGCGATGTACAGATTGACTTGCGACCGCCTGGGGACTTAGTTGAGGTAGGACGATGCCCGTGGTCTCACGCGTTCGTGTGCAGGACGTCCTGGGACACTTGGCTAACTCATGCTGTAGGCGATTGATGGCAAAGACTATTGGATAGGGTTGGCGGATCCCACAGCCAGGCGCAAGGCGCAGAACCGGCTTAATCAAAGGGCCCGTCGTAAGTCGGCTCCTCTCATCATTGAGGATTCTGTCTCCACTAGATCTCTGGCTTGCGACGTCCACTTCAAATCTGGCCCTGTTTGGCCTTGTTTTTCAGGGGCGATTCGGGACTCCTGTATCATGTACATCGTAGCTGACGCCTGTAAGGACGAAGGAATGCCCCAAATAAATGGACACCACTTCGCTCAAAGATCGAAGATGTCGCTCGCAAGCACCAAACAGTACCGGAGTTGGCGATTGGCCCAGCTAGTACGGAGGTCGCACCTGACTGTGAACCATTTCCTCTGCCAATCATGAAACATGAAGCACGAGAGCTTCTGAAGGAATATTTCCCACTGTCGACGGATCATCTCATACACCTTGTTCAGTTCAACGTTTTCCGTGCGATTTTGACCAACATGATGACGCTTCGCATCGATCACATGTTCAGCTGTGAGAAAGAAATGCCGGAATTGCTTCGCATCTCGACCTTACCTCGACCAGGTACGATTCCGCCATCTCTAGAGCCCACACCTCTTCAGCGCCAGGTGCCGCATGCACCCTATGTCGATTTATTCCCATTGCCAGGCCTACGCGACTCGCTTGTACGCGCAGAAGGCGAATATGACGATTGTGACTTATGCATTGACTTGTTGGGGTCGATCAGCGCTCCTCATCTCGAGTATCGCCCGACAAAGGTGGACAGTAACCTAGAGGATAAGAATGAACGGAAAGGTCTAGTTGTATGGGGAGAACCATGGCGCGTGGAGTCCTGGGAAGTTGAAGAAGGATTTGTGAAAAAATGGGGCTGGATGATGAGAGAGAACTGTGTAGAGTTGATACGCTCAACGGACAAATGGAGGGAGGTAAGGGGTGAAGAGCCTCTAAATTGGTCAGAATGGGGCATCAGTGCTTGAAGCTGTTGCACGGATTTTCCAAAGGATGCTCAGCCTCCAATATGTGCCAATGATTGACCTACGCATGATGGCTCATGTTGGGATCAGACAGCCAACAGTAGGTCACAGCCATTAGCACCATTACAGTGCTTGTTGTCTGAGTGTGGTTAGATTTTCCTGCACCCCATGATACAGAAGTAAGGTTTCGGCTCATCGTTGCCGTTTAGTCATCCTGGGTATGGGACAGAGGTGTTTATGATGGAAAATGATAGAAAGGATTGGTGATAGAGAAGACGGAGTGGCGTATGGGACTTTCTGTTCAGTGCATGTGACCTCGTGTGAGTCGCGACTGGCCAATCATATAATGCATTGTGTATTACGCTTAATTGTACGTCATAGTCATTGGTCGAAGTGGCACTGCAGAATCGACGAAGCTTCTACTGCCTGCGATCCGACCATTCTTGTGTAGAAGTCCTTTTATATCCTCTTCTTCATCGAACATCGACGACGACATCCTTCGCACACCCATTCCTCTCATCTTCGGAGCGTACACACAATGTCCTTCATCCTCAGGAGACCCTTTGCGGTCTCCTCAAACGCCTTCAAACAATTCAGCAAGCCTTCCAATTTGATCCGCGCCTTCCACTCAAACCCCAAGTCATCATCGAATACCTTCTTCAGCCCTCGGCCAGCGACAAAGGCAAACGCACAGTCTCTACTCAAATCTGCTGCTCTCCGCGATGGCTTTAAGCGTGGCTATCAAAATGCATCGTATCAACCTGCCAATCCAGTTGCGACTGGCAATCTGACACAACGACTTCTATATGGCGGAGCTTTGGTGGGCGGCACGATACTCGCCACGAACTTCATTTTCAACCGGGAAACTCGTGAAGATGGTGGCATGCCCGACTATGAGCGCGAATATCTGAATCAGACATTCATGCACACTGGTCTCGGACTTGGTATCATTGCAGTCGCAGCCCGCGCATTGCACGCAAGTGGCTGGAGTTACCGACTGATGGCGACAAACCCTTGGTTGGTCGTCGGTCTTGGACTCGCAGCCAGTATCGGTACTATGTACGGAACGTTCTACACTCATCCCGACAAGTAAGTCTTTTCTATGCCTCCTGCGCTGAGTGATTTAGTACTGACAATGAGATAGCTATGTGCAGAAGTACGCCCTCTGGACTGCCTTCAACGTTACCCAAGCCGCCATCCTCACTCCCCTGATGTTCATGTCACCAGCTATCCTGGCTCGTGCCGGCCTCTACACGATCGGCATGATGGGCAGCATCGCCTTTGTAGGTGCTACTGCCAAGCAAGAGAAGTACCTATACCTTGGAGGCCCATTGCTTGCCGGTGTGGCGATTGTCGCCATCTCCGGCTTTGCACCACTCGTGCTGCCCGCCACTGCAATCCGAACTCTGGCGTGGACTGAGAACATCTGGCTGTATGGTGGTCTTGCTGTCTTTGGTGGCTTCACTCTCTACGATGTTCAGAAGATTCTTCACCATGCCAGGATGAGCGAGCGTGGTCTTGTCAGAAAGGATGTGGTCAACGAGAGCGTCAGTCTCGAGTTGGACTTCTTGAACATTTTCATCCGCATGGTCCAAATTTTGTCCATGCGCCAGAACAACAGGAGACACTAGTGATCATGGCTTGGAAAATCAGCAAGGCAAGATGATGAGCCACAAGAAAAGGGTAAACAGCCCTCATTCATTTTTCGGAGCGACCTGCTTTTAAAAGACGCTCCGCGTCTGCATGTGATAGGAATAGCAAAAACAGTTGAAAATGATTATAATTCCACTCTCGAGGCAATCATTTTTTCCTGGCCGTTTCAGATGCGCTTGCCGCTTCTCGTAGACACCGTAGTCGTCGTCGAAGAAACATGTGTTGCGCTACTTTTCTCTATTGGCCGAGAACAATGAGTGAAGTCACATCGGGGCCGCAAATGCTTCAAGAGAACTCCTTCCTCATGTAGGACATCGTGCTGGGGGCGTACAAGGCTAACGTATTGGGCATGCACTGTAACGTGACACCAGTTTCTCGTGCATAGAATCACAGCCTCGTGACCTGGTTTAGCCTTGACATAGTATTCCATACCTCCGTGTGATAGTCCGTGCCTGGCCTCGAGTCTGGTTGAGAAGCACTGGCATCGCCTCCTGGAGTCTTGCATCTCTTCTCCAGATTTGCGCAACTTCCACATCAGCTGCCACAAGTAGATTCGCTCTTCCACTTGCAGCAAACATTTACCTAAGGGTAACTCGGACGTTTTTGTACGGTGGCCGGTGCATCGAGATGTCACGCATTCTCAAGCCACAACAGGAACACACCGCAGATTAAAACAAATTACTTCCCCAGGCGATCAGTGTTGCAACGGTCCCCGCCGAGCGCCTACCTAAACTCTGGGGTAACTTACCAGGATGATCGTTGATCCCTGGCTCAGGCAACGAGACCGCAATCTCTCATGATCGACTTTTAGTCACCACTCACAAGTGAGAAGGTCAGGACCGGAACTTCAGAAGGAGACCAGACGAGGCCGGGCTTGCGTAGCGTGGAAGACCGTCACTGAAGTCCACCAAAGTGGGCACGGCGTCTTCGACAGGTTTGACTTCGTCTGAAACAGGAAAGTTGAAAGTCATCGACTGGCGTGCACGCTAGTCGTTTTTCGGTGGTCATGCATTGACTTGCAGAATCCAGCGCAATTTCCCTGGCTTGCGAGTCTGGGAAATTACTATGTACCATAGTATGGAAATTGCCGGCACCCAGACTGAACAGTGAACACTGTCCACCAGTGACTGCAAGCAGGTCATTTCCGAGGTCTTTTTGGGACGCCAGACAACGCGCATGCATGAGAGGGCGTACGGGCAGCCGTTTCTTCCGTTCTTGCCGTTACCCGTCTGCAGTGCGGCAAGTCAACACTGCAGAACACCTGCATGGCGAAGAGCCAGACCGGGCCGGACGATGACGACGACAAGGGAGAGTCATGACGGCGGCGGTCCTTGCTGTTGAAACCTTATGCTGCATGCACAGTCTAGAACACATGGACAAGGAGCAGAACCTTGGAACGCGGGACGTTGTTGTTCGGTACCGTCGTGGCTGCAGTGCCGCCCCCAGGAGTACCTTGCAAACGGTGGCCAAACACCCAGCATACACCTAGCACACACCTAGCCACGATATCTGGGGAAAGAGACACAACCTCTTCAAATGGCATAGGCATAGCAACTAGTTCGCAGTTTGGATGGCTTCAATTTGTACTGAAGTAGAAACAGTGTATAAGGTAGTCAAGAGATTTATATTGATCCTTGCTATGTAGAGTATCATCCTCATCCTTCACTATGGTCAGATGTAGACCAGATCAACTATATGCGCTTTCCAGTATATCAACTGTATCCCGTACCCGTTATATGCTGCGAACCTATCCCGTGGCCATAGCCCTTGACCCCAAAAAGAAAAAGCCGTGTCCCAAAAATGAGATAAGAATTTTTGTCGTCCCCTTTCCCAAGGAACAAAATGTTATGCAAAAGGTAAGAGAGTTAAGTGTCTGTTAGAAACACAAGAAGTGAAAAGCATCCTCATTACATATAAACACCAGTCTCGTCTACTGGACATACACAGCCAGAGCGAGCGCGGAAAGGCCAAACAGCGCCGAGTACATGGATGGTGCCACTGCAACGGCGGCGCCAGTGTAGGTGGCGACAGCAGGGGTGGTGGTGCTGCTGCTGGAGCTGTTCCAGTTGACAGAGACTCCCGAGCCGGAGCCGGAGCTTGTGCCAGTGCTTGTAGATGTTGAGCCGGTGACAGTCGAGGTTGACGAACCGCTGCCGCTGGAGCCGGATGGGCTCCAGTCGTCCCAGCTGCCGTTGTCGCTCGAGTTACCGCTGAACCCGCTGGTGCCGCTGCCTGCGCAGACTTTGCCAACATCCGATGGGATGGTTGGGAAGTCGTCAATGGCATCGAGGATGGCGACAGCCATGCCACCGGAGAAGTGAGTCTGGACGTGGCAGTGCAGGATCCAAGCACCAGGGGTGTTGACCTCGTAGCGGAAGACCATCCACGCGGCGCTGCCCTCGGCAGGGGTGCTGGTGTAGCCGTCAAGGTAAGGAGGGTTGTCCAAGTTGAACACGTATCCAGCGGCCTGGGCCTCGGCGACGCTGGTGAAGTTGAAGTCACCGACACCAGCACCGATCATGTAGAACTTGTTGGCGTGCTTGTGAATAGGATGGGGCTCAGCGACAGGTCCCGAGATCTTGATGATCAGATCAACCCACTGGTTGGAGTAGGTCTCGAGGATCAAGTCAGTGGCGGGGACGCTGGCAGGGTCGAGGTACAACAACGGAGGAGTCTCGTCGTCGCGGGTCTGGTTGTAGGCCTCAACACCGCTGAGAGTCCAGGACCACGAGTCCAAAGGAAGAGCTGGGTTCTTCATGATGTCGAGAACGAAGCTGGCATCGGCGGTCGCGGCAACGGACGAAGCAGGGAAAGGAGCACCTGCAGCCGAGTCGAAAGCCGTGATAGTGGTGGTGTTCTGGCCACCATAGTTGATGACCGAGGTGCCGAGAAGAGAGCTGGAGCCACCGGAGTAGGAGAGGAGACCATATCCGGAAATGACCTGGTTGATACCGTCGTTGGCCACACGGATTTGGTAGTCGCCTGCGGTCTGGTCGAGCTTGACGAAGAAAGTGTAGCGGTCACCGTTGGACACGACAACCTCGTCGACAACCTGGGGAACGATGTAGTTACCGTTGACCTCGTACACGTACAGCTTGTGGCTGTCAATGGTGACCTTGAGGAGAGCGAAAGCACCGGGGTTTATCAGGGTGATTGCTTGCCATCCGTCGGCTGCATCCACGGTCAAGGTGTAGTTGGCACCAGTGTAGGGGTTGCAGGTGTAGTAGGCGTTGTCTGGGAGGTTTGCAAGGTTCTGAACATACTGCGGTCCCTGAATGGTCGGGTTGTTGGGGGGAATGCAACCCTTTTCAGTCAGAGTGGTGTTGCCAAGGATCAAGGGGACTTGAACCGCGGCATTGGCAGTCAAGACATCGATGCCTGGGCAGTAAACTGAACCCTTGCCGTTCAGGATGATCGAGTCAGTGCAAGCATCATCAACGTTGGCAGCTTGCTCAATGGCGAAGAACTCTTCAAAGGTATATTGGCTCCAGTCGGAGATGAAGATGGGCTCAACATCAAGAGCAGCCTTGGTCATGAGAGTAACATCGTCAGATGAGCTGCTGATCTGGCTGAAAGGAGTCTGAGCATCGTCGGCGGGAGCAATGATGATGGCACCATAGAGACCGTCACCCATCTGTCCTTTGTAATGTGCGTGGTAGAAGTAGTTTCCTGACTCGTCCGCAGTCCATTGGTACATGTACGATGTACCTGGCTGGATGGTGTATTGAGAGACACCTGGGACACCGTCGGCCCATGGTGTGCCGTACTGTCTGATGCCGTGGAAATGGACACCGGTGACGTTCTGGAGGTTGTTGATGACTGTGAAGTCGACGCAGTCGCCGACCTTCAACTTCAGGGGAGGACCGGGGATCGATCCATTAGTGAGAATGGCTTGTCTCGGGGCGCCGATATCTGATGATGTCTCCCCCCATGTGACATCGATTGTGAAGGGAACACATTTGGAGGATGTTGCGCAGATGCTGGAGTTGGAGCTGGCGGCAACAGATGTGATTGCTGATGAAACGAATGTGAGGGCAGCGAGGGCCTTGCTGAGCCTTGAGACTGCCATTATTATGTACTGCGTGCTATACAACGAAAGAGGGACTGTGCTTGGGATACAAAGAAAAGAAGAACGGAGAGGTGGGCAGACGAGGAGCAGTGACAGAGCCTTATGAAGGTCTGTTGGGTGATCTAGTCCGAGCGAGCGCCTGCTAGATTGGCAGGACCAGCCATCCTGGAAAACACCACTCAATATTTGGGGCCCGCAAGAGCCTCCTTTCAACAATAGACGCTTTTCCTCGTTTCAAGTAGTGGCAATCCTTTGTGATCCACTGGGAGCTCCAGTCGATCAACCCACCCAAGCGTGGACCCAGCCCTGCTGGCTGGCTGGGTGGTAAGTGCTAGTGTGAGACGTCAGCCTTCGAGACCATCTCTGTTAGCGAGTGACTCCCGCCGCCGCTTGATTGTCGACAGGACCGACAGCCGTCACAGTCACAGGCGACCTGTGCGGTCTTCAAATTGGATGACTTGCGCTCGGAGAACTTTTGATCGGGACCTTTTTGGGGTCATCAGCAGGAAGAGCTGTCATTGCCGGGATTCAGCTTATGCAGGTCAGAGGAGAAAAAAGACGTGGCGCAAGCAATCAGATGCGACATCCTGTTCGTTGGCGGTGGCTGACCCCGGCTTCCACACCTAATCCTCGGCTCTGGTTCGTGCCCTGTCACTCTTACCCAGAAGCTTGTCACCCACCTGTCTGTATCTTTGGGGGGCTTTGGGACTAGGATCCCGTCAAGCGAATCCTTCCTTGTTCTCCGGCTAAGTTTGGGATCCAGCCATCCTTCGCACACACCACCCAGGCTATGCAAGCCTCGACACGCGAGAGTCGGGATATATTTTTTTATGATGTAAACAAACATTGGCTGAAGGCTGGGGTGGTCGGACCACTAGGTTGTCTGTGACCAAGCGTCGATTTAGATGAGATTGATGATATTGACATTGGCATGACGTCCGTTAGGATTGACTTCCCAGGCTCATCAATTCCCTCAGAACGGGTTCTTGGTTCTCTTGTTCCATGGTACTGTTCCTTCCGACCCCTAAAAATAAAAATCCTGATTCCATGCCGCAAAGGGAAAAACAAGGAAGCGGGATGGAGAAGAAAAGCAAATCCGCTAGAGCCCAATTGTGCATTAGTGAGACACGTCTCCTTGGTCCAGCAGCAGCGAGCAGGCTTTTTTCGCGTCTCACCAGACCGAAAGAGACCAAAAGAGGGCCGTTAGGGGGAATTCGATCGCTGGTTCCACCACTTCCACCCCGGTCATATCACGTGTCACGTAGTACCGGTCTCGGAGAAAATCCCCATGCTGTGTAATCTTGTATCTACAAGTACAGATCAGATCAGGCCGGTATTCAATTGATGCTCACGTGGCGATCCCCAGTGGCAAGTGCCCTGTGTGTTCATATGACGAGGAAGTCCAAGCAAATACTTTCCTCCGACAGCTAATCAACTGAGAGGAGTCCGCTCTGTGATTTACGCGCGGCGAATATTATTCCAGATCCTTATAGCCAAGTCAAAACTACCGAATATGCGATATTGGTACCTTCTCGATTAGAGTGGAAAATGTACTGTTTTGGACGACAGTCTGTTGTGCCAGTGGCTTGCAGGGCTTCATTTAAGCAGCTGTCGTCAGCTGCATGAGTGCTCACGCCCAATATCATTCTCATACCTCGGATACGAGGAAGTCAGAAGATTATGCCTCGTAAAAATCCATCAGTCCTTGGTTGCCTGACGGTGACAGCCTTGTTACTCCAAACATGCCATGCCGACCTTGTCACTGGTGCGGCAATCTCGACCAATTTCCCAGATCCTACACTTGCCTTGGCACCCAATGGCATCTGGTATGCTTTCAGCACTCAATCTGGGCACATCAACATCCAGCTAGCATCCTCCCCAGATTTCGAACAGTGGACTTTTCATGCTGAATATGATGCACTTCCTGTTCTACCCGGCTGGGCACGTCTACCCCCTGACGCTGGTGTATGGGCCCCCGACGTCAACCAACGGCCTGACGGTACCTGGGTCATGTACTTTGCAGCTGTGGGCACTACGCATCCCCGGAAACATTGTATAGGCGCCGCCATCTCACCAAATGTGACCGGTCCTTACACGCCCTTGCAGACCACGCTTGTATGCGATCTTCCTGGGGGCGGTAACATTGACCCGAACCTTTTCCAGGACCCCATCACTGGCAAAGATTATCTCGTTTACAAGACTGATGGGAACGCGATCGGTCACGGCGGGGCTTGCAGTAACGGCGTTGATCCAATCGTTCCAACACCGCTACATTTGCAATTGCTCAATTCCACCGATCTTGTCACACCAATCGGCGATCGAATCTACCTGTTTTCGAACAGTGCTCTGGACGGACCAAACATCGAGCGGCCATGCATTCTATACCAGGATTCAACATACTTTGTCATCTACAATTCCCAATGCTATACGGACCTGACCTACCACATTTCATACGTGAGCTGTAATGTGGGCTTGGACACTACCGTTACCAAAGGTATTGCTGGCTGTGACTGGAGGGCGCTGAAGCAGAAGCAACAAACCATAGCAGATCGCACTCTCCTGAAGACCAACGATAGCATATCAGGATCTACGTTGTATGCACCGGGCAGCATGGATGTTGGTCCTGATCAGCACAAGATCGTATTCCACGGAGACATCAATTTGGCTTGGTTTGAGCCTAATCGGCCGGTGACCCTCCACCGAGATCGGGCAATGTATGCAGGTGAGATCGACTTTGATGGCTCAAGTCTGCGTGTGACCAAGCTGTTTGAGTGAAGTGCAATGTGCATGCCAGCATAGCGTGAGGAGTCATCTCTGGCCCTTTGACCCAGTCCATGAGACGAACCCTCTCATTAGGGTAATGCCACAAGCAACCCAACGAGATCGTCGCGCTGCGACAAGCAATCAACTTCGAATGCGCCCATCATTGTCAGCAATCGCAGCGATGCGCCCATCAGAGTGAACGACTAAGACAATGATGTTCAAGAACGCCCCATTCTTCTCTCGCTACGGCCGATCCGGTCTTCGTTCTGCCAAAGGATCTTGAATTTGAATTCTTAGCGGAGTATGAACAACCAGGGCAGGGTTCGAGTCATCCAGCATGACCACGTGCTTCAATCACTGAACTGCTTGCGAAGTGGTCCTGTTGCTACGGACGTACTCGGTACACCATCCTAGATCGAGAGAATCAATTTCAGGGGTGTTGCAATACGCAGGCGCAGCCTTACTTCTATGAGCAGAACAGGAACGGCTACAGACTGCGCGCTGGAAGTCCTTTGAAACTTTGGCGCAACGGACTTCGCTAGCCAGCCTCAACGAGAAAGACTTCGCGTTTCTGGTCCTTCTCGATCACGCAACGCCAGTACGGCTGGAAGTGACAAACGGCGACCGCATTGGTACGTACGGAGGATTCGGTCATTTGATGGCGTCCAGAAGGATACGAAGGTCACCGACCTCCCCTGGCGGTGGCTGTATAATGCAGTGCAGCCTACCGGAGAAAGGCTTCAGCATGCCAGTGACTTTATTGAGTCTACGAACAGCCCGGATCTGAACTAGCGTGTCGACTACGGACGAGGCTTGGAGAGCATCGGGCTGCTTACGAGGGAACTCCGGACGGTGTTTCTCTCGGCTGCCGTTGCACACTGTTCATGTGTTGCTGGCAGGCAAACCCCAGGATCACCAAAATTAGTCCTCCATCGCTAATCAGTCAGCAATATGGAGTAATTGTGAGTACTAGTCTTGCATACCTGCGCCATGAGGTTGAGCTTTGACCTTGACGGCAGAAGCTCGGACCTCTGTGATCGTCGTATAGTCGTCATCCCAGCCTCGCACATATAAAGAATACAATGATGAGTATCTCTATAATGCTCGATAAAACAAAACTCCACTGGATCAATGTTCCTGTCAAAAAGAACTCTGCATTGACGGTTCCATGATGAGGCAATATCCTGGAACCTGACAGACGGCAATCGCCGATTCCAGAAAATGTGACGAGTTCGAAACCTATAATGATCCCGTGGCTTGCATGTCCAGCACTTCGGTTCAGCATGTGCTTATCCGTTCAAGTGAGTCTCTGGCAGCGGCATCCAACATCTTCAAAGGTGGGCTTTGCTGAAGGAGCAAGGCGCAGGAGGCGAAACCAAGATGTTGCTCCCAGACTCGATGACGGTCATTGGATACATGCGCGAGGCAAACCTGCATGCATGTGCAGCTTTTCTGGCCATGACCCCGGACCTGGCTCCTGCAGGTCGCACATGCTTATCATACCGATGTCATTCGATGGAAAATAGATATCTCGCATTAGATGTATCCCGAACAGTACGGATAGTGGTATCAACTTCCAGGTATCCCAACAGCAGACTCTGCTTGCATCTAGACTGCGGCTCTCAGGTAGGGATCTGCGGATTGACGCCACACGCATGTAGCCCATATGCAGGCGGTCGAACCGGGCAACAGCAAACTACGGTCGGCACGGTGTCTGTGAATACAGTGACAGAAACATTACATGTGAATGTTACGGTCGTCTCCTGATCCTGTATTCGTCCACCATGGTGACAATACAAATTCGCGCATTATGAAACATGTGGACGAAGGCTGGGGCAAGAGCTTTGGCCAAAAAGATATAAAAATAATCCTGGTCCGAAAATATCAGCCATCACCCCACGTGCAAACAACCGCGACCCACGAGATGTTTCAGGAAGGACTTCAGGCATCCTTGCAGGTGATATTGATGGACGCTCTCAACTATAGTCTGCCTCGACATTCTGTCTGCCTCTACTAGACCTCCTGCGTGCTCTGGCTGAACGCCATGCGGTCATGGCGCCCAATTATCCCGAATCCCGAACTTCCATTCAACACGCATTCTCACATTCAGGCCGCCGCGTCTCACTTCTGCCGGAGACGTTGAGGCCCGAAGATGCCAGATACTCTCGGTCAGCGACTGCATCCTGTCAATGCTGACTCGCACTGCGTGCGCAAGAAGCTCCCGAATCGGCTGACTGGACATTCGCCCAACGTCACCAAGCTCGGTCCATTCCGACCTATTCGCGAAGGTCTAAATCGACCATCTTTCATAAGCTGAGATTCTTGCAACTCATACGGCAAGATACCTGGAAGTAACTTTCCAGGTCATGTCCGGTCAACTCAATGCACAATCCATACCTTATGCAACTGTCATCTTATCAGGCGGACAGCGAAGGTGAGGCCGTCTTTGAGTTTCTTTCCATGCATACGTGACCGGACAGCCTGATCGCACGAGACTCAGATAGCCAAACTCAAAGCTTTCGCGAGGGTGTAGTCGATCTTCTGCTGAGATAGACCATTGCAATTGCCTGCAAGATGGTGTTGTCCTCAATCTTGTTGCCCTCCCTGATAGGAGCGTCGGTATGTGGAAAACAAGTGACTACAAGATCAAGCATGACGAAGAGGGGTGATGCCTGTACACATTGCTCATACTGCTGACACGCATTCAGGCTGCCTGGTCTCACGGACAAGCAGGTCGGCTGTTCTTCCCTCCTGGCTTAATATCCTGCCGACGTCTCGGCGAGACATGGTACACCACGATCTGGCTGCGCTTCGGACAGTCTAGGTGCAGCAACTCACTTGGACACATGTCGTACGGTTTCTACGGCCAGCAAAACCTGGTGCCAGACTCGACTGCAGGAGGTCACTACAAGAAGTCAGCGTCGCAAGCTTGAAGAACAAACGCTGGGTCAGTGTAGACAGCTCTTACGACCGTCCTGAACCCTGCGATCAACCCAAGTACTCCTTTGGCCTCGTCTGCACCTGGATGACCAAACATGCGGTCGACTAGAAAGATTGGTGTCAGCGTCCCCAGAATCATTGAACACTGGCTTAGTGAAGGCTGACTTGCTTAAACAATACTGATATCAATTGCCTCAATCCCGAACTACCAATTGAGTATTCTGGTCCCAGTGCTTACGATGTTGGTGTACTCCTGTAACAAGACTATTGCGCGTACCTGATCACGGCGTCCCAGAAGCTATGCAAAACCATACCTAGGCTGTGATGCTTGAGATACACGACCCTGCTCCTACACTTATAGTATCTCAACCGAAAAAAAAGCAAAAACTTTTTCTACAAACTCCTTGTGGAGGTTGTAGGTAAGTGAAACCAGCCGTACTGGTTTTGATCGTTACTACGATACTACGAAGGGGTAAAGGGGGGAAGGTCGTTGACCAGGACCTTATCCACTCAGCCATCATCGAGAAGTGCTTTTGCATTTATCTCGGCTTCACTGTGGATTGAAACAGAATTCTGGCTCTCAAATATATATGTGACAATATACCAACGCTCACTCTTGGCAAGGGAGGTGTGGCAGCGTGGATGGCTCACCGCCGACGACTACCTAGGTACTCGCAGACATGATTCTGGGCGACTTCCGGATACGATTCTCACGGCAGTCGAGGACTGCGAGACTCATCGTTGCGTGTGATATTGGCATACACGTTCCCACCGCGTCCTTGCCGCAAAAATCCCAGAAAAAATTGCTACAAACTCGTGCTCCAATGATGGACAGACCCAGTCGGGCTGCGCATTGGAACAGCTCGCACAAGACTTGGATTGAATGCTGTTACGTGAATGCTACCGACCTAATCACGCAAGGCTGCGAGTCTTCGGAGATCGGCATTCAAATACTCGCAAGGCTGGCCGTTACCGGATAGAAAGATACATGCTTTCACCACAATTACGCGTACTCCTTCCCGAGTCTCATTCTCCACAAGCCGAGGTAAAGGAGAATATGCAAGGCTCTGGGTCTGGTACCCATACCAGAGCTGGTACCCATACCAGACTACCAGTGCACCACCTGTGCCAGTCATGTATGTCTTACCATTTCTTCCCCACGTATTGCAACGATAAAGTTCCTAGCCCAAAGATTACATTGCCAGGGGCTGGAATCCAAACTATACATCGAAATACTCCGCAAGTATGGCGCTGTAAGTACGTAACTCGGTACGCGTGGCCGTGGACTTTTCTCTCTCTCCTGAATCTGATCCATACTCCAAAAAGTTTTCCCATGATGGAGTTGCACACCAGTGACACACATGTGCAAGCCCAATTTCCCAGCCTGACAGGTAGTGAGGAATACCACGCGTTCGTTAGGCCAGCGGGCGCGTCCGACGCCGGTCCATGTCAACACTCACCAGATCATAGATCGCCACCCTGTCTAATGTCCACGAAACCAAACGTCCATCCATGATAACGTTGAAGTGACATGTCGAGACAGAAGAGCTTGGGCTGCGGCAGATCTGTGCGTCGTGCGCCTGTCAAATCTCGGCATCTAATCAGCCTTGACTTGTTGACTGTTGACGAACTGGTGTCACGCGACGGGTACACGGGCGGCTGTCACTGCCAGGATGAAGGAAGGGGGAAAAGGAGTATGGTTGTGTGGAATGCTACTACGAGCATGCCAGTACTTGTCGGGTTACTTAACAGTAGGTAGTCGACTGTGTGGCTACTGTAAGTGATCGGCGACGCTTTCTCATAAACAGGTACAGTATGAACGGCGAAGAACTCCTTGCTCTCAATTATACTTGTACTTTCTATACCCATCCGAGGCATTGACCTTGGTAAATCGCCCTCCCACAAAAGCATGCGATATCAATTATGATACAATGTGAACACCGGTTTGACCAGCTAGTGTGCACGATGAGATGGCAAGCTGCCATCAACTCAAGATAGGACTGTTCCGGACATCCCTAACGCGTTACCACATATCTGAGCCAATCATGAATGCGTCCCCTTGAGAACCACTGATGATGGTGATGCAGGAACACTACCCCAAAAACGGCCGACTGGTACCTGGGATCTCATCCTCATCCTTTTCATTGTTGGCATACCTAGCCTTTCTCGCGTCGTGCATCTTCTTCTCCAGCATCATCCCTACGCCACCAACAACGCAGCTCGCAACCTCCAACACGAATACAGCAACAATAAGACCGAGGCTGACTTTGCTCTCCATGCACAAGCGCTTGAACCCAGCTGGAATTGGTACACCGCTTGACAAGTACACGGGGATCTGAAGAGCAAGGGCATCCGAGTTGAATTTGGCGGCGCCATCAGAGAACTTGCACGTCCACGACTGCAGCGAATCTCGTTGATGGTGCGTCGAAGGGTCGGTCCGGAGAGTGTTGAATGGGATTGCGAAGAGGCAGAGGACGACTCCAACGACAGACACCCCGGTGAACACGACGTTGTACATGAGCGCGCGGGAGTAGGGCTACAGACAAATGTCAGCTGGTGCTGCTTTGCAATTTCGAGGACCCTGCGAGACGCTGGGAAGTACTCACAGTTGGGATCAGTGACAAGACCAAGTACACCAGACTTGTTGCAACGATGATAGTAGCAGGGATGAGAATGCCCAAGGTAGGTCTGATATCGATGGTTGTCGGCCACAAGGGCAAATACTGGTGTCTTCCAAAGCTTGTGACGTTGTAATCGTGCAGAACGTGCCCTGCACAGCCAATCGCAGCAGTACTTGTGGCTATTACCAGCACAACAAGCGTGAAGCGAGTCCACCACAGCAGTCTCGCTTTCTTCAGGTAGGCGGATTCTTCGGCCGAGGTTGCTGAATTGCGTGAGTGCAGTGAGGACGTCAGGAGAGGAGATGGGATGGAGGTCTTCAAGGCTGAAGCATTGTCGACGGGCTCCTTTCGAGTACTTGAGCGAGACTCGGTCCTGCTGGTTCCATTGTCATCCTGGGAGGACTTTTTCTCTTGAAAGGACGCCGGGCGAGAGGTGGAATTGATTTCTATTTCAATCCCCATGATTGTGACGAGATGCTAAAGACAACGGTGGTGGTATTCCTGCGAAACGACGAGAGACAAGATCAAAGAGGCAGATTTTGAGGAGCAGAGGTAAGCTGGAGGTTCGTTGCGTTTTACATGTATCCCCTACCAGGCGGCTGTTTTGAAGGGGCCGCCTCTTACCTGAACGGTCATTCATGGCTGCCATATGGGATATTGGCTGAGAAGCGCTGTTCAGAGGTCGCCGTTGACCAGCGTCGGTGTTTCATATTAGGCACGACGCCAATCATGAAAGGACAATCACGCGAACGTTGGAGTTGGCCGGCGGCTACTACAGGTCGAAGGAACTCCCGAGATGAGGAGGAACAAGGATGAAGAACGACATGGTCACAGAGGCCAGAGAGAGACAGAGAGAAACGAAGTCCACAGTTGGTCGGCGCTTAATGATGTTGGCTCTTGGCACATGTTTTGCGCGTTATTGGCTCCTCATTAGGTAGGTAGGGAAGGGGAACCTGTTATTTTTAGGCCCTTCCACGGTAACTTCATGATATCGGAACAAGCCCAACCTCTACAACCATTCACACTCCTGTACGCAACATCATGAACGCTGCTATTGCAAACAAGCTCTTGACTGACAGAAGCAGGCCGGTCCCCCTTCAGCCTGTCCTTGCCCTGAAATGCTCCCCATTTGCCAGCGAACACCACCCTAAACACATCCGCCCGGGTTTCTTGCAGATCGCTATCGACCTCTTGTGCCGTTCATTGGCTGATCTCTCTCCCGTCCGGAATCCAGATCCCCAATCGCCCACTCCTCAGTATCATCTCCATCATTTCCAGGCTATAGCTGTGCTCTCCTGATTTCCATAACCAAAGACACTAACTCCTTCTCCTCTGGTCGGTTCCGGATGACTGCGACTTTCAGTCAAGTCCAAGACCCTCCTTCATGTCAAAACACCCGCTTCCTCTGCTGCCAATGGGACCAACCATCCCCAGAATGGTTACACTGTCGGCAATTCTCTGTCCTGACCGGCATCAATGCTGTAGTTGTTGACACCATTGTCCATTTTCGGCCTTGAATTGTCTTGGACAGCTGTCTTGCGAAGGACGTCTCCGCCCTTGATGAGCCCATGACTTTGATCTCATGCACAACATATTGCGTTGCTGGTAAATGAACTTTGTCAAGGACTTCCCAAATGAGTATCTTCTCGCATCGGATTAGGTATACCGGAGAATTTCAAGTGTCACTACGCAAACCTTGTGCGAGGTAGACTTCCTGGCTTCCGATGTTGCAGACCTTGTGCACCAGGGTTTGGCTTCGGTCAGCACCCAAGTTCCACCAAAGTCGTTCAAGCAGCAAGAAAACTGCATTGGACAAGGTACCAACCGTGATAGTAAAAACTCTCGCGTCCGCTGTGACAATGTCGTCCGTTATAGCTTCTACGTTCCTTGTTCATATTGGCACGAAGGTGCCAACCGTGTCAATATGGAGCTCTCCAGCCCGCTGTATCGACAGGCTGCTTTGTTCTTCCATGCTCGTGCCTCCCAAACTGCTGATCCGGTTCAAGTCTGTTCGAATATGGACGCAACTCTCTCCAGGGCTTGTACTTCCTCAGCGTCCACCCGCCTTCCAACGAGGGCCGAATTCTCGTCTGACTTTAGCCCGTTGCGTTCGAGATGTGCTCGTGTACGTTGTTCGATATAAGTGCGCCGCTCTTCTCTGTTCTCATCTTTCGCACTGTCTAGTCCTCGTCCCGCATTCGAAGCTTTGAGTGCCGATAGTTTTGGTCGGAGGTCGGCAAGCAGAGAACGGAGGGCAGGTAGCTGGGAGATGACAAAGTTCGTATGGGTGGTCAGTGATTGCTGACCGGGATTCTGTGTCACTTGTAGGGACTGCGCCGCGGGGCTATTGGTGAGGAAAGATAGGTTGCTTGCTCCGTCCTGCGCATTGCCAACGAGTCTTCTCAACTGAACGAGGAGTGCTTCATTGCGATTGTGTTCCGCCAGCAGTGTTTTGGATACTGTTCGAGATGCTGCCAACTTGCGCCGCACCTGTTGTACACTCTCCACGGTTGCGGCGTTTTCAGCTTGCGGATAAGAAATATTCTGCATCGTCAGCCCCAGGTCAACATCGACTGGGAAGGACAGGCCTTTACTAACCTCGTAGTGGCCGAGGCGCACCCAGTTCACCAGTTCCGCAGGTACAGACAGGATGTTCCTCAACACATATATCTCAAATCTGTCAAAGTTCTTGTCCACAGTTGAGTTCAGTAGCGTTTCGAGTTTGTGAAGGCCTTCCTCGATCTCTTGTTTTGCTTCGGGATATTCAACGTCTTCTGCGCCATTGTCTGAGATTGTCTTGACAGGCTTGAAACCGAGCTTTTCGGGAGGGGTCGACAAGAGGCCAGTTTCCAGGCTGCCCACGCCCTGGTATACAAAGTTGTTGACCGAGTTGATAATGTCGTCAATTAGTGACTGTAGCTGTCAGTTACTGGTCTCGCTCCTAACTGGATTCATGACTGACTAAAGGAGTATATTGCAAGTGTTCTGTCAGCAGCGATGTTGCCGCCTGTGATGAATCTGTCATGTCTGTGACGGTGCCATCTAGACAATGCCTGAAGACAATGCCGATGCAGCAGTGTAAAGCAGTGCCTCCTGCTTCGCAACATGTGACGCGCCTTCCGTCTGTTGTTACTTCCAAGTTTGGACTAGTGCCATCTTGGCAGATCTGGCGCGGTCTTTTGAAGGCCGCAAGTCAGTCATGACACCTCATTCTTCGCAAAACTCACCGGTTAAACTCGGGTCATCTCTTCTTCGCTCGTCAAAAGACCTCAGGACATTACAACCAACTTCTCAAAGGCACAAGGGTGCGGTACGAGTCGTCAAGATGGGAGGACCAGGCTCTGGCGGATACAAGAACAAGCCAGGCGATACCGAAACTCATTCAGCATGGGACATCATTCCTCAGGATCCCTCGGGGACTCAGGTACACCTTGCTCTACCACCCTACGCATTTGTTGCGCACCTTGCTGACTCCCATGACAGAAGCTGGCCCAGGTACGATGCAAGCACTGCGGCAGAGAGATGGCTCAGCACACCTCGCGCCAGCGGGTGCACCTCCTACAATGTCAACAATACCTTGAAGCGATGAAAGAGCAAGGAGTCGAAACAAGCATCACGCGTCAAGCGGCGGACCCAGCGGCCTTCTTCAGAACCACCGAATGGAGCCAGAAGACGACTGAGGCGAAAGCGCCGAAAGTCTTGAAGATGCAGGAGCATACCACTGCGGTGCGCATTCAGGCTTTGGCACTTGCAGAAGCTAGTATCTCCGCAGAGAGAATCCAAGAGATCACCGGCATGGACCCCAAAGTACTGGCTGGTCTCAGACGACTTGCGCGCGAGCGTGGCTATGATCCTTCAGTTTCTATGCAACTCAAGGAAGAATACGTCTTGGATCCACCAAACAATAGTCGCCCGCGCGGTCGACCAAAGAAGAGAAAGCCAGAAGACGATGTCGATCCAGCATTGACCAGCATGCAGGACCAGGGTACTCCAACCTTCACTCCGACCAGACCAGCAAGCAATCTACCTCCGGGTCAATGGGACTTCATGACTGCCACTCCTACAGGCTATACCATGACCTAGGGGCTCGTTGAGGAAGGGGTGGCATTATCCTGGTTGGAGTCATTCACTGAACCGCAGATATGCACGATGGCAAGGAGTTTGACGGGGACGGGCGACCCACGTTCATGTATTATTAGAGGTACATCAAAGGGCTTTCTGGGTGCATGAGTAGCAGGCTGGACAGTCGGGACATAGCTAATCAAAATTGTCATATTCGAGTACCCAGGTCATGCCAGTCTGTCTGCTTCTGGCAGCAACACCAAGATTGCGTGGTGGCAGCCAGGGCACCGCCGTCGGCAATGGAGCTTCCGACCTCGAAAAAATCTCTTTTCTTGATGACTCTGTCAAAGTGGCTGAGTTGGACTCTAATAAAGATTTGCGATCTGTGAAACGCGGGAGAAGCCACAGCCGAGGTGCGCTCAGTACAGCACTCGATGCCGGGATGCAAGAGTCTAGGTCCATATCGAATCTCGACTAGCAACAGACAAATCATCTTAAGCCGGAAGCTACAATAATCCCCATTTAGCGCTGTCTGGGGTTGAGTACGACCATTGGTAGCTCTCCGATAGCCTTGCCGTCAAGTTGCCCTTTCCCTGCCAGCCTGATGCCAAGCTCCATATATTGCCCAAAATGGCGGAAGCCGACAACCAGAAACAGGAGGTGCTTCAGGTTCTTCTCCTCGCGACACTTTTTAAAACGTCCCAGCGCTTCGAATTTCTATCCATTCTCTCACTCTGCGACACCCTTGTTGAGTCCGGCCTGTCATGGACTTTGACGCCAGGTTGTCCCTCAGTCTTTGCTTTTGCCGTATTTGGCCCTTCAACTTCGCGGCTCTTCTCGCCTGTCGTGTCTCGATTCACTCCATGAGTTTGAGACGAACGTCTAACAATGTCTTTAACCTCCTCAAGGGGTCAATTGACCAGGTATCGAGACTCTGTAAGTCCCATCTTCCTTTAGATCCAGATCCTCAATCTTAGATACTGGAAACAACCAACCGACACGGCCCGCCTTTTCTGGCCTACTTATGTCCTTGTGTGCCCGTTACTCCCTCAGGTGATTCTTCCTTCATTCTATACCATCATTCTTTTGGCCCGTGTCACCGAACCGGCTCTCTCCACTCCTTCTGCTGCTTGACGCATTGCACTTGCATTTTCAATTCCTTGCGCCGGTCGCTCGTTGTCGCATCTATCATCAGAGCCTTTTCAGATCTACAAATTAAAGTCCACCGACAAGACAAGAAACAATGTCTGTCAAAGCTCTTCTCACCACAGCGCTGCTAGCGACCTCTGCTTTCGCCCAGTATAGCGCCTCTTGGGGATCAATGGCTGCTGCTGCCTCGTGCCCTGCAGGATGCCAGGCTATTTCAACTACCAGCTCAACATCATCATCGAGCCAGTTGATTGTTCAAGTCGTCTCAGTATCCGATTCAAACGGCTCATTGGCATATTTCCCCAACAACATCGAAGCCCCAGTCGGCTCGATCGTGCAATTCCAATTTCACCCCAAGGTAGGTTTCTGAACGCTCGACGAGCATGAAATCATCTAACATCACATTAGAACCACACAGTCAGCGAGTCCAGCTTTGCTGCACCTTGCCAAAAGATCGCTAGCAACTTGACCAACGCAGTGTCCCATCCTGGTCTGCACTCCGGCTTTGTCCCCGTAACGGCAAATGGCACTTTCACACCCGTCTACAACGTTTTGATCAACGACACAAAGCCTATCTGGGTTTACTGCGGTCAGACCAACCACTGTCAGAAGGGCATGGCCATGGTCATCAACCAGAACAGCAGCAGTCCTAACACTATCGAGAAATATATCCAGAACGCTATGGCGCTTGCTCTCACACCAGTAGCAGCCACTCAAGCCACTGCTGCAACGTCCACCGTCGTTGCCGCTTCAGTCGCGACTGTCGCAACTGCCGTAACTGAGGCAACTACCGCCACTGTGGCCTTCGGCGCCGCAACCACCAGTGCAACCGTTGCAGCTGCCACCACTACTGCCGATACTGCCACAATTGCGGCGCTAACGAGCACGGCCGCAGCACCTGCAGTCTTCACTGGCGCTGCTGTTCCCAGATTCCAAGCCCGTGAGGCTCAAGCCGGTCTGGGAGCTGGACTTGTTCTTGGTGCGCTTGTGGCTGTGTTGTAATGATCTTTGGGCGGGAGATAAACTCATGTCAGACGGTGTTGGTCCTTCCCAAAGAAGCAGAGATCAACAGATGCCTCGCTTCTGGTTGAAGCTGGATGAAGTGGCATGCCTCCCTCGCTAGCATTTCGAGGTCGAGTCGCCACAGTACTGGAGTTCCTGCTTCCGGAGTGGTCTTGGAGATTGGGACATGTTGTGGTACGCTGTGGCCGCGATTTCTTTGTATTCTACACTTATTTTTGATATCCCCAAGTGCGTGCAGCAAAATTGCAGCAATATGACCAGGATATATAGATGGACATAAACCAAAAATGAATCAGATGATCAATACTTTGTCAATTGTTCGCTCAAGACCAGTGCTTCTGGCATTGTTTGTGCGATTGTGCAACTGACATCTTCAGTCTAGACTCACTGAACAATACGAGACATATGCATGCAGGTATTCTGATGATAGAGTGGGCGGACCCATTGCACCGCAACCAATATGAGTGGCCTTCCTCCTGGAGCAGGGCTTACCTATCGAGCATTCGGCACCCGCTGCAGGACTCCTATGCTTGGGTCATGTGTACTCGTCTCGACATGGTTGACTCCTGTGGCAAAGTACCTCTGTATTCCGGCGTCACCCTCCACTATTCCATGTGGTGCAAAATGCCCGTACTGCTGCATCTCATATTCACCCATGGCTCATAGCTGGTGGCCCAACTTGTTAACCTGCTCGAACTCCAGCAGAAGCATGTTACCCGGCGAGACGCTGCTTGAGAAGCATGGTCCCGCGCCATCGACCTCTGGGCTGGTGCATAGGTAAGATCATAGTACTTTCCGAGCCCCCATGCGTACGGCCGATGTCACGCCTGAATGCGCGCAGGATCCTGCTGATCCAATACCAGATGTCATGCGACACTTCTGACCCAGCTGATCGAGACCCAGATGTCACGGACATCAAGACCCAGCCATGAGCCCGTCCGTCCAGCTGCAGGCACGCAGGTACCCTGACCGACCGTAACGCGCATCATGCACAGTGCGTCGGCCCTCATATCGTCACGTCGACGTCAAGTACCAGGTATGCGTCAAAATCAAAAGTCCATACAAAGCTGCGTAGCCACCCTCTCTAGATCCTCCAGCTCCAACCATCCACTATCTACACCCGCACCGGCATTTTGTTCTCGCTCTTTCTTCTCGTCCACACACCGCCTAATGCCCTCCTTGACGAAGATGTCGATGTACTTGCCGACCAGCACCCGGGCGTCCGCCGAGAGACTCGTCTTCTCCGGCCTACTGAAATGAGACTGCATGATCCGGTGTATCAAGGGTAATGTGATGGTCGGATCGGACGTATCTGACGCAGATTGGTCGTTGTGCGTGACTTCGGCGAGGATGAAATCTGGTTCAGGAGAGGATTCGAGTTGTGATGGCTCTGCTGCATCTTCCTCCTCTGCCTCATCCTCATCCAATTCTTCTCTAACATCACCACCGTCTCCTTCGTCGTCTTCATCTGATGGCTCATCACCATCGTCTAATACTTGTTGTTGCCTTTTGTTGGATCGGGCAACAGGTTCTTCCTCTTCTTCCTCTTCTTCATCGCTGTCGTCGGCCTCCTCGTCGAGCAATCCTCGTATCGTGCCGCCCGCGGCTGCGCTTCCTTGAGTCTTCTTCGTCCGTGATCGCTTTGCCGGGGTCTTCTTCTCAACTCTGCTGCCTTTCCCAGTCTTTTCTTTCCTTTTGGCTCCATTCGTACTTTTGTCTTTGGCGGTCTTCGTGGATTTGGACTTCCCGGGTCGTGGAGGTGAGAATGCAGGTCTCGAACGCTTCGAGGCTGTGGGGGCCATTTTTCGCACAAGAGATCAGAGAGACACCTGTAGTAGTTGCTGAGGAAGATGGTACAAGTCAACTCCGTAAATGCAACAACATTGGACACGCAAAGTCAAGTCCCATAAGTGGTGGTGTCGCATCTGTTTAGAATGACATCACACTAGACGCGTTTTCACTGAATTAAAGTCGCGTCGTCCGTTGACTAAGCAGGTGAATTTCAATCACAGTGCAACCAAATCTGCCCTCCGGAGCCATGCTTCGAACTCTACCCTTTACGCATCAGGTGGCCCTCACGTTGATTCTCATGCGCTGTGAACCTGGAGCGATTGATTGCGCTCTAGCAAGATGATCTTGTTCACAACATGGACTGCACTTACCCTGCTCACTGTTGCAAGGACGTGGTGCACACACCCTGATGCTCACACTCCATCAGATGTCCAGGTTGTGCTGACATTCCACAGCTCTTCGGTCATACATGGCAGAATCATGACATCGGCGGGAAGAAGTGGTGATGATGAAGCCGAGCTGAAGATCAGCCCCCGTAGACGACATTGTCTGAAACCGAGCAACGTGTACACACGGACTGACTCCAGGCTCTCAAAAGGCCTAAGCGGGCTAATTGCATCAGACAGCACAGCACCATGATCTGCTCGAGTATGGCTTCCCCGCTCTTTGGCATGCATCAACACGAGGTCTGAGTCCCATACCATCTCACGGGAATTCAGCCCATCGTGCAGCTTCGAGTTGTGTGGCTTGCGCAGCAAATACGAGGTGAGTATTCAGCTCGTTCTGAGGCTTGTTCCACCGGTTCTGTATATATACAATACCCAGCCTGCCCAACGTCTGGACTTACGAGACCATTACTTGACATCACACTACCCGAAGCATTTTGCATTTCCATCATGGCAACAACATCAAGCCTACCCAAGCACATCCCCCATGACTCTGTGACGATCCGTCACCACGCCTCTTCGTCCATCCAGCACGGCCTCATCAAACCGACGTTCCTCCCTCCCGGCATTCCCGTGAAACCGCTCGACATCGACCAGCTCCACAAGTCCATACAGCAATATGGCCCAATCTTGAACCTTCACCCGGACGAGCAATTCGTGAACACCTCAATCGAAGACTTCCTCCAACACAGCACTCTCGTAGACAATCAGACAAAATCACGCATTAAAGCTCCCCACCCCGACGATCTGCCCCAACACGGCACCAATTCACAGTACTACCTCGAAGTCGACCTGGTCGTCAAACCAGGACACTTCGCCACAGCAAAAGCCTACGTCCACGCCTTTTGGCAACCCGGCATACCATACACCGACCTCCAATTCTGGTTCTTCAACGCATACAACGGCCCCGGCACCGCACACATCACCGGACTCATGATGGACACAGCCTCGCACTCCGGCGACGTCAACTTGGCCCCCATGGGCGAACACTGGGGTGACTGGGAAATGTGCATGGTGCGTATCGACAACACGACGCAACGAATGACGGGACTCTGGCTCTCGCAGCACGCCAAAGGCCAATTCTTCTCTTCTACGCAGCTCGAAAGTGCCATCTCATTCCACGGCACACAGCCGGTGATATACTCTGCTCGCAATGGGCATGGGAACTTCCCACGTCCCGGGCCCAATCCGACAGAAGATCACAAATTTGCCGGCGTGCCCGCGGGCGTGGACTTCTTCATCCGCAACGATTGCGCGACCGGCGGCTTACAGTTGGACTGTGCGAAGAAGTACGAGCTCGTCTCGGCGCAGTGGTTGAACGCCCCCATCCTCACGCCAAAGTGGCTAACTTACCCGTTCCGTTGGGGTCCAGAGGGCACGTCGATCCACTTGAATGCGAAGTCGGTCGTCGACATCGTAAGAGACGCCGCTGGCAAGGAATTGGAAGAGTTCCTGCCGGTCGAGGTGCTTACTGTGCTGGCGGGTGATATACTTTCTCACTTTGTCAAGGGCGATATCAATGGGCCGGCATCGCCTTCGCAACATGGGACTTGGAATGGAACATACCCTGTTTATACTTAGCTACGTACCCTTGGAAGTACGATGAGGGTGCATGGGTAATGTCGAGGGCGTGGGCACATGGCACTGATTAAGAACACTATATCAACGAAGGTAACAAGGAACATGTGTGAATTTCTAATTCTTAGTATTATTTGGGACTGTGTAAGCCACAGATCCAGCTATCTCATCAGATTCCTAGAATGTTTTCCCGGAGGGTGTCGTGCCCAATATGCCATCTATGCTTCCATGAACGCCTTCTGCACATTCGCTTATTCGCTGTCAGAATCATCAATGCTGTTGTTCAATTACTCGTAAAGGTCCATGTTGCCATTGGGAGCATCCGGTGCATCCTCAATCTCCAACATAGCATCGTCATCATCAATCATGTCGGCATCCTCCTCGAGGTCACTGTCGGTGTGATTAGGTAGAACAGTAATTCTGCCATCGTCCAAGACCACATGAGCAGTTTCACCATCTTTGATGGCTCCTCTGAGGATGAGAACAGCCAGGCGATTGAGGATTTCCTTCTCAATCAATCTCTGTAAAGGACGAGCGCCATAAGCTGGTGAATAACCAGCAGCACCCAGGTAGTCCTTGACCTCTTCGTCGGCGTCGATGCGAATCTTCTTGTCATTTGCTTCGAGCCGTTTCTGGATCTCCGAAAGTCTGAGTTCGACAATTCTTCTGATTTCCTTCCTAGTCAACCGGTTGAAGATAACAATCGAACTGATTCTGTTCAAGAACTCCGGTAAGAAATAGTTGCGAAGTGCGTTCATGACGAGTTCTTGAGTGGTCGGGTCGATCTTGCCATCAGCTGTATTGCTGCGTGACAGATACTCGGCGCCGAGATTGCTGGTCATGACCACGATACAGTTCCTGGCGTCGATGACACGTCCTTGGCCATCAGTGATTCTGCCGTCGTCCATAAGTTGAAGCATGACGGTCAGGACTTCCTTGGCAGCCTTCTCCACCTCATCGAAGAGCAAGATTGAGAAGGGACGCCGACGGAGTGCTTCTGTGAGTTGACCACCAGCATCATGTCCGACGTAACCAGGAGGAGCACCAATCATCCTCGACAATGAGTGTCGTTCCTGATATTCTGACATGTCGAATCTGATCATGGCTTTCGGATCGTCGAAGAGGAATTCAGCAAGCGCTTTGGTCAACAAAGTCTTACCGGTACCTGATGGACCGCAGAACAAAAAGCTGGGTGGTTGATTTGGATTTGCCAGACCTGATCGTTGCAGTCTGATGGCATTCGAGACTGCCTTGACGGCTTCTCTCTGTCCGACAACAACCTTCTGCAGATGCTGCTCCATATGAAGAATCTTCTCCTTCTCCGAGGCACGCAGTCTTGTGACCGGAATACCAGTCATCTTGGCCACGATGGCGTTGATCTGTTCGGGACCAACTGCGTCTGTTGGTGAGACCTCGCCCATGGCTCCCAACCGCACATGCTGCTCGGCATCCGCTTGAGCTCGGGCATTATCGAGTTGCTTGATCTTGGCAGCGACATCGGGAATGGCATAGTATTCCAAGTCGGAGGCGGTTTGAAGATCGCCAGATCGTTCAGCTTCGTCTCGCTTGTTCTTGAGTTGGTCAAGCTTGATCTTCATCTCCTGGAGTTCTTTGGACCGGTTCTTCTCTCGTTCGTAGTGTTCCTTGAGCGGTTCAAGTTCCTCCTTGACGTTTGCGGCCTCACGCTTGGCGACTTCCAGACGCTCGACTGACGCTTCGTCGGTTTCTCTTTGTAGAGCATGGATCTCGATCTCTAGTTGTCGAAGTCTTCGTTCGAGGTTGTCGAGTGCTTCGGGCTGCGACTCGCGGATGACCCGGACATCTGCAGCTGCTTCGTCAATGAGATCGACGGCCGAATCAGGCAACCTTCGCTGAGTCATATACCTGGCGGCCAAGCTCGCTGCTGCAACGATAGCACCATCGAGGATGGTGACACCGTGGTGAACTTCGTACTTTTCTTTTAGACCACGAAGGATGGAGATCGTCTCCTGCACCGAAGGCTCCTTCACAAGAACTTGCTGGAACCGTCGTTCGAAGGCGGCATCCTTCTCGATGTATTTTCGGTACTCTGCGAGAGTTGTAGCGCCAATACAATGTAGTTGACCACGGGCCAACATTGGTTTGAGGAGATTCGCAGCATCCATACCACCCTCGCCAGTGGAGCCCGCGCCCATGAGTAAGTGGATCTCATCGACGAACAGGACGATCATTTCGGTGGATGCTTCAATCTCTTTGAGGACGCCTTTCATTCTCTCCTCGAACTCACCCCGGTACTTGCTGCCGGCGACCAATGATCCCACGTCGAGTGAGAGCAGTCTGCAGGCTGCCAAGTTTGCAGGAACATCGGCATTGATGATTCGCTGAGCCAGACCTTCGATGATGGTAGTCTTGCCGACACCAGGTTCACCGATCAGCACTGGGTTGTTCTTTGTTCTTCTGGAGAGGATGCGGATGACACGCCGGATCTCTTCTTCTCGGCCAATGACTGGATCGATCTTTCCTTCTCTTGCCAGCTGTGTCATGTCAATTGTGAATTTCTTGAGGTTTTCATTCTCTTCTTCCGAATCCGCATTCTTTGAGTCCACTCGTTTCGTGCCCCGGATCTGCTGGATTGCGGAATCGATGAGTTTGGTATTGGGGATGTTAGCCTCTCGGAGGTAGTCTTGGATCTTTTGGTCCTGCGCTAAAGCGGTGATCAGATGGTCAATGGCAATGAAACTGTCCTTTTGCGTCTTTTGCAGTTCTTGGGCTGATCTGATCACTTTGGAAAGAGCTGGTGACATGGTGACATGGTCCGGGGGAGGGTCTTGACTGGGTAACCGGACGAGACCTTTCTTGAGTGCTCTGTCGAGTTGTTGAAGGTCACCATGGGCTCTTTCTACGACTTGCCGGAAGAGAGGAGCCGAAGCATGGGACTGAGAGGCATTGACTGTTGTCTGTTGGTCTTTTGACTCATCTGGAGGAGGATCAAATAGAGCGACTGCGAGGTGCACTGGTAGAATCTGAGAGTGCGCATATTGTTCACACAGATTCGCAGCGTCGCCCAGCGCCTTTGCGGCTCTGTCAGTAAACTGAGGCCCGCCTGAAGCCATAGTTTAGCGATTTGAAAGGTGTGTATGTCTATGAAGTGGTGTGTAAAGTTCGTGGTAAACAAGAAGAGTGAGGTGGAAGACGTGTAGATTAATAGTGGTGAGAGCGCTCGAAAAGAGCCGTTATGACATCGCCTGGTTGTTTCGAGAAGCTGCGACAATGCGCCAGCTGGCTCCAGAAGCTAACGGCAAGACCTAGCCTATTCTCGTCAAGATCCAGTCCCTATCCAATCATGAGATACCTTCTGGCAAGCCTAAGTCCCTTAAACTCATACATCCTTCTTTAAACAGGTTTCCTTATAGCCAGTCGGCGAACGTCGGGTACCTGGTTTCTGTTTGCACCTACAAGATGCTGCCCAATTCGATAATCAAGGATAAATGATTCTAGCATCATACCACCGTCATGCTCGGAAGTATTCATGAATTCATTTTCTGTTGTAATAGGTTTCGTTGACGATGAACGCTCCAAACGATCATGCAGCTCCTTCGCATTAAGAGCTCCGCGGGCTGAGTCTGGCATTCAGACGCAGTGTCAGGATACTATCACGATTTTTGCACCTGGAGTTGCACCAGACTCTCCGCTCGTTTCCGGCTGGCGTATCAAAGGGGCTTCCTGCGAGACCACGATGGGGTCAAATGTTCGAAATCATGAGATAGGAGTGCACCAAGAACATTTCGTCATCCACGAGCAACTTATGAGATTTGTCATTCTGATTCCATGCATGTTGAACCCAACGTATACGGCCTTCGTTCTCGCTGTTCACGCTTTTTTCAACACAAACTGTTTCAGGTAATGGTAGTCGGCCATGTTTGCGTCAACTGTATCTCGAATCACCTTTGCTGCTTTCTCGCCGTACTTCTCCTTCCATTCGGCATCCCACTCAGCTTCGGTCTTGGCAGCTTTCTTCTGTCTTGTGGTTAGTTGCATTTCCACGGTTGCACGGATGGGGTGCATACGTGAGCTCTCGGCTTGAGATCTTTTGAGTCAATGGCATCCTCATGGAACCCTTTCCACTTCTCAAATGCAGCTTTAGCGCGTGCATGATCCTCTTCATTGTCCCAGTTCAGCATATCATGGGAGAACTCGAGTCCGACGCTCTTGCAGTAGACTCGGAGTACACCCTCAGGATCATCCAGCAGTTCATCGGCATCGATCATGCAAATCTCAGGCTTGTCTGGACTTCCATTGACGTTTTCTTGAGACTCCCCGGCGATCTGGTTGCCTACCAAGCCGGCCTCTCTGGTATAGTCGAAAAAGCGACGCAGCTCGTCATATCCGGCTTCGCTGGGATAGAACTCGTAGAAGCCGGTCATTTTGTCCAGAGGAGGAATGCAGCACCGGTAGTAAGACGGAATGCTCGAATGCGGGTCTCGAATGAGGAAGGTGAAATGGAACTTTTCGAGCAGCGATTGAGGTACAATGGTCGGATTGCCTGGCTCGCCTTCCGTGGGATAGGGGAACGGCGGCTTGTGACTGGAGCCATTGACACCATTGACCACTGTCTCCGTGCCTATGCCTCGTTTCTTCGAATCCAACGATGGGGCGATCTTGGCTGGTTGTTGATCCGGAGGAAGAAGATAGTAAGTGATGTCTTTGATGAAAGTACGTTTGCCCTGTCTGTGGTGAGTGGAGAGTTCAAAAGGCCGCTGATGAGCGCCCGCATGCGAGCAAGGCCTCAGAGTCACATCACACCTCGGATCCTTCCTCTATTTGATCGAAGATTGACTTGTACGTCGAATTGTTGAAGCCAGAAGCTTTTCTGGTTTCCTCATCCTTTTCATAGCGGACGCTCATTCTCTCCGGGCTGGTCCAGAGTCAGACGTGACTCCGCGGTCCAATTTTGATCTTACCCATAATAAAATGCGTCACCAAATGGTTCATGTACGCAGGCCAGATCTTTCCTGGTCATGAACACCTTTTGGCTTTGTCAGCATGAGAATTCTGGTCACAGCCGGTGAAACGAACTCGTTCAAAAGCAGTGCTGCACGCACGTGGATGCGTCGCACAGAATATTGGTTTCAAAGGGGCCATGATGGCGAATTGCCCTCTCCACGACAATGTTACAAGTCAATCGAGAAGATGAATATATTGGTTCAACCAGGACCAATCACAAAAGAATGTCAAGGTGCTTTCAACCTAGTCAGTATAGCCCCCTTTCGGTCAGCTATAACGGAATAACGACAAGAATAATAAGCCGTCTGATGGAGGAGCAGATCTCTGCCGTCGATGTGAGAAACTCCAATATATTTATAGAGTGAGATCTCAGTCGAAAGAACCACCGTCGGCCAGGCTAACTTTCGAGAGCAGAACCTTGGCCTGGACGCATCTCCCGAGGCGAATGAAGGTGCGCTCAGGGCACACGGCTTCGTCATTTTGCTCCATTCGTCAGTGAGGTTGAGTATGGGTCATGACGCCTGTGCCCGAAACTACGAGTAGTCGTTGGCCGACAGCGGATGTGCCCCGCAAACTTCTTACGGTGGATCAGCCACGATTTTTTCCAGGCACATGTGCAGATCCCGATTGACGAATAGACTCGCACTTCCGCAGTTACATGGGGTTTTATGAATTTTGCAAGCCACCCTGTGGGCGGTGCAGGGCGCAGGGCGAATCCTGCAATACACCAATGCCGTCGGCGAATGATTTTAGTACGTAAAGTCATCGATGTACGCCCGTGGAGAAGATGAGAAAAATTGAACGGCAAAGCTTTTGCAGAAGGTCACGTGGGGGGACCATATCACGTGCAATCCCCCCACGTCGAACCTCCATTCATCATTCAGGAGACAAATTTCCTGATTACTGATCAACTAACCACAGCGTTCGGCCAATGCATTGCGCAACACGCGCAACCATGACTCCTTGTTTTTGCGAGATTGCCCGTTGCTATGCGACTTCACCAAACATGAATATGGCTGCAGCGGCATGACAAGCTTATGCCTCAACTCAGAGTCCTCTTTCACCTGTCTTCCCATAGTGATGGGAGGCAACTGAATTTCGCCAGGATATGAATATGAATCGATCCTTGCACAGTGGCCAACGTTTCCGACGATGGGTACGATCCAATTGGTGTTCCTGGTCTGAACAATTGGCGTGGACGCAATCTCAGCTTCGACGTTCTGGACTTCTGGTAAGCAGGTTCAACAACCCTCGATTCGCTGGCGTGCTCGTCAGGAGCTATTCTGTTTTCGGCAATCCAGACTGTGGGGTCTATCGACTACGCAGCCTGAGCAATACGTCTTCCCTCATATCTTGTGTCGACGAATGTACTCCGGATCATTGATCGTGTATGCGAATTCTGTGACTGTCAAATTTAGCTTCCCTTCCTTTGCTCTCTTTTAAGCTGCGTTGACGTTACGTACACAAACTTACCATGAATGCTGCTGGAAGGACGCAACACCAGGGCACACTGCCCGGTCAGCCTGATTTCAAGTTCGTCCCGGGAAATGGATCATCCTCACGCTACTGCAAAAGGATGACAGACGATGAGATTGAGAGAGCCAAGAAAATAGTGCTACGACTTCACCGAGCAGGCGAAAATAGAGTTGCCATGATGGAACAAGTTTCCCGGGAAGTGCTACACGGGCGAACAATCTCCACAGCCATGGTGGATAAGCTTCGTGACGACTTGGGACTCATTCAACACCAAAGTGGACGCGCCGCTAGAGGACAAGAATTCATGTCTCGCACGAAACAGTATTCTGCGCTGTACTTGACACAAGGCGATGACTGGGCAGATAACGTGCTTTGTTCCAGTACGCAGGTGCTCGAAGGTGGTATTGCGATAGCGCTGCAAACCTCCCATGCGGAAACTCCTTCATGCGAGCCTCTCCAGGACACCCGAGGCAAGCGAAGCCTCGAAAACAGAATGCAGACACCAGAGCGTGATGCAATTGTTGAGTCTGCGCAGGGAGCAATCAACCGCAATCTGATCTCCCTTCCAACCGAGCTAATTTCGACCACCAATGTTGAGGCATTGATTGCACCTGATGTTCGAAGCGTGTCTCATTCATCGTCAACCATCAATACCTCCGAGAACGACTCTGTTTTCTCCATTATGGAGACACCTCAGGCAGACCTCGTGGCGTCGTCGACCATTGAATGTAGGACAGACTCATCTCCATTAGGTGACGATAGTCCCATGCTTGACTATCAAGGTCAATCACAGTCAAGCGTAAATTTAATGGACGGCGACATGACAAGCATCCTCCCTTACCAGAAGTCCACTGATGTGCACGGATCTGCCGAAAGACGGGTTTCAACCACGCACAAGATGGTGCATCCATTGGACAAGACTGGGCTTTGGACACATTACTATCACGTTCTGAAGAAGCTCAAGCATTATTCCAAAGACATCATTGTAGATGGACGGACCTTGCAGAGGTCTGAAGGCCTGTGGCATTGGTTCAATGCTTGTGATATTACCACATTGAATCATGTCGCCTATATACTCGATGCTCTGCGAGACTTCCGGCAGGCGTTTGACGTATATTTCATCATTTACTGCCGGCTCCTCAAAACAAGAAAGGATGAGCAGGCACCCAACCCTCATTTCGTGCTCTCAGCGATTGGGTGTGCCCGCTCGGCGCGGACACCACTTCAACTCGATCTTGCTCGTACGCTCGTGGAACGAGTCCGCGAGGATCTGTCGCTGTATCATGACCCATGGCTGCTAGAGCATACCAGGACCTGGAATTTTTTGGAAAGATATCACAAAAATTCGTTCGACACCAAAAATGAGTCTTGGGAGGACGTTGAAGAGGCCGCATACTGGGTTGCCACGGCGACGATCATGAGCCAACCTCGATTGGCCGTATATATTGAGCTGGCACACGACATGCCGGACTATTTCTTGCCCTTTTTCTCGCAGAATAGCTTCGTCGGCCACATCCGTGGCTGCGATGTAGCAAAGGCTTCAATGCTAGCAGGAATCTCAAAAGTGTCAGGTTTCATTCGAGCTCGCAAAAACGATCTCAACCCGCTCCTGAAAGGATGGCTAAGAACAGACGAAGACGCTGTTGCTGAGCATGGACAGGTCGTGTCAAACATGGTTCTCACCGAATACCTGCCGTCCCTTCGATCTGCAAGAGAATCAACACGGCCGGCGACTACACCGAACCATGCAGGTTTCCCATGCTGTTGGAATGATTTCCCAATGCTTACAATCCCATTTCTGCTATTTAGGTGGACACACCGGCCGGATTTCAAGACCAAACATGCCTCATTTCTACAGCGAGCGCGCAAAATAAAAGCTAGCGAGTTTCTGATCCTGGCCGCGGATGAGATTCATGGGCATTTACTGTCGGGGCAAGGCAAGAACGCGGTCTTCGATGTATATCTGAGTTTGATGACAGCTCCGAAACATCTGAATCATGCGCCACTCCAGTCGTTTCTGCCACCCGCGCTGTTCCTGACGGTCGCAAAGACGCTGAACTTGAACTACGATACAAGCAATTTATCGTTGAGAGACACGATCTCAGATTATACGGTCGGATGTGAACCACCTGACCAGCCGCAATCAGTTTGGCCAACCGGGCCGTTCCTGACGGTTGCGAAGACCTTGGATTTGAACTACGATAAAATAAATGCAAGAAAAAACTCGGGAGCAGATTCTACGTTGAGACGTGAACAACCCCAAGAAGACACGGTGCGGGGTGCTTCTTTCATGTCCCAAGACTTTGCCGATGCAGCTTCATTGAGTGCCACTGTTTCGATATCCGACGAATCTTCCATAAGCTCAGGCTATCGCTCATTTCGCGCATACTCCAAGAAGCTCAGGAACAGTATGTCCTTGACTGTACGTACTCGACTGTCCGACTCATCCGGGGCTCGGACAACTCGAAGCAGTTGGAGCTTCAGCAGGAACACAGGGTTTCCCCGAGATTCGTCTATCCGAGAAAGTCAAATATCCCTGTCTTCCGACGTTCCCATGAGTGGTTAGAGAGGTGCTGTCCCTCCAGGAAGATGATGGCTGCATGTGTCGACAAACATGCCATTGTGTAAAGCATTCCTATCCCGCTCTTTGTCCAAGCCGTGTCCTGTGCAATCTTCTTCCATAGCAGATATGAAGCCTCAGCCAAGGGGCGTGGAAGCATCACAAACAGCCACGGAAGAAAAAAGCCCCTTAGTGTTTGAGGGAACAAGCAAACAGAGTACTTAAAACGGACAAAAAAGAAGCCAAACCTGAGTGAAGATCGATTTTGACTTCCCAACGAGTGACGCCAAACCACACTGAAGGCCTGGGCACTTTAGACATGGCAAGGATGCCGAGGTGATCTGGCACGTGCCTAAGGTTAGGTAAGAAGAGTGGTAAGGTACTAGGTAACTTGGAAATGGCGGGTACCAGTTAGGCGGCAACTTGGAGCGACAGGCTTCCACAAACGGGATGCCGAGTGGTACCATGTGAACCAAGGAATTCCAGTTCAGCATTGCTGCTAGACCAACTTCTTGCACCACTTAGACTGGAAATCTTCACTCATTCTAGAAATCTAGCTCTTATCACATTCATTGTTCATGTACTTGAGATCCGTGCGTCCACTCCTTCAAACGCCCTCATTCTTGCCCTGAAGGTACACAGCAAGCTATTCAGCTTCTCCTACATCTCCTGCCGCAAACCCCAACATTTCAACACTCGCCGCCCACAATGTTCGACTTCCTCAAGAAAGCTACCCCCTCTCTGCCAGAAACGGTGGCCGATCTGGAAGCCGTCCATCCCTTCTATCCTGTCGGAGTCGAAATCGCAAACTTCATCGCCAATGACATGACGGTCGGACGACTCCTTGGAATCTTTGCAACTGGCTGTGCGGGTATACTTGCAGCGACATGGTTCCTCACGTCGAAAGTGGCACCTCAATTGCAGAAGAAGGATAAGCTAGCAGTCTTGTGGTTCTGCTTGAGTAAGAACAATATTGCCCATTCTGCTGGAGGACAAGACTGACCAAAAAGGTGGAACAATACACCTCTTCTTCGAAGGCTACTTTTCCTACAATCATACGCGCATGGGTGGTGCCCAGGATCTATTTGGGCAGCTGTGGAAGGAATATGCCATGTCCGATTCGAGATACTTGACGTCCGATCCTTTCGTCCTTTGCATGGAGACCGTTACAGCAGTACGAGCATGGATCTAAAGTTGCTTCACCTACACTATACTAATATGCCGACAGGTTCTTTGGGGTCCCCTCTCCTTCCTAATGATCTACTATATCATCACTATGCATCCTCTAAGATACCCTCTGCAAGCGGTCGTATCGTTGGGCCAGATCTATGGGGATGTCTTGTACTATGCTACAAGCATGTTTGATCACTATCACAAGAGCTTGACATATTGTCGGCCGGAGGCATACTACTTTTGGTTCTATTTCTTCTTCATGAACTTCATCTGGATCGTCATACCCGGAAGTGAGTGTATTCTGGAGACTGCAAGATCAACGCTGACGAGTGATAGTCCTCCTAAAAGACAGCTTCTCGACTACGGCGAAGGCGTTCAAGGCATTGGATCGACTGTCAGTCTCACTGCAAGGAAATGGAGCGGCCCCCAAACCCAAAGCAAACGGACACATCAAACGTGCTTAAAGGGTACACAGAACCAGAGACAGTACTGCAGCTGGTGTCACGTCGCGAGAAGGGCTGTGAGCGTGTTCCGCGAGTGCATGGCTGTACAAGGCGCGTGTTTCGCGCAGCAATAGTATGCAAGCTATATGAAACGTGCCGAAAATAAAATAACGTGGTTTCTGTGACAAGTGTCGTCCAAGAAGTCCTAAGTGACATTCATCTCCCAGTGATCTTGAAGGCCTTGTATAGTGTACTAGGTAGTAGGTGAAATGAGCTTCCAAGATCGCCAATCTCGTCTGGCAGGATATCGGATAGCCAAGTCCTGGACCTAAAGACAAAGTTCCAAAGTGACGTTTAAGTGTTGACACGTTGCCGGGCCAAACCACGATTTCCCGCCCACATTGTAAGCGAACGCCCGCATTGACGCATCCCGCGCATAGCAATCCATGCACTGCGCTGTACCGCCATCAGGCGAATTCCACCCTTGCATGACATCCCGGTGCCTTGAATTGATGTCTCGAAATCCTTGTTCTGGGCACTTGATATCTTCGGATGTCCGTATTGCCAACCACAATTCTTAACAGATTCTCATGCTTTAAGCATCACCATGCGAAGACAAGACCACCCGAAACCACAGGATACCCGAGACAAGGAACGATTGAAGGAAACAAGTTTATAGCCAAAGGTTGCATAAACAAGCTGGATTAATCCAAATGCGAGCAGAAACACCCCTGCAGTCCTCTCGCAAAACCATCAAGAATCAGCGCAACGAACCTCTTTCTCCTCTACAAAGGCACGATGTAGCCTCCAACCGGCCGGTAAACAATCACGGTTCAGGTGCCTGCTCCGTACAAGACCGAATCCAGCAATGGCAAGCACAAAGTGCAGCAAATGCTGTCGACCCAGATGCGTTAAGCGTCCGCTCTATACCTAGATCTGACGTTGCCTCGATTGTGTCGAGGCCAAAGTCCGAGTATGGCGATGAGAACGACTTACGCACAGGCGGACGGACCAAAGACAGGGTTGAAGAGGTTGTACAAACGGAAAGAAGCAAAAGTGCTCCCAGGAAGAGAATCATCAGCGACAGTCACTGGAAAGCCAAATCGGGGGCTAAGAATCAGAGAGATACCAAGTCGGCTTCGAGACCACGGCCAGAGTCTGCTCATTATGACCTTTCATACACCACGACTGGTGAACCCCCAAAAGAGCGTCGGCGATCGCGTCGGCAACATGAAAATGCCATGGATGGACCGAAATCACCACTCGACAATGGCATCAGGATCAAACCTGGGCCCGCTGATGGACGTCCTACTGGTGTAGAGGATCGTCCACTTAGTCCTGATGTCAACAGCCTTGCGAATGGCAAACATCCGACAATGGACTCGGTGCTTTCCGATGAATCTGACAGGTATGTTGAGAACTATGTGGAAGATGATGAGCCGACAGGACGTACTCGACCACAAAGCAAGTATGTCGAAACGCTTGGGAGAGAGTCAGCCGCGACTGCAGAAGCCGAAAGGTCAAAGATGGGCGGGCTATTCGGCAAGACCAGAGATATGTTTTTAAAACCACAACCGGTACCACCTGTGCACAACAGGATCCCCAGCATAGAAGCATGGCTCGACGAGCAGCCTGATCCGTTCGTGGATCAATGCACTTCAGCCGAGCTTCCACCAGCCGAAGCTCCGAAATCTTTGAGAAAGGATCCTCGAAGGCAAGAGAGACAGAGACCGTCGCTTGATAAATCTCCTCTTGCAGATTCCAACCAGATATGGGAGTCAATTGACCGGCGCGACGAGACCCAATCGCGCCAAACGTCTTACAATGAAAGCATACCGCTAACACCGACACTTGGTGACCAGCGGTCTACGCCTAGTCACCGGCGTGAGAGGAGCAAAGATGCCCAGGATCATGATGACCCATCGACGCCACTCCGCAGGAGCGGAGCCAGAGTGCGCCGCGGGAGGGAATCTCCTAGCAAACGAGGGACATCCGCCGTTGGCCACTCTCCGTCGCCAGAAATACCCGTCACAGAATTTTCGACGCTTCAATTAGGGGAGCAGTTTCCAAGACAAGAGCGTCCGCCAACTGACCCGAAGTCAGCGCCTACCATTCCCTTTGAAGAAACACAACTTCCTCCCCACGAAACCTCTAGTGGCAGCGGTGGCCTCCAGCGCAGACTCACAACGCATGAGGAGCTGATGTCTATCATATCTCAGCCAAGGGCTCACAGGAGCCGTCGGTCTCGTCGACGCCCAAGGAGTACGCGAGTGGCTCAGGACTCGAACGGTGCACGAGAAGTGCTTGCGGCCTTGGTGGCAGACGAAGAGAAATATGGGCAGGAGCTGAGAACCTTGGTTGATGGTGTTATACCGGTCCTGCTCCAGAGTGTTCTCTCAAAGACGGATTCAGCTGCTGCAGCAGGTCTGTTCACCTCCGCCTCTAGTGTCCAAGACGATGTCAGCGTCACCAAGCCAATCATTGAAATGGGGATTGCCTTGGAAAGACTGAAGAGTTTGCATGCCCGTATCCCCCTCCAACAGGTGGATAGCCTTCTCAATTGGGCGCAGACAGCGCAGAAAGCCTACAAGGAGTACTTCCAAGCTTGGAGACTCGGTTTTCAGGACGTCATTGTCAACCTTGCACCACTTGACGATGCCAGTCCAGCTCCGCAAAGCATGGCGAAGGACGAAGCGGGTGACCTGATCGACAACGACGGCAGAAAGGTTGATGTCGCCTATTTGCTGAAGAGGCCTCTGGTTAGAGTCAAAAATCTGAGCAAGTCATTCGACCAGATAAGAGACCACTGTGACAGACCACTTGCCACAAAAGCAGCGGATGCCTTCACAGAACTCACAGCTGTGGCGAAACGTCGTCACCGAGAGGAACAGGCTCGTCTAGAAGACGAAGCAGCGGCGAATATTGACACTAGCAGGACTCGTGACATTCGGACAATGGCACCAACTGCTGGAGTCGTCCTCGACAAGTCCCGTCGGGTCAATGCCAGAGACTTTTTCAACCTCACTTTGTACCATACCAGCGGACAGCGAATGGACTGTGGTATAGAATTAATCTTCCGGGATAACGCTCCAGGGAATGATCCGGGTGGTGATGTACTCATTTGTGAAGTCGATGACACCGGCAAATGGCTTCTCTTTCCACCGGTCCTACTGAGCTCGATATCGGCAAGGCGCGGCGAGGCTGAGTTTGATCTTGTGATCATGGTGCGCGGCCGCGCTGGGCTCGGTCAGGGATGGCAGGAGCTGCTGGCGCTAAAGACCGAGGACAAAGAAGCCTCGACTGAGTGGATGAACATGCTTGGTTCAAACCCATTACCGCCCAGGCTCAACCGTACCCCTAGTCTCAAATCACCCCAATTGCCAAGCGCGGGAGAAACACGTCCTGATAAAGGTGATTCAGGTACACAAGGTCAGAAGCAGGATCAGTTGAGGAATGACCAAGGACCTGCGCGGCAAGATGTTGACATACCTATTGGAGAGCCCTCTGTGATTTTGAGGAGAAGCGACGTGAATCCCCGTTTAGATAGCGCAAAGCCTTTGATCGACAGGCCTGTGCCGTCACAACTGAACCTGGGAGGTGGTCTAGCATCAAAGCCGGAGGCACATTATCAGACACAGTCCACAGTCACGATCAAGAGACGGCCAGTTCCATCCACCAAGTCGTCCGACAGGTCGACTCTCTCAGACCAATCGATCAGACAAACATCCACCACGGCTTCATCATCGTTAAGACTTGTGACGGACAAGGCCGGTCCGACACAGAGGAGATCAGCTCCTCTGTCGCCAAGATCTCCTCCTCAACAACCGCTTTTCCCGGCACGTTCACCAGAAGGAATTCTGCCTGGCAATCGTGAGAGCCGCGACAACGAACAAAACCGTATCAAAACTGGTACTGAGTCCCCAGGCTTGGGCATTCCTATCTTCTCGACACCGACTAGCTCTCCAAAAGATCATAGCCTGACGGCGACTCCGGAGACTCAGTACAAGGCTTATAGTCCTTGGAGTACGGAGCCGATTCCACCATCCTCAGTCACCAAGGACTCGCAATCGCAACGACCGATATATCACCGAGCACTTTCCTCTACCCCATCACAGAATCTCCCCACCGTGGCCAGAATTCGGCCGTCGCCACACAAAGCGTCGGACATGGGTGACGTCCAATCGATCTCAGCAGCATTCAGTGAAAAAGGTAGATCACCTCGCGAGAAAGAGACGCGGACCCCGAGGTCCACGAGAGACGGAAAACCGCCACAAGCTGCAGCACCTCAGTCACCACAAACTTTACCGACGAGTCCCACCATAGCTTCTAATGCATCGCCTCCCCAAACTCCGCCGCACAGCAGGTCCCGCACGTTGCGCCCTCGAAACAAAACTCCAGATCTGGGCGCAACACCAGAGAGATCCTCGAGGAGGAGGACATCATCACCACTGAAGCACGAATATGCGCCTTCGACTAGTTCTGGTACCCCTGAAGACTATGACACGGACGGTTTCAGCGATTCCTCGTCAGATACCTCTGAAGATTTTGACAATGAGGGCGAGGACAAAGTCACTCCTCTCGTCGCGGTAGCTGCTGGTGACCGCCGACCCTCAAAGCAATCATATCCGCCGTCCTCGATGCCGTCGACGGGAACCAGAACATTAGCGCCATCAGATTCGGCTTCACAAGGACCTTATCGGAGAGTACCGTCTTCTAATACAGTGCCAGAGCACAAAAGACGGAAGGCCATTGCTACAGTTTCTGCGTGGTCCAACACAGGGAAGTGGGACGACATACACCAGGACGAATGTTCTATTGTCGTCTCCCCAGGTTTGGTCGAGGTTTTCGAAATGTCCGCAGCTCATTCAAATCCTCAAGGGTCACCCGGCGGCCGGCTCCCGACCGAAGACACCTCCCGAAACTCATCCATTTCTGATCAACCGTTAGTGGCCTTCGAATTGACCCCACTGGTCTTACTCCGTCAAGGCGCTGCCTGTGACATCCAGATTCGTTCCCCATCGACTCCCAACTCCAGAATCCAGACAACCAGTCACGTCATGTTCCGTTCCCGAAACGTGGAAGAGTGCAAGGCCTTGTATACCATGATCAATTGGGCCCGTTGCAACAACCCCACATACATTGAGTTGGAACGTGCTCGAGCTCGTCAGCCGACCGCAACATTCAACGTCAAACAGGAAGAACAAAAGACTGGCGGGCGATCAGCATCGTGGTTCAACTTTGGGAGCCCCAAGAAAGCAAGTTACCGTGCTTCCTCTGCACCGATACCAGCTTCTGTGGAGATGGATATGTCGGTCGAAAGTTCCGGGACTATGGCCAATGCTTTTTCCGCCCTGAGGATATTCAGTGCTAAGCCGGCTTTCAATCTCAATCGATCTTCAGTGCTCCGCAAACCGGGCGGCGGCACAGGAGCAAGTCTCTATTCCTCAAGCAGTGGTGGAACGGGGCCTAGGTCTGGCTCAAGCACTCCAGTGCCAAGTCAACTTGGCTTCGTTCCAGGAAAAGATGGACCGAATGTTCCTTCCACGAGCGCTGACGCTGCAAATGGAGGCGGCATGATCAATAACATGAAAATACGATTGTACCAGAGAAAAGGACAGCACTGGGAGGACATGGGCGCTGCACGCATGAGCGTCCTGCCAGCCCCTGTCGCAGCCACAGAAGATGGTACTACACCGCCGACCACACCTACTCAGAGTCGAGGACGAGTCTATAGCGAACCGATCGGCCAACCAGGCCAAGCTCGTGGACCGCGTCTCGCAAGTTCAGGTCATACGCCGCATCGGATTCATGGCAATGGTCGCGAAAAGCGCATCCTCATCGTCAGGAACAAGACTCCCGATATTGTTCTCTTAGACGCCGTGCTTGGCGAGAGCTGTTTCGAACGGATCATGCAGACTAGTATCGCAGTCAGTGTCTGGAAGGCGGCTGAGGAGATCGGTCATACTGGTGGTGTTACTATGGGCAGGGATACCAAGTACATGTTGGTGTTCAAGTCGAACAGGGAGGCCGGTTGGGTCTTTGGGCTATGTGGGACTTATCGGTATGGTCACAGCCAGGCAGTTGATGGCTAGGCATCCATACAGTTTGGGTTCGGGAGTATTTGGATAGAAGTGGGCATAGGGGGCTTTTTGTTTGTGTGTTGATATGTGTCTGTTGAGTTAGAGATGATACCCGGAATTACATTTTCTTGTTCAGTATCTAAAGCATGACGTCCACATTTAAGGTGAGAAGAAAAGAGAGATTCCGCAATGAAGACGGTGTTCGCTAGCAATGCGTGTAAGAATGCAATACACGGATATGTACAAGTAGAAGTTCCACCAGAAGAATGAAACCTCCGCGTGCCATCACATTCTTGTTCAGTGTTCAGTCGCGCCGACCCCTCTCTGCATGTCCACAGCCCTTCAATCTGTCAGCTGGTTAAGGGACAAAGCACTGCGATTCGCGGCCGGGTCGACAATGGTATTCGGCGGTGGAACAGTCAAATTGACCAGATAAGCGTCCATGATAGCCTGAATCTCTACGCTGACACCGTAGCTAGTATGGTCGTCGCCCACTCTCACAACGAGCGCGACCTTGGGAATCTGCGCGGCGAGACCGTACGCCCAGGGCAGCGGCGTGTTGTGATCGTTGGTGGACTGCACGAGGAGGATCGTTGGGGCTTTCGCCATTTGTGTCGAGTCCAGCCAGTGCTGGGGATTTGTGACGTTGAATGGCCATGCCATGCACAACGTGGCGAAATCGAACATCATCGAACTGCCAAAGCTTTCCGGATACATTGCCTCGCCTAGCTGCTGGAGGGTGGTGTGCTGCTCGAAAGTACTTACGTTCATTTGCCAGTCGAGACAGCCGACTGCTAGATTGGCGAAGTCTGAGGACTCTGATGAGCTGGAGATGGAGCTTGACAAAAGTGTTGCGTTGCCATTGATGGCCTCCTTGATGACCTGCGAGTACCACGGCCATAAATCGGGGCGTCCGAAATGGTTTCCCACGCTGAACAAGATTTCGTAGCCGGTTATCTTTGGCTTGCAAGTTCCTGCGTATGAAGACTTTGAGGTGGCTAAGCAGCCTGGTGCTGGGATGGGGTTCTTGTTCGCATCGGCGATCATGGCGTCCCATGCGAGGGCGGCGTCGTATGTCTCGTTGTGGAATGCACAGCTCGAGTTGGCATTGCACCATGCGAGAAGGCGCGTGACTTCGTATGGTCTGTCATCTCCCCAGTTGTCAAGGAGGAGCGAGTCGACAGCACTTCCTGCGTGGTTGACGACGCCGTCCAGGGCCATGGCGCGGACATTTTGGGGAAAGAGCTCGGCGTAAGCTGCGCCGAGTTGAGTGCCGTAGGAGAAGCCGAGCCAGTTCATTTTGGCCTCGCCTAAGCCGATGCGGATTGCATCGAGATCCCTGGCTGCGCTGGTGGTGTCGACCAAGCCGAGGAGAGGTCCGGTCATGTTAAGGCAGGATTCGCCCAGCTTCTTGCTGAAGTTCAGGACTTCCTGGAAGGTGGCTTCGTCGTTGATGATGTTTGAGGGTTGCTGTTGCCAGAGGCTGCTGTCACATTGCACGCTGGATGATTTGCCGACACCGCGGGGTTCTGGGCAGATGAGGTCGAAGTGATCCATGAGCATTTCGCTGAATGCACTCTCTCCTAGAGCTTGACTGTAGCAAAAGCGTTGGGCAAATCCGCCGGGACCGCCTGGATTGAAAAATAAACTACCTATACGAGAGGTACTGTTCGTCCGGAGTCGGGCGACGTCAAGTGTGATATTTTGTCCTCGGGGATCGCTCCAGTCCATGGGGACTTGCATGGTGCCGCACTGGAGAGAAGGGTTGTTGCGGAGAGATTCGGTGACGTTACAAGTACTCCATTGTATAGGATAGGAGGGTGCTTGCTGTTTGGTCTGTGGAAGAGCGTTAACGAATGGAGAGCCGAGCATGGCGAGCAAGAGAGCGTTTTCGTGCAGATACATGATGGCGATGCCTGATATGATGTAGCGGTGTTGTTGTGGTTCTGTATCACGCAGGGATCAGATGTCTCTTGTGAAAGAGCTCTTGGGCCAGTGGAAGAGGAAAGAGAAACATTCTCAACTGCTCTTGCCGAACATTCTCACCAGCGCTCGCCAATCGTTCTCTTCTGCTCTTGCCCAAACCACAATTTGTGACGGAGCATCATGCAAAATCGTCCAATACCTGGATGCCTCTGTGGCATAGCACTGCAGCAACGTCGCCCGGTGGACTTACCTCTGGTGAACCATATGAGTTCCAAGCTTTCGGTAAATCTGTCTCCAGCAAAGTGATACATGATGGTATGCAGTCATTGCCGTTAGCGAAGGAGCATCTTGAAGTGAGGGTGACGAATGTGTGCGAAGAGAAAGAGGAAGCAACTACCTCCGAAAGCACTGAAGAGATGAAATCGACATGATGAGTAATCATTTCTTTGGGTGATCTTACATAATCCATCCTGTAGTCGAGGTCTGCTTGTTTCACTCCCAACATTGTACTCCCTACAGTAAAACGATAACCCGGCGTCATGAGTAATACTGTCACAACGGGCATACTGCTCACGAGCACGGAGTCATGAATTCTGTCTGTTGGGTTCCAGATGCCTAGCTTTTCTGACGGGACCAGCGACCATTGGCTCAGAGGATAGAGAGGTAAACCCTCCAGCAGTCTGCTCATTTATTTGATGAATGATGTTGCCCCATAGGAAATTGCAAATCATCACTATCAAGCGTGGCGGAAGGATGGTTCAGGAGTGAAATCTACCCAGTGGCGCCACTCCGTCCGCATTCTAGGCTTCAACCCTTCGCTGTGTGCCTCTTCTTGCGTGCCTTGGTGACAACCTCTGCAATCTAACGATCAAGGACACATGCTCTTGCAGAAGGCCTTGGGTGATCTCGACAGCCGCAAATATTTGTCGATAGGACGAGTAGTTCTGGTTGGCCATGCCACCAAGGGGAGGATCAGGGACTGCTCGCAGAGCGGATCCAGTTGATCGTCCGGATGATGGAATTGACGAAGACGAGCAGGAAACACCCACCTCATCAGCTGCCGGTGGACTTTTGTTCATCGCCGACACAGGGCAGAAGGGCCAATCTCGGAAGAAGCAAGACTTGAAGACTTTGCGTGCTCATGTGATGCACAATTACCTCGTGAAGAGCCATGCGGAACAACAGGATCCACAATCGAGAGCGACCTGGGCAGTGGTGCCGTCAAGCAAGAATCAGAGCGTTCGGGCCAGTTCAACGGTGATTGGCGGCCAAAAGATGAGATTCAGGTTGAAATCAGATGGATTGGAACAGCGATACCCATACCGACATCCGAACGACAAGAGAAAGGACAAATCTCGGAATGAGAATGCAGACACGAATGTCCCAGCCACCCAGGCGTCGAGCGGAGAAAGTTCTACAGCGCTTTACGTACCAGGGTACCCTCTGACACTCCTCGAGCCGCAAGCTATCGACCCCTTTGGCACACTAGCCGTCGAGCTGAACACCAAGGACGAAATCTTCCTCCACAGATTCTATAAGCTGGATAGGTATCCATGGTGTCCGATCAACGGGCAGAGTGACTGGTCCATCTTCGCAGTGTCTGACCAACTCGTGTTCCACGCGACGATGTTTAGCTGGGGAATGCATTTACGACATCGCACTCCTGCACCGAAGCACGATGAAGAGATGCAGGTGATCCAGCACAAATTGGCTGCAATCTCGTTGATCAATAGTCGCCTTTCGGACCCGGAGGCAGCAACAAGCGATGCCACCATTGCGGCAGTTGCTGCTCTTACCAACATTGCCCTTGTGATCGATTCGTACCCGGAAGCGAGCAAACATATGCGAGGCCTGGAGGCTATCGTCAAAATGCGTGGCGGGCTGTCGACTCTGGGATCTGGCGTCCAGCTACATCTGCAACGGCTCATCAGTTGGAATGATCTGATCTATTCGGAGGTGTTCGACGAGAAGTTGAGGTTTTCTCCCATCGAGGTCTGGGATGAAGCATGGGGCACCTTTCAGCAGCCAGATGAGTCCACATCATTGCCCGGGTTGAGTTATACTGAGTTGAGAGCTGCACGGGTGCCTCGTCACGAAGTCTTGGAATTGTTAGGAGATATCCAAGGGCTGTGTCGTCTGGAGCAAACAAGTCCTCTATTGCAAACTGACGAGCAAGGGCGAATGAGACGTGGCGACATGTTCCATCGGATCGAGAGACGATTGCGACTTATTGTGCAAGCAGACACGGCGCCTGGCAAGAATCGATGGGACGCTACCGTCTGGAGAGCTGTGTCTCTGACAGCTTTGGTCTTCACTCATCATCACTTGAGGGGCAATCCCCTCAAATACCGACATTTTCCGGTGCTGTCTATGCAGCTGCATGACACCTTACTGACCATGAGTGAGGATCTATCTGAGTTCGCTTTCGCACCAATATTGTTACTCTGGGTGCTCAGCACTGGTGCGATTGTCAGTAGCAACGTAGAGGCCGTTCATCAGTCATTCGTGACGATGCTATCAAGAGCATGCGTGAGGTACGGACTGGTCGAAGGGGATCAGTTCCTGTGGAACATGTCTGGGTTCCTATGGATAGGCGAAGCGGATGAGAAGAGGTATTCCGAATTGTGGCAGGAGATGGAACGGTCAATGCGGCAGGGAGGTATATAGAAATAGGGACGGGTGGTGACAGATAGTTTGTAGTTGAGAGTCATGATGCACTTCACATAGTGACTTGTATTCGGCTAAACGATCCTTTCCCATCCCTTGAACCCTTATCTCCGAGGGTCATGCGCGGCTCACGAAGTCCGTTCATCCCAATGGCACCATCCACACCATCATCAAACGGATAGAGACACGGCTGAAACACCTCGGACAATCGAACCTCATCAACATCAACTGGTGGTATCCTCATCCATCCTGGACTAGGTGGTTATTTGTTTTGTCCGCATACTTGATCAGCTCACGAGAGTTCTACAAGTGATATCTGCCTCCGGAATCACCCCGTCTTTCCCCGCCCTGTCACCATCTCGTACTACCTCAAGTAGATACCAATGGCTCAGCTCCTTGATTTGGCACCCGAAGTCCTAAGTCACATATTCCAGGATGTCGAGCCTACAGACCTCGCCTCCCTATCAAAGACATGTCAATACCTCTACAAATTGATCCAGAACGACCAATTACTATGGAAGATCCACTATCTATCACGATTCGTAAGCATACCTTGGACAATCTCATCTCAATCAACAGAACCAGGACTCTGACATGCAACAATCGATACAGGACTCCCCGCCACAAGACGACTCTCAGTCCTGGCAAGACAAACTAACTCGTCTGATCAATGTGCAAAAGATCCTAGAATCAGACGATGAGAACATCAAGGTATGCCACCCTCCTCTATCAAATCCATATACATACTCACCACACATCCAGGCCCACGCCGTCGAAGAGGTACTCACCCAAACCGTCACCCTCGCATACCAATCAAAATCTTCATCACACAAAACCTCCGACTTTCTCGCAGATCTATTCGACAAATCCGCCAACGTGAACACCTTCCTCTGCAAATCCAGCCTCTTCGCCAATGCCCGACCCGATGCCTGGACCAGTGCCCCAACCGAGTCCCTCCGCCAACTCTCCGCCCAACTCCACGTCCTAGGCGGCATGAATCTAGAGACTCCCTGGCCCAGTCCTGTCGAATTCAGTTGCCCACACTTCGCCCCCGACGTCGACGATTCAGACGACGACTCGGACGAAGACTACCAACCACCAAGTAGACACCCTTCCATTCCCGCCCAACCGATCCGACATGTCCACCCCTATGCCAGAGCCCGAGTCTACGACCTCCGCCGCTACAACCCAGCCAACATGTGGGGCCCCTTCATGGACGATGGCAGCGCACGGGTCGACTGGGAAAAAGTCCAAGCCATCATGATCGACATCGCCTACAACCACCGCATGTACACGGAACGTCGCGGTCTCAACGGTTCATCCTTACTAGGCAGCACAACCACAGGCAATACGCCCGCCACCCCAGCAACACCAACGTCCGTCTCAGCTAGGTCGCCGACACGACCATCCCACAATCCAACATCCGTTCTACGGCCCTGGGACGATCCTTTCAGCGGCATCGCGCCCAACAGCTTCGTATCCTTCCCATTATCTGGCACCCTCAAACCCGCTCTACGCCCGGACCTAGATGCCCTAGACCCCTACGGTGTAAGCGGCACCTGGATGCGCATCGTATGCTTCCTCGACTACAACGACCTCTACGCCTTCAATTTCGAGAGCGGTGTCATCCCGCGCAACGAGGAGCGTCCGCCCATCACGACGCGCGAGGCTTTCAGGCTCATCCGTCTGCAACTGCGTGTCAGTGCGATCGAGGAACCCGGCCCAGAAGATGGTCAGGACTTTCCCGTAGTGCACTTCGAGGGCGCCAGCCGGTCGACGTTCATGGCTTGGGATCCCAATGCGAACTCGAGGATTAGAGGTACATTCCATCTCCACACCCTTCTTTCTCTGGCAGAACAGTGATAACTGACTCCCATGTGTACAGGTATGGTGCGCCAGACGCCCAGCGGCGAGATCCGATGGACCACGTTCAGCATCTTCCACGGCGAAGAGCGCTGGCGGAGTGAAGGCGTACAGATTGGCGGACTGAAATCCGCACGAGGTATACTGGGCAATTGGTTTGACAAGGACTACGATGTGCATGGACCTGCGGGACCGACAGCGTTCTGGAAGATCAGTGACGATATCGTCGAGGAGAAGCGGACGTTGCCTCAGATGGTGCAGATCCTGATGGCTGAAGTTAATGGTTGATTCCTGTATGGTGATGTTTCATCAAAGTATATACGATTCGGATGGGCGAATGGCGCTAGGTTGACCTGATGAACGAGCGCTCTAAGTATGGCATTCTGAGCTAGTTATAGCAACGTCAGCAATTTATCAGTTTTTCTCTGCAATGGAAAGGCAATCCTTGTAATGGTCGTTAAAATCGTTCATTTCAGGCGAGTGCCAAGCACAGCAGCCCCTTTCTCGACTTATATGTGCGAAAGAGGTATATATAGGTCATCACAGATCCCGTCTCAGCCCCAGCACCTGTTCATGTCACATTTCAAACCAGAGTTTCCTCATGTCAGGATAAGTTGCTCAAACACCTTCATCGATATCCAAGAAACCTGCAGACGCCCGCTAAAGACATTTCAAGATGTATTTTCTGGTTATTTAGTCGATTTCCATTCTGTTGGCGGAAGGCCCTGGTGCCGGGTATTTGTTACCCTGCCCCATCTCCGTGGCATACGGTGCATATGCGCTTCCAATAGGTTTCTCGTCGTCATCAAGGGTTGTAGACTTGTAGATGTAGGGCTTGAGACCCTTCTTGTAATTACTGGCACATATGCAAGCATTGATAATGGTCATGATGATGAGGATGATGGTCAGGACAGCGAAACTAGTGAGTTCCTTTCGAGCCGGGAGATAAGGCGAGTCGTGAGAGGAGGAATACATGCGGAACATTTTAAAGATGAAGTAGCCAAGGCCACCAAAATAGAGGAACTGTTACAAGAGTCAATAGGAGATCCCGGTAAATTGCGCGAACACGAAACTTACAATAACCCCAATTGTGCCGGTCAGATTTTCCCTTCGCACAAACCATGCAGCAGCCAGCAAGATGAGAATGGTGACGGGGATAGCTGCAATCGTAAGCGCGAACTCTGCCTTCCTCGTGGTAACAATGACGACAAATTGCACTGTAAATCCGAGGAAGAAGAAGAAGTCAAACTTCAACAGGGCGATATAGACTTGATATTGGAGATAGCGTCGCTTCATTCTCAAATCGGCTGAGATGCGTTTGTAGATCGTCCAGGCAAATTCATCATATAGTTTCCAGGCGCATGCTGCCATGAGGACTGTTCCCAACGCCAGAACACACGGGATGGCGATCAGGAAGGGCTTTGTGTCGCTCCAGATCTGTATACGGTGATCAGAAGCCTTCGACAATGCGCTGATGGCCTCCTTGGACTGTGACATCTGGACGGCTCCGTAGATGAGAAGGCCGACATTGTACATGACCAGTCCAATCACTTGAATGGTGTTTTTCATGCGCAGAGCATCCCAGACAAGTATCAGCTGGTAGAGGAATCCAAAAATATAGAGAGTTTCAAAGGTCGGGATGGTGCGCGACGCTTTGTCATTTTCGCTGCTGATTTTGTCGAGGTTAATCTGGTAATGAGCAAACGCATAGCTTTGATCGACAATCAGCCTGTGACAAGCACTGTGAAAGAGAGGACGTACTCACCTCTCAAAGCCAAGGACTATGGCGGCCTGCGCGAGGGCAATCAGGCTGAAAGCCCACGTCCATGGTGAGTTGGGTTTGTACATGGTAGATCGTGTCTTTCTGGGTTCTGGGTCATTGATGTGAAAGCCTTCGCGCTGGTGATATCCTCCAGCTAAAGGCTGATATGTACTGGCCTGTCCTCCGAGGAGGGAAGAACGGGCCGCGTGAGAATGAATTTTGACGACTTATGAGCGCAATTGACGGTTGGTTTTCTTTTGGCTGTAAGTACCACAACGGAGTGTCGTGGTTCGGCTCAGCGACGGGTGCCCGTCTGGACTCGGTGAGGAGGGGTGCAGTATTCAGACGGCGCAGGACTTCGAGAAGTCGCAGGAAGACCTTGGAGGAGTAGGGAGGAACAGGTGACGGATGTCGTTTCAGTGTCAAGTGCGCAGGCGGGCTTTTGCTGTCTGGCTGCTGAAACGCCGGGGAGGGGGTTGCAACTCTGGGATTGGTGGTCTGCGCGTTTGGTAGTGGCGGACTACTTTAAGCGAGAGGTCTGGCGAACGAGTCGAGTTGAGAAGGTGTGCGTGATTCAATCCGGCAACCAAAGGCGGCTGCGATGCGATGTTGATCTTGCTTGAACGAGCGGTATTGCGAAAGAGTGATGAACCAGAGATGGAGGTGATAGAAATCAAGCTGACATGAATAGATTTGATGAAAGAATACTCTATACTCTGTGTTTAGGTAGGGACAAAGTTAGTACAACGCCCGTCAGCTGCGGTCGGCGATTCAGGGACTCAGGGTCTCCCTTTTGACGCTGCTGCGCTTCGTTCTCGCGACAAGAACAGCACCAGACCTTCGGGGGCCAAAACACCGGTTCCACAAACCCACAAACCCAAACGGCCCCAAGAAGAGGCTTGGGACTTCTAATTCCGCCCTGTAAGATCTTTAACAAATTACCTAGCTTCAGCGTGCCATCATCATTATGTCCGCACTTCACAGTAAATTCCCAGTATCGCATGTGTACTACTGATACCTCGAGAACCAAGGCGAATCGTTGCCTTTCCATTTCCAGCTTGTACCTTGTGAGTAGCAATGGGGGTCGCCACGACTCACAATCCAATCCTGCTGCGCCCACCACGAGGCTGCCAGTGGAGAACTTTGGTGGTCAAATTCCTCACTGCGCCTCACTATCCTGATGTCTACAAAAGGTGCACGTCCACATAAAGATGCCTTGTACGCCTGCCACCACCAGCCACTCTCTTGACATGATGCTGAACGCGTGGCCCAATTTACACCACCTATGCAACACAAGTCGAAAGATTCTGTGCTTATCCAGAACCTAGTTCTTCATGCTGAACACTCTTGAGATATCAAACGACGGTCTATTCGACGCAATTATTTCCCAAAAGAGCCCGCCGTGGTACTTGAGATACGCGGTTACTAAGCGGACATAAGCACCCAGGGCCGTCGTTCTATGCTAAACAATCGCCGTTATAGCGGTTAGTGTGCGAGATGCCTTTATGTTCACGCAATCACCGTCTCGATTCTCTTGGGTATTAGGACTTTAAGATGCGACTAACTCCGAAGTTGTGATATATACAGAAAAGTCCCAATCCGCCCAGATTCAAGTATTCCGGAGGACAAAACCATTAAGACTTGACTAGAACCTAACCCATCTTCACTGCGGCGATTTTATCAGTATTGACTATACTCACTGTTGGGAAACATGGGCAAGACCTGGCTCATCACAGGTAAAGAGCTTGCTCAGGGCAACATCTTGTCCTTGATGCTGATTACGTGCAGGCTGCTCTGCAGGGTTTGGCCTTTCTCTCACTAGGTATATTCTTGCACAAGGGCACAACGTGATCGCCACGTCCCGGAATCCAAGCAAGACGCCCGACCTGGTGAAAGAGATAACATCCAAACCCAATGGCCGATGGCTGTCTCTGGATGTCACCTCTCCAAAGGAAAAGATTGAGACAGTTATCCAGGAAGCCGAGAAGGAATTCGGTGGCATCGATGTGCTAGTGAACAATGCAGGCTACAGTGTCCTTGGTGCCGCCGAGGACATACCCGAAGATAAGGCAAAGGCGCAATTCGAAGTCAACTTCTGGGGAGCGATCCGCACAACCCAAGCCATTCTACCTCAGATGAGATCTCGTAAGTCTGGCACGATCGTCAACATCTCCAGCATCGCCGGACTCGACGCTCAGCCGACGTGCGCGATCTACGCAGCTAGCAAATTTGCCCTCGAAGCATGGTCGGAGTCTTTGTCTAGAGAGGTGGGGAGTCTTGGCCTGCGCGTCCTCATCGTCGAGCCTGGTGCTTTCCGGACGAACTTTCTGACCAAGGACGCTGCTCCGAAGATCCCGCCGAGTGAAGCCTATCAGACTGGCGTGGTTCAGACAATCATGGATAGATTTGACACCATGAATGGTGCACAAATTGGTGACCCAGACAAAGCTGCAAAGACAATCTTCGAGGTAGTGTTGGGAACCGGAGTCGGTGAAGGCAAGACGGACCTGCTAAGGTTACCTTTGGGCCCGGATTGCTATGCCAGAGCTACGGACAGCAACAAACGACGTAGGGAAAATCTGGAAGCCATGCAGGAGATAGCTTTGAGCACCAATCTGCATTGATCGGAAGAATAGATGCACGTAGATCATGTCTGTCACGTTGAAGCATAAATGTCCGTCATACCTATGAATGCGACGGGGCAGGGAGGGGAGGGCTAAATGCGGGGACGGAAGTTTGTCGTCGTGCATGTACCTGAACTTCGCAATTGTTGATCAACTCATACCATTGAGATATTCCAGCCCATGAAGTAGCCTACTTCAACAGTTGCTTGAATGTCTCATTCTCTGTCCGTTTTCGATCATGTCCTTAACATCTGTGTCTCTCAAAGGACTCACAGCTAAACTTCTCATCTCTCCACCTGCAACCACACTTGCCGAGTCCACCGCCATTGTACGAAGGCTGCAATCTTTTGGGCCTGTCACTTCCTTCACAAAACTCGAACCTAAGACAGCACAGGAGGATGGCTCTGCGCACGACGGCGAACAGCAAGAGGTCCATGTGGTCTTTTCACACCCGGAGACCGTGCAGACAGTGTCCAGAGCAAGCCCTTTCGTCGTCAAGGTACATCACAACCTTCCTGATCCACGAGTCGAAGACCCATTCAACCTACGAGGCCTCCAGTCGAGAGTACAACTCAAGCCCAGCACCATGACCTGTGTGGTGCAAGTACACGATCAGTCCGTCCACACTGGTCAGAATATCCTTTCGAGTGGTTTCTCGCCGAGCAACAAGACAAGATTATACCAGAGTCTACTTGAAGCGAACCCTCCCTCGAACATTGCAGATGGCCTTGGAGTGTTCGAGTCAGACAAATCGCACATCCTAGATACAACGCACTTGGTGGAAAAGCCACCAGACTTGACGAGCATGTATACGGCTCCCGCTCGAGGTCAAGTAAGAGACGGAGAGGAGTCATTGCACAAATTGCCTGCCAAACGCATTGGAGGGAAGGATATCTCAAGGTGAATACTCTCAGACCGGACCATGTCATTCAGTGACGCACCACACTGCGTTGAGCTGGGCTTTAGGTTGGAACATTGACTCTGGGTCGGTATAACGATGTCTCAACGGGTCGTCTCTTCACCTGCTTGAGACCTTGCAACAAATCAACTCGCCAGCAGTTGTGAAGGGATTTCCTACCCAACTCCGGGACTTGTTGAGAGTCTCCTCTCCGACAGAGGCCCCAGCGGTATAGCTTTCACCCAGTTGCCTGATTTGGCTTTGGCAGGTTCGCTGCTCACCTGCAATGACCGACGCCTGCTGGTTATTCACTTCCTTCGCGGAAAGACGTGCTCGTCGACTCATGGCTTTACGTTCACAATTTGCTCTGCGATGGACCGGTACCTTCTCGTGGTGCAGAGCGCAAGTAACCTAATCTTCCATTAGGCGAAACCAAATCCTGTCCTTATATATATAATAGCGCACACCATATGCTTTGGCATTTGTTGCGCACCAATGCATACTTCAGCAGCCATCAGAATTGCCAGCCTCATTTGTTCAAACGGTGTTGCAAGTGCTTCCACGGCCACGGTCTCTTGAGAGTGCTGTAGCTTGCGATCCTGCTCAGATCCGCATTCTATGAACATGTTTATTCCGCGTCTCTACTACACTTTTGACGTCGACAATGATCTCCTGAGTCTAACTTCTCGTCGCCAGTGCAGATACCCACACAGGACGGCCACGAAGTGACGACGGTTCGCCGAGAAGCACGTCGACAAAGTCGTGCGATCAACGCCAGCAAGACATCACGATCCTTGAGCAACCTCAGCACTCTCGCTTCAAGGCGTGCTGTTGATGCAAATCTTCATTTGTCTGATTGTGCAGAAGGGCGAATACACATGGGTCAAGATCGTGGCGCTGATTCTCCAGGAGATTCGGCAGTTCTTGTCGTTGCTATACCACCAGAAAATCAGGGTTGGAGACCGCTAATTGTTGTGTACCACGACAAAATTACCTTGTATGGTTCGCTATCAAGCAGTTGCATTGGAAATGGACCATGACAATGTCTTCGCAGACAGTGTGAAGCTGCACGCATACGCAGTGCTTGCCGTGATTTGAGCGGTACTTGCTGAACTCATGGTTCGAATGATCAGAAGCAAACTGCACACTCGAGCAACAGTAGTGCACATTTTCTCTGATATGGGCTCCTCTTGGCTGGGCACTTCTATCTGATGCGAGTGTGGTCTCGCAAACCCGCCTTTTCGACCAGTCCTGAAAACACCGCCGCCCTTTACTTACACTCAAACATCTACTATCGATATTATGGCGAGTCAACCGAACAGCCCGAATACTTTGATCCCGGGACATATTGTACGAACGCTCCCCGCAGCAAGCGCTTTCACCACGAAGATGTAACTGAGTCATGGTGTCCTTACTGTGGATGTGAGAACCCACAACAAGTTCCGACACCGTCCCCGCCACCAAGCAACACAAAAGGTCCGAGTGGAGAGCGTCCACGGGACCGTATATCCCATCTCCTCATAAGTATTTTCTCCGTCTGCCAAACAATACGGTCAACCACGACGAGTTCATCCGCGAGCTCGTCCATATGGCAAGGCCTCAGGTTAACGAGCCTAAGCTTCAACCACTTCTTGCCACGGGGCCGCCGGAGTCGGTCTGGCGAATGTCCACTGTCCTCCCATCGGAGAAGGCGAAAGTCCCGCGAGTGACTTCTTAAAACACAACTTCCAAAAGGAGCGGAGAACGGAGGCGTATGGTGTATCGCTATGCTATCGGCGTTGGGATAATGAGGAGAGCGACTCTTCCACAGCTTCTCAGTCCAGTGTGGATCATTTGCATTCACCATAGTCGCAGACCTATCTGATGACCTAAAATGGGTTATCACAGCAGAAAGAACAGACACCCATTCAAAAAGAAGACCAGATATCACTATTGAACCAACCAAGCATATACTCCACAGCAAAACGGACTCAGTGAACGCCAGAATTTCCGGAGCCGACAGTCTTCAACATATCCCCAAGAGTAGCCCATCGAGGCTTTTTACAGAATACGGATGCAACCTTCAATACCAGTAAGCCGCGAATGCCAACCGTCATTGCAGTCGACGTCTTGGGCAACGGCTGTACAGCGACAAACTAAGCAACTTACACGCCGGCGACATCAGTGCCAATAGTGCACATTTTCTCTGATATGCTCTGCCTCCCGTCGCTTTGTCTCTGATTTTGCCCTCATGATTGATGCCACATTCATGTGGCCTTTCGTGGTGTCCGGGTGAGAGCAAGGAGAGCTATCTCTTCTTTTTTTTCAGCAGTGGAATGAGTGCTGTTTTCGACGTCCGAATGAGCCGCGCGTCGCACCTATGAGAGTGCTTGTCAGCGATCACTCTTGACAGCTTATACCAAACGGTCGACAACAGCCTTGACTCGGACTTTCTCAGATATCAAAAAACAAAATGAAGAAAAAAACCAATAAAATCCATATACCATCCTCTAGCCTCTGTCTTGGTGAGCTGCTCTTCAAGCCTTACCACTCCCCTGCCGTGACTTTGGTCTCCTTCGGGAAGAATTGCCCTTATACCCACCAGAGCGTGTTCACATCATCCCGTTGTCGTGCTGAGGCCAATCGTTATTCAACAGTATCGGTCTACGTGACACAGTGACACTCGAAGGACGCTGAATTGCTGTCTGTGCCAACACCAATTGCCATGCTGGAGTGACGGATGAACGATGAACATGAAACGTATTTAATATCATTGAACCATATCTTTATATTCATTTTTCCAAACAACAAACTGGGTATCATACTCATCACAACATAAACGTCCATGGCACATCTCGACCATATCCCGCGGTATAAAACATCATAAACAAGGCATCTCGCCATACATAAAAAGCCATCAAAGTCAAGTGTCGGATTTGGCCCCAGATCAGAGGTCATGCTTTTGATTTCATTCTGTTCATCGATTGCACGAGTGTCCGCAGCACGATATACTGCTCCTCATGAGCCCATACGCTTCATCCTCTGTTGATAGTCTCACATGGCAAGCAAGACCATGTCCGAGAGAAAATATCCAGGCCTTCGGATGGTAGCGGTATGTCTCCGTCCGAGGACGAAGAATTCCTGTATGCACAAATGCAAATGTAAGTCTCAGCCGTACAAAAAGCTTTTGACTAGATTGTAGAATGAAAAGGCCTTTCATCTCAAACTTCGGCCGGGCTTTGCCGACTGGTACTGGCACGAGGAGGCGAGGGAGTCCTCTCATCCTCATCCTCACTGTCCGACTCAGTATCAGTCACATTGCCATGGCCAGACTCGAATCGCACCTAAGTCCCACTCAACGTCGGTGTCTCTTCATCTCCACGAACAACGAAAGGGAGCAAAGTAGGACAAGATGTGAAAACACATCTAAGCAAGACCGAAAACACTCACGCTTTGGGTCCTAGGTCCACCCGGCCTATCCCTGGCGCTGTAGTACTCTGGCGGTGGCGCTGCAGCATCATGTCCAGCGTGCATGGTCTGAGCGAGGCTCATATGCCTAGTACCACTGCCAAGCAATGGCATGTTCGGGCTCGTTTCCTCGTAGACGGGACTCTCGCCACCAAACCCAGATTCTGCTTGTTCGCCCATACGAGCTTCATACAGGCCAAATTGGTGCTCGATCTCGGCGGCGATAGCGGCATCTGACTCCTCGATCGAAGCTGGCGGGATTCCACCTTCAGCAGAGACCTGGATTGGGGTCTTGAGAACGACGTGACTGCTCGCGACATTTGCACCGAGCGAACGGAATGACAGGTTCAACTCCACCGAGTACGTCCGTGAAATGATGCAGGTGTGGAATGTGGGCACAAAGACCTTGCCTTTAGTCGGAAGGGCGATGGGAACGACGACAGATGCAGTGTAGAACGGCATGCCCTGTTGATACTGGCATGAGGGCTCAGGAATGGATGTCGCTGAAGATGTGGAGTAGCTTGAAGGTCGGCGAGAAAGATCCGACGAGGAGAAACTCTCCCTCGAGGGGTCATGTCGAACCCATGGCACAGTGGACAGATTGCGTGAAGAAAGCTGGATGGTCTCGGGGTAGACGCCGTGCAGGACGGACCAGCAGTCCTGCTTTTGAGGCTCGGGCACTATTTTGTAAGGTGCGGCGCCGAAATAAGTGTACGCCCTCAATTTGCTTACGATCGAGTCCAATTGTGGAGGGACATCTTGTGCTGTCAGTGGGTCGAAGCGCAAGTTGATGGTTGCCATCGTGGTGACTGGTTCAGTCTGTCGTTTCTGCGGGTGCGGAAGGCGTAGACTCTTTGGCTGGGACGTCTCTGCTGTCAATCGGCCGGTTTTGCCCACTTTGAACAATCCTTTCCTCACGCTCTTCTCTTTGCGCAGAACGTGGTCGGAGTCCTCCTCGTCGATTCTCATAGGCGGGGCCTCGTCGCGAGCAGGGACAATCCTGATGCGTTCTGACTTTTCGGCCAACTCTAACATCTTACCAGCGGCGGTCCACTTGGTGACTCGAGCGCGGATGTTGTAACTGATCTTGGCCATTTCAGGAGCCAGATCGTCCATGAGGGTGTGGCCATCGCCCGCAATGCTGGGGTCGCCCAGACTTGGAGGTAATTGTACATGTTCTTTCCTGATCTCTTCGTTCTCTACTTTGTGCGAGCAGACGAACGGTAGTAGTCGATCCGGGACAACGAATGTGTATGGAATGCTGTAAGTGACACCTGCTCGGAAGATGTCATCTTCTGGTAGGAGCCCTGCTTCAATTGGCTGCTGAACCCTCAAAAAGACATGTTTGCCTGTCGTTCGACCAGTGGTAGGAGCTGTAGTGACGATTTTCTCGACATAGGTTAGACTTTGGCCCTCGAAGGAGATGTGGAGATCGCCGAAATCGGTGTCCTTATCGAACTTGATGTTCACGCGACCCTTGATTTCATCGTAGGTAGAATAAGAATGAACGAATTCGCCTGGACCATCCAATACGATCTCAATTTCGCTCTTCTTGCGCAAACCCATCGCATTGGCAATCGCAGATCCTCGTCGCCCTTGTGATGCGCTTGCGATGGGCAGTGATCGAGAGCGTGTCGTGTACGACGGCGCCGCGTGGGCAGCGGGCATAAAAGCTGGCATTTCGCCTGAGATTGTCTGGCGAGGAGTGGTCATAGTGGAAGGAGAAGAGAAACTCCGCAGAAAGGAGCTGTCGAGGTAGATAAGGCTAGTTCGGAATATCGGAGTGTGGTGGTGTGGGTGATTCACCCAGTGGCAGAAGGTCGAAGGAGGGGTCGATCAACCGACGACTTGCATGGATATGACTCGTGTGAGGAGGGTATCGAGACCGGGGTCGGAGATGCGGGTGACTGGCGTTGAGGAGACCTGAACAGTGTGAACAGGGTCCAGCGGCAAAGCGTACGGAGTCTTGTTTCGTGTCTTGTGATGGTATCTTAAATACCTGGTGGGGGAAAAAGTGATCAATGGTGAATAGTAAACAATTGAGTGTTCGAAGGGCAAGTGTAATGAAATATGTACCTCCATAGGTTGACTCTGACTCTTAAAAACTGCTTACTTTTCGTATCAGGAAGGCATGACTGAATGAGATCAGATTCCTGTGTCAAGATGCGTATGACAAAAGGGACAGAAGGGCGCGCGTTTACTTCCCTAAAAAGCCTGGTCCATACTCGTTTACTCCATATCTGTCCCGCCGCGGGTTGGTGAGTCACTCCTTGGAAATGGTAGAAGTCTACGGATATAAACTTAGGCATCAATCCGAGTGTCAATGACGCCGAAGGGCGGGTTAGTACGCACGACCAAAGTCTAACAAGCACCAAGCGAGTGGTTAACTTCAGGGAGACCGTGGGTTTCAAGGCCCAGCTTGTCGTGGTGAGATTCCCAGAGCGTACACATGTAATGGGAAAACTCCACTCTATACGCCCTTTGATGCCATATTCGCCATTTAGTAGCACCACGCCCTCCACCCACATCCACCAACATCCACCTCCCAGTTTCTCTTTGTCATCGAAACCTCGTGCTTCGAGTCAATTTGAACGACATGTCTGTGCTGGCCTTGTCGCTGAGTAAGACATTCATGGGGACAATCCTTGCGCAAAGGCTGCGGTCGGAACACCCACGTGCTGAACGAGTACGGGTCAGACATTGACTCATCGCACGGAGGTCCGTCCATCTCGGATGTAGGGACCAGGAATAAGGCTCCTTGTTATTAATTGCTGTGTGCATTATATCGTACTAGGTTTTATGCTGTACAATTCTAGCGTGAGACCTTTCTCGTTGCCCGTACTTCATAAAGTGTCGTGGTGTTTGCCCTCTCCAAGTCTCAATCCACCTTGACACCACTGTATATGCGACGAACAAACATATACGCCGTCAGGAACCCAATCGTCCCTGTCGCCAGTGAATAGACTGCACATGCCAGTGCACTGTAGCTGAAAAACAACAGACTGCTCACAAACCCGTCGATATGCAATCGAGTGGTATAATACCACATCGAATAGACAAAAATCCAAAATCCAGATGCGCCGCCCACAAAAAACGACTGCCACCACCAGTGATAATTCTCCGCGCAAAGCTGTATGTATGTTGTGATGATGACCGTCTCGGCTATGGTGATAGAGAGCAGAGCCGAAATGATGCTCAAAAAGCCAAAGACATAGTAGTAGGATGATTTGTCGAGGTAAACCGACTTGAAGACAAAAATGAGTTCGATAAAGAGCACCGCAAACGATACGAGACCGGCGCCCAGAACAAGCGCAATCTGGTGCTTGGTGTACCACAACTGCGCAGGGATTTGTCGGGGTACAGCATTCGTGCGCGTCGGATGTTCCCAGACAGGTGAACGGTGGAAGCCATAGTACGAACCAAGATGCACCAGAGGAAGTTGTATGAGGAGCCAAAGACAAGCCAAGGCCAGTAAAGTCGAGAAGGGAAGGGCGGTCGAGGATGCCTGCGCCCAGGTAAAAAGGTTGAGCACAAATATGAGGGCGAAGAGCAGTCCCGGGAATAGGAGTGCCGTCTGTGTATCATGTCAGCTCAAAGCACACCAGTATTTCAACTTGCACGACACGTACCATCATTGTGTTCTTGCGCCAGTTCTGTCCACCAAAAGTCTTGTATACGCGCGCAGAGAAATAGCCCGAGAAGCCTCCAGCGAAGACAAAAAGACCAACACCGACGCTCCAGAATCCACCTCGCCAGCTAGGGTTCAGAACCCCGGCGCAGCTGAGTCCCAGCAGTCCCGCAATCATGAAAACGAGTTGTATGCCAGAACCCACAAGCGGCGCAAGAAGCCCGCCATATGGAGGGGGTCTGAAAACGTCCCCGTGAAGCAGTTTCCAGCCGCTGACTTCCTCCAATGACTCTTCGTCGGACGACAAGTCGTCGAAATCCGGTCCAGTCTCCGAGATTTTCTCGAGTAAACCAGTGGTCGATTTCTTTTTGTCACTCCTTTTGCCGATGCGTAGTCTGGCTTCCTCAAGCACACCATCTCCGCGACCTTTGACATCACCCTGCATTGTCCGGCCCCAGATCACAATGCAAACTGCACCCAGGATTCCGGATATGATCACAGAGTTCACAATAGCCAGCCAGTGTGTAAAGGAGCTTTCCGCCTGGTCACTAAAGTATAGATCCCAGCGATTGGCCCATTCCACCTCTTTCTCTTCTCGGAAGTAAACGGAATAAGTGTATGGGATAATCATCGTGGCGCCGTCGTCAAGGTCGATCACCTCTTCGGGTATATAGGAGGAGTCGGGGAATTGTTCCTCCAAGTTGCTGCTGTTGTTGGGAATGTATATTGCCAGAGGATCCAGATCCGCGGTCACGTCCAGAGGACAACCAGTCTCGTTGCGGTGACCCGCCGAGATGCTCTTGGGATATACTTCGAATCCCACGACGACTTTGTTGCCGTGGTCGCCCGCCCTGCCGCCAGCCGGACGCCAGCGTACGACCAAGGTATAGTGATTATAGTAGTAGTACCTCTCTTTCCCTGTCGCAATATCAAAGTCTTTATATCCCATTTTGAAGCCGGCTGCGTAGTATTTCCGACTGCGATCGACGGTCACAAATGAGGTGGCTCCGGGCAGGTTATCGAGGATCCATTCTACCACGTAATCCTCTTCAATCAGCTGTTGAGCCCACTGCATCTCTTTCCGACCGACAACTCGGTCGCACAAGTATTGACAGTCAATGTCCTGTCCCATATTGATTTCCAGATCGGACGCTTTAATCCTGTCACCACGCAGGACTTCGCCCAGGTTGAGCGGCACACTGTGACCGCTTGCCAGAGATAGGCCATCGTGCTTATGGCCCGTGGGAGGACAGACGAAAGGTAAGTCGAAATAGGCGTACTGAAGCTGACTTTTGTCCGAGTACGCCTTGTTTACGAGTAGAGGGAGGTTCTCGTTTTCCTGATAACTTCGTATTGAGTAGCCTAACAAACATTAGAGCCATGAAGACATATAGCCATTCGAATCCGCTGCGTACCTGGAATATAGAAGGCGTGAGATAAGCAGCCGAATAGAAGCACCACGCGGCTCAACCAGGAGACGTGGAGCCGTACGTCAGTGGACATGGTTGACGATCGAACAAGTGATGATTAGCGAATGGAAGCGGCACAAAGGGCCAGAATGCGCCGGACAGAACCAAAGAAGATCAAGAAACCAGAGTGAAGATCATGGGAAGTGAAGAACGATGTGTTGGTCGAACACGTTGTTGGCTTGGAGAGGAAGCGAGGGCAAAAGATTATCTGACAATTCTGTCCAGTGTCCGGGGAAGAGACCAGCCAACGTTAAGTTAGCCAAAACTGCCACGGAGGTCCAGATGCCTGCGGAAAAGGTGATCGTCCTCGTTCCTTGCTCCTCGTGCGCAGCCGCAGTAGACTTTACAATGACCGTGCGGCGTGCACTCTCACCGGCCCCATCCAGGAGAGACGTTGGAGGCTTGTGGTGGATATCCCGAAAGTCTGACAGGCCCCTCCTCACCAGTGACATTGGTTGATTAGGCGGCCTCGACGGCTAAATTGCGCACAGCTTCAGGCGCTTCTAGGGACTCCGAAAGCTTCGCCCAGTTGAAAAGGATCAACCCGGGGTGCCCGTTGGGTCATGTTTCGGTGGTCCTAGGCCAAGACTTATGGCGGCGTCGGCTAACGCAATAACGATCCACTCAATCTGGAAATGTGATATGGGATTATTAGTACTCCGTACTTCTGATGATTAAGGAGTCAGACTGGACCTCATTCTTACTACTTGCTAGGCTTCTGTCTTCGGATTCTAATCATACGCAGCTTCAGCGTGCCTCGCCACTTCATTGCCTTTTTCAAAGAGTGGCGCTGTGCAAGCGAAGACTGCGATCTTCATACCTTGCACGCTTTCAGGTGGAAGCAATATGTTGACGCTGGGAGGCTTGAATCTTGAAAGACATGAATGTATCGTCATATAATCGTTGGCATTGAGAACTCGAGTGTTAGAGCACCTGTCCCATCCATAGCCAGTGTCTAGCACCCACCCTTTCCCCTAACAGCGTTCTTCCACAGCTCAGAGGGACGACAAGTCACGGATGTAAGAGGCCGGAGACGGCTGAAACCAAGCAGGCGGTTCGACCTCAGTATTTTCGCTAGGTTGTTGAATCAATAAGTCGCCTCTCCGAGGGTCCTGAAAACATAAATATGGTCCCTCTCGAAGCAGACCGTACTCATAATCGTCGTAATCCCACTCATGCGGCCCTTCGACTCCTAACACCTGGTACACTGCGTTGACAGGCCCGCCCTCCTCCAGATATAGGTCGTCGAAACGTGGTATACTGTCCGGGCGGAACTAATGGGGGTTTTCAGGGGTTCCACAGTCAAGCGACCTTGATTTATGGATCTGACGAGCCGATTTCATCAGGTAGATGGAAAGGCCATTGTAGTCGGGAAGGATATCGATGGATCCGTAAAGCACGTAGTTTTCAAAGGCCTTGAACACAGAATTCATAGCCTCAGCCCGGCGTAGTCCAAAGTTGAGGTTTTCATACTTTGGTAAGAGAACTGGGAACTCATCATCTGCACACCGTTCCATTCTAGTGTCAAGTGCCTCGAGCCTGTCTTCTGCATCTTCCTGTAACTCCAGGAAGCACCTTAGGAACTCCTGCATCAAAGCTCCCCATGGAAGCAGGACAGGATCCCGGTGGGGTGTTGACAATGGATCCAGTTCGAAAAGAAGCAGTACTCGGGGAATTTGATAGTGCAGAATGTGTTCAGGCTCCTCATTGTAGTCGTCGGTATCCAGAATCGCAGCCTGCTGGAAAGCGGACGGTGAAATCTTGAATGGATGATCCTCAGGGTGAAAATCACCTCGGGCATTCCACCGGACGCCCTCCTCGCGCAGGAAGGCTTCAATAAACATCCTCAATGGATCGCCACGCAAACACTCGGCGAAATTGGTGCTTGCGTATTTGGAGGCAACTCTGATGGGCACACATTGCATAAACATGGCCTTGGAAGCACTCCCATCGAGTTCCTGTGATAATGGCCTAAGGTAGTGCTCGTCCTGCTCCGGAGCGCCTCCCACGAGGTCAAATATGTCAGCAGGGCCGTCCCATTGACAGTTTGGCAAGGAATCGTCAGATTTGGGGATCTTCTTTGCTATAATCTCCAGGAAACGTTGTCGTTTTTCATGGGGAATGCATCGACCGACCCTGTGCAACTGCCCTCTGCGAACAAAAATGAGGAGATTCAGCGTCCATCCGCATGTGCACCAGCGAGCTCGCAAGACGGCTTTTGTCATGGAGCGTACATCCCAGCTCCTCATGGGCAGCGCAAGATTTGGAAACAGAGAGGAAATGCCCAATGCCGTTAGAAAGTCGAGCAATCGATGATTGTAGAAGGCCATGGCAAAGGCAACTCGATAGAGGCTTTCATTTCTGGAGAGCTTGACAGCAATTCGTGTTGCAGCTAACAAAAAGGTTTCCGTTTGCCGAGTCCACAAAGATCCTCTCCAGAATCTCTACCGGTAGTTGCTCAATCCTCGAAATACTCGTCATCAGCTCTGATCTGTCTGCTTCATTCGGCCGTTGTCGTTTGTACGTGCGTTTGCTGTCGATCACGTGGGGCGGATCTTTCAAGGATTGACTGGAGAGTTGACGCTTGTGAGAAGACATTGTCGTTCACTGTAGGATCGCAGTGGTAATGGAGATGCAGGACAAGGTCGAGGAAATTCGCGTGGGAAAGAGTCAACAAGTGAATGATAAGTAGTCCACGAAGTTGGAAGTCCCGTCGCCACGTGATAACGCGCCGCTGATGCATTTGAGAAACACTTGTAAATCCTTATCAATCTCGCTAAAGGCGCACCATCGTCCGAATCCTTGTAAGGCCTCTCAGACCATCGTCGATGGCCCATGGCAACCTCATTGTTGTCAAATTTCTTGTCGTACCGTCATTGCTGACACGTTGCACGCCAGCATGAGACGTCCGAGAGAGGCTCCCATCAACCTCATCTGAACAATGGCTCCCTCTCGATAATATTTGCGCCACCGAATCTGTCCCTTCGATCACCATGGAATCTCCCACCCCTCCCTCCCATCCACGCATCGTCGACAGCGTGTCCTGGTCCAAAGCCCATATGTCGTGGTAGCTCAAACCCCCTTGGAGGACTTCTGCCTCTCCGCGGGTCTCGCCAGAGGAAGACAGGTTCTGGTCGTTCTGGTGCTCGTACAGGTCGCTCACTAGCCATCACAATCTCTTCCCATGGTAATCCCCTCGGCAAGTGTCTTGATGGTCGTCGAACTCGTATTTCAGGTTGTCCTCTTCGTCTGGTCAAAAGATCATCAGGCGGTACCCTGATAATATCATCTCGCTCGCTCCACAGGCAACAGAACACCAATAAAAAGGCCAGGATGCAGCCAACGACCGTCACTGGCACCCAGACCTTTGCTGAAGAATCACTGTCACTCATCTTGAGGGCAGATGTTGAAGTCGGAGTCAATTTTGATTTGCACCTTCACCCAAGTACGTTCACAACCTCAACCTCAAATGCTAGTTGATGAACAATACAACGCTGGCTTCCACAAACAGGATGTGTGAAGGTTGTGCCCTTTTATGATCATTTTCAGTGAAGAAAGATATCATAATTGTGTGTGCGCTTGGCTACCGAGCAAACAGAATAATGTGGCAGAAGAGCGTCGTTTGCATTGATACAAAGAGTGTCTTCAAACGCATGGTTGGCACACATAAAACCCAGTGCTGCGATGCTTGTCTGGCTATCAAACTGCAGGGCCTGATCATAGAGCAGGTTGCTTGCTTGCTAGTGTTGCGTAGATTGATGTCTCTGCTTTACGGTCAAGCTATGAAGTTCCCATCATATGGTGCTTGAACTAGAAAATGACGTTTTGAAAATTGTCAAGCATTTCAGGTTGGTAAACGTTGGCGAAATCGGTCTCGCTGATGGCGCCATATGCAAAAGCATCAAGGGCCATTACATGGTTGAACTCCGAAATATCGTAAGCGTGAGGATTGTTGGTGGGATGTTGGCCTGGGATATTCTGAGCATACGCTTGCGCATCCGGCTGCTGCACACCAAGATGATTGCTGTGCAATGGCAACGGCCGAGTCGCTCGGGGTAGTGGCTTTGGTACGTCTTCATCTGCATCCAGCACACCTGTGCTTTGTGTTGTCGTGACAGACGCAGCGATCGGCGCAGCGAGCATCTTCCGCTTCTGCAAGGCAGTTGCCGAAACAGGACGTGGTATATGGTTGAAAGAAGGCATGTCGCTGTACAATTCCGGAAATCGTTGAAAGATGTCGGGACCCATCGTCCAGCTTTTGATATCTGTCAAACGTTCATCAAAATTTGTGTTAATTTGGTAGAGACCAGTCTCGACCTCGCGCGTGTAGCAATCGCGGAACTCGTATGGCCATGACAGACGGAAGCTTTTGCAGAAAAGATGCCAGAATTCGTTCTGGCAGTAGTTGTGTTCACCGAATATGAAACGCTCTCGAATTCCCGGCCATGCAAAGAAGTCGATAGCGTACGAGTGTGCGATGGTCTGCGACGGTCGCCTCATATACCATGGCGGCAATTTCTGGTATCGTTCACTTGTCGATTCAGTGTGGAACTGCAAAAGCGTATGCATTGCCCTCAGGATGGCCAGACGTTCGGTCTGGGGACACGATGCAAAAAGAGTCTCATCGATACGTCGTAGAATCTGCCACGAGGGGTGCAGAGGGCCTCGTTGTTCGACTGCATCCCATCCTTCCAACAGCACGCGGACTGGTACGTCGTCCGACATGGCATCGCTTTCTGGCAGCACATTATCTGTCCAGTCAAACCTCTCGCTTAAAACTTCATTCGCATACCGCCAGTAGTTTCCTTGCCAGACTGGACGACGACCGGGCAAACGATCAGCATGGCTGTGACACGAACAGGAGGATGGACTGTTGGCCCAGTTCTTCGCCCATCGCGAAGGCATCGGGTTTTCTTCTCTTTTCTTTGCCTGCACAATCGCCTGGCTCATGGGACGTTGGCTGTCCGTGTCCAGTCGCACGATTTCAGGCGCAAATAGCATATCTTGTGGCGGAAGCTGGCGTGTTGGAGAGGGGGTGAAGTGGGACAAGTCGAAAGAATCTGCGATCTCTGCCTCGGCGTCGCCTGTTTCAATCTTCAATGCTAGCGGCGCATCATCTGCCATGGAGATAATGCTCGACTTTCGCTCGGCACCAGGACTTTCAAGTAGATCTATGTTTTGAGACTGCTCTTCCTCACTCGATCTGGGCGGCCGATGCACGTCCATTGCTTTTTGAATATCCTTAAGTGTTTTGGACATCATATCTCGTTCCGCCTCCACGTCTTTCAGTTGTTGCATCAGGGTTGCGACCTGTCCAGAGGCATCTTTCCGTCTGAAGTCTTCAACGAGACCTTCCAGATAGGCTATTCGAGTCTTTGTCCGCTCGCGGGCCTGTCGCTGGCATCGTCTGTCGATTTCTCGCTTCTTGAGGCGGCGGGAGGAAACGGCTTTGGCATCGTTCGGCGCGGCAGGGTCGCTTGGGCTGGATCTCTGGGTCATCGTGGTAGCTTTCGGCGCCATGGTGTCAGTCCTCGTAGCTTCACAGGCGGTGTCCGTCACAGCGACGATTTTGGGAGGCATAGTGGTTTAGCCATCAGAATGTTGGGCTTTAAAGGTCATGTCGTAGGGAATCGGTCCTTTTCAAACCTTTTCAAGGTTAAGACCATGGCTGAATCCGACGGACCATCTGGTTGGTTCGATGGTGCCATCAACCTCGACCCCGGACTTGTGTTTGCGTGGAAGAAGGCTTGCACCATTTCGGCACAGGCTGCGGGGTGATTAGGCACGGGATTCTATAGGTTCAAATGGTCTGATGACAGGCATTTGCCGAGGGTAAAATCGGCGTTTGATGCTTACGACTGCGCCCAGCCGCTTCATCTTGCCCTGTCTGAAGTAGACTTATGGATCCGAAGAGTATGGGTGTACACACATATTGCTGCCGCTCTCCAAATCGCCATACCGATGTAGCAGTGGCGCTCGGGTAGAAGGAAAGTCTTTCCCACTGAGGTTATATCCCCTTTGTCACTATATTCTTGTTTTCCCATCATTTAAGTAGTATCCCATCGATCCTGCATGCTGTGCTGCTGGCCTTAGGCGCGCACGGTGTGGCCGACGAACGCTTGCAATCTTCCAGCCGTCGGTAAGTCTCATAGCAAGGCAACATTTTGTTGACCGTGCCCACTGTCGCACTCAGCCTTGTCCCTGTCACATCGCCACCAAGCTGCAATGGGAAGCAATAAGAACCGAACCCCCGGAACTTGCCAGGTGTTTGGTCCAAGTTCTCCAAGTTACTGTGATTAGGTTTTGGTGCTCTGACCGCACTGACCCTGTCCCTGGATGCTGAGAGTTGTTCGCAGTGAGTGGACATATGCCGTCCGCATGTTCATCCAAACGTTGTGCTCTGAATTTGCAGAGAGTTCTGAGTTCATTGTGCGTCGCAATCAGGTTCGTTCTGGTAATCGACACAAGTATACTGCATATTGTATCGCTCACCTCCCCGGTACAGGGAGCCTCACACCGTCGAGTTCCTCGTGCAGCCCTGCGTCAGAAGGATACGTGACACCCTGTGAGAGGACCTCGCGATCGGTGCCGTTCCACGACAATGGTTCGACGACTTGCGTGTATGCTCAATTACATGATTCCATACCTTCACAGCTTCATCTTCACCTGTCGAACGATTCACTCGCCCTTCCTTTGTATCCCCATATAGTCCATTTTCACGATCTTTCGTCCTATAAACGCCAAATCAAGCGGTATGGTGCAATTGGTAACATAGCCTCGTCTCACGGAGCCCCTCCATGATCTCACTTGCAGTCCTGCTTTGCAGGCTGTCAATGTCGAGGCTGGACGTGTGTGTTTCCAATACAACGAGGCAGACTCTAGTTCGAGTCTAGATACTGCTGAGTGTATTTTTGCCGCTGCTTTTTGTTGTAGTATCTGTGCGCCAGGACCGTGGTAGTGCTAGGTGGCGCAGAGTTGTGTAGAGAGATGGAACTGAAGCGATCGTCTTCCTAAATCTTACCCTGTAGACGCAGAATCAGCCACGGATGTCGATGTCGACCTCAGTATTGCCATACCCAGCCTGATTGCCTCGATCATTCCCGTGGGGCCAGTGTCCCATGAAGCATAGCATTCAACCCTCCATGGTTCAAAAAGCGGTAACACTCTTCAGTAGTCCTCCCTCAAGTCGAGCTATCTCATGCTCTCTCTGACCCTAATCAATGTCGATGTGAAGAAAGGTCATGACCATGATTCGGAGACCTACCTTAGTCTCTTACTCTCCTCTCGGCAGCCCGTATGCAGCCAGCCAGCCGACTGGCCACCTGATACACTTTCCGATTCTCACTTACCTTGGTCCCTCCCATCTTCACTGGCCGACCTTCCTGTCCCACAAATACCATTCTCCCGCAAATTCCTGTAACAAATAGCCCTCAGGCATCTCCAGGCGGTGTAGTGCAGAGGTTAGCATCTCCTTTTCCCAACCATGGGGGCCGGCACCTCCAGCCCTGTTGGATGGTTGTCGGTCCTTAGGGTCTATCGAGAGGAAGACATTGGTTCGAATCCGATCATCGCCAGATTTCATGCTGGACTGTATGTCAGCACACCCTGTGGGTTCTTTTTTGGTCGCTTCCTGTGCAATATCATGAGTGTTCATGCCCTCAACACCATCTTTGTAACAGCGTATCTGTCATACATCGTTCTGGTGCAAAGGCGGCTTGTTTGGATGCGAGTGGCAACAGGCTTTCAGTTTTTGCAATCTTTTCTCACCTACAACCTGAATAAATTTGCTGTGTACCTCTTTTATGACGATCTTGCAGGTAGATAGGCTAGGTAAGTATATCATGGAATACTTAAGTCCGAATAACCGTGGTAGCGAGAGACAACATGCAGTGTCCTCCTTGACGGATACTAGACATTATCTCTTCCCTGCGCGTTTGCCCAGAGAAGGATGCCCACAATGACTTCAAGGGTTTAGAGCCGAAATGGAGCAGCCACAGCAGCAGCAGCATCATCATCATCATCAGTCCATATCGAAGTTGACATCGTGGAATGTTGACATTAAGGAACGTTGGCCAAGGAAAACGATTGTAAAGAGTTGATGGAAAGTTATCTTTAGCTAGCTACAAAACAAGGAGAAATATTCCGGATCGTGAACGGCTGAAGTAATATCCGGTCTTTCCGGGTTCGGCAATGAGGGTCGTCTTCGAAAACATATGTGCTGCTCAGCCATTTCATCCCAGCACCCCAGTCAATGCTATCCTCGGTGGTGTTTTTTGTATCGATATTCCATGTTTCCGATGACCAAGTCACTCAGCCACGTCATTATGTGATGCCTGCTCCTGTTATCCTCGACGCCAGCGACGACTTCTCTTGACCCCTGGAACGCTGCTCCGTTGCAAGCACTTTACCATATAACCTCACCCTACCCCGATGCGCTGCCTTCGGATCGTGATGCAAAGCTGAACAGCATGCTGCTTGACACCTTCTAGCGCTTTCTCTGGACGGTCTGCCAGCCTTCGGAATCGGTGCCCTTCCTTCCACGGGCAACATTGCCAGGCACAAACTTCGGTGCATTTGGGTTGTACGACCGTCCGCTTGAGCCTGACTTTGCACTGTCGCTGCGATCTCGAGACCCTGGGTATGGGATCTGGGTGATCAAATTCAAGGGACGCTCGCAAGGATCGTGAGAGAATCCAATCTGGACGTCTTGGTACGGCCCAGCTCGTCTCGCGCGTTTCATAAATTCATCACGGACGAGCCGGGCGATCACAGTCGATGAGAAGACCACCGTAGCTAAGTTCGAATCAGCAATGCAGGACGACCACCAGAAAACATAGGTACATACCATTTCCTGTGTTGAACAGCCATACCAATTCCACATTCTGCTGGCCGACGAGTTCCACAAGATCCTTTCTGAACCGTGTTTCCGACATTCCGTTTGTGAATAGCTGTTGCCGAGCGAAGGTCAGACGACGGCGCTCATTGCTTGGGTGTGTCATTCGCTGGAGGTCAGCGTTTTCTGGATATGCTTCGCCAAATTTGATCATGTTGTTAGGACCAAACAAGCTGACGCCATAGTCGCGGCGAGAACGAGAGTCTTCATCCACCAGGGCCATGGCTGCGCTGGCGTGTTGAAAGATCACACAGACGGCCTCATGTTGATGGACGTATACCATGGAGAAGATGGCTCCGAAGCAGATTCTTTCCGTCACGACACTCAGTGGCTTGTCTTTTGTCCATCCATATATCCATACACAACGGTAGTCTTCATCGTTGTGTTTGGTCTTTAACTCTTCCTCAGTTATGTGGCTCTTCAAGCCGTCAGAAGGGCGGAACTTGACCAGACGGTTATTGCCTGGTATGTCTGTTGCGGCCACGGCTGCCCATGTGGATGTATTGGCTCTCGCCTTGGAAGGGCTGGTGGTACGAGCATGTTGGATCTTAATTGCAGGCACGATTCTCATCAAGAACTTGTCCATCGCCCAAGGACCCGTGGTCTGATTGAATGTATCAAGCATGGAATGGACGTCGCGGGCGATCTCATTCGCTGCTTCATTTTCACCTTGGCTTCGCAGCTGCATCGTGATTAGTCCAGCAGGCTCACGTCTGGAAGAGGCCCTTACATGCTCAACGACCCTACTCAAATGGCTCAGTGCATCAGCCATCACGTCGCTGACATGGCCTGGGTCGTTCCCGATTGCCATCATATCCTGTATTGATGCCTAATTAGTGACTTATTCCGACAGCACATCGCTTTCTTTGCTCGGCAACCAGGACAACCCTACCTCAGAGATTGGAGAGCTACAGTCGCTGTAGGTCAATGATGGTGAATAGGTGGGGTTCGTTGACAAGTTGCTGAAAGTGCGCGATGGGAGACTTGGAGGTGGTGAATAGGACGAATGTCTGGAAGCCATGCTAGAAGGAAGAGGTCAGGCAGAATTCACTGCACTGACAAAAGTCTCCTGAGGCAGTTTGGTGTGTGAAGGTTTGATCGTCTGAGTGAAGGTCGTCAACAAAGAATACTTTTGATGAACGTCTCGGAAGGAATGGAGATGGCTTGTCTGAAGCCCGCACTTGCAGCAGCAGCTACCCGTTAGCATGGTAGTCTCTTTCCTAATAAGATGAGAGCAATACTGATGTCCTGGATCATAAGTGTGAGAATGTTTGCTGTCCTCGGTCGTGATGGAAATTCATAATATTTCTATGCCAGATCACCTCGTGCCTTTTCGTGCTTTGTTCGGCGTTAGATGGCCTCCCTATACATCATGAATCCTGATTCATCGCAACAAACCCAAAACCGCGCCTCGCATGATGCTTGAACAAGATATCACAAAAGGTGCCACCTACTATCATGCTGGAAATCGTACTGTGCCATCCACATATCCAATCGTAAAATTTGGTCTCCATTCAACGCCAGAATGCCATCCTGCTGCCCAACTCTCTGCCCAAGGCTTGTCTTGCTTCAACGGTCCTTGTGACCGCATCTTTGTTTTCATGGGCTCGTCGCAATAGGTATTTCATGCACTCTCCCAGCTTGCCCCAAACCAAATATTTGTATGCTTGAGGAATTTCCGCATTGGTGTCGTTGGACTCCGATCTGGCCCTTGCTGTCTGTACCACCTCGCAGCTAACGTTGTCTGCCATTCCCATCAGTTGACCATATGCCAGTTCGATACGCGGCTCTCCCTTGCGAGCTTGCTCATCACGAAGCCTGTCCGCCAGCCTCACTGACTCGGCATTATGCGTTGCAAGTACCAGGCTTACTCTAGGGAAGTCTGTTGCAGCACCATCGATTGGTTGGAGGATACCTTCGTACCGTCTTTGCATAACCGCTTTTGCGATGCCGTTGTAGCATTCGTGGGTTCCTTCGATTGTTGGCCAAAAGAGGTTTCGTGGATCACTACCGAGGTATGCCCCTCGAACAAGTTTGATCCCAAGCACAAAGTTCTCCTTTCTAGCCATTTCAAGGTGACTAGCGAGGGCTGCCGGAGTGTTTTTGGCATATGCTTGGTAAGTCCCAAACACCAATGCTCTCTCCTTGTTATATCTCTTTGCAAAATACATTGTCCAGTTGTCGATGCCTTGTTGCAGGGAGGCTTGCTCAGCGTCGAACAGCAGCTTCACACCCTTCTCCTGAGCCGATTTGCAGATTTCATGGACGGCGTCTTCAAACTCACGAGAACAGGGTATCGTGGCCTTAAGATGCTGGAGTGCTTGACGGCCAGCACCGGTGAACTTCAAAGCGACAAAATCGCCTTTCTGAGCAAGATGTACGGTATCGACGGTGTTCCTTCTCCAGGTCGCAATCTCTTCCTCGTTCAACGCAGCTTGTTCTGGGGAGTCCAGGGACGCGTTCAAGCCTGCCGCTTCCTCATCTGTCAACACTGCTTCCTTTGCATGTCCTAGAATCACTCCAGTATATCCGATCTCTTTCAGGTCAGCGATCGTGGTTCTGGTCTCTGACGGCGTCTCTCCAGCGCAGAACTGGACATAGAAAGTTTTCTTTAGGAGGCAATGCAGAACTGGGTTACGATCTGGGTTGAAAAGAGGCGACTTTGTATGGGCGAGGAATGACATGGCGGCCAAGGACGGCCGTAAGAGGAAGGGCATTGAAGATATTGAGGTTATGAGATATGAGCGAATGATGGTGGACAATGGCAGGCAAGACAGTGGTCTTGAGCGGGGGATTTCGAGTGGTACTGGGTTGTTCTCAACAACATTGGAGGCTGTGGAAGAGACATTTCGTTTTGTATGCGCGTTTCGGCGCTGGCGGAGGTGTCGTGTGCGAAGGCTTGCAAGAGAGCTGACTCGGCACAACGGAATCTGGTCGTTACATATCGACAAGGACGAAGCTGTGGACGGTCGTAGACAGGTGACCTGTCGGGAAAGTAACATCGGCCGCAAACAATGGTCCATCTTGGAACCGAAAAATGCAATAAATCAAGACAACATGGGAAAGAAAGTAGACAAACTGAAGCAATATGTACAGCTCACATCAAACACAGATTCGCGGTTGGTGGTACATGCGGTTTGACGATAACAACGACAGATAAAGAGCCCGCAGTTAGTAAACGGCAACATGACGATGTCAGTCGAGATTGTGGTTTGCATCGGAAAACCGACGGTTGCCATCGGCGCAGCCCACATTCCTTACCGAAGCTGGCCGAATGTAAGCGAGTCACGTGAGTACAAAGGAGTTTTTGACAGGCACAAGCTTGGGCATGGATTGATCCAGAATGTGAAATCGACGGCAAATAATGGATAGGATACCCGCTTCAAGCCAGTCGAAGATACCTCGCTGCGCAGTATCGATGCAATATATCTGCGCAGCTGGAAAGTATCGTGCTCCGACATCGCTCAGGCTTTCAATCATTCGACTGACTCACCTGATCGATCTGGATAGATCAGACGTGATAAGCGATGTCACCATTTCCAGTTCGGTGTGACATGATGTAGTGGAAGGAAGGCACCTCGTGGTCGGTCACCATGTAGGATACAGGAGTATGGATGCTGTTTAGCACCCTCGTATATTGGCCTCTCGAGGCTGTGGCCCAATGTTGTGGCCAACGCAGAGCACCCGACATAGTTACTCCAAACTCGGAGTTTGCACCCACGTGGTTGGGACATTTCTTGCAGTTCGTAGCCGAAGAAACCGTAGGCAGGGTGGCAAGGTGCAAGGTCTGCAATTTGCAGGTTTCAGGGGAAAGAGGTGATACAAGTAAATTGATGATATAGAATCACTGGGAGACTTTAGAATAGCAATTTGCTGGAACTTGAGTGGCTGACTGGCGGTAATTAAGGACATCTAGTAGCGGCATATGAGTTTGAGAGTATGCTCTTTCCAGCTGCTCAAAGTTTCGGGAAGTCCTACTGAACTTACAAGGCTGACACCGTCACCTTTGGCTTCTGATTTGCCTAATTCCAGTTTCAAATTCTTCTGAAGATTTTCGCAGGTAAACAAAGAGTTGGCAACAAGGTTTTCGTGCCCATGAGGCTGGGAAGGGGAAGAGGTTTTCTGGGGCGCTCACTATTCGGGCCGCCTAAACCTCAACTGGAAGGCCGCTGGTCACTCAAGCCAATGACGGGCTGGAACCGAAAGTGAGCCTCCGTTATTGTTTAAAGTTCAATTTATCATGTTCGAGTAGCTTGATTACCTTGTTTTTCATTCCTCCATCTTCCTCGAATGAGTTAAGACTTTTTGAAAGGCAGGGCAAACAACGACGTCAAAAGTCGACAGGCCTCTCATTCTGTCTGCCAACCTCGCTTGTGCCCTTGCAGATCTACTATGCTAGCGCCATCAATATATGCATCGTCTTGCTCGCTTACCGCTGGGTCAGGTAAGGTACCAGCGTCCTGACCCCATCGAGGACTCAGTGACGACTTTATCAGACCCGTTTAGTCTTTTCCCAGCTACCTGACCTACCGACTTTAATAGCATCCTCGCACAGTGGCAGCAACGTCGTCGATGTCTGGTTGACAGCGGAATCCATCTCCTTTAGTTGCCAATCATTCTTGTCGTTATGCCTTGATTCTTGTTTCATAACCGATTCCTGTTCCTTACGTCAATCCTACCAATGCCTCCTCTTGCAATTGCACTTTGTCTTTCCTGTTGCTGAATGCAATCTCATTATACTGTACATTGCATCTCGCCTCATCTATTGTTCTTGACCTCTCACGACCACTCAAATCCGGTTTCAACCTTGCCACTCGTTGTTGGTCGAAACAGCCATAATCACTGCCGCAGTAGGCGCCCGGCCCCAAGGCCTCATTCTTACCCTGCAATCACCATCATCAGGCGCCTGCCGGCCTCACATTGCACAACACTCACAAATCGCAATTGGACTCTCTGCGACAACAACACTCTCTCATCTTTACCATTTGTCAATCTTCAATCTTCAAACACGCGCTCTCCAGATTAATATCCCGAACACGTACCTCACTGACGTGCCATCGAAACCGTTTCAGCACGGCCCCCGGATCTCCCGTCCTACACCATGCTCCTGTCACCGATCCATTTAGACCCAATGCCTCAGCCCTAGGTACGCCGCCGAAATAGCATCCAATCTGCATCATTGTGGGTCGGCACCGCTCTCGTGGCGCCATCATCGAGGGCGAACTCGACTATAATTCTCCCTGCTCACGCACCCTACCACAACTGCACTCATCAGCATCATTATTTACCAGCTGGCCTGGAGTCTCTGATACCATTGTTTCCTCTCCCAGTCGGGTTTGCGCATCTGTACCTCAACCGGAACGACAAGGTGCTCTGCTGGCAGACAGCCTTGTAACGTCAGCGGGTCCGATCGTCGCTAAACACGCAGCACTCCTTCATTTTGTTGTATGGTCTGGAGGAAACTGCAAAATGGCACCAACAACGCTCATGACTTTCCTAGTGTATGTTGACATCTTCCTTTGCCTCCGAATCGTGCTGATCTGAGCAACAGCCGTGTTCCTCCTTCGACGAGGTCAGTGAGCCTTTATGGTTCCTGGGACAACTTCTCCACCGCCTACCCCATGCAACGCGATACCCGCACGGGCCCCGAGCACTGGTCAGGCTGTCATAGCTTTTCCAACATTATCTGTGATGGCGACAATCAACCGATCGGCGTCCCAAGGGAAGGTGGTCTCAAGATGGGTGGCACTTACTGGTACTATGTATGGCGCTGTTCACCCAATTCTCAAATTCTCTTGCTCATACCTGTTGCATAGTACAAGCTCGACGACGACCTCGAATTCCACAACTCCGCAGAACCTTCAACAACAGCTTGCCCACTCCTCCCGGGCCAACTCGTCAACGTCTTAAATGTTCCTTTTGCACTGAGCAGCAGCCGCTCTCGAAACGATAGCGTTAGCTCGACCAATTCTGAGTTTTGCACCATGGATCCTGCCGATAAATTTTTGAATCCTCGGCCCGTACCAGCCAAGCCATCACTGCCACGACTGAAGACATCACCTACCTTACCACAAGGGTCTTGGTCGTCGAGCAGCTCTCCAGTAAGCGCTGACCCCAGAAGAGGCCGGTCGGCAACGTCTCGAGGTCCATCTCAGTCCAGTAGTGCGACAAGGATCATACAATTGGCAAAGAAACCGTCTCTGGAAGCCCCCAGCAGATCGCTCTCACGCAGTAGTAACAGATCTGCCGCAATCATTGGTGCCCTCCGGGCTCTCAAGTCGCCACGCTTTCCCAGTCCCGATGGCACCACGAGTAGAGGTCGTTCGGCAACGATGCCAAGTCCAACAGCGGATGCTGTGGACAGAGTTGGGAAGGACTCAACGTCTGTAAAAGGCCTGGGTGTGCTTGCTGAGGTCAAGGCTCTTTCCTCATCTGGTTCCGATGGGGAGTTACTTCTGCGTCAAGAATTTGGTACCGAGGTGGAGGGACTCATTCCTGTAGCGATGCCATCTTTCGCTCAGCACCGTAGGCAGCGGTCTTCGTCGCGAGAACCATCCTCGTTACGCAATCCTCTCTCACGCGGCACAACACCAACACGAAAACCAACGGATCAAGCCTGCACATCATTTCAGGCGTTGGAGACACTTGAAGAAGTGGCCACCCCACTGAAGACACCCGGTCACCCCCTGACCGCCGTGAAAGCTGAGACAATCAGATTGGTCGACGATCACCAGATACAACTGGATCTGGAGAAACGCTTGCCGACTTTACCCAACACGCCATCTTCAGCGTACCCACCAAGTTGTGTGGGTGACTCTCCATCTCTCCAACTTGGTGCCGACATTGAGCATCTACAAAGTCATTTTTCAAGCACAACCATTGAGACAGGGTCTCGTGTGGACAGCTACGCCAAAATTGAGCATAGTCACTTTTCAGACTGGACGTGCAGCACCACCAGAATATCGGCACTGTCCGAAAATGCTTCAAGCATCATTGACCTGGAGCCGATGAGTCCGCCAGCGGATGAAGGGTTCGACTTTACGAACATCCCAGCTATTGGTTTGGTTGATCATGGCGCCCATCAGGGCGTCATGAAAGCTGGAGGATATCCAAAGCCAAAGCCGGATGGCTTACCTTCTGCATCGAGCCTGTCAACGATCAGCTCAGTTGCCTCTTCAGCCACAGCCAGCTCCTATCCTGATCTGGATGGCCCAATGGAGAAGGGCTCGACTTGGGGCAAATTCCAACATTATCGCCTGCCATCAGAAGATGTTGGTTCTGGTGTGACGCTCAAGGCACTAGACACAGCAAACATTGCTAAACCGCTTGTCGTGGACGGCCATCATCGTGCGACACATTTGCAGAATCCAGGCTGTGGGTTTGTTGAGCCCACAATCCCTCATTCAACGACCATGCAGCAGCTTCTTGACGAATTGAGCTATCTCGGCGGCATGATCCAACAACATTAATATCGTATGCGGCGACGTACTTCTGAGCAATACTAGCGACTTTACGGTAATGATTTACCAGGAGTCTGGCATTTGACCCCACACACTCTTTTCACTGTAAGAACAAGCACCAGGATTTGATTCCTTCGGATATGATGTGGGAGCTAGGACAAAGCGTCGACCTCATGTACAGAACGGCGCAACTTTGGGATTTCCAAGATATGGTAAAATTACAGATGGCAAAGCAGGGAACACAGGTTTCCAACGAATCTCCTTTATTGATACAGGCGAGCGAGGAGATCAAACAGATCATGGTACGAAAAGATGTTGCGATGGCTGTTACTGGCGGGTCTTGGCATGGTGCCTCCCCGATGCCCCTACCTCTGCAAAGGATCAGTCTACCTTCTAATACTTAATTTCCATAATGAAGATCCATGAATAATGATACGTTCGCAAAACAAAGAAAATATGCATATGCATTGACGAAGACATCATGCGATTTGGTTTTTCCACCCTGCCTTACAATTTCAGGAATTGAACGCGTGATGAAGACGCGACGTAAGTCCTGCCATCTCGAAGTATCCGCAGGACTTTTGACATCAACAACTACTGTGGCACGAGTAGTGCTCAGTGTATGACACAGCGCGTCGAACATCTGTGTGCTGGTGGGTCTGCTTGACTCGGTGCGTGTCGAGGACCGAATGGTCAAAGACTGAGTGCCTGCAAGACTGATTAGAACATTGCTCGAATCCTTTCTGGAGCCACGACGACCACAGTAAGCATGCATCAGATCGCCTCACGTATTTTCCCGGAGCCATGCTGTTCCAACTTAATAGCGTACTGCCCGACCATGGACCTTGTGGCAACAGTGACGGCGAAGAGCGAACAGGTTGATGTGTCGAGGTTGAACGGGCAGAAAGTGTTTGGTGCTGCATTTGAGGACGATGATGACAACGAGGATGCCGAAGGTGAAGACTCGAATAACCGCGACGGGAACGAAGCTGAAAATGGGTTTGTGCGAGCTCTGACGTGGAGGAGAGATGGTCAAATCCTCGCAGTAGCCTGCGCGGACGGCGCAGTATCCTTAATCAACGCGTTTACAGGCAAGATTGCACATCGATTATCTACGCAGCCACCTCCCCAGGCGAGTGCGAGCGGCAGTTTTACTTCATCTCAAACGCGATCACAGCCTGGAATACGCGGCAGCAGCTTCAAATCCACCCCTACATCCTCGCCCGAAACTCGCTCGTTCAGACCGTCCTGTCTTTGCTGGACCACTCATTTTGCACCGCCTACTTCATTGCTGATGCGAGCTCGCCTTGACCAGCCGGACTCGCAGATCACGCTCGACCATATCCTCGGCCACCGAGCTGATGTGGACAAGTTGCTGACATTGAAGGCTGATTTGCCGCGAGAGCTGAGTGCGTTGGATGTTGAGACGTCGTTGCCAAAGCTCGCCACATTGCCACCGCGCGGGGTTGGCGCAGATGACGACGTTTTCAGCTCGCGAACTAGTGTGGATGCCGTATTTCATGGACATGGGGCGACAGGAGCTGGAGCGGCGGGAGTTGTGGACGGAGTTGATGCGCTCTTGGTCGGGCTGCAGGGTGATAACAGCGACGGGTGCGTGGTGCATCTGAGAATCTTCAACTCCTTCGAAATTGGCACCGTCGATGTAGGTGGTTGCCTGCCGTCTGGCTCTAAAGGTGGGAAGGTGCTCAGAATGGAAAGTCATGCATACCTGTCGACTGTCTTTCTCGTGGTGGAAGAGTCGAGACGAGGTCAAGACAGACCGGCTCTGCATTTGGTCAGTCTGGACTTGAGCTTTATACCCCAGACGAGTCGGTATCTGCCCCTCATGGCCAGGAAAGCGACACAGTTAGGCAACCTGCTGCGTTACATCTCGCAGGTGCAGATGCAGCTGGCTGCTGAGGTCAAAGCGGCGTTCGACCTGCCGGCCAGATTTCTGCGCAACATCGACGAGTCACTAGCCGAAAAGGACGATCAGGCCGATTTCGTCTACGCAGCGCATCATCTTGCTGTGACTGGAGATTGCGACGCCAGATTCAAGGAGTGGTTGGTCGACGAGGTTGGTGAGAGAGGCTTGAAGAGGTGGGAGAAGGCCGTCGGAGATTGTCTTGACATTGTGCGGAGGATGACGAGTGAGTGTCTAATGCCTGCACTGGAAAGATGTTTGGTTGTGCTGTCGAGGCTGGACGGGCTCGCTAGGTTCGGCCCTGCGAGCTCGAGATTGGGACTAGACGCAAATGTCGTGCGAAAGGTCATGGAGACGGTCGACGTACTTGGACTCGTGGCTGAGGATCTGCTCCTGGACGTCGGAGTTGAGATCAAGGAATTTGCAGCTTTCATCAAGTGGCTGAAGTGGGAGTGTGAGGTCGAGGCACTTGAGGAAGGCAGTGAGAGGGCGGAAGAACTTCGGGAGTCGTGGACGGGAGAAGGGGAACTCAAGACCGTGTTGGACTATGTGGGTGGCGCTATCAAGGAGAGCCGAGTGAAGAGATATACTGGGAGGGATGGAGAAGAACAGCCCAATACCAGCTTGCCTGAAAACGATACAGATGCTGGGTTCTATGCCGACTTCACGAGAAGAAGAAAGGCGCCCAGCAAGGACAAGAAGTCGCCCACACTTGGACAGTTGGTGGAGCGGCTGCAGAAACAGTGTGAAGCAGTCTTTGGCCAAATTGCGGAGACGTTCAGAAAGAGCGTTCTCGCCAGCTATGTGCTTGAACTACCAGAACGATGTGATGGAGAGAGAATGGATCTCAGGATGATTCCTGATGAGACTGACGCGAATCTCTATCGGCTCTTCATTTTATCTACGGACCGGCAGGAGGAAGGCAGTCTTCGACAGACCGTGGTTACGTTGCGGCAAGACGGTGGCAAAGGTCTGAAGTCTACGACGAGCTCGAATGTCATGCCAGCGGTACCTGGAGTGACCGATATTTTCGATGTAAAGTTCGTCGACGACAAAGTGTTTCTGGTCCTGGCTGCCACATCGGCGGATGTGGGAATATATGCCAGAGTTATCATGCCCAACCCTCAAGAGGATGAAGAACAGGGCTGGGAAACTCGCCACATATTCGCGGACGGGAAGATGGAAGCTGGAATGAAGCCTGTCAGACTCGAGGTGAATGGAAGAGTCGGGCGCAGGGTTGCTGCAGTGGTTGATGAGGCTGGCATAGGATATGTTGTGCTGGATCTGGACACCGGCGATGATGCTCTTGATCAGGGCACCGGCGCAGGCGATGAGATTATGACTGGATGAAGCGTCAAGGCCTGGGCAGGTTGCGGTTGCGGTTGTAGTGACATTGGTATTCTAACCGGAGCAGCACTAACGAAACCCTGGGAATAAGATGGAAAAAGCCGAACTACGCGGGACAGAAGCAGTCGACGCTGGGACTCTGGTGAAGTCCGCGAAAATCGTGCCGTTGAACTCCTGCCATCGATCTTCACAAAGATTACACAAAGAGGTGAAGATGAGGCTTTGACAAGTCAAGGTGAGGCTGCAGCGTTGACAGTGATTGGCCACGAGTGACACCACTATGTGGGCAAGAACGACGGGGAACACAGTGCCAGGCACATCAAGTGTCGTGTCAACCGCAGGCAGCCGCAAGAAGCATTAAGAGAGGCTTGATTACCATGTCGCCTTAAAGCCCATAGAGACTGTAGTAAATCATTACCTTCGTCCAGGCAGTAAGGTAAAGGATTTGATTTTGTGCTTGAGTACACTGTGTATACGAGGTAGTTAAAGATACTTATTGTTAGATAGTAGCTTTGGCCCACCAGGCTAGTTTGTAAGGGTCGCAAGCAGCACACCTGGCACTGGGGAGCCTCTCTGAATATCAACATCCCACATCCCTAATCTGTCTACTGCAAAAACACCGAAACTGCATCATTTTGCAGTCTTAGACCTCCTCCTCAACCGCACTTTCATTCTCATCCTCCCTTTCTCCTCCGCCGGTCGTTCTTTCCTTGACTTCAGACCTGCGCTGCTTGCAGACTTTGCTGCCGTGCGCAAATCCTTTTTTCACCTGCGGGACCGTGCAGATTCCAGATTGTCTTCTACAACCACCCCTTCCTGACCGCTGCTCGGTTCAGCAATCATGGATGTCAACCAAGTTCTAGAGAACACCTTTTCTCCAGGTAAGGCACATCTGTTACGTCTGTTGCCTCTGCCATTATCCACTAACGTCCATCAGATGCGGCGACTCGAGGGAATGCTGAAGAACAACTCAGACAAGCCAGCGAGGGCAACTTCGTATGTCAATACTCTTTCACAGACTTCACCTCGTCCTGCAGTCCGACTCACTGACATTTCTCGTTATAGTCTGAGTACCTTTCCATCCTATCCCGACAGCTCGCAAACGACGAAGCCAGCGCATCAGTCCGTCAGGCCGCCGGTCTTGCTCTCAAAAATGCGTTTTCATACCGTGATGTCACCCGATTAAGAGAAGTCCAGGCGAGATGGCTACAGGGAGTCGATCCTCAGATCAAGATCCAGGTCAAAGAGCTCGCCCTCAAGACGCTAAATGCCACACCTCAAGCTGCACTTTCTTCATCTCAGCTCATTGCGGCCATTGCTGCCATCGAACTCCCTCGCAATGAGTGGCCTGATCTTATGCCTGCCCTGGTTCATAATGTCGGTTCTGGCGAAGACAAACTCAAGCAATCCAGTCTCACTACTATCGGCTTCATCTGCGAATCTGATGACCTCGAACTCCGCGAATCCCTGGTCTCATATTCAAATGCCATCCTCACTGCTGTGGTTCAGGGCGCGAGAAAAGAGGAGGCCAACCAAGACGTTCGTCTGTCAGCTCTATCTGCGCTCAGCGATGCAACCGAGTTCATCCGCAGCAATTTCGAGAATGAGGGCGAACGGAACTATATCATGCAGGTCGTGTGCGAGGCCACCCAGTCACAAGACACCAGAGTGCAAGCCGCGGCTTTTGGATGTCTCAATCGTATCATGGGCATTTACTACGACAAAATGAGGTTCTATATGGAGAAGGCCTTGTTCGGCTTGACAATCGCAGGCATGAAAAACGACGAAGAGGATGTCGCAAAGTTGGCCATCGAGTTCTGGTGTACAGTCTGCGAAGAGGAAATCAGCATTGAAGACGATAACCAACAAGCTCAACAAGAAGGTTCGACCGAGCTGCGACCATACTTCCACTTTGCAAGAGTTGCGGCTCGCGAGGTCGTCCCAGTCCTGCTTCAATTGATGACGAAGGTTTCTGAGGATGATGCTGAAGATGAATACAATGTGGCTCGCGCTGCCTATCAATGTCTGCAACTCTACGCACAGACAATCGGCGGTGATCTGGTGCCTGCAGTGCTACAATTTGTTGAAACAAACCTCCGCAGCGAGGACTGGACGAAGCGAGATGCTGCCGTGTCTTCGTTCGGCGCAATCATGGATGGTCCGGATATCAAGACCTTGGACCCTCTTGTCAAGCAGGCACTTCCAGTCTTGATCGGAATGATGCAGGATCCTGTCGTCCAGGTCCAAGACTCTGCGGCTTTTGCTCTGAGCAGAATCTGTGACTACTGCTCAGACTGCATTGATCCGTCCACACATCTCCAGCCTCTCATGTCCGCCCTCTTCAACGGTCTGATGGCCAACCCAAAAATTGCTGCGTCCTGCTGCCTGGCTCTACTGAATTTGACCGAACGATTTGTGGGTGAGGACGGTGCATCTGCCAACGCTTTGACGCCGCACTTCCAGGACAGTGTCACGTCCCTTCTTGCAGTCACCGAGAAAGACGGCGCCAATAACCAGCTACGCACGGCCGCTTATGAAGTCCTCGGCGGTTTTGTGACCAATGCCGCTCATGACAGCCTGCAGATTGTGGCTGAACTGTCAAATGTCATCATTCAACGTCTAGAGGGCACCATTCCCATGCAGAAGCAGATCGTCAGCATTGACGACAAAATTACGCTGGAAGAGTTGCAAGTCAGCCTTAGCAGTGTCTTGCTTGCTATTGTTCAGAGACTTGAACAAAACATCGCTCCTCAGGCCGACCGAATTATGCAAATCAGCCTGGAAATACTCAACGTCACCGGCAATACAAGTGTTCCTGAGGTTGTCTTCCAGATTGTGAGCGGACTGGCAAATGCTTTGGCGGGAGACTTCTTGAAGTACATGGACTCTTTCGTCCCCTATCTCTACACTGCTCTGGGCAACCAAGAGGCCCCAGATATGTGCTCCCTTGCTATTGGCCTGGTTAGCGACATTGTCCGCGCATTGGAGGATAAGGCTCAGCCATACTGCGACACTTTCATGAACTACCTTCTCAACAACCTTAGGTCCGACAAACTCGCCAACCAGCTCAAGCCACCCATACTCGAAACCTTTGGCGACGTGGCAACGAGCATCGGTGAACATTTTCAAACCTATGTTACAGTGGTGGCTCAGGTTCTTCAACAAGCCAACACTGTGTCAGTGGCCAATGATGTCTCCTTTGATATGCTCGACTACATTGTGTCGCTTCGGTCGGGCATCGCTGATGCCTGGTCTGGTCTGATCCTGGCCTTCAAGGGCACTTCGAAGGGTATGATTTTGTTCAAAAACGTGTACTGGTCGCATGCTAACAGCGTTCCTAGTGCAAATTTTGCAAGGTTATGTCGACCCCATTTTCGAATTCCTGAAAACTGTGGCTCAGGACATGAACCGTAATGAAGGTCTTCTGAGAGCTTGCATGGGTATCATTGCGTAAGTGTCCTTTTTCCCCGATTGCTGTATGAATAATTAACAATCTTCAGCGACTTGAGCGAAGCTTTCCCTGATGGTTCCCTGGCGAACTACTACCGCCAAGAATGGATCACGAAATTGATCAAGGAGACTAGGTCGAGCCGCGAATTTTCATCCCGCACCATCAATGCAGCACGTTGGGCAAGAGAACAAGTCAAGCGGCAGACTCAACATCAAGGTACCGTCATGACTTGATGTCGAGTATCTTTAGTCCCAAATATGGCCACCCTCTCCCCTGGCACCATCACCGCCGCCCTATGATACTCCTTGCCCAACACCAGCCCGGAGCACAGCCCAGAAGCACAGCCCAGCCCAGCACTTTACTACCCCTGTCAGAGCGCTGATCAACGCTCACTGAAGGTCACTTCTCGTCTCAAGCCGATACCATCGTCGAACCCTCGGAAGACGATGACGGACCGGATCGAACACGAGACGAAGAAGAGGGCCATGTGGACAAGCGCCAGCACTCCGAAGATTGCCAGAGAACCTGGACATTCGTCAACATACCGCAACAGAATCAATGCCCCTTACAGCCAGATCTGCATGCCGAACCGGGCGCCTCAGCCATGCCAGCTTCCGTTTCGGCTTCGGACAGTATTGTGTCCTGTCTGCCGCCTCTCAATATTCATTCTCACCTCATGCATCAGGGCCTACTCATTGACCGCGAGATGGGCACCTACTCAACAGCGCCTTTGTATGACCTAGCACGTCATGCCCGGCGCAGCTTCAGTGGAGGACCGATACCTGTTTCGAGGTTGAGTAATGTGTGGACACCACCAAGAGAATGATTGCCGTGGCGACTTGCTATAGAGTCCTGAATGCACGGCTGAAACGGATCTGGAAGGCTTATCCAGGCACAACACGATGACATTGGTTTTATGCTGGCGAAAAGTCATTTTCCACGAACAGCACGACGATACCCTTTCTTCCCCTTTTCACCACCGCGCCGGAACCCTCTTGTCCCCTTTTATGACCCATGGATATGCACGGAGTTTGTCAAAGACACCCTAGACCAGAATAGAGTATGGTTCTCATGGTGCCCCTTTGTTGGTGGGTCACTTGCAGGAGGATGTTAAAGCAGATTATCTTGCAGACAGACACAGACGACAGAACAATCCATCAATATTATGCACTGAACATTGGCTTGTGCCGTAGTCACAGATAGCACGTCTGGCTCTATTGGGCCTACCTGTTTTACAGTGTAGATGTTGTCTTCTGTGACCCTCGATCCCCGTATCGAGACATTTACGTGCAAGCCATCTTCTTCAGTTCTATGGTCCCTTAGTTCGTTGCCCAAAAGAATGAGTAGTTGCCCTTTTCGCTGAACCCAAATGTTGCCAGCTCTTGATTGACCTGATACTACTCAGTCAATTGTTCCTGCGGACAGATTGTCCAGTTTGCGCTTTTTCTCAGGACTCGCGATGGCCTGCACGTCCTCTGCGAGCACATTAGCCCCTGAGGCTTTCTGGTCGCCGCTTCCATTGCGTTGCGCGAGTGTACCGTCACCGGTCTGAGCACGTTTAGCATTCACACCCAGGCTAGTGCTCATGGCAGTGTGCTCACCGGTGTCAACATCCATTGGGTGCGTGATGGCAGCCACGCTCATTGGGTCTGTTGCACTTCCATTCTCCGTCGCCTTTGCATTGGTATCTGCTGTGGGCTTATTTGTCCCGTCATCCAGTTTCCTCTTATTCCTCGTATCTTTCTTCTTCTTGCCCGTCGCCTCCTGGAATTTCTTCCTGTTGGCCTCCTGTCGGGCCAATTTATCCGCCATCTTGCGATCCTGCTCGGCCTGCACGACCGCCGCGGCCTCGCGCCGTTGTTGGTCGCGCTTTTCCTCCTCAATCTCGAACATCTTCGAGATCGCGGGGAGTAGCTTCTTGAACGATGCAATCTGGGAAATCTTGATGCGCATCAGATCGAATGCCACGCCAATGTTCAGATCACGGGTGGAATCATGCTCTACCCACGCCGAAGCATCGGTCGACTGGACTGGTGCGTCTTCCGAAATAGTCGTGGGACCAGTAGCCATCTCTCCGTCAACGTCGTCATCGAGTTCATCCTCTTGATTGTGCTCCGGCATCTTAACGCTGCTGAGAACAGGTAGCTTTTGATACCTTTGACTGAAGTGCGTGAGGATGAGGTTTTTGGCTCGCATCTTCAGCGCGACGCCAACAGCCTCGCCGGTTGTGCAGTGCTTCTTCGCCCTGGCATCACCGTCCAAACCATCGTCGAACGTTGCTTCGTGCACGAGAACGTCCGAATCAGCCCCAATGGTGCAGAATGCCTCGTTCGGTCGGCAATCGCCGCTGTAGGAGAACTTGAAGCCATTGGAAAAGGTGACTGATATTGCCTGTGCCCCGTGACAATGATTGACTTTGACCGTCCGCAGATCCTTGATGGGAACGTCCGTTTGTGAGAAATCAAAAGGCTTGCCTCGTAAGGACATGCCTTCTGTCCAGTGGCATGCGACGGGAGTACAAAGCGTTTCCGTGGAAACACCAAGTACAGAATGGTAATCGTTCATATAGTCCATCATGTTAATTTCGGATATCAAGCATGGAGGTGCAGGTTGCGGCCTGTCTGGACCCGACAATCGTTTTCCGGCTGATACGGCCGCTTGAAGAATTGATATCGTGCCCAAATGGTGATCGGCGTGCAAATGTGATATCCAGATAGCTTTGAGGTTGAATAGAAGCTCGTCCATCTGCTCGGGAGTGTATAATCGTTGCAACTGCCCCAGTGTCCCTTCTCCACAGTCGAAGAGGTATGTTCCCATCTTATTTGGCATGCGAAGCAGTACCGCAGAGACATTCCGGTATTTCGAGGGAGCCGCAGAGCCAGTACCAAGAGTGACGATTTCCGGTTCATCCAGGTCTAAGGCCAGTGAGGCTGGCTGGGTCCTGCGGTACGGAGACATATCTTCCGGCAGACATTCCCGAACTCGCTCTTCAATAGGCATATTCAAAGAAGCCAAATCCAAGGTGCCTGGAACTTCAGTTTCGTCCAAAGCAAAGGTGGGTTCAACATGAATTCTGAGCCCTCTTTTCGCAGGCAGCACATCGATACCTGAGTCCTTGATGGCGAGCAGCTCCCTTATATCCTGTGAGGCGGTGGCCGCTACAGGACGATAAGCATGTGTATTATCATAGCGCGGGACTGCAAAGAACTCTGAGGCAACGTTATTCAGGCGGATAGACGAGATAGAGAAGGAGTCTTGTGTGATGTAGTCCTTGCACAGATCGGGGTGTGAAACGACGTGTTTGATGTCCTTGTGCATGCCCAGCAGTTGCCGGAATCGGTCGCTGTAAGGCACAGAGCCACGCGTTATCCAGATGGCGGCTTCGAGTCCGTCGAAGAGCTGATCGTTGCAAGCTTCCAACCTTTGCTCAAGACTTGCAAGGTAGCGTACTGACGGGACATCAAATATGGCAACGCCTCTTCCTGGCCGGGTCGGTGTAAGGACCATGTCGGGACTAATGGTTTGTCCAGCGTCATTCTCAACGGTGTCTCCTGCAACCAACCGTGCGTAGAGCGGTCCAGGCTTGAGGCCCAGGCTTGCCGCTTTGGCGGGATCAAAGGTCCCGCGTTGAGCATGGCCTTTGATAATGTAGGATGTTGCGACCTTGGTCGGCAGACCCGAGGCCTCTGGGAGCTCCTGAACTTCCGAGGCTGGCCAGGGAGTTCGAACCAACACGTCAGTCTCCATGGTCAGGGGACCGATGTTGTCTGGACCAACGCAGGTGTAAGAGGTCAAGGTCTTCGTTTCCGGATCCCTGACCCATACCAGAGCTGGGAGTTTGATGTCCTTCAGTTTGCATTCGACGAGCCGGTCCCTTTTCCAATCGGAATCGAACATATTATTGACGATATGTTTTCGCAGGCTCTGGTCGGCAGATACTCGTGATTCGTCGATGTCGGTTCGCTCAGGCTCTACATCAGCGTCTGACTCGTATTGATCTTCGGGCTCAGCAGCAGTAGACGTTACAGACTCCGCAGATATGGCCCACACACGAATATTTTCATCTTCGTGGACCAGAGTAGGTTCTTCAGCGCTCTTTTGGACATTGATTTCGTGGACAGACAGTGGCATTCCAGTGCGGAACACGAATCGTCTTGCGCAGGCTAACGAATGTTGCTGTTTCGGCCCACCATAGATGTTGAGTCGAGGCCGTCTCGTAGAACCTTCACTCTCAACCTCCCCGTGCTGTACATCGGCCATGGTCAAAATAAGTCCTATGAGCCCTCCATTGCTCCAAGCCGTCTTTCCTGAGAGAAACACACCTCGGACTTTCCGCAACCCGATCCCTCGTGATATGCATGCTCTCTGTGTGCCCTCACACAGCTCACCGAATATGTACCTTTTGTTGTCGAAGTGCAATATCAGACTGGTCCCAGGAGTATCCGAGGTGAACGTTGTAATGAACTGGAGGTGGAAGTTGGTGCGCACACCAACGGATTTGGCTCCCTGTTTTCGATCTTGCATCTTCCTGAAATCCTGCTCCAGTTTGAGGATCTGTTTTCGTGACGAAACTACTCCGACCGACCCTTTTCTGCGTGATGGGATTCCTTTCTGGGGTTCGTTCTTCAATGCCCGTGGTCGACTTGTAGAGTGCGTTTCTCTCTTCCTTATGTGACCATCATTCTCGTTCCTCTGCACACTCACCGCACTAGGTTGACAATGGTGCCAGTCAAAGACTCGTCTCTGCGAGTGGGCAGTGTAAAGACGCCGCTGTGACAAACTAGGAGATCTATCGCCCCGTCTAGCTGAAAAGGACAGGCTAATGCGCTTTGTAAGAGATCGTGGGAGGGATGATACCTGCTGGAAGGCAAGTGCGCAGGCGGACGAAGCCAGGGCGGCTATCCTTTTTAGTGAGAAATATCAAGATTGGAGATAGACTGTTGCATTCAAATCGACAGGGAATGAGTCAAGACTCATGGAAAGGCATTGAGCGAGTGTGCTGGAGAGTTGGTGGTTGCCGTCTATTGCGACTCGACGAGAGAAAAAGTTGTGACTGCGCAACACAAAATGTTTACATGCGTCACAAGGGTTAATCCGCCAATCATCTCGATAGGCGAGATCGAATCATTGATTCTCTCCGCGAACCATGCAAAAGACTCTATGATGGCTTCTAAGATGGGGTGATGTCAGCAAGAGCACTTATGGAAAGAGTGATCGTCGAAATGAGGCATGATCAGAATTGTCAAACTATATACGACTCAAACAAGAGCCTCAATGCGAAAAATTGCCCGAATGTCCAAGCCTGTCGGCCGTCAAGAAATCATCATACAACACGTTCTCAAGCACGTTATAATCAATAGACTCATGCCATGTGACGAGTAAAAACAGCAAGCCGGCTGCAGGCTGCGTCCAACTCAGAGCACATCCGTTCCAGTCTTGCGGAGTTATCCTCATCTGAGACCGGTTCGTCGTCCGTTGCGGAATTGAGAGATCCTTCAGGATCAGACGAGGCCGAGGCGGATGGATCAAAGTAGAGGGCAAAGGCAGCTTCGTCTAGTTCAACCGACTCGTCGACTTGCACACTTCTAGGTTCCTCAGCCTCGCTGACAGCCTGGGGAGCAGATTCGGCGACTTGTGGGATGTCCTTGGCCGGCTTAAAGATGCTGGAGCTCGATTTGTTCTTGCCCGACAAAATTTCCAAATCCAATGTCGGAGGCTCAGGCATTTCCGTGACTGAATATACTTGGAAATCGTTTGTAGGAAGAGCGGTCATCCAGGCGTTCGATGGTTGGAAGGTGGTGAAGTCCATATGAGTCTCGGGAATCAAAGCCATACCAATCTGAGGCTGCTGAACATGCATTTGGTGGCCAGCATCATGCGAAGAGACATCCTTCTGCGAAGATTGACCTTGAGATTGATTTTGGGGAGCCTTGGCCTGCTGAGCCATGCTTTGGATGCTTGATGCTGGTAGGCCTGATTGGCTGAGCTCTTGGAGGAAACCAGAAAAGGCCTGAGAAGAGAGCAGCATGCGAGTAAGGTCGGTGAGACGGTTGTTCTCCTCGCGGAGTTGTTGGTTCTGGGTGCGAAGGTCGTTGGCTTCTTGTACCTTGACAGCAACTTCGCCTTCCAATTGACCGATGTATTCTGCGAACGAATTGATTAGCACTCTTCATGACTTAGACGGAACAAAACACTTACCCTTTCTGCGAGAGCGGAATGCACGAGCAGAAACCTTGTTTCTGAGTTGACGGCGTTCCTTGCTAGACAGCTTCTTGCCCTCCTCGCTGGCTAGGAGACGTTCATCCTCATCCATATCATCTTCGTCTTTCTTGATACGGGGCATGTTGGAGATGCCACCAGGTGTGGCCTCGTCCTGGAGGGAGGACGCAACACTAGCCTGTCTCATACGGCTCAAGACCTTTGAGATACTTTCTTCGACGAGAGGGTCCTTCGCTGGCTGGGTCTTGATTGGCGATGTTCCAGGCAACGGTTTCTGACCAGCAGGTCGTTGTTGCTGTCGTCGTGCCATTTGTTCCTGCTTTTGAGCTTGCTGTGCCTTGGCCTGGGCAGCTTGCTGACTATGCATGCCAGGATAGATACGTTGAAAGGGTGCGGAGCTGCTGGGGCCGACCAAGGTTGGGCTGATAAATTGACCAGAAGATTGGTCGGGAAAGAACATAGTAGGCAGATCGTTGGGCGAGTCTGATTCGAAGTCCATGTCGTTGCTGCGAGCGAAGTCGAAATCGTCCAAATTGCTCAAGGGCATGTTCAATGTCTCGGTTGGCATCACAAAGCCTCCATTGGCCTCGTTGTAATGTAGACCACTCTGTCGGTTGATGTTGAAGGTGCTCGCTAATGCTCCGATGGGAATGCCGGTCTGTTGATGATACGCATCGTACTGAAAGCTCGGTCCCGGGAAAGTCTGCGTGTTTGAGCTGGAGGGGAAAGCCGAGGAGGATTGAGGGGTCAGCATGGGCACTGATTTGGCGTCTGGAGTGGCAGAGGCCGGTGTATAGTCAGTGTCGAGGTTCAGGAAGGAGTCAGGATCGAAGTTGGTGTTGAGATGGTTCATGCTCAAAGAGTTGTTGATGATGGAGATGATAAGAAGAGATAGTGGTGCGTGGCCTTGGGGCCTGCGCGTCCTTTTGGATAGTGCCTAAAATAGATCGTCGACGGATGGAGAGCCGATCACTGTGGCTCTTCTCCTTCTTCTTGTTGTCGAAATCGTGCGGCGTCGAAGTGTAGATGCTCGAGGAATGGTCAAGAGCGTCAATGAGGGAGGAATAATGGTATTCGAGGCGGCGTAGAGGTGATTGAAGAAGCGAGAGATGGAATTGCAAGAGTAATGAGATGGAAGGCAAGGAGAAGTTGGCAAAGCTGGGATGCCAAAGAGTTGGGACTTGCGGGTAACAGAGTGCAGCTTGGACCCGGCAGAAGAGAAACTTGCCTTGAGGCTGTGTCATGACTTGTTCTCCACCGTTGGTGTTTGACTGGCTCTAGCCGGCATATCGGCAGCTCCATCTCGCCGGTGCGCAAATGCATGCTACCCACCACCGGATTGCTTGCCTATCAAGGCGACCATGATTCCATCACTGCCTGTGCTACGGTACTCCGTAGTTATCGCTTAAACGAAAACGAGACGGCACTTTTCCGCAAGGGATAATTTACGAGGAGCATCATGATTGTCTCTATTAACTACGTAGGTATTGTTCAGTCAGCAAAGGGAAAACGATGTCTTTCCACTCACGAAATCGTGAATACCTACTGTGTTACTGATGGACTCGCGTGCAGTGATCCATACTCGAAAGTACTATCGTCCTGTCAACAACCCCTTGCAATCTGTAACATGTTTGGCCCATCTGCCGTTAGATCAACCGCGACCTGACAGTATAGGTTGACTTTTTCGGACGTTTGACAGAAAGGAATTTCCAGGCCCGGCTCAAGTTGTCCAGATAGGGACTGCAGCGAGATACTTTCCGATGCTTTGCCTTGACAGAAATTACGCTTTTGTGGCTCCTGTCTCCGGCATATCCTTCAGCGAGCCCATAACAAACCCCGTGCTTCCGAAACATCGGGATGAAACTGATCTACATAGCCTGCCTGCATAAAAACGGGCACAAAGTTGTACTCCCGCCTCCTCAGGTAGGCCTAGAAGTCCATCAACGGAAACAATGACCTCGAGAGATTAGATTAGATGTGTGGGAACGAATTGCAGGTGTGCATGTCGACGCTGAGGCAGACAGCGTGCAAAAGGTACATTCGTCACAGATGTTCCGCACCTGCAAGTGAGCTTTGTCGGTTCGTGACCTGTCGAAAACCGACTTTCAACTCAGGGCGTTTAGAAAGTGCTCAGCCATTGTACCTGACGTTTACAGACTCGAACTTTTCTATCAGGACGGTGATATGTCTGTAAGTGGTAGGTTAAGAACCTACCGAAATATGTCCCGGAATAAAAATAACAACAACACCTTGGTATAGACTTTTCTCAACACAAGAAGGTTCTGCTGGTGTTCGGAGCAGGCCTCGTAAGCCCTGTTTCCGAAGTATGAATCGTGCTGTTAAAGGAGATTCTGTAACATGACTCGTAAGTCACATGATCAAAGTCACATGATCAAAGTCACATGATCAAAGTCACATGATCAAAGTCACATGATCAAAGTCACATGATCAAAGTCACATGATCAAAGTCACGTGGCAGTCGTCACTAAGCAACATCTCAAAGATCAGCCACACTTACGCTGCGCCCGGCGTCCATCTCCGCCTCTACTTTTCGCTCGGCACCTCGTGCGAGCAATTGTCAGCATTGCTTCATGCCTCCACAACCTCAATTATGTTTTAACCCCAATCCTTTTCGACTTATAACACTGATATATTCTGTCCATCTTGTGTTGTGTCCCAATGTCAGACGTTTTTGGTGACTTGTAATTCCCTTCACCATGGCTGAGGCTGCGTTCAAGCAGATGATGGCCACGTTTGTGCGCCAGACGAGGCCGCAGTTATTTCGCCACACAAAGCCGTTTCGCTATCCTCAGCGCTGTCTTACCGATACAGCTGGTGCGACACCGCAGCCAATCGCACCCGAAACTCCTCAATGGCAGGCGCACACTGTACAACCAGCCGTGCAACAAAGTCGACCGGAGCGACAGCGTTTGGATCAGCTTCGAACCGAGTCCGAACCGCGAAGCTTCTCCTCCTTCTTGACAGACAATTACTCCAGGGAGCACAATTACCTCCGCATATCTGTCACTGAACGATGCAATCTGCGTTGCGTCTATTGCATGCCCGAAGAGGGCGTACCGCTGTCCCCATCGGCAAAGTTATTGACGACGCCGGAGATTGTCTATCTTTCAGAATTGTTTGTCGATCAAGGAGTGAACAAGATACGGTTGACTGGTGGTGAGCCCACCGTACGAAAAGATATTGTTGATTTGATGCATCAAATTGGCAACCTGAGAAAGAATGGACTGAAAGAGCTGTGCATCACCACGAATGGCATATCTTTGGCTCGTAAGCTCGATTCGATGGTTGAGTCGGGCTTGACCGGCGTTAATTTGAGCTTGGATACACTCGACCCTTATCAGTTCACCATCATGACTCGGAGGAACGGCCACGACGCTGTCATGAAGTCTATCAACAGAATTTTGGAGATGAACAAACTCGGTGCAGGGATCAAGCTGAAGATCAATTGTGTCGTCATGCGTGGTTTGAACGAACGCGAGATCCTGCCATTCGTGGAACTTGGTCGAGAGCAGGATATTGAAGTGCGGTTTATCGAATATATGCCTTTCGACGGGAACAAATGGTCCGAGAAGAAAATGATGAGCTTCGGTGAGATGTTGGCACTCATCCGGCAGAAATATCCCGATGTATACAAAGTTGAAGATCACAAGAACGATACCAGCAAAACTTACGCCGTTCCTGGATTTGCTGGCCGCATCGGCTTCATTACCAGCATGACACATAACTTCTGCGGGACCTGCAATCGACTGCGGATTACTGGTGATGGTAACCTGAAGGTCTGTCTCTTTGGAAATGACGAAGTCTCTCTGCGCGACATCCTGCGAGAATCCAACAACGGAAAGCCCATCGATGCCGAAGCAATGGAGGCGATCAAGCAGATCGAGATGGAGCGACGACAGAACCTCCCTATGAGCACGGGTCAGTTGGGAGTCTCTGAAAAGGAGGCCAAGTTGTTGGACGTAATCGGCATGGCTGTGAAGCGGAAGAAGGAAAAGCACGCCGGTCTAGGCGAGCTGGAGAATATGAAGAACAGGCCAATGATTCTTATCGGTGGGTGAGCCATGCCATTTTGTTGCTGACCCCAGGTGTTTATGCGCATACGACGACATGAAGGATATATTTACGTGAAAAGTTCACGACGATCTCATAATGAACATATATACTTGCCCATCATGCAACGATCCTTATTGTTTGACGCCTGCTTTGCCTCTGCATGCCAGTCAGTGATTTGCTGACCTTTCTGTGCTTTGTAGATGATGCCTTCCCAAGGCTATCAACATCAGTGCCATCCGGGATCCCAGCATTTCTTCCTCCCACGCATCACAATAGTGTTGCTCGACCATACTCTGTGCCATTGCACCTACTGCCATTGCAGGCCACATCGAGATCATGGTCACGGTCATTCCACGCAGTGCCTTACTCTCCATATGGCTGTGAAAGTAGCCGCAGAAACTATAGTCAGTCGGCTCAGTTGCATGAAAGGCTGAGACTCAGCTCGTTTCGCTTCATTCAGGGTCAACCAGGCTACCGGACGATCCCGTCAGAAACACCCTACAATATTCCCGGTTACTCCAAGAGCTCATGGCCAGAAACCAGACAACGAAAAGCACAGCAAGCAATATCCAAAGAGGCTCGCTTGAACATACAGGCGACATATGCCAAACATCTATCAAAAGAAATCGCGAAAAGAAGGACCAAATACATGTCACACGAGATCGCGAAACAAAGAAACAGCAATAATCGTGGTGCGAATGAATCTCTGCCTCATGCCCTCCAGCAACAGCTACGGCATGCGTCATCTTCATCCCATCAAGGCAAGGATGATCAACCTAAGCTCAGCCATCTCACAGCCAGTGGTGAAGCGCATATGGTCGATATATCAGGCAAGATACCGACCAAGCGGTCCGCCACAGCGACGACAGTCCTTCTCTTCTCTCACCACCAGACCTATGGCGCATTACTCGCAGCGCGGCTACGTAAGGGTGATGCCGTGTCTGTAGCTCGAATCGCTGGCATACAAGCGGCGAAGAAGACAGCCGACCTGATCCCACTCGCACATCCGGGCCTGAGCATTACGGGCGCGTCCGTCCAGCTTGAGCCCTTTGTTGGGGACAAGCTCCCGCACCCATTCACGCGAAAGACTCTCGGGCTCAAGCAGTATCTTCAGGGAGGAGTCGCTATTACAGCCACTGTGTCATGCGATGGCAAAACAGGCGTGGAAATGGAAGCCATGACCAGTGCCTCCGTCGCTGGGTTGACCATGTACGACATGCTCAAGGCTGTGGACAAGGCTATGGTACTGACGGCCACGCGCGTGACTGCCAAAAGTGGCGGCAAGTCCGGCGACTGGAAGTGGGATCCGAGTTACAATAAGATCGTGAAAACCGACAGCGCGGCAGAGAATGACGCCCTGGAACACGGTCATGAGCTTGTTCAGGCCCAGAAAGTGCAGGATTGTGTCCGCCAAAAACAGCTGGAGATTGACGTCGGGGTCTCACCTCCTCAGGTCAGCGGGAACAACTTGCCCCGCAGCGAAGGGTCGGGTCAGGCGACGTCAGACCAGGGTTCGATCCAGGCGAAGACGCTGAGCTGGGCTGACAAGAACGCGCAAAGGAGAATACGCAAGAAGGCCATGAAGCATGCGGCTAAATCGACAGTTGCAGCAGGGCAGGAGTCCTTGCTCAGTCCAGTTACACAAGCGATGCAACAGGATGGCCAGGCCGCACAGGAAATGAATCCGTTAGTAAAGGCATTGGACACAAGTATAGGCGAGACTGACCAGCATCACGCCGCCATCTCGGGCGAGACGGTCTACAAGAGAGGCCGAGTCGACTCGGAGGACTTCATGCAGGGCCGGCAGGAGCGATATGCGCACTATTTGGAAGCCAGAGGCTCTGTGCTTACTGACCAGGGCCCGGGTCGAGGATGAGTGTAGATATATTGTCCGATTGTCTACCTAGGTAGATACTCCGTACAAATGAACGGTATTGGAATCGTCTTCGGAGATAAACATAAATTTCCTGCGCTATTGTTGGTCTATCCATATTCTATTAAACAATATCCGGGGTATCGTCCTATATCTAGTCCACACCTGAGTTGACAACAACCCAGGCTTGGAAAGATTCTAGTGCAAAGCCCTGCTTTCTATGATCTAAATGCCCATGCAACCCCTTTCCCTTATGACCCATGATCCATGACCCGAAAGGGATTCTATCGCTCAAAAATAACACACGCGCATACCTGGCACAGCTGAAAGGCAGTACAGGGCAGTTTATCGCTCAAGTAGACAGGCTCAATATACAAAAAGAGAATTGCGAAAAGGAAAAGGGGTCTATCTCAGCCAAACCTGCTCGAAAACTCCACGTAGAGGCTTCTCGCCCGCCAACTCCTCCATGTACTTCTCGGAGACAGGTGTGATCAGCGGACTCCAGCGCCCGAAGCGCGTCTTGGCCCAGTCGAGGCAAAAATGATGCGTGCGCAGAAATTCCGGAACATGACGTCTGGCGCTGGTGGTGGTCGTGGGCGACATTTTCCAGCGTGACTCGTACAGCGTTGGGCCGATCGCCAACTGCTCGAGAGTCGGCCGTCCTCCGCCGACCAGTGCGGGAAAAGCCCATTCGATGAACTTAGTGGCGTACTCTTTGATGCTGTAATCGCCGAGTTGGCTGAAGACTTGGTTCTCTGGGAAATTGCGGATATGAATGGTCTTTAGGTATTGGAGGGTAGGCAGGGCGGTCTTGTGCAGACGCACGAGCTCGTCGTTCCAGGCAAAGCCCATGCCGAGTTCTACGAGGTTGGGGCAGAGCCGGGCGATGTCGTTGATCGACTCTTCCCAGAGGTCCGAACTGTATCCTCCCACGCCGAAGGGGCGCGATGTGTCGAGGCTCAGGTGCTCGCGGGGCTGGATGCGGGATTCTAGGACCAACGTGTGTAGAGTCGGTCCGTGCTCGGCGATCAGAGTCGATGGGCGTTCGAGGACGGCGGCGTTTTCGAACAGGAGCGACAGGGTGCGCAGGCCTGTGAAAGAGTGGAGGAAGCGGATGACGGCGTCTTTGAGGGCAGTGTTGGGGTTTTCGTGTCGTAGGAGAAAATGCTTGAGGGAGGGGATGATGGGTGGGTTCTGGGGCACTTCAGGCGAGTAGGATGTCCAGTGAAATGTGGCTGCTATGGATTCGAGAAGCTCGGTGGTGCCCGGACAGGACTCGAGAGTCAGGCGTTCGAGTTTGCACAGAAGCGTGGCCTGAGATGTGGTGGTAGGCTGGAGAGGAGTGACGTCTAGGCCTGAGAGTGACAGTTCGCGGAGGTGTGAGTATTTGTCCAGTGCGTAGGCGGATGTGAAGAACGTCTCTGGTGGTTGAGGGATCTGTTCCAAAAAGCCTCCTCTTGTCTGGCGGTATTGGTCCACCAGGTGTTTCTCCTGTCCCAAGTATATTTTCTGCAGAGTGTTCCGGTTTGCGGAGATGATGTTTTCGACCCCGTCCCCTGCGTTGACCGCTCTGCACTCGAGACTGGTCAGGTTCAAGGGCAGCAGTGTACTCTCGTGCCAAGGGGCTGCCTCGTAGAAACCAAGATGCTGGAGCGTGTGCTCGTTTCGATGCACAAGGAGATCGAGCGTCTGCTGGCTTAATGGGGTCTGGTGCAAAATACTGCCACATCATTAGCGGCCGTCATACACAGCTTGGGAGGTCTCACGTACACAAAGCTCTTCAACCTCTTCATGGGGATCTTGTCCAGTATTCCGTTCACATGGACTTCACTCGAGGCTGCATCAGACTTCCTCCTGCGGCTATACACCGAACGTCTTCTATTTGTTGAACCACTCCTTACGGTAAGTTCTCGGATCGATTGTGTGACCGGGGCCCGGAGGATTGATGTGCCAGACTCTTTTGATACCCTGCGAAGGGGTAGGTCCAGGTCTACTGAATGGTAGAGTCGAGCCATGGTAACGTCCTCGAGGAGGTGACATGTTCGGGATACGTTATAGAGATCTCTGCGCGTATCAAGCTATTATTGTCAGCCACTGAAATACTTTGATGTTGAGGAGATACTCACATAGTTCACGATGTGGAGTTTTAGTTCATCGGGCAGACTCAACAGCCGGCAAGGCTGCGCAAACAGGGGGTTATCCATCGCTCGTATATTGAGACTGCGGCGCGTCCGACAACGAGCCAAGTTCAGCTTGAGCACGTATAGAGAGTGACCGAGAAAGTCATGCTTCACGAAAGATGTAGTAATAGAAGACGATCAATTGTTCATGTTCTTGCGAGGGCTCGACATCATGGGTGAGGGAAAGGACTTGCGCAGATCTGACATAACGACTGGAATTTGGAAGGTCAGTGCAACGATATTATGTCAGATCATTGATACCAACTCCCGATTTGGGTTTCATCTTGGACTAGGACTCCGGGCAGAGTAAAGGACGGCGGAAATAGGGGAATCAGGTACGTGGCAGAGGACGTTATCGGGGTGAGGACCAGGTACAGCCGCCATCGATGGTCCTCAAAATCTAGGGAGCGCACTTCGGAAGTCGGGCTCGGAAGCCAATGAAACTCGCCAAGTGACGGCATGGGGTGAGAAATGTGACATTCCTCGCAAATGTTGAGTGTGCCACAAGGTCCTTGACAGGCATGGCGAGCCAGGCGAATACTCGTATCGCAAGGTTGAAACGCGGTCCCAAGGAAAATAAAAGTTATGGTGTTCGATAAGAGCTGAGGGATGATTAAACGCATGCATTCGGATTTGATGGGAATGACGAACAGGCGCTCCACCCTCTTACTTGATTGATTAGTATTGCCCTCCTGGGAAGGTTTAGTATTTCCCTTGTCGTGAGTTGTCCTGGATTCCTCATGCATACAGATTAGTCGCAGATGCCCTTGCATATTCTCAATATTTAGAACTCTACACCACAGTAAGGTAGTAGCTTAGTACAAGGCTGGCGGAGATCGGCCAGGTGAAGGGTATGGGATGCTGGGTGCTGGGTATTCAGTGTCCTCGTCTTGGATCCTCCTCCTAGCGCTGACCCATCTGAACGGACCTGGTCAATCTGCTCCAGTTTGTCATCCACTCTGATGGAGAATGTCGCCTTATTTTCACGCACTCAAGAGACAGCAGCCTTTCAGAGACAAGAGATATATCTCCGGTTCTGGAACAGCACAGAATGTTGTTTGAACAGCCGTAGACTAACGTAGCCACTCCAATGCGTCACCGTAGTGTCAAAGTCTTTCGGACCGGAAGAAGGTGTAGCCGGCGCTAGAGTTTGATCTTGCAACCACTTACATCAACCTCTTTCAACTCAACTGACAACGTTTGTAAAGAACACCATCGTGTACGGGGACTGCTTGCGACTCTTTTGTGCAATCCTTGGTCGCTGCAGGTCGTCTATTACTGCAAGAACAACCCTGACCACCCGCCAAACGACGTCTGCAGCGCTTCTGCACAAATCGGACAAGAAAGGCGTCGCTGTTCGTCAAGAGTAGCTGGTTTTCAGCAAAGAGCTCGTCCATAACTCACGAAGCAGATACTGTCAGAGCCCATGTTATTCTGCTCTTGATGTGCAGCAGGTGATGGCGGCGACGTAAATATATATGAAATATTCAGATCGGCTGGTTGATGTAAGTTACAAACCCCAAGTTTTCCTTGTTGTTTTGCAAATGGAGAGAGGGCGCTGGGCAATGATGTGGTCGTCGAGGGCGATCATGAAAGACGACAGCATCCTTCGCGCTGAAGCGAAATCATTCTGCCAGCGTCAACGATGCATTTTTCTCGTCGCCTTTTCCTCCTCCCACGTTCATCCCACCTGTCTCTTCTCTTTGCACTTTACACAACCAACCACTTTTTCATTCCATCGCCTCAAGCCAATTGCAAAATGCCTATGAACGACCAATCCGTCAGAACCGCCCTCGGCTACACTGCTGAGGAGTGGGAGGAGATACTCATGACAGAATGGGTCCCCTTGGTTCTCGAGCTTGACCCTAACGCACCCTCCGATCCCCCTGAGGCTCGCGCGTACGTTGGACCATCAGAACTAATGCCTTGCTGTTGACAGAGCTCACTATCATAGACTCAACAATGGAAATCCAGCTGTGAATACTCAGCCAATTCGACGTGTCCAGTCTGCGCCAGCCTCTTTGTGATTCCTCAGCCTATTGCTCAACTCAACCACCTTCCGCCGCGACTTGTCCTGCTCAAGATCATATCACTCCTCCACCTACCTCTCCACCTATTTCCAGCACCGTCAAACCGCCGCAATGGACAAGAAGCTACGCCAGAACAAGCCTCGGCTGTTACTGATGGGTCAGCGTAGGTATGTAGCAGTCACTCCCACTATCACAGCAAGATATTGACTTAGAAAACAGGAGCGGCAAGTCATCCATAACTAGCGTGGTCTTCCACAAGATGCCTCCACAGGAGACTCTATTCCTCGAATCAACCACACGCATTCAAAAAGACTCAATGAGGTCCTTTATGGACTTTCAGGTCTGGGATTTTCCTGGACAGCTCGACTATTTCGATCCCACATTCGACACGACCGAGATCTTTTCCGAAATTGGCGCTCTCGTCTGGGTCATAGACGCGCAAGATGACTACACCGATTCTCTCAATCGCTTAACCACAACCATCTTGAACCTGCAAACCACATTCCCACACATCAACGTGGAGGTGTTTGTTCATAAAATTGATAGTCTCAATGAAGAGTTCCGCTCAGATATCTACCAAGACATTGTCCAGCGAGTCAGCGATGACCTTAGTGATGCAGGCTACATCAACCCTAACATTACCTATCACCTCACTTCCATCTACGACCATTCCATCTTCGAAGCCTTTAGCAAAGTAATCCAGAAGCTCATTCCACAGCTCGACACCCTTGAGAACCTCCTCAACATTCTGGTCAACAATTGCGGAATGTCCAAAGCATACCTGTTTGACATCCTCAGCAAAATCTATGTTGCAAGCGACACCAGACCCATCGACATGGAGGTCTATGAGATGTGCTCGGACTATATTGATGTGATTGTCGACGTCACGGACATTTTTGGGTATGAACGCGGCCATGATAAGCTACTTGGAGAGCAGATGCAGGAGGCCGAGTCATCGATCATTATTCACGACGGCACAATGATCTACCTCAAAGAGATGAATCGGTAAGGAGATGACCAGTGCTCAATGCTGCAGTGCTGACCATTCTTAGATACCTCTGCCTAGTGACGGTCATCAAGAATAACGAGGCCAAGGACAAGAAGGGACTGATTGACTACAATTGCCATGTCTTCCAAGATGCCTTGAATGGAGTGTTCGCCAGAAGTTGGGAGAAAGACAAGGCCGTTGGCAATGGGGGCGACAGCAGTGCCCAAGAGCAGCTGCAGGCTCAATTGGAGGATTGAAGACCGACCTCTTGTGAGAATAGTTTCCAAGCGGGCACGACCCCCAACTGCGTTTGCTGCAGTAAAGCAGCGCTGTCACGCCCCAGCACCAATAAACACAAAGAAATCAGCGCTTTACGGTGATCCAAGCTGCAGTGAAAGCAAAAGTAAAAGTGACACAGATGTGAATCTTCGTTCGTGAGAAGAGACTGGCATTGTGCCTGGAATGTTTGTAGATGTCGACATCTCCTACCGATCTGTGCCAAGACCCATATCCGAACTTCGTCAGACATGGATTTCTTGGTCGCGATGGAACCAAGTTCCTTAAACTACATGCAGACACGCTTCTTTTCCGAAGCAGAAAATCCCATCAGTGTTGTTACTGACGTTGACGGCATCGAGAGAGTTGGTGAAGGCCCCGAGCAGAGTCAGGAGACCAGTGCTGCGGCAGAAAGCGCCACACGACAGTCACTTAACCCTCGTGTTCAATTTTTACGGCTTTCGGCTCTAGTACGGGGAAGACAAGGTATCGCAGGCGCGACTCCTCCATACCAGCCAGTGCCGCCATCTCTATCCCGCACAGCCACCGAAGACGCAGAGGAGAGTGTTAGCGATCTTCTAGAAGTCAGAGCTAGCTCGCCGTTGCGGAACCTCGCCTTCTCAAGAGATCCGCGAGTGCATGAGTCACGACAACTCCGTCACACGATCTCTCATTCCACGTTGCAACATTTTCAAACACCACTCCCTCCAAAACCAACGAAGATGCCTCAGACCGGGTTCCAAGCGTTGATACTATGTGGTCCTGGTATCGGACTCAGCACCTTCACCAGTGTGCCTAGCGAATATCCCAAGGCTTTAGTTCAGATAGTCAACCGACCTATGGTATGGTACGCCCTCGACTGGTGTTATCGGATGGGCGTCACGGATATAACTCTCATCACTCCGCCAACCTCGAAAGGACCTATTGCCGCAGCTTTGGCACAAAATCCCTACCTGACGTCTCTTCCCTCCCCAAGCCCCGACTTACTAGCTCCTGAAGCGCTCGAATTCACAACACCCACAGCAGAACTACTGAGACTGCCCGAGGTACAAGCTGTTATCAAGTCAGACTTCGTGGTATTACCTTGCGACTTGATCTGCGCCATTCCTGGAGAAACCTTCCTTGAGACATACCTTACGAGGCTAGGTGGGCCTGGCGGTATTGGCTGCAATGAAGACGTTGAGGCAACGAGGAATCAGCTTCTTGCGCTCGGAGGCGAACGCCGAGGGCGTAGGGGTGGTCTGTCAATATGGTACAACACGATCGATCGGGAAGAAAGCGTCAAAGGTGAAGAATGCGATTTCATGTGTACTACCAAGCTTGATCCGGAACATGACATACCCTTGCTGAAAACGTCTTCCGCCCAGACGCAGGGTATTCTACGCAAACTAGTATGGGCCATGCCCATGTCTGAGCTCTGGGATCAGTGCGAAGAAGACAAATCATGGAAGATCCGACAGTCACTCCTCCGAAAACACGGCGCTATCAAGTGCATGACGAAGTACCGCGATTCGCATATCTACTTCTTTCCTCACTGGGTCAAAGACTTTGCACTAACCAACGAAGATTTTGAATCTGTCAGTGAAGATCTGGTCGGAACATGGGCGAAGGCCGAGTGGCGCAAACCTAGTTATAGGGCACGACTCGGCGCCAGAAAGATCTTCTCACCAAAACCTGCAGCGGGGCGAACTGACCTCTCAAATCATGAACGTCCCATCGAGGAAGAAATTGACCTACTCTCGCTGAGCAGTACTCAAATTACTACGCAACCGTCAACAGACTCGACACCTGCTCGCACAGCCCGTCTCGCATCGAGAGTTCCTGTCGAGCTCCTCTCTCCTGACAACTCTTCTCATTTGGACGAGGAAAGCGGACCAGTGCCACTTGTTCCACCTATCCTCTCATACATCTTACCCTCAAGCTCTGATGCGCCTTTGGTGCGCCGCGTCGACAACACCCCGCTTCTCCTATCCGTCTCCCTCGCTCTGGCCAAATTGCCCTCGGCAGAGGAATCGACTGCGGCCAAAACCCCCGTCTCGCCCTTCTCACATCCTGTGAAGATCCACGCGACAACTACCATCGCGCCGCGGGTCACTATCTCCCGCGCCGACACCCTGATCGACAGTAACAGCACCGTCGCGACACAGTGCGTCATCAAGAACAGCGTGATAGGGGCATCGGTAGCAATAGGTACCGGCACAAGGATTACAGGATGTGTCATTATGGACGGTGTTACGATTGGAGATAAGTGTGTCCTCACGAATACCGTGATTGGGAAGAAGGCCAAGATTGGAAATAAGGCAACGTTGACTGGCTGTGAGGTGCAAGACGGCAATGCTGTGGCCGATGGGACGGAAGGGAAGAATGAGAAGTACCTCGTCGGCGGGCTCGAGGACGAAATGGAAGGTGACGACATGGGATATGACGAGGACGATGAGGATAACGCGGGTGAAGGACTGAGTCTAGAAGAGCCGTGAATAATTCCCTTACCCAACTATGAACATTGGGGGCTAGCAGAGGTGCACCCACAGCGCTGATAGCAGTGGCAGAACTTCCGAAACTGGACGACTGTACAATCAAGAACGGGCAGCTGGACGAGATAAGATATGTTGACGATGATAGCAAGCCGTTTCTGTCTAGTCGATGAGAAGCGCTCGACTCGGGAATGAGGTGACAAGACAAAAGTAAAGATACGAATGGCGACACCTACTATCCCGCTCTACAACTGACGGTATTGGCTGCTAATTGTTCGTCGGACGAGTTGTATGTTACCTTAGATTTGATAGGAAGGGAGCATGACTGGTAAATGTAGGCCTTACAGCATATAGCTTCCGGCGGCTCATGGCCGAAGAGGGGATTTGGCGTAGGCGGTCTCCAGAACGTCAACCCCAGTGACATGGTTGTAGGGTGACATATTTGACTCTGCCTGCTATCTGTTTTGCACGAGTGTCAAAAAGAGTCATGACATAGCAGATCGTCGAAAAGATATCTCGCTGAATTCATAGGCTGTAAACCAGCTGTTTCTGAGATGACTGTAATTTGAGGGACGTTGCAACTCGGGAGCCCGCCAGCGACAGCGCGACAGTCGTACGGATTGTCACGGCACGCCCCGGAGGTCCATCGAATATGGAAGGTAACGTCAAATTAGGCTGCGCCGTACCATGTCCTTCGGGCCCTAAATATATGCTTAACCCTACACTCCTCAATGTTTCTCCCTATATGTAGCCATAGTCTATACGTGCTTGTTTACCCAGAATATCTCTCTCTCGGTATTGTGCTTTTCCAGAGTAGACAATCTAAATTCCCATGCGATAAGTCCAAAAATAATCATTAGTGTAGAGTGACGTAGTATCTAGCTTCGACGAACTGGTCCAGCACCAGTACCTAACGGATGCCGATAAGTCCCGCCTCTCGAGTCGGACACTCGACTCAAGTCTTTCCCTTGTGCGATTCTCTCTATCAGGATTTTTACTAGTAAAAACTTACTGGTAACTTACTAGTAATTACTAGTAAAAGTCTACTAGTAAAGTACTTATATTTTACTGCACTCTTTATAGTGACTTATAGAACTAAATAGAAGTGAATAAATATAAAAATTACTAGATTAGGAATGGCGCTAAACAAGGGAGGGGGGAATGTTACCTCACCGCAACGCGGCTCTTTACCTACTTCTTTCTCATTTAATCTTCTCTCTATATTCTACCTCGTCTCTCTAACTTTCCACCACCATCGTTTAGGTGCAATAAAACAAGATAATAGACATCTGTTTTAAGGCTAGAAACGATCCCGACAGTCGAATGAATGATTTATAGGGTGCGCGAGGAGGCGCGCCGTCCCTTAGAGGTGATGGCCGCCTCGGGTAGCCTTCAAAAGAGAAAGCACCTGGACCAACAGCCGCAGGTGGTAAGTCTTATCAACACTTGTTTTGGACAGCTTTATTTCCCTTTGTTCTCCTGTCTGCTTTTTATGCCCTGGCATATGCGAGTTATTGTTATGTGGATTGTGGTCGCGGACTTCCAAGTGCGAGGTCGAAAGTCCCATGATGCGGGAAGGAAGTTACGCGTTGCTGCTGTTGCTCTCTCGCTTTCTTCCCATGCAAGCCTGAATTATGGCTATTTGTTAGAACAGTATCTCATATGTTTTGCACTCTTACCTTTTACTGACATCTTTTAGAACCATTCACATGAGGTTATAGTGCTCTCGGACGATGATGATGATCATCCTGTGAGTGGCCCCCTGGAACCTCAACTGTTGCCCAATTTTAGCGCGTACCTCGCGTGTTATTTTGCTGCAGCTCCATAACCTCCAACACCTGGCTCCAATCCTGCTCACCTGATAGCCGCGTCAATTACTTTTTACCTTATTAACTCTGCGTCAAGGTCATCTCAGAACCTCCTCAGAAAAGACAAAAGTCAGAAACACCAAATACGAATGGTCGGTCAACTGGTCAGCCGGCGCTGTCACGTGACCGAAGCCGCAATGGAAACGGATTGCCGTCACGTGCCTCAACACCTACCAATGCACAGGCTCCCATAGAACCAAAGCAAAAGAGGTCGCCATGGCAGAAGAGGTCTCAATACGCGTTGCAACGGCCTGACGACAGAGAAAGACAATACCCGACCACGACTCGAAATTCTACTTCCACAAAACAGGAAGAAAGTCCGCGACAACCATTCAGAAGTGTTGCAGAGAAGCTTGCCACTATCAAGAACGAAGTCGCTTCTATATCACGGTCAAGCGACAAGGTCCCTCTCAGCTTATTCAAGCCACTTAAAGAAGCAACGCCTCTCCGATTTAAAACCATTTCATCGATCAAGCAACCCCCCAAAAATGCAATACCTCGGAATCAAGCTCTTTCTGTTGACATACCTTCGCGTCAGAAAGCTCCAGAGAGCACTCCAAAAGCTCAAAATTCTAGCAGATTTCTGCAGCCCAGGATAGAGGTCATTGTCCCATCATCACAGGAACTCCTACAAAAATGGAGCGGCCCAGTACCCAAGGCTCAGTCTACTCTCAACCAAGAAAGACGGGCTATGTTAAAAGAGCTCAAAAAGAGTCCAACTATTGTTAAAGAACGACCTGAGGAGGCACGACGTTTATTCGGCGTTACTTTCTCGAATAACTTTGCACCAGAATCCGACGATGAACGCATGAAAATCGTGGCATCTAAGAAAGCCAAAAAGGTCTCCAGAAAGACTATTCAACTGCAAGGCGATGATTTAGCTAAATCATTCCAACACCTCGACCTTGGCAGACAAATCACAATTCATCCAGCCCAAGCCGTCCGCGAGGTACTTACGAATCGGTTTAACGAACAACTATCGGCCCCTATTACATTTGCCAATGACGTGAATGAAAGACGCTTGCCGGGCAAATTTCAATTTGTCGATCACTATGTCATCCGGGACGGTGTCAAACTTGCTCCAACATCGCGATCTGGCTGTCTTTGTGAAGATTGTCGAATTTCAACCTGCACATGTTTCACTAAAGCCATTGAGGATAGAGAGGACAAGACAACACGTATAGGTCAGAATCGAACTTATACTCGTCGTCCTGATGGCCTGGTGGTTCTTTCAGATGACTATATCGAGCAAGAACTCGATAAGGCGGCCGACCATTTCGAGATAACTGAGTGCAACGAGTTTTGTCGATGTGGCAACGATTGCCTGAACCGTGTTGTCGGAAAGGGTCGCACAGTGCCGCTTGAAATCTTCCAAACTGAAAAGTGTGGCTTTGGTGTGCGGTCGTCTCAAGATATCGTCAGAGGTCAATTTATCGACACCTATCTCGGCGAGATTCTCACCGAGGCTGAACTATGTCAACGCGAGGACGCTGGAGAGGAGGGCGAACCAAGCTACATCCACTCTCTCGACTGGTTCGACTACAACAGCGACAAAAATTATCATGTCGATGGCAAGAATTTCGGTACGCCAATGCGTTTTGTTAACCATAGCTGCAACCCGAATGCGCGGTCCTTTGTTGTGCAAATGCACAAGGATGACAAGAAGGTTTATCACCTTGCATTTTTTGCGATCAGGAGTATCCCTGCTGGCACCGAGATACGAATCGACTATTCTGGCGGTGCGGACCAGGACGAGGAGTTGAATGCTGAGCTCGCCGACGGTTTCACGCGTTGTTACTGTGGTGAGAAGAATTGTCGGAAGCGCCTGTGGAGGCCTGGCGTCAAGACAAGGCGGAGAAGAAGAAAGGTGGACTGAAAGATGGGCAATGCATGGGCATGCTTACAGTGAAGCGAAAGATTAGCTATTCCCGGAGTTGTATTGGATATAAAGGGATGAATGATTTGAGCAGCGGCGTTGAGGGTGCTGGCGGATAGAGTGCCTGGTACATACAGGAGAAATGATAGAGTCATGACATGAGAGAACGAACGCTGTCATGCAGGTGCATATAGTATGTCACAGAACGAGCAGCTTCTTGACACCTTTGGACAGTCATCGAGAGGATAAGAAGTCCGAACAATTACCACCGTACACTGTGTCTTTTAATCCTCCTTGTTTCAAAAGTAATGGATATAATGAGTATTAAAGTGCTAGTTAACACCATTCAGAAACCCTCCTGCACGTTCATCATCAACGCATTATCAATCGTCTCCTTCCTGAACCCAGGCGCCCTCCCAAGACATGCGCTATCCTCAACCATGTTCTCCAGGAACTGCTCGACATCAAACATAACCGGCGACGCTCTTCGGCCCGAAAGGTCATTGAATCCAGCCATGTATTCTGGTGGTGAATTCTGCACTCCTCCATAACCCGTGAACTCAGCCCAAGGATTATCAGCGTCCTTGAACAATGGCATCGAAGTGCTCGTGCCCGTGCTCGCGAACAACTCACCCAAATCTCGCGACATGTACGGATCCGCAAGATCACTCAATAAAGGCGGACTCGGCGTGCGCACGCCGGCCAGACTCTCAAGCGGACTGCGCGTCGTCGAACTCGCCGTCGTCATTGTTGCATCGCTGTTCCGATTCCTGCTACGGCTGTGGGTTCCAGCTTTGACGAGAGGCAACACACTCCGATCGACCTCAACAAACGAGCTCTGCCCATCCAAAAAGATTCCCTTGGTCTTCAAGTACTCCTCGACATCATGGCTGTCATACCACTCGCCCCCAAACCCAATATTCTCCAGCATCTCGTTGATAGACGCCTCACTCCTGGGCGTTTCAACCTCGATGTGCGGCTGCGGTCCGACGAACGCTTTCGCCGCACTCACCATGTTAGGAGGGTATATCGGGTTCCCCTCGTCATCGCGCCTAGGGAAATGCGTGCCTGCGCCACCGATGCGGAAAAACGGCACGTTCCAGTTTTCCAGACTCTCGCCGGCCTTGCGCTTCAGCATCTCCTGGAATCGCTGGAGCATGCGCTTGCGGTTGCTGAATGTGAAGGTGAAGCGGAATACGCGCTGGATGTAGCCTGGGTCCATGGCCGGGTTGGTCAGGTTCCGGAAGGCGCGCTCAAGACACATTCTGTGTAGGCGTCGGGCGAAGGTCGTTTCTTGGAAAGAATAGGTGTAGGAGCCGTTGTTGTATGCTGGTTTAAGGGGTCTCTCCAACTGATATTTGTCGAGTGCCTGAAGGGACTGTTTGTCGCTGGTCCCTCTAAGAGTGATGAGAGGGAGGTCGTCATCGTCGGGAAATAGTAACTCCGGGACGCTGGCGTTGAAGGACATGAGGTCGTTTAGACCATGAAGGTTCGATGTGTCGTCGGCGCCGTAGACGGCTTGCGAGAGGGCGAAGAGCGGGCTGTTGTTCGTGTTGTGCCGAATACCTTGGGTAACTTCTTCCATGTCTGCGTCTGCATCGTTCCAAACCTGGTCAAAGCTAGGCCCGCGGTTTGTATTGCGGGCAGACTTTCTGGTCGGACGGGAGGACGAAACTGTGGCTGAGGCTGGGGCTCCCTTTGCGGCGCTGCGTTTACGTCTTTCAGGTTCCGGCTCCGGCTCAGCAGAGGCATCCTTGGTAAGGTCGGCAATTTTCTCGTCCTCGTCATCCGAGTCTGAGGCTGCGATCTTGGACAGTGCGACAAAGTCCTCTGTCGCAGCCTGGAGTTGACGACCCAGGGCGTAATGTGATGTTAGGATCCCGGCGTCGACCATGTTGTCATGAAGAGTAAGGAAGGTCTTGTTCATTTGGTCGATAGTGTCGTGGAGGTTCGATACCCTTTCCTTCAAAGCCGAAATGGTGGTTTCTTTGCGGTGTCGATAGGCTCGCTGGGCCAGGCGGATCTGCGTCCGACGTCGCTCCGCTGCGGTCTCGTCATGAGTATCCAACCTGGGACGACCTCGTTGTTTCTTGCTCTCGTTTTGGTCGTTCGCATCGTCTGGAGATGCCCGCTTAGCCATCTTCCTTTCCTTCTTTGTTGGAGGGTGTTCCTGTTCTGCCGACGATGATTGATTGCTGTCGATTGATGCCTGGGCAAAGACTAGACCGCCATAAAGTTGGTTGGACGCAGAGGCCTTCCTCTTGCGACGGGGTGGTTCTGGCTCTGGGTCATGGTAAGGCTGCATCAAGGCTTGTGGGTACCGGGAGGCAGAGAGAATGTCTTCAAGACCACCGCCTGGTGGCCTTGGGAGTGCATCATTAGCGTCTGTGAGGAGCTGGTGGGGGTCGTCTAGGATAGCCTGGAGGCTGGTATAAGTCCTTTCGCCATAGTGCTTGTTTGCATAGTCTTGCATGGTGAGTGACATGGTCACTGTGAGCGTGGAAGATCGCGCCTCTGCGAGAGGTAGATTACTGATCCGTGCCTGAGCAGATGCTCGAGTAGGGCTGGGGTGCTGTGGCTCTGGGTATCTTGTGTACGGCCGTACTAAACGATTACCAGACAAACAGTTTCAAGGCGGACGGTTGGTGATTTGTTACGGCCCTTAGCGTCAGGCACATTCAGAGTGAGGTCTTTGTCACTGGACCTTTCTTTCCCTTCAAGGAGAAATAGGTGAATGATGGCTATGCAACGATGTCGAGGGACAAGAGGGATGTCTGGCCTGCGACGCCTAAGGCGAAACTTGGGAAAGCAGGACGACTCCGGCCGATCGTAGACGTCTTCTTGGGTGACTGAAGAGTGGGTTCTCACAAAAGAGGGTGTCCAACCTGGTGGGAGGGCCTTGTAATACCTATACCCCAGGGCCTCCAGAGTGCTGCTTTAACTGATCTGACAGAAAGCCTGGGTCAATTAGTCAGGCGAGGCGTACCCTAGTACATCCCGCACGTATATACAGGTAAGATCAGACCCCTTCTCAGACGGGGCGGGGAGATTCAATCACCTATCCCTCTCAGCAGCATGCGAAAAGGTCAGAGTGTAATGGAAAAGCAGGAAAGCCCGAGTCTGCTCCGTGAGCGTGATGAAGGTTGAGTCATTCGAGGACGTTGTCGCTCGATGAGGAAGTACTTGTCATCCAGTTGCATGGAGATGAGAAGTGAGACCAGGCCATGTTGGGGATGGAGTGGTCGGTGTAGAATAAATGAATAGTAATCATGGCTTCTTGCGGCCGAGGCTTCATGCGAATCCGTCTGAGCGTCCTCACGCCCTTTTGCAAGTCAAAGTCATGCAATAATCTTGTGACTGGCTGCTGACTCCTATGTACGTCCGTAAGGACCGCAGCCAAGATACCATATTTCATCACTGTGCCTCGCCCGCGAGAAAGGATGACCAAGCGAAAGAACGAGGTCAGGGTTTCATGCTGTTACAAATCTTGCTGGTTTAAAGTACTTTAGATAAGCCAGCACCTTGGTACTGGTGGTACCCCTCTTTGAAGCCCTTCTCAGGTACTATACGGAGTACGCAACACGAAGTACGTTCATGCATGGTGTGAGCATTGAGATCATGATGCCGATGCTCATGCTCGCAGCGAATGATATGGATGTACCCCTCTAGGGACGTGTCTTCATACGCAGCCTTACTGCTCGAAGCGCAGTCGCGGTCATCTCTCGTGTACAGCCTGTTCTCAACCACCCTGCTGACCACAGTCCCCGCCGACATTGTGTTACAAGAATTCTGGCAGGAACGTGGCTTAGTATCATGCTTCATGCGCCGAGTAATGGAAGAGGCAGGACGACAAAATGACAACCAGCATCTCTATTGGATTTTCCCGTACACAATGTACAGACATCTAGCAGCTCAGGGACCAAGAACAGTCTCCCTCGCATGCAACCTATATTAATAAAGTATATAAACCCAGCCCGACCAATCCAGCCTTGCCATGTCCAGCCCTTGAAAGAATTTCCCATCCCGAATCGAATATCCAACTCTTATACATGTACACATATCTTCATGAAACTCGTCCCTTGAAACGCTGTCGCAGGATTCCTCCGCTCGGAACGCTTTGATGATGACCTCCCAGAGCAGGTTGATGCCAGTGCATATTGAAGCCTCGCTCTCTTTCGCAGCATAATTCGTGGGGACGCTTAGGACCTTTCCATGATTTCGAAGATTCCGTCCAAGATGACCGGAGACTGCATGTGGTCGTGCACAAGTTCCATTGGAGAAGGTGGCATTGACTGAGCGAGCGGACGGGGTTCGAGAAGACCCAGCCCGATCATCTCCACTGGATCAGCATATCTCTCCTCCTCGAGGGCAACGTCGATGGCTGAAGGTTGTCGGCGTAAATAAGAGTGAGGGCTCGATGTGGCCGATGAGGGACCAAACGTAGTATTCAAATCGAGTGCCGCCATGCGTGCCCCTTGTCCGAAGCTACTGAAGCTTGAACTGGGTGATGACTTGACGGAAGAAGAAGATGAGCTCATTTTGCCTGCAGAGCGTTTCGGTGATCGATGGAGTAGGTTGTGACTGAAGATTGTCTGGAGAGACAAACGGACTCGCGAAGAGGTAGAGGACTGGTTCAGAAAGCTCCTAGGTACAACAGATTTAATGGATGTTTCGTGGTTGATAGCCTCGAAGTGGTGGACTAACTGTGCAACAGCCATGTCCTCTTGAGGGAAGAACAAGAGGTCTTTAATGATAGATAAAAAGGCGCTAAATAGTAGTCGTATAAAAGGTCTTGGAAACGGTCGACGTTGTCCAGCAGGTCGTCGGTGCGTAACGTGGAGTGATAAGAGAATGTGGTCAGTGAGCAATGAGTCTAACGAGTGACGAGTGTCCTTCCGATATGTTGCCTGGGAAGATCAGAGAAGATGTACAGTATAGAAGAGAAGAAAAAGAGGTCAATGCCCTGAAAGGAGGAAGCTGAGAGGTCAGTGAGACATTCTTTGCTAAAGGGTCAGTGTCAAATTGTCAACCTGTCGCCGGGAAGCATCAATGTATATCCCCCCCCGGAAGCCACTTTTTTTCTCGCATGGACCACCTGATAATGAACCCAAAGCCCTGGACCATACACTGAAGAGACAGTAGATGTCACCAGACGATCAGAAACCACGTAAAAGGATGCCCCATGTCAAACAGTCAAACACGGCTCCCTGGAAGTCAAAGGATCAGCAGCAAGACAGAATCTCCGAGTTCCAAAACGCGAACAAGGTGTTGACGCGATCAACGGGCCCCTGGTCTGACCGTCCGGGCTTCCCGTCGATATTCCCTGCGGCCCAGGAACGGTGGGACACAGACCGGGCGTTGTTGCAGCAATATGACTGGTGCCCAATGCTTTTTGCGGCACCCACGGACCCTAGATCGTGGCATCGCTTCGAGACTTCTGGAGCCCAGGGGGATCTGCGTTATACCTATTTCGTTTCTTATCGACGCGAAGCCCGGTTGAAGGTTGAAACAGACGCGAGATGCCCCTCCTTTGAAAGCAGTCCAACGATATCTTTAACCTCATCAAATTGTTCGAGACGCGTCTCAGTACGAGAAAAGGCTCAATCCACAAATCAACATGCGACATTTGCGTGTCACGGGTGTCCCGATCCCTGTAAAATCTTCCGCCTCGACGAGTTCAGCTGGAAATAAAAGCCGTGGCTGAATTTGCTTTGTGCCACACAAGGGGACAGACGAGGCTCGTCCTGTCAGACGCGTGCTTCATCCATTGCCTTTGAAACCAGAGTAGAGAACGAGATCTCGGATAAGACACACTGAGAATATTTTCTGCAATCATTCAACCCTGAAGCGAGACTTGAGATCCACTGCTGCGTTGATAGACGATAACGTGCGGTATCAAGGACAATGACATCTTGATCGCCTTTGATTCGAAGGCAAGAGGAGGTCACTCGCAAGAATGAATCTGGAATTCGAAGGGCAAATACAATGATCATTCACATTTCGTGAAGTAGTAACACCATATTCATGCTAGAACCTCACCTGAGCCACCATCATTTTCCACCATAATCAGGTAGTTCCAACGTAGTCTCATAAACGCCTTCGCTATGTTCAAGCTTCTGCGGGTATCGCTCTCTCAATTATTCACACAGAAAGGTACAGTCGATCATATCGGTCATTAATCCTTCATCAAGTTCTCAATCGCGATCCATTCGCGGTCTTTTCATCGTAAAACTCTTCCTCAAACTGGCACCCCAGGCTGAGGCGTCAAAATCTTCCATAACACCTTGTCCTCCCGCCCCACTAGCAGTGCTTCCTTGACGGCTGTGGCCCAATGTTGGCGTCGTTGGCGATGACCTATTCGCGCCATGATATGAGGTGTCCACTGAACCTAGCCTTGTCCTCATGATCGGACTTGCTGTTGGTGATTGATCGAAACTGAGCCTTCCTGCGTCGAGAGAAGGTCTGCCTTGTAACGAGGTATTGATTGGTGGCAAGTTCGATGATGCCTTCCTCGACAAATATGACGGTGTAGACGAGGTGAAGTCTCGTGGCTCGGTGCTGTTGCTGCTTTCGATATTATCGTCGGGGTTCTCAATAAAGATCTCGGGGACGGTCATCGCAGGTGGTGCCCCGAGGCGTGAATCGCGCCGCATGTTGATGGCTTTCCTGAATTTCCGTGACCAATAAATGGTGTCGAAAAAGCCAACAACAGTATTGCGACGTATTGTTTCCTGCACTCTTTGCAGACGTGCTCGTCGTCGAAGGAATTCTTCCAGCCGCAGACTTCGTGAATCCGTAATCACATTGTAATGTGTCAAGAGGAAGAGGCAGGCTGTAAAAGGGATGCCGCGGTCAGGATCGGCTGTGAGCAAAGCTTCTTCATAGAACACCCTCATTCGTTCCCGCCGTCGGCGAATTTCAGCCACTGGTATCTGGCTAACTCGTTCTGCCAGTTTGTCAAGGTCAATTCCGTCGACAATTCTTGCATTTGTTGGTACAGGATCACCCGGTTGTACGGCACAATCCTCTTTGATACGTTGTACAGAAAAGTCACCATCGTAAATCCGCATCTGAAAGACGCCGGAAAGTTCCTGTTTGATGTCAGTGACGATGACTCCTTTAAATCGATTTCAAACTTACGCCTAGTAGTCGCGGGAACTGTTCCTTTGAAATGAATCCGTCACCGTTCGGATCAAAATCAGCCCAGGCTTGCTTGAAGCGCCGAATCTCGTCTCTGCTCACAATGGACATACCACTGCTTTGTTGGTACACATATGAGAAGCTCTCAAAAATCAAGGATACAAACAGTGACACGAACAGGTACATGCTGATGATGTTCCAAGAGATGAAAAGACCCCGAGCCCAAGCTGAGCTGCCGCAATCACTTTGGAAGAAACTATCTTCGCGAACGCAGAAGGGTGGCTCGATGGTAGCATAATCTTCCATGATCTGATTCCAGCCTTCTCCAATACTTGTCCTGAAAAGCAGAATGAGAGCCTTCGGAACAGTGCGAAAGTTGATGTTGTTGTTCTCGTTTTCGCCGAATCGTGTCAAGGCGAAGGCCTGAGTGAAAGCGATTGCATAGACCAAGAACAGCACGAACCAGGTTGCTAAAAGGTTGGCAATCAATGGCAAGGATGCTGCAGCTGTCTTGAATAGTTGGTCAAGCTGATTGTTCCGTGGAATAAGAAGAAACGTGAGAGACACAAGGAAGAGCTTATGTAGCTGTTCGAAGCCGGTGCTGTTAATCTCGGCGAACCTCATCACAGACGTTACCAGAATGCCAGCCAGCGCGAACATCGAATAGACATCCCAGGAGCTGCGGCGGAAGCGGTTCCAAGACAGCCCTATGATCCTGATCGCAATGTTGACGATAAGGACGATGGTGAATCCTAGGAAAATGCACTCCCGCAAAGTGTCCCACCAAGCTGGTTCGGGATAATAGTCGACGGTCAGAACGATCAAGTGAAGGACCAATATCGTCGTGATAAATCGTTGCCATTTGCCTCGTTTCTTGATTGACAGATCATAGCACAACTTCCTAGCGCGGGTGGACCTTTCACCGAGGGATCGTTTCGATGGTGTAATCTGCCGTAGAAGCTTTCGAAGTTCCAGCCAGGAGCGCTGCTCAGCAGTAAGGAATGCGACTCCAGTCTGCTCTGTGTAGTTGCGCATAAAGACAGAGATGAATAAGGTCAGCACGAAAACCGCTCCCAAAAGGTTGAACACGATAAAGTAGACAGCGTTGCCTTGTGACGCAAAGGGTTGAGGTTGCAACCCTTTCCCCGTGATGCTTGTACCAGACCACATGACATTGATCCATCCTTCCTGAGAGACAATTTGGAAGAGGATGAACAAGGCGCTACCAAAATCATCGAAAGAGTACCATGAATTGGCGACCTGTCTCGGAGCCAGTACAGGCCAGTTGAATGGAGTGGAGTTGAACTCTCCAACACAGTTGTTGAGAACGCTGTATGCAAAATTGCCGTCGTTGCAAGCCTGCATTTGACCGTTAAATAGGTTGACACCAAGAATGGCAAATGGAATCAGCAAGCTCAATGACACAAACGCTGCAGCGAGGAGTTTGTATCCGCCAATGATAATGACCGAATAAAATGTGTCCCGTGCAGTGTCGCTGATATTGAGCAGCCGTAAAGCTCTCAGCGCTTTGAAGGCACCCACGGCTCGGGAAACACCGTCATCGCGATACATGGTCGTGATGACGTTGATCCAGAGTGTGGTGAGTACGATAGCGTCAATGAAGCCCCAGACGCTTCGGAAGTATGCATGGGGTGTGAAAAAGAATCCATCGGCAATTGCTTTGATGGCTGCTTCCGCCGTGAAAAGTGCTGCAAACCCCAAGTCGGTCCATACGAACCAGTTTTGAATAGTCGGCTTGTGGCTCAGATAATAATCCCGTTGGTACAGAGGAGTGGTGATGCAGGCCAGGATAACCATGGCGACAATGGCAGCATATGTGAATGCAGAGAAGGCGTACCAGGCTGGTCGGTAGGGCGAAACTCCCTCAACTCGTTCTGCTCCTCGTCCAGGACCCACAAGATATTGACAGAGTCTTCTTAGCGGATTTGTGGGTTTGAAGATGAAGAGAGATACGTTGTAGTTGGGGTGTTTTTGCAGATATTGTCGCTGTGCACGACGTCGATTCTCAGTAGTCATGACGACTCTTTTCGCGGCGGCCCGCGGGTCGAATTCTTCGTTCGCACGAGTGAAAGCGGAATTTGAGTAGAACGGATTTGGTTCTCTGTGCTTGTTGAGACCTACAAGCTTTCCCCAATACTCTGAAAAGAAACCTGGCTCAACTGCGACCCCCTCAGGCATCTGCACAGATACTGGGCGCTTACTGAGCCCTTCCTGTTGATCGTCAAGGAAGTCTTTGACGACAGCTTCTTTTAAAAGCTGTTCGACGGCTGCGGAGCCGTACTCAAGGGCATCTCTGTGCCTGAGTGAATCTCGGCCCATCTTGAACACTGCCGCCAGTGATAGGTTACCAGTGGAAGAGCCACTGACTTCTTTTTGCTTCAGAAAAGCCTTGACCTGGTGCAAACGTTTCTCATCCTCGGAAACATCGAAACTCTCTTGGATGACAGCAATAAACATGTTCAGGACAATCATGTTCGAGATGATGAACCACAGGATGAAGAACATCGCACTCAACCAAGCTGTGTCCCAGATCAAATTGAACTGGGTGGCGTTGTACATGAGTGTTGTCCAATTTTCGCTCGAAAAGATCTGATACATCCCAAGAAAGGAGTTCCAAATGTCGAAGAAGGTGACATACACTGTCTCCCCGGCTGCATCTGCTGAAGGGGTTTCACCTCTGAGGAGTTGTGAGGCGAGAATGGCGGCCAGGAACGTGAATAGGAACACAAACAGGATCAAGTTAAGTAAACCAACAATGTTTCCAAACACGAGCATGACCAGTTCTCGGGTAACCCTGACAGCCAATACGACTCGATAAACACGAGCGATCTGAAAAGCCGAAAGCCACGCATATGGTTGACCCGAGTTGCGAATTGCCGGTACTTGCATGACCGAAGTGATGATGGCCAGAAAGAGATCGAAACAATTCCGTTTACCACGAAAGAAATTTCTCCAGTCACAGAGGAAGCGTAAGATGATTTCCAGCAGCAATAGGAGTGTGACTATAGTTTCGGAATCCATGATGAACTTCTCGCGAAAGTTGCTCATGTATGCCTCACGCATGCTCTGAACAACCAGATCGTAGACAATGATGAGAATCCAGAGATAATGCGTTTTGTCGAAGAGCTTCTTGAGCTGGCTAGTTTTCGTCATGGATTCGTCGTCCAGATTCGGAGGGTCGATTTGCTCTCCAGTAAATGCGCTCTTTCTGCTCTCCTCACGAATAATCTGGAACGAGGATGTGATGACAGCGACCAACAAGTTGACCAGCCAAAGACTAAGGACCACAATTCCAGCAGCGAAGAAAAGGGCTGCGGCAAGGTAGTCTGTATCTGTGAGATAGTACAGCAGATCGGAAAACGTGTTAGAACTGATAATCACAAAGACAAGTTCCAGCGATTGCACGATGTTGTCGAAACTGACCGTGCCGTTGTAGGGGCCTTCTGAACCTTCAACACAAAGCGATCCCTGTGGGCAGTAATATCCCTTCGCGCTTCCTGTGCCATTTCGACCGTCAGGTTTGAGCCACGGCATGGGCAATCCAGTCGCCACATTCAGGTAGCCGCCACAGAATTGGATATTTTCAGGCGCGATATTGAGCGAGTAATTTTGGCCAGAGCCATCGTCACCAACCCAAACACAAGTCCGGCGCAGACTGGACTTGAAGCTCTGTACGCCGACGATACCAAAGATGAGCCAGAAAAAGCCTATAAGGAATGCCACATGCACCAGAAGCGGCGCTGCCTTCTTCAGACTTCTCAGAATGATTGACGTGCCAGCCGTTAAGCCTAGCAATCGCAATATCCGCAGACAGCTCAGCATGTTGAAAACATATACGTGCTTGTTGTTCTCAACCGAGGTCATCTGCATGGCAAAGGAAATCCAATAGGCCACGACGGCGACAAAGTCGAGTCGATTGAAAGAGTGTCTGAGAAAAGCACGATGAGCAAGGCGAATCCTCTGCTGCTGTTTACTGTGGCCCGGACCGTCAATTTCTGGCATGCCGGTGAATGTGCGGACGATCGAGGGCTGGTTAGGTACATCGTTGTTCGCTGGTAACTTGTCTCGTACTTGCTGGCCTGCAAATAAGGTGTGCGCTTTTTGCAGGACGCCTTTTCTAAAGCCTACATCTCGATTGATCGTACTCATTTGACGAGGGTTGGAGATGAAGCCCGATACAATGGTGCGAGCAACCAACTCCAATGTGTAGATCACAAATAGACCGAATATCGCATAGTCGAACCCGCTCCCCCATTGTCTGTCTGTCGATTGAAGATAAACGGCGTCAGAGGCCGCATTGACTGCAAGAAGTACTGTTTGTGCGATGATTAGGATTAGAATACATGGTTCTGTCAAAGGATGGATAAGGATCTCGCAAAGCCACTTTCGGAGTCTGTTCTCGGGTCCAAAGATGCCCCACGTCTTTCCGAGAAGCGGATTTGGATGTCGAACAGGCGCGGACATAACAGATGTGAAGGGCGCAGGTGAAGTGTCAACGATCGATGGAACTTTCTCCAAAGGTGGTGGAGCGTAGGGCGTTTCTGCTTCGGCTGGTATGTCTGGTATGCTCGGTACGGCGGGTGCAGATGTGCTTGGCCGCCTGTGTTCACGTACAGATGACTTGCGTCGAATGCTCTGCTCGACCATGTCGGAGTCATTACTGAGGTTGACCACACGTTGCGAGATCTCTCGCAGAATGGAGTTCGCCCTAGCCATTGGAGATGGAGATATAGAAGGCGACCTTGATCTGGATCGCTCGCCAGACTCTGTTCGTCCGGGGCTTAAACGACTTATGCCACTACCCGAACTCGATTTGCGGCGGTGTAGTCCAGCACCAGTGTCAAGCACATGCAGATCGTCGCCCAGACGTGATCCGCGTCCACGGACGAGGGATGGCGACTCGCCATCAGTCCAATGCACGCTGGATCTCCTTCCTTGTCTATCGTGCCTTTGACCTCTGGATATGGAGCTGGACGTGTTGAGTGAGGAGGCAACCCGGGGGCCGTGGGTCAAGGGAGTCGTGTCTGAATCAGGAGGTGAGAAGAGACTCTCAACCTCAGCAGATTCTCCATCGGCGGCAGTTGTCACGATGGTAGGCCGTCTCACGCCGACACTAGGAGGTGTGGCCGGTAGATTGAGATCCAAACCCACCGTCGCTGTCGCGAACCCTTCGGCATCCTCCACGGGAGAGTCGCCTCCGCTGCCTCCCCTCATAGAAAGCCCGCCAGAACGATAGGCACTTCCTCCTCTTGTGGGCGAGTCTTCTTGTAGACGCGAGTAGTTGATGCTCTGGCGGCCTGGCAGTATTGACCGAGTGCGGCTATGGCGAGGATTGTGACCGAGTCCTCTGCTTGCCGAGGGACCTGGAACACCGGTCGCACTGTCTGGAGGTCTGGAAAGGTCTTGGAGAGGTATCGTCGCATGTTGACCAACCGACTTTGGCGGCGTTCGGTCGCGCGAAGACATGATCGATGACAGCGATCAATGCTGCTGAAAAGCCGTGAACGTGCTATGTGGCGACGGGATAAGACATCTCGAGAGTCTGGCCAGCCAGTTCTTCCGAAGTCGTTCTACCAGGACTAGATCTCGACCGATGGAAATAGCGGATGGAGGATGAGTGAGCGCAATCGTGATTATTGTGGAGGATATGTTACAACGTGCGAAAGAAGCGCTAAGGCAGGGAATGTACTCGAGAAGGGTGAAAGAAGCGAGCGAAGTATTATGATCTGGTCATCAAACAGGTGAAAAACAACTGGTCTGCTAAGAGACACATCTGGAAGCAAAAAGCTGAAGTTGTTAACTTCACTGTGATAAAACACACGTGCAGTTTGGGGACGTTCTGACGCGCGGCGAGTCGGCGTAGCGGGAGCCCTGGAGATGCCACCGCAGGCAGGCCTGGGGCCTGACTTAGTGCAGCGTCGTAGGTGAGGCAGACTTCGACCAATCCCAGTTCACCAGTTTGTTAGACCCGGTTGATTCTGGCCCCCGCCGCCCTGAGACAGAAGCCTATTTTCAGGGGAACGGCTAAGGAATTTTATCCTGACACATCTCAGACACATCCTTCTAGACCTCAGCTTGCTGTAAGCCAGCAAAAGAACGCGTCAGTCAGCGAACAGTATGTCACTTATGAAAATTCCATACCTCTACTTGCTGCTTATGCTTCGTCAACTTCTCCAAGTTTAGGCTGTTATATTCGACATTCCAGAACCTCTCGAGGGGCGCGAAATGTCAATTGCGCAAGAGAAATCACTTCTGAACATGATTCAAACATCACCACTAGCCTGGTGGCAGTAGCCAGGGCGGTGCATTGTAACTAATTCGTAGCCGGCTATGGACTATCATGGACCTCAAGGCATCGCCAATGGTGGCTTGCGACAGTACTTCATTTTGTTGTCTCAATGCCATGCTACCCTTGCTGTCCTTAGAAGTCGCTTCACCTGCTCTGGCACCATTTCTCTTGTCCTTAACCCGACTTTTCGGAGTGCTTCAAAACCTCGACTTCTGCGCAGGGCATCCTCCCACATGGGCTCCTGTACGCACTCGATTTCCGTTTTCTCCTCGAGTGGACTCAAAACGAGCGGAACTTCCATGACTTCTTCCTGCTTACCCTTCCAGCTGTCGTTCCCAATGATACGGGTCAGGGGAGCTAAGGCATCATCCCATGTCCCGGACCTAAGATGGCAGCGGTCGAATTGGAATTCGTGCAGGACTTTGCGATGCGACATGATGAAACCGGATGCCTGGCTTGCATCTAGACTCGCATTGCTTAGAAACATAGTCTTCAGATGTCGAAATTTGAGAGGGCGAAAAGAGGACTTTGTGCTCGAGTTGGGGCAGGAATTGGAAGAGAGCAACGAGGTCGGACGCGACGTGCAAGGTTCCATATGAAGGGCAATCGGGCAAGGCCCCTGGCTGCCAATCCAGTGGAACCTGAGATCTTCGAGAGACCGCAAAGCCTGTAAGTAGCCGTGGAGGATCTTGAGGTGATCTGATGGCTGGTCTCGACCATACTCGAAGCTGTCCATCTCGATATCGAGCTTCTTGATACGCAACCAAAGTCGAGAAGATGCCGGCGTCGAGCCGATGGTGAGGTGTGGGCGCAAGTGAAGGATCGCTGCTGGATGTATGGGCGCCAGTGTCAACGCTTCCAGGTAAGGAGGGTTCGCCGTTTCAATTGCAAGGCGCAACGATATCAGCGCATAGTCAACAACATTCCTTCGGTATCTCTGTCCTGCTGGTTGATCTGGGCAGGAAATCTGCAAACTTCTCAGTTTGGGAAGGGCGCAAAATGCTCGAAAGAAGGAATCCACATCAGTCGCAGCGTGGAACAATGGAGGATATTGTTTGACCAGTAAGTCATTCATTTCTGGCGACCCATACTTGGAAGATGTCGAGCTTGACGTGGCTGAGCTCCCAGACGACGTTGGCCTTGACGTGTTGATGTGTGGTTCGTACAAGAAGGTCACTTCATTCAAAGTACCTGGAACAAGTAACGGCGGAAGAAAGGTCCGAGAATGGTGCGGCATCACAAAGGACAAGGCCTGTACATGGTGTCCAATTCGTTCCAATGCAGACATGCGCGATCGGCGTGAGAATGTGTTGGTGGTGAAATGGACCTCGAGCCGTCTGAACAGAATTGGCGCGGCATCTGCCGCGAATTCCTTGCAAGCAAGGCGTAGACATCGAAGGTCATCCTTGGGGAGGAAGGACATGAAACACTCGCGTGTGAGATCGGTTTGCCAGAATCTGGCAAAGGCGACCGAACACATTGCTGACCAGGGACATAGTTTCGTGCTCTTTACTTTGTGCCGATGTGGCTGGCCGTGTCCAATGCTGGACCGAAGAACAACACTAAGACAACCAGTAAATCGACGAAGAGTGGCGATGGTTTGGCAAGAAGAGAACAGTTAAAAAGACACAACTATCTCATCATGGACGTTGCACTGTCGTATGATGCATTTGCTGAGGGTAATAGCAAGATCTGAGTACTTGGTTATGGCCTGAAAGGGAATTATGGCACACCAGGCAGGAAGTTCGGGGAAATTGGGAAGAATGTCAGCTCGAAATGGAAGGGTGGTGGGAGGCAGAGGATATAGTGAGTCATATTGCATCTCATTTGCACGAAGACCGGCGAAAACAGATGGCAGGGAGGGTTGTGCATCAGTTTCTGGTGCTATATCACGAAGACTGCGCGGTCGTGAAGGCGCGAAAAGAGTAAGAAACGTGATCATAGGCGGGTGGCGGTGCTAGAATGGCAAGCCTGAGGCTCGAGGTGCATATGCTGCACCTCGTGCATGGTGCTAGACAGATAACGTGGACGATACGCGCCAAGTTGCTGGGATGAAGTGCTGCAGAAGCGCGGTTTGACGCGAAGGGTTGTTATAAATCTCAAAACACTCACAACATATGTATAATGGAGGTTTGACGCGAACAATTGCTGAGGTCGGCATCATTGTTGAACACTGCGCGATAGTCCCGGTCATCCAGACACTCCCAGATGCGGTTCGCGCTGCTTGTTGGAGGATTCACCGGAGTCGCGAAAACACGCTCTTGGGGATCTGGGACGCGGGGAAAAGGCGATCAGGATGTGATATCCGAACCTGTACCGGTACCAGTTCTATACTAAAAGTACAAATGTCTGGTATAGGAGCAGTTGTGACATGAAGGGATGATGTCGATGTTGACGTCGAGATCGGTATCTTATCGGCGTCCTCTTCATCTTCAAAGGAGTCTCCGACGTAAAGACGATATCGAATGAAGCGAATGGATGAGGATGACGACGATGAAGGCACAGGAAGGAAGCATGAAAAGAAAGCACATGCGAGATTACGTGAAGATTGTCCACGTTGCTCGAAGACTATACCCAATCTGGATACGGCTTAGATCCAAATTGAGACTAGGTTGTTGAAGTTTCAGTGGCAATCTACAGAGTTGATTTGGTGGAAAGGGCCGAATGATGAAGAAAAAGTGACATCGTGACCTTTCCACCGGCGTCTCCCAATGACATCAATGCTTCTCCTGGTTTCGCTCGGCCTCGGAGTCGCCTGTGCACGACGTAAATTCTCGCATGGGAAAAGTTTGACCAGAACAAGGTAGGTGGGCACGCGAGCCCATTTCCCACTCACTAAGCACTCATTCAGCCACCCCCAGTCAATAGCAGTCCTTCATTTAATACTACCTCATCCGCAGTGTCGTTCAATGTTTCCTCTTGATCATGACCTTCTTCTTGACCTTTTGTACATTTTAGACAATCGCACAAATTAGCCATTCTTCCATCTTGCGTTTTGCTCTTATCAAGCCTAGAAAATACATCCCAACACTCGAATTGTTGGCGAGCACGAGACCACTTACCAGCTTCGCCAATTGAAGGCCGACGTCTACCAAGATGATCTCGTCATACCTCAACCCCATCCCTACTCTACCCAAACCTCTGGGACCGCATAAAGTTGGCACGACAGAATGGGAGATTCCTTCTTCAGAAATCCCTTCTTCAGCGCCTGTACCTGACTCTAAGATCTCAACAATCAAGTTCCGCATATACTACCCTACGACCGACGATGCCTCCTCCAAGGTGTCAGTACCGTGGCTACCGCAGCCGCAAGGAACATGGCAAAAGGCATACGCCGCATTTTTAGGATTCAAGCCTCGAGTCCAATCTATTCTATCTGCCCTACCTTTCACCCTCAACTATACAAACATCCCTGCTGTGGCAGACGCTCCCTTATTACCAAGAGAAAAATCATCTACATACCCAGTGGCCATATTTTCCCATGGCCTAGGAGGCAATTATAATACCTACAGCTCAGTATGCACATCGCTAGCAAGTTTTGGCATTGTGTGCGTGGCTCCCGAGCATAGAGACGGCAGCGCCCCAGTCTCCCTTATCCGCTCATCAGACGGCTCAATTGTTGAAACAATACCTTACCAGAAGCACGCGCACACGCCGACCACTGAAGTCCTCAATTCACGAAATGCCCAGCTGCGCATCCGACTGTGGGAACTCGACCAGCTTTTCTCAGTGCTTTCAAGCCTGAACGAGGGAAAAAACTTCTCCAACTACGCTTATCCGGAGAATAAAGCCCCTGAAAATCCCTCTTTCAAGGGCACCCTTGACTTCCAGCCAGGGCATGTCACATGGGTCGGCCACTCTTTTGGAGCCGCAACCATCGCCCAGTTCGTCAAATCAGTCTACTACCACGAGTCCATGCCCTCACTGAAAGGCACGCCGTATGAAAATGACCTCGACTGGCGACCAATCTACAAAGCATCCAGCAACAGCGAGTTGGTCAAACAAATCACACCGGAGTCGCCGATCGGCTTTCTCGATCTTTGGACGATGCCCCTACGCTCCGACCTGACAAAGTGGCTCTGGGAGCGGCCTCTGCCATGTTACGACCGCAAAGTGGCCCCAGAGAGCGACCACGCCACGCCCAATGTGGTTGCAGTCGTAACGGCAGAATTTTACAAGTACACCGAACTGCTTAACCGAATGAAAGCAGCGCTGTCAGCCAAGCCCGCCGAGATTGCCGTTTTGCTTGACCGCCGAAACCCACCCAAAGAGCCAAAGTTTGATGCCGCAACCATCCTGACACCGCCCAACAAAGCCGCTGCGCTCGAGCCCGAACTCGACGATGAGCTAGACTTGACTGCCAACGAAGATGTTGGTGACAACGCAACCTCATCAACGTCCACATCTTCCGTGCAAAGCCGTGCTTCTTCCCCGAGTCCCAGCGAGACCTCCAGCGTAAGTTCTGCGGCAAGCTCAAATCAGATGGAAAGCAGCGCATCCTTGTCAACTACTTCGTTTGCACCAGCCATCGAGAGTACTTTGAAGAGCCCCACAGAACCGAAACTCTTCCTCATTCCAGAGAGCGCGCACCTCTCGCAATCCGACTTCGGCGTTCTCTTCCCACGATTGACGAGATATCTGATGAACGCGCAAGAACCCATTGAGACTATTCATTTGAATGTCCGCGCGATTCTGGCCGCCATGAGAGGCATGGGCCTGGTAATCGAGGCTTATACAAAGGGCGAAGACAGTGAGGCCGAGATCGACGAGATTCTCACCGATCGGTGCCCAGAGAAGAGATTTGTTCCTCAATCACTCGTTGAGTGAATCTAAACACATAGAACTTGCAAATGATACCCCCGGTCAGCTGCAAGATGACTGGAATCACGAAAGGCGAATGTATGGCGTTTTCACATATTGGCGAAAGGTTTTATTTTCGACTGTGTCATCATGATGGCGGAAATGAAGGGAAGGAAGATATGTGCAGCATACTGCGTCTGGTTGCATCTGCATAGCGAAACATAGCATAGCGCTTTTGTATAAATGACTTACGGACAATTGACGAGATTTGACAGTACGATATTCGTTCGAATTCTTTGATTCTCGCTATGCTATCATATTTGTAGTCTAGACCTATCGCAGAATGAGCAAATGAAACCTGTATCGTGCGTGCACTTTGGCCTTTTGTGGCTTCTGGGAGAAAGCAAGCTTCGTTTGTCTTTCATTCGTTCACTTCGTCATTGAGGTGGGAAGAAGCTCGGTGCTTTCGCGTCTCCAACCCATCTCACCAGCCACGCTCTCCTGCCAGCATCTTTGCAACTCCCAGCTCCACTTCTGATCGGAACCAACACGACCTTCTAGTTGTCGCCTCGCTGACCCAAACCCTCCACCAGATGAGCCGTCGCCATTTCGCAGAATGTGACGACGAGCCCTGTTGGTTTGATGTTTCGTTTACAAGTCAGGATCTTCCTCATCTGGCAGAGGCATGGCTGCAGCCTCTGTCATCTCCTTCTGGTACTGGTCGAGAAGCTGCTGGTTGATCTGGACCTCGGGTGGTGCGAGAGCTGGAGCAGCGACGAATTCAAGTTGAGGGTTGCCGACCAATTTGCGGGCGAGCCACAGGAAAGGCTTCTCGAAGTTGTAGTTGGACTTGGCAGAGATGTCGTAATATTGAAGGTTCTTCTTGCGGTGGAATGTGATGGTCTTGGCCTTGACCTTGCGCTCCTTCACGTCGACCTTGTTTCCGCAGAGGACAATGGGGATGTTTTCGCAGACTCGGACAAGGTCACCTGGAGAAAGAGCGGTCAATATCTGCAGGCGCTACATTGGACGGGACGCGACTTACGATGCCAGTTGGGGACGTTCTTGTAGGTGATTCTGGAGGTGACATCGAACATGATGATACCACATTGGCCGTTGATGTAGTATCCGTCTCTCAAACCACCGAACTTCTCTTGACCAGCAGTATCCCAGACATCGAACTGAATTTGACCCAGGTTCTGAAATAGTATTAGAAACGAATCCTCGTAGATCTAGAAGAGCGACGTACGGTTGAGAAGCCTAGAGGGTGAACTTCGACACCAAGAGTGGCAATGTACTTCTTTTCGAATTCACCTGTCAGATGGCGCTTGACGAAGGTAGTCTATCAACAGGTATCAATTAGTATCTTGTATACGACCAGGCCACGATCTCTCGCGGGATGCGACCCAACGCGGATTGTCAGAAGGAATTCGTCCATACCTTTCCTGTACCACCGTCACCAACCAAGACGAGCTTGAAGGTTGGTACGTTTGAAGCAGCTTCCGCCATGTTGTTTGTTGCTGATTGGGAAAAGGAGGGAGGTGTTTTGGAGAAGAATCGATCTGACTGACGCAACGAGGATGATACCACAGTCTGATAGTACTGTGGACTATGCGCAAAGGAGATGTTAAAGGGAACAGTCTTGTTCTGAATGTGATTGCAAGGAAGTGGTGCAGCGCAGTTGAAAGGCGGAAAGATTGTTTTCAGAGAGGCAGTCGGGCATATGCCAAGCCCTGCTTTTGCTGGGGCTTCACTGGGATTAAACTGGCAAACGGCGTCTTAGATCACGTGGGCCGCGCAGGCAACTGCTCGCTTCCTACACTTTTGCACAACGTACTACAAGTATGGGGAAGGCTTCATATCAGGTGGTCATCATAATCGTACAATTTTCTACACATACTCGTCTCATCACCCTTTCTTACGTCCGTCCCCAGTAGCAGCCTCTTTCCGCTGAAGTTCATACGTCGATACTGCCTCTTCATGAGTCTTCGATCCATTTTGCCCCAGAGTTTAAGTGTATTCGGTGGGATGGACGGCTCGTAGTGATTGGCTTCGCCGCAGGAGAGATTGAAAAAATTGCCACAAACCGAATACTGATCAAGAATGTGTCCATCAGTGGCCTTTTTTGGGGCGAGTATGCTAATCAGGACCCTGATGCTGTGACGCAGGTATGGGATGTACTGCTCAAAGTGATTGACAGAGGAGGGATCAAGAGTATCGCATATACGGAACGGACTTTCTCTGGGCTGGAGTCGGTGACAGATGCACTGAAACTGCTGAGTACAGGCACGGCATGGGGGAAAATCGTGGTGGAATTGTCTGGGGACGAAAAGAGCAGGCTGTGAAACAATCAGACTCGGACAAGCATACATCAGGACACTTCCCCACGGTTGCTCTCGTGCATGCACAGCCGCTGAGGTCAAAGTTCCGACAATATAGCTTAGTCATAAACTCCACTGGTGCGACCAGCTGCAGATCAAGCCGGGGTTGCCTTTGCTATATCAGACAGCTTTCAGTGCATCCTCATGCATCTCAACCGTGCCTTTATCTTCATGGTGGTCGACGATGGTAAGCTCTGTCTGATTGACCTCGATCTCTTCCTGGTAAACGGCCACTTCATCTGCATCACCAAAGAGGGCAGCAATTTCTTCTAAAGGTTTTCCCCTTGTGTCGGGATAGTATATCCATACAACACAGCCACCAATAAAGGTCAGGATGATGAAAACGAGGTAGTATTTCCAGCCAATATTTCTGGATGACAGTTAGCTGTGCGCAAACCCCCAGCCATAAACCAATGATGCTGTTGAACTTACGCAAATGCTGTTGGTGCAACCTGTGTATATACGACGTTGCTCAACGCCAAGATCGACATAGCTGCACAGTAGCCCTTGGATCGAATGTGAGTCGGGAACAGCTCCCCCAAATATGCCCATTCAGGTCCTGCAACGCGAATGATCAGTGAAAGGCAAATGTCGAAGAACGAGGAGCGTTACCGTTTAGACAAGCAGTGTCAAAGATTTGGAAGACGAACAACATTGCCACTGCAGCACGCAACGCATTCTCGTTTGTCGAAGGCACAAAACTCGCCACGAGCGCCGCCTCGACAATCAATGTACTCATAGTGCCCCATAGACCCACTGCAGTCATTTTGTTGCGCGGGAAGCGGTCTATGAGAGGCATTGCGATGACACTGATGCCTAATGTAAAGGTCAACCAGGCTGAAGGATATAGAAGCTGCTTGGTCACTCCGTAGCCCAGATCCTTGTAGAGGAGAGGACTGTAGTCTTGGAAGACACAGTGTGTAAGCATAGAAACATATGAGGTCTTGAGTTGAGGCTTACTGTTGATAACCAGATCTCCCGACGATTGAATGAAGAATGTCAGACCACAGCCCATCAAGACTCGCTTTCTGTAAGATGGTTTCTTCAATAGATGCATCCAAGAGTTGCCAAGTGTCTTGTCCACCCGTATTTGTTTCTGAATCTGATAGAATTCGGCGCGGGCATAGGTATCTGTGGCTTGGTCCTCACTACCGTGTAGTTTGTGCAGAATGTTCTGGGCCTCATCGTGACGGTCATTCATCACCAGCCACCGAGGACTCTCTGGGATGAAGACCAGACAGGTGAGACCTGTAAGTGAAAAGAAAGCCTGTATGGCTAAAGGAACTCGCCACGCCTTCAAACCACCGCTCGTCCAGAAGGAGAATCCAAAGCCAATCCAAGATGCGATAACGAAGCCAAGGATGAAGAACACAGCATGCAACTCGACCAGACCACCACGCATGCGGCTGGGCACTATCTCGTTCATGTAGAGCTTGAGGATGTCAGCCCGAACCCATCTTCCGTGTATTGCACGGGATGAAACCGTACAGGAATTGCGCCTAGTATCATGAAGGCGCTGGCACCAGCGATGAATCGAAAGAAGATGAACTCGCCCATATTGGTGCTGCCGGCCATGAATGCCGCCGCAATCACGTTCAAGACATATGACTGAAGTCATGTCAGCAGCTGTGACAGTCATATCGCCTCGGAACGGCATGTATCATCTTACGATTGCAATACCCCATTTTCTGCCCCACCGATCAGTGATGACTGGCAGTAAGAGCGGTCCGATGGTGCCGCCAGCGAAGAACAAACCACTGGTAGCACCGATAAGTGACGTTGCATTGGGCCGAGTGGCGAGGCTAAAGTATTCGATGAAGGAAGGTTGTCCTGTTTCATTGATTAGTTTAACCCTTTGAGGGAAAAACAAGCAATACCTAAGGTGGTAGCGATGATGGCCGCAGAGTAGCCATAGGCGATGGATCCAGGCGCAAGCAGCAAGAGGATGATAATATTGTACGCGTTGAGCTTCTGCGCAGGCGCTGTCTGCTGACCTTTGTTACTAGCAAAGAAACCCATGTCTGAGACCCTTAGCAAAAAGACAACAACTATTGTAGTCTTCCACCCACAAAGTAGACAATGCTCGATGATGCTCCATATAAGGCACCACAAATCTATGCCATTTCCACAGGGTCGGTGATCATCCCCCAGCCTTCCCCGCATGACCGGCGATCATTCCCCAGTGTTCCCCAGATTAGACGGTGGCCCCATGCGCAGCTGAGTCGAGACCGACCTCAAAAAGCGGGCTAAGTTCAATGATAGCAAGAAGAACTTAGTTATGAAACCACTGACCTACATTTGAGTCGCACCTACAGGCCCAAGTGGGCCTGGGGCCCATGTATGTTGTCCGGTACAATCACTGCCTTCATTGATTACAGTATTAGTGCTATCCTCGCATCATTCGCCACCACGTCTAAACTTGCAATGGCCGTCTCAGCTTTGACAACAAGAGGAAGCGACACTTGCAAGTATTATCCAATGGAGATGCCAGGTATTGTAACACAAGCCTCGTGGAAGGCTACATTGTTTGTCCAAAGCTTGGAACTCGGAATCAGAACATCCGCTGATGAAAATGGAAATGTGATGGTCCGCACTCTTCGACAGCTGCACCACTACGACAACCATGAAATCTTACAATCACCTGGTAATGTGACATCCCTCTACATAGGGGTAAAAGTTGCAGGATGGGGTGCATCCAATGGCTTAGGTTTCGTGATAGTACCTGCCTTTTCCTATTGAGCTTGCTACACGATTCGAATCCATCTTGGCCACCATTCTCCATGGCAACCCTCCTTCGCGGCGTCCAATCTCCTTGGGATATCTATACTTGACAGGTCTCCGGGTCTTGCAGGTTACTTCAAGCGGTCCAGACCTCAATGACATCAACGCACAATTCAAACATTGGAACTTGAGACAGTGTAAATGCAGGATGCAGGTAATCGATTTTTCTTGCTTGCTTCCTACCCACGCTCTTTCATGCGCTATTGTCTCAAAGCTTTGCTCTAATTGGATTTGACAGTAGCAGCTCGTCCCATCGTGGCGATTTTACCCCTGACTGAAACTGCTGCAGTCCAAGGGCCGCTTCGCCATCCGCTTTCATCATCTCGTCAAACAACGCCTTGATACCAGAAGCCTGCTTCGGTGATCCAGCTTCTTTCCACTCGAGGCGGACGAGCTCTTTGCACATGCTCGAGGCCTTCGGTGCCGCGACTTTTATCTTGGCGAGATATAGATCCAAAGCTCGGGAAAGTCCATCCCCATCGAGATCCTTTTCCACAATCTGCGATATCACCCCCAAGGCCTTGAGCTCCAAGGGACCGACGGGGCGTGCTGAAAGCATCGCTTCGCGTGCAAAGGCGAGACCCCATTCGCGGACCACATATTTCGATATCGTAGCAGGACATAAGCCAAGTTTAACTTCGCTCAAGGTCATCTGCCCTCAGTCCGTTGATCAAAGCCACATCTGCAGCTGGCCGTTCTCATGTAGCGTGAGTAGCATTGACTTAGATAGCGTCAAGTAACAAAAGGCCACATGCAGCAAATTTAGGGTCACTCCTCCATGGAGCTGCCCCATTTCCGCTTGTAGCTTAAGAATGTTGTACATTCTCGTCTCCCAAAAGTGAGGGATCTTCCGCTTAAAGATCTTCTGAGTTTCACACAGGCACAATATGACATCCTAATGTACCTCGCCCGCCCCAGCCTTGCCTTGGAGTTAACCTCAGATCCAGCTCTTGTGCATCAGACCCAATCCCTCTGGAGATCTTGACCGGTATAGGTCGACCGAGATTCTGACCCACCACTTCGCCAACCTTCCGCAGTCTTTCATGGTTTGACCAGATCGCATCGCCAAATCTCTTGATCAGATCACCAGCTTTTAAACCGGCCTCATTCGCAGGGCTGCCAGGCTCGACACTGTTGACTTTCGCGAAGGGTGTTTCAGGCACTGATGGGGCGGTTCGGACAGTTGCAGGCATCGATACAGACTGAGATTGTGACGTAGAGGCTTTCAACGCCTCGGAGGCCTGATTTTTGGCGTGATGTTCATGGAGACCCTTCTCGATCCTATCCATGAGGGTTTTCCAGTCGTTGCGAAGCGTGATGATACGTGCTCGCGTCACACGGACTTGTGCCACATCGATGTCTGATCGTGGGAAGCCATCGAATGTAGTAAGACCTGTCTGCATGTTGACCCCATGGCTGTCGAGAACCGAACCCAAAGCTTTCAGCTCCTCTTCAAGGTCGTCCTTCCGATTGATAAGTTGGTGCAAGGTTAGACCTTCGAAGGACTGTCCCGGCTGTATTGATGTCGGTCCACTGGGAACATGGATTTCTGAGAGGTTAGGATCCATTGGAAGTCCCATGTTCTGTTTGTTAGGGAAGATTAGAAGAGTTCGTCAGGACTGATACATATGTCTCGTCATGGGTAGTTAATGCTCGTAACGGCGCAGGCAGCTGACGAACTGCGCGGAATTTGTATGTTTAGTGGCACAGCATATAAAACGCGGGGGGATGCTGTCACAACAAAATAATCTTCCGAGATTTTGCCAGGTTGATATCACAATCCGACTTCTCAGAATCCATACCTAGGTACCTCGAGATCTTGTCATTCTACTCACTTCAGCAGACCCTCCGACTTTACAGTTCCCTTTGGGTGATGCTCACACCGCCGCTGCTGCCCGACTTAGGAGGATGTCGATATGAGACATCAAACCCATGAAAAAATGCTTCAATATCCCGACCCATCTCCTCTGTCAATCACGCATGGCTTCGACGCCCAGGTTGCACGAAACAATTTTGTTGTGCGGTTTGTTTACTTTCTGTTGTAAATCCGCAAGACTGTTCCCGACGTGAGAACTGGCTCGGAATGGGATGATGCTTCAATCGGGCCAGGTCAGATCTCGTGGACCTCAACAGAGGATCGTCCCTGCTGCTCTCGAAAGGCATGCTCTTTCCTGGTTCTGCCTCCTCTTACTTGCCTTCATCAGCCACATTGGAAACCTGTCTGCCCAAACTCGGTCAAACCCATTCTCTCTTTTTCATCACCCGTTGACATGCTCTATCACTCAGGTTTTGGAACATCATCGACGTTGGTCGCTTGGTCTTCCCAATGGGAATTTTGACCGTTGGCTCTCATTTGGTCTTTCATCATTGCCAAACTATCTTTCTCTGGTTTTATGCAATCTTCCATCAATAAGCAATGACAGCACAGCTTCTGCCCTCTGTTGTTGCAGATCCTTTTAGCACTCACTTACACAGATCACCAAATATCTTCTCTAACCCACATCCGACGTTCGATGGAAGCTCTAAAAGCTCTCCGGCCTCCTTGGTCCCTTTCTTCGTCGGATGCCATCGTCAAGTATCATCCACTTCATTTCTCACCGCTGCCTCGGCGCCTTTTCCCAGCAACGATGAAAATCAAGATCCATTGGGCGATGGTGGTGTTCTCTCTACCAAACATGCTAAAGAAGAGGCAGAGTCTACCGGGCCACAATTCGTCTGTCACAAAAAGCGCTTATCTACTGCATCATCCGCCTTTGTACACACAATCAAAACAGCGAGTTTAAGCAACGCAAGTCTCAGCATCCTCCCACGATCCTCGAGGTTTGGAAGGTCAAATGATAGCTATGGCATGTTCAGCTCCAATGCGAGACACTCAACAGACAGTGACCGCCCTGATACGAGTGCATCTGTCGAGGAAGCCGCGTTCCTCAGGGGGCTGAAGAGGCGACAGATCCTTGCTGAACTCCTGGCTACTGAAGAAGGCTACATTGCCGACCTGAAAGCACTCATTTATCTCTATTCGACCCTCTTGGCGTCTACCATGTCGATATCGAGCCCAGTGCGTTCTTCCATGTTAAGAAACGTACACGACCTTCTCCATATGCACGAAAGGCTTCTGGAGCGTCTACAACAGGCCACCTATGAAGCTGCAGTACGAAAATGGACAGACACGACTTCCCCTCGAGATCTTGGCTGGCCACATGGACATGAGCGTTGGCGGAGTGTGGAGTCCGCCCTCGTTACAAAGTTGACTCGAAGTCATCGGCGCACCCGTAGCTCCATCGACTCGTGTGAAGTGGGCCGTGGTCGAACGTATCTGGGTTGCGCCGAGCCTAGAGATGTGTCTGACATTGCATCCATCTTCAAGGACTTTTCGAAAGACTTTTTCGCCTATGAGGAGTACTGCGCAAACCATAGCCTCATTGCACATGAATTGCAAAGGCACGCACCAACACTTTGGACGACCTACGAGTCTGGCATCGAGTCACTGTCTCGATCTCTCATCACCCTCGATCAGAAACGCGAACATAACAAGAAGGGACTCACTGTGGCTGACCTTCTCATCAAGCCCATTCAACGTGTGACAAAGTATCCCCTTCTTTTTAACGATCTCCTCAAACAGACACCTGTGTCCGACTGTCCAAGCACACATATCGAGATTTCAGAGACCTTGAAATGCTTGCGAGGTCTCGTCCAATCTGTCAACCAGGCAACCGACAGCCACGAAACGCGGGCTCACGTACAACGTCGCTGGTCACTTCAGGCACGACTCAAGTACAACAAAGTCAATCTGAAGCCTGAGCGATTGCGTTCTCTGGGCAATGTTCGGCTTTGTGGTGTTTTGCATGTGGCCTGGCAGACAAAGAGCAAAATCGATAGCTGCTATGCACTCTGCGTGCTGTTCGAAAGCACGCTGTTGGTGGCTGTCCCTGCTGGGACGAGTCCGTGCTTCGAAGTGATAGCTTTGCTACATCTCTCCGACGTGAGCATTGCTTCTCCAAGTGATGGGCGAGGTAAGTGGGCGTCCCTTGCAGTGGCGTCCGATGCTGATATGCCCTAGGTCTCCAATGTCACTCGGCTCTGCATACGTGGAAGATATGCTTTGAAGCAAACGGGCATCTTCACGAATTTATCCTGAGTGCGTGCTCGGCCGTGGAGGAACAAACGTGGAAGGACAGCATGCTGGACAAAGCGCTTAGCAACAGAAATGCATGCGAGCTTTCAACGGAGCTTCCTTCATGTATCGGTTTAGACCTACGGTCCATCGGCACACTTTATGGTTCACAAGCCTCCTCATTGTCAAGACACCCTTCGGTTCAGAGAGCGGCAACTGTCGGCAACCGAGCCAATATAAGTCAAGTCATCATACGCAACACGAATAACCCACAAGACCTCCACGAATTCCGTCAGCCATCCTCGTCGACGGTTAACAGATCGCTGTCTCATATGACTTCCAATCGCATTGTCGTTTTGGCGCCCAAAAGGTCAGAAAGAGCAAGGCTCGAGTCGACTCTTGGGGACATTTGGACGAAGGACAAATTGCCATATCCTGGCATGATTGGATCTCGCGGAGGTCAGATCATTCGAGCTTCAGCAGGCACGTTGGTGCGGAAACTGAGTCTGGCATCCATACATGGACCGTTTTCTCGACGCTCAGGAAGTCCGTCGCTCTCAAGCCGGAAGTCATATGAAGCATTCACGGAGAGTAGGCGAAGCAAATCGAAGCAGTCAGCGCCCATATTCGAGGTACGCAAGGACAGTTTCGACGACACAGTGCATGTCAAGAAGAAGTCGCAAGATCTGCCGGAACTTGACACGATGGAGAATGTTGTCAGTCGTATGATCGGGAGTGGCACGAAGAGATTATCGTTCTCACATGGGGACAACAATGTGCTGAACAAAAACAGTAAGAGCAAGCGAGCAGGGCAGGACTTGGTGGCCGACGTAGGTCCTGATGATCCCGCCGAGGTCTTCTACTCTGAGGAGAAAGAGAAGTCGAGGAAACATGGGGGTGTGCAAGAGGATTCGATAAGTGGCAAGAGGAAACGGTGGAGCAACCCGCTTGGGATCTTGAAGGGTTTGTCGGCGGAAGGGTTCAGAAACATGTTGTTATCGAGCAAGTAGCGATACGGCACGGAGCAAAAGAGGTAGGAAGTAGCGTACTTTATTAGACAGTCATACATGAAGCTACCATGACATTCACAGTACTCCGACTGGAGGACCTTCATGCTGCCTACCGTATGTCAGTCTTTGGCTCAAACCCCCTTACCGACGAAGCCTTCAACATGCTGGTCTGCTGTCGCTGATATATGTCTTGGCCTGCCTCGATATCATCCCGTTCAGCGTTGGTAGTCATTCACTATGGATGCTCCAGCAGAGTCGAAGTGGACCAACAGCTACAGCGGCGTCGGTTTCATGCAAGATAGCGGACCGATCGGTTGTGGTGGTGGTGGTCCCATTCCAAGTCCGTGGCAATTTCCTTTTGCGGAGACTAAATAGACTATATGCACCAGTAGATGTGGATGTGGATCAGGACTACACAGTAAAATAAGTTTTGATGCTTTTTTTGGATCTTGTCCGCTTCATGCCGCTGCCACTGCCAGGTTTGTTTCTGTCTTGAGGCTTGAGGGTTTCCGGACGTCCTATCTAAAGTTTGGTTACTCCGTAAGGAAAAGTTACTATGGACTTGTAGTATTGACGAGTTGACGGCATGTATGGCAGATGCATCTTGCGGATGTAGTTACAAGTACCTGGGTGCTGAGCGTTGGGTGTAGATCATGTCAACATGGGCTGTGGACCTTCAGGTCACTAGGCTAAAGCGCAATGGCTATGGAGTATTCAAATCTCTGGCGAATGAAGATACAAATAACAAGATGAATTAGACTGGATATTTTGTTGTTTGGTATTGAATGTAACAGACATTGCAAGAATTACACCGGCGTTGGGGGTATATGTCTAGAGCGTGTAGATATGTACATTGTACTGCAATATGACTATTAGAACGCCCTTGTGGAAACATCCGCGGTGACTCCTCGCTGAATCGGTACCAACGGAGAATAGTTGGGGGTATGGTTTATGTGGTAAAGATAAGTTGGGTCGGCCTTCGATCTGGTAGCTGGTATCCTGATTTCCGGAAAACAGTGGTTGACAACTTCCGTCGTGCAAGATCCCGCGCTTGCATGCATCGCCAGAGATATCAACCCGTCAAGAGAGTTTCCGTCGTAGCCAGTCTCACCAATCCCGATGGACCTGAGTTCATCTACAGAACCAAGGCCAGTCCAGCCATGGCGAGAGCAGCTCCACCAGCAATTCTGCCATTGACGTTGGGCACAGCAGCGCCCGTAAAGGTCGTGGCAGCACCCGTGCCGGTGGCGGTTGTGCTGGAAGTCTCGGAAGCGGAAGTAGAAGCAGGTGTTGTGGAGCCGGCGCTGCTGCTGCTGGTTGTAGGGGCAGTGACCTCTGCGTTGTCCATGCTAGTCCAGGTTGAACCGACGTCGTATGCGACGGTGGTTGGGACAACCCAGGTCGAGGCGCCGGAGCTGAAGGTGGCATTGTATTTGGTGTACGAGGTGTGCTCGGCAACGCTTGACCAGGCAGTGCTGGTGGCAGCGCTGGCGAGGGTCGCGTTGGGAGCTTCGCTGGCATATGTCAAGGATGTCCAGGTGCTGCTGGAGTCGGAAACGGTGAAGGTGAATGACCATGCTGGCTGGGCTGTAGGTTCTGGTGCTGGGCTTGCTGAGACCATGGCGACGGCGGCCAAAAGCGCGGGAACGGCGAAGAAGGACTTCATGTTTGCGGTGTGATGTGTGTAAACGAATGGATGTGCTCGACGAGGAAACACTGGTTGAAGGAAGGACTGGATGGATGAAGCGTCTGGAACGTAGAGTAAACAGAATTCTGAGAGAACGGACAAAAGAAAGTCAAAAGCCGTTGGTGATGTATGAAGTATATTAGGATAGGGGGACAACAAAGTGTGGTTTCGGCTATGTGAAGCTAGACATGGGATGGGACAGCCTTGTCTGATGGTTTGGACGACGGTGGTGTTTTGGGTCCACTGGACAGGGGTCATGGAGATTGCCTGTAGATAGTGCCATACTATGATAGCACACCACTGCATCTATTTTCGCTAAGGGCACGGCTAGAGCTCTTGTTGGAGACATCCAATTCAACTTGGACAAGGCTTTGAGAGCATGATCGGCTGGTTTCTGAGCCGCATGGGAAAGGCCGTGCTTGTTGGTCATGGCCGTTGCTGAAAGATGTTGTTGGATTGCAAGTTGGGAACGATTCCAGATGAGGACGTGCGGACGCCAATTGGTTTCAGCCACCGCTCGGAGCCTTGAAGTCGGTGTCTGACGACGGTAAACTTGTGGAGGATTAACTCGCTTTCATCTCACCTCTGATCTGGGGGCCAAAGCAATGTCGAAGAGACATCACCCAACATGATTGGAGACGAGACTGTGAAGTTGGAATATGAAGAGAAGATGGAGCTTTGGGGCTGTTTGGCGGAGATCTGAACGACTTGAAAGTAGCCACGTGAGAACTCCCAAGCCGGCAGGCGCCGCTGCCTTTTGGGTGTTTGGAGCCGGCATTCGGACGTCAAATAATAGGTACAGTAAACACAGACCTTTGCGGTGTCATTTCCTGCCCTCACGGACTATCTACAAATATCTCATTGAGACGCTTTGGAGCAACAGACCAGCTGATTGACTTGTTGGCTATCGCTTGCTACTTGGCATCACCACAAAGTCGTATACACTCGGTACTGGAGGCACAGGTGAGAAGTCCAGTCCCTATGAGCCCCATCCAGATGATCGTTTCACGTCTTGGACCGTTCGAGATGAGAGCGAATACTTCGATATGCCACAGAGAAGAACCGTGCCCCTGTACTTACTGGGGCATATCAAGACTACGACGATGTGATCAGAATCGCGCCGCAGCGCGTCTCTCTGGGTTTCCTTCGCGCTCCCAGGGGCCTGCCTCCACATGCCCTCCCCAACCACACGATCCAGCAAGGACGCGCATGGGTGCATTTCAGAAGAAGAGGTGGATTATCTCAATACAAGAAGAAGATGTCTGTCTGATGGCATGCTGCGATCGACCACGTTAGGTTCGCCGTGTATGAGGAGTATCGTGCCATGCATTTTTTGAAGTCTGCAAACCCAATCCATGCAGGGTTTGTCCCATGGTAAGAACTAGGAACGCGAGAGTACGATGATTAACCTCAGTGTATTGATATGCTCGACATCCTCTCGGTTTCGCGTCACTACTACCAGACAGCAAGTTCGGGGGCCTCATGCGGCTCTGCCAGTGGGATCACGCTCAGGTAAACTAACCTTGCATGGCTGGCCCCTTTTCTTACACCACAAGATTTAACGACAACATCGTCTGAACAAGGTTATTGCTTTCGCAAGCTTATTTCCTTTCCCATGTCTGACATGAGTTCATAATATCTGTACAGCGCTTGCTAGCATGTGGATGAGGTCTGCCAACAATTGACCATCGCCATTCAATCAGCGACTTGGCTCACAAAATGTTGGGCTTGACTCCATAAAAGAATCTCCTTCAATCTGATCTGCACCGCAGTTCCTTTACACCTTGCCCAGTCTAGATGCACCCCTCTTGGGGACAGTCCAAGGCTCTGCACATACAGTCTGGAGAACATTACGTTAGCCAGAGACGATGCATCCAGTGTCAGACGAAAGCGTACCTCTCCTTCCGAGAAAGCCCAGAAGTATATTCCCACCCCAATCAGGTAGTACAGTGCCGAGTTGGTTGACTGATACATTATGACACCAGCCAAGGAACAAAGAGGATAGACGACCAGTCTTGCCTCCATGCTCCTGTGCAACCCCGGCAACATCTTGACCACAGGATACAGAGGCCACTCCCACGCAAAACAAAATACACCCATTAACAGGTTGATGATTTGAAGTATGGGGAACGGTTTGACAGCTCCATCGAGATTCTTGGTAAGGAAGTCCCAGAAGATCTTGGGCCAGAAGAACCCTTCGAGAGCTGCGGCGACTTGATAAACAGCTGCGGTGAGAACGATCAGGCGTGCCCAGTGGTTCTTGATGAGCTTTCCCATGTTGAAAATGTGTTTGTGAAAAGGTTCGAAAGGAATGGAAGTCCAAACAAGAAGTTGAAAAAGCGAGAGTGGTGATGAATGTGAATGACCGGATTCAGGAGCGTGCAGAAAATGGACGTCCTGCGCCTGACGGTCACCGATGGTACATCTGGGTTAAGGAAGTATATGAAGGAAGCCAAGGGATCTCCCTTCTGTCAAGGAGATCCAGTTGATTTCGGCGGCAGGGTGAGCCGGTCAGAACAGTTGCCCCGGAAGGATGTCGACGTCAAAGGAGCAAGAGTCAGAGAATGAGAGCTAATGTCTTCTGCGACTGTATCTGCTGAGAGATCTTATGGCAATGGAATTGGCGCGTATGAGATTGGTCACAGATGTGGTCTGGTGTCGCAGAGTTGGTTGAGGCAGTTCGGAGACAGCAAGTGTTACAGATTCGAGATTTTGCCACGATCTCACACGATCTGAGCAACTTTCAGGGCTGAGCTCCGAAGTTGAACAGTATTCGGGAATGGGATATACAGAAGGATATCAGATCAGCAGATGGTTGTTGGGAACTGAGATATGTGCTTTGTCTTCGGGATATTGATCTGATAATCTACACCGATTCACTTACCTCGCTAGATATCAAGGTGAAGCTCTTCGCCGGCGAGTAGACGCCGGGATGCCATTGGATGAGACTAATTATTGAACCATGGCATTTTCTTTACCTTCTGCCCAATGGTGTAATGCTGTACTCGCTGGAAGCAGGTATTGCATCTCATGATTCGTGGTGGTTGAAGATCAAGATGGCGGGGATTGTGACTTGAGATGTGCTTCCACCATGCACGATTGGATAGCCGCCCGAAAATAGATGGGCACTGCATATCGGAATAGCGTCGATGTCTGTCAAGCGAATGAAGGGACAAGAAACATGGATAAGATGGGAAAAAGGAACGGCCACTGCCAGTCGGTGCATTAGCGGCATAACAGACTATTTGGCTGGCGGTTCCAGATTCATTTTGATACGTCGATAGACCTCCGTCTTTTGTGTCTGGCCATCATTTTCCCCATTTCCAAATGCACGGAAGAATTCCATCACCAATTCATCCATCAATGTTCATTCTGTACTGCTTGGAGATGGAAACATCAACATCATCACCATCAACTAACTATCTATCTAATCTTCATCAACAGCGACATCGACATCAGGTAGACCATAGCCGTCTCCAGCCGAGTCACCACCGCCGGTCTACTCCCACATTCCCATCATGTTACCGATCCGTTGGTTGTCATGCACTCCGGTTTCTTCTTCGTCTCATCTAGAAACCCGCCATCTTCTCACCACCACCATCCAATAACCGCCGCTGCATCTGGAACAGGTAAAACGTGCATGTTACTATCATCTCGAGGCCAGGGTCTTCTCCACAGTCCATCGTCAAACCCTGGTCACTTTTTACCGCCTAGCCGACCCTTCATGCATCTTCACCTACTAAACAGGTATGCTCGCTCGAAGCCACTTCGCATCGCAATATCTGATCAGATCTTTCAACGATCAATGTGCTCTTTCAATCTGATAATCACATTGTTTCTCTCTGCTGCTTTCTGCATCTGATATCCAGATAAAAAGCTACCTTATTCTCTCCTTTCTTCGCGCGAAATAACCCAAAACCACCCCTGTTACACCTACTGTCCCAGGTTCCACTAGCAAGTCCGTTTTAGAGCCTCGACCTCATTCCCCCTACAACCACTTGTCTTGTTTGACCTCTGCTTCATCCGCTCTGCCAAGCAACACACCAATTTACAATCAGTACTACCTCCTTGTATGATAGTTCCTATGATCGACTGATCAGACATCATATCTCGGCACTGCCGACTCCGAAGATCTCACCCTGTCCGTTGGAGCTTATCTCAAAAGCCCCAGCTTGCGGCTCTTTTGATAGCCATCGAGCTGGTCCTCGTCCAAATACCCAACCATACCTTTTCTTCTTCAACCCGTCCAATACACGTATACTTGTCTCTCACTTGCGGATCTGGTATCCATTCAAACTCGCGCTCACCGACGTTCACCGAACAAAGACATGCAATCGGTATAGCATTGTGAAAAGCCGACTTATCAACTTCTACCATTGAGCCGGGGTTTGCAATTAAGGCCACCAGGGTCAGATATCCAGACATGGCTACTTTGGCATCGCATCTTGCCCCGAGCAAGATCGTCTTCTATGTTCTGTTCTGGGGATTTCATTGGGGTCTATTTGCCATCGGCTGGTAAGCACCTTCAGTCATTCGTCTGCCGAAGTCAAATACTTACTCAAAGGAACAGGTGGAAACAAGCATCAGACCCTCGATTAGCTGGTCTCAATAGCCTCACTTTCTCAGTATGGTTCTCTCGAGGTGCTGGTCTTGTCCTGTCGGTCGATATCTTGATGATCCTCTTACCTATGTGCCGGAATCTCATGCGGTTCATTCGACCCAAGTTCAAGTGGCTTCCCCTTGACGAGACGCAATGGTTCCATCGGCAAGTGGCATACGCCTTGTTGACTTTCACCATCGTTCACGTTACCGCCCATTATGTCAACTTCTTCAACGTCGAAAAGAGTCAGATTCGGCCGCAAACTGCCATTCAGATCCACTACACACAACCGGGTGGCATCACAGGCCACATCATGCTTCTATGCATGCTTCTCATGTACACCACGGCCCACCACAAGATCCGACAACAGTCCTTCGAAACCTTCTGGTATACCCATCATCTCTTCATTCCTTTCCTCCTGGCTATGTACACCCACGCCGTCGGCTGCTTCGTCCGTGACACAGCAGATCCATTTTCTCCCTTTGCTGGAAAACTTTTCTGGACTCACTGCATTGGTTACGAAGGATGGCGGTGGGAACTTTTCGGAGGCGGCCTTTATTTGATTGAACGTCTCTATCGGGAAATCCGCGCCAGAAGAGATACCAAGATCTACAAGGTCATTCGTCACCCGTACGACGCCATGGAGATCCAATTCCAGAAGCCTAGCATGAAGTACAAGGCCGGCCAGTGGCTGTTCATCAACGTGCCAGGCGTCTCCAGCCAGCAGTGGCACCCCTTTACCATCACATCCTGTCCCTTTGATCCATACATTTCCATCCACGTCCGTCAAGTCGGGGATTGGACCAAGTCACTCGGTGACGCCCTCGGATGCGGCCCTGCCCAAGCCAAAGAATTTGGCGACCTAGACAGCAATGGTATTTACGAGATCGCTCTTAAATCAGGTCAAGAAATGCCCGCGATCCGCATCGACGGGCCGTATGGCGCTCCCGCCGAGGACGTATTCGACAACGAAATCGCGGTGTTGATCGGCACAGGTATCGGTGTCACGCCCTGGGCCTCGGTGCTCAAGCACATCTACAACATTCGTGCAGGACCCAACCCGCCACGTCGGCTCAAGCGCGTCGAATTCCTCTGGGTCACCCGCAGCATCGAGTCTTTCGAGTGGTTCCAGACTCTGCTTTCGTCGCTTGAGGAACAATCTGCCGCCGCCGCCCAGTCTGTAGGCGGGCCCGAGTTCCTCCGGATTCACACGTACTTGACGCAGAAGGTCGACGCCAACACCGCGGCCAACATTTATCTGAATACCGTGGGCAACGCGGTCGATCCCTTGACTGAGCTGCGCACAAAGACGCAATACGGTCGACCGGACTTTAAGCGTCTGTTTGGCGCGATGAGAGATGGCCTCATGGACCAGACGTACATGGATGTTGGCAAGGAGGCGAGCCTTACTGCACAGATGAAGGCTACTGTCGGTGTGTACTTTTGCGGTCCTGGCGCCGCGGCACGCGAGATCAAGGACGCGTGTAGCTTCACGAGCAATGATTTGGTCAAGTTCCGGTTCTGGAAGGAGCATTTCTAGACCATACTTGCAACGTCCACGGTCAATGCCGTCCACGGTCAAACGGTTGTATGTATTTTGCCGCGTTTTTGGCATGTACAGGCCTGGAGGTTGGAGTTTGATGTGTTGAGATCTTTTTTTCATTGAAGCCAGATACCAAAGACCAAGTGAGCGGGCGTGTTTGTACTAACAGCATTCTTACGACATGGGACTACCTGGAATGATTCTTGAGACAGGTCAGATAGCTACCTAGCTGTGATAGCCAGCTGAATATAAAAAAAACTTGCAAAAGAAGTTGTCGTTCCCGTGTAGTGTGATCTTGCAACTCTTCACGGGAGTCATCACCAGGGGCGTTGAGGGTGGAAGAATAGATGTAACTACGATTTAGAACCCGTATACTCTGTATCATGCGAGCATCACCTAATAAAGCGCACAAGTTAAGCACGATGGACTAATATGTGAACAATTCACTTTGATATCGATTGATTGCCCGCTTCGCAGTTCTGCTACATGCTGGGATACTTTCTTGGTTTCCGGCCGGCATTATCAGCCCAGATCAACACCATGCTGTTTCGTGCAGGTATTTATCTTCCAGCTCAAGTTGTGCATACACCCATTCTTGGCTATGATATCTTTGTCCACCCTCGTTTGAATGGTTTGCGACTGCTGAGTCGTGCACGATTGGCAAATCTTCCTTGCGGAGCCATGCTGCGCGGGCACTACATCGCTGCTCGAGATCGTGCTGTCTAAGCAGAAGGATGTCCCTGTCGAGGACCCATGGTCTCGTTGCGGTCGCCGCTACGCTCGCCAGCCTGCGAAAAATCAACATGTCAGTCTTTGGTCTCGTCTGGGAATACGTATGTCTGAGGTTACCTGTGTGTTTTGCATTTGGCCTCCCTCGAGGATCTTCATTATGACCTCGTCCTCGTTTTTGGTACCGAACTCGTTCTCTAGGCTAGCCTTGGATGCGGTGTCCAATTGACCCTGAGCGCCGTGCTTGTGTGTGACCAAGACTTTGAAGGAGTTGACGACTTCGGCAAGGGGCTTGGACTTGTCCTTCTTCCATTCTTCAAGATCTTGGGGAGATTCGATAAAGACGACGAAATCATCGGTGCTGCCCTTGTAGAAGACTTTGGTGACGGTGCCGTTTCCACGAGTCATTTTGGCGGTTGTGATCGAGGTCTCTGGGCTTGGTAGAGAGGTAGAGGGCGGGTTGTGGTGTGCTCACACGACTTTGTGGTGAGATATAGCTTGTAGAGGTGTGAGGGAGATGCTGAGCGGTGTCAGTGAGAGTTGATTGGGCAGAAGTGTGAACAACCGACCTTGAGTATATGAATGCGACTTTGCTAAGATAGTAGAGGGTAGTGGATGAGTGAAGTTCGTATGAATTGCAAATGTATGATCAATGTGTTTCAAGGTGTTGTTGGAAGAGGTTGGCTGGCAGTTTATTAAGAGAACACACAGTCAGTGTGCAATGCAGCAATGACGTCAATGTGCTACTTGTCAATAATGGCTGGAAATGTCATTGTGGCCTTTGTTGGTAGCGTGACCACTGACCACTTACCACTGACCAGTATCCACGACCTTCGAAAGGAGCTTGCCAGGCACACTACTACAAGTTCCACAAGGTACGTAACTCAGATCTACACGTTTCGACGCACAGTGTAACTTGCTTCGACCCTTGCAGAATATCGGGATCTGCCGACGGAGCCTCATTGAACATATATATTTTCTGGAAATCATGTTCTTGCGCCGGCTATGCTAACCTGTCAAACACTGGGGGTGTAAAGGGCGTCATCTTAGGCGTATCGTTGAGAATCTTTGACAGGCGTTTCCCTCTCAGATGTGTATCGAGGACTGTCGGACGGTCTCATGTCGCCCGATACCGTTACTGTTGGTTGTTACGCTATCCTGTTCGGAAAGTACGCTCCCATCAATATTGCAGGTGAGATCTACTGTCCTGCTGTTGGGTCCTGAGTAAGTACGCCCGTTGGCAAAAGTGCCTGATCCTTCCTTTTCCTGGGGGGAGGGGGTTTTTTTGAACAACCATGAGTGCACATGTCCCTCTAGAACTTCCGACGCCCACCACTTCGCTCGACGTGAAGGGTTTACATGTCTCAAGGTGACTGCCGATTCATCTTCAAACGGCCATACCCCGTGGAGAGGCTGAACAGCATCGGCACCTAACACTCTTTTCGCAAAGGCTTTCCGAGGACTGACACCCCGCACAAGAGAGTTATCCGATGCATCCCCCAGGCGTGCTAGGGCCCCCAACTCTCCACCTCGTCATTGGTTGCGTTCGATCTACGAGGTTGACATCGTTCATGATGACTCCGTACCATACCGGCATGTCTCGTCGGCATGCGAGTGTATAGGTTGGGAAAGTTTCGGCACCGATTAATAGCTGGCAAGATCCGCTGAGCCGGCGCTCTGGAGGTCACTTTCGCTTGCACGACTCAATCTGTATTCGACTTTCCATATCACAGACATCAAATACCTTCAATATGGACGCCAGTACCGCAAACCCTTTTGCAGCCAGGCCCTCATCTCCATCTGGCACAATACTCCGTTACGTGTTCTGGGCCGTTGGTATCTACTGCGCAACGCAGATAGTCTTGTTCCTGTACCGAGTTCTCACCTCACCTCTTTGCTCGGTGCCTGGCCCGTTTCTTGCTCGCTTCGGGCGGATATATTACTTTGTCAAATGTGCTCTTGGCCGCTGGGAACACGACGATCTTCAATTGCACCGCGAGTACGGCCCAGTCGTACGCGTAGGAGCAGACCTGTACAGCATCGACTCGCCCGAGATCGTCAAGAAGGTCTATGGCATCGGTTCGAAGTTCCCGAAGTCGGATTGGTATGATGCATGGAGATCCCCAGAACCACACCGTTGGACACTGTTTCCTGTTAAAGACATGAAGTTGCACGCCGAAACCCGCAAACGATCTCAAAGCTTGTATTCAATGTCGAGCTTAGTAAGCTATGAAGGCTACGTCGATGAGTGCGCTGCCATCTTCAGGAAGAGATTGTCCGAGTTTGCGGCATCGGGCCAGACGATTGACATGGGTCACTGGTTCCAGTGTTATGCCTTTGATGTCATCGGAAATATCACCTATTCTCAGCGCTTCGGCTTTTTGGACAATGGAGAAGATATTGCCGGATTGTTGAAGGCCTTGCATGGCGTTCTGAGGTATGGAGCCCTAGTGGGCGTGTATGCTCGATGGCATCCTCTCCTCTACAACCTGACCAGCCGACTTGGAATGGGTGGCGCCTCAGGCCGCAATTACCTGATGAAGTATGTGGGACAGAGGATTGAGCAGAGGAAAGGGGAGAGAACATCCGGTAAAGGCATGGAGAAAACAGGGGAAGAAGACGAGAATGCACCCATGGACTTCCTCGAGAAATTGATGGTGGCGAACCAGGCAGATCCCGAGAAAGTCACGCCCTATCATGTCTTTATGATGGGCATGTCCAACATCGTTGCCGGGTCGGATACTACGGCGGTCAGCCTCTCGTCCATCTTGTACAATCTAGTGAAGTACCCCGACACATTGCGAAAGCTTCGAGCCGAGATTAGCGAGTTCGAAAAGCAAGGACGCTGTGGCAATCCTGACGTGTCGTTCAAGGAAAGCCAGGAGATGCCTTATCTTCAAGCCGTCATGAAGGAGGCTCTCCGTATGCATCCGGCGACGGGGTTTCCATTGTGGAGGGATGTGCCTGAAGGAGGTGTTGAGATTTGTGGCCATTATTTTCCTGAAGGAACGACAGTCGGTATTAACACGTGGTGCGCCCATTACAACGAGGATGTCTTTGGGCCAGATGCCAAAGTGTTTCGACCGGAGAGATGGATTGAAGCTGAGCAAGAAGGCGGTGAAAGGCTCAAAGATATGGACGCATACTATATGCCGGTAAGCAGCAAAACATGAGCAATATCCAGTTCCCCCCACTGACGAATCGCTAGTTTGGTCTAGGATCAAGGACATGTATAGGTCGGCATATTTCGTTCCTGGAAATGTCGAAGTTGATTCCGCAAATAGTTCGCAAATTCGACTTCGAACTCGAGCACCCAGATCGGCCATGGAGCACAGAAAACGTCTGGTTCGTTATACCTACTGATTTTCGACTGAAAGTCAAGGTTCGACAGGAATAACAGAAGCTATCATGGGTCCTAGAATATACTCCTGGTTCAGATCGGAACATGTTCATATACTCCAGGCCTCGTACGGGGGTGCTGAGATAGGCATGGTCTATATGCATGTTGGTGATTATGCATATGAATCACCAAGCCACCTTTGCCCGAATTAGCACAACGTTGATCAGCTTTCAAGATTTGTGACAGCTGAGGAGAGCTTGAACTCTGTGATGCCCTCGTGTGCACGCCATGTGGTTGACATCGAGAAAGCCACACGGCGCCTCGGCTCTAGAACCTATCAATCGTTCACTAGGTTGAAGCCTGACAGCAACGTTCCTAGTGACAGTGGATTCCCAATAAGCGTCGAACAACAACTGCAAAGCTTGCCGCAGTTACCGTTGTACCGAGGACTTCAGTAGCTATTTTGCCTTTTCTTGCACCTTTCAAACAGTGGAAACAGATGAATGGCAATGGAGATTGGCGGCTAAATAGCGTAAGAATTGGATCTATCACAAACCTGCAATCCAGGCTAGCGTGGAGAGTGGCCCATGATAACGACCGGGGCGGTTGATGGCTGAAGTCTAGTGGGCCAACCACAATCATCATGTCGGTATGGGCACTCTGAGAGGGCAAGGGATTGCGCTTTGGGTCTCACTTTGCTCGCACTGAGATGTACGGAGAAGTTCTCGCCAGTCGCTACGTCTATCCTCGAGACGGCGACATGCGAGGCTGTGACTCTGTGAGAATGGGAAATAAGCAAGCACTGCTTATTAGTCTCAATTTCCCCTAGATGGATGTTCCAACCCTATCGCTAGAGCCTAGAGCAGTAACGTTAGTGCCCGGCGTGCGAAGCACTTCGGTTGTCCGATGAAGTGGGGAAAGCCTGTAAGCTAGGCAGATCGTTGAGTGAAGCATCACAACCAAAGGTGTAGCACAGCAGAAGATGGAGAATCAGTGGAAGCGATGATGGGAAAGACGGGGTGGGGTGAAAGTTCGACTGGGCGTCTGGTTCATGGCAGAGGGACCACAGCCTCAACAGACAACGAGTGTGATTAGAGTTACCGCATAGACAAAAGGCAAAGCATCCATGACGCTGAGGTGCAGACACATTTGCAAGATATTTTGGAGGTACGGAGACGTGCAAAGGTTGATGATGTTGAGGAAGAAAGGAGGGAGATATGGAGACCACAGAACAGCGGCTACAGTACAGCCAAAAGCCAAAGCCGATAACTACAGCATCCCGCGCTTTTAGGCACAGTAATCTGGTTGCCAGCCATCTCTACTGCTGCTAGACGGGAAACCCGCCCGAGCCAGAGAAGACCGGGCGACTCTTTTACTGCTCAGATTGGGGTGCCCTCCCCATCGCCCCCAGTGTTTGCGCCGCTCTGCTGTGCTTTGCTCTGCTCTGCGCCGCACCTTCCTTCTGGCCTGCACTTCTTGCCTAACCAACTGCTGCCGAGCTCGAATCCCCAAGTTCACCAGCAATCATCACCAACTATCTGCACACCACCTTCCATCGCACCGTCTTCGACCTGCCATCCTCATCAACCTGTGCCGTTCCAACACCAGTTGTATCGCTTGCAATCCATCTCCGAGCAAAAGTTGGCGATTTACGCGCCCCCTCCATTCTTACACCATCTTAATCCGTGCGAGCAGTTCCCGACCCGACCAGCCACATCCTTCTTCCACCTCAGATCACCTCCGTTTCGCGCTCGTCAGCCGCAGTACGACGCATCGCTGACCGCTCGGTCGACCGTCCGCTCTCTCGCGATTGCTTGAATGCGCCTGATCCAATTGCATCCGCACTGTCCTTGCAATCGTCGCATAATAACTTAATCATCCTCCGACAACTGTCTGAGCGCAGATCAAGAAGAACAGGCCTTCGTAGGCCACCACTCGCCCCACATGAGTGGTAGCGCTGCCGCTCAGGCTTTTACAGGTATGACAGCCTTGACCTTGGATATCGACATCTCCTGAGACCTCTCTTGCTTGGGCGCACTCTCCTCTAACGTGTTTCTGTTGCAGGCGCCACGGCACATGACCTTACCACAACCGATACTCCGATCGTCCCAAGCACAGATTCATCAAGTCCAGCTCCCCAGGGCGATGACACGATGACAGAGAAGTCCACACCACAACCGGCCCTGGTTACGATACCCTCCCGGACGTCGTCTCACCAAAAACTCGCTGAACAAAGCTCTACTGTTCCCGTTGTACCAAGTGCGCCCAACGAGCCACCTCCGTCTCCCAGACGAGGTTCGAAGCGAAGCCTTCTGAGTCGAAGCAGAAACAACAGCAGAAGCAGTAGACGCTCTGCGAAAGCAGCTCGTGCTGGTGATGCTTCCAAAGAGCCGGTGCCACCACTTCCACAAAGTCATGCCTCCAAACCCCCGCAGAAATCCCGTAGTGGCTTCTTGGCCATTCTGAGCTGCTGCATGCCTTCAGAGCCGCAAGACGATACCAAATCAGACGACCCGGAGGTGGCAGCTAAGAAGATTAAGATTCAGCCAACATCACAAAGGACCGCCACTCGGCCACAAGATCAAAACGAAGTCGTGGAAAATGAAAAGGGTCTGGAAGGGAGGACGCCGGCCGATGGGCCACCCGTAGCTGGCCGTGCTACAGAAGAAGAGAAGGTTGATCTGTCAGAAAAGAAGGCCGAGCAAGACCCCAGACCGAGATTCTCGCGGGAGGTTGCATATATCGAAAAGCCCACTTCCGCCCCGAGCGGGACTGTCCCTACACAAGCACCTGTAGAAGGGTCCAGAAACACGACGAGTCCCGACTCCTCAGACGTGAAGACTACCACAGTCACTGTTCCCGAGGCTTCAACTAAGCCCGACGTCAGAGTGACGGCTGCGACCCCAATCGAACCAGAACATCCCAGGCAAACCGAGACGTTTGGATATGACGCCGCCACGGAACCGAATGATGTGGAAATGCAAGACGCCCCTCCCACGGTACCAGAGATTGAGGGAGAGCCTGTTGATGAACCACCACAACCCGCAGAACAACAACCGCAGGTGCCTTTACCTCCGCCGCCTCCGTTGGAAAAGCGCCAGGAACAGGTGATCAATAAAGAAGTGCCTCCAGTGCCAGAAGCTGCACCAGAAAAGCAAAGTTGGCTTTTGCCACCTATACAACCTCAATTTCAAGGACGAAAATGCCTGGTCCTTGATTTGGATGAGACTTTAGTCCACAGCAGTTTCAAGATCTTAAACCAAGCCGACTTTACCATTCCTGTCGAAATCGAAGGCCAATATCATAACGTGTATGTCATCAAACGACCAGGAGTCGACACGTTCATGAAAAGGGTGGGCGAGTTGTACGAAGTGGTGGTCTTCACGGCTTCTGTATCGAAGTATGGAGACCCATTGCTCGACCAGCTTGATATCCACAAAGTTGTGCACCACAGGTTATTCAGAGAGAGTTGCTATAACCACCAAGGGAACTATGTCAAGGTAAGTTACGAGTTCAAACGCCGTCTACGATTGTCTAACGTCGAATCAGGATCTGTCACAAGTGGGAAGAGATTTGAAGGAGACGATCATCATCGACAATTCGCCGACATCATACATTTTCCACCCACAACATGCAGTTCCGATCAGTTCGTGGTTCTCGGATGCGCACGACAACGAGCTACTGGATCTGATACCTGTCCTGGAAGATCTTGCAGGGCCACAAGTACAAGACGTGAGTCTAGTTTTGGACGTGGCTCTGTGAGTTTCCAATGCGTCCCATTCGACCACGTCTAATCAGGCATCTTCACTTCTTTTGTTGGTATTAGAACCGCATCCGATCCAAAAAATTCTGTTGGCATTTTCGAGCGAGGCGTCAATACTCAGGCATGGGCTAGGTGCGTTCAGCCTGAGTTGAATCGGTTTCTGTGCATACGGGTGCCAGACCTGGGCAAATAGAATGAAAAGACTCCACAACAAAAATAACCAATGTTTAATCTCATTGGGAAGGGCACAACTTTCGAGCAACAGGAATTCTGAGGGTGTCATTAGGGCGAGAAATCCTGTGGGAGCTTTGAGGCCCTGAAGAAGCTGTACTTCGCGCAGGGTTGTTGTTTCATTTGTTTTTTCGCTACGATCTGCATATTTGCAGAGATGCAGTTGGCTTTGCTGGCTCAAAGGGCGTGATGGCAACCCGGGGAGGGAGCAGGCGTTCCATACATAGTGGTGTCTTTGAGATACACGATTGTACAGTCCTCGTTAAGAGAGCTTTGTATTCGGGCGTCAGAGGGCTGAAAAAGAGATGGAAAGGAAGAACGTGCAAGCCTCATCGTGCAGTCAGAGAATCTCTGTAACACAGAGCAAGGAGTCAAGGACCGGCTACAAGTAACAATCGATATCCAGTCCCATGTACTTTCAAAGTCAATTGATAGAGGTATCAGTAGTCGAGACATTGATAGCCTTATAAGATGTTCTAGTTCTTATACAACGCTCTTACTCTGCAGCCTGCTCAATTAGGCAAAAGTAGTATTGGGTTGTGTAGGGCAGATGGCTTGCAGGACGTAGATGTGATATTGCTACCTAGCCTCGTGCCCTCTTCGTGTATACACAGTAGCAAGGTTTGGTGTCTGCGATACCTCGTTGTCTGATCTCTCGCCTCAATGCAAGTCATAGTGTGAGCGACCTGCTTGACATTGTCATTATCTACTCGATGTACTCCTTCCTACAACGAGGCTTTTCTCCTCTTGTTCATCAAAGTCACCGCCGTAGACAACTGAATATATGCCAGGTCTGAAGTCCTCCATTTACCACCACCATGCTTCACAAACCCCTAAACCCATCCGGAATCATCAGCGCCCCAACCTCCGCCGTCCCCCGTTCCGTAGCAAGCAGATTATACGCGGCCGCCGCATTCGCCGTGTCCATGACATCGACCTTGATCCCCAATCCTTCAGATAGATGTTTTCTGGTATCTCGATTGAGCATCCACAATTTCCGGCCTGTCCCTATGATCAAGAGGTCTGGTTTCGGGTATATCAGGCCCAAGATGCCTAGCGACGGCACAGGGATCGTGAGTATCCCTCTTTTGTCGAGGAGTGCTGCGAATCCGGCACCGCCAGCACCAGTCGATGCTGCGACCGATGCGGTGTTAGCGGACCAGGGTGTCCATGTGAATGCTTCGCCGTCGAGTAAGAGCACGCCCATGCCGCCGGCGGTGTGGGTGCCGTTGTTCAGGTAGAAGCCGTCGTGGGTGCATGCGTCGATGGATGTCGCGGGGACGGCGGCGCCCGCGTTCGTCAGGATGTCCATTTTGGAGAAATCGGTTTGTGTTTCTTCTTGGGATGCTGGGCCGCGGTCGTGGGATCGTGGGGCGCGGACATTGTGCACGTTTGGTGTCGCTGCTGCTGCTGCTGGCGGGCTTGACGAAGGAGAGGACTGTCTTGGGGGTGTACTTGAAGGTTGGCGGGCGTAGAGGCGCGAAGAGGTCGTTTTCGTTGCGAGGCTTCGTGTTGAGAGCGTGGTGCGAGATGTGTGTCGTGCTGTAGCTGCGACGCAGACCCGGTGGTTTGAGGTTCTGAACGGAAGGACAGCAAGCCTCAAGGCTCGGAGGAGCTCTGGTGATGGAGTATGCATTGCGTTATGCGATTCAGGGAAGGGAAGCGGACGTGGTTGTCTGAAGAGATGTTTAGATCTGCCTTGCTTCGTTCTGGCGATGACTGCGATTGACGATGGATTGCGCCGGACACGAGCGCTAGAGAAGCTTGACGCTTACTAGATCGAATATGAAGACGATACTGAGCCTGTAGCATGCACAACGATCACAGACCTGCTACGGCAAGAAGTTCATCAAAGGTGTGGCTTTTGTCTGGTTATGCTCAGTTGACAGTTGGAGAAAATGTCATGATGCTCTTATTCAAAAGTCAAGATGACTTCATAATCTACCGCGGAATAGCCATTAGCCAGTCAGTCAGGTCTGCATAGATTGTGCCACTCATATCCGCTTGTACACATTTCTTGTAGATTTGTTTTCTGTCAAATCTATGGATATCATAGTAGGCTTCCTCAATACCTCCATGCTCGACGAAAACAGACCCAGATGACCTCGCCATGCATTAAATAAAAGCGTGAAAAGGGTATTAAATCATCATGGCAGCACGATCATTGACCTTGCGCGCCAGACCGAAACAGATCATGTACCAGATCACAAAACGCAAAGACCAACCATAGCCACAACGACGGCGAACAGGCTTCCTCTTAGAAGGGACTCGCTGTTACCGCCGAACTGGTCTGCACCGCTTGAAGAGCCACCGTCGCCTTGAACAAACCCGGTCGAAGCACTACCAGTTGCAGTCGCAGTGCTTGAAGAATCGACGCTGCTGCTGGAGTTATCACCACGGTCACCACTCGCGCCAGACCCAGAACCAGTGAGACCGGGGACGGTAGCAACATTGCTGGTTGCTGCTGAGCCACTGGCACTAGCAGAAGCACTGGAAGCAGACATATTAAGACCAGTTCCCAGGAACGACTTGAGAACGGTATTGTCGCTCGTGATCTCAACGGTGTTGTTCGTCATGGCCTTATCGGTGTAGATATACGACTTTGTGCCATTTTCTTGAGCGCCCGAGGGTGGGTCGTAGCACTGGATAGAAACCTCATCAAAGGTGGCATAGTAGTATCCGTTGGTCATGTATGGCGAGTCCCACGTCACAAGACCACCGGCCCAGTCGATGGTTCCCTGACCGTTGGTCGACAAACCACCAGGCCAGAGTGACAGCTGCAGTCGGCTAGGTGTTTGAGGGTAAAAATAGCGATTTGCGGTAGCATTCCAGGTATCTTCACGGTTGAGCGTACGTACTACGTTGCCGTCCACCGACCAAGTAATGTTGTCGTAGCTCCAGTCGATTTCGTAGGTGTGCACATTTGCGTGAACGTCGGCAAGGCCAGTAGCGTTTTCTCCGTTGTCGTCTGCAGCTGCATTAGTAGGATGATTGCGGTGGGATTTCTGCTGTCAACTTACAATCTGTCACACCTTGAGAATAGAAGTTGGTCTGGGCAATCGACAACTCGACACCCACAAATTCGAAATCGATTTCGTCCTTGGAGTCGCCGAGCAAAATGAAGGCAGTCACCACGCCGGCACCAGCAGACGTGGAGAACTTGCCGGTGACCTTTCCGTACCAGATGTAATGTGTGCTGGCCAGTAACGTTCCTACTGTGTCTTCGGCCATGGTGAGTAAGACAGAGCCATTGTGGGGCAAGGGTGTGCCGGAATAGACCCAGTCAGCCGTGCTCGCATCTCCAAGGTATTTTGTGTTTTCCACCATGCCATCTAGGTTGTCAAAAGTAAAGCTTTTAGATTCGCAGACTGGTGCGGGTACACATGCGTCAAGACTGAAGGAGTTGACAGGATCACATCCTCCAAGACAATAAGCGCCAACACCACATTCGCCGTATTCTGCACGACAGTCAGCCTCTTTCGATCGCAGTGTTTCCACCGGAAGTTGACATACGAGAACAACATGGAGTGCTTTCTGGGCACTGACTTCCGTCACCGCATGTTGTAGTAGCGAAGGCCGCTGGTGCCAGAGCGGCGAAGAGGACAATGGACTGCCAAAAGCGGCCGGCCATTGTGGTCAAGAGGTGATCAACAGTAGGCAATCGTAAATGCAAAGCAGAGAGGTCTTAAGTGTAGGTAGCCGGACAGGCAGGCGTCAATCCGGTGACCTGTAGGACGAATGTGGTCGAAAGTCGCACAAGGTACGTTTCGGTCGTTGTGAAGAAGTCCAGGTATGTGTATCTGTGGCTGAGCGAGTGCACGGGTACACGTCGTGGAAGTAGTCGGGGCCAAAACAAAGGCGACTTTCTTCAAAGAAAGACTCGGGATTGAGTATCGAAAGCGACAGTGACGCGATGCCGTAAGGGTGTCACGGGAGGAAAAGCAGCAACGCTCAAAGGAATCGAAGCAAGAAAGATGTCTACAAAGAGTGTGTGAATTGACGCAGTGAAACGAGGCAAGGAGTGTCAGTGAGAAAAGCAAGAAACCGAGCAGGCGCAGTTTGGAGATGTTACTATGGATAGCGTGATACCCGTGTATGAGTGGCCAGACGCGAAAAAGTGTCTGGCGACTGATGGGGCGTCATTGAGACAATGGATCCCTCGGGAGTCGGGAGCCTCACACTGGCTCACAGCACGCCTGTTATTCGCGCATTCTTCCCCCAGATCTCCGGTGGCAACGCTTAAGGATACCCTAAATACCCTTGCCTCAAACAACATTTCAGGGGCTTGAACCTTGTTTGTCAAATCGGAGAATTATAACTTGTTGATGCGCGGCGCAGGAACCGGATCGTGACGGCAACCCAAATGTTTGCATCGCCAGGTCGACGGCGATGGTGCATATTCACACGGGATCCTGTAACGTCATTCCTTTGCTGTTCAATGCAGGCCAGCAGCACTGCGCTGTTCATGCTCAGCATCTAGGTACTTTTCCATGCAGTAACAGTCACCCATGAACGGCCGCAGGAAGGTTGCAGGCAATGAGAACCCTGTTGCGCGGGTTTCCTTGAGCACGCTCTAGGGCAGGAACGTTTATCCGTGTGCCATTGGCCCAGAGAGACAACACTCGACATGACAGGCGATGCTGGAGAAGCAAGGTCGTTCAACAGAAGAGCTGGACAGCCGTGGATAAACGTCAGATGTGATCGGCCTACAGAACTGAAAGTGACCTGTCCAACAAGGACTGTCTATACTAAACAATGAAAAGCAGCTGGTGATAACGAGATGCTGGCCATCGAAGTGATGAGCAGACCGGTTGGCTCGGAATTGACGACCTGTGGGCTGTCGTCAAGGCGCAGACGGACTGGCACAGAGCCTGATCGATCGTACGGCTGTCAAGGACGAAACCATCATGGATCCGAGATCTTGCACCGGATAGCGGAAAGCCTCGTGAGATTGAAATAAGGTAGTGTTTCAAACATACATCGAATTGAGAGTACACCACTCGCGGTACCACTCCTGTCCTTGTCCGACCATGCCTTGTCATGCCCTCCATTTGCTATACCTCACCTCTCTTGGCGACGAGTCGGTGAGACCAGATACTGCCGCACCAGGTATCTTCATATACCAAACTCGCGAAATTTTGGTCAACAATTCCTCACTGGCTCTGGGTTTCATCACCACATTCACCACGAAGCTATCAAACTAGCACCGGGCTAGAAGGCGTGTCAGTGACGAATTGGTCGCCAGTTCGATCCTCCGTCCGACCTCGACTTTTCGATCAAAAAAGTTCTCGACGACAAATGTCCTAGGTCTTATCTGGTCAAACTGGCACCGAGCTAGAAGGCGTTAAGACCTCGACTTGAACTCACCCATGATCCTGCGAACCCGGATCTCGACGACAACCGACCGGAAAAAGCCTGCGAACCCGGCTTTCACTTACCATGACCCCTTATCGACAGGGTTCATGGCAAAGTTTTTGCTACCGTGGAGATTTTTCGATATCCTTCTTTCAGCGGGTCTGATCCGGCTATGCAGTAGTTTGTGCTTGCCAGCTTCTTTTTGTACTTGTTTCGTACGAATAGTTGAGGTTGCTGAGGTGTTATTGGTTGATCAAGTGGAACGTCGATTGGATAGGAAGCACAAGGAAGCAGCACAGAATGGGAGGATGGCCAGGTAGAAAGGATACTCATGCGCTTTTTACTGCTCAGCGTTTCCTTATCTCGCAAACCTATATATCGTGCGGCAGTCGTTCGTATTGACGACTCCATGAAGGGCTTCTGTCGATCAGCTCCCAACGATGAAGGGCTTCTGTTTATCTGTTCTGCAGCAACGTTCGCAAGTGATGATGATAACGTAGTCGTTGTATGCACACTTGTTGACAAGTTCTCCACTTCAACGCATTGAGATAGTCCAATCCTGAAGGGCACTTGCTGCACATCCATGAAACGAAAACCTGGGGGGCAATGAACACCTTCTCGTTCTTGGTCGTAGGCAAACGACCAAAGCGGTGCCTCTTCGATGTCCCGGTTCCGCACTGGTGAAGTTCAACATCTGACTTCTTGCAGGGAGTTGGTTGCAGCCTGCGAGCGTTTTGGCTATTATCCAGAGCCGGTATGAAGAAGAGCTCCGAAGATGTCACATCATGGAGTTTGTGTTATCGAAGCCGCAGAAGTGCTTCCTAGCCAAATAAAATAATTATATTGAAGGCCTCGTCGAAAGGGCTGGCTGACATCGAATTAGTGCAAAATAGGAAGGTCGATGGCGTGCACCTCAGTGTGGCATGTCCTCGCGATCGAAACACGCGCAGTCAGGACTTCATGACCAGATACGTAAATTTAGACCCAACGAATCTGGAGCACTATATGTGAATTTTCACGTGTATTTCTTCGCAGTCATAGTCAACAAAGTAGGCGCAAAGATAACATTCGGTGACACCACGGCTAGCCGCAGACAATCAAACGTCTGCTGCAATGTGACTTTGCGGGGCCAATGCACGACCAATGTCATGAACGTCGTAAATTTAGGGAGCATCAGATGCTGGTCAACCCAACGGCCAACTGCTGCCGATCGACTGCTCGGCCCCAGAAGCGGAACAATAAAATTTCGAATGGTGGACTCGGTACGAGTTGCTTCATAGAGCGGGAAGAACTCCTGGAGTCTACCTAACCTTTCGTGGCTTGCTAGATAGACTGCATGTCAGGATAGGAGGTGAAGTTTTGATTTCTTTGCAATCCGGAACATCGTTCTTACCTTCCAATAAGAGGGGCGGCAGCCTGGTAAAAGCTGCCCCTATGTCGTCTGCCAAGTAATGGGTTGGCCATAGCATGGGCTTTTTGAAGCTTTCTCCCTTCCACTTTCATAAGTAGCGTTCTGCATGCTAGGCGGGCGGCCTGAACCCTACGCCCAATGCTTCGTATCTTGCTCATATCCTGCTCATTCGGTAACATTTCTTGTGGTACCTTCCTGTCTTCGTTCAAGGATTTCGCAACCAGTCCGCGATGGAATTGTTTCTCTGCTGACGTGAGGTCTCGTTAAAGACGAAACAGAGCCGAAGATCGTTCGCTAGTCAATCAAGGCAGTATTTGGCGTCGGGGCCAGCTTTAAGTGCGGTGGTAGACCGGGAAATTGCGTTCCTGCATCTCGCTTTGACTTTGTAGAGCAAAATTCACATGTTTCAAGTGCATGCTCAGTGATCAGACATACCCAATCCCCCGGCGCGGCGATTAAGCAATCCCTGACGGTGCCTGACATATTGCTTGTGGGAGCTAATAAAATAGTCCTCGACCTCTTTCTGGTGGGGCCTCCCTGATACGCGATAGAAATGGAGTATCTTTAGGGTCGTTGCAACTCACCAAACTGACTTGGCGTTGCTTGTCCGCTGGATATGCTGTTATCTCTTGGGGAAGGTAGGACAGGACGTGGGTCAAACATTGATAAGACGTGCGGTGTCCCTCGACAAGCACCCTTCCGTGTCCATTCTCCGTCGTCGTGAATGCCATTCGTCTTTTGCATGTCTGCCAAATCAGAATCACGAAATCATATCAATACCGTGTTTCCTCCAACGTTTCCTTTCCATTCTTCATACTTACCCCTGCTATCGGCGACAGCGCCTTGAGTTCTCAAGATGGGACAGACAGCATCACAGCCTGCCCCAGATAGATCTCTGAGGGTCATTGGCGCAGGTCTCTCGAGGACAGGGACGACCTCTTTCGGCGCCGCCTGCTCATACCTTCTCGACGGTCCGTGTTACCATGGAGGTACGCAGATGCTGAACTCACCGGAATCACACATCAGACGATGGATCGAAATCATCAGACATACCCCTGTAAAGAGCGAAGCTGATGAAGTAGCGCTTCACGAGGGAGTCAAGGAGATGTTGGATGGATATGTCGCTTGCACGGATCTCCCTTCCAACGCTTTCGTCGAGGAGTTGATGGAGATTTACCCGGATGCGAAGGTGATCTGCACTGTTCGAGATCCTGAAAAATGGTGGAATAGCTTGGCTCCTATTGTCGAAAACGGAAACCTGAATGTCTTGTCATGGATACTGGCGCCTCTGCCGACCTTGCGCATGTTCCGAACATATCATGACGCTTTGGATGAGGGTCGTGTTGGTGAACTGTACTTCCGGGAAGGTGAACCCCAGAGACCAACCAGAGCTATGTGGGAACGACATATCGAGCACCTGAAGAAGGTCGTGCCCAAGGACAAACTGTTCTTTTACGACGTTCGTGATGGCTGGGAGCCGCTGTGCGCCATTCTAGGCGTTCCCGTTCCCAAAGGTGTTCCCTTCCCGAAGCTGAATGATGCCCAGGCAATGGAAAGTTTCATGAAAGCCAGCATAAAGCGTGGATTGATGGCTTGGGCTGGCATCTTCTTGACCATGGGTGTTACTGGAGTTTGCGCGGCCAGATACACCAAGCTGATATGATCCGGTATTTTGAATCTTGCAGGGTGTTATTTTCCGTTGGAGTTCGGCGCAAAGTGGCTTGGTGAGCGACAGTAGGGCGATTGAAGTGGCGTTTTGGACAAGGAGTGACTGGCCATGTATCGCGCTGCGTTGAAGCTCCAGGTTTTCAGGAAGGACAAAACATGTATGCTGACGAAAGTCTGTTTGGAAAGCTTTGATTTCGATCTGTCTTAATAATATTAGAGAACCCAGCAAAACCCCCGTAGTTCAGCCTGCAAGGCTTTCCTTCTTCTGGTGACGTTGTGCGAGGTGAGTTGGTAAACGGCCGTCTTTTGTGAACTGTACGCTTGCACTTTTGCCAAGTCGACATAGTCAGCAACCTCAGTCTGGCGACGAGTAATAAGAAATCCGTTGGACAACGACCGTAAGGCCGGACTGAACGCATCTGTAAAGTCCGGGAAACCCCAACGCTGAAGGAGAGGACAAGAAATAGTAGAGAAATGTGTTATTATGGATGTAGACACCTTATGGACTTGGTTCCGTCGATTGCGAATATACCCCTATGATGGCGCAATTTGGTGCCAAGATAGAACAAGGCTGCGTACGCAAATTACGGCTGGACGCAAGGATAAGCATTCCTGCATTCGCGTCAGAATCTGGGGAAAGAAGGTCTGGATACCGTTCGTCGTGAGTTTCGCTCTCACCATGGTAAGATCCAGGCCTCGACGATGGCCACTGGTTCCGCAAGGAAGCCAGAAGTTGCCTTCTTTCTCGACTCGCTCAAGTTCACTTCTTTCCAAGCACGGTTGTGAGTGAGCAACCAGCTTTGCGATAGGGTTGAATGTCTGATGCATCCCTATTTCACTTGAATACTGAGAGGGACGTAGAACCTGTTCCAGCCTCAGCAGTCACTGCATGGTTCTGTTTAGATGCGGAAAATGAGATGGACTGGGCCACGTCACAGGAATGCCAATTAAAGGCTCATATTCTTCCACGTTGTGCCGCATGAGTAACCACGTGTTTAAGTACAAGGCTGACAGATGCTGCCCATGCGTCGGTAAGAGTAAGCAGAAAGCAAATGTCAATAAGCGCTGCTCAAATGGTAATTCGCGATTCCAAGAAGTCACGGTCAGTACTCCATAGGGTGAGACTGTCTTCTAACAGTGCGCCGTCTCATCAAGGTCGACACCGTGACTGATGGCAAATCGCCAATGTTGCGTGGTCATGACAGGACTCCGTAATCTGGTGCACCTGACGATGGGCATGATGCTTGATCGACAGTAATAATAAATGATGGTGTCTTTGGACTGTCACATGGAAAGCGGGAAGATGAAGCCGTGGAAAGGCAGATGCAGCCATGCCAAGCGAATGACTGGCAGGTGCCCCAGATGCGCCCCTTGGATACCAGGTACCTGCGAGGCTTGGTGACTCTCCGTTGACCGCGCCTGGAACCCTATGCGACGCATACAACACCCAAACTCCATAACATCCTCTCAAACCACTGGCGTCGTCCTTTATGATGGTTAGGCGACGCGTTCAACGTTCCTGATTCAACGATAAGCCATCATGGTCGAAACCGAGCAACCTCTCCTCGCCCGGCCGACTTCTCCCAATTCCTCCGCAAACGACAATATCGAAGAGGAGGATGCCCTCCTTACTGGTCAGCCTACCAATCGCCAACCCAGTAAATACAAGAAATGGCGGGAAATAGGAATCTTCCTGTGGGCATTGTTTGCCACGATCGCTGTTGTGATCTTGGCTGTCATTTATCAACATGAGACGTCCTTATCGCGACATCGAACAGGAGGCTGGGGTCCGGACGGGAAACCGACGGGCAAGCGTAACATGATATTCATGGTATCAGACGGCATGGGTCCAACATCCCTGGCCATGACCAGGGAATGGAGACAATGGACCAGTGGGCTGCCAGTAGATGATATCTTGGTCCTTGACCAGCATCACATTGGACAGTCGAGGACTCGAAGTACGAGCAGTCTCATCACTGACTCGGCTGCCGGAGCGACCGCCTTCTCTTGCGGCTTCAAAAGCTACAACGGCGCCATCTCGGTATTGCCAGATCACACTCCCTGCGGTACGGTACTGGAGGCGGCCAAAAGAGCAGGGTACATGACTGGCTTGGTGGTGACCACAAGAATTACGGACGCCACTCCTGCTTGCTTCGCAGCTCATGCCAATAGACGGGAATATGAAGATCTCATTGCAGAGCAATTGATCGGCCATTACCCTCTGGGTCGCGTTGTTGATCTGATTATTGGAGGAGGAAGATGTCACTTTCTACCAAATACTACTGAGGGCTCGTGTCGAGCAGACTCTACCGACGTCGTAGCTATGGCCAAGGACAAGTTTGACTTCAGCTATGTTGATAATAAGGAAGACTTCGACAACCTCGACGCAAAAGGCGGGGTCAAACTACCTCTCCTCGCTCTTCTCGCCAACGGCGATATTCCATACGAGATTGACCGTGTCCATGTGTCGGATGTCTACCCGAGTCAGTCAGAAATGGCTGAAGTCGCGCTCAAAGCGCTAGCAGCGGCGACGAAAGACTCCGACAAGGGTTTCTTCCTGATGATTGAAGGGTCAAGGATCGATCATGCCGGACACGGCAACGACCCTGCCGCACAGGTCCACGAAGTCATGGCACATGACAAGGCCTTCTCTGCGGTGCTGAAACACTTGGAGGAAGATTCCACAGAGGGTGTTCTTGTCTCGACCTCGGACCACGAGACAGGTGGTCTTGCAGCAGCTCGCCAAATCCACCAGGCGTACCCAATGTATCGCTGGTTTCCCGATGTTTTGTCAAACGCCACTCATTCTGGCGAATATTTATCAGGCCAGTGGCGGCAATTCCTCGCCTCGTCGTCAACGTTGTCCCGGAAGGACAAACAAGACAAAGCGGCAGAGTTGATCAGCTCAGGTCTGGGCATCAAGGACTATACACAAGACGAAGTTGATTCGATTGTTGACGCCCAACCCATCTGGCCACCTAGTTATCTCTTTGCGGACATGGTCTCGCGTCGCGCCCAAATTGGCTGGGCGACGCATGGTCATAGTGCTGCGGATGTCAACATCTATGCTTCCAATCCTGATCATGCCCCTGGTCTGGTCGGCAACCACGAGAACATCGAGGTTGGACAGTTCATCGCCGAGTACCTGGACCTGGACCTCGAGCCCATCACAGAGGAACTGAAGTCCAAGAAAGTGAAGACCTCTGCTGCAAATGGGCAAGAAAGCGAGGAATGGGGTGAATGGATGGGTCCGCATGGACTAGCTCTAAATGACAATGGGAAGCTCGCCCACGTCGATGAATACCATGGAGATTTCAAGCATAGAAAGCGTGAGGCGGAGTTGGATTGTGGTTGCGGGATGAAGCATTGACACTGAATTTGGGTGTTTTGAACGTACCACAGTATAGTCTGGGCAGTCACAGCGATCATGGCGTTCCAGGTTTGGATTTCGAGAATATAGATTGATATACCCAGGCTCAATGGCACCGAAACATATCGGTTTGATTATGGATCCAGCAGGTGCAGGAGTAGATATGTCCTATTCATTATATGCAGACAATTTCCTCCCCACCCATGCCGGCTATGCTGGGCCTTGTATTTCCGTCCCCATTGCCAACCCTTCCCATGCTGGCTCAGCACCTAGAGTACATATCCACCCGCGGCAACGCAAGAGTGACACACGATGACATGCTCGATGCATTTACCCATGAGTCTGATCTGATCCGATCGGATCGCCGCGGCTCGGTACGATGCAATGTGGTACCTGGTCGCCTATCTTGGATCTCAACTACGTGACTCACAGTCTCCACAGAGTTTGTTAGGACGTCGGTGGTGGTCTGTATTCACGAGTAACGATACAGTCACCAATGGGGTAGATCAATGTGAAGACCAATCCATCTACACTATCGCGGCTGAAGGCCATGCATTTATTATCGAACCAGTACGGAGAGGTAGACATTGTAGAATGAGAGCGTTGGGCTATTTTTGTCCCACCGACTATACACCTCGATTAAGTGACAGCATGTATACTGTACTATCTCCCTCTGTCCCATGCTCGCAAACAGGATACAGCAAGCCCATCATAGGTAGGCAACAACGCAATATGCAACACGCTATGTGATGGTCATTTTTGAACAGAAAGAAAACTCGTCCCACATCTTCATCAATACTGGCACGCTATCCCCAACACACCAGAGTGTCCGTCTATCCACGGAGCATCTAACCAGAGGAAGCAGCAGGCGAAGTGCAAGTGCCACCAATATCGATAGCCCAAGCAGCGGAGTTGAACTCGCTGTACAACGTGCCGAGTTGCCATCCAGTAGGTCCGACAACGTCGCAGTCCGATCCAGACTGGACGGCATACAGGATCGAAATACCCTTGACAGGGTCGATGGCTTCACCGACGGTGGCGAGCCACCGGACGGCAATGACACCCTCGCAGGTGACGGCGTCGATGTTCAAGATGGTAATGCCAATAGGTTGTTGCGAGCCTTGGCCCTCAGTGTAGGCCTCGGCAGACGGGAATGTGACAGACCCCAGAGGGATGCCGGCGATGAAGTTGATCGAGTCGGAGGTGTCGGTGAATGAGGGGGCCAAGAGGTTGGTGAAGACGGCTGTATCGGTAGGAGTTGTCAGGGTGGTGACCCAGTCGTTGACGAGCGCTTGGGCGGTGCTGTATGGGATACATTGACCGCTGCCTCGCTTCTCGGAAACCGAGAGAGCAGATGCCAATCCCAAAAGGCTGATGGGAGCGACGATGCTGGAGAAACGCATTTTGTTTTCTGTTCTGTGCTTTTGACTTGTGGTGAACGGATGTCCTTGGATACACGAAAAGGGTGACTAAAGCTTGAACAGGCTGAAACGAGAGGCTGTTGATATGGATATAAATGATTGAAGTCTGCTTTTCTTAATGAGCTGTGGAATGGAAAAGCAGATGCTGGGAGGGGGAGGCAGGTCAGCTTTATCAAATCCAGGTACGGACTTCGTGAATCTTTCTGAGAGACGGCCTAGCACCAGTCATCCAGGATCATTTTTGTTGCCAGTTGGTTACCCGAAAAAACCCAGCTTCGCCTACCTTGAATCCCTGATGTTTTCGTGTTGAACCTGCAACTCACCATGGGAGCAAGGCTGGTGAGGAGGGCTGGGTCCGGGCTGCGAATCTTTCTTAGCCTGGATGGGTCGGTGAGGAGGCTAGACATGCTAAACAGGTCAATTTGACCGGGGTAAAGAATGATGGGTATGGCCTGATGCAGGAACAACTCCTTCACTAGGATCTGATGTGAGCAGTTAGTGGGTAGTGGACTGGTCAGCTTTAGCAAGCAAAACCACATGGACCGAGGAATCAGAGAGGGGACGTCTGTCCCATATGCCTCTCCGGCCAACTGTTGCTATCATTGGCCCAACGTGGTTAATATTGGGCCATTCCCATCGCATAATAGCCGCAAAACGAATCCCTGAAGTTAGCTAAAGCAAGTACGGTATGGTGTGCAGAAGGAATAGAGGAGTAGCAGTGGTGGATTTTGAGAGCCGCAGCAGGCTTGTTGGCAGTGTTTTGGTAAGGCCCTCGGCCTCCTATGGCTCAAGTTGGAACTTTGCCAGATGAGAACTTGGCTAGATCGAGATCGGGTTGCTGCTATGGTAATCATGATTGGTTCGAATTGCTGCGGTGATTCCCCGTGGAGGGGTCACCGTATATTTATATAGTGGGATCGCTAAGCCCAAAATGTTTACCTGCACCAGGCTGGGTGTGGCTGATAATGTGCTGTCCAGTCCATCCCACATATGAAGAATTGTTTTGGATTAAAACCTCGCGTAGCCCCAGCACCTGATCTTTGACATGCCACGTCGTTGATGATGATGGTGGCTTGGTAGAGAGATCATCAGGAGAAGAAGGCCACCACCACAAAACAAAGTGAGGCCGACATAACATCAGCAACCTACCACTCCGCAAAAAGCTTGGGGAAGGCTACCTAGGGTCTCCGTAGGCTAGGGATTTGTGGCGGGGTTCTTGTACAACATTCGCTTCCAGAGGAGTGATTCCAGTGACATATCGCCTTGCTACTCCTCGCCAGTTGATGCATGCAACTCGCATTTGTTGCCGAGTCGTAATGTTACTGGGCAGCCCCATCCAGATTCGAGCATGAACATCATCCCGAAAACAGCTGCATCACGGAGGCCTTCACCCACACCTCTCGGTCACATTTCAACATGGCTTGGTTCTCGCAGCTGCCATTGCCAGAATCCGTAACTCACGTCCATCGACGGGCATACTAGCTTTTCGGACAGAAGCCGGTGGTGCCATCTTGGCTCCACTCTTGTCCTGACTGGCTGAGCTTTGGTATAATTCGGCTGCAAACCATCAACTTGACGTATTCAACGCCTATCCCGACTTGTGTTGAGAAAGGGTTGTCGTGGGCTGACTGTTTCTGGCGCTGAATAGCTAACAATGTGGTTGGTGGCCTTTATCGAGTGCAACATCTCGTTTGGTCGTGGAGAAGGGACGACAGCTAAGGGTTGGGTTCGTCGTTATTTGGTGACCTGGTTGCAGACTCAATATCTTGACTGGTAGGACTGTGCGCTCTCTTCGCCTGGCGTGACCAATCGAACACTTTTTCGTGAACTGCTGAAGCCTGCCATACGACCTCGACTGCTTTCCCGCCTGCCGGTCAAACTCCGTTCATCACTGCTTTGGGTACCTCGTTCACCATCCACAGAGTTCCGAAGTGAAACTCTAGCTTTGTCAACTGCAGGACTAGCTGTAGCTTGCAAAGGATCACGCTTAGCGGAGCCGCGTCCTGACCCGGAGCCACGTATGAGTCTCGCTTCCTCTTCCTGTTTGATGTGTTGCTGGACTCGCTTCTGGCGCGTGAAGCCCGGCCCGCAGTCGCAACCGCAGCCTTGAGTTGGACATGTTCCTTCGCTGAAAGGTTGAGCGAACCATTCCATCAAACATGTCACATGCCCAGAATGGCCGCAGGCATGGCAGAACAGCCACATGTTTTTATTCCGTCCCCAGGCAACGATGTTGCTAATCATAGGCTGAGTCAACGGGCCGCAGGCTTCATCCTCAGTCAATGACTGACAAATCGGGCACACCGATGTGGACTGCTGACACCGCTCACATACGCTGTGGCCAGAAGCCATCGGACCTTGGCAAGTGCTGCAAACAATGGTCAACCTTGTAGGATCTCCGTCGTTGAGACTGGCGCCAGCCTTGTTGTTACCGTCCGTGGTAGTGTACAATCTGGGATAGTCGAGTTCCACGCACAATTTTCGAACTAGTGCCGCTGATTGAAAGATGCCCATCTGCTTCAGAAATAATAGGTGATTTTCAAAAATACCTTCAATTATACGATACCCGAGATGTGGTGTCATCAACCGGTCTGCAAGCCTTTCGAACTCATCTTTCTCGGCCCTTTGGAGCTTCCGAAAGCTAGCGTGGAAAAAGTAAGGGTGGACATGCATCAGAAGGTGAGCCGCAAACTGTCCGTGGCCAATTCCGTTGTCCACATCATAAGCGATGCTTTGACAGATCAATGGCAATGACGACCATGCGAAGGGAAGCTTTGGCTCATACCGGGACAAATCGATGGGACGGAAATCCTGATAGAGGTATGCCTCACTGTCCAGCTCATCAATGGAGACGATGCTTGACAAACCACTTCCTCTCGGAGCGTCACTAGTGCTGACATCTTTGGTATCATTCAGTCGCATGGGATTCGAAGTGTGTATCTGCGGCCTGATGATTGACGCGTTTTCCTCGAAATGAAATATATCCGGCGACGACGACATTGCTGTGTCAAGCTGACAAGCTAAAAGAAGCTCTCGTTCAGGCTGGGCGTGCCACTGAGTTTTGTCTTCGTCGACACTTACTGGGATCGCAGCATGACCAGCATCGTAAACTCCAAAACTCATGTCCAGTGGCGTTTCCACACCAGAATCGCGACTCTCCTGACCCTCGGACATGTCGCTTGGATCTTGCGTCAGCCTTGGCCGTTTGCTCTGAGTCTTCTGTGGCGACGAATCCCCAGAGTCTTCATCGAGGTCAGAATCGTGGTCGACCTTCCCTCCCTGGCTCGATACAGATACACGACCACCGCCGTGAGGAGATTCTAGGGATCGGCCAAGAGATCGTGCCTTGTGTGAGCTGTCCGTTGATGCGGAAAACATGGGAAAGCTTTCCCCGGAATCATGCCTGCCCATCGAGGCGGGCGTGTTGGCTGACTCATCCAAGGTGAATATTGGCCTGGCTTGTACGCGGTAATCTTTCAGCGCCGCCCTTCGTTCTTCCTGGGTCTGTTGTTGGCTGCCTCCGCCCCTTACTCCCATGCCGTTTCGTGGCGACTCCTTTGTAGGCTGTTCTGGAGATTTGACTGCTACGACAGGCTCACTCCTCGGTTGATTTCTCGGTGACTGTTGAGGCCTGGCGAGCTCTGGCGAGGATGGCGCGGATGTTGTTACTTGCCTTTCATTGTCAAGCAGGGCACGAGCTGCAACAGCCGCAGTTGAGTGAGAGCTCAAAACAGAAGGCGGGAGTGGTGCGATATCGTCGATGCTGTCCTCGCTGCTGGTTTGACTCCACCGTTTACGATCAGAAGCTGGAGAGTCAGGTAGGGGTTTGGCAAGAGGTGTCGTCATGTTGGATGTACTATCTATATCCATTCCAGAGATTTTACGCTCCGTTCCCCCGGCGCCCTTGAAGAGACTGCTCATCAAGTGGTGTGGCTTACTTTCACCCTTCGAAGTGAATCCTCGATGGGGCAACCCGGCCAACGGCGATAGTCCAGGTCGACTGCTCACTCCAGATCGGAAATTTTCCAATGCCTGGCGTCTTCGAGCAGCATCGGCTCTTCGCTTCGCGCGGTTGGCGTCCGCCCAGTCCTTGAGTTCGGGAACAATGACTGCGGCCAAGATTCTCCAGGATTGTGACATACGATGCATCGATACAGCGTCACATGCAGCCGCATTCTGGTGAAATGCATCCTCTAGACGATAAAGGATATCATCTGGAGACCGCATCTTCTCGTCCTCTGTAGATGGGCACGCATAATTTGAAGCAAGATACTCGACAATTTCTGGTTCTGCGGCCACACCTTGAATATAGCCTGCCGAACCCACTTGATCATTGCTAAGCAAGCCGGGCCGGTCATTGATTGTCTGGTCTAAGGGAATGACTCTCAGTTTATCATCGGTCGAAGGCGGACTGTTAGCTTGAGACTTGTTGGATTTTGAGGATATAAAACCCTTGTCGTGTCTTCGGGAACTGCTTGCATTCATGGTTTCATGGAGCCCCTCGTCATCTGTGAGGCTGCGACTGTTAACGCCGTCGTCACCACCGCTTATCTTATCTTGTGGGATGCTCAAGAATCCCAGAGCCGCATCATCACGACTTGACAGCCGCTGCGATTCTCGATCCTCAGAAAAGGTGTAGTATTCTCCGTCCGGCATGAAAGTCGAAGCTGATGGTGGCAGCTGGTTGCATAATGGCATGACATGCTTGACATCCCACTGCGTAAATATGCCTTGGTCGCCGACACTCCAGAGCATATCCTTGTTAGCCCACAAGAGATCGTTCGCGGGGGTGTCAAATCGATCGAGTTCTCGGAAAGGGAGCTGTGGCCTCCGGAGATCCCAGATGTGAAGACGTGGATCTTCATGGTAATAGGATATTGCGACTTGGGTGCTCTGCCAATGACTAGGACCCGTTGTGTCCGTAGTTTCACAAACAGGCCTCCATCTGATATTTCTGATTGCATGAGGAGCTCGAAACTGGAGGACCGGCTTCTGCCGCCTGTTGTCGCTTTGAAAATCCCACACTCTGGCAAATTTGTCGAATCCGCCTGATATCACATGACGGCCATCTGGGTGCCAGTCGAGAGAGTAGCATGCTTTATCATGGCCACTGATACTCAACTTCGGAGCAGATGGGTTGCGTGCATCCCATTTCTGGATCATTCCACCATCGGCGCAGATTGCAAAGTCCAACGGGTCTACAGGAGACCACCGAACATCTCGGACAGCGCTTCGAATGTCAAAACGCAGGCGCGACTTTTCAGGCTTGGGTTCTCGCATGTCCCATAGTCGGACTGACTTATCTTGGCTAGCAGACAGTAAGAGGTATCCCGCAAAAGGATCGAAATCCAGCTTGTTTATCTGGCCGGTGTGCTCATGAAGCCAGGCAAGCTCGGTCTTCAGTCCCGAGGCTTTGAGGTCGTATAGAGCGATGCGGCCATTTGTCGCTGCGGTCGCTATGATATGTGCCCAATCACCTGTTGACCATCGTACGTCTCTTGCAGGTAGATATTCCCTGCGCTTGCTAGCCCGGTTTGACTGGGGCGAGGTATAGGCCGAAGCATAAGAGTTGATAGCCGCACGAAGATTCAAGTCCTCGGTGACCTTGCCTTCATGAACATGTACAGTCTTTAGTATCTCTTTTCCGGCTAGGATGGCATGTGTTCCAGACTGGTTGATATCGAGCGCCGCGATAGGTATGCCGGTACGGTGGGTGGCTGTTTGGGACGACAAAGGACTGTACAGATAAATCAGTATGTCTTCCAACATCAAACGGAGGCTTCTCAAACCTGTAATCTTGTATGCCCGTGATTTGGCGCAGCGCGCGATCACCATCGCCCTGTGCTGGGCCGCCATGAGACTTTGCGCCAATGTGTTTTCCCCATGGTGCAATGATCCTCTGCAATTGGCCGAGTCGACTTGGTGGAAGAGGCGGCGCCGGTGGAGGAGGGAGATTTTGCTTCTCAGATAGTTGGACCAGATCAGACATGGTCTTTCCCCTTGTCGCATCAAGGGCACCCGCTCACATGCCGACCGTCAATGACGACAAAGCTAGTGTTCGATGTGGATGGACAGCAGTCATGGCTCGCAGGAAGAGCCATCATTGGGACAGGTAGCGAGAGCATGCGTCTGGGTTCATGCGGTGAGGCTGCACAGGAAATGCAGTCAGAAGAAGAGCCACCAGGGCATCCATAAATGAGCATGTATTGGGTATCGAGAAGTTGTCAAGTTGTGAAAGATTTGGACATGCGGATCGACGGAAGCGGCGTCAAATCCGGGGATGCAAGTGACCTGGAACTTAGGCGGTACTTACGCTTTTTAGGTTACCCACGCTTGCCTATTAGGCTCTTAATGGGTGACCCCAGCACACGACCAGGGATGCCATTGGAAAACAAACAACACCACATTGCAGATGCACAATATAGAAACTGCATAGTACACCGCTACTGTCGGTAGACGCATGGCATTAAACTCACGGATGCTGTCGTCCCTTACATTCCGAACGAGTCGCGTGGTCTTGGGCATCAAAGACTGCTGGCATCATGATTTTTATTCGCATGGTAGCCGAACGGCCACAGGGGAAATGCCTTGAATACCATCCCGTCCGAATGCTTTTCTCTGTCTCTCGAGTCAAAACTGCCGCTGAATATCCTCGTCTCCTCTATTCGTCTTTATTTGATGCAGCAGTGCAGCATCATGTCATGGATTCGGAGGATTGTTGCCATCATCGCTGCTGCCGGCATCATCGCGACGCGAGGAAGAGGAAAGACTAGACCGTGCATAGTAGAAACTTCCTCACTTTTCCCGCACCCAGTACTACCAGCACAGAATATATCATTGTCTCAAGAAGCACTTCATCGGCAACCATTCTCCTTTACACATTCTATCATATTACTGCTGAATCAATACCTCGGTGATATCTATTTGTCACAAGTACACCCAGTTTGTCATTCTGTCAAACCCGGCGAGCGTCGACTCTTCGAACCTTCGATTCTTGCTGTACCAAATCACCTCTTACACCCACTTTTATCATCTCATCCACGGCATCCAGCAGTGCAACACCTGTGACCTTCTCATCTCAACACCTGACATTTGATAGTTTTCGACGATTCGTATCTAGTGAGAAAACTAGCCTGTCAGCCGCGCCCCTCGTTCCGACTCTTCCACCAACAGCAGCCCCCAATACCAACAGTGAGCACCCCACCATCAACACACTACGCGGAGCCTACACCCTTCAGCGAGTCACTAATGGCATAATACGTACTGAATCGGGACTCATCTCGCCCACCATTGGCACAGACCTCGAACAGACTTCATCACGCGACAAGCGCGACCTCTAAATCCTCGATCCAGCCGAAGCGAACCCTACCCATGGTCAAACCTTCGAGCCCTCCAGCCCTCCCATTCAAGACCCAAACAGCGATTGCCCCCCAGTCAAGGGCCCTTTCCCCGGCTCGCCACCAGCAGGCCTCCTCTGTCTAACGTCGTCATTCGATCACGTCCAAACTACACCTTCAACTATCACTCGGTCCATTCGACCACATAATCTATTTCATTTCCTTGCCTCTGCTTCTCGTTTGCATTTGGCTGCTGTAATCGTTCCTTCTGTCGCTCGCTCAGGTTCGGCATCGACATCAGCCGGTCTTCATCAGTGGCGGTCCAACCGTCAGTCGACCGTCAGAATTTTCCTTGGAGACTCCGAGGCAGCACAGACGATCGGCTTGTCCCGCATCGTTTTCGGTGAACCTAGCACGCTTCCCGATTCTCTAGAAGAGGGAACTCGAAAACCAAATTTCTTTAATTCTGGGCGGCACATCTCATTTCAATACGGCCTTGAACAATCAGCGTCCGCAAGGCTTGGTGGAATATGCATGGAGAAACGGATGTGGGCGCCCTTCAAACCGCTCTGCGGGTGCTCAGTATAGCCAAAACCGCGTACCCCGCCATTCTCCTGGTCATCTTTCTCGTGGGCTTTATTGTGCACGGTATCGTCACTGCACCAGATGATGGAGACAAGGTCAAGATTCATCCCATGCGTGGGCCAGGTGGAAGGCCTCTGCCAGTTCGTCGCAAATCCGCCAATCAAGTCAAGGAAGCTGCGGCCGTTAGCAATTTGCCTTCAGCGACCAAAACGTTCTTCAACGTCATCCAAGCCGGTATCGTTGTAACGTTTCTGGTCAACGCGGGTGTCCTGCTGTTTGAGACACTGTTCAACCGTGCTGACGAATGGTGGCCTGGCAAGAATGCTGTGGTGAGTGAAAGGCGTTCTCTTTTTCGCTTTTCAAACGTCCTAATTGTCATGATAGATATATGTCATAGCATCAACATTCGTCTGGCTTCTGGTTTTCATCTCCATACTGGACGTCAAACCTTCACCAAATGTCATCCATTTCATTACTTGGATTACTGCAGTGCCGCTAGAAGTGATCATCATAGTCACAAGTTTGCGGATCTACAGCGTACCTCATTATGAACCTCGGGTTGGTGACCTACTTGGTGGACGATTCCGCGAATCGATAACAGCCTGGGAAGCTGTCGAAGTCATTGCCTATCTGATCAGATTTGTCCTGCTCCTCGGTGCATGCATCATCTTTTTGAGTCTCAAGTATCAGGCTCGAAAACCCAAAGACTCGGATGCCCCATCCCAGGGTGAAAGGACTCCTTTGCTTCAGGGAGATGCGGAGGCAGGGCGTCAACCTAACGGGCATGCCCATGGCCAGGGGCCCACGTCGGAGCCTAAGGAGCAAGTCGATGCCTGGGCGAAGCCAACAGAGGTTCCCAGCATTACCTGGTATGCTTATCTGAGAGGGTTTGTGTTGCTGATACCATATCTATGGCCCAAAAAGTCCATGAAATTACAACTACTCGCAGGAAGTTGTTTTCTCATCATGGTCGCCCAGCGAGTCATCAATGTCTTCGTGCCTATCCTGGTGGGCAGGATTACAGACGCTTTATCAGGCGATGATGGCAAAGGAGTCCGAGCACCTTGGGTCGACATCGCCTTGTACATCATGTTTAGATGGCTTCAAGGATCTCAAGGCATTCTATCCGCAGCCAGGTCCATACTCTGGATCCCGGTCGAACAATACTCATACCGAGCCATCTCAACAGCTGCATTCGAGCATGTGCATGGCCTGAGCGCAGAATTCCACACAGGGAAGAGAACAGGAGAACTAATATCGGCCCTGAACAAGGGCAGTGCCATCAACTCTTTTCTGGAAATGGTAACTTTCCAGGTCGGACCTATGGTGTTTGATCTGATCGTGGCCGTGGTTTATCTATCGATCAAATTCGACGCTTACCTGGGTTTGGTGGTTGCGATGACTACGTTCCTGTACATCTACGTTACTATACGGCTTGCGTCGTGGCGGGTTGCGCTGCGCCGAAACTATGTTACCGCTGAACGTGAGATGGAAGCTGTCAAGAACGACTCCCTACATTCTTGGGATACAGTGAAATATTTCAACGCGGAGGAATACGAGTTCGGCCGCTACAGATCGGCTATCAAAATGATGCAAAAGTTCGAGTATTGGGTGGATGTAACCTTGGCATACATGAATACTGTGCAAGGTGCATTGTTCATGATTGCATTGCTCATTGCCAGTTTCATCGAGGCCTTTGAGGTTGCTCAGGGTGATCAGACCGTGGGGAAATTCGTGCTTCTCATAACCTATATGGCACAACTGCAGGGACCACTGAATTTCTTTGGGACTTTCTATAGGGTCATCCAGTCGAATCTGATCAACGCAGAGAGGATGCTGGAATTGTTCAAGGAGCAGCCTCACGTCGTTGACCGAGAAGGTGCCGAGTCATTGACAGACTGCGCCGGTGACATTATCTTTGACAATGTTTCATTCAGCTACGACAAGCGGAGGAACGCTCTTGACCGATTGTCGTTCCGATGTGCCCCTGGCACTACGACCGCACTTGTGGGAGAATCTGGCGGAGGCAAGAGCACCGTGATGAGGCTGATATTCCGATACTACAACCCCGACTCTGGGGCAATCAAGATTGACGGCAAGGACGTACAGGACATTACGATCGACTCACTTCGAAGGTACATTGGCGTGGTTCCTCAAGATTGCAACATGTTCAACGAATCGATCATGTACAACCTCAAGTACGCGAATCAGAATGCCACAGACGAGGATGTGTTTAATGCTTGCAGAGCGGCTTCGATTCATGACCGAATCCTGGAGTTCTCCGATGGTTACAACACAAAAGTGGGAGAACGAGGTGTCCGCCTCTCTGGTGGAGAACGGCAGAGAGTGGCAATCGCACGAACGATATTGAAGAACCCACGCATCACTATGCTGGATGAAGCCACAGCTGCTCTGGATACCGAAACAGAAGAAAAGATTCAAGAATCGTTCAACACTCTTGCGGAAGGACGGACCATGGTTATCATTGCTCATCGCCTCAGCACTATCGTCGGCGCAGATCAGATTCTAGTGTTGTCGCATGGCACGGTCGTTGAAAGCGGGACGCATGACGACCTTATTGCGCTTGGAGGCAAGTATGCAAGCATGTGGCGCAAGCAGTCCAGGGCGCAGAAGGCCGCTGCCGAGGCTGCGGAGCTTAGAACGCGGGCCAAGAAGGCTTTGGAAGAGGCCGAGGCCGACAGCGCCTCTGTTAGTGAGGAGGAGATTGAGCACGCGAAGAAGAGAGACAAGGGATTTACTAAAGGTCACAAAAGGGTCAATTTCAGCGAGAGCAGTCACTTACGATCAAGTTGGCAAACTGACGATAACGATGGGGGTAACAACTCTAGCGGTGGTCATGGCCACTCTGGCAAACCACCCGGGCATCCTTAAGCGTCGAACAGGAAGGCGGCTTTGTGGTCTTATCCCGGGCTGGACAGCACTTGTGTTGGGGTCTTTTCGGGCTTTCTTCTCGGGGTTTGCTCCTTCTGGTACTTTTCGTTGCTAGGAAGCTGGTAAAAGTTTGACGAGTATTGACGTTGGCGGCCACGATGAACGACGAGATTGAGCATTCGGATGACAAGGAAGGATGTTGACGGTGAACGACAGCAGTGCCGCCAGATAGTTGGCCACCAGCACAGGTTCCATACGACAATGATGAAACGGTCGAAAAGTGACAGGAAGAGTTGTTCACAAAAACGGGAGGTAATTTGCTTTTGAGATCGAAGTTGGCACAAAAACCTACGTTCAGATTGGATCACCACTGGTTATAGAGTATGCCTTTTTCGGGCTTTGAATAATGGGTGGCCTCGCGGCGAGGGAGGAATCGGTGGAAAAATCTAGTTCGCCTTCTTTTCCAGGCGTACAAATTATGAGCAACACAGACCTTTGTCAAACTCTTTGTCGTCCGTTGCGCCGGTTGTATCCCGTTTACCGTAGCAAGAGGGCTGCGGAATGACTTGGGCTAGAAGCGCCTTTTCTTCTTCGCACCCGCGTTGGAGGCAATGGTACGTTTAAGCTCCATGCGACGACGGTTGGCTATCTCTTCGGCCGTCTCCTCCTTCTCCGGTTCAGGCTCTTTGGCTGGTGGAGCCGTGGCCGAGTCTGGCATGGGAGGCGATGACTGCGGCTCATTCTTTGCAGTCTGGCTTGGTTTGTCGCGAGAGTGAGAGGCTAATTTCTTTCTTGTGGTGGGAGATGGTGACGGAGAACTTGTGTCGTTGTCGTCGCTCTGATCGGTACGCTTCGTTCTCGGCGTTGATTTCTTGGTGCTGGATGGAGGTTCCTCCGCGATTTCCTCGTTCTGAGTAGTATCTTTCTTGCGGGCGCCGAGTCTGCCTAGTCTCCTTCTCGGCGTGGTTTGAGAGGGCGCCTCGGACGCGCGGTCTTGTGCAGGTGCCGGAGAGGTCGCGGCGTCGCTTTTACTTGGTGTCGCTGTTGCTTTGCGTCCGATGCGGCCTAGACGGTGGCGGGTGGGTGTTGATGTGCTGGGCGAACGTTTAGTGTCACGATCGAGGTCCAGGTCCAGGTCTGAATCCTCGTTTGGGTCTGGACTTGGAGAAGGGTTCTGGCGCGTATTGGGTTTCGGTGGCGGTGCTGGGGATGGAGATAGGCTTGTGGGCTGTTTCTTGCGAAGACCGCCTGGTTTCCTGTTCGGCGTAGGCTTGTTTGTGGCACGATTACGCTGGGAGGAGCGGCTGGCTGAGATGAGCTTTTCGTCATCCTCGTCCTCACTTTCTGAGGCTGTCGCTGTAGAGTCTGACGCATTCGAAGGGCGACAGCGTAGTGCTGGTGGCGGTTCATCGTCGACTTTGGCTGGTGTTGGGGATTTTGACTTGGCCTCCGATGCTCCGAATGATTTTGTGGCGCTGCGACGACCTAGACTGCCTATCTTGTGTGGCTTTTCTTGCGGTGGAGGGGTTGCATCCCCGCCCTTGTCTTGGGTCGTCTTATTCTTGGAAGGCGATTTGTGCTGCAAGTCTGGCGGTGTAGGTTGGCGCTGTGAGATGATTAAGGTGATGACCTGTCAAGCGGTCCTGGCTGCTTACCTCGAAATCATTGTCTGAATCCGTCGCCTCATTGTCTGGACTCGGTTGACGACGCTTGCTTTCCCTTGTTGAAGGCTTGGACTGTTCGCTGTTGGACTTTCCAGGTCCTGGATCGACCTTGTCTGTCGTGGAGAGCTCCTTGATCCAGTCCTCGTGTTCTGACTTTGTGTGTGCAAAACACTTCTCATTTCCGCGCACGAGGTTACTCAAGCCGGTGCGATCGGCACCTTCATAGCCTTCATCGTTGGCAAACTGCTTGGTCCACGCTTTCTCGTCAAAACCAGCCATGCCCGGGACGTGCTTCTTCGCATCCGTAATTGAGACTTGTCCGCCTTTGCGGGATGCCATGCCTGTGATGCCAGGGAATATCAGGCCAAGGTCTATCGATGAGTTGCCAACTCGGTCAAGGAGACGAGAAATGACGTGGTCTTTTTCTTTGATGGTTCGGAGGAGCGACTTGACCTTCTCGCCTGAGACAGCGACTTCGTGTAAGCTGGGTCGTAGGATGCGCTCGGCGAGTTCGGACGCATCGCGAGGCGTGAGCTTGAACGTCCATTCTAAAGGCCGTAGTGGCTTTGGCAGGTCGGTTTTTGTCTTCAGAAGCAGTAGTTGTGAGTTTCGCAGGTCTTGTCTGAGAAGCACGTTGTCGCCATCTTTCAGACTCTTGCCGATCTTGGACAGCAAGATGTCGAATTGGTCCGATGAGACGGACGGGTCGATGCTCGCGTGCTGACGCGCTGCATGGCTTAAGATGTCGTATTTGTCAAGGTAGCACTCCCAGATCGAGATTAAGTCGGTCACCAGAAGTGTGAGTGACTCGTCCTGGGTGGTGAAGGAGTAGAATAGCTTTGGGCATTGTTTTCGTGATGGGACCTGGAGTTCCTGCCACCCCTCGTTTGCTGAGTCGGGCATCATCGAGTCAACAGTGCTACCATCTCAAGCTCAAGGTCGGCACCCGCAGTATTCCTAGTGTACGCATTGGGGTGGCGAAGTCCAGTGGCCAGTCACTAGTCAGACAGTTGGTAGCTGCATGGCGTTCTGTGACTCCAGTGAATGTCGGTATTCACTCAATGATGAAATGGAAAGCGAGGTCAGCGAAGGACAACTTCGGCGACGGGAATATTTTATTCCAGATCTTGGCAGCAGAGTACTCGTTTTAGTACAGCAGGACATGGGATCTTCGTTTGCGAGATTTTGTCCAGAAATTCAGAGATCGATCAGTATTGAATCCGACACTTTGCGATGTATATAGGACTCATCGTTGAGGACCATGAGGCTATCTAGCATACTCGATTGCAGTTCATCGACATATTCAAACTCTAGTCACGTGATTTTGGGAATCTTGTACTGAACTCCGGAAGAGGGATAGTGCTGCTGTTTCACCATCAAAATTACCTCAAGAGGCTTAGTGTACAATTACGGTGGATCACAGAGTATCCCTTGTCGGGTTTGTCCAGCACTTTGACTTCGCGGTCATTGCACTGTTACCAGCCTCATCCCCAGTGTTTACCGTCCCAACCTTTTCTATCAAAGCCACACCTGTCGAAATTGGCGCCCTGGGCCTATGGCGAATCGTGCGTGGGATACATAGAAGATCCCCAACCTTCAATTCCGCCGTCGAATATCCTTGCCGCTCGCTCTCCGACTCCGCCGTATCAATGTAGAAAGGACCACCAGAGACACAGTAGAATACTTCATCGGTGTCTGGATGCGAATGCCAGATGAAGTCATCTTCCAAAGTCGCGAGCTTGATGGAGTGAGAACCGTTGAAGGAGAGCACATGCTGAGGCGTCCATGGTTTTGTGATTTTCGAAACTCGGTCGGGCAGGTTTTGAACTTGGTTTTCGATAGGCATGACTTTCGAAAGTACCGCAGTAAGGTGGTCGTGCTTGGGTGAGGGTGTCAAGTTACAAAAAAATGGAAGGGACGTTGATCCTGACATGCTTCCGGAAAGGCTTCGAGTATGGTCACTTGATCCATGACTAAGTTTGGTTTGTTGGGTAGATGGTCACAAAAATCTTCGCGAATGTGAACAGCTCTGGGTATATACCTGCCGCCATGACACTCTACGCTTGCGCAGTGGCAGCGCGAATGAACCAAGGTCAGGGAATCAGCACAGGTCATGTCACGAAAACTCACCACCTGCGCGAAATCTAGTTCCAGAGTTCACGATGTGACCGGTAGAATGCCAGTGTCCGCCCTTTGACGATTGCAATTTGCCAAAGGGCGGACTTTTCGATACCACCAGGCAATGGTCGAAGGGTGAATGGAAGTCACAACGGAGTTGTTGATTTTATCCTCCTTACCAATGCTGCAGCGGTGATTAATGACACCGTCGTGTTAATGGAAAAAATAATCGTCCGTTCATGGTGCATCATGGGATATGTTGGATAATGAAGCGGCCATGTAGATTTCAACGATTGGTCTCACAGTTGGAGGAACGTCATACTCTGTCTCGTACCATGTTGTCGCTAATCATTTGCTATCATCAACTGAAGATACATTGGTCACATACATATGCATTTAGACGCTGCAAGAGAAACCACTCCTACACTACTGCGGCCCAAAGATACAGTATGAGACCGAGGTTGACTTGGAACGGCTCCGTAAACGAATGAGACGACAGTGATGGAAATGCTGCTTCTTCCCGTCGTTGTTTTAGCAAGCCAATAAGACAACGTCAAAGACCAGCCTTGGCAAACAAGTTGTCTTCAAGCTCTGTCTGACTTCGACTCTCTTCCAAATTATGTATCCCATCACTTTTGCCATCAATGCTATCCTCCTGGATTATATATATATACTGCTGACGATACTAGGAAGGCTGTGCTGTTTCCCACATGTCGATCGCTGCAAAAAGCTCCGGCGCCAGCAGGTTCCGTTGAGGGATTCGTTTCAGAGGCTCGCTTGGCCGGCGCGTACCTGCAGCACACACCTGGATGCAATGTGTGCCAACCATGTTACACCGAAACCCTATACATCCTTGGTCACAGTACCGAGGACATGGTTTCTCGCTCTGAATACGTGCCCATTGACCAAAAATATTTAGTGCGTTTGCGACGACCCCGAATGCCCCTTGCCAAAGCGCCGTGACGACACTGGTCGAGGTGTCTGCCTTAATGCGTTGGAAGGGGTGGTTCTTGTCTGCATATCATACTAGTAGTCTCTGGTCGATGCCCTTTCTCATTGTGGACCACTGTCCCTTCTTCGTGGTTTCCGTTACACACGGCTTGTTCCTGCGAGACAGTCTCTTCCCGTCTCATTTGTTGAAGCCAAATTTGAAAGCAACATCGATATCATAGATTGTTTTTGGCTACAGACATGCGTTCCAAAGCCAATATCGCTAAGCAAAAGGTCGACATGTCAGGGAAGCCGGCCGTGGATGTCGTTGTCAAGGAAGTCAGAGACATGCAGAGGTTTAGTCACATCCACTGGCGAGCACCAACGATTATGGGCGCAAGCTACCTCTGCGGGTTCATTGTGATCGGAGTGCACCACGGCTTCTATCTCCTTATGAACGGAGAGCCTGCCAGCAGTGCTTTGCTCCAGTCCTGGGTCAATCGTGCTGGCACGGCATTAGCATTCCTCGCCAGACTCTGTCTGGCTATAGGGACAAGCGTTGCGTATGATCAGTGGATGTGGGTTGATCTGCATGCGAAACCGCATGACATGAGGTCCCTGGATGCGATGTTCTCAGTCCTTGGAAACTCGTTTGAGTTCTTGCACTTTCGGATCTGGTCACGCAAGCCAGCACTTGCATTCATTGCTGCCGTTACTTGGTGAGTATATTCCTTTGTCACGTTGCTATGGCACTAATAATCCTAGGCTACTGCCAATATCTGCTGTGTTTACTCCCGGAACGTTGTCTGTTCAAGCCGTGTTGCAATCCAATAACGAGAGTCTTCGAATCGGCGAACGAGCATATACCACTAACTCGGACCTCTACTGTGGTTATGGGACAGATCCGGACGGCAACACCACCTCATACGTCGAGTTGGCAACCGGTCTCTTCGTCCCCACGATGGGTACAGTGCTCAACAATGGGGTTCTGCCTGTCCAACCTTCAACAACTAACCTCACATACCACCTTCAATTCTATGCGCCCGCTGTCACGTGCAACCAGTCCAGTGATGAAGATTTTCAATTGGCGAAGGGCGCGATCCTTGAGTATGAAAACAGCACGAGTACCAAAGTCTTTTACATGGGCTGGGTTCCGCAGCCTGGCTGGGGGCCCGTGGTGAACGGCTCCTTCTTTGCTTCGGATGATGTACAGCTGGGCAACACCCGCTTAGACCTCGTGTCTCAAGATGCCGCTCGAGTATTTATATACCTCAACACGACAGGATACGATTCTTCGGGCAACCCGACACCATTCAGTGGCACGTCTTCTGCTCAGATGATCACGTGTGCGCTCTACAACGCCTCTTACGATGCCTCTTTCGAGGTAAACAGCACAGGAACGCAGCAGGTAACGGCATCTACGAAGTTTCAAAACTGGATGCCCGCCCTCGAAACGGTGCCTGGAGTTGCTCAAACCTCTCTTGTCAGCCGCCAAATGAACATGCAAGCAGTCATGGACGTCTTTGGCATGATGCTGGTTGGCCCCATCACGTTTGGACTCGATGGATCAAGAAGCATCACTTCTGTGTATGCATTGCAACTCAATCAACAGATGTATCCGGCTCAAGTCGGCGAGGACCAGACAACTCTTACTCAGCGCCAGCTGCTGCGCAACGAAGCGATGTTTCAAAACATTACTCTTAGCATGCTCTTTGGACTTGTGAATGGGTAAGTGAATCACGAAATGATTGGACAAGGTGTCGCTGACAAAGCTTTAGACAGCCTGGCGAGGACTCACTTACCACGCCAGCTGTTAGTCAATATTTCGAATCACAATTTGTGTATGAACCTCGCACGCTGCTTATTGCCTATGGGGTCAGCGTGCTTTTCGCACTTGTTTGCATTTTGATGGGAGTTCATGCACTACTCCACAATGGCGCTTCTTATACGAACTCCTTTTCAACGATTGTGAGGGTGACCAGAGACCCAGCCCTGTCAAGGTTGATTGCAGATGAAGGAGATCTGCAGGGTGCTGAACCTGTGCCTAAACACGTCCGAAGGGTGGTGCTTCGGCTTGGACGGAGCGCGAAAGTCTTACCCAGCAATTCTCCAGCCTGGATATAGGGGTCTATGTCTCTCTCTTTGTAGAAGCATCCGAAGACTGTGTCGAATTTTACGTTGTGACGGAAGTCTTTACAGGTGCTGAGTGCTGATCCTAAGGGGGCCATTCTCAGATGCCCGGGACGATCCCTGCTCGAATGATCGGCTAAGCCAGCCCTTTTAGGACCTTGTAGACTACTTAGACCTTGTACAATACATACTATACTATCTCATGAATGATGATGTCTGGCCACCGAAATCCTGGCCTGATGTGGTTCGGCGGAAGCTACTTTCAAGTCAATAGACCAGCGGCTAAACTTCTTCCCTGGTAGGCACGCCCAGATGATGACAACGGAGGGATGGCCTGGATAAATTTGATATTTGACAGACAGAAACCATTCCAAGCATATGGGGCTCATCGCCGACAGAACTTCGCATCATTTTGTTTGACGACAACTTTCTACGCTATTCCATGTCGGGTAATCACGATCATGCCAGCATCTGCCAGCACGCAACCTCGGCCTCACCTTATCTCGGAGGAAGTGTGGCCATCATTACACATCATAAGGAAGTCTAGATATACACCAACGCAAAGCTTCATGATGCTTGCCTTGCCAATCGACATTCGCTGACGAAACAGCTGCGGGCGCTTCGCCGAACGTTGATATCCAAATATTCAATGTTTATCTCTCGGTGAATTGGCCGATTCTCACACCTTCTGACCATGTCATGTTAGCTGCACTCGCATGTTTGGTATGAAGAAGACTAGGACCTTGTGTACTATATTTGGGACTCCAGAAAGACCTGTGCGCCATCATGTCATCAACACGTGCCAAGTGGACGCGGAGCAGGACCGGCTGCTGGACATGCCGGAAAGCTGGCTACAAATGCGACGAAACCAGACCTGAATGCGGACGATGCAAGAGGCTGAGCATCACCTGTTCAGGTTACGGCAACAGAGTCATCTGGCGAGACACAGCGACCGTAGAATCAGGCACGCGGAAGAGGAAACGCAAGACCGCCTCGGAAGCATCACCAGGTATCTCTGAAGAGCGACAATCTGCCACGCCTTCTGCTCTCAGCACTATCTCTTCAAGCAATGACTCGCCAATATCCCTGCGCTCGCACGAAACATCAATAGTTCTCACACTGTCACCCGGGAGAACACCCTCTGATATACCTCCAGGCATGGGACTCGAAGATTACCAATTCCTTCATCACTGGACGACTGTAGTATCTCCAATACTCTCAGTCGCCTCCAAAACCGAGCACAATCCATTCAGAGAGCACCTTACTCCCATGACCTATAACATCGGTCCCCTACGCTACACTGTCCTATTCTGTGCTGCGAAGCACCTCTCAGCACTCCATGGCCAGCAGTACGGAGGCAAGCAGATACTCCGCTACCAAAATCTCGCGCTTCGCCATCTGAACGAAGCCCTTGGCAGCTCAAACGAAGCCACCTCAGACTCAACCCTTGCATCGGTGTTATTGATGCAATTGAGCACCCTTTTTGCCTCAGATGAGGAGCCTCGGGCAGACCACCTGAATGGGGCGAAATGGATCATCACGAAGCGTCGCGGTTTGTCCTCATTATCAGACTCTTGCGGAAGATTCCTGGAAAGTCTCTTCCGATACCACGATGTCATGTCCTCCATCACTCGTGGTGAAAGTCCGCTTCTCGATCACCAGGACGACTTAAATGTCGATGGCGACGAATTTCTAGGAGACATCGCACCACTTCTAGAAATCATTTCCCACATCAGCATGCTACAGCCACGCAAGCAGGTCGTTGACCAAGACTTGGACGATATCGGCCATGAGGACCTAATTGAGTCGGTCCGCCTTGCCAAGGGCATGGAGCTCGAGACTCAGCTCAAAGATTGGACAGGACCGTCAGACGACCCGGATTGGCTCAATTTGGCCGAAGCATTCCGCCATGCCGCCTTCATCTACCTCTATCGTGTCATCTACAACATCGGGGCACCCCATCCCCTCACCCTGCAGCATGCAAAATGCTGCCTCGATGCCGTGAGACTGACCCCATTGATGTCACCATTAGTGTCTGTTCACGTCTGGCCAATCTTCACGGCTGGATGCGAGTCCATCGATCCTTGGGATCGGGCTTTCTGCCGTCAACGGTTACAAGACATGTTCCACAAGCGCAAGTTGCTTTCACTACTACGAGTCCAGCGTGCGATGGAAGATGTATGGTCCCGCAAGGACCAGGAAGCCCTCCATGGTGCCGACCAGGTGTGCAGGGTCGACTGCATCGCCGTGCTCAAACAAAAAGGAAGAGAGGTAGAACTCGGCTGATATCAAATTATTGTCCTTGTCTGGACGATTTTACGATGAGACGCCCAGACTGACAATGGTCGCTTTTCAATCATTCAAATATCCTACTAAGCGCATGCTGCAAGAACACAAGAAATCAAGTTCCTTCGATTCCACATCTACGGCAGCAGAGAGAAGTCATGATCGTGTCTTCCTTGAAGATAATTATAGTCTTCATCCACCCACTCAACACACGGAACCAGCCGTCCCCAATTGATCTTTCCCTTCAAGCTCTTTGGCAAGAAGAACGTCTGCTTACTCCGATACCAAGCCGGAAAATGAATCGTCACCAACATCACTCTCGGGTCGTCGGTCTGGTTCGGCATACCAGCATGCCACAGCCGGAAATCACGAATGATCAACGACCCTTTCGGCAGCGTCGGCTGGAGAGGTGGACTGATCCTGCGGCGCTCCTCGATCAAATTGCGACGAACTCCGTCGCCGGACAGCTCGGGTGCGTCAGACGAGTTGGGGTCTGTGTCCGTGTGACTGCCTAGCCAGATCTCGGTGGCACCGTTCTCTGGAGATGTGTCAACGAGGTTGACGTTGATGCAGAGCCCAAACGGGATCTTGGGGAAGTCGAAATGCACATCGACATGAACGGGTTGGCGACTGTCGGCTTTGAAAGCGGTGTTGGCGCTGTAGAAGCGCATGTGCGGATTTGGCCCGAGCATGCATTCGGTGATGGACACGGCCCAGGGATTGGCGATGATATCGTCGAAGACGTACCCTGGTTCGACTACGGGTTCTTGCTGGATGTTACCTGTACGGGGCCCGAAGTTGCGGTGCGTGTCAGGGTTATCGTAGAGGATTTGGGCTTCTTTGACCATACGCTCGTTTAGTTTATCGAGGTGACTCGGGTCGATGGCGTTGGTGATGGCGCAGATTCCATCGCGATGGAGTGCCTCGATGGCTTTTTGTAGATTATGTGATGAGATTTGTTTGCTTTCGAGTTCTTGTGGTGAGAGCGTTATTTGCACGAGTTGAGGTTGCGGAGTTGCAATCATGAGGGGCAACGATGGCACCGAAGTTCGAGGTGCGTTCTAATGGTATTGTGCACTAAAAAATCGCAGCCCTCTGAAGCATTTGATACTTTTTATGAATCTGGGGTGAAGTGGGGAGGCGTGATCAGTTACGTGGTTGTTTATGCCATCAGAGGAGGAGAGGGCGTTATCGTCGATGATTGTCCGCTTGCAGTAGTTGCCTCATGTGGTGATGCAGGGTCGTTTCGACTGCTAAAATTGCCGCATCAAGTCTAGTTCGATATCCCAGGCTGTTCTGACTAATCGCCTGGCATGAAGCGGCGACGACGGTCTAAGTCCTAGTTCTAGGTTACACATCCTGACATGATAAGATGACGCAGACTGATACGGTCTGAAGTGCATAAGCCTGTTCAATGGTGGTATTCAGAAACCCTTTTGTCATTTTGGTCAAAGCCTGCCTCACATTCGCACCCTCCTGAACTGATACCTACCACTCCGTGTGTGCTACGGAACAGTATATATCATGGCAGCAATACTGAGCCTCTCGAACTCTAGCGTTTCATGATCTTGTAGGACTCATCACTGTGCAGCACTCTTGCGTCTTCTTTTAAGCTCTTCGCACGAAATACTGATAGAGCCCTTGCCCATGACCGCTCAGGGGATATACTAGTACCATATGCGTGACAGGCCCTGAGGACGGCAGACATCGATTTGATGATTTCCTCCCAGCCCATCGTAGACTTGAAGCACAGAAAGGGGGACAGGATCATGATTGATGCCTCAGGCACTCGCCACTGTTGTCGATTTTTCTGAAATACCTCAAACAAGTGTCTCTCAATCGCTCGTATGGCGTATTGGAAGTCGCGCCGCTTATGTTGGAGGTCTATCGCATCCCGCGCAAGTCTGTCTTCAATGCTGCTGCCTGCTCGTGATCGACATGATGGCAAACACAGAGTTGCAGTCGATGTGAAGATCTCTCAGGACGAAATCAGGTGCTCCGACTGATCCTGATCAGATCAGATCGTGGGAAAATTTTCGGTCAATGGAGTCGGGGAGCTGGCTGTTGAACCCGATGGCAAACCGTTCTTTCTCTCTGAGAGTCACTGATCCACATGGAAATCTTCGGAATGTCGCTCCGGGTGCATCTGAGCAGCTCAAGTTGGTTCCCTTTGGTCAGATAATTGAAGGCATAACTGCGAATCGGTTCGAGGAGTTGGCTCTCGGTCTCGATGGAGCAAACTAGCCTTCTCTCTTGGACCCTTCAGTCAATGGTCATATATCTTTGGAACGAGATGAAGTCGCTCCGAATGACTCTGGTGGGGTCGTGCAATTGCGATCAGATCTGCTCGTCCAAAGACTTTTCGGCCAATTGATTCAAATAGGTGCTCTTGATCTGGATGGAAGACCCGTCATGTTCGCCGTAAAGTGCCGTCGGCGAAATCTTTGAGCGGGCGAGTAGATCTGACATGGGTCGGGTGGGTGGGTCAGATCTGGTAACCGTTGGCTCGCGTGGGCCACACGTTCTTCAACGGCCATAGTGGAGCTGCACACGCAAAAACACGACTGAACCATCGGTTTGCCATACAAGGGTGGAGGTTTTGATATCTCCTCTCGCCGTTTCAGCCTCGCCGCTCACCATCCGTCGCCTTTTGACCACACCACCCAAGTAGTTGACTTCGCGCATCTTCTGGTACTCATTCAGACCCAAAACATGTTCAAGCATCATGCGCGGTTCACTCAGACATTTTGGAAGAAAGCAGAGGGCTTGGCCGGTCCCTTTGCCCTATATATCCCTGCTTTTCCCTCGATCCCTCATAGATTTTTTTTCTTCCTTCGAACTCACTCACACAAAGCCAGAAGCAACACATACCATCAAGATAAATCACACTCCAGTTCATCAAGATGGGTTGCTTTCAAAGTAAGTCTGCCTCCCTCGAGCCTGCCCCTGCTCCTCGCCCTGTTTACTTGAACACTCCCCCTCCTGCCTCTTCTGCCTCCTCGCTGGCAAGTAGCACCGGCCAGGGTAGTCGGGCTCAGCCGGCATCCTGCGCTCCGGCACGTTACTCCAGTAGCTGCTACTCTCCGACTCCGTCGGCTCATCGCAGGTGGCTGTACAGTGAAGACGATCTTCGAAGGTATTTTGGGAGCTCGTCGACCATCGCTGTGCCTTCGATCAAAATCCCTGAGAAAAAACGTGTGCGCTTTGCTCTCCCATCAAGGACTAGCTCACACGGCTCAGGCAAGGGCAGCGGTGTATGAACCCAAAATCCTGAGAAGTCGTCCCAGCTGGGCAGTCACGGCGTTAGGTCGGTGGATGTTCGCAGGGTAAAGGCGTGCGGAGATGTCGAGGTAGGGGGACAAGGAGTGGGATGGTGGACTTGGAGTTGAGTATGGTGGTTGTGTGAGAGGTGGTAGACTCACTTGTCATGGCGTGAGTACAGATGCTTTGAGAGAAAAGAAGATGACGCGCTCAGTACCGAAAAGCATTGGGTTCCTTGGAGTTTGTTTTTTGCGTGTGTTTTCAAGGCGTTCGGGGCGTACTGGCGTTTAGGCGTTAGGGGCGTACGGCGTTGGCGTTGGTGGCGTTTGGGCGTTCGGGGCGTACTGGCGTTTAGGCGTTGGGGGCGTACGGACGGAGCTTCGGGGCGTACTGGCGTTGGCGTTTCGGCGTTGGCGTTGGGGGCGTACGAGGTGTTTGCTTTTAGCCCTGCGATGGGAGGCACCTTCACGTGGTGCAGGGTGTGAGTAGCAGCTATGCTGTGAAACCAAGACCTCCCTTGTACATAGCAACGTTTGTATCATCTTCGCCATGCACGAGGTGTTGGAGGAGTGCGAGATTGCGAGTCATGGTCCAGGTTGACTTGTATTTGCTTTTCATCATCGTCTTCGCCTTGTGCGAGGTGTTGAGGAAGAGAGAAACTCCGAGTCATGGTGGAGGTTAACTTGGCCAGGCTGTTGCTGACATCACAACATCATTGCATGTTGTCCTCACCGTCGTTGATGTATATCGAATTGACATCCCGCTGCTATCACCTCGCTGTCGCTATGCTGGCGTAGTTCATCACCCTTTTAGCTATTGCTACCAAGGGCAACGTTGTCGTTCAAGCACCATGCCATAGCTGAGTTTGGTTGACTTCACGCTCGCCGAAGACATATAGTGAACGTTCGAGTGCCATGAACTTCTTGCCGATTGTTGGACATATGCAGAGGGAGTGAGGCGCCATTCCTTCCATGTGGATGTAAGTCTAGACTCAAGGAGGTTGGAATTATGTTTTACAGGCCATCGGCAGATGCATGCACGGGTCATTGGTAGTGGCTGCCAGGCAACTTAGGCGAGGATGTCGCCAAGCATGCTGAAACAACGCCTATTAGCCTAGTCTATAGTATATCTTGTAGTTAAAAAGCACACCTACATGTACGAGTACCGAGCTAAAGTCCAACTTCGTGCTCTAAGTATTTACAAGTACCAGTCAGCATCTTTCACATTCTTCGATCCCCAATGTGTGGCTATGAGAAGTTCACAACCATCATTCGGTATCCCAATGAACTGACAGACTGCCAGTCAACATCATCCTCATGTGTGAAGCGGTCGAAATGTCCGAAGGCACCTCGAAGCCATACTCCTCCAATTACCTTCTACCCTAAATAAAGGTTCACGACTATTGCTAGCGTTGCAACCGCCGCCTGTCAATCTAGTCACAGCGAGAACAGCCTACGCCGAGGTCATCTGAGGGTAAAGCAGAACCTTCACCCACCGGTTTCGCCCATATGCAGCTCCTCTCATCTTGCAAGCTAAAGAGGGCCCCTCTGCCATGGCCTCTTCCCGAGGGTTGACCCAACACGATCGACCTCAATAGCATAGTTGGGCGGCAGAAAGGACGGAACACCATCTCTGACTACAAAGTCGCTCTCGAATTGTCCTGTTGCGGGTTGCTGCCACGAGCTAGCAGCGACCGGGAGGGCAGGATCAATAACAGGTCCTTGTACTCAACCGGGTACTCTACTCCAGTCCTTCTCCAACAGAACATCCCACACGCCGGCCTCTTTACTAGCAAGAGATAGGACCTTTCGTTCTCGCCTCCAAGGAAGATATACCGTTCAGCTCTTGACGACAATGGTGAGGTGTTGTTTGGCCTTTGGGCCAAACGATGGCTTTATTTTCATGTCCCCAACGAGGTGGTCCTCCCAGAATTTCCCCAGTGAAATTTGTGACCTAGCAAGAGGCCCTCCAGCATGCAAAGAAATCTACGAGGTCGCTCTTGCCCCCAATGGCGCATTTTGCGTCATCTACAGTGCAATGAACGGGCAGATGATGTTAACCAGAGACCGACTGCCGAACGATCTCGAAACATGGCTCGTTCCGATTTCCGGAGGCGGAGTCTCTGCTGCACGAGACCTACCGACCTTGAATGTCTGTCTTGGGCCCAATGAGTCCTTCTTCGCCTTTGACAAGAATGGTGCGATATGGGACGGCCTTCCTGACGCATTCGAGACAGCGTTGGTGGGCTTACGAACCTCGTATGGAAGTTTCTTGCCCGGCAAGGATCCTCAAGGTGTTTCACTTGGTGCAGATGATACCTATATCATGACCACCGTCGATGGAGGAGGAATCTGGGATCTCCGCGGCACGAATGATTTTCTTCACAACTATCTCTCACAACTGAAGACGAGGAAGAATCTGGTAAGTATTTCCTCGGCAATCAACCTCTGGGAGCGCACTGCTAAGACCTCTCGAAGACTTTCGTCCTTTCGCCTTGTCACACCGGCACGTCATTGGTCATATCTACAGATGGAGCCACTTCAGCCAATGTACCCCCGTCGACCCTTCCTTATTGCCGAGATTTCCAGAACGACTGGAGAGACTCGGTCCATCGGGAGAAGAGGCAAGTGAGCTATGGTAACGCCGCTCACCAAGCTAGTCATATTGCTAGCGGAGGCATGCACGCCGCGCAACATCTCTACAATGCTGTGAATGACAATGCCAATAATTTTTCCAACGCGGGCGGTGGAGGCGGCGGTGACAACAGCGGCTTCTGGACGGACACATTTGGAAACATCCTCAACAATGCCGGGAGTACAGACCCCAGCAGCTTCTGGGATCCCATCTCGAATGTTGCGAGTGCTTTCTTCCAGTGAAGCATATTCACGCCGTCACGGTCTGACGGGACGAAGTCTCTTGTGGAGGCATTTACGGGGACTGCGTTGTTGATGACTACTGAACCATTCCGTTGGTGTCTTTTTGCCAGCACGGACAGCATATCAGCGAAGCGAGGAGCATGAGGAGCAAAAGTACCGGCAGTTATTATTGACAGATTTGAATGACAGAAGCCAAAAGATCTAGACCCTGAAGTTCATCTCGGTGCATAAGTCTTGTAAAATTGACAGGTTGACGGGCGGGCAGCCACGGAAGTCATGGACCATATGGCAGGTGATGGTAATCTAAGCATCCGGATAAGCGATCCTGTGTCATAGCGCCAGTACTTAACCCCAGGGTGTTGTTGAAGCCCAGGGTAAAGTCAGCATCAAATATAGAAATGATCGGAATCCTGGTAGCCTGCTCTAAGAAACAATGGACAATACATGCTTGTAGGCCGTGAGATTCATGATTCCATCAAAAAGGGTTGGGATATGTAGTAGCTAAACGATGCATTTCCTGCAGATTCCAAGTTTCAGTTCAATTCGTTGCAGAAAATGTTCTCGTCATTTTTTGATACATGAAAAATTATGTTCCCTATACCCATGCCTAATGCTAAAGTGCCCCCGATGCTGCGTGCCGAAAAATAAGGTATTTGGTATATGCTAGGTTGTCCGTCTGTGTACACCCATTCGTCCAGAGACATGCAGTGTCTACTGGTGAGCAGCACGCAGCAGAGCCGTGTCAACAGATCGCTTGGTAGCGACCGTGGTAGACACGGTGACGTTGGAGGTGGCGCACTTCTGGCCGAACGACTCGAGCCATGCACCGTTGTCGAACTCGGCGTAGTTCTTCTGGACCTTGCCCTCAGAGTCGATGAGCATGTGATTGATGCCGTTGACAGGGTAAGGAAGGGAAACGATGCGCCATCTCCAGGTCACGCTGCTGCAGTCGTGCCAGATGTTGAGCGTGTTGACGGTAACTTCGGGTTGCAAGACACCCTGACCGTAGTCGAAGGCCGCTTTGCTGGCAAAGGTCACGGAACCGAGCTGATACAAAAATCAGTAAGAGACAACCTCTTCACAGCAATTGAATACTTACAGGGAAACCAGCCATGAAGTTGATGGAGTCGGAGGTGTCGGTGAAATCAGACGCCAAAGTCGCGTCCGAGACAGCCTGCTTGTAGCCGCTGCCGGCCGGGAGACCCTCCTCGGCATTTCCAGCGTAGGAAGTGAACTCGAGCAATTGGGTGAAGTTGGCGACAATCGCGCTGGCCAGAGCGTCGGTGACGACGCAGGTGGATGATGCGGCGCTGGAGGTAGTGGTGGTGGCAGCAGTGGTGGAGTAGCCAGAGCCTTTGCCGGAGCCCGATCCCTTGCCAGAGCCGGATGTCTCAGTGACGGTGACGGTGACGGTAGAAGCACCGGAGCCAGATCCCTTTCCGCCAGCAGTGACGGTAACAGTTGCAGCAGCAGGGCAGGTTGTGCCGGAGACAACGGTGGCAGGACCGGTAGGAACAACGTAGACGGTCTTGGTGGTGGTGGTTGGTGCGATGGTGGTGGTCTTCTCGACTGTGTAGCCAAATACCGAGCAGGCGCTGGAGTAGGCTGCGGTGCCGCAAGCACTGGCGTAGTTGGGCACCTCGTTAGGGCAGACGGTCACGCTGGCGCGCTTCCAATTGGACTTGCCTGCAGAGCCGGTGATGGTCGACGTGACGGTGACGGCAGGAGGAGTAACAGTGGTGACCAAGAAGCTTGCGCAGTGTGATCCTCGAAGGCCAGCATCACCAAGAGCAGCCGGGCCGGTGACAGCAGCCAAGCATGCATCGGAAGCCGAGCTCGAACCCCATGAGTCACGTTGTTCGAGTGGGTTAGCAAAGGAACCACTGACCAGAGCGGCCAGTGGCAGGGCGTAGGCAAGATATTGCATTTTTGCTGTAATAGTACGAATGTATTTGCTGTAAAGAGCGGATAAGGTCTATGACCTTGAAATATCAAGACGAGCTCAAAAAAGAGTGGATGATTGACAAAGTTCAATCGGTGAGGTTTTGCGAGCTGGGGAAGTGTAAGAGAGACAGGAAAGACAGCGTACTTATGTTGACGCTGAACCCGATGCCAGGTTGGGTTGCCTTGAATCAGCACATTGTGGCAGAAGTAGCAGATGGAGCCAGCCACGAGGGCGGCCGCAGAGTTTGGGAACAGCGTCAAGATGGTGAGCCAATTTCACAAGCGAGTCCTTCAGCGTGAAGCCTTGTGTTAAGCTTTGCTTGAATAGGAGTTGGACCCATAGGGATTGATTCGGAGGCGGCTGCCGAGCGATCAAATGCGGATGGATCGCGCGGCAACTTTGCGGAGCTTCCACGGCTGAGACTCCATTCAATGGATGAGTCCGATGTTTGATGGGCGCCAGAAGAAAGGCTCGCGGGTGTTGATGTCCTGGCAGCTTTCAATCTTCAACCCCGGGGTGATTAATCTTAGTTTTGAGCGTTATGTGACAGGTATGATGGCATATCATCTGAAGTGGTCTGTACAGCCTCGCATTGAACACGTCTGGGGATTGCATACATAGTCACAACGACACTGTGATCTGCGACCAGGACCCCAACAAATCCTACCGTTCGGTAGCGCTAATGGCAAAAGCAAGGCAGCATCTGTTGACCTGCGCAGTCCAGGAGAAGCACAGTGAAGAAGACCATGGTTGGTGGTTGTTTCCCCTGAAGGGGGCGATTGCTCTAAACTGGATACTCGCCAAGCCAGGAAGGCTGCCTCCTGCCCAATCGGCGGGTGGTCTGGTGTTTGAGGCGGAAACCATCTCAAGCCTGCTTTTTTCACCCGTATGCAATTTCGTCCAACACGAGCAATGAATAACAACACGCGAAGGATTTCTGCTTTGTCAAACCCGTGGGCTGCCTGACGTCCTTAGGGTCGAGGGACCAGGGAAGGCGTGGTGACTATATGACTCGTGTTGCGTAGATTGCGCTTCGAGGCGTGGAAGACGTATGTACCTGTCCGAGCATATGAGTGATTGATTACCCAGACCGGCCCTTTATTGGAACATGATTGCCCACGACCAAGAACCGTCATGGCTAGGACCTGTGGCTGTAATGGATTACATGAAGTATCCTGTTAGGTAGCGCCTCGCGCTTTGTTGTTCGTGAACCGCGTCTGGCCTGTTCTAGTGGCCCCATGAAAACTACCTTGGTACTATGACGAAGGATGAATTAGCCGAATGATCCATCCCAGAAGCTGATCAAGACATCTTTGCTGGGGAAGTGAAGGATCGCGATATTCTGGGTCAGTGTTCCCGGTGATCACTGCAGGGGCGGGGAGAAATTGGCTTCCCCAAGCTTTGAGGTGGGTATCAAACCTGGCCATGGCCGTTTCACCTCCAGAGCCTCAAGTCAGAAGGGTCTTTGGGCGTTATGAAGATACGATACACCTATACAGGTGTATTTCAGCATCGCGAGACTGTCATTGCGTTCGGGAAAGCCCTGCATGGCGTATATCGATAAGTCACTACGCACTTTGATTGATGGCTGCTGTCAATTTGGTGTCTTCGTGTAGTATTAATCTAGACGCCAAAAGTCACTTTCATTACAATTTACGCTATTTCCAATGTAGATTAGACTAGCCGCGGGAGGAGAAATTCTGATTCTCAGAACGACAATTTTTCCGAGTCATCTCAAACTTGATCGGGATTCGACGCCTGGGGGAGATTGCACCGCGGCGAAAATCAACTTTGGCGTTGCTTTTACAACACAAATCCCATCTAAATCGCTCGGAGCTCGCGTACCTGGAACCGTCGCAACGCTACGAAACGAGTCGGCACCCGCTATAACGTCACGCAAACCCTCACTATTGATTTGGGCTACGGAGAGCGTGACCGCCCCCGCCAGACGACGGCCTAGGGAGTGATATGAGAACACCCAGGTCCGCATGTCGGAAAGCCCTGTGACTTCGGAAGAGCCCACGGCTCTTTTCCAATTTGAAGAAGATCCGGGGTCGTTGCATGGTAAGTGCGTCAGGTTGGTGTCCAGAATCCATCATACCCAATCTCGAATGTTTCTGTTTCCTGTTTCCAACCAATTCAACGCAGTGCATGATCTTCCTCAGCTCTATCAGAAACCCTCAGCATCGGCTCTGCTGGATACACTGAAGCTCTTGTCCCACGAGGCACTGTCATTCTCGACCTCAAGCAAAACGAGACCGCAAAAGGTAGATGAACAAGGCGTGCCGAGATATCTCACCACGATTGTCTCATCAAGCCTCAACTGGATCGAGGATGACGATGCCAAAGAATCGATATGGGACGCCGCCAGCGCCCGGCTCAGTGAGCGGTCAGGCAGAACTGCTATGCCTGCAATGACCAGGACATTCGTCGTCAACGAGGAACTGGCTATAAGTCTCCATGAGCCCTCTCTCACCGAAGATAACCTAGGCTTGAAGACATGGACCTCCTCACTCCTTCTGGCACAACGACTCGCAGAATGTCGTAAGCACATCCCAAGTGACTGCTCGCGAGTTTTGGAGCTAGGATCTGGCACTGGCCTAGTCGGCATAGCAGCTGCTTGCATTTGGAATGCTCAAGTTCTACTGACCGATTTGCCGGAGATCGTACCAAATCTGCTACAAAACCTTGCACTGAACCGCGACGTGATCGAAAAGCATCGCGGCCAAGTAAGCGCAAGGACGCTCGACTGGGCTGACCCGACGGACCTGCCTCGAAATGCAGAAGGAAGGTACATGGTTATTCTCGCAGCAGACCCTATCTATTCACCAGAACATCCAAAAATGCTTGTGAGCACAGTCAGTCGATGGATCTGTCCAGACCCCAATGCCAGATTCATTGTCGAATTGCCCTTGCGAGATCGTTACGAATATGAAAGAGAGGATCTACGGCAGACGTTGCGCAGCTTTCATTTTGATCTCGTTGTTGAAGGCACCGACACTGGCCATGATGATTGGCATGATCGTGATGGCAACCAGGCTGTAGTAAAATGCTGGTGGAGTGTGTGGAAGCCGTCGGATAGTATCTGAAATGGGCGATATTCCTCAAGGCTCCTCTAGCCGCATGCAGTTCTGCTGCCCTGCAAATGTAGATGTTCTCTACCACTTCAGAATGGTACCCTTGTCCTCCGCAAGATACTTCATTAAGCCATCTTCTGTTGTGCGCCGGTCTTCTGGACTTGTGACTCAGTCTACCCACGGGAAAAACCGCGCGCGTTTCTACTGATCGCTTCTCATAGGGCAAAGCCTCATCCCAGTCATCCGTAACGCCATGCTGATATGATAACGCCAATGTATGCAAAGATTTTCTCCGATCGTTCCATAACAGGTCCTGACGTCGCCCAACCTTGCAATCTCATGACATAAAAAGTGTGATAGTAGGGCTGATTCTACTGCGCCTTGAGTCTTCGTTCCGCAGGATCGTATCTGTTCCAAGTGTCAGCCAACTTGACCATCCCTTGGCCCCATCGAGGAAAATCACGCACTGTAGCAGCTTTTCAATCAAGTCCACGTGTGTCATCAGCATACGCCTGCAGCAGTATCGTTTTGCGCCGACTTGGTCCATCGCTTCACTGTAGGAGTATTAGATGCAAGTCCAAGGGGAGGTCGATCGGAGCAGATCAGAGGTGTCGAACTAACCCATCAGGCATGCCTCCCTCGAGTAGCTTCATGTAGCGTTCCCAAAGGTCGGCAATCACCTACAAAAGTCATCTGGTTAGTCTCGTACAGACGGGTCGCGGGAGGGGTCACTGTACCTTTCCACAGGAGAAACAACGGATGGGGATAATCATCTTGCTGATGATCGCCGAAAGTCCCAGGAGTGAGTAGATCAGGTAGCAGATTAGGACGTGCGGGAATCTTGAGTGAGAGAGATTTACAAGTGTTTTGTCTTCTTGCAAAATGGCGTCGCAGGAGGCAAGACAAGGCTGCGCTCGGACAAAAAAAATGCGGCAAAGTTTCCCATTTTCGCCGTGCGGAGAAAAAAAGTTCACTGTGAGGTTGAGATGCACTCGCAAAGAGACTCATTCTTCAGTGCCTATGTAGGGTATGCACCGATCTCATAATATGTCTGCAGTTGCCTGAGATCAAAATACAAGCTATGTCACAATCCGTCAAGCGTGACGCAGGCACTGCCTTTGAAGATGCGGTCAACGACAGTCCTCATACTTCCAAGCGGTCGAAAAAGAGGGCCGGCCGCAAAAGCGCTGATCAAGATGCATTGAAGCCAGACACCGACGGAACCTCTGCTTTTCCAGCGACTCCAGAAAAGATCAGCAACGGAGAGTCGCAAGATGTCCTTCATAAGAAGTCCAGTCCAATCCAGGACGCATCACCGAAGCCATTGCCTGCGGCCGACCACAAGAAAGCTAAAAACTCACCGCGCAATACGAAAACACTGATGGAGGAGCCTGGAAAGAAGGCAGACAACATAGCCTTAGGCAAGTGGGAGGTCACTGCACCGGACAATGCGAAAGCTCTGGTCCCAAAGAATAAAAGTCCAGCAAAACCCTCAGACTCGCAAGTCTCGAAATCAAAAAGGCAGGACCCAGCACGTACCTCGGGGTGGTCTCTATCACGGGCCAAAGGTGGTATATTCATTGCACAGGATCCTATCTTGACGCAAGATGACCAATATCTGATCTTGCCCACCTTTTCCGAGGTACACGTGTATGCCGCCAAAACATCTCTCTTGGTCAGAAGTTTTCAGGTCGACAACAAGTCGGACATCACGAGCTGTGCTCTTTCAACAACGGATCCGAAGCGACTGTATGTATCGACCTCCAGAGGACTCCTTTCAGTATGGGATTGGACTTCAGGCAAGACACTGGGCAAACATGATACGAAGAGAGGTCTATACCAGATTCTTCCTGTTCAGTCGAAAGATGGCAAGGAAACTGTCTTAGCCTTACAAGAAAACGAGGGAAAGGGCCAGTCAATCGTTGCATACACTGTGGACGACTCACAAAAGTTTGCAGAGAACCGTACCATACTACGAAGGACATCAAGACATTCCAGGATCAAGGCATATGCACAGGGAAGTATCCTGGTGGTCGCCGCAGTCGACAAACTGTTAATTGCCCAGTCACAAATTACAGCAGATGGTGATCTGGACCTTGACTACACCTGGAGAGAAACAACTGTTTCAGGAACGATTGTCAGTTTCGACGCGTATATCAACCTAGGGAAGTCAAGGAACACACGGAAAATTCCCATTCTGGATGTCGCCGTCGGCCTACACAATGGAGTCATTGCTCAGTACGAAGATGTTCTGTCCAATCTGATCGCAAAGGAGAAGAAGAGCTCCACCGAGAGCGTGATCACCCGAAAGCTGCACTGGCACCGGACAGAGGTCAACACGGTGAAATGGTCGCGGGATCGCAACTATCTTATCTCAGGAGGCAACGAGACTGTGCTCGTCATCTGGCAACTGGATACAAACCAAAAGCAATTCTTGCCTCATCTCTCGACGTCTATTCTCGGTCTCACGGTGTCTGCTGCAGGATCAGCATATGCATTACGGCTGGCTGACAACTCTGTCATGGTCTTGCCAACAGCCGATCTACTTCCCTCCACGAACGTCACTGGTCTCGCCTTGGGAGACATTGGACTTTCTTCATGTCCAGTCATTCTACATCCAAATATGCCAAATCAACTACTGGCGGCTGTTCCAGCCAATCCTGTAGTGAAAGACCTAAAGAGAGGCCAGAGCACTACGTTCCTGCAGTCGTACGATGTAGAGTCGCATTTTCAGACGAACCGACAAGCTCTGACGCGGAATATGACAACAGCACTGAACGTTGGTCCGGACGGTCAGTCAATTCAAGAACCCAATGTTACAGAGATTGCTGTCAGTCACGATGGAAAGTGGTTGGCAACTGTGGATGAGTGGCACCCACCCGCCACAGATGTCGATCCCATGTATCTCGATGCCGACGGTCCGGAAACTCGTGGTGCAGATACGGAAACAAGCTTGAGGATATGGACTGCCCATGATGGCGGCAACACCTGGGAACTGGTGACACGAATTGACGAGCCACACAAACCTGGACCACACTCTGTGCTTGGGCTGGCAGTAAATCCTGTGAGGCTCGAAATGGCGTCCATTGGTAGCGATGCAGCAATTCGCATATGGTCACCCAAGGCAAGACACCGGAACGGGGTCGCGGTCAGGAACGCATCCAACGAGCAGCTATATACTTGGACGTGCTCCAGGACCATACACTGCGAACAAGACTCGGTCGGCCAAAGTGCTGCACCCACATCTGCCTCGCTAACATATTCGGACGACGGCTCCGTACTTGCTACTTCGTGGTCGGGGCCGGCCTCCTCTACTCGCTTTGTCCACTTACTCGATCCCAAAACTGGTCAAATCTGCGCCTCTCAGCCTGATCTCATACCACAGGGTACTGCCAAGATCGCGTTTGCCGGACGTTATTTGCTGTGCCTCTCACGCACATTCACCGTGTTCGATACACTGACTACGCAGACCATTGCCACCGTCGATCTCGACCCCGATTTTGTCGCTCCACAAAGTCAGAGCCCGAGCTACATTGCGGTCAACAAGTTTGATGGCACAGTTGCCATCAGCATTTCGCGTGCTCGGAAGCCTGGAAGCACGAAGCTTGTCGTCTTGAGAATCAGTGAGGGTGAAGTTAGATCTCTACACGAAGCCTCCTTCACGGGGGCTCTGAAAGGCCTACTTGCACAATCGACGCTGCCTGGATATTTGATGATTGATGATCGGAACCGCGTGCGGTCGCTCAAACCCTCCGGTATGATTACTACTGCGTTGAGATCTTCCCGGAGTACTGGCTTGGAGAATGAGCAAGTCAGCAGGAGCTTAGACAGCATCTTTGGTCGCGGTGGAGGGATTGCAGCTACGAACGGGGTCGTGGACAATGCAGAGTCAGGTGGCCGTGATGAGACTCTGGCAATCACTGCTGGCGCGACCTCCTCCGCACGAGATCTTGATTCTGTGTTGAGCATTGTGTCATCAACGCAGGCACCAAGTCCGGCTGATTTGTTTCAGAGAGTGCTGAGTGCTCTAGCGCAGAAGTGAAGATTGTCTAGAGGGGGCCATCGATAGAATTAGTGCAAACTGAGTCAGCCGATAGCCAAAATACCAACAAGGCTATCTATCGAGCCTGTTTCCAGAAAAAGTGGCACCGTCTGACAGGGCGCACATCAAAGACACAAGTTTGAGGCCAAGCTGGCTCACAACAGCGGATGCCTCGACAGCAAGATAGAAGCACTGTACGGTAGAGCTGATGGTCTCCTTTCTATCAAAGGCGCAACGCTATCGTTGTGTGCGCAGGACTCTGGGATGACAATAAGGATGGTATTCATTTAAACCTGACCAGCTACAGCGGTCAGACGGTGCCACTTTTTCTGGAAACAGGCTTGATGGATCCGACCTTTGCTACCCAGAATCAGTCAAATGTCGAATTCAAACCAAGAAGGTACGCAAAAGGTCCTCACGCAACTTCCTCGGTATCCAAACGTCAGCTTCTGCACGTATGACTCACTCTTCTCTTGAATCTCATATTTCTCCTGAATACTCTAAGATTTTCAGCAGACCTTCCAAGCAGTATCACAAATGTATATGGGCACAGGATGGGAGGCTCAGCTTTTAAAGAGGACGGCCTTTCAACGCCTCGGATGCCGACGGTAGTCTACACGTATATCTCGAAGGAGATACAAAATGTACTGAGACCTCACTTCAAATGTGTCGGCAGCGCTATCGAAGGACCCTCGAAGACCACTCATGGCGATGTTGATATATTGGTGGCTGATCCGGTGGACAAAGCTCGCCGGAAGCAGGGAGACTTTCTTGCAAGTCTCGTCGGTGCAAAAAAGTGGAAAACGACGGGGGCCTCGCTTCTTCACTTCGCCGTGCCGTGGCCGCAGGAACTTGAGTACCAAGATGGGTTTCCAGAAATCGCTAAAGCCGTGTCGGCCAGAGAAAATGACGAGGAACAAACCGCAGAGTCAATAGCAAATGCTCAAGAGGTGGTTCGGACCTCAGCTATCCCTGGAGCAGGATCTCCACGCACAACAGGGCCGCCAGTCCCAAGGGAAGCTCCCCATTCACCCGCGACCGAGAAGTGCATCCAAGTCGACATTCAGATCTGCCCGACAACGACAGCCTGGGAGTGGCAACTTTTCTATCAAGCTCATGGTGACCTTTGGTCCATGCTGGGTATAATCATCAGACGATTTGGACTGACATGTTCGTACGATGGACTACAGCTCCGAATAAAGGAAATCGAATCCCACAACAAATTGCACTCCAGGGTAAAGATGACCCAAGATCCATCCCGAGTGCTCGAATACCTTGGCATGGACATCGAACAATACTGGGCGCCTTTCGAAAGTTGGGACGATATGATGGCCTACGTGGGGACTTGTCGCTTTCATGATCCTGGGCGTTGGAAGAGCAAGCCGAACAAGGAAGAGGAGGATGGAGCTCAAATTAAGAAGGGCCTGGTGGGGGAAGTGGTCGATGACACAGCCGAGAAGAACAAAGAGGCTGTAACACTCAAGCATAACGACCGTGCTAGAGCAGAGAAGAGACCTGTTATCAAATTCTGGTTCGACACGTACCTGCCACGCCATGTTGACGATCAGCCAGGCAAGGACGCACAATTATCACGGGAGGACGTTGTTGAGGACGCAAAGAAGTTCTTTGGTACCGAGTTTGCCAATAGATTCGACGACAAGAAGACGAAATGGACGAGGATCATTGCAGTTGACCACTTGTGGAGCGATATCCGCAAAACATTGCCCAACAGGCCTTACACCCAGGATGGTGTCCAGATTGGAATGGTCATGAAGGGGCTGAAGCGGGAGCTGGCTGGCAAGCGCGAGGATCGCGAGACCAGTGATGAAGCTCCCGAGGATGTGAGGTTAGTGTTTCGAGAGGGCAGGTTTGAACATGTGTTTGCCTGGGCGCAGGAGAATTGGAGGGACATTGCAAAGCGTCAAGAAACACATTCAATGGCGATGCGGGACAAGAAGCTGAAGGAAAGCGAGAGGGATGAAGAGAAGGGCGAAGGAGAAGAGAGGGCTGCGGTCATCGAAGATCCTTCCGAGGCATGAACAATACTGCTCGAGCGGAGGTGTATGGCTGGATTCTTTTGTCGCCACACAATATGCCCTCTACAAGTCTCCTCACCTGTTATTTTTCCCTGCATACCTGTAGGAAGCTCCGTACAGCTTCTGTCTACCAGTTAGTCATCGGAGCGGACCTGTGGCCGCATCATCATCGACCACACATTCTGATCCGAGTACCTCTGGTTCATGTTCATCGTGTTTGATCGCTGCTTGCTGCTGACCATGCTGAGGTCTTGGACTGAATCTATACCTGAGTCGACCTTAGGTCTTGAGAATCAGCTCTTCGGTTTCCGCTGTCTCTCGGTAAACCTCTTCATATACTCCTTGGGCTCAGACCCGCCGTCCTTCCACATACTAGCAAACGAATCAACTCCTGCATCGACACCAATTTGTAGATCGCTTTCCTCCCACAACCGTACCAGTCGCTTCTGCGCTCTCATCGCCTGTGGGCCCTGCGACACGAGATTACCCACGATCTCATCCAACGCTGCGTCAAGCTCGCCTGGTCCCTTGTAGCCTTGATCGATCAAGCCGCATTGCGCTGCAGCGGCCCCGTCAAGGTGCGTGCCCATATAGACCAATTCTTTGGTCTTCTGCCAGCCGATAATGTTGGCGAGAAGACGTGCCTGAACAACGGATGGAATTCCCAGGACGACCTCGGGCATGCTGAATCTGGAGTCGGACGTGGCGTACCGGAAATCGCATGACGCCGCGAGTTCGAGACCAGCGCCAAAACATAGGCCGTGGATGCGCGCTATTGTGACGACGGGTATGTCACGGAGAGCTTGACAGGCGTCGCGGATGCCGGTGATGAACTTTCTAGCTTCGTCTTGGGATGTTAGCGCCGCCATCTCGCGGATGTTGGCGCCGGCGCAGAACGCGGGGATTTTGGTGTCGATGGTCCTGGCGCTGGTGAACACGACGACTCGGAGCTTTTCGCGAGAGGAGAGGTCGTGGCATGTCTTTTTGAGGGTTTGAAGGAGGTTAGATCCTAGGGAGTTGAGGCGAGCTTCGTTTGCGATGTAGATTTTGGCTGTCTCGCTGCCGTCGGGTTGGGTGGTGATTGTGCAGCCTATTCGAGGTTGTCCTTCTCCTTCGTTCTCCTCCTGCGGCTTAGGTGGACTCGCCACTTGGCGGCAACGTGTAGTCTTTGTGAAGTGTCGTTGTTGTGTCGGCTGAGATTCTCTCGCTAGGAAGTAGCATTGTGCTGTTCTAGGCAAGACCGAGACAGACGGACGGGCAAGGAAAGAAGAGATTCTTCTTACACTGGGAACGCGAATGGACCTCATTTTGAGAGTTCAACATCAGGGCACTTACAGGTTTGGGAGGAAGGACGAAGTCGTCAACGGAGCCAATCGGGACTATCTACAATATCTTGTTTCATGAGGAGAGCCTCGGTCATACTCGGTTGGAAAGAGGTTGATACAACGAGAGATACCCCGAAGCCCGGGGTTTTACCGTGATGAAGCGAATATACTACTGTACTAGCAAAGTCGAAAAGATGCGAAAGAAGGGTGGATGTCCGTTGATAATGAGCATCAATTCTTTGAGCAGGGAGGGAGTGCGGCTGATAGTGTCTTGTTCAAAGCCATGTACCGATGCCTAGAGCCCTCTCGACCCAAATGTCTGAAACCGAGTCTCACAGAGGCTCCCGTCTGGCATTCCGAAAACAGACTCGCCATCTTGTCTGCATTCCCTTAGATGTCCCCAGGATCAAGAAGCAGCCTTAAGGATTGCTGAGTAGATACTCAATTGCCCCATTCACGCTGCCGCCAGCCCTCCGTAATGCTTGGACGTTCCGATCAAAGTCATAGAAGCCCATGTCGTTTAACTGCTGCAATTGAGTGGCATATCGTTCTTCGGGCGGTCTATTGTCCGCAGGCGCTGCGGGTGCTCCTCCTGCTCCACCAGCTCCTCCAAGAAAGTCGAAGAGGTTGCCATAATTTCCTCCTTCGGCTCCTGCACCTCCTACACCTCCTGCGCCTCCGGCGCCTCCTCCGAGAGCTTGTAGGAATGAATTCAATGCTTCAGGGTTTGGTGGTTGTAAGAACGGATTGCCCCCAGGAAGTTGGGGTGCTGCGCCTGTTGCGCCTGGCTGCTGCTGACCGAACAGCGCAGGGTTCATGAGAGCAGCGAAAGGGTTTTGTGCCTGCTGTTGCTGGGTTTGCGTGTCTCTATTTCCAGCTTCACCTTGAGTCCCAGTGGGAGGGGGCGCACCCGGCGTTGCCGTGTTCTGAGGAGGGAACGGTGGCCAAAACATACTTGCGAACGGATTGGCGCCTGCTCCTCCTCCTGCACCACCCCCGAACGCTGCGAATGGGTTTGGTGGCATCTGTTGCTGTTGTTGCGTTTGATTATCGCCTTGAGCGCCAGCATTTTCCGTCGTATTGGTAACACCAGGTGCCGGAAAGGCTGCATCTCCTCCGCCGCCTCCAAAGGGGTTCATTCCTGCACCACCCTGGAGTCGCATCATGGCCCGTATTGCGTTGGGGTCCGTCATCATCCGTCGGAAATCGTCTGATTGAAGTATTTGCCTGATGCCTGGCATATTTCTCAATTGTGGGTTCTGATTAATCATCATATCAATAACTTGTGGATTGTTCATGGCTTCTCGCATGACTTGCTGGAAGTTGGGATCTTCCAGTTGCCGGATGAAATCATCGGGGTTCTGAGGGTTCGTAAACATGCTGGCATTCGGCATTTGCGTGAAACCGGCATATCTCGCACCAGTAAAAGCAGTCAAAGGGTCGTTCCCGGTGCCTGATGCCAGGTTCTGTGGTACGCCTGGGACCGCTGGCGCAGGTCCGGACGAAGGAGTAGAGGTCGTTGGTTGTGCAGCAGGGTTCTGTCGCTGATTGCTTGCCGCGCTTTTGACAAGATGCATGGTGTTGCCTTCTTTTACATTATGCGACGCCAGCGTATCGTTGTCCTTTAACACTTTCCCGCTGTAGATCAGTCGTTGGGCCGACGCGGGGACGTTTGCATATTCTTCAGCGGCGAGTTTGTTCTTGAGGTCTAATGTAGTCGTGGACAGAGGGAGGCTAATGGTGTATTTCTGGCCACCGGACGACTTGACATGGAAGGTAACAGTGGCATCTTCAGCGCCGGCAGTTTCGGCCATTGTAGCGACTGGCGCCTGGAACTTCTATCCTATCGCGGTCAGGGTGTGATGAGGTGAAAAAGGCAGGTTGTCGTAGGAGAATGTACCGACGTGGCGGGATGTCAGTTGTACTCCGTACAGGTGACAGAGTGCCAGGCTGGGGTCGCAGCAGAGACTCGAAACAGGGCGGAGAAAGGCTCAAAAATAGACTGGGTGTAACAGCATGGATAGGACAGATGGGCTGTATGCGCAAGTACTAATTGAGTGAGTGATTAAACTTGGTGACTTATGGCGTTTGCCGGAGTGGTCAGTCAGAAAGAGGCTCCAAGGAGAACCATCAACTTCTATTCCGTCAACGTCATGCCTGCGGCCTTCGAGTTTGGCAGCCACAGAGCAGCCTTGCCGACCTAGTCAGCCTGCAATTTGACCCCTCTGGGTGGCGCCTACGCGGAAAAACACCCACGGCACCCTAAGTTAGCAGGGCCACTCTTTGCAGCCTTGCAATCTCTTGGCATCTCGCGAACTTTTTTTATATGCGGCTGCGGTGCTTTGACTGGCTGTTGGCAGAAGAAATTGTTGCACTGCGCCGATTCCCAGCATCATTATCAGGATACTAAGGGCATAGTATCTTCGCGCCATACTCCGTGCCGTACACGTCGGCTGGAGGTGCACCATGCTGCTTGAGCTATTCCATTGAGACTGTTCCTGCGCACTCGCGTCAAACCAATACCACTGAAGCCGGACAAACTGCACGTCGTGCAGCACCGCCTCCATCATGGCGACGACAAGTTCTATGTTCATGTACAGCTTGACATTGCAACCTCCTTCAGCCATAACTGCAGCCGTGTTGGGTCAATTTGCCGGTACAAAAGAGCAACAGATTATTACAGCATCTGGCTCGAAGCTCACCATCCACAGACCCGACTCTACCCAGGGTAAAATCACCCCACTGTTCACGCAAGACTGCTTCGGCATCGTCAGGACGTTGGCTTCTTTCCGGTTAGCCGGCAGCACCAAAGGTATGTCAACAGTGTCTCGCCTGACTTGGCCGTGGCTAACTTGCGCCTAGACTATTTGATCGTTGGATCCGACTCGGGGCGCATCACCATCCTCGAATATGCTCGGGACCAAAATCGCTTCAATCGCGTACATCTCGAGACCTATGGCAAATCTGGCATCCGTCGTGTCATCCCTGGGCAATACCTTGCCGCGGATCCCAAAGGAAGAGCATGCATGATTGCATCAGTGGAGAAGAACAAATTGGTCTATGTCCTGAATCGAAATGCGCAGGCCGAGCTCACCATCTCCTCACCACTTGAAGCCCACAAGCCACAGACCCTGGTCTTCGACTGCGTAGCGCTCGACGTTGGTTACGAGAACCCAATATTCGCTGCTTTGGAGGTTGACTATACAGAGGTGGATCAAGATCCCAGTGGTCAAGCTTATGACGAGGTGGAAAAGCTCCTGGTATTCTATGAGCTTGACCTAGGACTCAATCACGTCGTACGAAAATGGGCGGAACCGGTGGCTCGCAATGCCACGAAACTTCTACAGGTCCCTGGTGGTTCGGATGGTCCAAGTGGTGTCCTCGTGTGTTCGGAGGACAACATCACTTATCGACACTCGAATCAAGATGCTTTCCGGGTACCTATACCACGACGCAGAGGAGTGTTGGAAAACCCCGAAAGAAAACGGCACATCGTGGCCGGTGTCATGCACAAGATGAAGGGTCAATTCTTCCTTTTGGCACAAACCGAGGATGGAGATCTTTTCAAGGTCACCATAGACATGGCTGAGGACGACGACGGCAAACCAACCGGTGAAGTCAAGGCTCTGAAGATCAAATATTTCGATACAGTGCCCGTCGCCAATAGCCTGCATATCCTAAAGAGTGGCTTTTTATTCGTGACTGCTGAAAGTGGCAACCATCATTTCTACCAATTCGAGAAGCTTGGAGATGACGACGAAGAGACAGAGTTCTCTAGCGACGACTATCCTGCCGACCCAACAGACGATTATACAGCCGCTTATTTCCACGTCCGGCCACTCTCTAACCTGAATCTTGTTCAAAGTATCGACTCCGCAAACCCCCTGATGGATTGCAAAGTTGCAAACCTCCTGGACGAGGATGCGCCACAGATATACTCGATATGTGGCACTGGAGCACGGAGTAGCTTCAAGACTTTGAAGCACGGCCTGTCTGTTGCGGAAATTGTGGAATCAGAATTACCAGACAAGCCTGAAGCAGTCTGGACTACCAAATTGACAAGAGAGGACACGTATGACTCCTACATTATTCTGTCTTTCAAAACTGGCACGCTTGTGCTAAGTATCGGAGAAACTGTGGAGGAGGTCACCGACACAGGCTTTCTATCAACTGCTCCGACTCTTGCAGTACAACAACTGGGCGAAGATGCTCTTATTCAAGTACATCCAAAAGGTATCAGACATATCCGAGCCGATAAGCGTGTCAATGAATGGCCGGCACCACAGCATCGCTCAATCGTAGCAGCCACGGCGAATGAGCGGCAAGTTGCAGTTGCTCTTAGCTCGGGCGAGATCGTCTATTTCGAGATGGACACTGATGGTTCTCTGGCTGAATATGATGAACGAAGAGAAATGACCGGCACAGTTACGTGCCTCAGCCTCGGTGATGTCCCCGAAGGTCGGGTTCGAAGCTCATTCCTCGCTGTTGGTTGTGATGACTCGACCGTCAGAATCCTTAGCTTGGATCCAGACTCTACGCTCGAAAACAAGTCTGTACAGGCACTGACTTCCGCACCCTCCGCTCTGTGTATAATGGGCATGACAGACTCCACGTCTGGTGGGACCACCTTGTACCTTCATATCGGTCTCTACTCGGGTGTGTACCTTCGAACGGTCTTGGACGAGATCACCGGAGAGCTATCAGACACACGGACTCGATTCTTGGGCTTGAAGCCTGCCAAACTCTTCCGTGTCTCAGTGCAGGGTCAAAACGCTGTCCTTGCGCTTAGCTCACGCTCATGGCTGGGCTATACTGATACACAGACCAATGGCTTCATGTTGACACCACTCGACTATGTCGGCTTACAATACGTCTGGAACTTTACCAGTGAGCAGTGCCCTGAAGGAATGGTGGGAATTCAAGGACAGAACCTGCGGTAAGCCTCACTTTCCTGCTGTGCAATTCCCCACTATGATGAATCCATAACTATGCTCTTTCCGAGAGTCAATCGACTCGTGCGGACCTCAAACCTAACCAATTGTTCCTACTGAAGCACCTCAATCACAAACCCTTCTTCACGTTTTCAAGAGAGACGTCGCTGACCTACTCGAACAGGATTTTTACCATTGAAGATTTGTCGCGAAACATATTACAGGAGAATATTCCGCTCCCTTACACTCCCCGAAAGTTCGTCCGACATCCCGATCATCCTCTATTCTATGTCATCGAGGCCGATAACAACGTACTCGCACCAGCGACACGGACCAGACTGCTCACAGAGACTACGGCGGTCAATGGTGATGCTGTAGTCCTTCCTGCCGAAGAGTTTGGGTATCCCCGAGGCACTGGCCATTGGGCATCCTGTGTTCAGATCATCGACCCTGTCAGCACCAAATCCATCGTCTTCACATTAGAGCTCGAAGACAACGAATGTGCCACAAGCATCACCGCAGCGCCTTTTGCAAGCCAAGACGACGAGACATTCTTGATCGTGGGTACTGCAAAGGATTTGGTGACAAGCCCACGGTCCTTCTCTGCGGGTTTCCTGCATGTTTACCGCCTTCATGAAGACGGCAAAGAACTTGAATTTATCCACAAGACCAAAGTTGAGCAACCCCCAACCGCTCTACTTCCATTTCAAGGACGTCTTCTCGCTGGCATCGGAGCAGACCTGAGAATCTACGACCTTGGCATGAAGCAGATGCTTCGGAAATGCCAGGTTTCTGTATCCAACCTCATTGTTGGACTTCAAACCCAGGGAAGCAGGATTATTGTCAGTGACGTGCAAGAAAGTGTCACATATGCCGTGTACAAATATCAAGAGAACAAGCTGATCCCGTTTGTCGATGATGTGATCGCTCGCTGGACAACATGTGCCACCATGGTCGATTATGAGACAGTGGCAGGAGGCGACAAATTCGGCAACTTATGGCTGCTGCGTTGCCCGCAAAAGGCATCTGAAGAAGCTGACGAAGACGGGTCAGGGGCGCATCTGGTCCACGAGAGACAATATCTCAGCGGTGCTCCAAACCGTCTCAACCTAATGACGCATTACTTCCCCGGCGATATTCCCACGAGTATCCAGAAGACCAATTTGGTCGCTGGTGGTCGAGACGTCGTCTTCTGGACTGGGTTCCAAGGCACACTGGGCATGCTCGTGCCATTTGTCAGCCGCGAGGACGTTGACTTTTTCCAGTCTCTCGAGATGCAACTGGCTTCGACTAACGGCAACCCACCACTCCTTGGCCGAGATCATCTCATCTACCGCTCATACTACGCACCCTCGAAAGGCACCATCGACGGCGACCTGTGCGAGACATATTTCCTTCTTCACAACGACAAAAAGCTCATGATTGCGGGCGAACTGGACCGCTCGGTGCGCGAGATCGAACGAAAAATCTCCGATATGAGGACGAGAGTGGCCTATTAAGCGGCTTCTTAGCCCTTGGAATGTGTTTGTATGATCTATATTGACAGGAGATACGATTCGAGATACCCCCTTGTTTGCAATGGTGGCTTTATCTGGGGCCGTTTTTGCATATGGCTCACAATGATATCCTCCACAACACGTGCAATTCCTGTGCGCTCGAGGCTTTATGCTGTGCCTGTTTTGTCCCCTCTTCCACTTTATGTGTCTCATGCCTTGCTCGGTCGAACGTTTTCTGTCGATTGATCTTGAGCTGGATGCTTACCACTACGGTATAGTACGAGACAAGAGTAATTATCTTGCCGATCTTTGAGTACGATTCCATCTTCTTCAGGTGGTGGACTATTGTAATTTATGCGGCAAGACATTCTGGATCGCAACGCTTCGCCAAATTTCATCCGGGATGTGTACAGGAAACATAGCTAATTTAAGGCGGCGGATTGAGGTCCAGCCCCTCGACCGTCAATTTGAAAGCATCGGGCCGCGAATAGTGTCCTGATGCATCAAAGTCCAAATGTCCCCTATCACAGTCTTCAAAGTCGACCTCAGCATATAGGAGCTCGTGCTCCTTCTCCCAGACTGGCCCGGCGATGGTCTTGCCCATTGGATTGACGATACAGGACCCGCCGACGGATACGAATTCCTCGCCGTCGCTGTCGGTGGTTACATCCGTTTTTGAGCTCTCAAGCGGTTTCGTCTCGTCGATCGTCTCGTTCTCGCATTTATACGCGATTTCGTGGTTCTCTTCCGTCTTGGTCATGGATAGTCTCCGTTTGGGAAGTGAGCCATCGGGAATACCGTTGGCCAACGTCTCATGTAACCTCACGTCGGCGCCGTTCTGTGCCTTCTGGTCTGGCCTACTCTGTGGCTGTGACCCAGTAATCCAAGCAGGGAGATTCTTCTTCTTGATGCACTGGTTCGCGCTGAGCACAAAACACCGTCCCTCGCATGCCACCGTGCGCATCAGCGGCTCCCATGTATCTCGCGCGTCTGCAGTGGGTGCTAGCCATAGGTTCACTCCCTGGCTGTAAATACTGTAGCGCAAAAGAGGCATATAATTTTCCCAGCAGATTGCGGTCCCCATGACGACTCGAACGCCCTTGATAGTCGCGGTAACGGCTTTCAGTGTCGACGCCGAGCCCTGAGCCCATACTAGCCTTTCGGATCCCGTGGGCATGACTTTCCTCCTTTTGCCTATGATTCCACGCCGCGGGTCAACGTATAGGGCCGCACAGTAGAGACTGCCTCCTGCCTTTTCGACGATACCCGTGATAATGAATACTCCTGTCTCGCGGGCTAGGTCTTCGAGGAACTCTCGAGTGCCGTCGCCACGGCGTCCAGTCTCTTTGTTCACGGGTAGTTTATGGTCTAGCCAGTCATCGCCTGCGCCGTTCGGCGTGTCTCCTAGGTCGACTGCGGACTTGGTGTATGCGAGGAATTGGTCTCGTCCGGTGTCTGTGCGGGCACCTACGGCGGCGCCGAATGAGCATGTACGTGGATAGCCGCCGAGGTATGCTTCGGGGAAGAGGAGGATCGAAATGCCCTTCTGTGCGGCATGTTTGGTGGTGTCTTTTAGTGCTGCGAGCGTCGCTTGAAGTGAGGAAAGGGTGTGGGATTGTGAGAGGCCGATTGTTAAGTGTTGAGGCATTTTCTTCTTTCACGTCGCCTCAGGTAAAGCTCTCGCGTTTCTCACAGGAAGAATGTGCTGTAATCTTTGTCATTAGGGTGAGTACCTGGTGCACAGTTCGGTATCCGACGGAGTGATATGGATGAGCATCGGTCGAGGGATCAAGTGCGGGGAAGTCCTCGGTCAAAAATACAGCGAGGATAGGGTGTCACACAATCTGCTAACTTAAGCTAGAGGGAGGTATGCCGGCGATAAGGCCATTGTTAAGAATATGCGCATGGGTGAAAACCCTGTAGACAGTTTCGGATGTGAAAGGGTGGGAGGTAAACTCTTACTCAGAGACCGTCAAAAGACAATGGGCCCTAATTATTCACTATGCCTCCTAACATAGCGATATCCACTGTGTCGATGGGATGGCACGAAACGCACACCCTCGAGTGGAAGATCCAGGCCGCCAAACAAGCGGGTTTCGAAGGCATTGAGCTATTCATCGACGATGTCGACGCATTCTGCAGAAGGCATGGCATCTCTCGTGTCCAAGCGGGCAGCCGAATCAGTCAGCTCTGTGCTAATGCCGACCTGACAATCTTGTGCGTCGGGTCATTGGACAACTTCGAAGGGGAACCTACCCCACTACAAGACCGACTTCGGATCGCTATAGAGTGGCTGGATATGGCACATGAGCTTCGTACGGATGTCATCCAGATCCCCAGCAACGACAATAAGAACGCCATCGGCGACGAATCGGTGATTGTCTCCGACTTCCAAGCCTTGTCGGATTTGGGTCTTAAGCGGCAACCTCCTATCTCTTTCGCCTACGAGGCTCTCGGCTGGGGAACCCACGTCGCGGACTGGGAAGCGTCGCTGAGAATCGTGCAGCTGGTAGGTCGTTCGAACTTTGGACTCTGTCTCGATACCTACCATATCCTATCGAGGTTGTGGGCGGATCCCAGAGCGCACTCGGGTATGAGGCCAGGCGGTCGCGCGGCGTTGCGTGATTCCCTCCAGAGATTCTTGGAACTTTGTCCCAAGGATAAGATTATATATATGCAGCTGAGTGATGCGGAGCGGATGTCACCGCCGATATTGCCTGGTCATCCTGCGTACCATGAAGATAAGGATGGCACGCATTCATGGTGCACCTACGGGAGATTATTTCCTTTTGAGGGCGAGCACGGTGCCTACCTGCCTATGAAGGAGATCATGAGCGCATGGCTTGAGGGGAGTGGGTACAGGGGCTGGGTCAGCATGGAGGTCTTCCATCGAAGTATGAAGGAAAAGGATCTAGGACCGGACTACTGGGCACATCGCGGACGAGTGTCTTGGGACAAGGCGACCCAACGGGTACGGTCAAGAGGGTGAGGATGGCGAAGAGGGCCAGTACGGCGAAGAAGATCCCGAAGGTCAGTATGGTCAGTATGGCGAGGAAGATCCGGAAGGTCAGTATAGCCAAGGTGAAGAAGAACATCAAAGCTAGGCACAGCCGGCCCAGCAGGATCCCACTGCTGCCGCGGTCAACTATTACTGATCTTGTGCGGTATCTTTTGCTTGTCATGATTTGTCTTTGTCTAGTGATGAGCATGAGAACGGGTTTGGCATGGTTCTGATATTTTGGGCTATACAAATTACGATAACATAATAAACCTCCCTGTGCTCTTCTTCACAATGTCCACTCATCGTTTAGACTGCAATCTCGTTCCCTAAGGTCAACGAATACGGGATGATCAGAGAAGGGCAAATGCTAGAATATGTATATTGAGAATGGCTCATACTAGCTTACAGAATAGGCCTGAGTGAGGCAATCACGTGTCGCAACCTCCTATTGCATTGAGACATCCTTTATACACAGCGGGTGTCGGTCCTTTTGGATGGGCTGTTTTTGGTGGGGTCGGTGTCGTGGGTAGAGTGGTTGGTATGACCTGAACCGGAGGCAATGGAGTGGTCTGAGGTTGTGGTGCTGGTGCGGGTGCGGGTGCCGGTGCTGGCGCTGCACTCTGGCACCGAGGGTCACCCTGAGCAAGCGTCTGTACGATCCCCTGCAGCGCGTCATTACAAAGGACAAATGTTGTGGGAGTAATGCAGACGAACTGCCCAGGAGATGTGCATTTGCCAGCGGGCACGTATGTTATCTGTGGAGCAGGCATAGCGATGGCGGTATGCCAGAGGCAGAAGACTGCCAAGAGGATGCTCGAGGTGACTGGAGTGATGTGCATTTTCCTTGTGTAGTAGTATATGGTTTGTCCAAGAGGGGTGTTGCGAATATCTTTGATCAGATGTGTTGAGGATGAAGTTTTTGCTTGAGGTCAGTCCGGCAGCACTTGAGGTATACCATCGTATAAGGCAAGGATATGACAAGGGTTTTGCTGCATGAAAGGCCTTTCAAAATGCTTTGTTCTGAACATAGCTTTGGCCAATAGCGAAAATTTGACGGACAGTCAAGAGCATGTGGAACAAAGAATACAGTAGTGGGAGCATTGGCCGGCACCATCAACAAAGGACGCTTTCACAGCTTGCTCAAAATCTTTGTTCGTCGTGCCTCAAGAGTGCTGCCAGTTTAGACAATACTACCGGACTAAGCTTGGTGCCACTCTAGGATTGGATGGCTTCAGGGTAATATTCATGCTGAGCCACTCACCTTTGATCGGTGCATAGTCTTCGATACTCTCGATAGATTTTGACAAAGAATAACACTGGAAGGGTTTCTCTTCTCGGATCAAAGTTCATCCATGATCACACAGTCTGCAAGGGGGTCGAGTCAGGTTGTCGGGGCCATTTGTTGCAGCCATTGCACGACTGAGAAGTAGATACAAACAAGTGCCAGAAAAGACACCCCAGGCGGCCCGATATTTGTAGTCTTTTCGGATCGGATATAGCCCCAAGAACTGACGCCTTACTGCAAAACGCGGGAAAATACTGTAAGTGAGTTGCATCGGACCCCGTTTGACTTCGGTCTTTGCATTTTCATCAGCCCCTGTTGATCATTGTTGATACAACTATCTGATGTCAAAGCGAGTATCTTGCTTTTCGAGTTTGATGCCCCGGGGCCCAGTCGCTCTATGACAAGCGCCTTTCGTTAGAGCCGCAGGATACTTCCTGCCAGGCGGCAACCCTTATCTCCAACATGTCTCACCACGACTTCCTAGTCGGCACCTTCAACACCCCCCAGCTCTACACCCTACGCTTCACACCACCCTCTTCTCCCTCACACCCAGGATCCCTTACCATCCTTCACACCTCGTCAGCCATAGGCTCTCACTCATGGCTACACCTCAACCCGCCCAGACAAGACGGCACCCGTACCCTCTACGCAACAGCCTGGACCGACCCGCCCAGCGTCGTCGCCTATGCCGTGAATTCCCCCACACAAATCTCGCTCCTCGGTAGCGCTGAAACCAACTCACGCAGCGGCTACGTCTGCGCGTCCGACAAAGCAGTCTACTCCGCCGGCGGCGCAACAGGCGAAGTCTTCAGTATCGACCCCGAAACGGGAAACTTCACATCTCCATCACCATCTTCCCAACAGTCCACCACTGGTTCAACAGCGACCCAACCCCTCCAGAACCTCTCCTTCATCGACACCCAGCAGCAACGCGATGATGGCAGCACAATGGACTTCGGCGGTCTCCGCCACGGCGCACACTCAGCAGACTTATCTCCAGACAACAAAGCACTGTACATAGCCGACATAGGCCGAAACTGCATATGGACATATTCCGTCTCCTCCACCGACGGCACCCTAACCCTTGGCGAGAAATTTATATCCCCACGCCCCAACGACGGACCTCGACATGTTCACCCCCACCCATCAGGCAAGTACGTATACTCACTGCAAGAGCACACGAGTATAGTCGACGTCTTCGCCACGAGCAATGCAGGAGTCAATTTGACGCACGTGCAAGGCGTGCGCATCATCCCGCCCGACGAGCACGAGAGCGACTACTGGGCCGACGAGGTCCGGACCTGTTTATCCAATGGCGACAAGCCACAGTATTTGTACGCCAGCACACGCGGCCTAACGCCGGGAAAGAAAGGGTTTGTCGCAGTGTACAAGCTGCGTGAGGACGGCACGGTCGATACATCAGTGACAAGCCATCCTGAGATAGGGAAGGGCAACGAGCTTTATGCGGGATTGTTGTGCATGTACCAGACGCCCACGAGCGGAGGATGGGCGAACGCGATCCAGCCGGGACCAACGATCGACGGAATCGAGTACCTCGCTTTGACGGACAGTGAGGAAGGTTATGTCTTCGTACTGAGCTGGGATGGATCGCATATCAAAGAGGTGGCCAGAGCGAGACTGGATGAAGGTGCTAGTACTGCGACGGCAGTATGGCTGTAGGTCGATTGGCGGATAGATACTCGTTACCCCTAAGATTGACTGAGCTGGTAAGCTCTGTGTGCGGTAGTCCTTGCCCTTACATCCACCATGACATTGGTATTGAGTCTTTTAGACACAGTCATTCGTGGCATTTTCATTACCAAAATTCCTATCAACAACATTGGGCCTGCCGAGCCGGAAAGACCGACCACACGGCAAGAAATTAAGCCATCCAAAGTCAAGCCACGCCTAGTTAGCCTTCTCAGGGTCTGGAACATCATTTCTTGTACCAGTCAAACCGGTCAGACCGGTCAAACCGGTGGGACCATTAGTCCTTGTTCGAGTCCTGCTCCTGATCTGGGCATCATGATCTGCTCGGCTTCTAGTCGCATGAAGTGCCGCAAATTGCATTTCCTCGTCACTACCGCTCTCCTCTTCATCAACTGGTTTCTTAACTGCCATGGTCGGAGCAAACTTGGATCTCTGTCGGAGCTTCTTGCCGTATAGATAAAACACAACCGGGATAGGTACACATGCTGCCGCCAGACAACCTAACAGCGTACCAGCATAATTTATCCCGAGGCCAGTGAACATCTGTCGAGCAAACAGTGGAAAGCCGGCGGCGGTGATGGAACGGAGAAATGTGTTGGCTGCTATAGCCGATGCAGCACTGCAGTGGTGTTAGCAGAGGCAAACCCGTCAGATAGGGCCTACTCACAACATCAGGTACGAATCAATGATATAGTTGAAGCATTGGATGAAGATTGCCAACAGACCGAACCCTGTGAAAAGGCCTGACAAGGTTGGCACGATCCAATGGACTGACTCATAATTTCCGGACCAGCCAAACCAGAACAGGCCGAGTGCAAAGAGGACACCACCGATCATGACGGGGGGCAAACGCCATTCCGGAACAGGGATACCTCCGTTGGCTTGGAGCTTCTTGTTGTACCCGCGCGCATTGTAAATGATATACAGAGCAACAATAAAGATACCCGCAACCATTCCAAAGAAAGGCAAGCCGGACACACCAGGAACCATGTGGTGGACACCTTGGAAGACCAGAGGATAAGCCGTTAAGAAGCAATAGAGCAGGCCGTAGATGAAAGACATGTACAGGGTGATGGCGAGGATGATGGGTTCGGAGACCAACAGGCGGATGGGACGCGAAAAGTTCTTAGTAACGAGTTCCCGGAAATCCACCTCGACCTCCTCCTGCTTTGCGTGGATGCCCCAGTTCTTAGTGCGGCGACGCAACTCCTTGGCCTTGTCCACCAGGATCACAGGAGCATAGGTCTCCGACAGAAAGACCACGTTAAGGATGAAGGCCGCACAACCCATGATGCCGGGAATGTATAGATTCCAGCGCCAGCCGAGGTAGGATTTGTTGACGAAGCCGCCGATGAAAGGACCCAGCATAGGTCCCATGAAAACCATGGACGAGAAGATGACAATGGCAACACCTCTTTGACGGTTGTCAAACATGTCGGAGAATGCTGCTGCCACGACTGCCAAAGGGCATGAGCCAAAGAAGCCGGTGAAAAAGCGACAGATCATGAGAGTTTGGAGGTCTTTGGCGGTGGCACAGCCGAAGCAGAACAGGGAGAACCCGAAGACACCCACGAGAATGGGGAGTTTTCGACCCTGCAGTTCGCTGAAGGGACCCCAAATGAGAGGACCAAAAGCGTATCCAAGGACATATAGGGACGTGCTCAATGTCGCGACCTCAACGCTGACATTAAAATACGCAGCCACGGACTGTGTTGAGGCGGAGAAGATAGACGAGGTAAACGTGCTACCCAAGCAGGTGTATGCGAGAATGGCGCCGATGTAGAATCTGTCAATGTTTAGCATCTTGGTTGCAAATCAATTATCGTGTCCTCACTTTTTCCTGAATGCCCAATTCTGCGGGTGCATTGGATCATCTTTCCCATCGAATTCCACTACATATTCTTCCTGCGCAGGTAGCATAGGAGGGTAAGGCTTTCCACCTCCAAATTCCGGCAGCGGCCTTGACGTGGCTCTTGACTTGATGCTAGCTCCCACGGTCTGGCTGTGCTGCAGGCGATGTGTCTCGGTTCGGAGGTCTTCAACCGGGTGTGTTCTTGTTCTCGTTGCCAAGGGAGGCCCCGAAGTGCCTGCGGTGGCTATTCGGCCCATATCTTGGCCGGTCGATGTGCTCGAGCCCGATGAGCTCGACAGAGCAGACTCTCTTGATCTCTGGCTGCGCAAGGAGCGGCGATCCTTGCTGTCCTGTGAGTATGTGCGCGTGGCCTGGACCTCAGCCCGCTGCACATCACGATCGACGATATCCATGTTGACACCAGAGCAGTGACTTGCCACGCAACTCTTGTTTGCCAGAGAATGATAGTGTTTGTCTTTCTCAAGGTCTTATCACTTCATCTGCTCAGGCGGCAGCGGCAGATAGGCGGAGGGTAGTGCTCACTACGCAAAACATGCGACTGCGAAGGCGGACGAGAGATGCGGATCGCGTGGAAGGAATAGGCGAGTACGGGTGACTCGGGGTCAAAGAGAGACTTGTAGACTGACCACAATGATAAATAGATTGGAAGTGAATACTGGAAGAAAAGAGAGGGGTTGCATGAACAAGAACCTTAACAGACTCTTCCTCCTCCCCTGCAGTAAGAGTTGGTGTTGGTGTTGAGATCCCAAAACGATGATTGAAGAATGACATTAGGCGGGGACAGTCGCAGCTTCCGGGGCTACTCTAGGCCCAATTATCATGGCAGCTCCCCAATTTAGTCGCAATTCGCGACCGCAAGATGGACTACCTTATCATTACTAGTAGTTAGCCTATTGACGGGCGATGACATAATTGCGTCGACAACTCTGACAAAGAATCCTCCCTGCACAGTTTTAAACTGCAGGGAGAGTTCTGTACCATACAACATGACCTCTTCTCGCTTGCCTTCGTATTGAGGAACCTCTTCTATCATATTAGTGTTCGCTTGCGACCAGAGAGGTTGGCTTTGAAATGGGAGGCCTCAAAGAGCCATGCCAAATCAAGCTCGGGAGATCCTACTCATGGCGTTGATAGGCGCTGTCACCCTTGAAGGCAATCAGCGAACACTGCATCATTTCAACCAATAAGGCAGTACTTCTCACAGCTTGTCGGCGCTGACTCAGCATCTTTGGCCGAACCATTTTACCCACTCAAAGGCACGGATCAGGCGCGAGTATGGCAACGTTGCACGGCAAGGTTTATCGCCAGCTACGTGTTTGGTGACCCTGTACCCCGAGTCAAAAGGATAACGTCCATAGAAGTTGGAACCTTCTCAACCACCCGTCAACCCAGACTCCAAGCGGTTCCTCCGTCGAATTTCAGCGTATCGGGTCTGCTCTCCAGCTTCTAGAATACAGATCTTTCGTGTCAATCCGCTGGGGTTCCCTAGGACCACCGGTTCCCATCCCGCATCTACTTCGTCATCAACCTGCCGCCCCTTGCGACTAGGAATCATCTGGACGCTTTTCCAGCGGACCAGAACTGCTGTAAGTAGGAGTGTGAGAAACAGAAGTACTCCGGCGACGATACCAGCCGCTTGCATCGCGCCATACCTTCTCTCAACACTACCACAGATACTCGTTGATACCGCTCCAAAAGCAAATTTGAGTGACTGGGTGACCGCCATGCCAGCACTGATCCTGGGGTAACAGGAGAAGTTGGTTCTCGTCTCGCGATATCGCTCCACAATCGACTTCCTCACTGGGCGGCCAGTCATGCCCGGTTGGAGGTCCGAGGTGTCAAAGGTCTCCATGATCAAAGCATAGCATTCACTGATGGCCAATGTTGAAGCATACCCGACGAGACCGGCGAAGACACATGGCACGGCAACGTAGAATGCTGGCCCCTTCGAGGTAAGAGCGTATCCAATAGCTGCCAGAGGGAGAAAGATCATGGCCAGCGTCCGCCGAATAGTGTGTGACGACCACAATGACACTTTCTGGAATGTCATGCTGTCTGTTCGAGGAGCTTGGTATCGCGCACGGCTGAGCCATGATGCTTTTTCGAATGGTATCGCCAGCGCTGAACCAATTGCGAGAGAAAGAACACAAAGCCCAACATCGACCGGACGAAATCGGTACAAAGTCGAGGTGAGTGCACCAAGTAACTATACACGTCAGTTACGCTGCGAATGCAAGGATGCCAGTCCTCACCATCAGTATCAAGGTGAACTGCGCATAGACCCAAGCAGCGTATATGGACAAGATCAGAAAGCCAGGCTGCCTGACCATTCTCCAGCTGAGCTGTAAGCCGGCTTTGACCTCTTCACCCCACCAGTATGGTCCGGTCCCCGTGAGATGCAACTTGACCTCGCCACGTGCCACTCTGCTGAAGCTCCCTCCTTCGCCAATGATCTCGGCAAGGGTTCTGCGAAACGCCGATCGACGGACTTCGGGTGCTATGACGTTCAGCAGAAGGACGCCCATCAAGAGCACTAACGAGACCCAAAATCCCCAGTCCACCGAGGACCCGTTGATGATGAAGGCGCCTATGACAAAGCCGATACTGATGGAACCGGTGCTGCACCAAGACCAAAATGCCAACCATACTCCAACCCCCCCACCGTGTCGCCGAACATCAAATTCACTTGCCAAGTTCTCATGAGACTTGCTGCTCGAAAGAGAAGCGCCAAAAACGTCCAATAACGTGCCAAGATTGTTCATGTTGACGAAGCCGAAAACCAAACCCGACAACCCTCGTGCCAGCAACAAGATCACCCGATACCTTGCGACATCCGGAGATCTAAACGAGACAACCATCAGGCCTTGAGGTATTTGCAAACACAGGGCCAATGCAAGCGCCGCAACGGTGTATGGTTTGCGACCGTGCAAAAGCGGCAACGGCCAACATACCAAGGTGGGAAAGATCAGGCCGCAATAAAGGAAAGCATTGCCGAATATGATTCGACGATTCAGGTCAACGACCACATACTGGATCGCAGGGACTTCTCCAGCGTATATCCCAAGGATGAGTCCCAAGCAAGCGGTGTTTATGCAACTCACCAGAGCTGCAAAGCGTTTTCGAGAGTCAGGCCAGTTCCGAGCCACAGGCGCATGGTGACATGTTTTGTGCACATCAAGACCATCGGGTTGGTGGTCAACATCAATGTGTCGCGCCCCAGTCAGATCAATCTTGCAGAGCCCGTCCTCATCAGCATGTGCCAGGTTCATGCTGCCCTGTCTGGAATTGATGCCAAACATCTGCGAGAAATGCCTTTCATGTCCTGATCTAGGTACCTCGAGCATTCCAGGGCTGCGCAACCCGCCGTCCTTCTCTTCTGCATCTGTGTCTTTCATTTCGACATCGTTGAGCTGCAAATCAGGCACCCGTCGTGGTAGTGATTGTGGTACTGGCCGCTCCAATGATTGGTTGTGCTTTCGCTTTCCCCGTGGAACGTCGGTGGTAATGTTTCGACGGGCAGACCCAGTGGGTTCGAGTATCGTCACAGATCGTTTATTGCGCGCACTCGACCCTTCATCTGATATGCCTCTGGGCTTTGAAAGCCCACCTTTCCTCCCGCTGGGAAGTTCCGAAGTTGAATTGGGTGGAAGCAGCCGAATAGAACCCTCCAAAGGCGACGTATCAGCAAGTGAATCGACATCGGTTGGACCAATTCCTGACTCAGTCCGCCGAAGTGGACCAGCAGCTCGACTGCTCGTTGGTGTGTTCGTAGCCTCGGTCGAAGCTGCTTCGAGATGTGTGTTCAATTTCCTGGCCAACTCTTCACTCGTTCGTCTTGTCCCAGTGGGCGTGTCAAGGCTAGTCTGTTGTGCTTCGACATCTTGCTGAATCGCACCCGCCGACTCAGCGAGCTTCACTGCTTCGGCAAGAAGGCGTTCTAATTCTTGGATGGTGCGGCCGATAGTCTCCGAAGGTTTGGGCTGGTCAGGGTTTCCATCTTTGGGCCCGCTCTTGTTCTTCCTGGTATTTGCATTGCTGTCGGGTGGATGAGGAAGATTAATGATCGGTTCATCAAGTTGCCTGATAGGGCTGCTGGGAGGAGTTGCCCAGGTCTCATCCTGCTTTCCCATTCCAGCAACGGGAGAGCAACTGCCACAAGTCGGGGTCCAGGAGACCTTGCACGATGGTATTCACGGCGACTCGAATGGATGATTAGGTCGTTATGAATGATCTCGGGACCAGATGTCATGTGCTATCTGATATACAACAAGGGATAGTAATAGTCAGTGCAGAGGATTAGCGATGTGCTGGAGATATAGCCAGCCTCACCTTAAGAACAGGCTGTCGAATGTGAGACTTCATATTGAGCAGCCGTGAAACCTCACAACACGGTCGTACCTTCCTTCAACTTACCTATTTTTACTGAAAAAACATGTAGGCCATCACCTGCAGACTGGCAGTCACAGTATGTGAGATGGAGAGTGCCTACCAGAGATGAAGGTACCCACGGCCCTTAGGCTAAGTTAAGCTTCCACAAGGAAGAGCTTAGGCGAGCTTGAATAGCGGAATGAGGTCACCATTGCAAGTTGACAGCTTGGAACAAAGCCAGCGGTTCGTGCCGCCTTTGGACTTGGGCGCCTGTTTATTGACGTCCATTGATCACTTGGTCAAGTTCTCGTGCCTAAAGTGACGCTGGCCGACCTTAACCTCATAGGCAACTTATTGAACTGTGAAGTGTAAGCCCGATGACAGCCACATGGACCTATCTTATGCAGCTAAAACTAATGGCAAACAACTGAGAATTACCTCACTGTTACTTTGCCGCTTGCCCCTCCATTCCTGGCCAAGATTGGTGAATACTGGCTTCCCTCCGTCTGTTTCAAGCTGAAATTCCAACCGTGTCACTGACGTCCTTCCCCTTTGCCGTCCTATTATCCTGCGTTGTGTCTCTGCCTCCCTTCTCTTCTGCATCGTCCTTGCGTTACCCTACCGTGACTACTGAACATCTAGCAAACCTCAAGCACTTAGATTGCTTCCTACCACGACTGTCCCATACACCATACCTGCCTCTCATAACGCCCTCAAGATGTCGTACTACGGTGAAGGACGTGGCTATGGTCAAGGACAGTATGGCCAAGGAGGCTATGGCGGTCAACAACAAGGCTATGGCGGTCAACAAGGAGGCTACCAACAACAAGGCTACGGCGGCGCTCCTCAAGTTCCACCACCCTGGATAGCAGAATGGGACTCTCGAGAGAACAGATGGGGCTTTGTCAACCGCGAAACTGGAGAACGCACTCACCAACATCCTCAAGAAGGTTACCGTGAGGGCGGATACGGCAGTGGAAACTACAGCGGTGGAAATTACGGTGGTAGTGGCGGCAGCTATGGTCAAGAGTATGGCGGACAAGAGTCGAGAGCGTACGGGCAACAGCCAGTGCAGAAAGATCATCACAACCGAAACATGGCTCTCGGCATAGCTGGCGGTGTGCTTGGCGGCGCTTTGTTGATGCACGAAGGAGAGAAAGTCGGTAAGTCTTTCTGCACCAAGTGAAGACGGTGTGCTGGCCTCATGTTGTACGAAGACACTAACATTGTTTCAGAGAGAGATTGGGATCAGGACAAAGATCGCCTCGAGTACGATGCCCGTCGGGATGAGAACGATGTCGAGAACTTCCCTGACGATGCTGCCAACTGGACTGGGAGAAAAGTTGGAGAAGTCGAAGACATTCCACAAGATATCGAGCGAAAATGGGACGATGGCGTTCAAGACGTTGAAGATATTCCAGAGGACGTGGCGGGATGGACTGGCCGTAAGGTCGGCGACGTTGAGCGATTCGATGACAATGTTGACAACTCATACGATCAAGGCCGCGACGATGCCCGTTACGACGATAACTATCGTGATGACAACTACTGAAGAGTCATCGACGCACTAGCCGAGACGCCCTGAATGGCAACAACATTATGACGATATGACACTTTCACGAGAGCTACAGCACGAGATGACCTAGAATCGGCTGACAGGAGGGGGCCTACTATTCTTCTGAGGATCATCAGACCCTAACGATGCTAGAAGTCTGCTGTTCAGGGTGGACATCAACAGCAAGCATTGTTAGCTGGTCAGTTGCACAAAGATGGCCTGACTGAAAGCCCACCAAATGTAAAACGTTTGAACACAGTTCACTTCTTTGCGAAAGACTCAAGCAACCGGCCCTGCACAATGGTTGGCCCATGGCCATATAGTCCTCGTGGGGAACAAAGGAACTGATTGTTGTCTTGCAGATGTGCCCGCATAGGAGAACAAAGCCCAACATGAAACTGTTCCCTGAAACCACTGTTTCTCATGACTATCAAGGTTGTGCTTTGTTTGATGGGCTCAGCATGCATCATACCAATCCACTACAGTCTCGCAGGACTGATGGAGCGAGGAAAGCACGCCATGCTGGCCGTGAAAATCCACTGCCCTAGTGGGCACTGCCTCAACTACTTGGTGAGGTTGCTGTTCTTTACTACAATGTAAGCACGGCCAAGGCAGTAAAAGGTATGTGTCACTTGACAATGGCGTCCGCCACGTACCGCCTCGCCACCGACACATGTGTTGATCTCCATATACGATGTCAGTCTCCCATGTCAAACTTCATTCCATAAATACCCATGATGCCACTCGTGCAATCTACACAAAGATTTTATGCCCATATTCCTGCGATCGAGCTTGCAGAACACGACAACCTAGTTTCCCGAGCACCAACTACGATGGACGATCCTGACCAAGATCGGTCTGCGCAGGCTGATGTTGTTCCCCCTCCAGTGAGACACCCCAACCCTGTACAGTCCAGTCGTTACACAGTGACCAGCACACCCAGTGCCAAGTCTGAAGACGCGATCACTGATGTGCCTGTCACAGTAGAAGACGACGAGTGCATCGAAGCTGAAAGTGATGACGATGAGGAGTGGTGGAATTATGTGGACTGGAATTCTGATGCAAGCTCCGACTCCAGCCCCGTGACAAGTCCTGATCCCTCGAGCAAGGTGAATGAGTCTACTGCTGCTGACATCGAGAGGATGGATGACGGTGAGCAGATGAACCTGGTGACAGACAACGGAGAGTACAAGCCCTTTCTTGACTTGGAGAGATTGGAACCAGCAATGAACAAAGAGATTGACCTTCGCAGATATGCTATGGTCAATTGGCAGGTCGAATGCAATGAGGCGAGGGACATTGAGCGAGAAGATTTGGCGAAACAGATTGAAGCTTGAGAATCATATGCATTGACTTGTTTAGAAGAATATTGCGTTTGTGGCATGTCTGTACAATGCTGGATGGATGTTTTAGTTGAGGTGAGTTACAGGCTGGTCCTGACGTCTGCTTACCATACATGCACAGGGGAGCCGAATTTCTAAGGTGATTGAATAGTACTAGTATTTTCTCTGCGGTCATAATGGTTACTTCTTCATGACATTTCTTCAATTGAGACCAACTCGTCATTTCGTTCGACAGCCGTGGCTCGATTCCCGACATCTCACAACTTCGCCGTACCGACAGGTCTGACAACGAACCCGATCCTGGGAAAATGAATCCTCACATCCCCGACTCTCGGTCCATCACCAATCTTCGCAGGGGAAATAACCACCTCCTCCGGCGTGATCGCCACCAACGTGCCCACCGTCGGACTGCCCTGTCCAGTATCATCTGGCGCTACACTAACCAGCACTCCAGCAACAAGTCCATTTCGCTTGTCCAGCGAGCCATGAGGTCCAGCCAGTGTCGGCAACAAGACAACATCTTTCCTCAACGCAGCGCTCTGCACTTTGTCCAATACCTGCGCGATCCCCGTATCATCCCCCCTTTCAAACCTCGTCTCCGTACTTGACAGCCCTTCAATGTACTCCTTGAACTGGCCAAACCAAGCAGTCAACCCGGGATACCTCTCACCATTAAACACGCTGTCAATCCCCTCACCATATCCATCTCTCGTCCCACCACCCGTCAAATCCTCGATCCCCTCCCCTCGACTGATCTTCTCACCCCAGTCAAGTTGATACCACAATGCCAGATCTGCGGCACTAGGACTCGCCCCGTCGAACACCCACTGCCTCCGCGATGCGAACAACGGCTCCAACAAACTCAGCTGTAGATCCAGACCGGCAAGATTCTGCGGGACTTTACGCTCAAGTTTATCCGCGTCGAGTTTATGACCGATCAGATTTGCGCGGTCAGTACCAAAGTGTGTACGCCACACGGTGCTGGGGATCAATCCTGTCATCACCCGGAAAAGGGGACGGTCGGTCCAATATGAGGCGAACCCCCGGACCAATGGCCGGACGGTATCTGATGGAGAAGGATACAGCGTACCGTAGCCTCGAGATGGCGGGAAGTGGTGTTCCAGCGCCTCGAGGATGAGTGATGTGTCGATGTATATGTCCCGTCCGATTGCTAGGACAGGGATTTTTCGGTAAGCGAGGTTGAAGTTGTCCCTTAGTATGGGTCGGGGCATCATTGACGGGACGAGGATGAATGTGTAGGGTATTTGCTTCAAACGCAATGCGAGCCTGACTTTTTGGGTGAATGGGGATGAGTCGTATCCGAATAGCACCACCGGAGTGCTCTCAGGAGGCATTGTTGCCATTGTCGTGAATCGAGATGCTCGTAATCGTTCGTCGGTAGTAGCAACGTCGTGCTATATGTCTCTCTTCGAGCTATCGTGCTATGGCATGTTTACTCGTGTGAAAGAATATTCATTACACTTGAATCCGATCCGATCGATTCCAGAAAACCAACATGCCCTTACAAGGGTGTCGCTGAAAAGGAAGTACTTGCTAATGACTTAGTACTCAGCATTGGACGAAGTTCGGATTCTGGATCGGTCTCTGTCAACTCCGCATCTAAGCGTTTGATTCAACCTCGGTCCAGAGTATGCAAAGTCAGTCGCAGCATACCTGTTTCCATTATCATTACTAGATACTGTTCTGTCCTATCATACTGACGGTCCACCTCAGTCGAGCGCAGTCGACGATCCGCAGCACCTACACTAACTCAATCTTCGTAGCATTATTGAGCAGCGGCACCCTGAACAAAGCATACGGCTTGACCCGTCGATCCACGCCACCCTGCTGCGAGGGCGCCCTCCAAAGCTGATTCTCCGTGAAGTACAGGTAATTGCCCGCCACAGAAAACGTATCAGTCCAGTCGATGCGCGGATCCCGCGTATACGTCGACACAGTCCCGTTCTGCGGATTGAAGATAATGATCGAATCCGTCTCGACACTGCCGCCGTACACAATTCCATTGGAGTCACTTTCCAGTCCGTCGCTCACGCCCTTCTGCCCAAGATCCATGACAGATGCCTGCGCGAACAATTCGGACGAGGCACTACGGTCGCGAAGACGCGCCGTCGGCACGGCGTATAGATGTCGACCCGACACGACGCTGAAGTAGAGTGTCTCGCCATCGTTGGAAAGGGTGATCCCGTCAGCACCAAACGCAAGACGCGATATCGGCATGCCGTTACCGGGATTGTTGTACACTGGCTCGCCCCAGACACTGACGAAGAATCCAGGCTCAGGACGGACTTGTGGAATATTTTCAAGGTGCCGCCACGATTCACCGGTTCCTAAGTCGACCATGATGATCCCGTTGCGGCCCTCGCTCGAGGAGTCGGTGATGTATGCTATGCCTTGGCCGGAGGCGGTGACAGAAGGTCGAAGGTCGAAGCGCACGTCGTTCGGGTACGAGTCGGCATATGAAACGTTCGGTGGGAACAGGATGGTTTGGAAGATGGTGTTGTTTGACAGGTTCACACCCACGAGCTTGGGGCCGCCATAGTTGGACGTCGTCAGCGTACCGTTCGACAGAAGAGCGCGGCCGGTATCGAGGATCCAAAGACGGTCCTTTGGATCGATGACAACGCTTTGCACGCCGATCAGGTAGTTGGCAAGACCTTTGGCTTGGGGTGGGTATTTGGTGTAGTCGACTGCGCCGCCGGGAGGAGAGTTGTATGCGGCGTTTGGGTAAGGTGTTTCAGTGTTGTTCGAGTTGAGTTCGGCGACTTGGTATTGAGTGTTCGTCGGATCCAGTCCAAGCGGGTAGTTGGAGAACATGCGGCCTGAAGCTGAGACAGCAATACCTGTGGACTTGAGTCAGTAGCTGAGGTCCAAGGGGATAGATGCATTGCGTTACTGACCTGTTGGCCATTCATCGTAGTACAAGTGCATCAACTCTGGCACCGGGCCGATGCCGATGGGGTCCTGAGAGACTTGAGCGAATGCTGCATCGCATGCGCAGAGCACAGCAATGGCGGCTGTCGTGAGTTTCATGATGAGAATCTGCCGTTGTTATTACCCAAGCTCGTCGAGGTGTGCTAGACGACAGACAAGAGGAATTTCAGGGCGGAAAGAGCAGCTCAAAGATGAACTTCGAGCCATTTTCATCCATCGCGCCTGCCCCGGATATTGACGAATTCATGAGCTCATTGCGGAGGTGTTATGACCGTTTATCGACTATGACCTCAACATCTGCCGGCATGTTCATAAGCGAGCCACAACAGTAAAAGGAGATGGAATCCGGGGAAACGCCGTGAGGGGAACGAGGTGTGTTTGTCTGAGCCAGTGATTGGTGTGCCTTGTGCCTGAAAGAACACCAGATGTAGATCCGGATGCAACTTCTCCGTGGTATGTACACATACCGTACCTATATATAACCATCCATATAGGACAGCAATATCTCATCGCTCAGATGTGGCATATTCCATGCGTCAAGTGTGCATCTTTATATCTTCTCGTCCTTGTCATGCACAATCACCCGGATCCCTTTACTGTCCAACTTGGTGCCCGCCGTGAACAAATCACGCGTAGGCGTCGCATCACTGTCATCCGTCTCAAACATTTCCAAAGTATACCTCTGCACCATCGCGGCCAAACTCATGTAAAGCTGCGCATATGCAAGATGCATCCCGATACAGTTCCGGGACCCCTTTCCAAAAGCCACGATATACTTGTCGAGTCTGGACGTCGTGCGCCCTGCGTCCACCTGGTCCAACCATCTCTCCGGGATGAACTTTCGCGGCTCCGGAAACACTTTCTCATCAATGAGCACCAAATGAGGCGTCATGGCCACGGGCGTCCCAGCAGGGATGATCCACTCCTTGTAATGGATGTCCTTGTCGCATATCCGCGGCAAACGAGAGAGCATCCCGCCTGCCATGCGCACGCCCTCTTTGATCACGGCGGTGATGTAAGGCAATTTCTCCAGCGACGTCCATGGCGCAACGGTATCGCCCTCGTGAATCTGCACCGTCGCCAGCTCCTGGCGCATCTTCGCAAGAACATCAGGATTCTTCATGATGTGGTAGGTGGTAATCGTGATAGCCCATGCCGTGGTCTCCGACCCAGCCGTTGCAATGAGCACACCCTCATCAATCAGTCGCTGGTCAGACAGCTCACTTTCCGGCAAGTCACTCGACAGGATCTGCGCGAAGATAGTGTCCTTGCGCCTTGTCTCCACCTTGATCATCTGCATCGTTTCCGGATCATCCTTGATCTTCTTAACCTGCACCCCCACCCTCTGCATCCACGACTTCATGAACCCAACAGGCGGAACGAGCTTGACGGCTACCGAGACAGGCATAGCACGCACAATCCTCCCAATCAACGGGAACGACCGCACGATAGCCGCGGACGCGCGCCCACCAGTGTTCACCAGCTTCCAAGTCATTGCCCACTCCGGACTGTGGATATAATCGTAAGTCCACCCATACGAGCACTGGGTCAGGACATCCGTCGTCAAAGCGAGGTACACCGCTTCCAGATCCAACACCTCCCGACTGCCATTCTCATTCCGCGCGATCTTGTCCAGCCGGTCACACATGACAGCCAACTTCTCCTGGATGACAGGCAGATTCGCCACGATCGACGCCTTGGAGAAGAACGGATTCAGCGCGCCCCTTCGCTTGCGGTGAACTTCATGCTCAACAGTCATACCACCGGCGGTTGGCACCGCGAACCCTCTCGTCCACCAAACCCATTTGTCCATCTTCATGCCGTACAACTCGTCGAAAAAGTCGGGATCATGAATATGCACGTCATCGGGGTTGGTACGTATCACTGGCCCATACTTTTCGTGCATCTCCTTGATCTTCCAGATATACTGGTGACCCTTGAACACATCGTAGTACGTCTCATGCCAGTACGTCGCGACAGCGAGCTTGGAGCCAGGAAATTTTGCCAGAGGGTGAAAGCATATGCGATATACAGCTAGGGTCAAGTTGCGCACGATGTTGGCTAGCAGAAGGTACCCTGCCAGACCGAGCCATGACTTGGCCAGGCCGAACGTGAGGTCTTCGGGGCTCACCATTGTTGTCGATTGACTCTCTGGCCCGTTCTCGCGACAGGAAGAGCAGCAGGAGTACAAGTTATGAAATGCTTGAGGATTCACAGCTTCACGTGTCAGGGGTTCAGCTTATCTTCATCGTCAATGACATAGGCGTCCCAGGTGGACCCCTAGGCCACATCTCGGTGTTCCAACTCTCCCGAGGGCCACAATTACTCCTCATTTCGTCCATGCACTGGGCAATCGTAAGTCATGAATGTCAAATTCACAAGCCGTGTACACCACCGACCTCTGGCGAGCTACGCTTTTGAGACTAGCCCTAAGGGACTGCCCGCAGTGTCCATGGTATAACATATTTATAGCGATCGTCAAACCCGAAACCAGATAGTAGAATTGTTACAGTGATATAGTGGCGATGCCAGACACTTTCTGTTTTCCAAGGCAGAATTCTGCAGCAGGAATACTGGATGTCTATATAATCCTAATGCCGCAACACTCAATCACCCCAGCATGGACAACGGCTTTTCGTCCCCACCAGAGATGTACAAAGTTCTCTACAAATTGTTTATCCGAGGCACTCCAACTGTCCAGTCCCATGGCTGTCATATCGTCTTGTGAGATCTCGACATCGCCTTTTTCACCGTCCCTACCTAGCAGGTTTTCTGTTTCATCGCCCTCGACGACGGGGGGTTGTCTGGTCGAATTGGGGTCGGCCGGGCTGGCATCATTCTCGTCATCATCGTCATCATGATAAGCATCTTCTTGCAGGCTCTTGCCATCTGCTCGGGCGACGGCTTCAGCAATTGTCTGAAATAAAGCTTTGGTCATGGAGTGAAAGTATGCCACAAGTGCCACCTCACGAGTCTGCTCGTCATCGCCTTCATAATGTAGTAGGGCCAAGTCTCGTTCCTTGTCGTCTTCTTCCGAATCACCCAGTCCAGCTCGTCTATCTCCCGCTGAAGCCCACCAAACAAGTGATGTGTAAGCCGCTCGAGACCACGAAGATGGCTCGACAACAACCTTGTTCTCTGAGAATCCTGATGATCCAGATGCTATCGAGGAGGCGTCATTCGTGCCATCAGCAGAGAAGTCGTTGTTGGTCACTGGACTCGGCGCAAAACGTTGCAGAGCTTGAAAGAGATGCACGAAACGGTCGTAGTCTCGCTGGGTAGATTTGATTCCTGTTTTCGGGAACGCCTTGGTCAGCTCCGGCTTGGAGGGTACGATCTTTGGGAAGACCCTGTTTGACTCCGTCTTCGAATCTGATCGAGGCATAAGAACCAGAATATCATACAAATCGGGTTTGGTGCTTAAAACATCGTCCGTAGTGCAAGCAATCCAGCTGTCGTCCGAGGATGACGTGGTCGTTGGTGTTTTATTTCGCTCCAGCTGTGGAATGTCCAGCACTCCCACGGTGAAGAGAGGCCGAAGCCAGTATGGTGGGACATCTCCCTCGGGTATTAGAGATAATAGTGATGTTGATACAGATGACAAAATGGACATATTATATACTATTCCAGATCAGCAGGGAGATTGTGAACACGTCTCATCGTTGTCTTACCAAGGTTGCAACTGAACTCCACAGGGGTGTCTGTGACTATTAGTATGCGCTTTCGTAGTAATGCCGCGCGGTAAAGCGGGAATATCAATGGGCCGAATGTTTTGACCGATTCTTCCAGAGTCGAGGCAGGATGGTGAGGTATGAGTGCGTGATGCCCTGATATGAAGGTAGTTGCTGCGCTCATTGACCTTGACTTGCGGTATCCATTCGTCTGTTGAGGATCCTGCGCACCTGAACCGGTCCGACTTTCTGGCGTAAGTTTATGTTTGTCCCAGTACTCTTCCAATGCAGTCGTGTTATCGCCATCCTCGATTTGAGACCTACTCTGTCAGTCCCTAACGCCTGAACAGCTTGCCTTCGTACCTTGCAAGCTCTTTGAGAACAACAGCATGACGCCAGCTTCTTCCCATGCGGCCATGCTCGAGTGGAACAATCACGCCAACTGCTAGCATTCGAGCTGCTCGATCGGACTGTTCGTCGGGCTTGTTGATGAAGGTGCTGAGACCGGCATATTCGTCGTGTATGAAATATCTTAATGCGCTCAGTCCTGCTAGTTTGGTAAGACTGGGAACCACTCACACCAAGTCCTCCTCAACACTGTGTAGGCCTGAAGGCAGCGATTTGTACTCGACGACTCCTTCGAGAGTGACTTTGACACAGTGTCAGTGCGGGTATGGGAAGGTTTGCGGGGTAGTCACTGACCGTCTTCCGTGGCTCTGTGCCATCCTAGTGTGTAGCTATAACCTCTTAGCACATGTGAAGCAGAGACACAAGGCAAGCGGCGCCAGAATACCCTTTGCGGTGGTCAAACTTGACAACGAAGAGGGCAGCGATGTGAGGTATGGGAGGTTCGCTGCTGGTGTCAATCCTCAGGGGATTTGGAGCGGCCATGTCAACATCCGACCTTGCATGCTATGCCGTGTCTCGCGGATCCTCATCAGGGCTGGTCAGTGTTGCATGAACGAGCACATATGGAGACCAAGATCACTCCGGACATTCTATTGCTGCATGCGCCTGCGCCTGGGGTAGCCTCGCAGTACTTCCCCAATGTATTGGATGCGCCAAGGCGCTAAGATAGTTAGTAGATTTCAAGTCGGCTATATCTCCAATTCCCCGAGGTTAGCAAGTCATTTCACACCTCAATTGATGATCTCATATCGCAACAGATCAGCGTAAGCAGCGCGCTCACGATTTCTCCTTTGAGGAAGCACAATTGGTGAGCTAAAGGCAATCGAGCATTGACTTCAAAGCGAAAGAAGTCAGTGAGTAGGAGAAACATTGTGAAGTGCTCCCCAGGCGAAGCCTCGAACACTGTGCAAAGAGCGGAGGCCGATGGCGGAGGCCCCAAGAGGCACCCTCAAGCGCTCTGGGCCTTTGGCACTGTCTGAGGTTGTTCCCCACGGGACCCTGTGGGAACCCCGCTATATCAGTCCAGGCATAGCGTCCTACTCACCTGGGTAGCCAATTGCTATGCATGAAAGCACATAGCTTTCATCAGTATCTTTTCGGCTCGGTTACTACACGCCGACATGGCCCTTGTGCCGAGCACTGTCGGAGCAACCTGACCGTATAAGATACAAAGCTAAGTCACCTCTCATTTAATCGGTACCTCCAGAACCCCCTGCTTCCTCCCACATTTCTCCCTCCTTGTCGCTTTCTCCGTGTTTTCCCCCACGAAACCAGAACCACCGGCAAAATGAAGGCCCAGCGCAAGGTCACCTTCTTCAACTTAGCCGTACGTCTTACCAAAGGGACAATCATTCAGATGCTCTCCAAGATATACTAACCCTCGCCTCGAACAGATTGTTTTGGCCCTCTGTCTAGGCAGCTTGACCTACGGCTATACCTTCAGTATCGTCTCAACCACTCTTGGACAACCTGCGTGGTTCGAATACTTCGACCTCACTCAGGTTGCGACTGAACCAAGATATGCCTATACCAATAGTATCATCGGTGCCATGAACGGCTGCTTCTCGGTCGGTGGCCTGTTCGGCGCATTGTTCAATGGCTGGTCGTGCGACTATCTGGGTCGCAGAAAGACTCTCCTTGTTGCTACTCCCATTGCCATCGTAGGTGGTGCCCTGCAGGGAGGGGCAGCACATATTGCCATGTTCCTGATCGGCCGTGTACTGGGCGGCTTTGCTGTTGGTAAGCAGTCCACCAAGGCAACTCATATTGGCTCCAGCTTCTCACAATCATCACAGGTATTCTAGTGGTCTTGGTGCCACTGTTTCAATCAGAGATTGCGCCGCCAGCCACGCGAGGCTTTTTGGTCTCTCAGCACGGTGTTGTTCTAGTCTTTGGATACTCACTAGCTGCCTGGATCGGTGTCGCCTGTTATTTCTCGAAGAACGCGGCTTTCCAATGGCGTTTTCCGCTATGCGTCCAATGTGTCTTTCCTCTAGCAATGTTGATTTTGACGCCTTTCCTGCCAGAGTCTCCTCGATGGCGTAAGCAGCACCCATCTTTGCAAGAAATCTTCGAGACTGACCTTTTTATAGTGCTGATGAATGACCGATTCGATGAAGCTTGGGCTATTGTTCTCAAACTTCACGCGGATGGAAAGGACCCAGAGGCTGAAGACGTTCATTTCGCCACCGAGGAATTCTATCAAATGCGCCGACAAGTCGCGGCTGATAAGGCTATGGCCTCTCAAGAAACCCTCATGACCCTCTTCACCAAACCTTCCTACCGAAAACGGATGATTTGTGGCTTCTTGACCATGTATGGTGCCGAGTCAACAGGCATCTTGGTCATCTACAGTACGTTCAATAACAGACTTCACTAGAGTCAGCCCCAAGCTAACCTACCTTGCAGACTACAGTGTGCTTTTGTACGAAGGGCTCGGTTTCTCAGGCAGCCTACCGTTGATCCTAGCGGCGGCCTATGTCACCGTCGCTTGCTGCGGAAACTACATCAACTCGCTCCTCATCGACAGGGTCGGACGAGTCAAGCTTCTTCGTAAGCTCTTCCTCACTGAGTTCAATTTTCACGTTGATCCTAACTTGGTTGGATAGTCATCGGATTCACTGGTTGCCTGATCACCCTGTGTTTCGAAGCCGCCATGAGTGCTCGCTACATCGGCAAAACCCCAGTCAACAACGCCGGCCTCAGCGCTGGCGTCTTTTTCCTGTTTCTCTACATCAGCTTGTAAGAATATTCTGCATGTTCTCATTCCTTTCCCATACTAATCAATGGTTATAGCTACGGCTGCTGCATTGACGCAAACACCTACGTCTACTGTTCCGAGATCTTCCCTACTCACATACGATCTCGCGGTTTGTCGTTCAGCGTCGCTTGTCTGTTCCTGTCGACCATCGCTTATCTCGAGGCCGCACCGACCGCATTCGCTCAAATCGGCTGGAAATACTATCTCCTCTTCATTGTCCTCACTGCGATCAACATTCCTCTAATCTGGTACTACTTCCCAGAGACAAAGGGACTGTCGCTGGAGGAAATTGGCGAGAAGTTCGGAGACGAGATTGTTATGCATCTTACTGATCTGACTGACGAACAACGAGCCGAACTGGACAGGGAGATCGCTTCGAACAAGCAACAGGCTGGCGCAATCCACGTCGAAACGAAGGCTGAGCCAAACAGTCTCACTGAGAAGTCTCTTGCTTAGGTGAAGATATGATGAGAAATTCGGACGATTGTATCAATTTCATACTCTCCAGGGATCAAGACTTTTCCTGACCTGAGAAGGGAGTTCATTTAGAGGAGGATTTTGGATCAAAGAGAGACATTTCTATCAGAGGGAAACATCGAATTAGAGGACGACTTAGAGAAAGACGTCTTCAATGTATGGGAACATATGTTAGAGGAGCACGATTGCGAGTGCTTGTAACAAGACAAGATATTGTGTTATGTTGGGGTCATTAAGTAATCTTGAATTCTGAAGAGACATCACCATCAACGTAGCGATAGCTCATTCAAGATCGAACCAATTCCGCCCAAGCCCATTCATAATCTCACTAGACCCATCATACGTCCCCCCGTACAAAGCATTCTGCATATCCTGAAAAGTATTCTGAAACCCATCCAGATCGTCAAACATGAAACTCGACCCCGACGTCCCGCGATCTTGAAAGCCATATCCCAGGTCATCCACACTCGTCTCCTGTTGAAGCACGGGCAGCGGATCATGGCGCGGCTCCGTATGCGCGACTAAACCAGCAACACTTGCACTCGCAGGCTGTGGCACTCCTTGCACACTGGTGAGATGAGCCTTCAACAACTCCTTGAAAGCGCTATCACTCAAACGACTGAAGATCTCGCACGACTGACGCGCGTCATCCCATCGCTCACAGATCGCCGTCAGAATATTCGAGCAGTCTTTGATGTCAGTCATGACATCCGAGCAAGGTGGCAGGAACGCAGTCGGATCGGATTTGCGTCGACGAGCCCACTGTCCAACACTGTATACATTCGTGAGACCGGCCATGAAGATCGTGTAAAGACATATCCAGGAGTAATTGAGACGTCGAGCTTGTAACACCTCACGGTAATTCGAGATGAGTTTGCGAGAAGTCTCCCACATTATCTTGAGCACGTCTTCGGTATCTTGTACCACTGAATGGCCGCCTGCCGGTGGGGTCGTGGTGGCTGGAGGTCGAAACAAGACAAGGACGGCATTGTGATATAAGGCTTCCCACCAGCTGGCGCAGGAGAACGCTGAGATGGCCAAGGACGATTCGTCGTTCGAGGAAGGCATTGCCTGTGCCGTCTTCTCCCTCCAGTCCTGGAGTTCGGCCAGGAGATTTTCGCGAATCGTTCGTTTATCTGTGGCTTGGAGAGACCGAATAGTCACATTGGTGTGCAAGAGGCGATGGCTTTTGGCGATAAGTCGACGGCAAAGAACTAAGCGGAGAAAAGGCGAGATGCGACCTTCCGCTTCCTGGGCAGTGCCGTCGGCATTCGTAGACTGAGTCTCCAATTCGTCGTCATCTAAGGGTAAGGGCAGAGGTGTGTCGATATCTTCATCTGACAGCGTCAGGGTGCGACCCAGTGTAACGCTTACGATGCTGACGACTTGTTAGTCAACTTGACGTCAATATGTGCGCATTCTCAACGTACCGATCAAGGCTGTAGAAGCACCAAAAACACCTCTTCTGCATCTCTGCTCGCACGGTCACAGGAACCAGGCCTGTCAAATGATAGTCGCTCCTACCGTTGCGCGCAGATAGGACTGCTTGGTGGAGGCCGATCTCGACGCAAATTCGCTCGGCCTGTCCGAGAAGATCCCACATTTCATCAGCAGTATCACGCAAACTCGCATGAATACCATATTGACAACAAAGCAGTAATGCTTGGAGGGAGCGAAGATCTCTGTACTTGAGTATCTCGTAGAAATGGACCATCGCACGTCTGGAATATGACTCGGTATCTTTGTAAGCCCATTCGAAGCGTTTGGCGGCGGCGGATCCCAGAGCGAGGATCATGTTGAAGACAAATGCAGTACTGTGATCTTCCAGATATTCATTCGGACTGCCGTATATCCGTTCGACAAGTTGCAGAAAGCTTGGTCGGTATATCAGTGGAAATGTAACGTGCCAGTGGTCGAAATAGCTTGCAATCAGTCGCGATGCTGTCGCTCGATCCGGTAGCGATGAAGACAGTGAGACAGTATCATGTGCCAATCGAGACCTGGAGTAGGCTTGGGAGACCCTGGCAGACATATCTCCTGAAGGGATTGGCGCATCGTCAAAGACGCTTTCAACGAGGTCGATGAAATTTGCGCCCGCGCTAGACCCTAGGTATTTACCATGGGGGCCAGGCTTTCGAATTGCTTCAGAACTCATCGGTGTCCATGACAAGTCTGCGGATGGCGTGCTGTTGGTTTGGACAGCTGTGGTTGAAGGGTTGTCCGAGTTGTCGCGCTGATGAGTCTGAGTCGATTCTGATGGAGCACAATCCAGCGGCCTTGCCCCATTCGTGTTGGCTGAAGTCGTCCTGGTACGGGCTGCTGCAGGACTACTCCTCAAGGAGTTGTTTTCGGCTTGAAGGGATTGGATTCGCTCTTGCAGAGATTCAAGCTGAAGACGTCTTGCATGCCGGTAGTGCAGTTTCTCCGGATAAGAGCAACGTGCACCACTCCTCAAACAGGAGCCGCATTCAGGTTGCTGTTGGTCGCATCGGGTCTTGCGACCATGACAGCGATCGCACGCTGTCATTATTCAATGCGCACTGGGGATGAAGAATGACGATAATCGTGATCAAGTTCAATCGTGGAATTTGGAAGGCGAAGAAGCAGGGAAATGATTGACTCGTTACTAAGTTAGTAATTATTGGGCGGCCCCCGAGTTATGCACGTCCTCCGCCCACGCTTGGCGGGCAGTGGCGGGTTAGGTGCCCAGATGGAGGGGCACGGGGGTCACGGGGGGCATCAGATCTGGAATTGATCCCCGCACCCCTCGGGGAAGGGAGTTTGGACCTCCCAATTGACACGAGGGAGGAAGATAATACCGCTAGTTATTGAATTTATTGCTATGAATTTAGATGACCTCTGTGAAATGGTCCTTTGCAGGCGGAGGAGCCACCTTGATTTTGGCAAAGTCCTGCAAGGTGTGGAAAGCCGACTCGTACGAGTCGACCTGGCCATGCCATCCCAGCTTTACAGCCTTGCGCATACTAAGAGACAGTGCCCAGCCTCCAATCACTGCAGAATCAGTCATGCTGAAGGTCTTTGTGCGGTCGGCAAATGGATCAAAAAGCAAACCATGCTTCTTCGTCAGCTCTTTCCATGCCTCTTGTACTTTGGGTTGCTCGGACCATTCCAACAAGCTGAACGAAGACTTCGTAACTCCCTTGGGACCGTACCTGTGACGCCGTGTAAGCTTCCATGACAATATAGCTTTGTGAGTTCACTTACCCTCGTGGAGTCGTCTCCGCTCTCGACTCAAATGTCCTGTACTTCGAGGGGTCTGCCTCGGGAGGATTCCAGGTGGTGCCATACCAGTCAGCCAAATAAGGCCAGAATCTGCCCCATGTGAAGGGTAGACCATCCTGGGCATTGAATGCTTGGTTGCCCGTGTGCGGGTCCAGAACTATCCACTCTTCGAGATAGGCATTCAGAAGAGCGGTACTCTGGCAATACTCCCGATCCCAAGCAGCATAGTCGCCGGGAAAGTTGAGAGGCTCTTTCAGATAGGCTTGGACCGAAGCATATGCGGCGATACCGACCATATGGTTGAGCAAGTTGTCGCGAACTGCTCCGATAATGTACGAGGGACGAACAACCCCCCATTGGGCGCCAGTTTCTTTGCAATAGGCGGAAAGAATATCTTCTTGGCGGTAGTAGAAGTTTGCCTCTGTAGTGATTCTGGGGTCGGACTCAAATGAAGGGCTGGTGGCCGGACCAATGTGGAATCCGTACTGTTTGGCACCGGTCTGCAAGAGAAATCTCTTGGGCTGGAGTTTGGCATGCTTGAGTCCCCCAATGAAGTTCTCAAGGAGATCACCTGGAACATATCAGTCCCTGAGTCGTGCTGTTGCCAACGGCATGACAGGAACTCACCGTTAACCCTGGTCAGCTCCTCTGCATCTGACCACATGTTTAGAACACCACCCTTCTGAACAGGTTGCATATACGAGAAGAAGAAGACATGGTCGCTATCAGGCTAGGTCAGTAAGAGCAGTGTTGAATCGTGACTCTACTTACACCTTAGGAATCTTGCCTTCCAGGGCTTTTCCAATGGTAGCTGGATCAGCCAAAAAGTCGGCTTCGACATGCTCGACTCGGTCTGCACCTTCACCCAGCTCCTTGAAGAAGTAGTCAGGTGGAGGTCGGCGTGAAAGACAGTAAATTTTTGACCATCGTTCAGGCGACTGAACAAGCACTTTCACCATGTGGTAGCCGGAAATACCATTGGCTCCCGTGACAACGGCTGTGAGACCCTTGAATTCGGGGGTATCTGGGAAGGTGGGAAGTCCATGGAAGATGCCTTTCGACTGCACTGTTTGCACTGTTGAAACCATCTTGTCCGATGGTTTACCAAATCTAGAATACAAGGTATTGCTTCGTAAGAGATGCTCGTGTGTCAAATAACTTGTCGTTGACTCGTTGCTCGACCGACAAACAGTGGTAGAAGCTCGGCTCAACCACGTGGGGATCTTGAGATGTGAGTGAGGTCGGCTTCTTCGGCGCCGCGCCGAGGCCTTCGAAGGGTCTCACCCCAGTGGGGTTCACACGGGGATCCAATTGGGGGGTTCATGGGGACCTCCAGTAGGAATGCTTGAGGAGACAAAGTTCAGCCGAAGGGTCCTTGGGGGCAAGCGAGCGGAAAAGATTCCTCTCCACTAAACTTGACAAGGCGCCATCAACGTTTATACTACCTTATTAGCGGAAGCCTGCTTTACTGGTCGATGACACGGGGTACGGAGCAGACACTTGGAGAGGCTGTCATGGAGAATTATTGCACAGCCTAGCACGGTCCAACCACTTCCACTGCCTCAGACTCTGTCCTTACGGGAGGTCTCAAATGCGTCAAGATGTGTTCCATGAGATCGGCATGTTCCTCACAACAGCAGAGGATTGGTTGACAATGTTGGATAACTCGCTAATTATATTGGTATCATCGGCCATGTCTAGTAGGACTTTGGCAGGCCCAACACCCTCTCACCTATGTAGTTACAAATCATTTCTCGACTAACAGGCGCGATGCGAGGGATGAAGACCTCGCGCAGATACCGTTCGACGTGGTATTCTTTGGCGTAGCCCATACCTCCATGGGTCATGACAGCTCGCTCGCATGCCTCGAATGCAGCCTCGGCAGCCAAGTACTTTCCGGCATTGGCATACTCTCCGGCTTCATATCCTTGATCGTACATCTTGGCCGCGTGATATAGCATAAGTCTGGCAGACTCGAGTTTCATCCAGCTGTCAGCAAGTGGGTGCTGAATTGCTTGATTCTTTCCGATCGGTCTGCCAAAGACTACTCGGTCGTTTGCATAGACGGCGGCTCTTCTGAGGGCTGCGTAGCCCAGGCCCAGAGCCTCGGCACCGATGAGAATTCGTTCAGCGTTCATACCGTGCATGATCATTTTGAAGCTGTAAATACGACATTAGCCGGATGTTCGAACACGACATCTACGGGCAGGAACACTCACCCTTCATTCTCCTTGCCGACTAAATCTCTGGCCGGTACTCTCCAGCCATCGAAGAACAATGTGTTAGTATCGACAGCAGCTCGTCCCATCTTAGGAATTTCCGTAATCTCCACGGCATCCGTCAAGTCGGTGTAGAATAGTGACAAGCCCTGAGAGGGCTTTTTCACTTGATCGAGCGGCGTCGTTCGAGCTAGGATAAGGATCTTCTGTGCATTCTGGGCTGTCGATATCCAGATCTTGGACCCAGACAAGACGTACTCATCCCCATCTTTCGTGGCAGATGACTGGAGCTTTAAAGTGTCCAAACCAGTATTTGGCTCAGTCACACCAAAACAAGCTCTCTCCTTGCCAGCAATGAGAGGAACGAGCCAGCGTTCTTTCTGTTCGTCTGAGCCGAATTTTGCTACTGGCTCCAGGCCGAAGATATTCATGTGAATTGACGATGCTGCCTGATGAAGTAGTTAGTATTCATAGACAGGATGCGAGTTATGCCTCGTGTTCAACATGGAGGAGTACGAGGCTGGAGGTCACTTACCGTCATTCCGCCGCCAGATTCCGAGATGGTTTGCATCATGACGGCAGCCTCTGCAATACCCAATCCCGATCCACCGTACTGTTCAGGCATACAGATACCCAGCCAGCCATCTTTTGCGAGGGTATCGTAGAGCTCTGTCGGGAACTTCTTCGATGTCTCTTGCTTAGCCCAGTACTCATCGGGAAAGTTTTCGCATATCTTTGCGATGGACTCCCGAACTGTACGTTGCGATTCCGTCAGATCTGGATCATGACACTGTAGATATTCCGTGGCTCTCGCGTGCCGTGAGCGCCGTGACTGAAGTTCCAAAGATAATCTGAAACTAGGCCTAAGTGCCCTTCGGACACCTGTGGTAAAGAACGTTGACGACCGCATTTGTGATGGATATTGTCTCGGTGTTATGTATGCTTTCGCCGTCTCTGGCGTCTTGTCGAGTTCACCTGAAAATCCCTGATGTTGTGTATGTTCCTTCAAGAAAATCGGTCTTCGTGCTGCTTATGAGGTGGATTCGTTTTGGCCACTTGCGTGAATTTTCAAAAGGCCCAGCCAGGCTGGATTACATGATGATGCTACGATTTCGGAGGCAACAGCGCGTTCACAGTACAGTACTGCTTTCCTGCTTTGCCAAGGAGATCTGGCGGAGCCTACCGTCGCCGTCAAGCAATGTCGGTTGAAGGCCATCTCAGGCTTCTCAGGTGACGAAGAAGGCAATTTCGGCGCAGAACCGATGCTTCGGCTGCTTGGCGCCGACACCTCCAAGCGGCTGAGAAATCTCCACAACGTCAAATCCATCCCATTAGTTTGTGGCGCATTGCTAATTTAGATCCAATAATGAACATCGGCAACCAGATGCCGTGAGTCTCACGGGGTGCAGGGACCGTCGATCTAGATTCGTGCAAGAAGTCTAGGCTAGAAATGTGAACAGAATGACAGCAGTCATCGCACCCAATCGGATAGATAATACTATTCCGGACCATATCCTGGGTCGATGCTGATCGACGTAGCAGGATCTATCTACAACACAGTTGTGGTCATAATTCTTACATTGGAGAAACTGCATTACGGCATGACTGCCCTGCCAGCTCTCTTCACACTGCCTTTTCCGTCCGCAATTCTGATATTGCTTGTCCCGAGTAGCCAAGTTCTTGCAACACAGCATCGGTGTGCTCACCAAGTAGCGGCGGTGGACTGTGAATAGAGGGTTTGGTCTTGCTGTACTTTACAGGAATGCCTGTATGGTCATGATCAGTACAGTGCAAAGACCGGACAGGTCGTGGAGTACTCACCAAGAATCTTGATGCTTCCAGATGCCGCAGCCTCATGTGGGACAATCTCGACCATTTGCCGGGCCTCGATCTGTGGGTGCGCGAAGGCCTTTTGTAGAGTGTTAATAGGGCCGTACGGCATGCCGCTGTCCTCAAAGATAGCCAGCCACTCGCCAGTGCTTCTCGCAGCAAAGGCCTCGTCCAAGATCGGTTTCAATGCCTCACGGTTGAGTACTCGTGTGTCATTGTCCACAAATCGTGCATCTTCTGGAAGTTCAGGCAAGCCCAGACGCTCCGACAGTATCTTGAACTGCCTGTTGTTCACTGCCCCAAGAACGAGATAGGAGTCCTTCGTCTTGAACGCCTGATAGGGGACGATACTAGGGTGGGAAGTGCCCCACCGCTTCGCCTCTTCACCTGTGTTGAGCCAGGTCATCGCCACGTTGGCAAGTACAGAAATCTGAGTTTCGAAGAGAGAGGCGTCCACCTTCTGTCCAACGCCGGTCTGCTGACGCGTGTGAAGAGCTGCAAGTATTGCACCATGGAGATAGAGTCCTGTGCACATATCTGTCAGGCCAACACCAGGCTTGGTTGGAGGTCCATTCGGTTCTCCTGTGACGTGAAGAAGACCGGCCTCTCCTGCAGCAATGACATCGTATCCAGCACGCTTAGCATATGGCCCTGAAGTTCCATAGCCTGGTACGACGTTAGACTATGCGTGATTGGGCTGCAAAGGTTACTTGCCTGAGATGCTCGCGTGGATGATGGAGGGGTTGATGGCCCGCAGAACATCATACCCGATACCGAGCTCGTCCATTTTCCCAGGGATAAAGTTGTCAACCCTATAGCCGCAATGTCAGTCATGCAACTGTGAAGGAGGGTATCTGGCACTTACACAACATCGGCCTTTTCAGCTAGCTCGAAGAAGATTTTGCGTCCCTTTTCGTGTTTGAGGTTGAGTGAGATAGACTTCTTGTTGCGGTTTATGGTACTGAAGTAGGCGGACATCGACTTGCCCTTCTCGTTCCACAAACGGTTCTCTTTCTGTGTACGCCAGGTTCTGGTGTCGTCCTTGAGGCAGCTTAGCGAAGGATCCCTCGGCGTTCCGTTCTTCACTTACACCACCTGTAGGGTGCTCAACCTTGATGACTTCGGCACCATAGTCGGCCAGTATCTGAGTACAGAAGGGTCCCTGATTGCACGTCAGTCTGAGCAGCCTCTTGGGTACGTGAAGTTTGCATACAGCCAGTACTCGGGTCAAGTCGAGGATTTTGACACCTTTGAGAGGACCATTGCCGCCACGTTGGTTCTGAACCGCATTGTCATGTCTTGACCTGGCCTTGATATGGGTATGGGTAACAGGTACTGTATGTTGCAACTGGGTGTTGATGCGCTGAGTCCATATTGTTCTCGACATGGCTGCTGGACGAGAAGAAAGATACCTCGCTGACGAGCTGTTCAGAATTCACTCGTCTAACCAAGACCTCGAGTCCACATAAAGTGCATGCATGTCCCTTCCATACCCAAAGGACTCGATGCAGCATAAGAGCATTTTGATATCTCTGCTGACTCATACAAGTCTCCAACCAAGTGTGTTCAAGGCGTCGTCGATGCAGCCTTGCATACAAAATCATGGCTCTAATCCACATTCAGCCTGTCGTTGCCGATATCGGTCACTGGCCGACGACTCGGTGCCTTCGATCCGATGGTGCATTGCCCGCCAGTCACGCGGATGAGATCACGTGGAGCTGCTTCAGAGCTGGATCCATGAGCCTGAAACGACCTTGACCAGCTTACTCTTTTGGCTTCAACCTCTCAAATGTCGTTCCGTCGATCAACTTTGGGACAACGTCGTCACGTTCTCGGATCCGCGCGATATCTTTCGCAGATACACAGGCAGTGAAATGCGCACTTCACTCCGGCAGCACGCGTCAACACATGCCATTCGGGGTCCGCGCTTCCTGGACCATCAGAAGGAGCCATTTCTGGTTCTACTAATAGGTCACGACGACCCTTCGCGAGATTGACTCTTTTCGTTCTTCATCTTGCTGGGGATTGCCAGCAGATGTCTGGCCCGCCACGTCCAACATGCTGCCTGTTCCCACCGGCGCATCTGGCCTCAATCCTGACAGGAGCTGAGATTTAATGATTAGTCGACATGATTATGGTGACCCATCTTGAACCCCGAAGTACCAGCATATCAGCGGTAGGAAATGTCAAATGAAACTTTCGTGCTTATGAAATACTCCAGTCCGAACCACTGCATGATTATCTCATTGGTGATGAAGAACTACCCCTTCGGGTTTAGACTGGCCTCGTCCTGCCCTGCTGCATACTGCCAAAGACTTACCATGACCCAGGCTCCAATGGGCTGACAGTCGCGCATCTTCATGCCTTATCTCATCATGGGACGTCTTTGTCATCTTGAGCCTCATATGCATGCTTCAGCTATAGCGGCATACAACCCACCGGGCAGGTTGAAGGTCAAAGCACCACACAGTAAGGTCCTAGGCTATAAAAGAGGCATGCCGTCCTTGACTAAGTTGAGGCTGCTATCACTCACCTCTCTAGGCCACAGACGACACAACCGCTTCCATCATGGCCGAATCATTCTGCATGCGCGGTGTCGATGGCAAAGTCAAGCAACTTCCAGCCGACGTTCCAGACCTCAAGCCCAAAGAAGTCCTCGTCAAAATCACGCACAGCGGTCTCTGTGGCACAGACGTCTTCTACATTCCACACGGCGCCGCCCTCGGACATGAAGGCGTCGGCATCGTCGAAAAAGTCGGCGACGCAGTGACCGCCCACAAAGTCGGAGACCGTGTCGGCGGAGGATACCTCAGAAGTAGCTGCGGAACATGCAAATACTGTCTCACCGGCAACGACATAATGTGCTACAACCGCGACATCTACGGCCATTCCAACTTCTCCAATGGCACATTCTCAACATACTACACCGCGACCGAATCGTACATCTACCCGATCCCAGAGTCGATGCCGTCTGAGATCGCAGCACCATTGCAATGTGCTGGAGCAACCGTCTACAGCGCCCTAAAGACACACTACCAGTCGGGCATGCGCGTTGGTGTCCTGGGTATCGGCGGCCTAGGCCATCTCGCCATCCAATTCGCCTCGAAAATGGGCGCCTCAACGGTTGTATTCAGCACCAGCCCCGACAAAGAGGCTGAAGCGCGGAACTTCGGAGCCTCCGAGTTCGTGGTTCTCGGGCAGGAAGACAAGTTGTCCGCGCCCGTCGATGTGCTCTTGATTACCGCTCACAAGGCGCCTGATTGGAACACGTGAGTCTCTCCTTCCCTTTCACTTTGACCATGCAAGAACCGATCAACTAATATTGTGAATGGTCAGGTTCATGAGCGAAAAGGTCGTGTCAAGAGGAGCAGCAATCGTCGTTCTAGGAGCCGTAGGCACCTCTTTGGAAGTTCCGTGAGTCCTACCTAGCCTTGTCAAAGTCACTATGAAAGTCAAGGCCATACCCAGCTAACATAGCCAGCTTCCTACCCTACTTCTTCAACTGCTACAATCTGGTGACTAACCTGGTGGCGTCACGCGCAACGCACGGAGGGATGCTTGCATTCGCGGCTGCCCACGATATCAAGCCACTTATCGAGGAATTCAAGATGGACGAAGATGGATTCGCCGAGGCCCTGGACAAGTTACAGACAGGAAAGATCAGGTATCGTGCCGTGTTGCATGTCTGAGACTGAGTGTGTTTTACCAGAATAGCCTCTGATGGCCTTACATTCGCTTGCAGAAAGGTTTCAAAATCAGGCTGGAGGATTTCATGCTTATTGCTAATTCCACCGCTAATGGCTCGAATTTGGACTGCTCTGTTCAGAGAGGCTGACTACCTTTGACTCTCTTGAATATATATGCAACACTCCCTCCGCCTGTGACCTCTCGGCCGAGGCGGAGAACGTGTTCAAGACAATCGTCATCCACGACCGCTGAGATCCGCCCAATCGTATCCTCGTCTCCATCTGCACGGGAAAACACAGAGGTGTCAAGGTGCGTATACTTGAGCAGCTCACCCCGTTCTGCTTCAGCGCCGGTCTTTTCAGTGATAATCGATTTACTGCTGCTCCGCTTCCTCTTCGTCGATTTCGTAGTGAACTTCTCTTCGAAAGCCGAAACTTTGGGGAGCTCATCCTCAGACACGTCGTCGCCGTCCCTGCCGAGCAGCTCGGAAGAATCTTCGCTCTTGACGACCTCGTCCTCGATGCCTGTACCTTGGCACGTGCAGCCAATCAGGTCATGAGTGCGCAGTCCTTCGGTCTCATCAAGACGAAACAAATCCTTCAGCTCCTCCTGGCTGAACGTCGAGGTCTGGCCTTTCCCCTTCGCTTTAATGTCGAGACCGCCATTACTTGCCGTCGAGCCACCCTGCATTATACTGTCGGCCAACGCCCTTTTGACGACCTGTCGCTGCCATATCCTCTCCTCCAGGCCACCTTTGATCAGAAACCGGTATATCTTACAATGTCGCTTCTGCCCTTGTCGGTGGATACGCGCGATGGCTTGATCGTCTGTGGCAGGGTTCCAATCCACGTCGAAAAGCACAAGTCGGCTTGCTCCGATCAAGTTCAGTCCAACACCACCTGCCTTTGCACTCAACAAGAATGCAAAGGTCTGGGTCGATTTTGAGCGGTTGAATTGGTCGACAAGACCTTGTCTCTTCGTCGCAGCAACTGAGCCATCAAGTCGGAGATAGCCTACATTCGAGTTCTGGAGCAACTGCTCGATCAAATTCAGCGTCGAGGTGTAATTTGATATGACAACAACCTTTTCGTCAGTTGTGTGACATATTTGCTGCAATAGGTGGTCGAGCATTCGGATCTTACTTGAAAGTGAGTTCTGGTAAAGCTTGGAAAGTGCACCAGGGAGCATTTCGTTCAGTGTGGTGAGCGAAGCCGAAGGTGTAGCGTCGTCGTTGCCATACTTCGGATCCATCAGTGCTGGGCTGTTGCACAGCTTCTTGAGTATTGTGATCAACTGGAAAGCTGTTTCGCTGCTGCTTAGAGCCCGGTCAAACATGGCTGACTGCAACACATTACGGTAGATCTTGGCTTGTGCTTGTGTGGGTTTGCAGAAGAGCACGTATTCTGTCTTTGGCGGTAAGAAGTTGGCCAGTATGTCTGCTGTCCTGCGGAGGATGAATGGAGATGTGGTCCGAGCCAATTCCTCACTTGCATTCTGTCCACGCTCGACGTCTTCCTCCGATGCATTTGGTTGGCGGCTCTTCATTATTGGTTTCTCGAAATCTTTGATAAAGCCCTTTTGTGAACCTAGACAGCCATCATTCACAAAGTTGGCCATGGCATAGAATTCACTGAGGTCATTCTGAATCGGCGTGCCCGACAGGATGATCCGCCTTCGTGTGTTCAATGCCTCGATGGCTTTTGCGCTCTTGTTCTTCATGGTCTTTAGTCGATGGCCCTCATCACAGATGACAATGTCAATGGGTTGGCCTTTACCAAGGTCGTCAGCCACCGCTCTCAACCTTTCGTAGCCTATAATCATGACTTGGAAGACCTTGCCGTCAAAATCGTTCAGGCGCGTGCTCTGGTCCTCGAATTCGAGTACTCCAAGCCTGTCCAGACCGAGCCATTTCTTGAATTCTCTTTTCCAATTGCGGATAAGTGAGACTGGACAGACAATCAGAGCTTTTCGAACCACTGGCGGAGCTTTATAGGCTGGAGATTGCCGAAGTAGTGTCCACAGAAGCGCGATCGTGGTCAGAGTCTTGCCCAATCCCATATCGTCCGCCAGTATACAGCCTTGGCCATCAAAGTCCCGCAGCCCCATAACACACTCGTAGAGGAACTGAACTCCTTCTCTTTGATGAGGTCGCAACAACTTCCCAATCAGAGGATCAAGCACCACGTCAACAGTCTGTCGGCCTGGCGGAGGGCATTTGGGTCGTCTGAATGCGAGAGCCCCAACTGCATTAGGATCGTGTCGAGGTGTGGGAGTCTCAGATGGCCCCTGAGGTAGGATTGTGGTTTCTTTCATAGGCTGTTTGAACGCTGTCGCCCGAGATACAGCCTTTTGATCTTGTCTGATCCCGTTTCCTTTCTCTTTCTGTATCTGTGCTTTCATCTGATCCCGTAGACTCAGCTTCGGCTGTTGAGGTGTAGGAGGTGGTGCATTGTCGGCTTTTGTTTCGGATTTGGAATCGCTTTTCCGAGGGACGCTTGTCAATTTGACGACGGCAAGATATTGGTCCCTGGTGATCTTGGAGTCCACTTCGACTTCCTTCCCACCTACCGAGAGGTTTGAACCGGAAATCAAAGGCTCTGATACTGCGGTGCGGCCTATACTTCTGCCAGTATTGCTATACAACATCGCATACCCCCCCGCAACAACCATAACTCCATCATCTGTCCAAGTTTTGTTTTTCTTATTTGTTGGGACTCGCCTGGATATCCATTAGCCGCTTGAGTTGCAAAGGAACCAAACCAGGAAGGTATACCATAGAATAGAGTAATGGCTCTCATCACTATCTATGGACTTTGCAGAACGTTTGGGACTCGGAGGGTTCTGTATGTCCTTGAGTGCCCGTCTCTTTCCACCATCTGCAGCATTTGGTCCTTGGTGTGCCAAAGCAGAGGGCAAAGGTTTGATTGAGGCGGCATTATCGTTGGGAGGGGTCAGCTTCCTTCGTTTGGCGGTCGGTACGGCAAATTCGTCGCTCTGCGATGTTGGGGGACTCTTTCGAATAGTCAATGGCTTGAAGGGCTTTGACAGCATAATCGACGTCTTTTTGGACTTGTCAATCAGTACAATGGCACTCTCTGTGGAAAAGAGTCTCAAAATATGGATAATTGTCCGCGGACGCGTAACGCGTAAGAAAACGCGAAATCATGTGACGTCGCACTACCAGACCCTAGATTGCCTTATGTAAGCAGCAGATTTCGACTTTGGCGAGTGATCACACAGAACAGCAGGAATACTCCTTATGGAGGAAACAAAGTATGGTTATGGAATAGATCCTCCTGATCAGATCATGGCTGATAGGCTCTGAAGGAGCATACAGTCTAAAGAGCCGCTCAAAGGCAACTGCCTTTATACGGAACGGAATCGAGGTTGCTCATGAGTCCGTGCAAGACAGGAAGCACACAGCCTGCGAAAGAGGGAGCGAGACATAAGACTATAACCCAGACATCATTCCCTAATGTCATTGCCGTGGCGATAAACAGGATATAGCACATGGCATTAGACCAGGTTCGAAGAGGTGAGGGGAGAAGGCTGGCAAATGGGGCGGGGAAGGCACGGAAGGATGAGGTGTCAGACTTCTCCAGCCAGGGTTCGACTTTGACGAAGTTCTGTGTCGAGGCCGTGATATCGCTTTCATCATAGCTTGACTCTTTCGTCGCTGCGTCTGACCCAAGCTGGCTTTCTTTGAGTTTGAGCTCGCCTTGCAATGTCTGCACAAGAGCTCTCAATTCCTGAATTTCGTCCATGGCAAGATCAACGCGCTTTTGGAGAACCAGCATAGGCGATTTTGCGGAGAAAGGAGCATCAGGCGGCGGAGTGCAGGGAGACAGGGTAGCACGGCGCACAGGTGAATCGGGTGCATCCGACCTGAGTTGTAGTGGAGAGAGGGGATGTCTTCGGGATAGTGGCGATCTGTTGCCCCAGTCGGGTTTCATCCGCCATCTGGAGAACGGAGTGTTAGGGCCAGTCGTCGCGCTGAGAAGTTCTCCAGGTGAGGTCGGCGACAGAGCCATGGTCCGGATCTTACGAGCTCCCAACGGAGTACCACAATGCGCGACGCTGCTGTTCAGGGGCGTCTCGTATTCACCCTCACATTTCCATTTGATCGTGGTAAAGGTGGTTCTTAGTATCTTTAGGAGTACCTCTTCACTGCCAGCAGCAGTGCCAATTGAAAGGGTCAACGATGGCATTGGCGAGATAGGTGGAGTACTGTTGTTCTTGAGAAGCTGTCCCAAAGCGATCTTGATCAAGGGAAGCAGGTACGTTGATCCCCATTCTTCGATGGCGACGATCCATGCCTGAAACTCTTTGAATCCGTCCGGGTCCTCGAGGTTGAACCTGGAAATCTCAGACATGCAATAGCGTCCATCTGCCTGGACGAAGTGGTAGTTTATTAGAGCTGTGGAGTTGTCAATCGCACATGAGAAAGATATGGGCTTGTCGAAGATGGTGCGTGGGTAGCTGCATCTTCTGAAGAGAAGTTGCAGTGCTCTAACACAATGAGCGCCTGCGACTGCGCATTGGTTTTTTGCTGCTTCAATGGCATCCTCTGAAGCGACATTCATTCGCTCGAAAGCCAGAAAGGCACAGTAGCCTGTCGTCCCAGGAGAAACGTAACCCGATGTGAAGTCCACGAGTGTTCCAGTCGATGCCGTGCAATGTGGGAGAATCGACAACTCTGTTTCGCTGAATGTGGCGGTCGCAAAAGCGGTAAGGAGCCCAGGCCTGGGTGTTGGCAGTTCGAACAAGCTCTCTTGTGCTTTGACCGCGCGTGGCGGCAAGGCTTCTCGGTTCATTTTAGGGGCGAGACATCGATGCAGACCCATCTCGACGTCAAGATTGGGCAGGATGTTCGGCGGAAATATCATTGTCGAGCCGAAGCCTTTTCCAGCTGACAACTGGCCACGCCATTCTCTTTCCTGGTTGGCAAAACGGTTCAAATTTTGCAGCGAGCGCTTGACCTTGTCGAAGAACGGCTGTGACAGGTCTGCCAGTTCCATGCTTTCAGTGAGGATGATCCGAAAAGCACCGAGGACGACTGCGCGGAAGTCTGACCATCTAAGGTGACTGCCATCGATAGCTCTGAGAAATGATACCGGCGAGCCTGGTAGTGAAGTTCGTCTTTCCGTGGAAGCCATGGCACCCAGTGAGTGTCACAATGCTGGGCGCTGAGGCTAAGTGAAAGGGGGAGTGCTTGACCTGGGAACGGTCCTCCGACTTCTGAGCACGGTCACGCAATGAAGAAAGCCACACTGGGTTGAATGAAAGAGTTGAGAGAGGCAGAGGACATGTGCTCAGGTAATATGCGGCAAGCACGTGGTTGTCCTCGCACTATGTCCAGCATGTCGGCGGCTATGCAGGAGGCGATCTGTGAAGAAGATACCAGTTTCGAGAGAGAAGCTAGCATGTTGTTAGCACTTTGAGACAATCTAGCAAGAAAGTGTGCTAGTCAGGAACGAGAACAGGCATTGTTCATGGCATCCCTCAGAAGGACACGGGATGGGACGCATGGCATGTAGCCCCCGACAAAGAGGCCTCGCGAATAAGGAGGAGAATCTGCCATGGCTCTGGCGCGTAGATAGGCTCGTTATTGGAGTCAAAAAACACAGATGGCTGGAGAAAAAGTAACGCCCAAGAATATCGACGATGCACGTTGTTCCGACGCGCGACGATATCCTGTTGCGACTTGCGCATTGGTCGCGGCGGCAAATGCAGAGAAATGGGCGGCTACAACCTGGTCGATTTCTCTACAAGTACGGAGTATGTCTCCTTGCACAACCCCTACGCAAGAAAAGGCAGGTTAGCCGATGCTCGGAGTCGTCAAGCCGATTTCCAGAAAACGTGGCACCGTCTGACAGGGAGCCCATCGACCATTTAAAATGAACTTCTGCAGGTTGGCGACAACGGGTGCCTTTACAGCAAGCCAGTAGGGATACACGATGGAGCTGGTGACATCCTTTCTGACAATGCATAAAGCTCTCTCGTTGTGTGCCAAGGACTTCGAGACGACAATAAGACACAACACTCCTTTGCAGTTGACGAGCGACACTGGTCAGACCGTGCCACTTTTTCTGGAAACAGGCTCGCCGTCTTCCAGGTTCCCCGAAGCTCTTCGATAAATGTTGCCTTCCCAAAAGTACTACCAGAGGTTTACGCGCTCGAGTTCGGCCACCGATGCGAGTTGAGCGTCCCGTCACCGGCGCCTCAGGCCTAAAGCTCGCGTATTTCCCTGTTGATGGTATTCGGCTCCTGAAACTGCGGTCCCCAATGCTGCCGAACGCACCCACTAGCAATTCGACCATCAGGCCGACTTCCGAAGCACATTCTACAGGGCTCTGCCGAAGTCATGCCTACCTTAGTCGTCCAATTCAGCTAAAGCAGGACTAGTATCACGTTCCAACGATCGTTTCTTGCAGTGACTCGTTGATGGGCGACAGCGACAATGTGTCGATCCACGTGGCCCTGAAATGACCTTCTCTGGGCGAAGTGTGAATAGCTGGACCGAGTTGGAACATCTGGAACTCAAGTACACATGCTTTTTAAGGCTATGTAGCTTGCGAGAAATGACCCGCTATGGGTACAACGAGTAGACTCAAGCTTTGGTGCGGTAGCCCAGAGTGATGTACTACCATGCTGGACACAAAAAGGACTCCAAAGCCAGAAAAGACGGTTCTTAGTTTCATTCGGCTTCTTATTGTTCGAATGGCTGGGTATTTTATCCTTCATCCTTTACACCATTTATGCTTGGATCTGACCCAGCTTATTTCTTTCCTGTACCCAAGTTGTCGTGGATGGCACCTCCCACCGCTCCCTCGGGGTTGAAGTTCTTGCCAACCGCTCCGTCAGCTGCAAAGGGGCCACCGACGGCCTGTCCAACGCTACCGATCGCTCCCTCAGCTGTGTGAATCGGTCAGTGCTCGGTCAAGAAGAGGGATGCGCTATTGCTTACCTTTGAATTGTTTGCCGATGGCTCCATCCTTGTCAAACAAAGCTTCAAGGCGCGCGACGTTAGCATCTGTTTTACTGGTCTTCATGGAAGCTGTTGTGACTCACGTTTCTTGTCGCCCTGGATTTGCTCGGCAGCAGCTTGGCCAGTGCCACCGATTGCACCTTCCTTCTTGAACTGACTGCCAATGGCACCGTCCTTATCGAATGGTCCACCTGCACATATGGTCAATCCCACTAGTCCAGACCTAAGGTGCAATTGTGTTCGTACCAACTTGCTGAGCAGTGCTACCCACTTTGCCCTCGGGTTGGAACTCTTTGCCCACTGAGCCCTTGTTGGCGTCGAGAGGAATCTTGTCAGACATTCCTGCAAAGAGTGAGTTTCGTGTGTTGTGACATGGTGCTTGCACAACTAACTGATTGAGGAGATTGAGAGAGATCTTGAAGGTTGTAGGGAGATGAGTGACTGAGTCTGCTTGATCGAACGGGATAGACGAAGCATGTTTGGGATTTGCTGGTAAGATATTGCTTAGGTCTCGATCTTAGGGAAATATGTTAGTTTCATAGTCCGGGACGCAGCTGTACATTGAGAATGAATGAACGACATCATCAGCCGCTTGTCGCGTCATGTCCTGACGTCAACGCCAACATTCGTATGGAGATCTGACTTACTCTGCTGTGAAACAAACAAGTGTCACTAATTATTTCCGCGAATACGCAATCTAGTGTTCTGAAGACGTTTGTGGCCGAGCGCCTGTGCTTTTTTGCTGGATCATAAGATAATTGAGGTGCTTAGACGAGGCAAACGTCATTGGCATATTGCGGGCTACAACAGGCGTTCGAATGGGAGCTTCAACACCATCATCCTTGCCAGGGCAGAGATACTGATTGGTGGACTGGCGGCAGCACGTCCCGTGCCAAATCATGACGTCCCAAACTCATTGACCGCGCAGAGACTCAAAAGTACGAGTCAAGCTTGATTGGGAATATTTCTGTTGCATCTGGTGATATGACCTTGATTAAATATGGCTATTGTGATGACTTCCAGCTGTGATTTCGAAGCGAGGAACTCCGCAATAACAGGAGCCTGTACCCTACTATGAGAGAAGATGGCATCGTGGATGCCGTCTGGTTACTATGCCTTTTCGACAGGACAAGTTTAGTATTACCGGACACGTACTAGAGGGAGCGAAGACGCGATTCGAGGTACCGCATCGTTCAGCTTTGCAAGACATTACCATGTCGTTGACTCCTGCTACTTCTGATGACTGCGGCGGAGGCTGGGGCAAGAAGTACAACGGATACCTGCATGCTCTCCTGCAACTGCACCTGCGCCTTTACCCTTTCACCTATCCCCTTCACTCCCCTTTGTCAAGGCTGCCTCAACTCAATGCGTGATACTTCACATTGACGGCATAGAAGCCTTTCTCTCGTTGGATTTTTGGATCTTTGAAAAGCACAAGTCGAGTTGGCTGCCTCATCGTTAAGTCCCCCATTGTGTGAATTTGCATATCGGCACATGAGTTGAGAAGTCTACCCTTAAGATTACTGTTATAATGACCTGCAGCACATCACCAGCACATGAAAGACCCTAAGTCCCTGTTCGATGACTGCCACCAGCTGCCAGATGACTTCAACGCCATCTTCTTCTAGCCATATCAATGGAGTGACCATTGAGAACGCCTTTCCCACTCCTCCCACAGTTGAGAATGCCAGCGACACATTGTTTCGACTCAGAGGCACAATTTCACCCCCACCGAAGAGATTCATGGCACTGGAACGCGCTCAGTCAACTCCTCCTGAAATAACCCATGCCAATCAATTCGGCATCTTGACCAGGAGCGCAGGTGGACAGTTGTCGGATGTGGCGAGCCTGGAAAGTTCATGGCAGCGACTGAACCTGTCAAGAAAACGAAGTCAATACTATAGCGACGCATTTGCTTATCGTGAACCAAATAACACTGCGAAAGAGCGTGTGGCGAAAGACGCGGTGATCCAGGCCGAGATCAAGTTGAATTGCTGTGTACGTGTCCACCTCTACGTGCGCATGTTGACTGACTCCTTCGCAGCTTGAATCAGAAAACGACTTCCTCATCGATGTCTCATGGAGGCTGTCCGAAATCTACCATCGTCCAGCTTCTTGCATAATGGTCTCCGTCACAGCACAAGTTTCAATGCTTCTGGGAGGTAATTCCGAACCAGCTTACCACTTCGCCATCACCGCTTTGTCTCCGGAGATAGCAGCTACAAAGAACAAAAGAAACACACATCTTATCCAAGACTTCATGCTTGATTTGGTCCAGATTCCCCCACGACGAGGAATCGTCCAGTTTGAGGCAGTCGCGGAGGAGAATCTTGCCACCAATGGAATTACGACGTTGCAAGAGATTGAACATCTTGAAAGGGAATCGAGCGAAGGGGATGGTCGCTTGAGGGCGCTCAGTAGAAAGAGCAAAAAAAGCAAGAAGTCGACTGCTCCAGCTTTCACGGAACGACTCAGGGCTAGTATTCCTTCACTTCGGGCGACCACTCCTTCACAGCAGGTGTTCAGTACGGTCGGAGCGGGAGAGACAAAATCAACAGGAACAAGCGGACTAGGTAGAAAACGGGTTAAAAAGAGGCAGAGTATCATGGCCTTTTTCAAGAGGTGATGATGCTTTGACATGGCTTTTTCCTGGTACATTCTCAGTCACGATATTCAGAACAGTATACAGTGAGAAGGGTGTTTGGGTAGCTGCATACCTAGGTACTGGTGAGTATTAAAAGAGATTGAAACTCCTGGTATTCAGACAACACGTCATTGGGTTTTACGGGCATTAACAGAGACATGAAGCTCCAAAAGTGTCAATGCATGTGTCCTTCTTGCTCGCACCCAGTGGTGGACCGCCTTGGAAAGCTCTCAGTTCTGCCTTACCTTCCGCAAGACTTTCATCGTCTTCGAGATGTCGGGTGCCGCTCGGCAATTTGGGAAGGAGCGCGATGCTTTTGACAAACTGCCTCTAGTTCTTCTTACAAAGCCACGCCTGTTCCAGCACACAATCCACTGCCTTGCCAGCGATATAGATTCGTCTTTGTATCTGTTCACTCAATCATTCATTAGCTTGCCCTACGACCCATCTCGACAATGGCGAGCGCAGATATTGTACAATACTACGATTATCTCCAGCTACCCATCAATGCGACCCTCGAAGAACTCGACACGAGATACCTAGACCTTATTCTAGACTTGACTTCGAAGCATGCCTTGGTGTACGCGACTGAAGAGGAGGTACAAGAACAGCTACAATATCTCGACGAAGCATATGCCGCTCTCCTACCAATCGTCCCTTTGGGTGAAGACGATATCGAACTCGTCAAAGAGCCTTTGACGATGAAAGAGGTTCAGACAGCTCGAGATCGCATGGAGATACCGCGGACGACCATCGCCGACCATTGGCACCCACCACTACCAGAAATTTCGCCCTCACCAACCCCGTCTTCGTCAGACTCAGACTACGAAACTGATGAGACTGTCACCGAACCCGGATTTGAAGTCGAAGAAACCGAAGGGAACATCTTTGAAGTCCCAGATCGTGCGGTGATTGTTCGTAAGTAACCTCTCACTTTAGTGCCTATACCTTGTCTAATGCGCATTCTTCAGACTCAGTGAATTGTCAAGGTGTCTGGGGAATCGGAGTTGCGGCAGCACTCAAAAAGGCAGTGAGTTCCAGAAAAGCTTGAGACCATCGCCATGCTGACGAACTTGTTAGTTTCCCCAAGCATACAGCATCTATCGGGCACACTGCAAGCGAGCGGAAAAGCCTCTTGATTTGATAGGGACATGTCTCTTGATACCTCCTCAAAGGCAGGACTATGCACACAAGAAAGAGAAGATCAAAGACGGCGATGGTCCTAAGGCGAGCTTTCCGCCCGAAAGTATTGTTTTCGACAAGCGACGCTGGATTGCTTGCCTGTTCACAAGTATTGGATATGGGAAATTGAACATGGCGACAAACAATCCTGGAAAAGGTTCAAGAGAGGGCATACTGATCAACACGAGATATGCTCTGGAGGAGCTCCGAACTCAACTTGAAATTTTTGGGCCATCCAATTTCGACGAGCGAACGAGCTGGAGAACAGACGATGACAAGCCTGGAGAGATTTGGAGCGTGAAATTCAACAGTGGAGCATTTGGTGTGCCTTGGGAGGAGACTCGGGAGATTCTGGAGCAGGAGTTTGCAGGGTTTGAGCGACCGTGGACAGTGGTAGAGAAGACCATACAAGCAGATGCTCAACCTGAAAAGGTCGGGAAGGGCGGAAGCCTTGAGTCAAGTGAAGGTTCTGCTCATGTGAGACTGCGCTTGACTCTCGGTAAAAAGAGCACGTCTGCCTAAACCTGGATTTACGATTCCGGTAGCATTGACATGGTAGGTAGCATCGACCATGGGATTTGGTGAGTAGACTGTGTAGGTCAGACAGGATCGATGGGAATTGGTTGGCTTATGCCCTGCCAGGAGAATGTGAGGCACTTCTTGAAAAGTCAAGACACTACTGTCGCTGTACAAGTAGTCAAGTACTTAGTAACAAAGCACTGTATCTCGCAAGGCGACGACCAAAAGGGGCTACGCTAGTCCTTAAAAGTCCTAGTACAGAAATCGACTTGGCATATCACGACGTTCAGTTTTTCACATTCAAGATGATGATTTCAGTTTGAAAGCGACAGTGAATTGCTTTGCCAAGACGCTGCCTACTGCCTGCGATCACTCCAAAGACATGGAAGACTCGGCTTCTGACGCACGACCTCTCAAGCGTGCGAAGCTCGATAATGACAGCAACGGAGCGATTCACAAACCTCCAAGCACCATCCCCGCCGCTCAGCAGGACTTGGGAGTCAGTACGATGGGTGACAACATAGCGCTCGACGATAATGCGAAGGAGCTTGAGGTAGGTATTACCGCCTTCATTGATGGATCCCGAAAGCCATTTCAAGGTATTCTCAAGAAGAGGTACACAGACTTCTTGGTCAACGAAATTTTGCCCGATGGAACTGTCTTGCATTTGCAGCAAATGAACGCGAAGCCCTTGTCAAGAGGAACCGAACGAACCAGCAGTCAGAGCCTGCCGTCACGAAGGGAGCAAAAGGATGCCAGGGAAGAGGCACCAGTGGTAGCAGAAACAACGGCACAGGACTCTAATCAGATCGGGGAAGAGACAACTAGCAAAGATGCAGCCGAAGCCAAAACAGATTCCAAACTACCAGATGTGAGAATGCTCCTGCATCTTTCTTCGTCTTTCGTTCATACACTGATTCGTTTAGGTGTCTGACGAGGACCGCTCAAAATTGGTCGGCTATTTCAACGAAGAGGCCGCGGACCAACTATTAGCACTCTACGAGTCCATTCGTCGCCATCCAGAAAGAAAGCCGCGGGATCATCCTGTAGTACGTACTGCGTTCACGACCGACCGGAGTATTCGACCGTTGATCCACGAAGATATTCGTCGCATATTTTCCCGCAAAATCGAATCATCAACCGACAAGGAAGGGATCCTGGTCTTGACAGCCGCACCGCCAAATGCTCCTGCCCGAAAGTGGGGAGGCAAGCCGAATGACAAAGGACAGAGACCAGGCAAGTTAGGCTGGCTGGACCGAGGTGGCGAGTACGTGCATTTCACGTTGTACAAGGAAAACAAAGACACGCTGGAAATCATCTCCGCACTCACCCGACAGCTCAGGACGACAAACAGGACTTTTCAATTCGCAGGAACCAAAGACCGGCGAGCGGTGACAAGTCAGAGAGTCAGTGCCTACCGCATCGAACCGGAGCGCCTGGCAGGGCTGAACAAATTCTTGCGATTTGCTGGTATCGGCGACTTCCAGCACCAACCTCAAGGCCTGGAGCTCGGCGACCTCAAGGGGAACGAATTTGTGATCACTCTGAGAGACTGCAAGCTGCATGGGTCGGACGAAGTCGATTCTGCTGCCAGAATATCCACAGCTCAGACCTATTTGTCCGAGTCCTTACGTGGCCTACGTGAAAAGGGGTACCTGAACTACTATGGCCTACAGCGTTTCGGGACTTTCGCTACACGTACGGATGTCGTTGGTTTAAAGTGTCTCAAGGGGGACTTCAAGGGTGCTTGTGATGACATCCTGACCTTTTCTCCTATCGCACTGCAGCCTGCTGATTCCACAGGAGCTTTGGTGGGCCAAGACGACCGAGCACGAGCTGAAGCTATCGACATGTGGAGAAAGAACAACAGAATGGGTGACGCCTTGGACAAGATGCCCCGCAAATTCAGCGCCGAAACCGCGCTGATCAGACACCTGACTAGGCGTGCGGATGACTATCTCGGAGCATTGATGTCCATCCAACGCAATTTGAGACTCATGTACGTCCACGCATACCAGTCATTGATCTGGAACCTGGCCGTAGGAGAGCGTTGGCGGCTGTTCGGTGACGCTGTCGTCGAAGGCGATCTCGTTTTGATTCGCGAGCACAAAGACAAAGAAACACGCCAGGAAGAGAAAGAGATGGTCGACGCTGATGGCGAAGTGATTATCAATCCTGAAGGCGAAGATAGGGCGTACGATCCCGACGATGTTTACGAGCGAGCAAGAGCATTGACGGCTACCGAGGCGGCGAGCGGGCAGTATTCCATCTTCGATGTTGTCCTGCCCTTGCCAGGATACGATGTGCTTTACCCCGCGAACGCGAGTGGAGATTGGTACAAGACGATCATGGCGACTGAAGCTGGCGGCGGTCTCGATCCGTATGACATGCGTCGCAAGCAGAAGGACTTTAGCCTTAGTGGCGGCTATAGGAAAGTGCTGGCGAGGATCGGAGAGGACTTTGACGTCGAAGTTCACGAGTACTCGAATGACGACCAGCAATTCGTCGAGACGGATATGGACAGGATCAAGAAGAGCAAACAAGGCGAAAAATCGGGAGAAGGATCGGCGGAAAATGCAGAAAACGGCAGTGGCGCGGGCGAGAGTGGCGATCAGCCAAAGAAACTGGCGGCTGTGCTCAAGTTCCAGCTGGGATCGAGTCAATATGCTACGATGGCTCTGCGGGAGTTGTCCAAGGGTGGTATCCAGGCTTACAAACCGGAGTTCATGGGTGGGAGATAAGGCGACGGAAGGGCTGATCTATGCGTCGACGATCGGAACGGAGAGCATCAACATTGTGCTTCAGGGCCATCTGACATTCAGTGGTCCGAATTCATGCTTTCTAATTCTCGTGCAACGATAAATCAAGCTCGCCCAGACCCTCATGGAAAGTGGTATGCGCCCTGTCGACACAGGGTATTTCGACATCCATTGCAACGGGTGCTGTCCAACCGTCCAGCGGTGACAATTCCCCAAGCACTATTTCAACCCTTCCAGTTCTCATATCACCAAGCTCCATTTCTTTGCTTCTCCGTCGCCTCATATCGACTCACAATGCTCGGTTCAGAAATGGTATCTTTCCAGCCGCTGGAGCACCAAAGCCTTGAAACATCACCAAGGCTGGCACAATCAAGAGGAGATCATTGTTGTAGGAGCTCCAAATTGCTGGACGCAGACAAAGGAGGACGGGGGCCGAAGCTTCGACCTCGGGGGTTCTCTCGTCATGCACAGACCGCATCCACTTTTTGTCGAAACCCCATCCGACACAGGGCCAACGGTATACATATCCCATAGGGCTTCGAGCGAGCTTGAGCCTCAGATTCAGCGCCTGTGAGAATGCCGACCTTACTCTGTCTTGCCAGAAACCGTGTTGCTCAGCTCGATGTTCGACGGTACCCTGAGGACGATTTGCAGCTGTAGGCTCCACCATACCGATAGCAACACTAGCCGCAGAGATGCCTAGGCTTTCGAGGATATCGAGCAATTTTCGCTCAGCATCTATGGCTTGTTGCGGTATCGTGGCCTTCAGATTGTCGAGGAATCTTGTCCGTTCCATGACCTTGAGTTGGTCATATATACCTGCGTTGTCAGTATGAGTACCCAGTCTTGGTCAGATCGACGTACCGCGGTCCAACTCACGCACGCTACTGAGTATCTGGCTATCCGGGATATCGATGAAGTCGTTGAAGTCGTTGAAGACCCATTTGTTCACGGCGGCTGCGGCATAACTGCGGAAGACAAGATCCATCGTGATAGCCTCGTTGGCGAATAAAGCGGCCAAATTCTGCTCGACTCGGTGAATCTGGTCCTTCGACGGTCGGAGGAGCTCCCTGCTCAAGGCCACAGAATCATTTGTGAGTCTCGTGGGAGTCAGCTTGACCAGTGCATGGACTTCGTGAAAGTGTCGAATCCCTTGATCCAGACTTTGCAAAACGCAGTCCAGCTCCATGGCAATATCTTTGTGATTTGGAGGGTCACCATAGCCAAGCCGGAATTTAGTACTTGGTGGTGCACTGTGTGGGCTCGATGGTTGCAAGGTACCGGCGGTTGATCTGACTTTCGGATCTGATGGTGCGCTATTGGGGCTCGATGGATGCAAAGTGCTGGCAGTTGACTTGGCTTTCGACGCTGCTGGTGCTCTGTGTGGGCTCGATGGCTGCAAAGTGCTTGCAATCAATCTGGCTTTCAAATCTGCTGATGCGGTCTTGCCAGGTTTTGTAGCGGTGTCTTTCTTCTCGGACACTGTGGTACGCGGACGGTCGACCTCCGGTTCGGTGTATGTTCCATCTTCTGGATCGGACTCATCCCTGGTCGTAGACGCAATGGACTCCCCGTCGTCCTCGTCATCGCCCTGAGCGCCGGTCGGTGCTGACTTCTTGGTACTTGTTTGGCCTAAGACAAACTTCAACTTTGTGCCTGTCGCCGGAATTGGTTGAGTATTACCGTCACTTTGCAGTGCTTGCTCTTGAACGAATTGACGGTAGAGGTCAAACCTCGACTTGAGTGAACTCCAGTCTTTCAAGAAAGCCGTGGACTTGACATTCTCTCGCTTGGCTGCATAAAGGATCTTTTGCGTCAGGTTCTCTTCCCTTGACTGCTTTCCAATGTCCACGTCCTTGGAGTAGAATTCAAGTATCGCCTTGATTGCATGGGGAATGCTTTTGAAGTTGTTTCCAGTGAACTGGTCGGCAGCTTTATCCAGTGCAGTGCACAGGTACGTCCGTTCCTGGCGTTTCCGAACTTTGTGATCCGTCATTCTGGCTGTTGTTGACAAGAGTGACTGTGCAATTTTCAATGGACACTGTCAAGCAGATGATACGGTAGACGTCTCCGTTTGATCAGTCGACAGCAGTGGAAGTAAAGGTGTGATGATATCGCTTACCACGACGGAAAGTGGGAGGTGTAAGAAGAGATGTACAAGAAGCTCTTGTCTCACATCACACCTTTCAGATTTTCTCGGAAGTACTGATTGAGGACAATAGAGGAAGGCTCAATCGTATTAATGTGAGACCAATTGATCAATGTGGCATTGGGTCTCCGAGAAGGACAGAGATGAATGCATTGCTCAATGGCTTATTTTGAACGGTCTTCACTTCAGTTCAACTTCTGTTGGGCAACATAACATCTCACCTCCTTCGCAGCTCATTCTAACCTCACTTTCACTTCATTTCGCACCTCCGCCGTTCAAATATCCTGAAAGGAAGCATGTGATGGCATATGAGAGGCTGTCCTAAAGGATATTTCAGGATACTCGGTTTACCCTTTCCCTTACCAAAACACCTCACTCTCTTTCAAAGTACCAACGGCAAGGTATTTTCGTATCCTCTCAAACAAGATACTATTATATCCCTCTAACGAAACCTTTACCAGCCCTCCCAGAACTCGAGTTGGACTCATTCAACTCCATCCTTTCGATACCGTCGTGTCTATCTACACTTCCAACACTTGTGTTAGACATTGACTCGACTGTGTCCCTCCCACCACAATGCCTCCCAAAAGACGGACCAAGCGCGTCAGCGACCATGATGCATTCTCGCCGCCATCGACACCTGCAAAACGCAAAGCTGCAACTACAACTGGCGTTGTGACTACACCTGACCTTGATGATCCTGTACTGCACCTTGCTCTTGACACTGGCCAACAGTATCTAAAAGCAGCATACCTATTCCTTTACAATGATCGACCACGAACGAGAGATCAGCAATCTGCATCACTGGTCAAACGCAGATCGGTTGTTTTTGACAATCACAATACTCGAATGCGGTCAAGAGTACTATATGTGCTGGACACTACTACCAAACCCCCGAAGCTGCGTCCAGTATATGGCCGAAAGCTCGAAGACGCCATCGAGAACAATGCCACACTGGAAGAGGATGTAATTGAGTTCTTTAAGCCGCTGATCTTTGACGAGGACATGGGAGAAAAAGAACGAACATTGCACCAAGTTGAAAAGTTATCACAGAAGTTTCAGGAGCTACACCATTCGACGGGCACGTTGAATACCCAACGAGAGTTCGACTCTTTCGATCTCTTGGTGGATCTGCTTCGATATCTCTACCAGACCGCAATCATCTCCATCGGCCGCGATTCTGAGTCGCCAAACCTTGGTTTCCCCAGAAACTTGGAGGCATTCCGCAATTGGGACGCCGGAAATCTACGTATCCGTGTCGCCCTGCCTGTTCCTGCTGCGACGACAACGGCAAAGACCCGGCTTTACCGTTCAGCTGCTGAAGTTGCGGGCATTCCAAATCCATATCCTGTATCAGAAGCAGCCGCAGCACTTGCGTTTCACGTCGCGACAACCGGAAAACCGTCTCTACACAAAACACTGGCAATCGTCGATGTTGGGGCATCCACGGCCGACCTTGAGGTCGATACAGTTGTCAATTCTTCGCCATTGCAACTTGTGCAGGTCGTTAGGTCTTGTACCGCCTGGTGTGGCGGTAGAATTCTCAACACGGCATGCAGAACATATGTTTTGGAGAAATGGGAACAACATCAGAACACCATATTACAGGCGCTCAATGACTATCAACCGAATCCATGGACGTGGGAACGGCTAGGCATGGTAATCGAGTCAAAGTTTGAAGAAGTGAAGAAGAGCTTCGATGGTTCCCAGAACAAAAAGCTTGAGATCCCAGGTCTTCCTCACATTCCGGAAGTTGGACTCCATGATCGTGGGTTCCTGACACTAACTATGGACAACCTACGAAATATCCATGATAAACAGCTACAACGACTATTCGAGTTTTTGAATCCTATGGTCAATCAGTTCGGGCCCGATGATTCTGGTGAAGGTAGAATTCACGAATTGATACTGGCGGGTGGCGCAAGTAACAGCCCATATATCCAATCTCGAATCATGGCCGAATACGAAGGACGTGGGCTACAGGTCAGAACTTCCAGCCCCGAGCTACTTCTGGATACCACAGTAGCGCAGGGTGCACTGTTACTGCTTGAGGAAAACAATATCATTAAATCGCGGATCATTCGGGAAGGATACTTCGTCGTCCAACATGAGGAGCCATCTCCAGAACAGGAGTACCCACGGGACGCGTTTCATGTGAGCTCGCACGATAACAGGGGACGCGTGCCTGTCACGAAGTTCTTGTTGCGTCCGAATGAGTCGGTATCAACGCAACGCCATGAGTCTTCCATCCGTGGCGAGCGCATACTATTGTTCCAAGAGAAGGACGATGATGGCACAGGTTGGACAGTCAAAGAAGACTTTTACCGTACCTCGAAGATCGAGAGAGACGGGGTATGGATCGACGAGCCGGGACTAAGCTTTGACGAGTTGTCGCCATTGGCATTCAAGATCCATGAGGACGACACTCGTGGATTCAAAAGATCCCGAGCAAGAGACAGAACGGATTGGTTCTATCATACCGAGTATGAGGTCAAGTTGATCTTGGAGGGAGAGCTGATGACCTTCGAATTCATTGTCCCAAGATCAGGAAAATTCCCAAGTCCGAATGACTGTGGTGTGGATGTGATTGTCCAGCAGGGCACGTACAACTGCACCGGTGACTTCGAGCTTTTTCCAGGAGAACGACAGCCATGGGCTAGGTGAACATCATGAATATGTCCGAGAATGGATAGAGATTTTGCTGGAGGGTGCTGAGGTGACATCAGGGAGAGATTGCTAGAGCTCATATCAAGCGACAACAAGGTACTAGTAGGGCTTACTCCCAGGTTTCAGTACTTGGATATCGGTGCTGGAAGGTGTGCCGTTGAAACGTGTACTAGATACCTACCAATGAAGTCATGAAAGCGAAACCGTGCTTATTTCCATCACAGTAAAAGTAGCACCGGTTAGAGATGGAGTACATCGACGATACAAGGTCAAGGTCCAGCAGATTCACGACAGCGGGCGCCGCAACTCCAGCCTAGTAGACCTGTACGTTAGAACGGATGCTCTTCTCCACCACAACGGCTAACACTATCGTGTTGTGTGCGATGGGTTCCATATTCTCAACGAGGACCGATACCTCCTTGGAAGCGAGGACTTCCAGATTCTCAACGAAGACCGATATCTACATGGCAGCGAGCTTCCAGCGGTGCAATAGTACCACCATTATCATTAGGGCTATGGAGAAATACACGCTACAACAGATCTGCCAACCATACTAACTCAACTACTGTTGTTGGTTCTTCTTCCTCTCCCACTCCTGAATTATCTCCCTCATCTCACTCTCGCTCGGCATATTGACGATAGTAAGATACAAGACATCCTGCTGCAAGACACGGCCGATCAGACCGCGTTTCTTCTGCGACCGACCCATCTGCGCGTCATGGATCTCCTGTTCCGTTAGGTTCTGACCGCGTCTCGATGCTCTGTGCTGGGCTCTCTTCGCCCGCAAGCCCTTTCGCGGATCGACGTATCCTCCTGTCAACAGAGCGACGATAGATCCCGAGTTGACAGGATGATTAGGGTCGGAGAAGCGGGATGCGAATTGTTTCTGGGGCGGTGGAGCTGCCGCCGCGAGACGGCTGTCTGGGTTCATACCAGCGTAGGTAGCTTGGGCCCGGCGGTCCATGTAGTTTGCGATGAACTTCGTCGAGGATTTTAAGGCGGACTGTTTCTTAGCGGGCACAGGGGTGCCGTCTGCGGCAGCCACTGCGGCGGCGTCGAGAGCTGGGTACACTAGTGGTGCAGATTCAGGGAGGGACCATTCGCCAATCGCCGTGCCGGACGTTAGGCGCAATCTCTTCATTTTTTGAGACATCGAAGACTCTGGGTTGGACATGGCTTTGGCGAGGGCTGCGTCTGTCGCGCTCGCGCCCGTGTTGACGTCCATGCTCATGACTTGTTGGCTGGTCTCTGGCTTGAAGGTCATGATCATACAGTAGAGGCCGCGGGGTTTGAAGAGCGTCTCGTAGATCTGGTCGAGGTACGTGTTGCGGCGGCTGCGTGATTGGAGTTCTTGGCCTGTCCGGCTGAGGACTTGCACGCCGATCGAGACACCGATGGCGATGCCGCTAGGGACGTTGCCAACTGCCACGGCCGCCACGTTGATAACGTCGAAGACAGGGCTGGCGCGGGATGATCGGTCGAATTCCTTCAAGAAGTCGAGGAAGGTTTGTTGGTCGATGCCGGTACATTCGCCTAGGACGGGGGCGTAGGCTCGTACGAAACCTCGCATTTTGTCCTTGGGTCGTCGCTGGGGAAGAATGACTGGGCATGGGAGAGGTTGGAAGTTCTGCGAGGGCGTTGGTGCGAGGCGGTGCGACTGGACGAAGGCGTTGGCGACTTCTTCGGCTGAGGCTGGTGTGCCTGTTGAGGCCTCGTCGTAGGTTGGAGGCGCTAGTTCCTCAGCCGCTTCATCCAGAGCCCATTCGGCTCTGTCGGTACCAAGATCGTCCTCGCTGTCGTCGTCATCATCTTCGTCGTCTCCATGGTGCTTCTCGTCTGAGGGATATCCTCTGCCAGTGTCGACGTATTGAGGTGGAGCTCCTGTTGATCTAGAGCCCTCACCGGCTTCGATACGAGTCTGTGGATTGGGCGACACGCCGCGTTCTTTCGCAGCCTTGCTCTCCTTGTGGCTGGCAACGGCTTCTGTAGCCAGACCTATGCCAGAGCTCAAGCCTTTGACTAGGCGACTGACAATGGGCATGATGCTGGGGTAAATCTGGTTTGGATGAGGGGTCAATGGAAATGGAATGCCTAAAAGGATGTGATGGGATTTATATATTGCAGGTGCTTGTCGTCGGTCTTCAGCCTTCAAAGATCGTAGTAATATAGGTATATATATGTGTTTCTCGCCGCAAGCAGGCCTGCACGAAAGAAGGACGTCTCGAGTCCGTTCAAGATCGAAGCGCGAGGCCAAGGCAGTGCCTGAGGCTGAGTTAACATGATTTTCGTCTACAGTTCGTCCTGACTACTCTTTTGGGCATGCCTGAATAATTGACTTTCGTGGCATGCCCCAGGAAAAGCTTAGCTTGGACCCTTAATTTGAAGGTGATGGCCAAATCACTGAGCATTTTTATCCACTACTTGAACAACCCACGTGCAGCGTCGAAAGCGATGTTCGGCGACTTCACCGAATTTCCTTAGCTTGATATGAGTAGATGATGTGCTTGGGGCTGGGGGGTTACTCCCTGATGGTAAAGTGATTGATCGCCTTCTACGTCCAATTAGACTCTTGTCCTCTCCCTTTCGCCCGGCGTCGCTATCATTGGTTTGATCAACCCTACCTTGATGCCACAGCTTGGCTGTTTCCCTATCCCCTCGCATGGTGATTACCGCAATGTACGAGTGACTATGTACGAGTGACTTTGTACAGCAGATGTGTCAAACTCCTTCGTCGGTGTCGACCTTTATGCAGAGACGCGCAAATCGTGCTCGAAAACTTGCTATTTGGGAACGACAGATGCATTGCAACTACATCATCGAGGGTGACTCATGAAAGAGCTTCCATAACCACAGCAGGTTCCAGCCCGGCCCGGTTAGAGCATGTGGTGCAACATGTTTCGTTCGAATAGAGCTCATGTAGGACAGGCAGCCACTTGAATCTTTCTCAACCTATGCTTCTAGGTATTTCGGGAGACACGGCAGCGGCGATTTCTAAGACCAGCATGTCCTGGTGCAGGTTTCAGTAAGGCGCACGGTGAGCCCGCCTCCAAACCTGCAAACGGACAACTGCTCAAATTGTTCAAAGAACACCAAGCTGTCAGAACTTGAGACTGGAAGGATACCTCGTTGCTTGCTTGGGACATACACTAGGACCATGCATTGGTCCGGACCCAGACTATTCGCTGCCTGTTCACTTCCCAGGGGGCATTCTTTGGCAAGGGTGATGATGGCGATGCAAGCTCCACGATGGAGTGCCGGATAGAAGCCATCACTGCAAACATCACCATGGAGGAGAGTGCATTGCACTTGCATGTCACACCAACGCAGTTGGCTTCGTCTTCAAGGTCCAAGTATGGAGGAACTCCAGATCTCGATGCCCGTACCTATATATCTGCAGGACTCTTGATTAAGCTGCTCTGATGTATGAGGGAGCGAGCTTCTTTGCATTGTTGAAGCAGTTCTGATTCTCATATATCCACAAGGTCAAGATTATGCCCAAACAACGTTTCGATCGTGTGAAGACCCGCGCAGCCTGAGGTACGATCCAGCTACCAAGCGCACTAAGATCGGTACCTTAGGTCAAGAGACGGTCGATCGTCCAGATGAACCTCGCCGGAAACGAGAGTCCTCTTAGCGACAGGTTGCAGCATCCGCTCCAGTGTCACACTCGACAAGTGTCCCCACGAAGGAATCATGCAAGCCCGCCGAATGTGCTATCTTGGAGCCGGGAAGTTTTTGGCTGGTTACTCCGTACCCCAGGCACCCGCCCCCGCGCCAGCGTCGGATGGCGCTAAGAAGCCATATCAAGAGGGGAGACGTAAGTACCCATATATGATAGTCAAGAATGAAACCGTGGAGACTGTCATGGAAGACTCTGCTCCACAAGTGCTGAAGCTCCTGTCCGGACGAGTAGAGCTTGGCCCAAGACGATGAAGTCGTGCCAGCGTCTGGAATGAGGAAACCCATGAACGGACAAGTCCAGAGCCGTAGGTCTCTAAGCAGCCACACCCCAGGGTTCGCAACGAATCCAGACGACTTCCAATGTAATAATGAGGCGCAAAAACACTGAGTCATGTCCGCACGGAAAGGCACCTTTCAGAGGCTTTCTCATGATCTGCATGCACCCCCTGACCTTGACGCCTTGACGGCGGTATCCCAACAATTTTTCACCCCGCAATGTTCATTATGTTTGGATCCATCAAGCCACTGTCAAAACAAAAGAAGCTATCTTGCGGAGATCGGAAACATTTGCATGTTGCTAATGCTGCCTTGAGCAGATAGAGCCTGCAAATCTGACCTGTCGTCACTGCATCGATCGAGTAAGACCAATATCTGTCGTTCACAAGGAATAGGGACAGAAACATCAAGGCAGACAACCCGTCCCATGCTCAGGCCGATGCGAAGGACTAATCATTGACCCATGTTCCTGGATAGCACGATAACAGTTCCGAGCTGCACTCTCTCATATATCTTTGGCCATGATTCGCATACCCCTTTCGCTATGGATAGGGGCTTTTCCGAGGATCACGTTCCAGGCGCGCTTTGATGACTTCGCCGAATAGTGAATCATAACATGCAAGTGACTTGTCCACAACACTCCTACCACCGATCTGACGTTGGAGGGGTTTGGTAGAACTTCGGGGCCGTTGAAAGGTTCAAAGTCTGAGTCAAGTGGGGGCGCAGACATGTCAGAGCGCGTTGTATAAAGTTTTTCTCTCGCCTAACTGGACGGCTTATTTGTACTTTGAAACATGTTTTCTGCAGGTTGTAGACACACTACATGGCACATGCAGCTCGCCTTCCATTATTATTGAACCATCTGGCATGTGAGAAGAGAAGCCGTCAGAGTTCACCGACTCGCCAACGAGCATAAAGCATGTAGCCCTTGACTGCTGTCGGCGAGGCGAATGTGCGTTGAGGAGCCCAATCGGACGGCCTTGGTGCTTTGAATGTCACTCACTTACCAACCAGATCAACTTTGCTGAAGTGACAGAGCCTCGAGCCCGAATGTGTGCAGGACGAAGCATTTGTGATACACCGTAATGAAGGTTCATACTCCGGAATGTACTGTGGTTGTAGGGTAATTTTCGTTAGTACGAGTGGAAGTCCTCCGGTCTTGCCAACGTCATTTGAAGATCGTTGTTTGCGGGTTCGACTGCAGTGTGTGAGATTCGCGCATTTCGATGGACTTCCATCGTTGTCGAGCCTTGTCATTTGATCGTTGACCAGCCCACTTTCCGACGGGTGCTAACGAAAATTACCCCTACAACCACAGTAGGCCCACAGCAGTGTCGTGTGTTCTCGATTCTTCTTTTCGCGTCGTGGATACGAGGGACAGGGAGTGCGTGTCAAGGAAAAAGATGGTATGTAAACTAACAGCGGTGACGCAACATTGTAGTGCAACTGTTGGAGGCTCGGGATTAATAATGGATCCCTATTCTGGGGGCCGTGTTTGTGTCGACCCGGAGGAGACAAAATGGTGAGTCGTGACAGGGACTTTGTTTGTACTTGTTAAGACTTTGTAGGACACGCGCAGACGCGCTGACGGGCCCCTGCAAGAGACTCTTACTGGAAATGATGTGATCTCATCTTCTTGGTCTCTTGAAATTGATGCTGACCACTTTGATCGGAGGGTCAATTCTAGGAGCATCAAGCAGCGAAGACGGCAGCCACGGCTCGAGGTGGCATAGCTGCGGGGCCCTTGACTCGTGTTTGTGAGTCCTTGATCCCGGTCATCCGCAACTTCTTTTGTTTCGGTGGTTCGTGTACTCGACGGAGGGATACATAACTTGATACACCCCTCGTCCCTGTCACCGATGTTGATACCTGTGCAGCTGATTCTGCAGCATCTGCACATGTATCTCTCACAAGCCCAATCACCTTCCATAGTTGGACGGACAGTGGGCGCGGGCCGACAGATACGAGTGCCAAAGAACCCGAGGGACAGTCCTTTGGGCATGGGCACGGCCTTGTGGAATGTGGCGCGCTATGCCTGGCTGAGAGCCTAAAATGCTCCTCGGCATGCAGAAAGTTAGCGATCTGGTGTGCACAATGTCAGGCTAGAATACTGATTTCCAACGATCCTTCCGGCGATCTCCTCAAGATGTCTCGTTGGCCTCAGTAAAGACGGACAGGCCAAAAATCAAGTTCTCGTCCTGGAAAATCAGGCACACGGAGTAGAGGTCATGAGACTGAGCGAGCAGTCCCCTGTAATTTGATGAATGATGGATGATCAGTAGTGGGATATGATAAAATAATGCAGCCAGCAAGTAACCTCCCAGGTAAAGGTACGGGACATTCCTTGGGATGCAAGGCTAAGACCAGCGCAGGTGCGCACCGACAGTCGCGACCCAGGACTTACACCCTTCACCCATCCATGGTGCGCCCCCATGAAATTTATTTCCCACTTCGCACCTGGATTTGCCTGCGCTAGGTTCAACTAACGCCTAGTGAATCCGTCTCTTGCAGGTGCCACTCTCGCGTCTCCTGACCCGCTACCACCAACTGGCTGCGATTGTACAGCTTCCCAAACCGACTTCCTTCCTTTCCAATCTTTCAATTCTTGCTGCCATCACCACCACCACCACTCCCTCCGCCATCGACACGACTCCTGATTCATTCGACCTCTTCTTACTTTTACCTTCACCACTTCTACCTTATCTCTTCGTCGTTGTTGTTGCCGTCGTTGTCACCTTTCCCCATCCGCAAAACCAGCGTCTTCGCCCTTCACAGCCGCCTCCTATTTCGAAAGCGCACCCGCGGCTGTCACATTCGTTTCGTGAGCCTTTCGCCTGCTTAGAGCTCTTCCTTCTCTTCGTGGATTCACCTTGATCAACATATACTTTAATCGACCTTCGTTTGAATCACCAACTTGTCGGCCTTGACTTGAACCGACTGATCAATTCCCTAATCCATGCATTCTATCACCCACAGGCACCTACATTGAGTGTTGCAAAATAAGACTAGACCAGAGGTACGCTCAATGTAGTCAGTCATACAAGCAGGTGAATGCTTTCTCCGAGCCAGACTGACGTGTAAGAAATAGTCTGACCTCGTTGAACGCGTTGTCTTGAGCAACTCTGTAGCCTTAATCGAGGCTATCGAGACACGAGCTGGTCCATTTGCCCGGTTCACTCATTTGAAACACTTGGAAGAGGAAAGGAGAAAAAGATGGCTGCTTTGGTTCAGACACTCCCCGTTCAGACTACCTCTGTCACAATGACCGGGCGTCCGTCATCCTCTGGGGGTTACTCCTCGCAGAATCCGCAGGGACAGATGCGTCCTCATCAGCCCAGTCGTTACAACAATATGTCGGCGACCGGGTACCGAGGCGTATCGAGTGGTGGACCAGTGGCTCCATATGCCTTCACGCAGACACCACAATTGACTAACACCAGTGTCAATCCTCGCCAGTTCACCCTCGAATCAGGACGATCTGCCTCTGCCCCCAAAGTTCCTCAGACTCAATCCGGTGGCTTTTCCAGGTCGCAACCCGCCTCACCGAGTAGTCTTCCACAAGTCGATGCTGGAAATCGGCCACTGTCTCTCGGTCTACCCGACATTCCTTTTACGGGATCGTTGATGGATCCCAGCCCAACACTTTCACCGCCTGTATCTTCAACTACTGCGAAACCGTCCCCGGACAGATATCGAAGGACCACTCGGCGTGCAGAACCAGAAGGGTCCCAAAAGAGCGTCAGCGCTGGCTCAGCATCAACTCCAAGCTTGGGCACGGCTGTAGGTGGTTCAATGTACAGCCACCCAAACCAATCCAGCAGTACGCCATCATTAAACTCCCAACACTCTTTTCATGGTCAGTATCATGGAGGTGCAACTGTCCCGCAAAATTCTAGTGCGGACGACCTGCCACTGGGTCGAGCTCAACAGTCGGAGCTCGCTGCAAGATATCGTAGGCGCAGTCTTGTCAGCATAGAAACGGCTGGTGTCAATCACTCCTCAGATGCCCATGATACATCCTCCCCTCACCCGAATGTCTTCATTCCGACACCTGTTTCGGCTCCATCAAATTCGGCTGCTGCGATCGCAGTGGACCGACCGTCTTACCACAAGCATACGCCGAGCTCGGACAGCGTTGCCTCGTCCAGGTCAACTGGATCTTCTCGACCTAGCTCGGTCAGTAGTCTTCCCTTGAATGAAACTTATCTAACGTTTACTCAGGCTCGAGCGGACCAGTCTATCATGATAACACCTAACTCAAAGCCCAACCCGACCACCGCATCCAGATCGGAACCACGACCCGCAGCCCGTTCCCCACGAACGGCAGATTCGGGCAATCGTCAACCTTCGCCGTTGTCTCGTCCAGCACAGCTGCAAGCAGAGGCTACGCCAGAGAAACCATATGGGCCGTCCACGTCGACGCTCGCTTCCCCGCGTGCACCGCCACCAGTCAAGCCTAGCCCAGCAGCTGAACAGCTCGCAGCTTTGAACCAGAAAAGTGCACCCAAATCGAAGTCGAAATTGCGGCGAGCATTTTCGTTTGGCAGTGCTGCAGAACTTCGGAGGGCTGCGGCTCAGGGAAACCATGAGAAGAGTGTGGGTAATGTGGCTCCAAACACTTCAAAAAGAACCTCGAAATACGAAGATGAACTTGAGCCTGAACAAGCGAAGATCGCTGAGCAGCAGGAGGCCGCGGGATTGGGCGAGAGCATCTACTCAGGTCAAGGTCAATTCTTCACCGGTTCGACAGACAACCTGTCTATCTCGTCAACGGCATCGTCCGCATCGATTATGCTCCGTAAAATGGGCAAAGGTGTCAAGAAAGGAACTCGATCGCTCGTTGGACTATTCCGTCCCAAGTCCGTGGTTGGTGTGCCTGCCGCTGATGGCCCTGTCAATCAGGCCAGTCTAGCCCAGGTCTCAATGGTTACGGTCGAAGCCGAGCGGGAAAAGGTGAATATCAACGTCAACCCCCACGACCAAAACGGAGGTGGTACAGGCTTTCCTAAGCTCGAACGCAATTCTATCGAGACCAAATTCTCCACTGACAGCGGCACTGTATCCAGCGAAACGCGATCTCGCCGAAGCATTGTTGGCGGTGAAAAGGAACGCGCTGAAGTACTCGCTGCGGTTAAGAAGGGTATTCTGAAAAGAAACGATTCCAACCAGGCGTCTCCGAAACTGAAAGCCTACGACTTCAAAGTCCCCGATTTTAATCTACCTCAAATCCCGCACGTCAACGATTCACCAAAGTCGAGTGCTCCGAGCACTCCTGCCGATGAAACCCCCAGATCTGGTCACCGGCGCACCGACTCTATCACGATCGAAAATAACGACCACGACGATTATTTTACCACCATGACTCAATTCGCCAGCCTAGACTCGAAGGGAAATCCCATGACTCCGCAAGTCCTTATGCGAAATATATCTTTCAGCCCGCGACTCCAGTTCCATGATACCTGGCCGAGCGGAGAGTACGACCGTCGTGGTGAGATTGCGACCTGCAACCGTTTGACTCCGATGCTCGCCCAGCAGATCAAAGAAGAGCTTAACACCTTCAAAATGGTAAGCATGTGTTTATAATTTGCTGAGGATCCAGGCTAACAAGTGCAGGAAATGGAGGTCCATGAGTCATCCAAGGTCTACACGCACTTCTTCTAGTACCACGATTTCATTTTTGGATATCGTGGGACAGATTTGGTCTTTGCCCGCCTTTAACGAGGTGGGTGAGGGCCCAGATCCTTGACCAGATCACGATGTCCACGACTCTAGCAATGCATGTGCAGCGAGCATATTTTCGTCCCTCGACATCGACACGACAACTGTCTGGGCGGCATCAGAAGGTCGACCCTATGTACATTTAAGCAAAAGCACCTCCATGTTGCATCATTTCATATCATGACTCTGTTGAAAGTAAGGTGTTCGGCGCTTGGGAAATGTGACCTTGTGGTGGTCAATCATTGCATTGGAGAGCGGAGGTTTCTCACCATTCGAGGCGTATGAGTGTTTTCCTGAGCAGTATCGCGCCCCCGAACATAGGACCTTGTGATGGTTCTGCATTGGCTTCGCTGATTGATCCCCTGTTTTCCAACGTATGCATGAGCATGTTTGGCAGGAAGGGAGATGGCTTGTTCAAGATCAATTGGATTCAATTGGACTAATAACTGGATATGTCTAGGACACTGTGGTTTACACGTGGAGGTTGGCATCCGCGTGAGATGAAGCCAACAGTAGTGCAGGCTTCCTAGCCATGGAAAGTAATTCGGACTTTGGAAATGATAGACTCTTTGGGGGCATATGTCCACCCTTCTCTGCAATCGCTAGACTTTGCGCCAATAATCACCTGAATCGACACAAATTTCGTACTATATGCCACGCTCAATGGCACGGATGCATGTACTCCTCAAACCCAGGACAACGTGCTTACCCTCAAATGAGCGGCAGAAGAATCAGCCTTTCAGCATTGCGGAACATACCACCAAGTATATTCACCCACTGCATCAGGCAGGAAATACGTACTCTGCGGACACAATATTCTCGCGCTTTGATGTCAACTCCTTGCGTATGTACATCAAAAACAACCAATCTAGCCAGCCACCAGTCTTCATCCGAAACTGGGTTTTGTTCCTAAAGGCACGGGAGGTGGAGATGCTGGTCCTGACAGCGTGGCCGGCTTCTTCGGTGGTGGCGGAGGCGGTGGCTTGCGAGATAGTGAAGCCGCGATCTCAGGATTCTGCGGTTGTTGAGGCTGAGGAGGAGGATTCGTAACGACGGCGTTGACGCTCGGGGGAGTTTCTGATGTGGGCGAGGAATGCTTCTCGAGGAAAGAATTCAGTCGTCCTGCAACGTTGTATTTCTTGTTCAATTCGGTAGCCTTTGTACCGGCCTTGTTGATCGAGTCCTGATGCCTGCTGCGGAAAGCGTTCACTGATTTCGCGGCAGATTGAGCGTCGGCGACGGACACGCTCGAGGGATCTCTATGCAGATTCTGCGCAGTGCGGAAGGTGGCTTGCTTTTCGGCCCAGGTGTTCGCTTGTGGTTGTTGTTGTTGGGCCGTGCCTGGCGTTGAGACGGGGGGAGGTGATTGTGCGGGTGCACCGTAGGGAGACGATGTCGAGTGTTGAGAAGCACCATTTGCGCCTGTGTTTGAGTTCATGCGAGCGAAGCGTGCTTGAATTTCGGAGAGTTGGCTCGTGGCCGGTTGTGGCTGAGGCGAGGGGCTCTTGGTCACGTTTGTTTGGCTCTTTTCATTTTGCCAGGGATTTGAGGATGTGTTGGACCCGATGCCCAGGGCTGGAACGGAGACTCCGGCGTTGGCTAATCTGTTGACGGCACCTTGATTTATACCGTAGTTTGTGCTTGCCTGATGACTTGATTGACGGGCTGCCACTGCTTCGTATGCTGGAGGAGCTGCTTGAGGGGGTGGGGAGGTTACAACTGGAGGTGGGCTCGGGGTAGGCATAGTATTCTGTCGCGAAGGCAGTCTGGGAGGTAGACCGGGTTTAGGTCTATGAGGTTGCTTTTCGACAGCGGTAGAACTGCGTTCTACTTCGCGGTGAACCGGTGGTGGGGGAAGGTGGTCTGTCCTTAACCCTGTCCTATCTGCTCTGTACGGGAGAGGCGGACCTGCTGGTCTTTCTTCTTCCACGACTTCTTCTGGCGCCGGGCTCGGTGTTGCCCGATTTGCGGTCTGGTTTGGTCTCAATGGTGCCCCCAAGCCACCGGTGTGTGGGGTGATCTCATTCGGAAGGGCGGCGCCGCCGTGGTAGTTGACGTTTTTGGGAGGTGGACCAAACATGGCCGGATCTTTGAGGGTCGTAAGCGGTCGAGATACATGTTCAGAAGCTTCGGTCTTGTTGGGGTCTCTGCCTTTACCCATCCATCCTGCCTGTTCTCAATGTTAGTCACCGGCGGGTCCGGCTAGTCTGAGGCCGTATGCGCATGATGACTGACCACTTGATTTATGCCCTTGAAGTCTCCTCTCCATGACTCTTTTCCTCCATCTTTGCCCTTGGGTTGCCATCCTTCTTTCACAAGGCTGCGAAAGCTCATGATGAGAGATCAGGTCGTGTGCTTGAAAGGTAAGGTAACGGACCGAAGTTTCGGCAATACAGGTGCTGTCAAGAACTAGCGCTTCGATGGGAAAGAAGCATATGAGCAGTCAAGAGCATCAGATTGCTGTTAGATGAACTTGTTGCAATGCAGACAATTACGAGGGTCTTGTTCACTGACGTCGCCCTGCAGTCGCAGTCCACCGCAGTGCCAAGAGTAAAGTCCAGATCGTTACTGGAATTGTACTAGCGCCCCTCTCGACCAAGTATCAGCCTTGTCATTTCCCATTGGTCGCCTTGTCGAATGTCGGGAATATTGCTATCTAGGTAGTGGGCTAGATACAATTGTTACCGACCATGTCCTAACATCACGTTCGTCCATGACCATTACATCGCTTAGTCTTGATGGATTGGTGACTACCGTGCCAAGAGAATTCTCACATCTCCGTGCAAAGCGTCAGTAGACGGCGCCATGGGCCACAGTATGCCGCACCTTTTCCCGGTCAAATCCGTCGCCTTTGGCAGCGGACAGCAAGACTATGGGAAGCAAGGCAAATGTACCAGGTTCAACGCCCCAGTGATTGTACGCGCGGCTTGCGGGATCACATGGAGTTGAGAGTCACCCGCAAATGGTCAGAGGTCAAATGTCCTGTAAGTTTTGCCCGCCTTAGCCACATGCAGCGGCGGCAATTTTACTTAAGGCCCAGACGTTCACGTGTAAACGGAGTACCGTTCGCGCCGCGTTAGAATGCAACTTGACTCAAAGGAGTCCGGTATGGGCAGCATCGCAGCCGGCTGAGCCTCGCATGACTTTATCCAAGCAGACGCAGGCGCTGGGCCGCAGAGGAACTGCCTGGGGTCTCGATCCTGGACTATGTACACAGCAATTCCATTAACGGTAAGAGTACAGGATGGGTGATTCCATATCATGGTCACGGATTTCGGTGTGGTCGAAGGATAGGTCCAATGCAAAAGACACTATTCTTTGCTGGCGGCGAAGACGTCATGAGTCTGAATAGCTTGCGGGGTACGAAGCGAGTATGGTGCATCGGGTGCTGAAACAACGGGTGATAAACAAGATTGCTTTTCCTTGATGCCGCAAAGGTTCCTTACAAAGATCTGGAATGGAAGAAGAATGGTGCATCTTGGAGGCGGTGGCCTTGTCTCATTAAAGACGGAACATCGGCGGTTGACTCTCCGTGATATTGACGCCGGACCAATTACTGTCGAGGCACGTGGGCAGAAAGTGGGATCTCCGGACATGCGTTTCTGGGCACCATTTTTAGATTCCTGCTGCTGGTGTCCGGTCCTTCAGTTGCTTTCCAACTGTTGCCCAATGGCGATCGCCATATGCTTCAACGACGAATAGCGCACGGAGTCGCCCAGCATCGAAGCGTCACAATATATCAAGTGTCTGCTGTGGCTCTTCATTACAGACCTCGGATAACAGACGGGTGATAGATTAGGTAAGGACAGTACCCACGGCCGTGTGCAAACCTTCTTCGTGCTTGCCGCGATGTGGCTGCTCGTGGAGGGAGATTTGAACCGAGTTGATATGCAGGTGATGCCGGAGAGATTTGCAAAGTCATAAGCGAGCGCAACGGTTCACGTCGCTCGTTCGTCATGCATTATCGTGCAAGTACGGATACATGATGTTGCAAGCCTATCTCGTAGGGCAACTCGTAGCATGTACGCCATAAGGGGTCGGTCGCCTGCCGCCAGCCTTGGGAAGTCCATTGTCCAGTTATAGGAAGCCTGTGACCAAGATAGTCACCGTGATCGGCGTGATGGAAATGGCGTCCGGAGGTCCGCTTGGGTCTTTCTTGGGAGGAAGTCTTGGGAAGCCCTAGTGTGTTCAAGTAATGCCTTTAGAAGTGTACTAACATCGCATATGTCCTAGTCAAGTCTGCTAGCCTGAATGAACAGACCACACACCCATCGGCGCCAGGCACAGACTCCCTGCCGTTCTCCCCTCTTGTCCTCGAACGAGTGACGATCGTCAATCCCCAGGCGCTCTTGCATCCTGTTCCTTGGTTGCATGCACCTTGTTCGCTCGTCTACAACTGCCTGCCTTTTGCGCTCTTAGTTAACACCGCTTCTGTGCTTCGTTAAAGCAAGCACATACCAATGCCCCATCCCTTCTTTCTGCATGTGTGTGTTTGACTCGTCCTTCCCACCATAGGACTCATACCAGCCCGGTCCTTTTTGTATGCTTGCTTCGCCTCGCTGATTCCATCTTCTTCTTGTATGGAAACCTTGCTACGGACTATCATCAGATCCTACGCTTAATTTGGCCCATTACGGATTCCAATCGTTGGCCTAAAGACCCAGCTAGTCACCATTCCTACTATAGGCCTTGTCCGCTGACACCTACGCTCGACGGGCCTGCCCTGCCACCATTCCCTCGAATCCTGTTTGCCTTTACATGTCGGCCTGTCATCCTCTGACGGGGTCGAAGTCAACCTGGATCTCAACAACTATTTCCCTGTCTTCCTCTCGAGGCCTCAGATTGCCCGAAGAAGTATAGAAATTCCACCCGGCTCTTCGCCTCCATTTGCCTCTGGTATCTCGCTTCCAACAACAATGACCGGGCCTCAGGGCACCTTTACCAGTCCCGGCAGTTCCGTTGGGACTGAGGACTTCAGCAGCATTGTCGCTTCATTGAATAGCGAATACAGTTTGACAACCGGCGGTACCAGTACCGCAACTCAAACATCCGACCAAACCTCTAGTACGGGAACGAATTCCGCTGCTGCAACCGCTGCAACTGCTACAACAGGCTCTACGCCTATAACTTCACAGACCACATTTTCTACCTCTACCTCTACCTCTACAACAGCAACCGTCGCGGCAACCTCGACTTTGCCGCAAAGCGTCACCAGTACCGCCTCGAACGCTGCGAGCAGTACCACGGGCGCAGTAACCGTATCCGAAAAGTCATGTAGCAGCCTCTCCTGTCATCCAGCGCTGAAAGCCGCCATCGCCGTACCTATTGTCATTGCAGCCCTTGCCGGACTGTTTCTGCTGTTCTTTTACGCCAGGAGGAGGAGAAGGAAGGATGGCGTGGTGGTATCGGAGAAGAAACCGAAGAAAGCGGGCAAAGGGGGTTGGTCCAGACACCTGCGCGCATTCTCTTTCGATGCAGAACTACTCATGGGTGGTCGTTTCTCTGGCACCAACAGCATGCGCAGTCGAGATCCGAGCGTCCGAAGTGCAGGCACCAACTCTCGGACAGGAGGTGCCAGCGTCGAGCCGAGCTTGCACAGCATCGACGAAGTCGCTCCCCCCTACCGAGACGCTATATCGCATGCTCAAGTACCAACCTCGATACAGACTGGCGCCGTTGCTCCTGTCGTAGCGGGAGCGGCAGTAGCATCAGCATCTGACCCTATTCCCCGCTCAACTTCAACTGCCACGGCACCTCCGCCGTATCGCGCAGTCGTCGCCGATACAAGATCACCCCTTACTCCAGTCTCAAGAAACCCATTTGCGGACTCAGCACCTGTCAGTCCTATTGAGGGCTCTCCTTTCAATGATCCCCCCGATGACGATGGGCAGAGACCTGCCTTGAGTCGAGGGTCATCTCTATATCGGAGTGTCAATACCGAAGACGGAGCACCCTCGGATGCAGGCAGCATACGAGAGGCACAGGTTGGAAGGCGGGTATCAGTCAGGACGTCCGGCACACCGCCGCGCAGTTCCACTTAGCAAAATATAATAACTCCTTTTTTCTTTCATCATGGCATGGTGTTCTGGGGCTTACAGGACCGTGAAGAAAACCAGGCTGCCTTTGCGAGAAACCAGGGGGTCGATATGTTGTTCACGCAGAGAATCTTTTGACATGTCTCTTGGGCTGTACGTGACTTGATGGCAGTGAACGAACTTGGGCAATCTGATCGGATCAGGCTCAGAAAATTAGAGTGTTATGCCTATCTTCTGAATGATAATATTATGGTGATCCATCCTCTAAGGTGTGATCTGAATTTCTCTACGTTTGTGTCCTGCAGTGGTTTCGAAGTTACATGCGAAAGTGCGTACATGCAACGTGATACAAATGCAGGAACGCAATTGATCCATGGCCTATGGTACGGCGACAACTGTCCAAGAAAAGCTAGTCGTGCCTGAACTCGTGCCATGTCGATTTTTAAATCTTGATTGTATTGGCCGAGTACGGCGCACAAAGCCCAACTCATTTCACACGGATTGAGCTGCTATGTTGAAGACTTTTTGGTTGTTTGTTCACTCGGCGTGCCGGGTTCCTGCTTGCAGTCGTGACTCATTTATAACTCGTACAGCGATGCGGTAACGCGACATTGCCGAGGTGCGACGTGCGACATAACCTTGGTAGGGACGAGACCGTTGTACTGTCTGTAGGTGATGTAACCGTCTCGACCGTTTTGTTGCTCGTGTGCATAAGAAATTATGACCAGCAAACGGCTATTGGCATGTTGCTCCACTGTCTCGTGAGCGTTGAAGGAGGATCGACAAAAAAGCGATCGGCGGTGAGTGGGTGCATTGGGCACGGATTTCGCGATCGTCGATTGCTATCAATAGTATTGACAGCATTCTGGAGTTTCGTACAAAATGATCAATGTGTGAGTCGATGGACTGCAATACTGTCCTCGTCAAGCGAAGACATCCAGACAGGCCTCGGAATAGTTCGCTCCCACTAAATTGACATGTAAGCGATTGGAGCCAGACGACTGTGGTGAAAGCTTCTGTCCTGATCGGGACGCTGTTGTTGTTTTTCAAAGTCTCCAGTCCCAATAGAACGACGTTGGGTGTTCCAGGCTCTTGTCATCCAGGCGTTGGCCTCAACAATGAGCTGGGAAGGCGCGCAGGGGTTGCGGCCATGGGTGTGCCGACGGCGTACTGTTCTGCGGAGACTGATCTGACTTCAGTGTATTATTGACTTGAAACCATTATATGCCTGTTCCATATCGAACGCCAGGTCATGTGCTTGATCATCGCTCAGCTCTTCCGACGTTTTCATCTGATTGAGGGTGATGAGCCACTGTATGATCTTGCCACGGTGCTCAAAATCTTGGTCAGTCACTTTGTTCACTGACTGAATGACATCTGAAAGTAGTGGATGTAGGGCACTCTTGGAGACCATGTTCAATCGCAGTGCATCCAGAAAGGTGATGAAGTTCTCGGTGGCATTAAGAATGAGACTTCCTGAAGCGATTGTGGTTGGAGCCGTGGAGCCAGGCGCAGCCTTTTGTACGGTGAGCACCTCGTCCGCTGTAAGACCGACTCTTAATCTCTCTTTTGCTCGAGGGCATTCAATGTCCCATTTGCGTGTAAAAGTGTCCAAGTCGACGAATTCGCGGGATACGTTCTCATCGTTGAGGATCGAGCGGTATTGCTTGAGCAGCTTCGAGCACATGTCTGAGTACTCATTTTCAGGAAGCGCATCTTTGATGTATGCTTTTTCCAGGCCATCGATCGTGCGGATGATACTGTAGATTTCCGCCAAAGAATCAATCAGGTCACGCTCCGCCGCAGAATCTGCAAGTTTCACCTCCTCGTCGAGGTTGATTCGTGCGGAGAGGGTGTTTGTGGGCGTGTATGAGTATGGCGTAGGGGCGTAGGAGAGTGGCCGTGGTGACGCTGTACCGTACATGATCAGCGATGAAACATCAGCGGATGCTGCGCTTGGTGGAAACAATTCTAGTCTGGATGTTTGTACATCCGCAAGGCTGCCCTGGGCTGTCAACAGTGTCTGGTGGTGAGGGGACAGACAAGCCTGCGGCCATAAGGTTCGTGCGGAGAGACATCAACGGCTAAACCCCGGGCCGTGCACTATTTTTTTCCTTTAAGCGTCTGAAACTTCCCTGCGGTGCCCTGCACTGCATCAGCACGTTTTCACCTTTGTGGCCACAATACACTTGCAGTACGGAAACAGACTCCCTGGCCGATCAAGATGGGAAAACAGGGAAAGGCCACGAAGAAGTTCGAAAAGAATAATCTCAAATCCACGATAGAGCGGCGGAAGGACTTTGCCAAAATCAAGCAAAGACATCAGGTGAAAGAGAAGAAGAGACAGAGAGCGGCGCAACGAACCAAGACCACCGACGATGAAGCAGACTCAGATATCGAAGATGCGCAGCCCAAGGGCATTGACATGAACGAAGACGAATTCTTTCAGGAGGCACTAGACATACCAGATGACGACAGCGAGTTACAGTCGAAGAGCAAGGGCAAGCGTAAGAGGAATGCCCCTGGTGGAGATCCGTCAGAAGAGCCGGAACTCGATGTTGAAGGCTCAGATGACGACGATGTGGACCATAAGGGTCAACTGGCCTCGTTGGCCTCCAAAGATCCCGAGTTCTACAAGTATCTGCAAGAAAACGACGCAGATTTATTGGACTTCGATGAAGACAACGACCTGGCCGAAGTTGATGATCTCAGCGATGAGGAGCGCCCGGCGAAGAAACAGAAGACCAAGGGTGCCGAGGACGATGCCTCAGCCGACGTGACCACGGACATGGTTCAGAGATGGAAAACTTCGCTTGCTGATCAATTCTCGATCAGAGCACTGCGTCAAGTCGTGCTAGCGTTCCGGGCAGCTGCTCATGCGGATGACGAGGAGGATAAAGAATACAAATACACTATTGCCAGTCCCGAGGTATACCATGAGGTTCTGATGACGGCCCTGAAGCAGGTGCCTGTCGTGCTGTCACATCATCTACCGGTCAAAGAGTCTGCTGGAGGTAAAGTGCGGGTTCCCACAGATTCGCCAAAGTTCAAGACGCTGGCACCGTTGATCAAGTCTCACGCTTCGTCGTTGCATTATCTGCTGGGGCGTTTGTCAGACACAAATACCTTAAGGCTAACTCTGCAATCATTCGAGCCATTATTGCCATACTTGTTGCAATTTCGCAAGTTTCTGAAGGTCATCATCAAGGCTGTCTCTTCGGTGTGGTCCGACAATTCTTCAGACGAAGCAACACGGATCACAGCCTTTCTCGTCATCCGCCGACTCATGGTGATTGGCGATGCTGGAATCCGCGAAGCTGTGTTGAAGGCGACCTACGAGGGAGTCGTCAAGGGAAGCCGGAACACTACGGTTCATACGCTCGCCGGCATCAACTTGATGAAGAATTCGGCTTCAGAGATCTGGGGCATAGATCAAAAGGTCAGCTACACGACCGGCTTTTCGTTCATTCGCCAGCTCGCTGTCCACCTCCGCGGAAACATCACGAAGCCGACCAAAGACTCGTATAAGACGATCTACAACTGGCAATTTGTACACTCTCTGGATTTCTGGTCACGTGTGCTGTCCACTCACTGCAACTCCTTGGTCGAGGCACAAAATGGCAAGCAGTCACAACTTCGACCCCTGATCTACCCACTTGTTCAGATTACCCTCGGTGTTATGAGGCTGATCCCTACTTCGACATATTTCCCTCTACGATTCCAGCTTATGCGATCTCTGCTGCGTATCTCTCAGGCCACTGAGACCTACATTCCGTTGTCAGCAGCTCTCTTGGAGGTATTAAACTCTGCTGAGATGAAGAAGCCCGCAAAGGCTGCCACACTAAGGCCGATAGACTTCGCTTCTAACATCAGAGCGCCCACTTCCTACCTGAAGACGAAGGTGTATCAGGAAGGAGTGGGAGAGCAGGTCGTTGAGCTTTTCTCGGAGTTTCTTGTCTTGTGGACCAAGAGCATTGCATACCCCGAGCTTCAACTTCCTGCCATAGTCATGCTCAAGCGGTGGCTGAAAACGGCGTCGAAGACTACAGGGAATAGAAATGGAAAGCTGAATCAAGCTCTCGTGTTGCTCGTTCAAAAATCCGAGACAAACGCTAGATGGATCGAAGAGAGACGCAACAAGGTCAGCTTCTCGCCAAAGGATCGTGCAGAAGTGGAAGGCTTTCTGAAAGATGTCCAGTGGCAGGATAGTCCGCTTGGAGCCTTTGTGGTGACGCAGAGAAAGTTGAGGGAAGAAAGAAAGAAAGTGCTGGATCAGGGCCGCAAAGAGCAACAAAGGCACAACGCGGATCAGGAGGACAATGACATTGAGGTCGCATGAACACTGCGACGATTGTCCTAATGCTATTCATAAAGAAGCTATCGGTTTGCGAAGAGTCCTACAAACTGGTTATGGAGCGCTCCTTTGTGCGACGAGTTGCGATGTATTTTCTGATCATTATGGCAATCGCATGACCTGCCTTCAACAAAACAGATAAAGTCTGTCAGCCTCCTTCTGGTCTTCACTTCCTGTCTCTGCAAGTCGATTCTGGAGTCTGCGGACCACCAGGCACTGGGCAACACTGGCACTTGCCCTACAAGTCACGAGATGCGGCTCTTCAATCACTTCGCCAAGTGATATATATAAATATTGTATGGACAGGACAGGCAGTGAGCGGGAATCCTCGGTTGGCATCGGTGATGGCGTATCTTCCCTTCAGGTGCGGTATGTCGCCCATGAGTGACTGGGAGATTGTTGCGCAGGCAGTTATGTTATCTCTCAGAGTAAGCAGGTTGACCAGCAGCAGCAACAACAACAAGAGCAGCCTCAACAACCAAGATGTCGTTCAACATGAATACCTCAGAGTCTCTTCGTCTCCCTTTCGCCCTTCGAAGCACCTATCGACAATACAAGACCGACAACAGCGCCCTTGTCAAATGGCTGGTCGAAGCTTCGAGCAGATACTGGGACTTCTACAAAAGAATCCCTCCAAGAGAGCTTCTCTCCATGGCCATGGACATAAAGTCCTGTAGGATTGAAGTTCCAGGAGCAATCCTCGACAAGTTGCGGTCGGTCTTGTGGATGAGACGGCGTTGTTCTGACTGGTTTAACTCCAGGGCAGAGTCAGCTGGGGATCTGGTGTCGAACGAAACACACCAATTCTATATCGAGACCCTTGAAAAGATACTCGAGACGTTGTCATCAGCTCCGCCCCCTGCCCCTTTTTCCGACACTTCCACCATCGCCTCGGTCAAGGTTGCAGCCAAACGACGTTACCAATCCTACGTGACCGATGAGTCCGAAGACGTGTCCACGGCAAGCTCACACTTAAGCAACTTGAGGCTGAACCCCTATGATCCTCTGCAAGCCCACACCGAAAACTTCCCGGTTGATGACACGGAGAACGTCAACGAAGAGAGTGGCAGCGAGAACATGGAATATGAGGTCGAGCTCGTGTCTCCGGAAGAAGAGAAAGTGTTCAGATGTTTCTGCATTCTGGGGGACCTGAACAATTTGCGGACGTTTATCAAAGCGCAATGGCTTGGTTACAAACAAGGCAAGAAACCGCTCATTGCCGCTGCGTTGGTGACGGATCAAGCTATGGGCATCGCTAGGAAGTTTATTGAGGATTTCGAGAACGGCGCAAATGGTGAAGACTGTTCCTATCACAAGATGTTCGCCACATTTTTCCTTGACTTGGCTTGTCGCATGCACCAGTCAACGACCAGGACAGAGATGGAGGGTGCCCGGACAGAGCGACTTGCTAACGGAATCGTGCTGGATCTTGATGGAATGGCCGACGTGATCGACTGGATGTTTCTTGACGCCTTCCTCTCTCTCCATGAGGCGGAACCCATCGTGGCTAAGCACTCATACACGGACAAACAATTTCCATTCCCCACCACCTTCAAACGTGGGACAGCATCTCTGCAGTTTCCCTCCGAGACAAGTGCATTGTCGGAACATCTCTGCAGTTTCCCTCCGAGACAAGTGCATTGTCGGAACATCTCTGCTTGGCTGTCTCATCCATACCACTTCACACCAAAGGCCTGACGTGGTTTGACAGCATAACTGGAAGTCTTCAGTCCATGGTGAAGGAAAACCCTACGGACGTCCTTTTCGACGATACGAAGAACGACGATACGAAGGGCGTACCCTTCGGGTTCAATGGTGCCATCTCCTTCTCGACTGTCTTTGCGGCTCAGATTCTGGTCGACATACAACGGCTTCTCTGCGATGAAGGGCTGGCGCAAGCTGCGATTGAGGTGTTCGCCACCATCAAAGCATTGAAGTCGACCAGTGAAGCAACCCTCGACTGGACCAAGAACAACGTTCACCTTAAGACGCACGCGCAGACGGCTCTTAAAGTAGTCGAAACAAGACAGCGTGATCTGGCGGCCATGTTCGATGTGTGCCGAGAGGAAAGTCATAAACGCATCGTTGCCAGAAACCCTGTTATGGCTGGCCTTGCCGTTTTCCACCTCGTTCACAACCACTATGTCTGGGGCTGCCACTTTGCGGATTCCCTTGGAGTCTTGGAGACGGTACACTGCTATAACGCTGCAAGACAGGAAGGCGCACTGGGAATCGCCATACCCGACTTGGACTTTCTAATAACAAAGCACACCCCCAAATACCTATTCCTGAGCGACTTTCCAAGATCAGGCTCTCAGTACTTCAAGATCTTCCTGTTGGCTTCCGGCGGCACAGTTGTCTCACAGAATTTCGACTTCGAAAGATGTCGCTTTTTGTGTAATCATCTCACTGAGCTGCTGAATTTGCTGTTGGTGTTGAGTCGTCAGTCGTTGAAAGATCGGGATGAGGGAGTCGAACACCTCCAGCTGATCCTTGCCGTCACCAAGAAATATGGCCACGGAACAAAGCATCTCCGGTTTGACCCCAACGACCTCTCGATCAACGCCGTGGACTTGCGAAAGTTGCTTGCCAGAGAACCCAAGCTGGGACCAATGGCCCTGCTCACGGACCTCAGCTCCGCTGTGGAAGATTTGCTGCCCGAAATCTATTTTGACTACTCTGTTCTCGCCTGTCGCTGTTCCGACCTGGCACGTTCATTCGAGCAAGAAATGGACCGAAAGATCTCCAAGATCTCTTTTCTGATGCAGAACGGCAATGTCGACATGTACACTGCGCTCGCCCGAGTCTTCAGAGATCTAGAACTTTATGATCATGAGCGGCGAAAACCAGCACGCAAGCAATCGAAGAACTTCCACGCGTACAAGACATCCGTGGAGGTGGTCTCGCAGTTAATGAAGGAATGGGCGGAGACTGATGGGAAGTCGGCGTCTCAGCATCTCAGGAAGAGGTTTCCAAACTTCAAGTTCGAGACAATTGATTTTGCAGCCGTGGTGAAAGGACCTTCTGTGGGCATACCATGGCAAGAGCGGACGGATGAGGGAGCAAAGGCGCCACGCGGACTCAGCAATGCCGAAATGGAACAGATGAAAGGATTGGCTAAGGGAAAGCAGGATCCCAAGATGTGAATAGTTATAATGGTCCTAATTATGGCGGTCGAGAAGCCTGTGACCAAGAATGAAATCATGACTATTGGACGATAACTGCGACAGCCCTGAATAGGAGGCTTTGATATTTGCCGATGAAATCGCTCACTCAGCCATTGGGCGTCTCTAACATCAGGCCTTTTCTGCGACAGGACCAAGAGGAAGCGTAGCGACTCTCTGGTTTTGGTTGGAGATGCACAAGGCTTACAATAAATGACCACGTGTGCTGTAGAGATTGAGACGATTAACGGTCTCGTAACGCCAAGTCTGGGCTGAATGACTGAGGCATATTAAGCAGATAATCATGGACCCTGACATTCGCTATCTGAAGCTAGTGAGGCTAGACATGTAAGTATCAGGTGTTGGTATTTGAGGTTTTCCTCGCCTAGAACTTGCGGCCAGTGTCACTGAAGATGCAGTCGCCCGACTTGCACTGCGTAGACATCTATGCATACAGGTACAATCTGGGATACTGTTTATTGCATATTTGGGATCAGTGGAGACTCACTGGAGAAGCTGTGGGAGCTTTTGACGTCGATTTGAGCACGGTCGTCCCTGGACTTCCGGGGCCCCTACGTCAGAAGCGAGCTGCTTCTATCCATACAAATTGCACCAACCAGCCGTATCCGGGAACCCTGCTCGCCTGCAGTGGAAGCGGCAGTCCGTGAGATCAGCGGGTATCGACTGATGCGTGGATACCCTGGTTAGTGATGTCAAGTCAGCTCACTCGTCGCCAACCTCTGCCCATGATCGTTTCAAAGCTTAGATAGAGCGACCAAAACTTAGGCGTGCGCCGAGTATCCCGAGATCAAAGCTCTGACTTGCACGTTGACGATCCCGAAGTCGAATATAATTCATACCTGACCCTACAGCTTTGCGCTTCACACCTCTTCATTCATAAACAACCATATCGCCATCGCCTGAACTCCAAGACACCTGTCTCCGTGCGCAGCCTTTCTGAATCATGGCAGGACCAGAGGCTACATCACCCAGAAAGCACCAGCACCGAAGACATTCAACTGAAGTCCACCGGGACTTCGTGGCACAAGTCCCCGAATATCATCGAAGACAAAGTATCAGTGTCAGCAAAAAGCAGCCTGATGGTGTCGACGCTAGCATTAGCTTGAGTGTAGGTCTATTCACACTCTGACGTGCTGTCGCCATGCACCCGAGAACCGAATTGTACAGCCGCAGTTCGTGGTAGTCAACGAGTCTAACAGGTGGTTTGCTTTGTCTAGGAATTCTGGGCCGGTGTAGCCATCCAAGAAGAATCCGACAATGCCCTCAAGATTGGTGTAGCAATCCACGATGGCACATACAGCATCGACTTTGCCGTCCATCGCATATCCTTGGACGACAAAGCGGAAAACGGCAACGACTGGATCGCCGATCATATCATCAGTGAACTATTCGCCTACAGAAAGGAGCACCTGTGCAAGCTTCTTGGAGCCGGTGTCACTCTAGACCTGTTCAAGAAGAGTCCGACCCTTTGCTCCAGACTTTGGGCAGAATTGGACATCGTCCCGTTTGTGCTTGAGTCGAATCCACTTCTTCCAATCAAGCAGGCACAGGCGCAGAAGAGACTGATCGCCGTGGACGAAATTGCCGACTCGGCTGCAAGAAAATGCTTGACGTATGTCGAAAGACGCTCCCAGTGAGGATACTGCTGACTGAAGGTTTACAGGTTCTTTGCGCCAACAAAGCAACCACGACTGTCAATCAACTATCAGAACCAAGTCGAGGTCGATCTGGCCGGCATGATACAATTGACCACTCTTGAACAATACGAAAAGTCCGTTCGAGAGCCGACCTGGAGAGCGGTGCAGAAGCACATCAAGGATGTCAAGGATCGTAACCTCCGAGTTGCCTTCTTCAGTGCCACACCACAGGGCGGCGGTGTTGCGCTTATGCGTCATGCACTCCTCAGATTTCTGACTCAACAGGGCGTGAACGTTGAATGGTATAGCCTCCATGCTTCCGAGCTCGATCGATGTGACCTGTGCTAAAGTACTTCCAGGTTCGTGCCGAAGCCAAGACCAGACGTCTTCCGCATCACAAAGACCAACCACAACATCCTTCAGGGTGCTGTTCCCCCCGACGTTCGTGCTACGGACGAACAGCTCGGTAAGATCAAGGAGTGGATCCAGGAGAACGCGGTACGCTTCTGGCTGTCCGGTGATGGCCCGCTGAGCAAGCCCGAGGACGGAGGCGCCGATGTGATCATCATTGACGACCCTCAAATGCCTGAGCTCATTCCCATTGCAAAGAGGGAGGCACCCAACCGCCCGATCATCTTCCGATGTCATATTGAGGTCCGCGATGATCTAGTGCTAAAGGACGGCAGCGCGGCACAGCACGTCTGGCGCAACATGTGGTCCAGCATCAAGCAGGCAGACATCTTCCTCAGTCATCCTGTCCGCTCGTTTGTGCCGCCTGATGTGAAAAAGGAGACTTTGGGATGGCTTCCTGCAACCACTGATTGGTAAGCCTTACTCTGCACAACCTCTTTGGGGCAAGTAACTGACGGGTAACCTAGGTTGGACGGTTTGAACAAATCGATGGATCACTGGGACCTGCAATATTACTTACACGTGCTGAGACAAGCATGTATGTCGCAGAATCTGCCTCAACTCGCATACCCTGAACGAGGATATTTCACTCAAGTCGCCCGGTTTGATCCATCCAAGGGCATTCCAGACGTCATCAAAAGCTATGCGCGGTACCGGGAGCTCATGAAGGAGAATCCAGAGGCGCCGACCCATCAACTCGTCATTTGCGGTCACAGCTCGATTGATGATCCTGATGGAACTGCAATCTACGATGAGACGATGGATACGATCAAAGAGCATCACTCGGACCTTGTGGACGATATTGTGGTTGTTCGACTAGGACCGAGCGATCAGATTTTGAATGCCATCATGTCGCTATGCACCGTGGCTCTACAACTTTCCACCCGTGAAGGTTTCGAGGTTAAGGTGTCTGAGGCGCTGCATAAGGTGAGCACAAAGTAGACACGATTAGGCGATACGAGGCTGACTATTTGAAACAGGGCAAGCCTATCATTGCGACACTCGCAGGAGGTATCCCACTTCAAGTCGAGGATAGCAAGAGCGGATACTTGGTCGAGAGAGGCGATCACGAAGCTGTGGCGAAGCATCTGTACGACCTCGTCACCGATCATGATCTGTACCAGAAGATGAGCGACTACGCCATGCACCATGTCAGTGATGAGGTGCACACGGTCGGCAACGCTCTCAGCTGGATGTTCCTGGCCTCGTCTGTGGCTGGTGGAGAGTCGCTCAAGCCGAATGAGAGATGGATCAATGATCTGGCTCGTGAAGCGGCGAACGAGCCATACAAAGAGGGTGAACCACGTCTACCTCGACACCTGTCGACGTGATCGATCACATCAGTTCCTTTCCAGGTCGGTATGGGAGTCTTACGGGTTCAGCGTTCAAACAGAGCTATGAGGTAGAGAAGATAGGAATGGTAGAAAATACAGAACGGGTTGAAGCGAAAAGAGCAGTGTCGTTCAAGAGGATAGCGGTCATGGGCTGCCGATGCTTCGTATACCTTACAGCTAGAGCAGTGATACCATAGTGAGATATCCCACAGCCTTGCTAGTACTGTACCCGCGAAAGTACTTTGTGTTTGGCCAATCGCACACATTCGCAAGATTGATCACGATTAGGGTGGTGACAGCTTTCCTTGCTCGATTCGATGACCTAACTTGGGGCTCAGCAAGTAACATCATCAGACAACCATTTCGTCTTGGTAGGTTCCTGAATAACTTATCCGGAATCTCGACAGATCTTCTTGCCCAGAGCAATGGTTTCTTCTTGTCTTTTGGGGGCCAAGGGCGGCCTGCCAATGGCTGCATTCAGCATGCCAACGTGGTATGTCTTACCAAGACGCCGGATCTCACGGATCATCATGATGCATTTTCACCATGTGTGTGAGTTGGTGGCTTTGTCATGATGCCCATGTGCAGCAAGCAAGCTGTCTAGGCCTCTTTGGGTCCTCTACACAACCCAGTCATTTTGTTCCCCTCATCTCACCTGTCTAGGCCCTCGGTCCGCTATGTGTAAGGGCGATCGGACCCCTAAAACACCTGGATTGACTTTTACAGTACAATATTGCGTGGTCGTACTTTGTTTGAGTGCTTGTGGTCCAGCTCCGTCCTCTGGTCCTCGTCGGCTTTCAGGTCGGGCAGACTCACTTGTCGACCAAGTTGTCACTGAGTGAGCCCGACAACGGCCATCCCACCATGTACCGCAAACGCAATGGCTCTCTAGGCTTCTCCTTCACTCGCTTCGCCCATGCCGCTGTGCCCAATTTCTTCGCAGACGAGTCGAGGATACGGACGGACACCCTGGACCAGTACCGCCGAGACATGTGCTACATGCACCAGATTGCCTCTCAGAACCCATATGCCCTCGACGAGCATTCCTTCTACGTCGCCGGAGTTGTCGATTCGGAAAGTGTCAGCAAGCGTGTGCACAAGGCTTTGAAAAAGTGCGAGATACTGAGCCAACAAGATGGGACTGTGAATACATACAATATTGGACCGAGGTTCACGCACCAGCTCGCGGTGTTGAACATCTACCGCCAGAAGGAGCTTGTCAGCATGCTGTTCTGGTGGGAAGAAGAATGCCAACGCCTACGGAAGTTGGACGCCGAGAAGAAAGATCTAGACACACTGATTGCTGGGTCTGAAGAGAAACTGGCCAGGCTGCCCGAGGACGAGGACACGCATGAAGTCAAGGTCACGCTCGATCAGTTGAAGTTCGCCCGAGAGCGGGTCAGGATGAAGAAGAGGCAGCGGCCGAGCCAGCGGCAGCCTGACGTCGAGGCCGATCAGGACGATATTATCATGGCATACCACGGGAGGAGTAAGAGTGTACCAATCATATCGAATCATCCGCCTATGATTACGGGCGGAGGCAGTGCACAATCAGTGTCGAAACATGAGGAGCCACCGATGTATTGGGCCAGGACGTGAGCGAAGCAGTGCTAGCAGGAGAGCAATCCCCGGGCAACCACGGCTGGCGTACACATTGAGAAGAGAAGGCGCCGAACGGCTCCTAGTCAACTGCCACAGCACAACCTCCATCTACAGACAGGCTCGCATGGACACAAAAGTTACCGCAACTCAGCCGACGCCGCGGTCCAGACGGGCAGGCCTCTCACGTCAACCTCATCACGACTATATCGGACGAGGCAGCAGTTTCCGGCAGTCACCTCTTCGGCCGATCAAACGATCTTGTCGCTTATATCTTGCGGCGTCGGGACAGTATCCTTGAAAGATTTCCTCGCTTCCAGACCATCACTATACCTCTTCAAGTTGGGATAGGTTTCTTGCCAGGGGTGCTCAGCAAACCGTACCCGGAGGTAGCCCAGTACACAACCTGCGGCAACATCGGCCATGGTGAATTTGTCATCGAGAAGGAACTCTTTATCCCCAGCCCACTTTGCAAGTTGCTTCAACCCACCGTCAACTTTGCGTCGTTGTCGAGATGTCCATTCTTCAGAGGGCGACGACCGCTGTTTCTCGAAGAACATCAAAACGCACGCGTCGCACACGCCATCTGCGATGACTGCGGTCATGGTGGGTCAGCCTCACTACGGGCTGGGTAAGGATGGATGAGTCAAACCTTGAACTTTCTTCGCGAATAGTTCGCCGTCCCTCGTGTCCGGGGTCAGACTAACATATTCCGGCGCTCGATATTTGTATTCGATCCAGTCTAGAATGAAGTGCGACTCATATACTGAGCCATCTTCGGGGTCTTTGGCTTCAGTGTCAATGAGGACCGGTAGCTTCTCCAAGGGATTATATTGTGGTGTCTGGGTTGTCTTGTCCCATGGCACTTCAGTGACAAGCTCAAAGGGGATTGATTTCTCCGCCAATGCAATCCGCACCTTCCGAGCGTAGGGGGACCTTGCAGCTCTTAGTCAGATGGGAACACGACGAGGCGAACCCGGCTCCGACTTACGGAGTGGCAGAAATCAGTTTGAGGACCATTTTCGTTTCCAGCGAGCGATTGACTGGGATCTGTCCAAGTATAAAGGAACTTTGCACTAATGTCCAAAGTACGGAGAACAGTACGGAGAGAGCTTAACATATATTGCAGATGAACGACATACGTATCTCAATGACATCAACTACATTGGTTCCCCGCAGAGCCTCGTAAAGCAACATCTCCGCGCGCAATCTTTGTATCCTCTTCTATGTTGGCGCTCTTGTAACTTGCATACAAGGAAGCACATTAAGAAGCTGACCGAGATGCTCGCAATGCTTCCAGATTTCAATTTTCGGACTTATTGTTTTCCATCCAGGGCCGATGAGCCTCAGTGACATACATCGCTCACCTCTATCGCATTGCGGCTCAGTAGGCTGCCTGATATGCATCATGACAGATGGAACGTCCCTCTAGTGCAGCACTTACCCATCGTATGTATTACCTGATCCGGGGCGTATGTTGCGAGAGGCTCATTCTTCAGCCTCGTATAAACAGCGAGAACGGCCTTGGGATGCTCCGACCGTTGAGCCTTTCGCACGTTGCAGTGGAGCACGACCCTCCGCGGCTCCAACACTGATACGACCCGAATACCATTTACCCCGGGCATCGATCTCGTATTTCTGCAGATCATCGTCATGGATATATCGACTTTGTACTCTTGTCGGCCTAACAATCTGCCCTTGTCGCAATCTAACCTTTCTTTCGGGCAGACTTTATTGAGGTATCACGGCAAGCACAGCCCACTGATACACCAGAATTCAACCAGTCAGTGCATTATGATGAACTGTCATGCAGAAGCTATAGTCCTTTACGAGCCAATATGGTCGATGTCTGCCGTCGATCACATCTTATCTTCCATGCTCTACGTGCTTAGAACCCCCTTGCTCCACGCAACTCGGACTGAGGCCCCCTGGATTCAATACGCGATCGTACGCTGTACTCCATGCGCATGATGGCTTGGAATGCGGCACGTCTGAATACGTGGAACACGTGGCCGCGTGCATCTATAACATAACCCCGTCAGTGGTGTTTATAAAAAGAGCCGTGTGCCCTGCTATGGTAAGTCGTGCTCTCACTCAGATCACAGCCAAACAAACAACAACTTCAACCTGAGTCACTTGAGCAATCCTTGACTGGAACTTCTGAACAAGTCTCGCTCAAGACATTCAAAGCAACCTCTTCCATTCTCTCTGCCCAGTCACCCCCTCTCAGACACCATCATCATGTCGTCGGGAGAACCACACTACATTGTGAATGGCACAACGTACATTGCAGGCGGCCAGGACAACAATTGTACGGTGTCCATCTGCCCAGTGGACCTCAGCGTCTATGGCTACCGACCGTCTCTGCCACTCAGCGGTGTAATCATCGCCCTCTACATCATCAGCATCATCGTCCAGGCTTTCCTGGGCTGGCGCTACAAAACATGGGGCTTCATGACCATCATGATTCTAGGCGCCATCGACGAGATCATCGGCTACATCGGCAGAATCTTGCTGTACAACAACCCTTTCGCGCGACCGGGCTTTCTCATCCAGATCGGTAAGGTTCCTCGCCAACGCGCCTGCCTCGTACACACTATGACAATATACTAACATTGACGACACAGTCTTAATCACCATCGGTCCAGTATTCTTCTCCGCAGCAATCTATGTCACACTCTTCCAAATGTGAGTGCCATAACTTCTTTCGTCTCTGCGATACCCAATTACTAACACACCCAAGCGTCAACTACATCTCCGTCAAGCACTCCCGCTTCACACCCAGTATATTCTACTGGGCCTTCGTGTCCTGCGACCTAGTCAGCCTGATCTTGCAGGCCATAGGCGGCGCCAAATCCGCCAGCGCCAACGGCCCATCGTCAGCGGGCGTCAACATCGCTCTAGCCGGTCTATCATTCCAAGTCGCCACCCTGACAATCTTCATCATCCTGACCGTCGACTATTTCATCCGTTCCCGCGCCGTCTGGATGGCCGCCCGCATCCCCGCCCGATTCACCATCTTCGTCAGCTTCCTCTCGGCCGCGACACTCTTGATCCTGGCCAGATGCTGCTACCGTGTCTACGAGCTCAATGACGGATATTCGCGGACGAGCGCTGCCTTGAGAGACCAGCCTCTGTTCATTGGGTTGGAGACCGTGCCGGTCATCGTCGCCACGTTCTGTTTGATCGTCGCTCACCCTGGTCCCGTCTTCAAGGGCGACCAAAAGCACTTGACCAACCACGAAAAGGACGTTCGTGGCTCCGAGTGTTCAGCTGCATAGGCTACCTCAATCTGACGGGTATATCTGCCCAACCGGTCAAAACCCCGAGGTATATGACTGCTGAGGGTGCTATTGCTGAATTCTGTCCGCAGAAGGGGATGAGTTCTGCTATATATATGTGATCACGACACGAGGTGTTTGTCACTGGACGGAAAGAAACATGATAATACTGATACTGGTTTTCTTAGCTGGATTTCTCTGTTAGAGGAACGTATATTGTCTGATCGGGGAAGATATATTATGAGTCATAGACATTTGAGCCTTACTATTGCGATAATAGCCACTGTTTTTGTACTACTTACTGTTTCTCGGTCGTCACCAAGAGCACTGTATTTGAAGCCCTAATTCTACTCTACTAAGTCTTCAATAATCCCTTATCGACCCCTTAGCAACCATTAGTGATCCTTCGCTGAGTCCTTACGAATCTACTAGTGTTACTAAGTCCCTACTGATCTCTACTGTTTCTCTATTGATCTTGTTTTCTTGGTGTTGTTCATGGACGAACATGTCGAGCATAAGGGCGCAAGGCCGAACCTTCTCTATCAGTTACTCATGATACGAGGAACCACAGACACGGCCAAGTAATACAATGGAGCCACATATTTGTGGCACGAATCTTTTCTATCTACATCCTTCTCACAACTACTTCTTTGCATTGAGCACAATGTCCGGCAGTGGTGATGTACCCGCTTTCAGAACGCTCCGAGCAATACGATACTTGCCCTTGGCTGTTGCAAAGTCGAAAAGCTCCCCGATTTTAGCACTATCCTCCGGATACTCTCTGAGCTCCCACCGGACAACATTCAACGGGAGTATCAATCTGCCTCTTGTGAAGTCAAGATTCCTTCCTTCTAGGCAGGTCTCCAGATCTTGGAGAAGTTGCCTCGACAGAGTCAATCTGCGGCTCTGGTCCAGATATGGCCTAATGCCAGCCAAGATGCTGCTGTCGTCGTGGTCGAGCTGTAGCTTGCTAGTGTAGCGGCTGACCAAAGCTGCTGCAAGCGTAGCGTAGGACAACTCGAGCGCCATGATTGTGGCTGATGCTACGGCAATTGTAACCTCTCCGGTCTGAGGAGTGCACAATTCCTTCACATTGTACCCTGCTGGTTTTGAGCGTGCATATTGAGCTTCGACTTCTGCAAGTTCTTGACTCAGAGCTTGTAAGTTTGAGAGACCGTCCAAGAGTCGGCGCAATATGTCGACGACGGCTCGTCGTGTTGAAAACTCATCACAAGAATTCCGTTGCGACAGGGCGTCTGATCTCTCCAGCATGCTTGCCAGCACGAACCCCTGATCAATGTATCTTTGTTCGAGGTTCTTGATGTCGTCTCTCCAGGGCTCGGTCAGCCACTGATGCTGGGCGAAGAAGGAGTCTTTTCTACGCATCGTGCAGGCAATCATGACATTGTACCTCATCGATTCGAGAATGGTCCGCTGAAGTGGTCTGCGATGATTCTGAGGGCCGCGGAGCTCGATGATCTGCGCCACTCCGCCGATTTGGTTGAACCAAGAGGTCATGCTCTCCGAGGTCGACTCGAAAGATTCATATAAGACCATGCATCGTGCGGCGGCTAGAGTCTCGTCGTGTCGCGACCAATGCGGATCGTAAAGAGCCTGCTGCATTGTTTTCAGGGCTTGGCCATACACTTGTTGGCCTCGAAGGACGGCTGCTGGGTCATCGTTCAACCTACCAAGGCGAGTGTACGCCAAGGATAGCAGTGTCTGTCGTAAGGTGTCCACTGGAGATGAAATGTTAAGGATATGGTGCAACCAGGCTGGATCTGATGCCGGTCTCGAATCTGTGACTGATCTGGCTGAGAAGCCATCCCAGAAGACTGAGATACACTGATCTTCAAGGAGGTACCTGCATGGAGGCGAAGACGCCATTGAAGGTTGCTTGTGGGGAGATGTTACAGCGGGCGCTATCATTTCGGTGTGCCTGGATTGTGCTGGCCTTGCTTCCTCGAGGCGCTTACGCTTCTGCAGCCCTTGTTGGCCGCGGTTGATAAAGACTGGGTACTTCTCGTAACCTTCGCACTGTCTCTGTGAAGAGGTGCATCTTTGACATGAGGGTTTCGCAAGATCACACTGAAGCCGGCTTAGTCCCTATGTGCCACATGCTGAGTTGAGTGGCCGAGCTTACCCGCACTTTCCTTCGCCTGCATGTAGTGCAGCCTTCCGATCTTCCTGGTATGCCGACCATAGTTCGTTGCAGATGGAAGAATTGAGGGAGACCTTGTTGTCGCCAAAAGGCGCAAAGGCCGCCCTTGAATAGCTTCAGAGCATTGCTCCCGCCGTTCACTCATAGTATGATAGAAGCAATTCCTTTCCACAGCCTGCTTCGTGTACGTCAAGACTTCCCTTCCCAGTGACATGCTTGGTCCGAAATCGACGCCACAGAGGTTGTTTGCTCGAGGCTCGGCGATTAAGGCCTATTCCCGATTTGGGATTGAAGTTGCGAGAGCCGGAGCCTGGAAATGCGGAGGTGGAATGCCTGTAAATAAACACTCTACGCCCGTAAGTGTGGCTTCAGGGTCTACTTGGCCTTGTAAGGCGAACGCCAATCAATACATAATGACGGGTTTCGCCCAAATGCTGATCCCGAAACTTAACGTTCTTGCTTTACGAGCAAAGGGCTTTTCGATCAATCTGTGACCAGTTGCGATCAGATCCTCTGACCCTTTCGTGCGCTCGAATACATACACAGACATTAATTTGTCGCAAGCCGTAGGCAAGAACAAGAGTTCCAAACATGTTCGTGGCTTGTCGTTTCCGGACCTGAGCAATTTCGAGCGACACGCAGTGGGAACGTGCAACCTTGATGGCAGGAATAAACCTGCATCAGTCACTTTCTGTGACCTGGGATTACCAGTCGTACCTTCCTCAGATGTGCTACTCAGATGGAAGTCAGGAGATATGCGCCTGTCGCACCACATAGAGCCGCGGCAATGCAATGAGCCCAACCAGACTTCCTTGCCTCATCTTCCGAGTCTGCAGAACTTCCTTTGCTCTTCTGGGATTCTCCATTCGCTGGCAAGCTATTCAGAACCACAACTCCGTCCAAAAACCCAGCGATCGAGCTGGCACACATGCACATCCCCAAAGCTTTCATGTCATTGAGGTAGCACAGTGCTACAAAGCCGAGACCAGACGCAATATGTTGTGCACCGGAGCTTTTGACCAGCGGACTGAAATCCTCAGTGCTCCCACGTTTGAATTGGGTGTTCAGATGAATAAAGCCATGGGCTGTTGCAAAACTTGATGGCCATATGATTGCCCTTACGCCAAAAATGATCTCGACGACGCCGAAGAAGGTAGCAGTACCCTTTGCAAGGAGGGATGGTGTGAAAAACAGGCCGGCCATTTTTCGGCGGCAGTGGTCAGGAACAACCTGAACACACTCTGGCCAATCTACGAAGTACTACTGACCAGCGACATCAGAAAGCCAGACTGATCGAGCTTTAATACGTTCTTGGATATGGGACACATCCCTACTCCGTCCGACTGGGCACGTTGGCTGGACAGCTTGCACGAAACAACATCGGGATCCTCGGAATGCCAAGCTGTTACATACGAAGTACAGAAGCGAAGCGATATTCACTCGTTCCGCCGCTTTTCGTATTCCTTTAGACCAAGTCCGAATACGAAGACTCTGGTCGTCCTCGCCGCGTGCACAGCAAGTGCTTTGAGACTGCTTCAATCTCCATGGAGTTCATGCTCATAAGCAATCAGGTAGGCTGTGAGTTTTGTATCAATCAGTGCGACCGTGGCTACAAGAGCGAGTTTTTGCAAACTCAGGAAAATACTGTCCCGTCCACGGGATGCATCGTAAACGATACTTCATCCAGCCATGGAGATCTGACGCCTAAAAGCACCATGTCATTGCTTATTAAGGACGATTACCTCTCCACATGATGGCTTTACCGACGACCTTGCCGACCGACTCCTTCGTTTGACGCAACTAAATAAGACGTCAAAGACTCCATTTTCTCTCCACTGCTTACTGCATGGCGGAAATGCCTGTCCGAGGCTTGCAACGCTCCAAAAAGCCTTCCATTCCGACGACGTGTGGGCCGAAGCATGTCAGCATCCGAAAGTCGACCTTGTCAAGCAATATGCCAGCTTACGTATTCCGCAACGTGCGGCTTTATGCCTCGAGCATGACCGCTGCACCTGAAATCCCACGAAGCTAGGTCCTTCGATATACCATTCATCTCAATGTCGCGGTCCTTTTGCTCTAGGCCAATATTTTGCACTTTCCAGTTCTCGTAACGAGGCCGGTCCAGCCAAATCGCCAAGCCCAAGGCGGAATTGCTTGTATTGATGGTTGGTCAAAGACTTGCACAAACAAGTCTAGATAGCTCTTGGCCTTCACCTGGGAGGGACGAACACGAGCACTTGCAACAAGACTGTTCCCTTTCTCTTCTGTGTCAATGATAACGGTAGGTCGCTGAGTGAGCTGGAAGTACGTCAAAATTGAATTTGGAATTGCTGCTTCTCGTGTGCCGTGCTTACATCCGTATCTCACTAGCAGAGCTGAACAGAAAGTATCGAACCGCGAATCGAAGATGAGTGCGCATATAAAGACGGACCAGCAATCCACATGTCCAGGACCATCATTTCTCAGCTTCACCTCTCCAGCCGCCTATCTTCTCATTCCCCGTTCATACCTACTCCCGTCCATACTTGCGCAAAATGGCATCAAGTCAGACCGAAAACCTCAAGCTCGCAAATGCATGTCTCTTTGTATTCGCCGTTCGCGACGATGCCGAGCGCATCAAGACCACGAAGGAGATCTTCCATCCCGACATCGTCATGTACGAGGCCGATCGTGTCAACACCGGGTATGACGGATTGGAGGCACGCATGCAGGAATTGATGGCTGGTAATGACTTTGGCTTCGAAGCCGCCGGGAAACCGGTCGAAAACCACGGCTTGATCGTTGCGGATTGGACTTTCGGACCGTCTGGAGGGGAGCCAGTGCTCAGTGGGACGGATATTACCTTTGCTGAAGATGGCAAGATCAGGAAACTCTGGGTCAATTTCAAGTAAAAGCGTCGCTTGTTGCGAGGATATTATGTTCGTGATAGTCCGGCACTCCCTGCCACTCAGATACGCATGGAGTTGATTCCTGGAGGCTTCGACCTTTGCCAGAGTGACACGATAGCCGAATTGAATTGCATGAATATATCATGTATGCAGCCCACAAAGAATTCAGCATACGAATGCTTTTGTAATTTGGGCTGAAGACGAGAAGCCTACCATCGACTGATCTGATTTGGTTCACGTAGTGTAGCCATTGTTACCACATCTGCACTGGTGGAGCTTACCTAATCTTCTGCATACCCTCAGGTGCCCCTACCAGCCTTGTTAGCTCAGACAGAGTCAATGAAATATTCGGCCATCAGTGTTCGGCACAACTTCACTCCAATCTCTTCCTCAACGACATCATGACTTTTCCATAGGCGCCTCCGAGAAAGCAACAGGGGCGCAGATAAAACAATGCGAGTGGCAGGAAAGAGGGAAGCTGTGAGACCTAAGATGTGCCAAGGGGTCAATAGGCGGCACGATATTTCTCCGTTTCAGATATTGTAGGCGGCGAGGGCGGACATGACTTGACGCACCCTCCGACCGTCCGATGGGAGGTCACCGACCAAAATGAGTATATATGTCTCTTGAGAAGAGTCAGAATCATGAAGGTGGCTCATCCGTCCTTGCTAGCTGCTCTCACATTTATATTATAGCATATTCCCCGGCATCTAATCGATGACGGCCATCTCAGACAAAATGCCCGGCAAAGCCCCTTCGACCATGAGAGCCTGGCAATACTCCAGCACCAAGGGCGGGCTCGAGAAGAACCTCCATCTCAACTCTTCCGTCCCAATCCCTCGGCCGGGTCCCGAACAGTACTTGGTACAGGTCCTCGCCACTGCACTCAACCCTATCGACTACAAGCCAGCCGAAAACCCGCTGATCAACCGCTTCTTCATCCGTAAGCCGGCTACGCCTGGCCTCGACTTCTGCGGGTATCTGGTGAAAGCACCCGCAGGATCGACCCTCAAACGAGGCCAACTGGTCTATGGCGTGACAGGCACCAACCCAATGGCCGGAGGCGCACTGTCTGAATTTGCCACCACCCAAAAGAACCAAATAGTCGCGCTTCCGGATCACCTTGACCCGACATCTGCCGCAACCCTCGGCGTGGCCAGCCTCACAGCTTTCCAGACCATAGTGCCGCACGTCAAGGAAGGCGATCGAGTGTTCATCAACGGAGGCAGTGGCGGCACCGGCATATTCGGGATCCAGATCGCAAAGACACTAGGCTGCTATGTGGCGACAACCTGCTCCAGTGCCAACGCCGAGCTATGCAAAAGCCTCGGAGCAGACGAGGTCATTGATTACCGCAAACAGAACGTCGTCGATGCCCTGAAAGCCACGGGTCACAGTTATGACCACGTCGTGGACAATGTTGGCCACAACATGGAGCTGTACTGGAGGTGTCACGAGTACACCAAGCCAAGCGCCCTATACGTGTTTGTGGCGGGTGAACTCTCTTTACCCCGGATCTGGGAGACGATCAAGCGGAAGTTCTGGCCTGGCTTCCTCGGCGGTGGGAAGCGCCAGGCCACAGGCTTCTTCGCACAAGCCAGACCCAAGGAGTTGGAACAGGTAGCTGCATGGATGAAGGAGGGCAAGGTCAGGACGGTCATCGACCAAAAGTTCCCTTTCGACCAAGCACCCAAGGCCATTGAGAGATTAAAGACTCAGAGGGCCAGGGGCAAGATTGTCGTCGAGATTTCATCCGAGGCACTAAAGAGTGCGTGGTCCAAAGAATGATGGTATATCATTTCCTTCGGAGTTTGAGGTTTGCATCAGCGCATATGGAGCGGTAGTCTTCAAGGATATTGTATGTTTGAATACATTTTATTGTACAGAACCGATCAATTTCAGGTCAAGGGATATCTATGATACTACTTCAGCAACATCCCAACTTGCGACAGGGTATTAATAGATCTAAACGCCCAGAAAGTTTGCAATCTTCTCTCCAATGCCCTGATCCTCCTTTGGTCTGCCGACCTGGGAACCTCCAAATCCCATAGCACCAACAAGACTCTCGCCGGTGTCGCCCAGCTTGCCTGGAGCGTTTTGTGAGTCACCAGCCCGGCGGATGTTAGTCTCGCCCTCCAATGAATCAACGCCCTGTTGACCATCCATGGCCACTGATGGACGGTGATGCTCGTTCAATGGGTTCGAGTCGTCCGAATGGTTGATCGGGCCTGAGCCGGTCTGGGTGCCTGAGAATGTCGAAGTCTGACCTTGAGTTCTGTCACTCGTGCCCAAACCTGATGAGCCATAAGAGTCGTTGTTGGAATAGTTGTTGGAGTCATACTCCGTCGTTCGGTAAGACGAGTCGGTTTCAGGCAGACGGCTCGAGGTTTGGTTTTGGTATCCGTCGTTTTGAGCGAATCCAGATGAGCCCAATCCAGATGAGCCTTGGGCATAATTGTCGGAATAGTTGTTCGAGCCGGACTGAGTCCCTTGGTAAGACGAGCCACCTTCGAGACCGCAACCGTGTGCAATCGGTTGACTCGAATCAGTCTCGGGCACACCGCCACCAGTCACTGCGTTGTACGTCGCAGGCTGTCGGGAGCCGCCAGTTGAGTATTGTTCAGACATTTTGATTTATGTGGTAGATTGGTTGAGTATTGATACGAAAGTGCTTGTTAACAGATTGTTTGGTTGGTATATATCTCCATGTCTACCGCGAGCAAGGGGTCGCAAGCCATATATATACACGCTCACGTACCCTTGTCCTTACTGGTTCCACCCTGTGACCGTGGAATCACTCATCCGATGACCCTGTGAGCAATTCACGACCGGGCACAGGCGAGAGGATCCAAACATTGGCGTCATCGGTCTCGATTTGAGATCGATCTTGTTACCAGTGCCCGGTACGTCACGAACGACGAACCAGGATTCCCCACACTTCTCTTTTCTGTCTTCAAACAAGCAACGTGCACAAGGACCGTCCCGGCATTGGGTAGTTCTTGACACTGATCGCTCCTCTTGGTTTTTCTAAACTTTCTAGAAACGGCTGAATCGTCACTACCTGCGCTGGTCGATTTGGACTGTTCTAGGTGGTCTCTCTGCAAATGGAATCATGAAGCGAGGAGAACAACTTTCGACAGACCATGATTCAGCCGGGAGCGTCAGAGCCCAAAGAAGTTGGTCATCTTTGATCAGAAAAATGTCGACGGCATAGTGGCTCGACTAGACTTTTCAATGCACGACGAATGCCCAGACCACGGTTCTTTAAGTGAGAATGCAACGGTTTCTCTACCCAAGATAAGACGGAGTTCGACTGATCAACGTCCGTCAAATCTGAGGCACTTCTAGTCTTTGAGTCAATACAACCGAAGCAGCTTGTCTGAACGTTTCACGACGAGGCTGTTTCCAGAAAAAGTGGCACTGTCTGACAGGGCGCAGACTGAAGACACAAGTTCGAGGTTAAGCTGATTCACGACAGCGGATGCCTCGACAGCAAGATAGAAGCACTGTACGGTAGAGCTGATGGCCTCCGCTCTGCCAAAGCCTAACGCTATATCGTTGTGTGTGAAGGACTCTGAAATGACAATAAGAATGGTATCTATTTGAACCTGACCAGCTACAGTGGGCGAATCGTGCCACTTTTTCTGGAAACAGGCTCGACGACTACTGGTGCTCATAGCTTTGCAACAGCCTCGTTTGCCCCACAGCATAATTGAATTAAACTACTTGCGCACCGGGTATCCTGTTCTCAAGAAGTCCATGAATTCACTCAGCCTTCCTAACTGACCCTTAATGCACACATTCCCAACACATCAGGGTATCTATTGACTTGGCCTGCAATCGCCCGGATGTTCACGTTGACTCGTCGGCAGCCCTACTGACGTTTCCACTCCCTCCTCCAATAACGGCCTTCCCATCCCTTTCTTCCACGTTGAGCCCTTCCTCTCGCAACGCCGCCTCCTGCTCCTCAGTGAGTTCAGCCACATCGATCGTTATTTGAGGACCCTTGAACCATTTGCGCGCGTCGATGTAATAGTACAGCAAGGCACCACCCCAAATCGCCGAGTTGATGACGCAGGTATAATTCATGCTGTCCGCATCCGGGTTGGGTCCACCGACGGGGAACATGGCGAGCAACGTTCCGAAAACGAGGAATGTGACAGCCAGATACGCGATGAATGTCGACGCTTTGCCCGTGTAGAACGGTCCTGGACTGAATTTCTTCTGGCCCCAGACAACTCTGCACAAGATGGGCGTACCCCAAGCCAGATTGTTGCCCGCGACGGCAAGAGAGAACAGCGCGGATGCAGCTGCTGGCGCAATCAGGCAGAGCAATCCTAGTATTGCGGCCAAAGCAGCGCACCCAATGGTTGTACGGACAGGAATGTATCCGAACCGCTTAGAGATGGGTCGGAAGAATTTGGAAAACGGCAAGGCTCCGTCTCGAGAGAAAGCCCATGACTGGCGGGACGCGGCCACCAAGATGGATATTCCCATCTACCGCGCAACGAACGTTAGCAGGATTCCTTCACCATGATTGACGATCCCAGTCAAGAACTCACCAGAAATTGGACAATCATCAGGAGGGCCATGAACCCCATCGCTCCGTTCTTCCCAAGCGCATCGTAGTATATTTGAGCCATGGGCTGACCGAACGGCGAACCCAGGATGTGCTCGAGGTCCTGCGACATGCACGCCGCAATGACGATACAGCAGATCCAGCCGAAGAGCCAGCACGACCCGATCGAGAACAAAATGCCCAGGGGGACCGCCTTGACGGCATTCGCCGCCTCCTCGCTGATATGCACAGCCGAATCGAAGCCGCCAATCGTCCAGATGGGAGACAACCACGACAACATAAATGCCCAACCCGAAGGCCAGGTCGTCAGGTTCTCGACATGCGTGAAAATGTACGAGGCGCTGTTGCGACTGTTCGCCCCGATCGGTAAAGCGATGATTGTCGCAAAAATGAGAACGAAGTTCATCACGACGAATACCGTCTGAAGCTTGCCCATGACTTGGGCGGCTGTCGAGGCGATCACGCCGTGACAGACGATCGTGGCCAGGAAGGTAGCGTAGACCTCCCCGTTTGAAGGTGTCCAATTGCCGTCGCGGGAAATCACGATGATCGAGAGAAATTGCAGTGCAAATCCATCTGTGGCTAATTTAGCATGATATGATGCTGAGAGCCTTGAGACGTACAGTCAATTGAACATAGTCCACCCACCAGACCCAAAGTGTTGCTGTACCCGACGAGGAAACTAAGCATGTTTCTCCACTTGGGCGAAGCATAATAAAGTTGGATAGAGAGCCTACTCACCTCACATCTATTGTCTTCTTTGATGTATGATTGTATCTTTGATACAATCAATCAGCCCCTATGGCTATATAGCTAGGGCCTTCCCCCCAGAGTAGCTGGGAGGATCATGCATGCTTTCACCATTCAACAGGTTCAACTAATAATGGGTCCAGTAGTATAAGCCTAGCATTCACAACATGTCAGCCTCATCGACACGATCTTGGGTATTTCATGTGGATGGAAGATCGAAAACCCTTGATCAGAACATGTGGAAGTGGTTTGTACAAGTCCAGCGGGTCGCTTGCAGTTTTGCTTAGTGTTCGCTGGGGAAGGATCAAAAAACAAGGGATCAAAATACCTCCACTTGTAGGCATGCTTGACCCGAGGTCCGCCATCGCAAGACCGACAACGAAAATGAAACCTGAAGCAAGGAACCACCCCCAGACAAGGCCTACAGGTCCCGCTGGAATCGAGAACGAGAGCGTGCTCGCGATCGAGGGGAGCAACCCCATAATGGCAAATGCAATGCCAAATACCTCAATCATGCTGAAGTTGCGGCGAAGCTCTTGTTTGTAGCTGCGACGCTTGTCAGCACCCCAAGTTGCCAACGACGGCACGCGCGCAGAGAGTGTACATACCCCATCTTCGCGAGAACAGCGGCATCCTCTTCGCTGGCAAGGTTCTTGTCCACGACAACCGAGCTACGTCGCTGTGTCGGATCCTCGAGGTCGCCGCCATGCGCACCAGTCGATGTGACCTTCGTGTCTGCGGCCATATCTGTGGCAGTCAAAGCTTCAGATAGACACCGCTTAGATTAGAGCTTCGAAAGCGTCAACGAAGGCAGAGTCGAAGGGTGGATGAATTGCTTTGCTTTGCGACTTGGACAACGGCGATGGCAAAGGCTCCGTAAGGCGTGACAAGCCGTGGTCTAAATAAGAAGGACCCCATACATGCACCAATACCTTCTCGATCCAAAGTCGATGCCGGCGAAAACCGATTGCGGAGCAGGTCATCCTGGGTTGCCTGATATTGACTGAACCTGGTTGGAGGAATATTGGACAATTTAGGTATAAGCAGGTGGCCGAACTGATAACGAGGCCGATAGATATGTGGTGTGTTGGTAATGACGAATAGCAATTGGCAGGGCACAATCTAGCATCAAATTAGCGAATCGGTCTTGCCTATCATCTGCTTGCCAGGTATCTCGTACCAGGTCCTGGGTCACAAGTCTTACCACACCGTGCTCTCGAATCTGGCGTTAGCCTGCACCAGGCCATGCGGCACGCAAATCAGCGAGCAGAAACATGCCGCTCCGCATACACCTTCTTACAAATCGATTCATGAGAATCGATGGGGATGTTCAAGTCCCAGGGCTGCCGTGCGGAGAGGTAAACCTCAATTTGAAAGCTCAATAATGTACACTGCTACCGGTACCTTCTAGGCCCAACGAAAGTACTCGTAGGGAGTGCCTCAGACCTTGGGGAAATGGGGAAACCAGAGGGGAAGCGTTACAAACCTTGAGACCAAAAAGCGCACGGCTGAAACAAAACACCCCGACTAAGTGGTTGGACTTGCTCGAAACGGGCAAAACTTGCTTGGCCACAAGATGCTGGTGGCGTGAAGGGAATGGACATCACCGCGATCGCCTGGTGAGACAACTTGGTAACAGTGACAAGGATGATAAAAGACGATTTTGAAGGTTCATATTATTGATCATATTGCGTTTCGCAAACATCAGCCATCAGTCCTCGAACTCCGGTCACCTGATGGTTGATACAATGCGAAGCATATTTGCTCTGCGAAGAGAATGTGTGCAATCAGCAGCAAAAGCTGCAAACCAAGCAATACGCCATCCTTCTCCAAGGAGTCCATGGAAAGCGCATTGATCGATGATGCTGAAAGAGCATACTCATTGTTGGCAACGACACATTGAGTCATTGCGTAAGCCCTAGTCTTTGTTCGATATCGATATGCTTCTGTACAGCAGATACACAGTGACAACCTAACACACCGCGTCGAGACCCTCAAGTGATCCACTGGCCGAACTGAGATCACATGTGGGATAGAAGAATGCTGCCACAGCAATGATCACATATGCGGCGATCAACAGCGAGCCTTCCAGATAATTGCTCCGGCCATCAATCATCAGAAAGCTGACGATGAAAGCACTGGCGAACAAGCTGACCGTCTCGAAAAGACTAAAGTACAAGCTCATGTCTGTCTTGATGATCCAACCGAGTATAACCATCAATGGGGTGACGAAGAGTGCGATTTGAATGCTGCTACCCAAAGCAATATTGATGGCCAGATCCATTTTGTTCTTGGCAGCCACTGTCACTGCGGTGACATGCTCAGCTGCATTGCCGACGATGGGGAGAATAATAAGACCGATGAATGCTTGACTGACCCCGCTGTTCGCAATCAGGTAGTCGATGCTGCCGACAAGGAATTCAGCACAGATAGCAACCAGTCCAGTAGTAACCAGTAACAGGATGATGGCCGAAGTCTGCGAGAGATGCTCTTGTGTTTCGACAAGTTGTTCTATTGCCACCTCAGTTCCAATTTCCGAGGGCGCCACATTCTGCGTAGGAAGGACTGTCATTGCAGGCAACCGTGGATTGGAGAGTGTTGGATGCAGAATGTCCGGCATCGAGGAAGTACGACGCAAGCCGCGAGGGCTAGGCCGTGCCTGTGACAGAGGACGGATGGGTAATGCGAGAGACCGGCCCAGAGCTTGATGGTGTGGAAACACGTTCGAGCTGAATGCCGGCCTCACTGCTTCAGAAAGGTTGCGGATGTTGAAGGGTCGCTTCGCAGCACCATCAGTCGGAATCTCTTCGACGTCGGCTGAGAAGCCAACCTGGGGCGAAAGCGTGTTGGCGGTGGACAACGAGTCTTTTGTTTGTGTTTCAACGATAGGTGTGTTCTCCTTCTCGACGTCTGATTGCTTCTCCTTTTCCTTCTTGGATCGTTTGGTCCTCTTGCTTTTCTTGCGGTGCCTTCTCGACTGTTCGGACAAGTGATCCTGTTGGGCATTGCTTTCAAAGTCGCGAGAATGAACTGCCGCTGCACGAGAACGTCGCTGAGCTGATCGATCTTCCCCGTCAACATCGGCTTCATCTCCACTAAAGACTGGCTCGAGTTCCCGGGATGTCGGAGAGGTAGTATGCTCTAATGAGCCGCCCGCCGCTGTCAAAACAGATGGGCTTCGAGTGAACACCGGCAGCGACACATTGTCTTTGGTGCTCGAGGTCGACTTGCGTCTCTTCCGACGCAGAGCACGTCGAAATCGTTTAGCTGTCGTGTATGAGCCAGAACTAGAATCAGAATCGGAGTCGCTGGAAGTAGAACTGTCGCTTGAGCTGGAATTCAAGATATCGGCCAGGACACCGGGATGTGACTCTTCGTCAATGAGATGTTGAGGTGTGCTCTGATACATGAATGCATGTGATTTGAGTTGGAACAGCAAGTAAAGGATGTAGACCAAGAGAAGGACTACACTGGTTCCTCTTGAGACCTTCAAAACCACGTGGTCGGCCGTGGTGGTATTGGAGAAAGAGGCATGGAACGCTGTCTATAAATGGGTCAGCAAGACATTCGTGGTTCAGTCGACGGGTACTTACAGGCAAGAGTAGACTGAGGACGCTCAGACAGAGTAGACAAGCGGACATCTGTGACACAGTCGCGTTGTATAGTTGTTCTCGGAATCGAAGACCACCGGCGACAAAACACATGCCCAATATCAGCAACAGGTTGGAGAGTATTGACCCCAAGGCAGCGGCTTGAACGACGCGGACCTGCTTCGCTGCAAGTGCGATAATGAAGATGATCAATTCGACAGCATTGCCGAAGGTGACATTGAGCAAGGCTCCGACGGCGTCACCCAATTTGATCGCCACACTCTCCGTGGCATATGCCAGCAGTGATGCCAGAGGGATGATGGCGACTGCGTTGATGGCAAACACGACGGTTGGGCTTACAACATCGACGTGAGCCCAGTCAACAAGGACTCCAAGAATTATGCCGACGGGCACAAAGATAAGGAGCCAGTTGACCCAGCTCGAAAAAAGGATGCGCTTGACATCTCGTATGAATCGATCCAGCACGGGAGCCTTGCCCTCCGTGGTTGTATTTCCTATGGTGGCAGGTTGCGCTCCATCTCCTTTCTTATCCACAGACGGTAGATCTTGTCGCTGGGTATCCGCTTCGTCAACGTGGTGGTCTGAGGTTGCAGGACCAGCTGCAGAGGCTTCGTGGATAGCATGGTGGGATGGGATATCTCTGTTGTCGATTCGGGGTTCGGGGGAGGATTCGACAGGGTCTTCGCTTCGGGGTCGTGGAGGGTCGAGGGAGGACGGAAGCGGCAGGGCTGGTAGTCTGGTTCTAGCCCATGAGTGTAGACGACTTGACAGTGGAGGCTCGTCAGCTGAGTCGACCATCGGCGTATGGCTGGGTGTAAAGGGGAATGTTGAAATGTTTAACAGACTTGCTTTCAAAGCAGGTCGTCGATGGACGAGTGGTGGATGTGAGTGTTTGAGAGAAGGCAGCAGAGTGCGGAGGAGTTTTAATAAGCCTATAAGAGGCAGAAGGTGCTAGTTAAAGGCGAGCCTCGCAAGAGCGTAGCCACAGGCTATCCGGGGTCCTTTCAGAGAGGCTGTGCGCTCGCTTTAGGTCTTCGGTCGTTGAATTGAGTGGCCCAGGTCCCACTAAAGTCGACGCGTCCAAGCCTGTTTGAGAGGCGGATGATGTGTGCCGAGTCTCCTAGATCAGCGTACTCGTAATGGCGGGCGACAAGATGACAGGCAACGGAGATAGTGGAAGATACGGTTTCTTAAGTCTGTCAGGAAGTTGCTGGATTGCTTTGTTACACGGCTTGATGTTTGTCTGATTGTATTGCAGTTGTGTATTCGAGAGGGCGTGCAGGACAAAAGCAAAGGACTTTTCAGTCGACGTGGATTGGTAGGGGCAAGAAGTACATGTACTTTATCTTAACTGATAATCTTGATTCTTGAGGCAGTGGCTGAGGCAGGAACGGAAACGAGAGCCAATGTTGAATGAGGAAAGCAGGGCGAGGCGCTATGCTACTTTGGGATATCTTATCTGACGCGGAGTTCTACAAGAGTCTTGGCCTGGATGGCCCGTATCTTCGGCCTATCATATTGGTATGACCCATCACCAAGGTGCGGGTGCTTAGTGTACGCAGCGACGGCGATGATGTTGTCTGCTGAGGTGTGAAGGGCTCCAATCTTTGGGATGCGAGACCTCTATGATGGGCGCGAGGTCGTCGCAAGTCACCCAACGGTCTCTCACATGATTTACCGTGGTATTGGTACGGAGTACAATCGACTAAAATGCGGAGTCATGATGATGCCTACATCATGGTAATGTAATGCACATCCTCATTCGCCTCATCTGGTAAGCCGAGATATATTTGCAGCCTTTTCCAAACGCAAGGGATAGAGAGTATAGACGAACGAAAAATGGCGATGGACTGCTGATGTATCCCAAATCATACTTGACATACTCATCTCGCGTACTTGATCACCCATGGATCCTGAAGTCGACGACAAGGCAGCATCTCAACTGCAAAGCGATTTGCGAAGCTCTCTCCGGAGCGCTCATGAATTGAAGAGACCTATATTGACTCACCTCAACGCGGACACGACGTGGCTGGTTTCACTCCCATATCCGAGTCATAAATCTCCCCCGCCTGGTCGTCTTCGCTACAATATTCTCATAGATCCATGGTTGCAAGGATCTCAGGAAGACTTGTCTGCGTGGTTTTCGAAGCAATGGCACGGCGTTCGGAGCAGTGTTCAGACGATCTCCGAACTGGAGGAGCTCCTCCGCGAAGCTGAAAACTTGGAGCGTGAGCACACATTCTCCTCGTCCGGAATGCATGTCCCGGCGGAGCCACTGTTGTCTTACATTGATGCCGTCGCTGTATCGCATGAGTTTACTGATCATTGTCATCGAGACACTTTGATCGAGCTCAATCCTAGTGTTCCAGTCTTCGCAACGAAGAAGGCGGCATCACTGATTCGGTCATGGAAACACTTCAAAACTGTGATCGAGATGCCAACGTTTTCCAAGGGCACGGATTGGCGGACGACCAGTCATTCCCCACTACCTGACTGGATAGGAATCAGCAGGTTAATGACGAGCTTCGACCTAGGATCATTGCACTCTGCGGTTCTCGTATGTTTCGGCAACCCTCAATCGCCAGACTCCACAGCCGAGACCTTGATATATACGCCGCACGGGATAGAGGCCTCAACAGCGTCGACGTTGAGCACGGCTTGGCCTCGACTGAATAATTTGGCCTTCTTGCATGGACTGCAGGACGTCTCCCTCGCCTGGGCCACGCAACTAAACTTGGGAGCAGTGAACGCGGTCAAGGCCCAGAAGGTCCTGCAGGCCAAATATTGGATCGGTACGCACGACGAGGACAAGCCGAGCTCCGGGATGGTCGCACGGTTCTTGAAGATTAAGAAAAGAAGTGTGCAAGATGCACTGTCGCAGCTCAATGCCGCAGGGATTGAAGACACTAATGGTTCAAACGATTGGGCTGCTAAGATCAAATGTGTCGAGCTGAGAAATGGAGAGAGTCTCTTGCTGGAGTGAATAGGCAGTGATCGAACTGTGCGAGACGTGCGTGGCTGACCGAAGTGAGGCCGCAATGAGTATGTTTTGGTATCCTTTCCTTGAGGACTTTACACAGTATATGAAGGGCATCATCAAACGCAGTGAGAACATGCACGTGAAAGAGAAGACTAATTAGACGCATCAAAACAAATTACAGTCCCGAGTGATGGCTTGGGATGTACTGGTAATATCGAAACAGTAGCCTCGGTCAACATGAGTTCCAGATTCCTCTCCACGAGATCGATTAGCACAACACAAGTGCGGACAACAAAGCCTAACTAAGGCGTGTACCGAACCATAAATGAGTTTAGTTAGCAGCTTGGCCCCTTTTTGATCTGTCCCACCCCCGAAAATCACTCCTAGAGTCCCAGACTCCAGTAGGCAGAACTGGCCGTGTGTCACTCTCCAGATCCCCGCTCGTACCGACACGAATGAAATCGGTGAGCCTAAGTTAGGGTCAGGATTCCCTCCCGCGGTGCGCCATGCGGTTTTGAACGAACCAGAGGAAATCCCATCCGTGGTCTCGGAGAAACGCCCATGATCAATTCAAGCACATCATTACGCAGGAGTCCAACATAAACACCATTTAATTTTCATATCATTGATTCTCTGGGTTCATGGCCTCTTCCACCCATACCGCATCCTAAGGTCACCTACCGACGTGGACACAGACGCCACTCTTCCTTTCCTTCGATTGTGTCCCTCTCCCTCGTCCTTCACAGAACTCTAAGCGGTTGTCTGGTCCATTGTGAACATTCTCTGCGGCTCTTATTAGACTTCCTGGTATTTGATCCCTGCAACCTTACTCGTCCTTCGATCAGACCGAACCCAGTCAATCGTTGATCAAATTCTGGGTCGGCGCCGCATACGACGCCCTTTAACTCAAGTTCCTGTCCTCCATAAACTTTGGCGCTCGACTGCGAATTGGCCTACCTCCTCCCTTTGACACCCGTTCATCATTCGCCAGAAACGGTCTTTCCGCGCGCGCATCTTTTGGTGTTCGTCCCTCCCTGTCTCGTTCAGAGAATGACAGGGCTTTATGACCTCGCCCAAGCACGCCCCCGGAGACCTAACTGGCGCTTTCCCTGCAAAACATCCGATTGCGGACAAGAGTCTATCTCATTCACTAAAGCGGTCACTCGTCTCACGATCCGGCTCTCCGTCGCATGACGTCCCTCCCACTAAGACCGCGAAACGATCCTTTTCCGCTAATCCTCGAGATCTCCAACGCCATGACATGACAGACAACCATCACGGTGGTCAGGATGCGGAATGGGAAGAGGGAGACCCGACGGACGATCCATCATCACACCTGGCCAACCAGTCAGCCCCAGCTGCGAAGTCTACATCATTGCTGGAAGTAGCTGCAAGTGTGTTCAATCAAGGAGAAAACATGACACCGGTCAAGAACCCCGTCGCGGGGCGAGGGTTCGTGGGAACAAGAATACCGATCAGGTCGTCTCCTCGTGGTGAGGATGCAGGTGCCGAGCAGAGTGACGTTGCCAGACCCAGGGTTCCTTCAGATCCACGGGTACCCAGCGGAGCACAGTTGTTGCATTCGGTCGCACTGGGGGAGTATCTGCAATTGGATGAAAGACCGACATTTGTCGTGGATGTCATGGACGAAATGAAGACAATCGTTGGGCTCCCGATCCTTTTCGGGAATGCCGCGTTGAAATCCCGGCCGGCGCTTTTGGACCATGTGCAAGGAAGGTCGGAAGATCCTACCATGTTACTTGACCTGGGAACGTCCTTTTCCGATTTCAAGGCATGGGTGTCAAGTCCAGCAGTAGGTTCAGATCTGGTCTCGACTTTTCCCTTCGCTGGCCTACTATGGCAAAGCTCTCTCATTAGGAAACGATTGAAGGTGATCCATGGGCATTCCCATCCTTTCTCGCCTGCGCCGATGCACGAGATCTACGCCCGAGGACATATGCAGCAATTCAAGGGCTTGGGTTCCGTCTCCTCCTCTGGAACCGGGCGCGGAGATATTGCGTCCACTGGCTACTTCGATCTTCCTGCCCGAACCAGTGGACGCATACCAAATGCTTTACAGGATATGGTGATCGACGTGTCAGATGCATCGGCAGGCAGTCCAGAGCCCCTCTCTCCAGTATCAGCTGGGGACGTCAAATGCGCCGACCTTCTCTCGGGGTCCGCGTCGCCAATTAGAGATCAAAAGCCGCAAATAACAAGCACGGGAACAGATACCGAATTGCTTGTTCCGATTGGAGATAAAGGCTGTTTTGACTGGACACGTTTACCCATATCGCCGTCCCTACCATCGCACGTCCAATTTGCTCGGGGTGTCAATTGGGCAGGTACCAGTCTCGGTCCTATAGAAAATTGGCCTCCCGATCTTCGTGGTATGTGCAACTTGATTATGGCGAGTCCGCATCCGTCAGCAATGTACTGGGGATACGATCATATCGCGATCTATAACGAAGCTTATGTGTTGCTTGCTGGCCAAAAGCATCCACAGCTGATGGGAATGCGCTATCGAGATGCGTGGGCTGAAATTTGGGATGCCATCGAAGATGTCTTTGATAGCGCTTTCAAAAATGCCCAAGCCACGATGAAGGATGATGACTGTCTGTTTATCATGCGCAACGGCTTCTTGGAGGAGACCTATTTCTCTTGGTCCATTATACCCCTGATTGGCGACGACGGGAGCGTAGTTGGTCTGTACAATCCTGCGTTCGAAAAGACGCGGCGGAAGATTGCCGAACGTCGTATGCTCACACTCCGCGAGATTGGGGAGCGAATCGCCGCGGCGCGAAAAGTACCCCAGTTTTGGGCCCTGCTGCTCGAGGGGTTGGAGTTTAATGAGTATGACGCGCCTATGGTTTTGGTATACTCTCTCAATGAGGATACTTCGGACAATGATGCTGCGTCCTCAACTTCAAGTGGCGGAGCATCGAACAAAGTGTGCTTTTTGGAAGGTGCGCTTGGGATACCTCCAGGACACAAAGCCGCACCTGAAGTCATCGACATGAAAACGGGTACTGCAGGGTTTGCATCCTCATTTCGACAAGCCTTGACCACGGATCGGCCAATCGTGCTGCGAGTCGACGACGGCACACTTCAGGCTGAAATGTTGGAGGGCATTGAATGGCGAGGCTTCGGAGATCCGTCAAAAATTGTGGTCATAGCCCCCGTGCGGCCCACTACCGGTGAGTCTACATTAGGATTCCTCGTCATGGCTACAAATCCCAGGAGGCCTTATGACGAAGACTATGATCTATTCGTCCAGCTGCTTGGTCGACAGTTGGCAACTTCTATAGCATCTGTGGTCTTGTTCGAGGAGGAGATCAAGAAAGGTGAAAGAGCCGCTCAATTGGCCGCCCAAGATCGAATCGAGTTGAACAACCAGCTGGTCGCGAGGACCCAACAAGCTGTCGAAGCGGAGAACAAGTTCACTCGAATGGCCGAACTAGCTCCTGTTGGTATATTCATAGGTGATGCCGATGGGAAGATCAACTTCGTCAACGACGCGTGGTATAGTATCACATCATTTCCACGTGATCTCATGGTGGAGGACGAATGGATCGAGTACGTGGCGGACGAGGATCAACCGAAAGTGCGCGAAGCGTGGAAGACTATGCTTGATAAGAGGTGCGCAGTGTCGCTGGAGTTCCGGTTTAAGACACCATGGCGTGATAAACCCGGCAATACGGGATTGACGTGGGTTCTCACGAGTGCTTCACCAGAACGAGACGAAGACGGTCAAACACATCGGATCTTTGGGTCCATGACCGATATTAGCGCACAAAAATTCGCAGAGAGCCTTCAGACGCGCAGAATGGAGGAGGCTGTTGAGCTCAAACGGCAACAGGAGCGATACATCGATACCACGTCGCATGAAATGCGCAATCCGCTGTCCGCAATTCTGCAATGTGCAGACTCCATCACAACTTCCTTGGGTGAGTTAGCTGAAACGACTCAGTTGTCTGGACCTCAAAAGGATATACTTGAACTCACCATTGATTCCGCGCAAACCATCACCCTGTGCGCCCAACATCAAAAGAGGATCGTGGACGACGTTCTGACGCTGTCTAAGCTGGATTCGGCGATGATGGCTGTGTCGCCAACAGACACACAGCCAATAACTGTGGTCCACAGAGTTCTGAAAATGTTCGATGCAGAATTAAAGACAAACGACATCAAGCTCGATATCAACATCGACCGTTCTTATGCCAATCTACGGCTGGACTGGGTGCGCTTGGATCCACACCGACTTTCGCAAGTCCTGATCAACCTGATGACCAACGCCATAAAATTCACCGCTAGGCAAGAAACTCGCGTGGTACGCATGCACATTGGGGCTTCGAAAAGCAAACCTTCGCAAGAGGACAAGTGGAGGTTGACATATATCCCCTCTCGCTCCTTGAAAGACAAAGATGTGACTGCTGGAGGTGAATGGGGTCTGGGAGAGCCACTCTTCGTCCATTTTGCAGTACAAGACACCGGAAGTGGTTTGGATGACTTGGAGAAAAAGCAGCTCTTCCAACGATTCTCTCAAGCCAGTCCTCGTACGCACGTCACGTACGGCGGTTCTGGCCTTGGGTTGTTCATCTCGAGGGAGTTGGTAGAGCTTCAAGGAGGTGAAATTGGAGTCGCATCTCAAAGTGGAAAAGGAAGCATATTCGCTTTCTACGTCAAGGCTCGGAGAAGCCCAGATCCTGACGGTAAGTCTGACGGCGAGTCCGCTTCGCAGAAGAAGAGCACGAGACCGGCGCTGTTGCCCAACCTCAGCACACCGAATATCTCGTCTGCACAAACAACCCAGTCCATTCCTCCCAAATCGAATGCTTCAAGCAAAGTCTTGCTCTCAGCTCCGGTGCATGTGTTGGTCGTGGAAGACAACCTCATCAATCAGAAAGTTCTGGCCACGCAACTACGCAAGATCGGCTGTGTCGTCTACGTTGCCAATCACGGCGGCGAGGCTATTGACAAGATACGGCAATCCAAGTTCTATCGAGAACGTGTCACAAACGGCCTGGATATTGACGTCGTGTTGATGGATCTCGAGATGCCCGTGATGGACGGTCAGACCTGCGCCAAGAAACTCCGCGAAATGCAGAGTTCCGGCGAACTGGTTGCGCATATACCTGTGATAGCGGTAACGGCGAATGCAAGGGCCGAGCAAATCGAAATGACTCTGAAGAGCGGTATCGACGACGTCGTCAGCAAGCCATTTCGAATCCCGGACCTCGTGCCCAAAATCAAGGACGTTATCGAAAAGGTCTCAAAACTGGAAGGCACGGTTGAAGTCCGCAAGCCTACATGAGCAAGAAAGCTTGGTGGTCTGAGGACAACCTAACTATGACGGGTCCCCACATATCGTGCGCCGCTGCTCCACCATTCCGTCAAAGAAAGGGGCTGTGGAAGACGGTTTGGCACCGCGGCGGCCATGGTCGATGTTGAATATTCAAGAAAGATAGTTGATGCTCGCAGAATGTCGGGCGCTCTCGTTGGTGAGAGTGAACAAAGAGTCAGGATAGGAGAAGGGCCCATTGTGTAAGAGGCGGCATGTCCCTGCCAGAGGAAGGAACATTTTTATGGTTCAGGTCGAGTGGGCGAGCGAGCGGCTTGTGAGAAGTATCACATCACAAGGCGATCGGAGTAGAAATACGTTGTTCGATTGAGTGCAGAATACTCATTGCCGACGAGAGTACAGGCTATCGTTATGCTTAGCCTGCATATGATGAGACACATGATAGACCAAAACGAACCGAGCAAATCACATTCATGCACTCTTTTCTGATGACAGTTCTTCATCCGTAGTATACAGAATGATGGATGTCTTCCGTGCAAGATGCAGGTTAGCGTAAAAACATCGTAGTTTGAGAAGGGAGATAAGTTGAACAATGGGGACAGAATGGCAGATTGAGTACTTTTTGTCATTACTGAATGACCACTTCTTGTACACTTCATTATGCTCGCTGGCTATCAAGGTGCTGCGCGGGCCAGCTTCTGCTGAACAAGAAAATGATATTTGAAAAACCTCAATGTGACATATGACCCGTACTAAAGCAAAGCTCCACGCTCAATACTCCATGTTCAGTACTCTTATGCTCAATGCAGCATGCTCGGTGACGCTCATAAATGGATAACTCAAAAGCTCACAACTGGTTGGTAGGAACCGCCTTACGTTCCAGACTCTTTCGGTGGTGTCCATATCTTCCATCAGAACCGACCGCTCCGGTTCCATTCGTTACAGGCGAGCCGCCTGATGCTGTGGTCCCATTTGTAAAGCCGTTGCTATTTCCATTGGTATACCCATCAGCGCCGTTCAGACCGGCGCTATGCTCGATGTCGCCGTTCCTATGGCCGTGGTGACCAGTGTGGGAGTGGAGACCTTGTGCGCCGGTATTGAAACCAGTTGCTTGTCCTCGCAGATTGTGTGCTGCGTCAAATGGAGCCCCACCATAAGCTTCCTCGTAACCCCATCCTGCTTGTCGGGTGAAAACGGCAGCTTCGAAACCGCCGGCACCTGCTGGTCCTGCGCCATATGAGAACGGGGTGTGTCGCGTCAAGGGAATGTGGTTGAATCTGAAATCCCAGACGGAGGCGTAGACCATGCGATAGGCGGAGATGGCGAAAATGCTTCCGATGAGGGCACCTGCGAGGCAGTCGTACCAGTTGTGGAACTCATCGATCGTAAGTGCGCCGGTGATGAGGGTGGCACCGAGAAGAGGAGAGTAAAGTGCAATGAGCTTCCAGAATGCGGGATGGTAGTTGCTGAAGACCTTCATCTTGGCGTTCAGGTAGAAATAGAGATAGAGAAATCCAGCCCAGGCAGCGGTGCTGTGGCCCGACGGCATGGACTCGAGCGAGTCATCAATCTGATCAACGTCGCCGCGGCAGATGTTGCGTTGGAACATGATATTTCCGTAGCCTGTGCCACCGGCCTGCAGCAAAGCTGGGTCTGGGTCGCAGACACTCAGGAAATGTGGTCGAAGCCCGCCAATGAGCCACTTGACGAATACTTGGAAGACAGCAGCGCCGATCAATGAGTAGAGAAGGCCGAGAATTGCGTTGTTTGTGTCCCAGAAAGATCGAATGCGGACCTGCATGCAGAGGATGACGAAAATGGGAATGAGGGATCCCAGGAGCGCGGCGAGCCAGATTGGTACGATCTCATGGCGCAGAGGATAGGCGAATTGAGGGTAGACAACTTCTCCGTCCACGAAGGTGACGGGAAAGGAACGGCTTGGGGCTGGTTTGGCTTCGTAAACACCAAGTCCAACAGCGCCCATTGCAATCATGGTCAAAATATCGATCCAGTGGAACTTGAGCCTGAGTAGTGTTAGGTGTGTCTTCCGCTGGAGGTGAATGCTGATGACTTACCATTGACCGAATGTTGGTCTGCGGTTGAAGTTGCCAGAGTCGACGTCGAAGCCAGGTCGTTGAGTTTTGTCTGAACCCCATCGCTGGCTTCTCTTGGTCTGCCCATCAGTGGCTGCCGGAGCCGGAGTCTTGTTTCGTTTGGTAAAGAGTCCCATGGCTGAAGAGTTCGCGGGGGAAGGATGGGAAACGTGCAGCACAGGAAAAAGATGCGAGCAGGCTATCAATGTCAAGAAGCACAGGAAGTGCCTTCACGCGCTTGGTAGTCACTTCGATCGCGTGACTTGAGCGAGAGAGAGTCGTGAATGGAAGACCGAAATGCACTTCTGCTTCACGTTGAGGTGCGAGGCTTACATATGTAACAATAGTGAATCTACTGTGTTAGTATCCACGAATGACGCAGGTATGGTACGTTAGTATCTGGGGAAAACACTTCATGCCTTGTTTTGGTGTTTGACAACACTCCGCCTGCATGGACTGAGCGGACCTGGACTCGCAATGATTGGAAAGGAGGCTGTGATCATCAACAAAGGCTCGATCCGCAGTATGGGAATCAGGAAAGCCATACCAAGCTAACTGCTTGGCCATGCTTGGCTTAACTTGGCTGACGTTGCCCTGTGGCTTGTTTTCTCTCCGAAGTCAAGCATCTTTATTGCAGTCTGGACGTTCGAGAAGAGCAAGCAACGTGAGGACATCTAGAATCCAGAAGGAAGGTTACTTGCCAGTGTAGATAGAGGTGAGCTCTTCCCTCGAGGAGAACGGCCGAGGGACTTTTGTAAAGAGAGGATCACGCGAGTGCGCACAAGCAATTTCAGATCAGATCAGGCTTCGGGATGCGTCATGGCCTGATCCTTGAACCTTGACACGAATTGTGGCGCCAGCGCATCGACGCCACACTACGCAGCCACACGATCTGCACGATCAACACATCACGAGGTGCAGCGGACTGTCCAAAAGGAAAAGAATAGTGATGCATTGCAGTATGAAATGAGTGGGTGAGATGGCCTGGACCGTTACCATACAATATCCTGCGCCACTGCAGCAACGAGCTCAAACGCAGAAAGCCCTATTGGGTGCACACGCGAGCACCAGTTACTGTCAATTGAAGGTCCATCTCTTCAACTGTGACGCGTCGAGCATCAAAAACCATATGATTATGTCGTTCCAGGGAGTGGAGTTCCAGTAGTCTCCTTCCTGCAGACCCATTCATCAAATGTTCCCAAACACCATACAAAATCAAAGTCATGAATCTCGTGATTGTTCTACTCCATGGTGTCGATCCAGTTCATACGCTCAAACACCTCCAGCATCTTGTAGCAAAGGCCAACATCATCGCCAGGTTCACCTCCAAACAACTTGATCTGTTCGGCCTCGAGCTTGGCAGCTTCTTGCTTCTGTGCCACGTCGCGATTTTGCCAGGCAAGATATCGGTTATGCCAGTGTCTCGATGCCAGACTCGCGCCGGGAGTTCGTAAACTTGTAGGTAGAGATACACTCCTTTGGCTCGGGCCTTGCGTTGTAGATGGGAAAGGTAACGATGGGATTGTGGAGGATATGATGTTGTTGGTTGATGCATCGAATATGAAGTGAAGTGTATCGAAGCCACGACTGCGGGGTCGAACCCGGCGACGGTTATGTTTGTGTGCCATTTGGTAATGTGTTTGTTGGACGAAGTATGAGCGAGAGTGGCTAGGCTGTGCTGTTGTGTGAGATCATATGAGCGCAACGCATGAAAGGGGAGAAGCAGCACACGCTGGAGGAGCACGAGATATAAGTATAGTCCGGGCAAGAATTATGAGTCTGTTTGACGGCACAGGCAGACCTTGAGTCACATGAGAGAAACTCGAAGCACACCATAAGACGTGACAATTGCTGGGTATACCCGCGTGTTGTATACCCACATTAGGCAGCACAAGGCTTTGTGGTGGTGAGAGTCAACCAGGAGTGGCGTGGACCAAGCCGATGAGAATGCCGAGTTTGGGAGTGACTCATGAGACTTTTGCCGCAGTGGTATGAGGCCCGATCACCTCATTCTCCTGGTCTGACTCGCAAGGCCGCGGAATTGTCGCTAAAGTCGAGAGAATTCTGTGCCAGTTTCTAGAACTTTTGCCGTGACACCAAATGCAGGAACTGTATGATCCTTCGTGCTGTTGCGTCTATGAATCAGATCGTGCTGATGAAATGAAAGCTTGCGTGCCAAAGATGACTTTGCGCCCAAGTGCCCAGAAAGTGTCAAATGATCCGCCAGAAGGACTTGATGAATTTGCGGCAGAGCAAAAGAGCCAACACCGTGGTTTGACTGCAGTGGCAGCCACACTTCCTCGATCGTTCTACTGGTGACCTCTTCGGACTTGGAAGTAGGAGCACAATTCGTCGAGTTCAAGATATCCTTATTGATCAATATGATCTCTGTATAGCTGCTCATCAAATTTCAACAATTACATGCTGCGAACCAACGAAAGTCCGGGCCACAAGAGGAGTCGATGTGGGGACGCGATCCTCGAGTCCAGGTCAGCCAAACAACCGAGGTAGAAAGTATGTTTTTGGTCATCTTGATATGAACCTCGCTCGCCTCGCTCGCTTTCCGGATAGAGGCTTCAACCGCGGTAATCTCATCAACCTCTCCTGCTCACATTACAGCCCTTTCTTCAAGGAGAAGTGTCACGTCTATCTTCCCTGATATATCCAAGATAGAGCAGAGTGCAGAGACCGGAACGGGAAACATGACTTCAACTGCAGACCTTCGCGTGCCAGCGCTGTACAACTTCGCCAACCATGTCGTTCTCGTAACTGGAGGCGGCTCTGGCCTCGGCGAGATGGCTGCTCAAGGATTCGTTCAGAACGGTGCCAAAGTTTACATCGCAAGCCGCAAAGAGTCCGAATTGAAGAAGGCCTCAGATCGACTAAATCAGCTTGGGCCGGGCAAGTGCGAGTACATCGTGGCGGACCTAAAGGACAGAGCTGGGTGTGATGCCCTGGTCAAGGAGGTCAAGAAGCGAACTGATCGCTTGACCGTCCTGGTCAACAATACTGGCGTCACCTGGGGAGCAGCATACGATGATTTCCCGGAGAGCGGTTGGGACAAAGTAATGGCATTGAATGTCAAGTCCATCTTCTACATGACTGCCGGATTACACGACTTGTTGTTGAAGGACACCTCCGCTGATATGCCCTCTCGGGTGATCAATATCGCGTCCATGGCGGGCATCATGACGAGCGATGTCACTACGGGCGATGATGGAGGCCTGGCTGCTCCTGGAACAGGCACCTTCAGCTACGGTCCGTCCAAGTGAGTATCCCTTTTGGCGACAGACTGTGCCATTGAAGCACGGGTCTTTTGCTTTGATCCAGTGTTCACCGACACTCTTTCTGACGATTTGTAGGGCCGCCGCCATTCACTTAACCAAATTGCAGGCTTCCAAGTTGGCTCCTCTCAATGTCATGGTCAACTGTGTCTGCCCGTGAGTTTCCCCCGAAGTTCTGCAGCATTTTCCCTCGCTAATCTCACCTTGCAGCGGTGTTTTCCCGTCACGCATGACGAACTTCGGTATCCAAAAGTACATGGACACATTATTGGAACGACAGCCTACAGGCAGAGTAGGGAAACCGTCCGATCTTGCTGGGATCATCCTTTTCCTCAGCAGTGTTGCCTCTTCGCACATGACGGGCAACGTCATTGAAGTTGATGGCGGGTCAACATTGACAGGTTGGAGAGTGAAGAGGAAGAGCGGTAGTAAGATATAGTATGGGCGAGGACTTAAGTGTCCCAAGCCTGATGCACTTCTAGCGATGGTGCGACAGTCCGAAAACAGAATGGTACCATGCTTACAAGTATACAACCGAGATACAGTTGGGATAATCAAACTCAGCCCTTACATCCTGGTGAAATAACGTCCTATTTCCATGCATGTATCCGTCGTCGTGTTGACATCTCCGGACTTTGCAGTGATATATTCCACGGAGTCTTGGATCCAAAAGCGGGTGTCGTCATCTGCATATCGATTTGGGCCCCTAGGCGGGGCTGGTGCGTATGCCAACTGGATGGTACACCCGTTTAGGGGGACGACAATCGATAGGCCACTGTTGACAAGAGGCCCGGGCGGGCTCCCAAGTGCATCTGCGATCTCCGCCCTCGCCAAAATATTGGGTGTCATGAAGTTTCATCCGTCACCCCGATAAGTTACACCTTCTGTCAAACACCTTCCATCAAAATCGATCCGCCCTAAAGGTCTCATGCCATTCAAAACACCCATCATTCACCCACTCACTCATTCTTAAGGACTACCCACGAGTTTGCAACATGGTGGCTTCTTGTCTGTTGTTTGTCTGGAGGTGCGCTTGATTCGAGTCCGGCTATATCGAATACCACCCATCCTTCGTCTAGCTTGCTGGTTCGGCCTAGACCCCGCAAGAGCAGATCGTCCCTTCTTCCTCCATCCACCCGTCACAATCCGGCTTCCTTCCCTCTCCCTTTCCTTTCCTATCGACGACAATACTGGAGAGCGATGCAGCCCGGAGCTGAGCAGATCCAAAATGAGCGACTGGCGATGACGTTTGATACATTATTGCGACCTTCTACGACATCTCTATCCTCAGATCCTACCTCCTCCATAACTTCCCTCGGCGACCATAATGGCTGGAGGTCAGGTCGCTTCCGGCCTCACGCCGATGGCTCTCCTACTTCGATTGTCATAAACATTAATGATGGCGGATCAACAGGCCGAGGAATTCTTATCGGTATATTGTCAGCGTTTGGTTCAGCAGGCGTTGCCGTGCTTGTTCTTGCTATTTTTTTCTTTTTCAAATACACATCCCGGGGTCGCATTCTGTTGGATCGAATAGGCCGACCCGGTGAATTCGATGATGAGCAGGCTTTTGCGCATGAGGAGGCCGAGGCCTTGGAGACGATGGACGAATTGCAAAGGACGGAATATCTAAGAGCAAAAGGTAGGCAGCAGAGAACATTGTTGTGAGCTTGATATCTAACGACAACGCAGCGTTTACTCAAGCAAATCCGCCGGAGTCTGTCCATACCGATATTTCACTCTCGCAGTTTCTGGCAATACAAGAAAAAGGAGTCTCTGCCTGGGAATTCGAACCCGAGTTGGAGATCGCAAATTGCTTCGTTGAAGCCAGAACCGAGATCGAGTTTTTCGACTCCGAATGCAGCGTGCAGAGCAACTTACCAGTCCCGAAGCAAAACGAGGTGTATTACTGGGAGGCCAAAATATATGATAAACCCGAGACTAGTCTGATCAGCATTGGAATGACAACCAAGCCGTATCCACTGTTCAGACTACCAGGTGAGTTGGCTCGTTCTAACACAACGAATGCACATTAACGATACCAGGTTACCATAAAACGTCTGTGGCATACGTGTCTACCGGACACCGAAGGTACAATCAACCCTTCAACGGCACACTCTATGGCCCTGCGTATGTGCAAGGAGATGTCATTGGTGTTGGATATCGTCCCCGCACCGGAAGCATATTCTTCACACGAAACGGGAAGAAGCTTGACGAGGTTGTGCATAACCTCAAGACTCAGAACTTCTTCCCAACAGTCGGAGCCAACGGGCCGTGTACAGTACATGTCAACTTCGGACAAATGGGCTTTGTTTTTATCGAAGCAAATGTGAAGAAATGGGGTTTGGCACCAATGACCGGAAGTCTTGCGCCGCCTCCGCCATATGGCAGTGAGCAAGGTAGCATCTTGCTCGAGACAGGAAGGGAGGGCAGTTATCAGCCTGCCTACGAACCAGGCCATTCAAGGACGCGCAGCGGACTTGCACGACTCGGTCTTCCCGCAGGTAATCCTGGACTTATACGACGACCAACAGATATATCACTATCACATCTGGCCCATATCCCGACACAAGATCTTCCCAATCAAGGGAATGATCTTCTGGACATTGGCGACATCCAGCATCAGCCCGTCGAGAACACGCCCATGGGGCAACAAATCATCCCACCTCCAGAATATAGCAGTCCTCCGGAAAGTCGGCGAAGTAGTGGTGAAAGTGGTGGAGATGAAAGGCGAGGATTGCTCGAAGAACGAGACGATCAACCACCTATTCCGACCTATGATGCGGCCGTAGGTGAAACGGCTGGACCGAGTCATACTTGAGAGATACCCTATGAAATGAAATTATGTCTTTAACCTGTACTCTGGACACGTTGTTTGTATACCAACATGGCCATCAACGTCAAGTTTGTCATGTTCAAAGTGCGAGATGACCGCTGGTAGTACGGAGTAGACGGTTGGGGGTTAGGAATGCTTCGCGGATATCTACAATAGTTACATATCCGTCGCTATGGAAAAATATCCCGGTGGTGGAGTCGCCGTTGTAAAGAACAAGTCAGCACCAATCGTCAACATTTGCTTCGAATCATGATCAGCAATACTAGTGAGCATTGTCGAAACGAACGCTGCCGTGCGCGTCCCTTGTGTGCTCCAGCATGGCCGGAGATGTGATCGGTGATGCAGGTTATCGTACGCCTGGGGAAGTCACCGACATTGGCTGCGGGATCCCAGTTGAACCTTACCAAAGTGCAGCGACAAGCCTACAACACACGTCGATCGAGACTACTTCACTGGCGTCCATGTCAATCCCTTGGATCTGACAGCTCGTGTCCCACGAGTACAGCCGTTGCTAGCTTTGGCGCCCGCGCTTGACATTCCAGTCCGTGTCCTTGCGTCGTGTGCAATGATCACTAGCCCTTTCGTTGCCTACGTACCTTCCGCTTCTGACACTACATCAGCATGCCCACTTGAATGAGTCCGGTTTCTATCATATGCGCTCCTAGTCTTCTTCTTCGAAAACGGCCGACACGAAATCCCGATACACAAACCATTAGCGAGGCTGTTGAAGTGGGCCACGGCTAGAGAACAGAGAACAAAGGCATTGTGTTACGGGTGGGGGTAAAACAAACAACACAAGAGGACTGGTGCTGCAGACAAACATCAATGATCGAGCAGAATGCTCGACGCGAAGCTGAGCAAGAGCTTCGCGTACTCGGCCAAAAAGATGGAGCATCATTTCAGGTCATAGTCCTGGTATGTGTTGCTCAGACTGCGACATTGATTCTGGCGGCTTGTGCTCTGGCGCAGCTTCCACAGCCCACCAAGCCTGCTCCCTACGTCGACACGTTGCTGAATACCTGCCTCGGTAGAGATGTTCGTTACCGTTACTGACTAAGGTCACAGGGATCCTCGGGCGGACCACGGGAGGACAACGTAACAGGCCTGCTTGTGAGAACACCACAAACGGAATGGGGCAAGAGTTCTATGATAGCGGTCGATGCGGGTTCTCACCTAGCCAACATTATTCGCATACTTGAACGACATATGCCAATCAGTTCGGAAGACCTACCACCCAAGGGCTATTCCCGTATACTTGAAGAGGGACCATTCGCAGGCATACGCTTTCCCCATATATCGGCCAAAGCAAACGGTCTACACATCTTTCGAGAGATCCTTCATGCCTTCCTCATCACGCATCCTCACATAGACCATCTCTCCGGTATGGCCATCAATACCCCGGCCTTGGAGTATGGCCGAGAAGCAAAAGCCATTGTCGCCCTCCCTTCCACTATCGACGCAATCAAGAACCATATCTTCAACGACTGGCTGTGGCCCAACTTGTCAGATGAAGGTAACGGAGTGGGATTTGTCACATACCGGAGGTTGATCGAGGGCGGCAATGTTCGACTAGGCTCAGGTGAAGCACGTGGATACGTCAATGTCTGCGACGGTCTAGCCACAAAATGCTGGGGTATCAGCCATGGCAAATGCCACTTTCGTCGCAGACAGAGCTCCTCTCACCAACACAACGACTCCTTCGGCTGGGGCGCATCAGATTACAATTTCCCATCCAGGCGCATGTCTCGAATCTCCGACAGTGAGTATCTTGCGGCCCTCACACAACAGACCCAGGTCGCTGGTGGATACTCCCAAGGGACACCACAAATGTCCATGGGCGGTGCTCCTATGACACCGGCTGTTTCTAATCTTCCTGGAACGATGCTGGACCCGAATCACATGTTCGAACCGGTTTCGAGTTCGGCATTCTTCATCCGCAATGACACAACAGGCAATGAGATCCTCATCTTCGGAGATGTGGAGCCTGACTCGGTCAGTATGTCCCCACGAAATCATACAGTGTGGGATGATGCGGCGGGCAAGATAGTCAGCGGAGTGTTGAAAGCAATTTTTATCGAATGCTCCTACGATGATAGCGTCCGAAACGAGGATTTGTACGGGCACCTTTGTCCAAGACATCTGATTGCCGAACTAAGCTTCCTCGCAAAATGTGTTATTAACAAATCGAAGCAGCACAGTGATCAAGACTTCAACGGCGTTGGCGCACGATTTGGAGAGCCTGAGTTTGCGGTTCCGGACATGAGCATGAGACAGCCCCCAACGCCTGGCGACCTGAAGAAAAAACGCAAAAGGGCGCTGAATGGTGACCTTGCGACCACGCCGGAACTAGGGCCTACCAATTTCGACAGTGTACCATCGCCTCAACCGCCGCTACCAGGCAGCTATGTTGGGACACGCGTGGGATCATCAACGCGAAGAAAGGTGTCACGAGAAGCGAACAATCTTGCGCAGCCTTCGCCCACATTTGGTCGTGGCCGGTCTGTGCAATTCCAGCCGGGTTCTGGCTCGCCTTCGCTGGTGGCGAGTGCACCTCCACATGCCGGCACAGCTGCAAACCACTCACATTCACAGTCAATGTCATCGCAACGAGAAAGATTTCCCGAGCCATTGAAAGGGGTAGCAGTGCATGTCATTCATGTCAAGGATACGTTGATGGACGGTCCAAGTCCGGGAGACATCATTCTGGGACAACTGCGTGCGCAGGGTGAGGACGCTGGGTTGGGCGTCAGCTTCGACGTCACGCATTACGGAGACAGCATATGGCTTTGAAGTGCGCCTCGCTAACGTTGGGCGAAGGATGTGTGTGTGGCGATGTCCAGCCTCATACCTTTGCTCGGCTGTTGCGAGAATTGTTGTCGGTTGATGTGCACGCAAAAGGCTGTGCCCTGTACTTATGAGATGTCACTTTATGTCATTGGGTCATGATCAGTTTGTGGGAGGTATCTTCGCCCAAGTCAATTTAGCGCGTGATAGTGGGTGGCCAGCAATAGTACACATGCCATCTGTATGCTATGCTCTTGAGCCTTGTCCCTGCGAGGTCATGCTGGACAGACATCAATGCTCGTATGGTCAGCCACGAGCGGCCCATTGTTTTATCCGTGGACACCTCACACAAACCTCGACAAAGGTCGACCGTGGATCCCCACACAATGAAAAGCATTATCCGTCGATGATGGCCGAAAGTTTCTTTGTTGCTTGTGAGCAACTGCCTTGAGCAACCGATTTTCTAGAAGTCGAGCCAGCGCAGACGAAGATCAGCCGCAGCCTCGGTGGCAACGCGCCGCATCGTCTCGGAGTCGAGGCAGCCAGGGTGATCTTCATGAATGAAAATGGTCCTGTATGCTATGGGCACTTTGTACGTGGTAGCAAATAGCTTAGGTGGTCTCGTCCGTCGTGCTTGGCTCTCTCGCAGTGCCAATAGCGATCTGCGTATCGAACGATGTCGATGTAGCCGTATGCTGCATACGAGGTACATTCAGAGGAACAACCCCCCCCCAATATCGTCCTTTCCTCCCACACCATTCTGTGTGCCGTTTCAACTCACGTGGCGCCGCATCTTCGCCTTGTTTCGTGGATTCACTGCCTCCCAAAGTTGGCTGGTCCACCACACTGCCTCACCTGTGAAGCGACAATTCTTTACACGCAGTCACCGAACTGCCCCGTCTCGCGTCCCACTGCTCTCTGCCTTGGCGAGTCTCTCATGGGTATAAGTATTTCCCTTCTCCCCGAATTCTTCTTTCTCTTCTTTTCTTTTTCCTTCTCCATGGATCAACGCCGAGCGAGGTAAGTTCGTAGACTGAGGCGCCTTCTCCGGGATGGCAGATGTCTGTGGTGTGCCCATCCACCCAGCGCTGTTGTCTTTTCGGCTCGGAGGGGCGGGATGGTTGGAGTGCCACTGGATGAGGAAATCCCCTGTGGATCCGATTTTGTTTTTCCCATGGCCGGGTCCTCAGTTGCTTGTGGTCGTTGTGGTGGTATGTATCTTGCTGCTGACATGTCACAGACTGAATCTTTTCATCACTGTGCAAGCTTTATGCTTGACCTTGGAGAAGAGTAAGACTCGTGGTGTAGAATTCGTAGCATCGTGTAGAGGTGCGATGGTCAATGATCGGGTGGTTGCGAGAGAATTGGTCGGAGTGGCATGGTTTGGTGTCGGTGCCAGCAGCACCGCAATCGCCTGTGCAGTTGCCTCCTTCTCTGCGCGCAATGGATGCTGACTTTTGCATCCCAACCCTGCCGCAGCCAAACGCGAGATATTCCAGAATGCATTTCCTCCGCAACACGTTAAAGAGCAATTGCAGCATGCAAACGTCGCAATCTCAGCTAAACTCCGGGTTGACTGCAAGGAGCATCTCTGGCACATGTGAGGAAGTCATAACACTCATGGACTGGGAAAGCATTGTGGATTACAGGTCTTGCAGACAATCCTCCTCAACCAAGCAAGCACCACAGGCCCCCAGCTAGCCAAAACACTGATCGAGCAGCATGTAGTAGGGCAGCTCTCTCACCTATTGCAGCATCCACACCTTGCCCAGCACCTCGCCACGTAACAACTGCGTCGACTACTGGCGTCAACCAACCAGTCGTGATGACAATACCTAGGCATCGCTGGACCGTCACCTTGTCGGAAGTAGAGTGTGCTCCATACTGCCAATACCATGTGAGGGTCAGGACAGTCAAGCCGACAACAAGATTGCGGATACCGCTGTATGCCAGGTGCCGCGATACATTTTCTGCGTCTGAGGTCACATCATCGGTCTTCTTCGATTTGACGCTGACCCGTGGAGGTTGCACTCCGTATATTTGCGCAGCAGAGACTGGTGCTATGAAGCTGTATACCCCTACGATGAGCCCTCCCAAACCGATCAAGGTGGTAAGAATGGGAAGAGCTGAATACATCGTGTGGTGCTTTAGTCGCCATGAGACCACGGACACAGGTATCGCGACGTTTAATGTGGGCTTACGAAGTCCTAGTCATATCGAGAAGCAGTGACCTCTGGACATTGACAGATAGCGTTTGTGGGCACGGCAGTCAGAGATCCATATACTGGAGTCGTCTTAAGATGCCGTAACGATGTTGTTGGTTTTTGATGGCGCAATCGACATAGAAGCTACGCTTTCCCCCTTTCGACAACTTCATAACCTTACTTCGGCTACGAAGGCACAACCGACGGTCTTCTGCGTCTTGCATTCGACTTTTTGTAACAGGATCTTTAGCAAAGCTTGCCGCCGAGAAGAATACACCTTGTATAACATTGAACCAGGCTGTCAATACCAAAACCATGTCTGACACCCACGGCCATTCTCATGATGATCACGACCATGATCACGACCATGATCATGACCACTCCCACGGCCACACACACTCAGGCCCAGCCCATCTCTTTCAAGCAACCTCGTCAAGCGAACAGCCTCCTGACGACTGGCGAGAAAGTGGTGTGCGTGTTATTCCCGGCGACAGTCTCGATGGCAATACGGCTCAGACTCCAGGTATGAACCGAGCGGCAGCCGTAAACATGGCACGGGTTGGCGCTCAAAGGCTCTGGGCCGGTACTGTGAAGATTTACGCCAATGCGAAGACAGGCGCTCATCATCACGGCCACCTCGAAAGTGTGATCTACGTGGTCAAAGGCAAGGCAAGGATGCGATGGGGAGATCGACTTCAATTTACGGCGGAGGCTGGGCCGGGAGACTTCATCTATGTGCCTCCGTATGTGCCGCATCAGGAGATCAATGCGATGAAGGACGAGGATTTGGAATGTGTGCTTATGAGGAGTGACGGGGAGGCCATCGCGGTGAATCTGCCTGATGTTGTGCCTGTTGAAGACCCCGAGGGAGTCAAATGGATTGATCCTACACATCCGACCGGAGGAGTGTGATCACAATTACGTTATTCGTCATTTGCATATATTGAGACATAAAATGCATTATCATGGCGCACGTGCTTTGTCTCTTTCAAAGCTACGCTGGCCTCAGCTTCCAGGTTGCTTCTCTTTGTCGAGCTCATCCTCCTGCCTTTTGGGTTGTTGGTCATCTTTTGGAAGATTCTTCAGACATGGTGCATAGAACAACTTGCCGGACCGAGCTCCCTTGGCCGTTCCTACAGCCACAACGCACCAGAGAATCACCACAGCCACGCTGAATATTGTGCCCAGAACCTTGAAGAACATACTCGGCATCTCGACGCCGAATGTGATCGTGCTAATTGCATATACGCCCAGCGGAAACGTGAAACCCCACCAACCCATATTGAACGGGAAATCGCGCGTCGAATATATCGTTGCAAGGGCAAAGACGAACCAGCACAGACCGAAACCCCACATGATCAAGGCAATGAAGACGCCCATAACATAGACCACGTCGCCTGCGACGGTGAGATTGTGGAAGAATTCGACCCGCGGAAAGACCTCGCGTGATACCTTGCCCAGGTACATGATGGTGTAACCGCCCATACCAAGAGGGCCAAGAGGCAGAAATGAGCTGACCACGATCTCGCGAGGCGGGAGCTTGTGCAGTGCCAGGCGTTGGTAGTATATCACCAGTATGGTCATTGCAAGAGGTGTGGCCATACCCCACATCACGTAGGATGTGATCAAGGTGCCGAGGGCGTGCGCTGGGTTGGTTATAAGCTCAGCGACTTCGGCCCCTAGTACATCGCGGCGTTAGTATGCGAGTAGACGCAAGAAGCAAGGTGATTTTCTTACCAGCACCCGCTGCCACAATCGTAGCTGCAATAGGCAGTAGCTGTGCGGCGGTGATCCGGTCCAGGGAGTGCTGATGGTTCTGGGACATCAGAAGGAACGGCAAGGACACCGTCACCGCCGCCGCGACAACAGCGTCGATCATCCAGCACACCCACGCAAAGGTGACGGACCAGTATCCCCAGTATGGACAGCACAGGAAGATCCAGCTTTCAACAAGTGTTGCAAAGCCCATGGGTATCGTGCCGAGAAATAAAGAGTTCGTCGGGTCCGCGATCATGACCGCCCATATCTCAGGGTACAAGGTATATCGTAGGACGGACGTGCTGAATGCGAGTGTAAACAGGATGGTGTTGAGGCCAAAGAATATAACTGATAGCCAATACAGCCAGTCCGCCTGGAATGGGATAGTGATCAAGAGGAGTGAGACGATGCCCGTGCCCATCGTCACGGAGAACCATGAGGGCGAGAAATTGCGGACAACGCGCCGCCAGCCGTGCTCGTACTTTGACGTCGCTGCTGGGGAGGAGGGTTTCTCGATGAATGTTTCCTCGGCGCCGGCGGGGTTGGATGCGGATACCACTCTTGTCGAAGAGCGTGAACGTAAACGGTCGAAGTCGCCACGTGATATTGTATGACTGGCTGGCATCGTCATGGCGGGATTGTTGGAGGCGAGGCGCTGCATCTCGCGGTCGTCTTCGTCGTCGGTAGCCGCCATGTTGATGAAGGACTGTAAGGTTGGTCCTATTTGTCGCTCATACAGACTCCGCTGTGATGTGATTGTGTATGCCAGACCTCACCCTCACAATTGCCTTGGAATGAGTTGCTGTATGGCTAAACGTGGAAATCGAAATCGTAGGTTAATGTCTTGTGGTGTTCAGGTGGTCTTTGACCTGAAGATGACGTCTAGCAATACAAAATTGCCAGGCGAAGTGACCCGCCCGGAGAGAAATGTAGCGGCCATCTGCCCGGCTAAAGGGGCAAAAATTGATAGCCGTTGGAAATACCACTACCATGGCAATATCCGGGGAAAATAAGGCTCAATTCTGACCATTGATAGGGGCCGCTTTAACTGGCACCATGGGGCTCTTTCGCTCGCGTCAGTTTCCTGACCTGTAACTGCGCAACCTCCGTAGCTGTTCTTTAGTGGCCACGTTTACCCATCTCCAATTCAACGCGAAGACCACAGTTCAAGGTGTTAAAGCTACCTCCATTCGACGCGTTTTGAACGATCCTGTACGCTTCCAACAATACGCTGAACTTCGCATCGTCAATGTCTCTGTACGAAGTCTGGCAAGCAGCTGCAAGCAGCCCCTTCCAGCCCACGGTTGGGAAGGACAGCCAGCTTATCCTTGGACTGAGTCTGTTGCTCATTGGTATGGACTTCTTGAAAAGCTCTCCGACAATACACTGACTCTAGCAGGATTTGTGCTTACTGGTCTCTTCGGGCTCAGTATGATCATTTCTAACCCAGACTTACTTCCACGCTGACACGTTCTAGATCGATCTGCTCTCTCTGTACCTCTCTTCGGGATCCCTGCCTCGCTAGCATTCGGGTATGTGTCAGGGGAAACCGTGAGCTAGACGGGTGTTGACAAGTCTCCAGGTTCGGTGCTGTCTTCGCAATCTGCGGCTTCGGTGTATACGTCTGAGATCTGCTCGCGATCAGACAGCTCAATTCAAGAGCGGCCACACTCCATGGCCGGCGCTCCCGTTTTTACAGCCATTTCCACCTCGGCGAAGCAGCTCCACACCCTCCTGAAGTGCATTGCGTTTTCCCAGCGAGCCGAAGTCCAGATCACTCAGTCGGGCATCAGGTTTTCGGTCGAAGAAGCCCGCGTTGTTCAGGGCCTCACTTTCCTCGATAAAGCATTGTTCTCGACGTACAGTCTGAACCTCAATGACGACGAGCACTCCTTACGTCCCTTCTCAATCTCCATCGTCGCCCTTCTGGAGACACTGCAGATCTTCGGTATAGGAGACACGAGCTCATCTTCTCGCAACCCTTATGGAGGTATTTCCTCCTCATATGGCAATGCTTTTAGTGCGCCTGCTCTAGCATTGGGAGGGACATGCCGCATCTCCTACCAAGAAGTTGGTGCGCCTCTTACAATCACGATTCAGGAAGGTTCGGTTACAACGACATGCGAGATGAATACGTATGAGGCACATGAACAATATGAAGACGACGGCGGCATACCTTTGGACCGCGACTCATTGTGCTTGAAAGCTATCATGCAAAGTACTTGGTTGCATGATGCCATCACAGAGCTCTCCGGCACGAATCCAACTGTCCTCGTACTTAATGCATCGAGCCGCTCTGCACCATACTTTGCCCTTGAGGGCGAAGGTGGCCCTTTCGGAGACAGCACTGTCGACTTTCTGCCCGAGTCAAAGAACGAACCGACACCGACTGGCACAAAAGGGAAGAAACAGCCGCTCATTACAGAGACGTTCTCTGTGGCAGCACCATCGGAGGGTCATAGCAGGACCAGACAGAGATACAAGTTCGAGATGATCAAGAAGGCTGGGAGAGCCATGGCCCTTGGGAGCAAAGTGAGCATTCGTCAGGACCAACAGGGCGTCCTCAGTCTTCAATTCATGATCGACTTGGGCGACGGTGCAAATTCTGGACCTCGACGGGACGAAAAGACTGGCGCTGCTCCACCATCACCTGGTAGTGTTGCTTTTGTCGACTTTCGCTTCGTGCCGCTAGTTGGCGACGAAGAGGATGCAGAGACTGAAACGGAATCTGACTCCAACCCTGATGGCCCTGAGGAGATGTAGTGAATGAAGCACATGCGTAGATTGCCGATCCCTCACAATACTGTTCATCTGGTCTTCCTACCTCATGATCTCCATTTGCTCACATCCCTTTCTGTAGTCCTCATCACGAATGATAGTGTCACACGATAATCTCCGAGTCGGTTGCGCAAGGTCCAGCTCAGCCTCTTGGGACCAGGACGGGCAGTTCTATAGGAGCGTAGCTTGTGTTCACAGATATAGACGATTTCTTGTTATGTTCATTTTGTGCAGCCATTCAATATTTCCACGGACCTCCACGATCTAGCTGACTAAAAGGAAAGCAAGCAGAAGGTTATGGGGTAAGTAGGCGACTTGGAATGATTCCTCTTCCCTCTGCTTTCCCCTCCAGCAACCATTTCACCGCTGAGAAGCGGCGTCATTGACGGAGTGAATACAGAGGATTCAGTTTTGAAGAAGAGAAAAGAAAGAAGGGAAAGATTGATCGAGCAATTTTGATGTTTTTCACCCACGAATCTTCCCCGAAGTCTGTTCAATATGATTGGCTGAATTGCGTCACCGGGCTATTCAGTGCAGCCTGCGCTTCGCTTCTTCAACACCCAGAACTTGGACTCATGGTGGTCGTATGAGTAAGACTGATATGCGCAGTTGAAAGCCACAGAGTACCACGAGCAATGTTGGACTTCTCAGGGCTCTACCCTCTCAAGGTGAGATCTTATCATCGCTGTTTCGACCTTTCCGCTAACTCGAGTGTGAATCAAAGGGTATCTGGTACTTTGTGACCCATCCATATTTCTATCCTCTTTTTCGAGCTCGAATGATCCCGATTCTACTACTCTCAATCTTCGTATATGCGAACCTTTTCATATGGACATATCTGCCTCAGGTCGCATTCCTTGCCATATTCCACCTCGCCGGAGCATGGGTGAATGCCACTTTCCTTGTCTTAGGCGAAGGAGCTGCAATTGTTGCCCTATTGTTCGAGGCCTTCTTTGTGGATGAGGCATTAGTCGATACCTTTGATGCAGTCCTCATTGATCAAGGCTTCGCCGACTTGGTCAAGGAAGCACGCGCGCTTGATCAAGACGCCCAGAACTCTGTACAGATGCTCGGTAAACCCACGACATCTTCTCTCTACAGTCCTTTCAGCTTTCGCCAGATCATCGAGTTTGTCATCCTTCTACCACTTAACCTAATCCCGATCGTTGGAGTCCCAATCTTTCTCATCCTTACCGGCTGGCGTGCTGGCCCTTTCCACCACTGGCGGTACTTCAAACTACTTGGTCTGTCGAAGAAGGAACGCAAGGAATACGTCAGGAACAGGCAGCTGAAGTACACCTGGTTTGGAATCGTTGCACTGGCATTGCAGCTGGTTCCTGTCCTAAGCATGCTCTTTTTGCTTACATCGGCTGCCGGCAGCGCCTTGTGGGCGGTGCAAATGGAGAAGGCTCGCAGATCTCGCGAACGCCCTGCTACGGCACCAGGCGAACTGTATCACGACGACCCGGCCTAACACTGCAGGCCTCTTACATCCCCTACTACTTCGAGTTTCTGGCATGCTTTTCGACAGCATCAGCGACTTCTTCCAAGCTCTTCACGACTACCGTGGGTTCCAGGCCCAGCTGGTCCTGCCAACCACTGCCTGCTCGATCCACCCAGGCTGCTTGCATCCCCATCGCTCTAGCTCCGACGACGTCGAATGGATTGCCCGACACAAGCCACATGGCGCTCATCTGACCAGTCTTTCCGACCTTTTCTGCCAGGTGCTTGTAAACTTCAGGTGCAGGTTTGAAAGTTCGGACATCGTCGACTGTGATAATATCCTTAAAGACCGAAGAACTGAGTTCTTCGGAGCCATTAACTGAAGAGGAGACCATTTCTGAAGTCCCGTTGGAGAAGACGACACACTCGATGTTGGAGTTGTCCTTCAATCGCTCTAAAGCCGGATTGACATCGGGAAATGTGGACAAGGAGTCATAAGACTTCATCAGGTTTTTGGTGTCTGTCTCATTGAGACTAAGACCATGTTCTCCAAGCGCATGATGCAGAGATTTGCGAGTCACTTCCGAGAAGTCTTCGTACTGTTCTGTGTCACATCAACGGAATGTCTCATACTCGAACAGGCCAGGCCAGACTCACTCATGCAAACCAATCTCCAGGTGTATTCTAGCTGATATCTCCTCCATACCGTAGCGATTGACTCAGCCTCCTCCTGTCCAAAGTGCGAAGCTAATTCCTTTGCGATACTTCCTGTGGAGAGCAGAGTACCGTAGAGGTCAAAGGCGACCACAATCTTGCTCATTTTGCTTATTTTACTGGCAGCGCTGCAACTATAGCTTGGAGATTCTGAAGTCGCTCAAATTCGTCGGTAATTCGCTTTGTTATGAAGTGGAGGCTTATTACAAATTCTAAGGTTGCTGCGTAGTGGCCCTCGGTATGTAATTGATGATCTCGTCATACCTTCCGACGCCAATATCTATGATACAACATCCCTCCCTTGTGCCTGAATAAACACTGTCCATATCCGCAACATCAGTCCCGATGGTCGTTACTGACAATGTTAATTTTGACACGTTCCGGGACTGTCTATTCTCTGCTATTGTCGAAAATCCTACAGGAGGTGGCCGAAAAAGGTCCAAACGAGCTTCGGTAGGAAGGAAAGGCGCCACCGTACAGCAACAGGCCACCACGGAGGCAAATCCCTCTGAGCTTGCTGACTTTTCCGACTATCTAGCAGCTGAGATCTTTGCTAGCTTTCCAGGAGAGCTACAAGAACTGTCGTACCATGCTCTCCAAGACGACGCTGCATTGGGCGAGAAATGGTCACTCCCCTTGACGCTCTCGGTGTTCGAGGATGTGTCTGCGCACATTCCTGGCGACATTACCGATTCGTTGACAGCATATGGGCTCATCGAACCACCAAGATCAGATGTTCAGTCTTTCATTGCACCCGTGCTGTCTGCATACGTGGGAGCTGCAACAACACCACCACCCAAATGGATTGAGACAAAGACCAACGCTTGCGAGATCTGCGAGAGAGACTGGGTGCCGATGACTTACCACCATCTGATACCTAGAGCGGTGCATACCAGGGTCATGAAGCGAGGCTGGCATGAAGAACATCAGCTAAACAGTGTTGCTTGGCTTTGTCGTGCTTGTCACAGCTTCGTCCATCGGATGGCATCAAACGAGGAACTGGCCCGTGAATGGTATACTGTCGAGAAGATCTGTGAGAGAGAAGATGTTCAGAAATGGGCACAATGGGTTCAACGCGTGCGGTGGAAGAAAACTTAGACATTGGGGCATGGCATGGTTGCGCTTGCAATGAGACTGCTTCAGTCAATCCTCTTTGTCTGCCAACGATCCAGTGCTCGGTCTTGCGGACGATCGATCTGAGACACTCATTGTTCCTGCTGTCGACTTGCAAACACCTGGACCTGCTCTTCACCTCACGCAGTCGTGCCGATATGGTTGTGTCCTGGTCAGGGGAGTTGAGCAAGACTCAACGATGTCTTAAAGCTGTGATGCAGACAATGCAACGACGGGCGTTTACACTGCAAAATCGTCCACATGGCTCTCAAGCCCGGTCTGGCTTCGCGGCAGAACCACAGCTAGGCGCGGAGCAGTCTGATACTGCCTCACCTTCATACACACCGCGAGCAGCCAAGCCGCGCTCTTATATGAGGCAGGTGTGATCGCACAATATGTCGAAGATGCTGCAGGCCATTTCCATCCTTCGTTGCTGCTCATCTTCATTCGAAATCTGCTCTATCGAAAGTTGAACAATATCGCACTGTTCTACACCATACTCATCCTTCAAAAGATATCTCCTCACAATGGCATCCTCCACCAATCGGGATGTCCGTCACCTACGAGATGAGGCCGTTGACGCCGCCCTCCACAATCTCATGAACGAAAACACGGCAGCGATTGACCCAGCGGTCATTGCATATAGAGTCGGAGTGACCACCCTCGTGCGTCAACTCAATGAGGTCGGTGTCACCAATGAAGACCTCCGAGGGCAATTCGAAGACGAGATAGATCGTCGTGTCGAGGGCGCAATGAACAACGCTGGACAATTTACGATGACACAACTGGAGAATCTGCGCTTGCTTGTGTCGTCCTTCAAGACCGAAAGCAGCCTGTACGACGTTGTTTGGCGAGAGGAACTTCAGGGCAACCACATGGATGTTGCTCAAAGCCGACCAGGAGGCCAGCCAGCCAGACGGCATCAGGACGCAGATGCTGAGATGCAGGATAACGACAACATCTGGTGGGAGGAGGACGGTGGCACCAACAGGGACTTTGATGACCATGTCGAAGGGGAAGACAACAGCAACGAGGGGGATGATGAGGGCACTGACGGTGATGTGGAGGAATATGGCAACGGCGACCAGGAGGACAATGACTGCATCATGTTCGGCATGTACAGTGGTGACGCAGACTTCAAGCACCGATACGTGTGCCTCCTGTGCCCCAACCACGGTGGTACACAACACAAGAGCTCATTGGTACGGCATCTCCGGGCGAATCATGGCATCAGAAACGTACATTCAGTACTCGATGGGCTGCACAGCGGTCGGTCAAATGCTACAACATGAACCTAAATGAAGGAAGAAAAGCAAGAGAAGGAGGAGTTCATAGACCTGCCATTAAGGCCGCACGAGGCAGGTGCAATGCATGATCCTCAACATTGAGCTATCTGAACGAGTGATCACTGCAAGGAGTTGCTCAAGGCATCCTCGGGTTTTACCCACTGACTACAAACGGGCAAGCCCGACATTCTCACCAGGAGCGTGGTAAGCTGGGATCTTCATGTCCAAGGCAGCTCCACTGTAACCCAGATCCTCTGCAGAGAGAACAGCGCACTTCTCGCCAATGAGCAGGGCAGTCTGTAGATGTATTAGTATGATATTGGGGAAAGGGTAATGCAAAACATACCGAGAAAGTGTTGCAGCCAACATTATCAGGGCAGATACTGAGATCAGACACCTTCAATTTCTTGACGCCGTGGACATTCAGTCGCTCATCCAGGACACCATGCTTGACAATGCTGTTACCCTCCTTGGGAGCCATGCTACAAGTTCCAAGAGAGTGCCAGGTAGTCTCGACGTGGCGCTGGACCCATTTCTCAATGTGCTCAACTAGACAGATATTAGTAGAGTACTTGATCAGATGCTTTGGGGGCAAACTTACCATCTTGCTTGGTGTACTTGAGCTTGTCGAAGCGGAATTCCTGGGCATTGGAGTTGAGCCAGTTGACCGAGGGTGTCTTGCCCTTTTCGAGAGGCGCCGTCCAGCTGCCGTGTTGGATGTTGGCAGTGAGGTGGTTGGGGCCAGCGTAGGCATTGCGAGTGGCTATGTCCATGTCCTGTGCACGGGCAGGCGAGTTGTAGGCGAAGTGAGGATGCATCGACGTGACCTCACCAGCATAGGCTCGCATGCGACGGGCAGTCTCACGGGACTGAATGTAACTCCAGACCATGGGAGCCATGTCTCGCTTGTCGTTCATGAATCCAGCATCAAAGTCAGGAGCCTCATATGGGTCTGGGGAGACGATGTGGGTCTCGCCACGGGAGAATGGATACTCCAAGAAGTGGAACATGGTGAAAAACTTCCCGGCGGGCATGTCCAAGTGGTCGCCAAACCATCCAGCAATGACACTGTAGTGCATGACAGGCTTGTCTGGCTTGTCCTTGAAGTAGCTGTCCCAGCCGCTTGGGCTGAAGTCTGGTGTAGGCCATGTCTTCATCTCCTCCAGCTCTTCTTGGGTGGGTCTGGACTTGACTCCGGCGTCAATGCCGTTGGTCGCCAGTGGTCCAGTGCCTTTGATGTTCCATTCGTCAAAGACGGCCTTCTGAACTTCTGGTACACCCCGAGCAAAGTCGTCAAATGAGTCGGTCTCGGGTGTGGCCCGGTATGTCGCGAAGGTAAGGTAGTGGTCCTGGAAGTTGAGACCGACACCAGGAAGGTCGACGATGGGCTTGACACCAACCTTCTTGAGCTTCGCTGGGTCACCAATACCAGATCGTTGCAGCACAAGGGGCGAGCTCAGAGTGCCACAGCTGACAATGATCAGTTTCTTGGCCTTGAAAAGTCTTGAAGGAGGCGGGCCACTGCTGCCAATGGGCTTGGTTGGGATCGTGAGCACACCAGTTGCCACGCCATCCTCAATGATGACCTTGTCGACCTTGGTGTTGCATTGAAGGTGGAGGTTCTGGTACTTGGCACGAGTGGCATGAATGTAGGCAGAGGCGGCATCCGAGCGGCGACCGGTATCGCGATTGATCCATTTCAGCCAGTGCTCAGCACCATGGCCAGTAACCAAGTCTTGGAGATCATCGGTAACTGGGAAGCCCAAACTCTCAGCAGCTCGAAGGAAGTCCTGCATGATGGGGTATGTGTAGTTGCCGAATGAAACCTTGATTGGGCCTTCGAACCCATGGAGATCTCGATTGTTGCAAGCACGCTGGTATGTCTCATGCTTCCTCATCAAAGGGATCAGCTCCTTGGTGGTCCATCCTTTGGCTTGGAAGTCATCATAATCAGAGGCCGAGGCGCGAGTGTACCTGCAACTCGTCAGAAAGTTGTGTCGTTAAAGCCTGGTCAAACCAAAAGACTCGTGGATCAATGAGATAGACATTCGCAAAAGAGTACTTACATCATGAAATTGATCGAGCTACCTCCACCCAGGATGTGTGCACAAGGCACAACAGCTCGACGTCCATCAAGGTAGTCCGATGGACGTGAGTAATAGAACGTAGCTGTCTTAGAGTCCAATTTCATGTTCTTGGGGTAGATGCCAGGCCGGTACACCCATGGGTTATTGAGGTTGCTCTCGCCGGCCTCAATCAAGAGGACCTGGAGCTTGTGGTCCAGGTTGGCAAGACCTAAACGACATCAGTTCTTGCTTGTTACTAGGTAGCAGTGAGATGGCGCTCACGTCCAGCAGGAACACATCCTGAACTGCCACCACCACACACGATGATATCGACCTCGTCGGGGACTGTCATGTTGACTTTATGAAGGATCAAATGCAGACCAATGTAAAGGTATGCTTTGCTCGACCAGGAGCAGGCTGAGAGGATGGAACAAGGAGGCAACAGGGCAGGATCTCGTCTTATAAGCCTTCCAGGTGCAGTAAGACTCTCCGCCCCTCGGCGAAGTGGATGGAGGGGTTTGATGCACGACGCGTTTTCTCAGATGAGGAGGTCCCGGACTGTGTACTTCCCATCCCTGTAAGCTGATTATTTTACATGCAGCCTGAAAAAGGAGCTGATTGACTGAGATGCGGGGTTTGAACAACAAGATCGTAGGTATGGATCGCGTCTAGTGGACTATAACGGGACATCGACAGTAGATTGTAACATTGGCTGAAGGACATCGAGACGATGGGAAGTCTTTCGGGATACCGCGCTAGGCACGTATTCACACCACCAGTACTGGTCGAGATCAGCAAAGCAATCGCTGCTCACGAAGCTTGCGGGCCAACATCCAGTGGTACTCGCATCGTGGGAGTCGAACATCACATAAATCCCCTGGAGAAAGCTAGCTTCAGCGAGTCGTGGGGAGAAGCAGCTAGTTCGAGCGAGCATTGCATGTACTGGAATATAACCAGACTTTCCGGAGGCCTGAATTATGCACATGAAAGGCCAGGGTACTGTCTCGGCATGAGAAAGGAGAGACAGGTTGGCTCTGGAGATGGCTTCCTCGTCGTGTACGAACATGGTACGGTTCGACATTGACTGGATGGAGAGACGGGAGAGCACCTGTGCCTCAGTCAGTTGGCCAATAGCAGAGGCGGCTATGATGCCCCACTCTTCATAACGCGCGGTGGCAGCCAATGCGGGAAACGCGGGGGAAGCCCACTGGAGGATGAGCATTTGCGGCATATCCAGGTCGCGAAGTGAACGGCAAGCAGCTTGCATGAGATAGGTAGTGGTGATTAGTGATTGGGAGGAGAAACGCCTTGGGGATTGCGGGGAAAGCGAAATTTGGTGAGCTAACGTCTTTGCGGACCCGGCGTGGTACTCTGGAGTAAATGCTCAACCTATTGTAATACTGCTCATGTCAGATAAGTGTTCAAAGGTCCACAACGTACATTGGCTGCTCCTCACCTTTGCAGGCCAGCAAGGCGGTGCAGCTGGTGAGATATTTCTCCATACCTCCACTAGATGAGGGATCAACGCCCTCCCAAAGAACTCGTACCATGGTGACACCCCTGCAGAGGCAGTGCATAGGCTAGTTCACCTGGTAGAAGTCCCCCTCTCGAACAGGCACGACCGGTCGGTTCGGAATTCGAGATCGTTAGTGCCCGCCAACAGCCACATCTTCCGGACTTCGGTACGATCGTAGACTTCGTCCTGTTCTTCAACCCTTTTCGAAGCTTGAGATCGAGTTCTCCAAAGGAACACCAACACCAAGCAGATAGCTTGGAATCAGATGATGATGTAACGTCTTCTGAAAGACATAGCAAGTCCATGCCTCATCCGAGGTGCCGTGGTAGCGTGTGATCCAGCAAGCCATGCTCGCATATGTGGAGTGCCTCGCCCGTTCTTAACCCGACGACGGCCATTCTCCGCATCTGATTCAAGCCTCTGCATATTTATGCAGATCCTCTCGACCTAAAATCCTTGCTTCATTCTGCACGAATAACGAATTTTCGTGCCGGGCCTGGAAACTCACTGCGCGGCTTGTTGGCGCTGCCGGTCATAAATCAACTGCCGGAGCTCTTGCGTTGCGACCTGAATTTCAAGGATTTGGCCGAGACCTCGCTTCCAGCTCTCTTCCAGTCCGAGAAGTTCCGCCTTGTGTTGTTCCTGAGCAAGTTTTCGAGCTTTGTTGATATCGTCAGTCTCAGTTTTGACCCTGGCGAGCTCGCTTTCCATATCCTGTAGTACTTGCTCGACCTGCGAATTACCGACGAGCCAGACATTTTTGCCGAACTCATCTAAGAGCTCCAGATTCGTCTGTCTGTTTTCAAGGAACGTGCTCGCAACGTATGATTTCCGTAGTATTTGTTTGTATGCTTCGATGGTGCTTTCACCGGCCGGTTCGTCGGGCGCCTCGTAGCGCGTCGGGTCAATTCCACCGGCATCGCGTTTACCCGGTGTAGCCAGGTCGAGCTTTTGGAGGATTTCTTCGGATGAATTGACTTTAGGAGATGAGGAGATGGAGGGATGTGCTGTAGTGAGATAGTCTGAGGGTAGTCGCTGGTTGATTAGGGCTCTGGCTCGATCCTTTTCAGTATCGGTGGGGTCTGTGTCGATGTCTGCAGCACCGAGTCAGCGATCGCGTGCGCCGGCGTGTCATATATTACTCACAAGGCAAAGAGTCATGAGACTCTAGGATCAAAGGCATTGTGTCCGTCTGTGCGCATCAATATCTTCTCTGGATTGTCGTCGTCGCGGTCTGCCGCGAGAGACTCCAAAGTCGAAATCCAAAAAAACTCGTCGAAGGCCTGCAAGTGTCAAAAAGGGAAGGTATGACGACACATGTCCCTGCTCGTCTGGTGCGTCACCATCTGAGTAAGGCAGATGCGTTTCACGCGTGCACTTCAAGTCCTTTGCTGGTCAAGGGCGATGCCTGTATTCTGAATTGTTGCTGCTTATGTTTATCTGCTTATACGTCTGTCTTGAGCGTGCTTGAGATGATGGTCGCCTCCGAAATCACCCTTCCCACCCGATAGCATACCAGGGTACAACACAAGGCTCCAATCGTAACCCGTGAAGGACTACACGGTCAAGCAGCACTAGAAAATGGCACGGCTTTCCTTCGCCCCTGTTCTATTCACCTTATGTCTTACCATCCTCACCGCTTCATTCTTTTTCCATTTTGCCGTTGTCAGCCCTGGTATCAATGTGCCTTTGATTCCAGGCAGGAGGGTTCTGCATGAGCAGGGTCCGCTTGCTGGACCCGGGGATGGCGAGTACATTCTCGGGGTGGGAAAGGCGGATATTACAGGGTGAGCTGATCGTATGGCTTTCGAAAGCTCAAGTACTGATTCCTTCAGGCCGGTTGTCGAGATCAATTTGATGGGTTATGCCGATACCGATCAATCCGGAAGTGGCCTTCGACAGCGACTTTATACCCGAGCCTTTGTTGTCGGGAGCCTGCAAAGGACAGCCTCTCGTATCGTCTACCTTGTCCTCGATACCCAGTCCGGTGATACCGCAGTCCGTCATGGAATACTGGAAGAACTCAAGAAGTTGGGGCCTGAGTACGACCTGTATAATAAGGACAATATTGCTGTCACAGGCACGCATAGTCACAGCGGTCCAGGTGCCTGGCTAAACTACCTCTTACCACAAATCACGAGTAAGGGGTTTGACAAGAAGAGCTACGAGGCAATCGTCAGTGGCTCTGTACTTGCGATTCAACGAGCACATGCCAGTCTCGTTCCAGGTCATCTGAGTCTGGGTACGCAAAAGATCGCGGATGCCAACATCAATCGGAGCCCTTATGCCTATCTGAAAAATAATGAGCAGGAGCGGGGTCAATATGCAGAAGATGTCGACAAGACAATGACTGTGCTGAAATTTGAAAGAGCATCTGACGGCCTGCCAATGGGCATCTTGTCTTGGTTCCCAGTTCATGGCACTTCGCTATATCAAAACAACACCCTGATCACAGGTGATAACAAGGGGGTAGCGGCATATCTCCTCGAGGAATATATGAGAAAAAAGAATCCTGAATTCGTTGCTGGTTTCTCCCAAGCCAATGTTGGAGACACGTCTCCCAACACCTTCGGTGCCTTCTGTGCTGACACAGGCATGCAATGTTCTTTCAACGACAGTACTTGTGGCGGTCGAACTCAACCATGCCACGGCCGCGGACCCATGTTTAGACATCTAGACCAGGGGACAAAATCCTGCTTCGATATAGGCAGTCGTCAAATGGCTGCCGCCAGGGACATCTTACATAGTGACAATCTGGAACGGATCTCGGCATCCACGGTATCCTTCTTCCACACCTATGCGAATTTTTCGTCATTCTCCTTCACTTCGCCTTTCAATCAATCACGAAAACTCAAGACCTGCTCCGCTGCACTGGGTCACGGCTTTGCAGGGGGTACGACCGACGGTCCTGGTGCATTCGATTTCTCTCAGGGCACCAACGATACAGGCGATTCACCGTCACTCAAGAACCCCCTTTGGAGGTTTGCCCGTAATTTCCTGCACGAGCCGACTGACGAGCAAATCGCCTGCCAAAGCCCGAAGCCCATACTTTTAGATGTCGGACACGCAAATAGCCCGTATGCATGGACTCCGAACATTGTCGATATCCAACTATTGCGGATTGGTCGTCTCGTCATGATTATATCTCCAGGCGAGGCCACCACTATGTCCGGACGACGCTGGCAGAATGCTCTGGCGGAGGCCGCTCCTTCTGTACTAGCCATTGATGAGCCGCATGTGGTTCTCGGCGGCCCTGCAAATACCTATGCACATTACATTGCGACCGAGGAAGAATACGGTGTGCAGAGGTATGAGGGTGCGAGCACACTGTATGGCCCACATACCTTGGAAGCCTACATCAACCTCACCCTGACTTACCTGCCCTACTTGGGCTCCGAGAAGGAGACGTCACATCTACGTCGGCTTCCACCTGGGCCAAGTCCTCCGATCAATGTCAATGCCTCACTTTCATTCATTAATCCGGTGATAATTGATCGTGCTGGGTTCCTGCGGAAATTCGGAGCCACCCTTTCCTCACCAGATCCTGCCGAACGATTTGCCCCCGGCTCGATTGTCAAAGCACGATTCGTGGGTGCGAATCCACGAAACAATTATCGCCCTGAAGGGACATTCGCTGCTGTGGAGAAATTCGACCACCTGACTGGGCAATGGATCCAGGTGCGGTCTGACCGCGATTGGTTTCTCGTGTATAAATGGGAACGCAAGAACACAGCACTTGCGACCAGCGAGGTCAGCATTGAGTGGGAGATAGAACCGGGAACAGAATCGGGAATGTATCGATTGAAGTATTACGGAGATGCGAAGGCTCTCGGCGGGAAAATCTCTGCAATTGAGGGAACCAGCGGTATCTTCAATGTCGCTGGCGACGCTGATGGAACGACATTTTGGGATGAACTTATTCGATTTTGAAGAATGATACCCCTGATTGCGCGGCTAAGTTGAATGTATCATGAGTGACCAACCCTTTTGTTGTTGAAGAGGCTTATGATATTCACCGCTCGCCGGTTGTCTTTTCCTTGTACTCGTACCATGCTCCATCCAGGGCTCGGTTGTTGAGGGTCAAGCACCTCATCTGGGGCCTTCCTGACCGTTCAATCCGTACATGCTTCTCACTCAACATCGTATGTACTGCGATAAGCACGCTGTTTCCACGAAGGACTGTGGTAAGCCAAGGGACCGGATTTCTCATCCAGGGATGGCGGCCAGGTCTCGAAATGAAGTTCTTTCAAGCGAAGTCCACTATCAGCGCCACCAACGTTTGACTGGAGCCCCGCTGTCACCCCTAGGGATCGTGTCCGTCCGTCATTTCGCTTATATGACGGTGTCAAACGGTCATGACAAAACTCCGAATTTCTAGAGATATTACTCACCCCTGGGCCAGGCTCACAGCCTCACACACAGTTGCAGGCCACGATAGGTGCCAAACAGCAAAGTGGCCGCCATCTTCCAGGATTCTCCACTCATGTTATCTTTTCACAGCGCCATGCCGTGATCCTCCCGCGTTCTAGCTTGGTGGAACAAGTGCATTCTTCAAGCCTTCGATGTCATCGTTCCTTTCTCCTCTGCGAGTCACGGTGATCCTTTGTATCTGAGACCTTGCGAATCGAAGATTTTGTGCCCTTGGCCAAACCCCGTTTAGAGGACTCGCCCTGGTCTCTTCTGGGCGGAGCATCGCAATTTGTCGCAGCTTGACTGGTTCTTAGACAGTCCACAACTATTGTCCATATTTCCCTGAGGTCATTATTGTTCCTGGCAACGATAACGAGTCTAGCTGCCCTGCTTCTGCGGGTAACATGGCAATTTCAATCATGTCTATTCCCCATACGACTCCATCTCACTGTTGATTTCATTTTTGAATTATGTGTCTATGTTAAACACAAAGTCTAACATGCTCTATACTGTTATACCTCCCAAAGTTTAAGCAGCTGCAAGATTCTATTCTCGGATTGCCACCGCGCATGGCCTGTCTCACTTGCTATAGGTAGACACAGCCTCTACAGCACTTCTCCCGAATGGCTTCAACCGCGCCCCAATTTTCCGAGGAAGGATATCCCACAATATCGACTATCGTGCCTGAGTCTGCCTCAAATCATACGCGACACCAAAGCCGTGATTATCACGACAATCGAAACATAGAAGAAAGCCCTACGGTTCCCGAAGAACCACTCCGACGCAATTCCGCCTTTTTCGAGGTTGGACTTGGTGGTGATGATGCGATTGTCGACGCGAAACTGAAAGGAACCTCAAGTCCGAAATCGCACGTCCGCTTTCGAAGCAAAGTTGACATCGTTGAGCCTGATCCAGTCGAGGAGTCGGACTCTTTCTCGCTGCACAGACCATCAAGCGAGCCGATGCCTTTCCTGTTTCCAACCCTTCCCAGACTTGTCTTCCTGGCATTTGTCCTTGTTCTCGTGATACCAAGTCTTCACACCTCTCCCTTGTCAAGAGCCGATGCCAACCCGGTTGGTCGAAGAGAGGCGGAAACTGAGGAGGTCGATCAACTGCCTGCAGCAAAGTTCAAGAGAGATGATAGCCCAACTACGGTTTGCAAGAGATGGGGCGCACAGAGCGCCCTTGTGAATGGTACATTATACTATTACGGTGGGCGGTCGACCACGTCGTCCAGCCAGACAACCGATGAGTGGAGTACGTGATCTTATCAGAAAGTTTGATTCCTCAACTGACATTGTGGGTGGTAGATAATGATTTTCTCGCCCTCAACCTGACAACCTCCTGGGAAATATCGTCGCCGACATTGACCGGATTGCCCATTCCGAGCGGACCACCAGCAGTCTCACTGGGCTATCTCTGGAACTCATACGACGCTCTATATCTTTATGGGGGCGAATTCTCCGATGCACCCGTCACATCGCCGGTTGCTTTCTCCACCTGGTCATACGACATTTCATCTTCTTCCTGGTCGGAATCATCAGACCCTCAAACAAGTTCAGGAACCAATTCAGAGTCTGGCGGTCAAGCCGTCCAACGAGCTGCTGAAGGCGCCGGTGTGTCTGTACCAAGCCTTGGTCGCGGATACTATTTTGGAGGCCATCTGGATGGCTACACGACCCCTGGGTGGTCGCAGTCAATTGCGCGTGTTTACTTGAGTGGCTTGCTGGAATACACGTTCCCTGGCTATACAAATGCCGCAATCACAGGCACAAGCACGGCTGGCTCGTCAGGATTGTATCGTAACATCACCGAAGGAGGAACACAGGACTCGGATGGGTTCCCCGAACGCGCAGATGGCGTCCTTGTCTATGTTCCCGGCTATGGCAAATCTGGAATAATTGTTGGACTTGCTGGAGGTACCAATGCCACTTTTACCCAGATGAACGTCATTGACGTCTACGACATCGATTCTTCGACTTGGTATAAGCAGGCAACTTCAGGTTCGACCCCGGAAATTCGGGTCAACCCTTGTGCTGTGGCGGTTTCCGCGGCTGATGGCTCGTCTACGCAGATCCACATGTATGGAGGCCAGAATCTGATCCCCTATGGCGATCAAACTCAGTATGATGACATGTGGATTCTGACAATTCCTTCTTTCATCTGGATCGAGGTGAACACATCCGATCAAGCGACCCCTGGCGGAAGAGCTGGGCATTCTTGCAACATCTGGAACGCCCAAATGGTTGTTGTGGGTGGATATGTCGGTGCAGACATATCATGCGACAGCCCAGGCATCTATGTTTTCAATACGAGCTCGCTTTCATGGCAGAACGACTATAATGCGTTGATAACGACCGATACTCTGAACAGGCAGAAGGCTCAACAGAAAGATGCCGCAGCACTTGAAGGCTCTTATGGATATTCGGTTCCAGCACAAGTCCAATCAGTCATTGGTGGTGATGCTTTGGGAGCGGCAACTGTCACTGCGCCAGCCGAATCAGCAACACAAGGACCTCTGGCAACGGGAAGCGCACTCACATATAGTGTCACATCGTCCGCGGGGTCGACGGCGACTGAAACTGCAAGTTCCAGTTCTAGCACCAGCGGAAGCACCTCTAGCAATAACGGAAATGGCAGTGATGACAAAGGCTCGTCGGGTGGTTCGAACATTGGAGCCATCGTTGCCGGCGTCATAGCTGGACTTCTCGCGGTTCTGGCGTCTTATCTGGGCTTCTGTGTTTGGCTGTACCGCAAGCAGCTACGGATCTATAAGAACCACATGGACATGGCACAGAGACAACATCTATCCGATGATCCCAGATATATTGGAGCCACTGGTGCCGTCCTTCCGGGATACAGTGACAAGAGTCAGACAGACAGCCGAAACAGCGGAGATAATCGAAGTGCAAATGGCAGTAACAGATCTGGACCGAGAGCCAACCCGTTGGCCACCAATAACCCATACAGAAATGTTCCTGGTGGTGCTGGAACAGCGACTGCAGCAAGCAGCACCGAAGACCTCATGGCAGGTCAAGAGCCCAGCTTCTTGGGAGTGGTATTGAATCCAAGACGCAGTTTGAGAGTTGTGAACAGGGACTGAGCACTTCGTTTTGGCGATAGCGGTCATGATGTTACGATTTCCTGTGCATTGATCATTTTTGGCAACAACAAGAGGTATATATACACGCATGGGTATTGTTTCTAGCCCGCTCATCTGTCTGGTACATCAAAAAAGCGATTGTCCATCCTTGAGCGCCATTTTGGATCTTCTTTTTCCCTTCTCCATATACCACTCAGCGCACGATGAGCTTTGGATATTGAAGAATTCCCTGATCCTGTCAAGCAACGATTGTACGTTTTGTTCTGCAGAAAGAACATAAGATATTCCTGAAATGTTATAAGGTTTGGATATCTGCTTTTTGTTCCGTCGTCTTCAGTTGACTGGTTGATCGTTCCTTCCATCAAAGAAATCTGATCAAATCCACGCATTTGTTGCAAAATGCGGTTCCCATCATACTTCTTGCCCTCTATGCTGCACACCATCCGCTTGCTGCATGAGTAGTCATACTTGATTGGCATCGATTTCTTCCTTCCAGCGGACAGTCTGCTCTCAACCTTACAATACACCAACACATCATGAAGCTTCCAATTACCACCGCGACCGCAAGCTCCAGTCTGCATCTTTCAGCATTGTGTTGCCACATGAACAAGCCCGCTGGTGGCTTTGAAACGTGTGCACTTACGAGATGGATCCCCGCCTGTGACGAACTTACCCTCACCCACTCCGAGACCTATCTCACCTTAGACGGATCCCGTCAATGACGATCACAAGCCGTGAAGCAGATTCATTGCCTTCCACACGAACTTCAATGGTGGATTATGTTGGAGAGCATTGTGCACAGAAAGAGCATGGAGAGCCGCATATCCTCTCTTGCTAGCGAATGAACATCTCGTGCTGCATTCGTCCTGAGCACAAGTCAGACAGGACTTACAATGGCCTTCCATTTGTGCCGCAACAAGTGAAGTCGTTAGAGGACGCTTGCTCTGCCGTCTCCTGGACAGACAGCCGTGAGCGCTGACTTGTTGCTCAGCGGTCGGTAATAGATCGAGGTATTCGCTGGCTTGAGGGGAGATGCAGGGTAGACGTCGACTTTATCCTGCTTACGATGTGAGAAAAGCTCGTCCATTGACCGTTCAGAGGGGATAAGTGTTGCCACGCCACTATCAAGCACAACGACGAAGGACTGTCATGAGACATCATAGCAGGAAGGAAGGTCCTAGCAAAATCTGGATGATAGTGGCCATGCAATCGCTGCTGCACATGAAGTCCTTACAAAGTGCTATGGTCAGTGGCCTTTCCACATGTCAAATTGGACCAATCGAGGCATGGACGGTTGGTATTGGATACGATGTTCCAGCCAGGTTTCGGGTGATCCTTTCGCGATTGCGCCTTTTGTTGGGCGATTTAGAGGATCCCATGTCAGAAGCGGTTTCCCCAGATCCATTACCTGAGCAGAGATTGATCCGGGGTCAAAGTCTGTCTGCGGTCCAAAGTCTCCTTGATCAAGTCCACCAAGCCAACGACTGTACAAACCTCATTCATTTATAAGGTTCGATGCGAGATTTCGATAACACTGTTTGGGACGGAATGCCGAGGCACCACAGGTCGCCGGTAGCCAAATCCACATCTGCCGCTGCTGATGCGGCCGAAATTCTCCTCCAAACTCGGTCAACCCACCAAGTGGCGGTCAAAAACCCTCAGACAGGGCTGCCCTCTACTGGGGGTTTCAACCCCACCAATTCGCTCACCTACCGGGACAATGAACGGCTGTCCCACCGCGATCTTTCCCGTCGCACAGTCAAAGCCCAAGAGCGCAAGATTGTCCATGCTGAAATGGGCCGCTAAGCAAAGTCATGTCTGCCTCTGACTCCTGAGTGGTCTGCACGGCATCTCTTCCGAACATTTGTGCTCGAGGGTCCGGTCCAAGAGTCAATGTAAGTTTGCCGCCACCACTGCTGTTGATCAAGGCTTCTTCGATTTTTTGTTGTTGTCTACTTTTGCACATTCGAGCATCTCCAACTACCAGCAGCAGCCAGAACATATGAGCAAAACCCAGTATAGTTCTTCACCATGGCCGATCCGGAGAAGTCAGTCCCACCTGCCGTTGTGATCTCTCAATATGACTCTCCAACTCAGCCCAGTTCATCTAACAAAGAGTTCTATTCGTCACTTGACCAGTCACCTACGTCTTCCGTGACAAGGTCAGAGGGAGATCACGATGAAAGAGCACTCACCTTAACCACCACTCAGCATTCCAGGCGTTCACAATCGCTCTCCAGAAACGTGAGCAGGATAACCACGCACGGCACGGGTTTCACGTGTGATCCAAGATATGAAGTCGACTTTGGCGTCGAGGACCCCTATGATCCTAGGAACTGGTCATTAGCGTATAAAGCATATGGCTTGTTCTCCATATCTTTCGGTACGCTGGGGGTGGTGATGTACTCAACTTCGTACACGTCGGGGATGGGCAAAATGCAGGCAGAATTTGGCGTCAATTCAGAGGCGATTGCAACCCTCGGTGTGACGACGTACCTCTTTGGGCTTGCTATCGGCTGTTTGCTGCTGGCACCTATCGCCGAAACCTACGGGCGGAAACCAGTCTATATGCTTTGCATGACGATGTTCACAATACTGGTCCTTCCGGCTGCTCTTGCCAAAAGTCTACAGGGTATCATCATTACACGCTTTTTTGGGGCGTTGTTCGGTAGCGCCATGATTGCAAATGCTCCTGGTACAATAGCGGATATGGTGTCAGACGAATATCGCAGTACGGCATTTTCGATTTGGAGTATTGGACCAATGAATGGCCCCGTCATCGGACCGGTCATTGGAGGCTTCGTGACTGATTATCTAGGCTGGCGGTGGACCAACTGGATTGTTATGATCTGGGCAGGGATCGCCTCCGTTCTCTTGATCGTGATGAAAGAGACATACTCGCCCGTCCTCTTACAGAAGAAAGCCAAGAAGTTGCGTCGCGAGGAGAATGACGATAAGTATTGGAGTCGGTACGACATTCGAGTTGGCTTCCTGGAACTTATGAAGATCAATCTGTCTCGTCCTTTCATTATGATGATCAAGGAACCCATTTGTATCTTCTGGAATGTCTACATTTCACTCATTTATGGTATGTCTTCGTGGTTATTACGCTGTTTCCTGTACTGATGATGTCCTAGGAATTCTCTACCTCTGCTTTGTCGCATATCCGATTATTTTCACGGAAGAACGAGGATGGTCGACCAGCTTGAGTGGCTTGTCGTTTTTGGGCATCGGCATTGGCACCATGATATGCATATGTTGCGCCTCGCCCATCCGGAAAATGATCAACAATCATAAGCCAGATGCGCATGGCAATGTCCCACCCGAGGCCATGTTGAGCATCGTGTGCCTTGCCGCAATCATGGTGCCCGTAGGGCAAATTTGGTTCGCTTGGACGTGCTATCCTACCAGCATACATTGGTCCATACCCATCGCCGCCGGCATACCCTTTGGATTCGGCAACGGTACTGTTTTCATCTATTCGGGAAACTATCTTGCCTACAGCTATGGCATTTACGCTGCGAGCGCCATGGCTGGAAACGCGTTGATGAGATCTTTCCTGGGCGGCACACTACCCCTGGCAGGGCCATCTCTCTATCGAGCTTTGGGGCCCAATTGGGCCGGAATGTTCTTGGGACTGCTGGAAGTGTTGATCATCCCGATCCCCTTCTTATTCTATAAGTACGGAGGTCGAATCCGCCAGAAGTCCACTATGATCCGAGAAATGAGGGAGAACGAAGAGCGACAGGAGCGCAGGAAGAAGAAGGCGGAGGAGAGATTGAGGAGGGCGGAAGAGAATGGAGACGAGCGGGAAAGGGGAGAGGCCCGGGTCGAACTTTGTCGTGTTGAAAGTCGCTTGGACGAAGGTGGCAATGTCGAAGCCGCTGGGCTCGAGACGCTGAATAACCTACAAGGGCTGGACAGGGAGACCCTCGAGGATTACCAAGGGCTGAGAGCCCGGGACAAATCGTCAGCGAGGCAAGCGAAGGTCGAGGAGGTGTGAGGTGAAGATAATGCTACGGGAAGGTGTGATCTGATGACCAGCTATGTGCCAAGTCGTACCAGCCAGCAAAGGGTTTGTTTCTCAGCAATCGCGCTTAGATGGAAGGATTGGCTTGCGAATACGGTCACCACATGGGTATCATGAGCTTCGGGATTATGGACATGTCGTTATTCAGCGTGGTGTTTTGGTTTGGCTTGGTTTGCGGTTTCAAGATGGATTTGGACATGGTCAATCCACGAGATGATGAAGAATGGATCAATGACCAGCAGGGCGCACAGGAAGTGGCATCATGGGAGTGGGCAAGCATACAGCCGGCGTTTGCTTGGGCTCTTGAACCGGCATGCATGGTCACTAGAGGTTCGCGGAGGATACTGAGTTGAGATTTGTGAGAACTAAGAAGCAGGAACAGGATCGAAGAGCTGATATGATATGAGGTTTAACCTCACACAATTAGAGGCCGGTAGAGCAAAAGAAGATCAATGATTGGCCAATGTCCTTCTGACTTGAAAGAGATAGGACTCAAGCATTGAATCTGATATTATATGTGACTCTCGTTGCGCCGAAGTTGAGATCTTCATAAACTGCTTGGGCATAACGCTCCACTCGAGCGTTTTGAATAGCAAAGATGGACTCCTGATAACTCGCCCTTGCACCGTGCTAACAAATAATCATATCATCGTGCGCAAATCGTGGAATATAACAGATGGACAGTGTACGTCCGCGGTCGTGCAATCTCCTATTAAATCGTCGTGGCGTCTGCTTGACCATAGACGAAGTCTTCTTCAACAAGCGCATGCCACTTTTGCCCGGTGGTAGTGGGTGACGGACCTCAGTTGTGACGGGCACCTTCTGCAGCGTCTGTGGAAGGACTGGGGGTGCGCGCTTTGAATGTCTTTGTATTCAGACACGATGCAGATCTGAGCACTTTCGGGTCCTCGCTTTCATTTGCTATGACGGAACAGCGACCCCGAAGTCTGAAGCAATTCGGATACGGGCCGAAGACAAGCCCTGATGGTCCTCGAAGCGGCTTCGTTCTGCAACCTCTGTTGAAAAAGCAAAGGAGGGGCGTGCTTGCGTGGGACGCTGCTTACTGAATGCCCTGCTTCGCTGGGCCAAGACCATAACCAGGATTAATGTGTGAGAATGACAGGGGAGGTTCTGCCTCGATGGTCTATCTCAATGCTGGTCTCATTTCTTCCACACTCCTTTCTCGTCTCTTCTGTATCTGCCGCCAATAGGTGTATGCCGTCGCACTGGCTTGGGTCTCTCCTTGAGAAGGGCATCATCAACAGACAATAATCTGACGCCTTCTCGCTCGATGACGTGGGACGCAGGAATCTGTGGCGGCGTGACCATCCCATTCCGTGGCGTCGTTGTCCCAGAATTACTGGCACTTCCAGGCGCACTTGCAGGCGGCGTTCTGCCTTCAAGGATTTGTAGCAGCTGCACGTCTGGGATCTTTCTCTCCCTCCACTCATCCCTCATACGCTCGAAATCGTCAGGATCGTCAGCCTCGTCACCGCTGATAACCTTGGTGAGGACAGGCATGTCGGTCCTGCCGATTTGCGCAATCAAGGCAGGTGGACCCGAATGAGGTTTTCGCAACTCCAGCTCCTGGGGAGTTATGTTCGGGACGCTTTGTGTTGGTACCAGTCTTGGAGGCAGGCCCAGACCTGGGTGCGCTTGCTTGTATTTTATATCAAGAGCCATTCTTGTAGCCACTGTTGCAGCGGAAGAGTGTTTCGAAGTTATGATCTGCTTCTTATCTGTGTCTTTCTTCTCCTTCTTGCCCTTTCCAAACAGCTTGCTGAAACCTGATGGCTTGGACGAGGCATTACTGGAAGACTTTCCCGGTTCAGATCTGAGGGAAGATAAAGAGGAGCTGCTGTTGTTGCGCGACGAGGGAAGAGAGACGGGTCTGCTTTGTGGTTTCGAGTATGCCCGGTCCGAGGGCATTCCCCGGTCAAGGGTGTCGAGGGCGTCGAGGAATGACAACACCATTGTGTATTATGCTATTGCGCTGTAGAAATGAATTGGGGACGAGATTTCGCACTGGCTGGACTGCGAACAGGCGGATTGAGAGGATGAAAGAGAATGAAATGCCCACGACGGTGTAAAAAGTCTTACTGTGGTTACTCACCACTACGTAACAAGTGTTTTGTCCATTTTATCTGATATCGCAATTGGTATCCAGATCCAATTAGATAAGGCGCAAGAGCATGTGGCAATTGTCCGAATGCGCTGTTGGTTGGGATTGGAAGGGGGACTTTTTGCGCGACATAATCTGTCCCAACAGAGGCGTGGCTGTATGCGGCTGGATACCATTTCGGATTCTTGATGTCACGCATTGATAGCGGATATGGAGACCGTGTTCAATTTTATGACGAATTGATGGTGTTGGGAGGAAGAAAAGTTTGTCTTGATGGGGAAATTTCGCATCATAGCGTTAGTGATACCAATGATGCTAATGATAAGGCTCGCTCAATCATGTCAGCATTGACCAATCTCCGGAGTTGAAGCCATTCCCAGACACTCTGTTTCTTCCACAGGACCACTGCCCAACGCTTAACAGAGTTCGACAGCCGCAATGTTGGTTCTAGAACGTCTTGTATGCATATACGCGTTTTCCATCCTGCTTAGCGGTGTCAATGCAAGATATGTCATGTATCTTACAGGGTTTGTTTTTCTTCAATGTAGACATCGTGCCAAATGACGAGCCTCTAGGCAACATAATCATGTCCCGGATCTGTCGCTTGTCAAGGACATCACCCATGTTATTCTAGCTTTTATGCGATCGGAAGTGTTCAACCAAGAGGAACCACAAGAATGGCCACTGTTTACCACTGTCAACGCTGTCCGAGCTCAGTTCGCTCCTGGCACCTCCATCATGATTGCCATCGGCGGCTGGGGTGACACTGTTGGCTTTCCTGCGGCTGCTGCAGATGCAAGTGCACGGAAACGCTTCGCGAGAAACGTGAGAACCATGGTTGATGCTACAGGAGCCGACGGCGTCGATATTGACTGGGAGTATCCCGGAGGCAACGGGGAAGACTACAAAATCGTTCCCAATGCTGAAAAGGACTGGGAGGTCGATGCATTTCCCAAATTACTAGCAGAGATCCGTTCTGCACTTGGGGCGACAAAAGTGATATCGGCTGCTGTCCCTGGTCTCCCCAGAGATATGATCGCCTTCACCCACGGGGCAGTACCGAAGATAGATGCTTCTTTGGATTTCTGGAACGTTATGACTTATGACTTGATGAACAGAAGAGACAACGTGACCAAACATCACGCTGGAATCTCTGCATCTTTGGCTTCCGTCGATGCATATCTTGAGCGAGGTGTCCCTTCAGGTAAGGTCAACATTGGACTTGCCTTCTATGTGAAGTGGTTCAGGACAGGCCCGACTAGCGAGTGCACAGAGAAGCTTATTGGATGTCCTACACTGCTACTGGAAGATCCAGACACAGGTGCTGATCTGGGAAGAGCTGGGGCATTTTGCTGGGTGGACGAAGTGCCGTCGGATTTGACGGCCTCTTTCGCCAAAGCCATGGATAACGGTCGCTATGACTTTAACGGTGGTGGGCAGTATTACTACGATTCGGAGGAACACATCTTCTGGTCATGGGAGTCAACAGAGTCGGTTGCGCGAAAGGCAACTGCCCTGGTGAGGACTAGAAAGATAGGAGGAGTTTTCGCTTGGGGTCTAGGTGAGGATTCGAAGGACTGGAGTCACTTGAAAACTTTGACGGCAGCATATCAAGTACTTGGGTCGCCGTCTCGAAGTGGCCACGAGTCACTGAGAAAGGACGAATTATGAGAGTCATGCGGCCATAACAATTTGCAATACGCTATTGTGGGAAATGAGTCCCGGTCGGTAGACGGGAGCTGACTACCACTGATGTTTGACTGTGTAGTCTCAACACAAAATCCATGAAGCAAAATAAGACGCTTGTCGTTTCAGGGGTTTCTCCCTTCCAGACATTCTACATCGTACAAGTCGAGTTTCGAGCAATCTTCCATGCCCTGTCTTCCACTCGCGACAGGAGTTTCTGATCCTTGGGAAGTGCAGCTGCCCAGTCGTCCCGCAAAGTCCGAGGTTCAATCGAGGAATTACCAGCCGTCGACACGATCTACTCCTTCTTCCCACCGTTGAACCATGTCCAGCTCAAGACGGGATCTCTTTTGGTCTTCTTCCCACCATTGAACCACGTCCAGCTCAAGACAGGATCTCTCTTGACCTTTTTGCCACCGTTGAACCATGTCCAGCTCAGCACAGGGTCTCTCTTGGTCTTCTTGCCATTGTTGAACCAAGTCCAGCTCAAGACAGGATCTCGTCTGGCAAGTCCATCCCCATCGGAGAGGTCTCGAACGGCTAGATCGACTGGGGCTGCTTCCCGAACATATACAGCGTTAGGTTCGATGATTGGGCCGGGACTCGCGAGAGGTAAGGCGGTTGCAAGGTAGAAAAAGGCGAGCAGGAGCAAGAGATGCAGTGAGCGATGCATCATAGGTGTGGCTGTCGGTATGTGTTCGAGGTGGTTGTGAATACGAGCCGCTTCGTCTGATGCAGACAATAGGTAAACAAGAGTTGGTATTCCACGTTGAGTCGTAGAGACTTGGGACTTGGTTGGGGATGCTTTTGTAATGCTCTTGCTCAAGGACTGAAGTAGCTGTCTCTTATATCCCCAGATGCTGCCAACAGCAAGCACGAAAGCTCAGCAAGAAAAGGGCGCCTGATACTGAAGCGCGAACACTATACAAAAACGGCAACTACAGCAGAGACTATTGACGCAGGAGATGGGAAACGTCCATTCAGGGCTGAAGTTGCCCATATCCCAAACACATTGTGTCAGGAGTTTCGATAGCTGGGAGTCACCCGCTGGGACCTTCACTGCGATGGTCTTAGCCGCGCTATCTGAGGAGAGTTGAAGGTGCGTCTGGGACATTTCGTTCGTCCTTCGGCCCTGGCATTGAAGCTAAAGTCTGCCATGAACGGACTGATGCAGTCTTATCACATCAATAGTCAAGGCTGGATATAGCATGTTCTCATCCTAGGTACCTGCATTGATCTGGCTGCGTGCTGCACATTCGCTTCACTGCAGGCAAAGGTCGCTTTGATTCCACGCTTTATGGCACTGGGGTCGAAAATAGCCGCCGACCAGGGCCGCAAGATGTCGAGGTGATAGAATGACTGGTCGGCGTCTAAATTCAGAATTGCGTTGATGTATGGATTCAGCGCGAGCATGAAAGCGCTATACTTTTTATGGTATAGGTACGGCCTCACCATTCAAGTGTCATCTAGATCAACAGTCAACCTGCTCTTTAATCGTTGAAAGATGAACTTATGAAGTGATCAGAAGTGTTAAATAGTATGTCCAACGAATAATTGTAAGCCAGAGACAGCCCGTTTCCTGGCTAAGCGCTTCAGGCCATCACTCCTTACGAGGCTGACACGAAGTCTGGCTCGCGCACACCAGGTGGAGAGAAGTTGTCTTCGTGACCATAATAGACGAGTGCAAAAACCACACGAGAGTTCCAACAGCAGTTTCTGTGTTTGATGTCAAAATATGCTCGCCGTCTTGTATTGTTGGTTCCAGTTTTTGGAACGTATGTAGGAGAGGAAAGAGGGACGGCCTCGTACACGTTCACAGAGGAAAATCCATATTAGCATATTCTGGTGATACAGTGCCTGAAGTATGGGACTTGGAATCAGTCGCGCCACGTTTGCTGTTGGAGTATCAGATTGTGTGTTGTGATCTTAAGGCACGTTGAGGCAACAATGTACATGGTATTTTGGTAACGCCGACACCACCAGTATTAGAGCATCGCCGCCTATTTGCCACCGAACCAGCTGCTGATACCGCTCTTTGCCTTGGATGCCTCATTTTCCACCGTCTTGTCAAACTTGTCAATGGCACCATTGACCTCCTTGCTTGCCTTGTGTCCGACTTCTTTGGCTTTAGCTTCGGCTTCAGCAAGCTTGGCTTTGGCTTCGGCGGACTGAACATCAATTAGCAGCTATTGTAGACGCAGGCGACTGACGCTTACAGCTCTGTCAAACTCGCGACCGGCTGAAGCAGTCAGAGCTTCGCCCTTCTTCTCGTACTCTTTTCCTTTGCCTGGAAGATCGTTTCTTATTGAGGCCGAGAGCTTATGCGCGTCGGCTGCGACATGTTAGCTGAGGTCACAATGAGAATGAGTAGTGCGTCCTGACCTTCCATCTTCTTCTCGGCGACCTTTGGGTCACCGCCTGCATTGTACAGGTAGTAGCCCACTCCACCAGCAACAGCCAGACCACCGAACTGAAGTGCTCGGTTTGACATGATGGAAGATTTGTTGTTGAAGTGTTTGAGAAAGGGAGGATTTCTGGAAGTGAATCGCTCAATGGTTGTACTGGGCTCGAAGAGTGATATTCGGGTTTGAGAATATTAGAGAAGAAGTAGGATGCTACTCGGTGGTAATGATGGAAGAAGCTGCAAAGAAGCCGAAAGAGCAAAGAGCATGGCCAATGACAGTGACATCATTGGTGCCTTCGGGCTGGCTTTCGTTTGTGGCTGGACTGATGATGCGGGGGACAACAGCAGCAAAATGCCATGTCTTAGGCGAGGCGTAAGGCCCACAACAAAACTTGCCTGCGGAAGTCGTCGTCGACGTAACTGAGGGACAAAGTTTAGGCATTCGTGGACATTCTACAACGGAAGCCTAAACACCTCCCATAGTACATACGTTTTTCCCTACAAAGTGCTGTATACAGGTATAATAATATTGCTTTTTCCTGGCTAGCATTCTCATTGATGAGCGAGCATTTGAGGCGTTCAAACCCTACCGTTGAGTGAGCTGAAAAGGAGCCTTCCCTTCTGATTTCAATCGCCCTGCTCAGGCAACAATGGTCGGACCTTGACCATCCCCTCCTTGACATATTCGAGATCTGCCAGGGATGACCGACTATGTCTCTAGGGCGGTGACCCGCGTTTCGACCTTTGATGGTTCGGCAGATCCTTACGATCATGAAATCGCCCTGATCGATTCCACCGAAGCTCCTCCAGAGCAAGATCTGCCTCCCCCGGGTTCAGCCAGTGCGATCTCCAGCAATATATCCAAGGTCCCATCCAGAACAGGTGTAACAGACTATATCGCAAGGAGGAAGTATGCCAGATGGCAAGAAGACCGCCTCAAATCCAATCCTGCGAGTTCGGTAACGACAGAACGGCAAATACCCAAAGCTGCTTGGAAGAAAAGCGAAGATGCTGAACAGCTGACGGCGACCGGGACCAAAGACTTTGCAGACAATCAATCAATTGATAGAGGGCGGCAGAACGCAGACAAGAGAAGAAAAGAATCAAAGCACCTCAAACACCAAGTTCATGAAATCGACATTCTTTACGAGAACCAGCGTGGGTCCTTCTTCTGTGGGATTCCGCTTTATTCACATTCTTCTCTCCTACCTATCGATCCGAGTCCTTGGGTCAACAAGCATTTTCACGGTTCACCTGTCAATATCACCAATGCTCAAGTCCCAGACCCCAGTTGGGAATGGGCATGGAAAACGTGGTACGTCGACATGAGCTACGATGTGGACGAAGAAGGCTGGCAATACTCTTTCGCATTTGGACGCAACTTCGCCTGGCATGGTACTCATCCTTGGTTCCATTCTTTCGTCAGGCGAAGAAGATGGCTCCGCAAACGAGTCAAGAGGGACGGTACAGGTGGGCGAGACAAGCTTGGGGGCTTAAGTGCTGCTCACCACTTAACCCAAGACTATTTCACCATCCATTCGACGCGGGAACGCAGCCCGGTCAGTACTGTTGATGGTGCCGGAAAAACTGCGAGGCCTGCCAGCTACGTGAGCCATGCAAGCGCAGCCGACATGCTAGAGCAGCCTCCTGAGGAGATCAAAGATATCGCGAATCTACTCAAAGCCTTGAAGTTCGCCTCAGTCGACCGAGAAAAGATTGTGGTGGTGAAGAAGTTCGTCGATCAAGGCGGAGAAGAACTTGTTTACCTTAAGGATCATGTCCCCGATATAATGTCGTTCTTGGTCTTTCAGAATTCTAGGACTCAGCTGCTGGCATATCTTAAGAAGACGGCGAATGACGCACGAAAGCATCGAGAGCACCACGAAGACGAGAAAAAACCTGAAGGCGACGACGAGAGCCGCAGGATCGACAATCTTCTGGCAGCCGTCGATGCCGCCAACGCCCAAGTGGGGGGTCTCGAATATTGGAGTGATCGAAAACACGTCTTACAAACCGCTGACGAGAATGCTCTCGAGACGAGAGCGCTCGCTACAATATTCGACGCACCGCCTCCAAAACCGAAGGCCAACGAGGATGTTGTCAACGAGATCAAGGGGATATCGTCGGAAGCCGATCTGAAGGGAGAGAATACACCATCCGTTTTCCGCCGATCTGGACAGAACAAGGAGACTACACAGAAGGAGCCGGAGAAGGAAGACAAGGGTAAAAGCAAAGCGGTCCATCATGACAGCGAAGACGATCGAATGGGAGCAGATCCCAGTCCACGACTGCGGCCGGACGAGGTTCTCATTCCTGACGATGATTAGGAGTCTGCTGCGCCAGGACAGCAATGCATTGTTTATTAGCACTGGTGTTGGTTGGCATGTTTGTGTTTCGGGTGAGCGTGCATTAATAGTGGAGTAATCACTGATTGACGAGGCTGGGGAATCAATTTAACCAATTAGGCCTAGTGTGGACACGGACGCGCCACGACGCGTTTTCCTCAATGGAGGCAGGTCATTCAATAGCGCGACCTGATCAGAGTCTAAAACTGAGAGATACAGGCTGGATTTTGCATACTCACAATCCTTCCTACACTGTTGTTACATTCTGGATCTTCTTGTCCTTTTGACTCTGACACTTGCAATCGCAACAACTCACATCCGGATCGCACCTTTCCTGTCTGTGAATCCACCATGGCACCTTCCGTCCGAGGAACAAGCAGTCGAGTCAGTAAACGGCAGACTGAAGTGCAGAATTACGCAAAAGTCTCAAAGTCTGCCAAATCTCGAGCCCAGCTCAAGACGGCGGTGAAAGAGTTGGAGCTGGTCGAAGCTACCAAGAAGAAAGAGACCCCCAGAAGCTCATCCAAGCGGAAACGCAGCGATGTTCATGATGACAGCGAGACCGAGCCTGAGAGTCCTCGTGTCACGGCTATTGGATTGAAGAAGGTAAGACGGTCAGGACTGCCTTCCTAACGTGTCTGACCTTTTTCAGGCGAAAGTTCAGTTGGCAACACCACCCGAGTCCGAACGCGAGGAGGAAGACCCGATAGATATCGATCAGTCCATCGACTTCCGGCAACTGTCCCTCGGCAGCAAGACCGCTCGCAGAAATTCAGTCAGCGACCTCCCGGAAACCCTTCGAGATTTGGTCTCCCTACACAGCTCTTTTCTGAGGGCCTTTTCTCTTCAACTCGTGCACAATGGCAATTCCTCGACTGCAGAATTGAACAGCTTGATGAGCTCTGTAACAAGATTATGGAAGAAGCACACGGTCACCAAGGAGGACATTCAGCGCATGCTTGCGATATATGAACTTGGCTCGCCCAGCGATCATGCCCTTGGTCAATCCTTGAAACACAAGGCCAGCCCATTCAAAATGAACCTAGCTGGAGGCAATGCTCTGCGGTACAGTGTTGAGTATGTCGCTCCGAAAGCCTACGACGAAAAGAAATTTCAAAAGCAATACGAGGTCGAGGTGGAAGCCGTTTTCATCTCGCAGCGGAAGAACCCACTAAGCTGGCTGCACAATGATATACGATTGTTCCCTCGACTGGAAATCTCGATTGGCCAACAAACACAAGCTCGTAAATACAAAGCTTCAGCAGCACGAGCAGAGATCCTAGGGCTATCGTCGCAGGCTCAGAGCCGACCTGCGTCGCAATTCCCTGCCAACGCAGATCAAGCCAACAAGGCTGCTGATGTCCATACACCGCAGGTGGTGAAGGACCGGACTTTGTCCCTCTTGGATCGGGTCAGAGCGAAGGGACTTGCCGCATCCACAGCGCCGGATTCTTTCACAGTACTTCGCCGTCGTGCGATCGGCCGCATCAGCGAGGTGGTGGAGATTCTGCGGATGAAGCAACAACGGAAGCTGGGTTCCAGCTTCCATTCTTCCATTCATTCCAGCCCGAGCAAAGTCCGTGGTAGGGTGTCTTTCAGCCTCAATCAATTGGTCAATGAGATCAAAGGGAGCTTGCCTGTGCCCATGGGCGATACTGAGATCAGAAAATGTTTTGAGATTCTTGCCAATGATGTCCCGGGAATGTGGTTGTCAATCCATACAGTCGGGATCTTACAAAGTGTTGTTCTGAATGGACAGGGTTTGAGTGGCATGGAGGTCAAGAAGATCCTTGATGAAGATGAGAAGAACAAGAACTGATGAGAGTGGTCGCTTGAGCGTGGTTGACAGTGTTGTAACAAGACCTGGCCGGTCACTTGTTCGAGGCAGACAATGATGATTGAATGTCAAATCAATAAATGAGTCCCTGTAGTGGTCCTCTCTCCACCTAATAAAACATGGGTATCTACTGCGTGGTGTCTGCTAGGAAATCACACTCCTCGTAAAGAGTCCCTCCCGAACCAGGTTGGCTTGTCCCTCCACTTCGGCGTCTTCCTCATTACACTACCTTTGCATCTCCACTGCAAGCCGCCTTAATGATTTGGTCTAGTAGGTGGTCGTAGTCGCGATAGCGGCCGGCCTCTCGTACTTAGTGATCACCCACCAGGCATCTGCGAACGAGGTCAACCATTCAGTCTTGATCTCGAGCTGCGGTTTTGAAATCGCAGTCCGGGGATTGACTTACGGATGCATCCTGGCAGCCAGCCCAGAATTGTGAGAAGAATGTTGATGAAGAAGTTCGAATCGCACCCAGTCTTCAGGAAGACGGCGAGAGGCGGGAGGAAGATGGCGAGAAAGTAGAGAAGGACGTCGCTCTGCTAGTGTGTTAGTCGTGGCTTGCAGGAAAGCTGGATGAGCGTCGACTTACGGTTGATGATGCAGCGCGAGCCATGATGCTTGGTGGCTAAGTTATAAGTTACTGTGGTATGTGTGTAGTAAAGCAGTGTTTGTGGAAGTCGCGGATTGACGATAGAAAGGTCGAACAAGGTGAAACAGGGAACGGGAGTCCTTAATAGGTCTTTTTGTTCGCAGGCAATATATCCATCAGCCACGCAATATAACGTGGTTACTAGGCACCCCCGTTTCAATAACCAAGACCAGTGCGCAATGCCCGGGCTCAGTAAAAGCTCCTGATCGTCCTAACCTTCTAAGTGAAATACTGGATTCGCAATGAACGAATTGAAGACTTCCAAACACCATGCGCCTCTCGATTTGCGCAATTCATCCATCATAGCGAAGAAAAACATGGCAAAATGACGTCGGTGTGGTAAACATGATGAGGCTCATCGGGATCAGGGAAATTTCCCACAGGTCCGCATAAGAGGCTTGCCGGCGATCCACGTTGCTTAACCAGAAAAAGGACATGGGTCATAAAAGCTTGATTTTGGGCCATGTCCGAGAGCCTAGGGCCTCCCACGCCTCCGTATGGGCGGTGATTTGTTTCACCTGCGGTCCTGGTGACCGACCATCTGAATATCATACCGTACAAATATGACGCAGATTCGTCCAAGGCACGCTGAGCACCTTTATCGAATGGCAATTGACGACCTCGGAAGTTCAACGATGCAGTTGCACGGATGTCTAGCCGGCATGGAACAACAGACCTCCCGGGGCGGGGCGTTGATGCTAGTATGGTATTCTTTACGCCTTTCTGCTTACATGCATATACCGCTGCCATATGAGAGATGAATGCGGTATCTGCTGTGCAGGTTTTATCGATGTCTACCACCCACTGACTTTCAGGCCTCCATCAGGAGATAAGTAACTCGCGAATATCTCCCACGGTAAGAAATGTCAAGGCAAGGGCGCGCATCTCCATTGAAGGTCAAAAGCTACCCGTCAGCCTCGACAAGGGAGAGACGAGGATAGCCTCTATGCCATCGGTCTCTCCTGTTGACAAGGCTGCGATTTCCTCACTACACTCGGCTTCGTCCTTACTCGTTTATCAAGTAGCAGCGAGGAACTTTGTATTCTTCTATCACTTCCGCACACGAGCGTAGTCATGGCCGGTGCCCCTGTGCCCATCCCCGTCAAGGAAAAAGGACCAGTCATCCTATGCATCGAGGATATCAAAGAAATCGCCGACAAGAACCTCCCAGACGTCGCAAGAGGTAGGTCTTCCCAAAGCATTCTTCTTTCCACTCCCTCATCAATGGCCTTGGATATCAGACTTCTTCAACTCCGGCTCGACATACCAGACAACCATCGCGGAGAACAGCTCAGCCTTTAGCAAGTACAGATTGCGCTCCCGCGTTCTAGTCGACGTCGCCAACCTCAGCACTTCAACCACCTGTCTGGACCGCAACATCAAATTTCCACTATGCATCTCCCCAGCCGGTCTACAAGGCATGGCCCATCCAGAAGGCGAGCTAGCCACGAGCCGCGCCTGCGCAAAATTCGGGATCAACATGGCCATCTCGAGTTTCGCCAACTACCCCGTCAATGAAATCACGTCCGCTGGAGCTGGAAGCGTCAACTACGCGATGCAACTGTACATGATGAAAGACCGCGCGTTGCAGGAGTCCATCATCAAAGCCGCCGAGGACGCAGGCTGCAAAGCCATCTTCCTCACGGCAGACTCACCCGTCCTGGGGGTAAGATACAACGAGTGGCGCAACGACTTTCGGACACCAGACGGTCTGGGCTTTCCGGTCATAGGTTGGACGACAGAGAAGATTCGCGCCCACACGCACGATGCGGGATTCATGTCCTTCAACGACGACTCGCATAGCTGGGCGCAAAGTATCCCGTGGTTACGCTCCAAGACGAAAATGCAGATCTGGATCAAGGGCGTCTTGACGGCCGAGGATACAGAATTAGCGATTCAGCATGGCTGTGATGGGATCATTGTCTCGAATCACGGTGGGCGTCAGCTTGATGGGGTGCCTGCCACGATCGATGCGCTGATCGAATGTGTTGATGCTGCTCGGGGTAAAATAAGGGTACATGTGGACGGAGGGATCCGTAGAGGAACGGATATCTTCATCGCGCTCGCGCTGGGGGCAGAGTGTGTTTGGGTTGGGAGGCCGGCGATCTGGGGACTGGCGTATGATGGCCAGCAAGGCGTTGAGAAGATGTTGGAGCTTTTGTACGAGGATTTCCGACGGTGTATGGCTTTGTGTGGGTGTAACGATGTTAGCGAGATCAAGAGGAGTTGTTTGTCAAGAATGGGACTCGATGGGATGCTGAGGAGGATGGAGTGATTGGATATACACAGAACGAGTAATTGGCGTGTATCTCTGATACAGTCCGCTCCTTCTCGAATCAGAGCTCATGGACTTGATAGCGCGATAGCGAGACAAGTCACCATGGCCGCGAAAAAGCCCGAATCTCGAACACCTACACCGGTGCCTGTGCAAGGTACTACGGTATTCAGAAATACGAAAGTTCGCAGTGAATTTGCCAGTGTACTGTGCAAAGTGGACGCAGTAACTCGTCAAGATAGAAGCAATATAGTCGTTCGAAGATTCATTAATATTAAGGTATTAGATTACTTCGTCCATCCGGTCCAATCGCTCACTCCGTGTGTCTGAACCCCTTCTCCTGCTGCTTTGTCCTTTTGCGAGCCATGAAGAAACCTCACTCGAAGGTACCACATGATCAAAGCGGCGTAACGCAGGCAGCCAGCCATTCTCCGCCACTATCCGAGCGCGCGGACCACGAGATCGCACGCTGCTGGCGCAACCAAAAAGCACATGCTCAACCAAACCGCGCAAATCTCGAAAGCGAAGCCAATGCGGACGATCAAACGCCAGGAGATTTCCTGCATATCTCCTTTCTTTTCCCGGAAGCGAATGGCATATCGGTCATAAGATCCATGTCGATATCTTTTGTACAGCGCTGAGCGAATGTAATGTCTCGTTCCAACGGTAAACAGTAGCCGCTGAACGGATCCAATAAAAATTCTTCTTGTACGAATGTAACCCCTTTCTTGGGCGGCGGCTCCTTGACGAAGAAGAAGCGCTGTGCCTACCCAGACCCAAAATAATGCTGTGCTTCTTGTAAACGCGTTTCCGGCGCTGCCCAAGATCAAAGCCTGACCTCTAGAAAACATTGGCAACAGTATCGATCCAAGAGCGAGAGAGATAGGATGAAGTCGATCGTTCTGGAGTGAAGCCAAGGTGGCTGTCCGAGTCGCCTGATTGTGATCAGTGCAACGTGTAGCGACAGGTTGGCGAAGGCTCGGCAGAGCGCTTTGGGTCTGCTTCAAACAGTGATTGGACTCTAATTGCGAAATCAACAATGTCGCTCATATGCAAAAATGCGTCAGTAAAGCAATGCCCCAATCCATTTGGTAAAACGCCGGGCTGATCATGCTGAGACTCAACGAGAGTGTCGTAAAAACATTCGGAATTGCTAGGTTGAAAGGCGATGTGAATCATCTTTCGTGGTTTGAGTAAGCTTCCGTCCAGAGGTTTTGGCCTTCCTCGGTTGGACTCAGGGAGCCTGATGAGACGGAAGATGAAGATCCGATCGTCCACTCGTCGCTGTCAGGGTGGCTACCGTCAATACCAGCAAGACCATAACGGTAGGTGTTGTGCGCTTCCCCAATCTCCACAAAGTCGTAGTCCCAACGGTAATTTTTGTCTGGCTGCAACCGTGGAAGGAATTTGGCCTTTGCGAAATAAAAGACAACACCCGCTAGCAGACTGCCTGCAACCAAGTCGACCGCGTAATGATGCGACAGATACATGGTCGCCCACCACAACCACATGACGTAAACCGAAAAGAGCGGCGTCAGTTTAGGAAAGACGTGGCTCATGAACAATGCTTCTAAAGTTGATGTTGCCGCATGGAGAGATGGAAATGCACCGAAGACCATCGGCGACGCCGTGAATCCAGAAGTGTACATGTCGAAACCCAGAAAAGCGTCGATACGCGCCAGACCAGCTGGCGAGCCCTTTATCGAGTAGTTTGCTGGAGCCAACCCATACATGTTCTCATACCAGGGCGCGGAACAAGGGAGCAGAACTTGGGTAACGACTCCCAAGAGGTTCATGTAGCCGAAGGTAAATCCGAAGACCGTGACCGTTGTCGGTGGCGCATATATGAACATGATCGCAGAGCACACAAATGGTGCTCCGAAATGGCCGAGTCCGTATGGAAACCATGCCAGCAGATCGAGGGCGGTACTTTTATGCGCGGAGAGTATGTTACTCAGGTTGGCGCCATACAAGATATTCTCAAGGGCTGGCAGAACCTTGACCCAGATAGGAGGTCGCCATTCAGCGGGTATGAATCTGAGAAACAAAGTCAGTCACGCAACTCCTAAAGGTCTGCCAACTCGAAACACAGTATTGTATCCCGAAAGAACTTACCTGCAAGCGTAGAAGAAAATGAGATACGCCGCTATCGGCATGAAAGGTCGGAAGAATTGTCGAGTGATGGGGAAAATCCACGAAGTGAGAAGAAGTGTTGCCACTGCGGTTTTGACCAAAGGACCAGGAGATTCAATGATGCTCAAGGAGAAGATTCCCACCACAGCCAGTAACAGCCATTGTCCATCATATATTGACCATTTGTGGTTCTGGAGGGCGCGGAGTGTATCGGCAGGAGAAAATGAAGTCTGGAGGTTTGCGATGGACGATGCAGCGGATTGTCGATTCCGTAGTTTCGATCTAAGCTTGCGCCGTAGTCTATGAGGTACTAGAAGTTGTATTGACCGCCATGGCATCTGAAGGTGTTTCTTGGAAAGCGCAGCAGTGTCCTTCCAGGACGGAAGGGAGGCCTGCATGGCTGGTCAATCGAGGCGCGACTTCTATCTCAATGTTGTGGCGTAGGAGGAGGTGACGTTTCTCAGCTAGGGCCGGCGAGAAGGCACAGGCAGCGACGGCGAGATGGAGACTGGTAAGGAACGGCCGAGGAGTGAAGGAGAGACTGGTCGAGATATGAATCCGAGGAATCCGATGTGTAGCTAGAGAAAGGGAAGAGAGGGCTTAGGTGAGCAGTAAAGTGAAGAGGTAACAAAGGTGCGGACGGTGTGGATGTCTTCGGATAGGCAGTCATTCTATGGTACTCGCCTGTTATGCCATAATTGTGCAGAAAAGAGGAGCGCCAAATAGACGAACCGAAGCCCTCTTCGCTATTTGTTTAAGGCCGGCCCCGAAGCAAAACTATGCCTATAAGAGACTAATCATTAGGTGTTTCTAGGCGGTGCTGATGGTTCAATTGGTCCATCCACCTAGGCAGACTCGTTTGTGCCCCTCGAGCGAAGCCACTCCAAAGTCTGTTTCCTTTCACTTTCTTAACGTCCCGTCCGCGGGAAAAAATCTCTTCCCTTTTTCTTCTCATTTTCTCGACGTCACTAATGGAGCCGTTAAAGCATAGCGAGCATTTCATGATGCAACTTTGACAGGTCGTGTGGACAATGACCTCTTGACGCTGAGATGCACCTAGTAACCACGAGCAACAGTTGACAGGACCGATAGTGCTCCCATCGACATCACACTTTGTTATCGACTTTGATAGGGTATGGGAGGCCTCGCCTTCGTTTCAACCGGGATGAGGGCTGAATGATACGCGAGCAGACCGATGGAGGCACACGAACAAGCATCTGGGTGGCCTGCTCTAGCGATGCTGACTGTGATTGCTGGCAATTTCCCTTCACAATCACGGCTGTGGCCGCCTGTCATTTGGGGAGCACATCCGGCATATGCACCACATGCTAAGTGCTGCTGCTCCCTCGTCTCGCCGTCTGACTGTCAGCCATTAATTCTCCGCCAGATCCAGAATTCGCCTTGTCCCCATAGCCTTTGGGGTCCCTTCGTTTCACCTCGAGATTTCCATCTCTTCTGGGCCCAATTGGAACGTATGCTCGCTTTCCGGTGGGTTCGCTCGTATCCTAGTGATGGATGTTTTTTTACAGACAGCACTTCGTGATTCGGAATTCGACAGACAGGCACGTGAGGTGTTGCTGCATGCATAAAGTCAGTATTGTTCGATCTGTCATCCGGTCGCAGCCGCAACCATTCACAGTACAAAGTCGCGAGCATGGGCGCTGAGATCTGTCACCGCAACGGGGGCTACTGCAGTGTCATGCACTGGAAGATGCATTTGTTCCATTCACTGTTCACCACATATAGACTTGGCCGCTGATTCGCGGATACTCCTCGCTTGATGTGCGGGAGGGCTGGCCTTTTAGTGCTATTGCTCGGTCATCGGCATGCGTCCGGGCGATACGAGGCTGGGACGCCTATCGTACTCGGTGTCATGGCCGGTGGTCAGTACTCAATCATCTCAATGCAGCCGTGAGGCACGTAATGCGGCTGATGCCACAGATGGGAAAAGCTATTGTGAAATCGTTCTAGAGATTTCCGCGCGGTCGAACAGAATGCAACCAAAATGTCATCACATGCTTCAATATCTGCATGCATTCAAGGATCTCTTTCTCATAACGTAGAGGTTGTATTGGCCAGGTTCACTCCTTCCTCTCAATTATACCCGCCTCACACTCAGAGGCAACTCGGTTGCACTTCAGTCGAGCCCTGACGAGTAAAGAGGAGGAATCGCAATCGAAGATCATTGTCGCGAATACCTAGATTTACGGTCAGCCTCTTCGTCTCCGTTGGCAGACTTGAACGTACGGATTCCTCTTCTCCACTCCCGGAGTGGCAGCAGGAGTTTTCTTGCCTTGACCCCAGCCCATGCGCGATTGATATCCTGGCCAGGACGAGCTGTTCCAAATCTTCGTTATGACACTATAGATCCCGCAGCGTCAACATTGGGTCCCCAAGCAGCAGTCCTTGCGACGTACCTTTGCGCAGCATCTTCCTCGTGTTCTGCGCTCCTCTCATGCACGCCCACCTTCATTCCCTCTCGACTAAACGACACATTCTTCTTCTCCAGCTTCTGCCTTGTCTTGTGTCCCACATCATGAGCGATGGAGTATGCTACGTATCCCACAATGGCGAGGAATACGACCACGACGAGAAAAATAATGAATGAGACGACGTGTCCTGCTTTCGACATGGCTGAGTTATGCGCCGTATCTCAGCGCGGCCTCTTGAAGAGTTGGCGGTGTATTCGTTCGAAAGTTGGCTCAAGAGGCACAAGCGCGCAGTTGACACCGGCGGAGGGGCAGAAGTACAATGACGCTGTGAACGACTGACGGCCGTGAACGGTGCTCTCTAGTCTCTTTTCTGGGGACTGAGTAGATTGTAGGTGAAGATTGTAAGTGAAGACACCTTCCAAGTGACAACCTCCTGTAAATACTAGAGTGGTGCTCTATTGGAGTTTCTCAGCTGGTGGTAAGGCACATGCGCCTGCGCCACGAAGTAAGATCTTGGTTCCTGGGGCTTGACGAATCTGGTGCATTACTGCCCGAAACCGGAAATCGTCAGGCACCTCGGTTGAAAGCACCAGGAAGCCATCCAGTCACTCAGTTGACGACGGTCCTATTTACATCCATAGATGTTTACGGCGTCTGCGAATAGGTGAACGCGTTGATCTTGTTCAACACTTGTGTCCTCATCCTCCGACAAGTTCTGCGCCTCTCTAGCACCGCTAATCTCTGGGTATCTTGATGTCGCGCCAACTCAAACCAACAGATCGCTCAAAGGCACCGATAACAAACCAACGCCACGCCATGCTATAAGGACCATGCTCTATTGAACTTGAGTCGATATCACTCCTTGTCAAAGATTTGCACATTTTCGCTGATTTCCCATATCCTGCTCTGATAATTCTCCTCGACCTCGTCCCCGTGCCCTCCAGCGATTCTCAAGATCAGATCATTCAGACTGCTCCGGCCGAGGATATCAACATGATCGCCAGTGTTCGGCCCACCACGTGGGCTGAATCGGTCGGGTTCGTGTGGCATTTCGTACGTTTTGATCTTGACCCCAGCTGGATTGTACCGTTTGATCTGTTTCCATCCTTTCGCGCACATGTAGCCCGTAGACAAGAGATTGACCGTGCCATCACCCTCACCAAACACGACACCACGATCGATGGCGCCTAACTGCTGTACACGACCGCCTGCTGAACTGACAGAGGTATCAATTGACACGTTGACATTTCCCTGCATAGGATTTTCGTTGTCTTTGTAGAAATAAGACCGTTCAGTGGGCTTCCCGATCCCATAAAAGCAATAGATCTTCAGTTTCGGCGCATGAGGAAGGCGAGCCTCTAGTGGATTCAGCCATGTCCGAGGGTCGTTTTCGTTCTGTTCTACCCTCGATGTCGTGTGTGCCACGCCGTGAGAGTAGGCGTGTCTGACTTGGTCCTGATACCAAGGCTCTGTACTTTCCATGAGGTATTCGAACGATTCAGCCATGGTCATGTTCTTCCGCAACGTTGTGCTAGAGTTGAGTTTGGGCTTGAAGGAGAGAAAGATCCCCTGGGTCTTGTTCTGCTGCGGATATGGTAAATCGTCCGGAGCCCAGGTACTATTGCCCCAGACTGCGTCTCCGCCTTTGGGCAACATGGAAGAAATTCCAGGCATCGCTCGAAAGAGTTCTGCTCGATCCTCTCGAGACAGAAATTTTTCCAAGCCATAAACTGCAAATGCGTTCAGTTGAGCTGTATCCTTCATTTCTCCAGATAAGACGGCAGGTATGTCTTTGGCTGTCCCAAGCATGCATCCAGAGATGTTGATCCAGGAATCAATGTAGTTATTGACCCATTTCTTACCACCTTTGCCATGGTCCTTATGCTCAACCCATTTCATGAAGTAAAAGACCACCTGACTACCCATAGAATGGGAGACCAGGACAACCTTCTTGCCGGAAGTGGCGTAAGCAACCTCAATATAGCTTTTCAGTCTGGTGAAGTACTGGTCTCGGACTTCCAGGTTGGCATATGAAAGACGCCAGTCGTAGGCCGCCGTGAATGCATTGGTCGGATCGTACCCGATAGTTGCCAGGTTCTCTAGGATTTTATTCCATATCCAGTACCCAGTGATGAAGAAATCTGTCGCATCAAAGCCTTGCGCCGCTCGGAGTTTGATGCCTGGAGGGTCAAGACCGGTATCTTTATCCAGCATAATATGTTTCTTCCACTCCGCTTGGTCTAGGACGAGTGCCCTCATCATCGACCATGATCCCCAAAGCCTCTTGCGAAAGTACTGCCTAGACTTTTCACCAGTCGACCAGGACTCCAGCCCAGTCGAGATAACTCCCGGAACCATAATGACTGGATGATGCGCCGATATACCCTGTGACTGTAAATGGAGCCCGACAGCAAAGGAATCATAATTGACCACATCTCTTTCTGCCTTGGACAAATCTTTCACATCGCTGACAATTCCTGCTGGAATGGCGTCCATCAAACTGTCCAGATTGACCTCCAGCAGTCCTTCCAGTTTGATGACATCTTGCGACTGTGCAAATAGAAGCGCCAGCACCAGCCCGAGTACGCCTCCCAGTCCAAATATAATGCCACTCTTCCTTTTGCTACTCTTTCCCTTTTTCAGTTTCTCGAGTTTTCGGCTCGGCACAAGTTTGAGCTCCTCTCCAGGTTCAGGAGTGACATCTCGACTGGAAGAGGATGACGGCGTGTCCCGTAGGACGTTGACGATCCGACGACGAAGGGCAGACATGCTTGCCCCTTGAACTCCTCGAACAATCAAGACTGACCGAGGAGCAGACGACAGTAGGCATTTGCACCGGCCGCGGGTAGTCCAGATGGATCTTTGTTGATCATTATTTTCTTGATGTGTGCCAGACCTTCACATGCAAGCAAGCAGTGGCAAGGGATCCTTGATTTCGTCACCAGACGGGAACCCGGACAAAATGCACAGATCTTCAGGGCACAACTTTAGCCGCACGACTTTGGAGGACAGCCTTCTCTTGCATTTCCCATCATGGCACGATTGAGCTTCCGGTAGGATTGGTCGTGTCTACTGTGTACGATGAGCAGCGATGTCGCGTCTGCTGCCCATAACGAGAGCAACTTCAACTCTCCCAGCGCACATTTTCAGGCCTATCCTCCCGGCATAACTTATGTTCAATATTCTCTAGAGAAGGAACCCGAATTCTTACCCCAGATTCGCGAACTGATCTCGAAAGATCTTTCGGAGCCTTACAGCATCTATGTGTACCGGTACTTCTTGTACCAATGGGCCGAATTGTGTTTCATGGCTATCGACACGACGGACAACAACAAGCTAGCTGGGGTCGTGATATGCAAATTGGAACCACATCGAGGAGGTCCTCTACGGGGGTACATTGCCATGCTCGCGACCAAGGAGACGTTTCGGGGGAAGGGGATCGCAACCACTCTTGTCAGTAAAGCGATCGACTTGATGATTGAGAAGAATGCGGACGAGATTGCCCTTGAAACCGAGGAAACAAATACAGCTGCCATGAAGTTGTACGAACGCCTGGGCTTTTTGCGGAGCAAAAAACTTCACCGGTACTATTTGAACGGCAACAGCGCATACAGGTTATTGCTGTATCTGAAGGAGGGAGTTGGAAGTATGCCCACAGAGGTAATGGACGATTTCACCGATATTCCACAATCTGTCCAAGATGAGTTCCGAGCTGGTCCGCACGAACGATAGGACAGTTAAGTCAAGGACATGGTCTGTATGGGTCTATCTGCGTACCAATCTGCAATGCTGGTAGCGGGTGCAGCGAAACAAGGGCGCCACAACACGACCCAAGTCGCCCGATCGATACCAGCATGCCTGGAAGCATCATGGAATCCCAGTCGAGGCCATGTCGATCGCACCAGCTGGGAGTGTTACCAGGCCTTGTATAATCAGCTTGGGCTCATAGTGTTCTCCGAGATCAGATCTGGGTTCATGCAAAGTGGTCATAGCAGTCACAAACAGCCTCCGATCCACTCTTCCCATCTTCTTACACCTTTTCCAGCCTCTTCGCCCTTGACCGCACCTCCAATGACGTCCACTTTGATATTGTACTCCTCCTCCAAGAGCTTGAACGTGAAGTTCTCTTCCCCTCCTCCACCAAGGACGTCCTCTTCAGCATCGGCTTCCGACTCTTGACCCACTGTTGTCAGGCCTCTGCTCTTAGAGACTCTTACCCTCTCAATTTCCGCTTGCAATCGCTCTTTCACTGCACCTGTGGGCAATGCTGTGAACAAGTCCTGCTTGTTTGCCGCGATCAAAATCGGGGCATCCGTCTTTGCTTTCGATTTGCCGGTGGCTCGTCTTTGTAATGCCAGCAGCGTATCGTGCAGATACAGGGCCGTGTCGCGACAGGTAGTCGAGTCGCTGGAGTCAAGTGCACTCGAATCGACCACGAAAACCACTCCGCGCAATGCAGGATTCTGGATTTGCGACAAGGCCTGTTCTGTCCTCAATTTTCCATGCCCAGGAGTATCAATCATGTGATAACGAGTAGGGTGCTTGTCTCTGAACGAAACATCGTTTTCAGAGCGATATTTATTCGACCCCAATGGTATTGAAGCCGGCAATAGTAAGCTGACATCAGTCGATGTCTGAGAGATGCGAGTCGGTGCGGGCTCGGATTCTTCTGGATCTGCGGATCTCTTTTGCAGCTGATTCAAGTTAGATCCGATATGTAGCCAGGAACTGGAGATTGCTCACGAGCGAAACCAGCGAAGTCTTGCCTGCGCCGCTGGATCCCAGCAGGAGAAAAGTTGGGACGACTTTGGCACGAGCAGTTTGAGTGTAAAAGTAGAGATGAAGAAGCGCAGGGAGCGATACGGTCACCAAGAACGCAATGAGAATGGCAATGGGGTCGCCTGAGAAGAGCCTGGTAGGCCAGCTATCAGGCGAAGACCAGCCCATGTTGAGCGCGTGGTGGGATCGTTGTAGGTTGAAATGTACATGGTTGTGGTGACAGGAGCGGTGGCAGATGTTTCGCGGGCGGAACGCCTGTGACTGACGTCCTCCGATGAGGCTGTGGAGCTTATGATCGGCGTGTCTTGCAGCGCGACCGCCGCGACGACTTTGCATTTATTTATGGTCCCCTTTTTAGGCGGCTGGATCAGTGGACTGCCCTGCAATTCGTGTTTCACCAAACTGCGGTCTCACCAACCTCGACGAAGGCCTTTTGATCACCAAGAATCTTAACCTGGCTTTCACTCGTTTGTATCTGTGCCAACGTCTTTCTACAACGTCTTATTATTCGCGACTCCTCTTCCTCCCACAGAACCTTATACACTTTAAGACGACATCATGATCTTACGGCCCTTCCTCTTTCTTGCAGCCTGCCTCCTATCCTTCGTCCTCGCCGATGTTGAAGTTACCGGACCTGAAGCCGGAGACACCATTACCGGACTGAAATTGAGTATAACGTGGAAAGACTCTGGGACCTCTCCAGCACTTTCAGACCTCGCCTCATACCAGCTCTTCCTCTGCGCAGGTGGAAATAAGGATTCGAACTATGTAAGACCGCGCAGGTGATCTGTAACACGTTGCATACTGACATTTCACCAGATTCAATTAGCGACTTTGGTAGCAGACGGTGACTACACAACTGGAGACTCAGTCGACGTGACTCTGACAGCCGGATGGGGTGCGGATGTGGAGAATGCATACTTCTTGAAGTTCATCTCTGCGGCTACAGGAGGCACTGTCATCAACTTCTCCGACCGCTTCACCTTGTCAGGCATGACGGGAACATTTTCCACGACGGTCACAGAAGGCCTGGCGACCATCTCTGGTACTGACGGACCCGCAACGGAGAACAATATCGACGATACTACTACAGACACTACTACAGCGGTCGCAGCTGGAGAATATACTGTTGCCTATACACTACAAACAGGAACAATCCGCTATGCCCCAATGCCTCCCATGGCCCAGACTTCGATTACCGCAAAGAATGCCTCGCCTCAGTGGCCAACAAGTGCGTATACTGTGTACAAGACGGTGGCAGGGACACCAAATGCCGCGACTACAAACACTCTAGCCCTCACCTTCAGTACCTCAAGTCGAGAAGCGACAGTAAGACCACATCACCCGCCTTCTGCTTGTAATCAAACTGACACGAACAGGTTGCTGCGGCTGGTCAACCAACTGACACGGCGATGGCAAAGTTCTTGGATCGGTGGAAGGACTGAGTTCATCCCCTGTACGGATTAATGAATGCATGGCATGGCGTCAAATGTGTATAGGCTTTGTTGGAATGGAGTTTCTGGTTTGCTCTTCATAAATATCATATCCCATGTGCTGGGATAACGCCTCAACACCACGCTGTCTAAAAATGACCGTCATTGAATGGAATCCCCAGATTACCGGTATATTTCGTCGAAGGGCCTCGTGTCTCTAAAGCAACTATCCCAAACCTCGTTGACAATCTTGACCGCGTGTACGTCGTCTTTGATGCCTGGTCGTTTTCTCATCGACTCTACGGCTCTTCGCCGAACGCAGTCTTGGTGGTGATTTGTAAATGCTCCGACGTGATTGCGAAAGAACTCGTTTGACCACCGACATTCGCCGCTGAGGTTGCTCGCTCGAATCTGTGGGTTTTCAGCATGAAGAAAGTCAATCATGGGGTGTGTGATTACCTCTGAGCAAGCACTGTGACGCAAATCATCATCCTCACTGATGCTCGTTTTGAATCGCAGATGGTCATAGGCATGCACCATTTCATGAGCCATGACATCTTCGAGCATGCTTCTCTGTTCAAGACGATTGGCGCAAAGCACAATTCCATATTCGTGGTCGAACCCTCCTAATCCTCCTCCTCTGCATGAGCGACACCGTATGTTGTGAGACCCAACATCTCCGCCCAGTTTTTGTATGTTGTCCTTCATGTACCGTATGATCGGGGAGAATTTCAACAAATAATCCCTTTGGTCTTCACAGCGTTTGCAGTCTATTTTTGCAAATCGTCGATCGGCGTCATCCCAGTATGCCTTTACACCTTCCTCTGACATCGTACCAACCGCCATGCGGTAGAAGTTTTTGAATCGAGCGGACCATGTGTCAGATGGGAGGAAAGCGGAGCCAGCTTTAGATGGCACGGAGGGCTCCTTGGAGTCGGATGGCTGGAGCAAGTCAGAACCAGCTTGAGATGGCACGGAGGGCTCCTTGGAGTCGGCCATGGCGAGTGAAATGGCTCGGAGCCAGGAACCAAGAGGAGAGCGACCGAGAAGAACCGTCGAAGAGGTGAGACCGATGCGCAATTGCTGGCGATAAATGCAGGGCAAGGCAAGTTCAGCATGGATTCAATTCGAGTCGAGTAGTTCGCCACATCATAATTTCCACAAGGCTGCGACAGCCTTGCAGCTTCGATCACCAATCAGACATTGGCGGGATGTGACTTCGAAAATAGGAAATTTTAGGACGTTAATCCAGTCTATCACATCAAGGACCCGTCCATTGCCTTGTCTTCGCAGGGCGTGGTACCCTCTATTCGCTCCTTTTCTGTTGCTTTCGCTTCAAAATGGTAGATATCGTTCAGGAGGAAATGCGGCGGACTACATCAAATATCTCACCACAACAATGAAGCCCGGACGACATTTGACAATAGTCATTAAAATCGGTAGAAATATACTCAGCCTTATTCTGCAAAAGTATCAGCTGGGCTCACGATTGTTATAGGAACTTCGTCGATCGTCGATGAGACTACACACGAGCCTATCCTTTCTATTCTGTCATTGATTGTCGAGACAGCCATAAAATTACGCCGAGATGGCCATCGTGTGGTTATCGTATCCTCGGGCGCTATTGGAGTTGGGCTGCAGAGGATGAACATGCCTAGACGTCCTAAGCACCTTGCTCAAGTTCAGGTATGATTGTCCTTGTGTATCACGAGGTTATTTCTCACTCATGACTCCCCTCCAGGCTTTAGCAGCCATCGGCCAGTCCAGATTAATGTCAATATGGGATTCACTATTCGCCCACATGAACCAGCCAGTCGCTCAGATCCTCTTGACAAGGAATGACATTGCCGACCGGTCACAGTTCCTCAATGCGCAGAACACACTAGCAGAGACGTTACATCTCGGTGTGATTCCGATAGTCAATGAGAACGACACCCTCGCCGTGGCCGAAATCAAATTCGGCGACAACGACACCTTATCCGCGATCACGGCGGCCATGGTCCATGCAGACTATCTCTTCCTCATGACCGACGTCGATTGTCTGTATGACAAGAACCCGCGAAAGTTCCCAGAAGCGCAGCCTATCCTGGTCGTCGACGACATCGACGCTCTTCAAGCCGACGTTTCCTCGGCCGGCTCCGCCCTGGGCACAGGCGGCATGGCCACCAAGATCGTCGCCGCACGTCTCGCAACCGCGGCAGGAACGTCGACTATCATCACGAAATCGTCAAAACCAGGCAACATCGCCTCCATAATTCGCCATCTCCATCCGCCAACAGATGAAACAGGTGATGGTGTTCTCACTATCCCCGTCCCACCTCTGCACACGCGCTTCGTCCCATCAAGCACTCCAATCCGCAATCGCGCATTCTGGATCTTGCACGGCCTCGCCCCTCACGGGACTATTTATATCGACCGCGGCGCGAGCAATGCACTGGCCAACAAGGCTGGCCTGCTTCCCGTTGGCATTGTCGCGGTCGAGGGCAACTTTGCACAGCAAGAAGCGGTCAGGCTGGTTGTAGTAGACAAGCATCCACTCGGCAGCCTCTCACCTAGTGGTGAGTCCAGCACGACGTCAATGCACCTTGTACTGCGTGGCGAGGAGATTGGTCGAGCCGTGGTCAATTACTCGGCCGGCGAGGTGGCGCGGATCAAAGGCTTACGGAGTAGTGAGATTCTGGGTATCCTGGGGTACGCGGATAGCGAGTACGTTGCGTTCAGGGAGAATGTGAGTCTCAACGTGACGGACAAGAGCCGGCCAGAGACGCCCAGTGGATTTCACACGCCGAATAAAGAGCCGACACCGGATAGTAGTATCGCGGATCTGAGGATAGGGCAATGATGAATGACCAACAACTGTACTTATGTTAACGTGTATTGAGCTGTTTTCAGGATTCTTCAATAGCAGCTCAAACGGCGATTGGGGCTTGACGAAAGCTGACAATGGTAGTTTCATCGCATGTGGTAGCGGAGGGCTTCGTGCAAACAAATGATGGTAATGATTGACTGAATACAAAAAACCCTGAACAGTCCAGCCTGCCCTGTAACGTCCCCTTATTGATAGTTTACAATTCGCCAACCAGAAACAAGGATGCGAATATGCTACTTAGGGGCCGAAAGATACCCTGGACAGTTTACAGCAACAAGTCCACCTATGCAGAATGAGGGACCTGACCTTGAAACATAACCTTGATGCAAGTTTCCCATAAAGAGCGACCAAACAATGTTCCGCCTCAGATTTTCCCTACCTAAACCTTCACTTGCCCACCTCCAGAATAGTTTGCTCCGGACAAGCCGCATTTCTTGAGGCAGGCTTCGAAGCCTGGCTGGCTGCCTGTCCCGATGGCTGGAATTTCCTGCGCGGTGGCGGACCAATTGCCGTCCGTGAGATTGATGAAAGGCATGACAGTCATGGCCATGTTCTGCGGCATCATGAAGAACGTCTGCGCGACATTAATTGTGCCTGGATCATCACTGTTGAGGAATGAATAGAGTAGATTCTGCTCACAACCTGGGGTCTATCAGCGAAGTCTGCCAGATCTCTTTGCTTTATCAACTCACCCATGTTGTACATTGCATGTATGCTTGCGGGAGGAAATATGGTCATCATTCCCGGCGTGAGGACCTGTTGGACAAGGCGAGCTCCATTCTCCTGCACCATATATGTATGTGTTGATCCGCTCACTGCCACGACGAGATTGTTGGCACGATGAAGATGCGGCGCAAGCATTGAGCAGGGTCCTAGATTGAGTTGCGCAACAGTCGCTCCGACGGTTGAAAGGACAGGCCATGTGGCGGCATTGGCATTGCATACGCTGCCTGGTTGCAATGAGTACATGGGGTTAGCCGTGAAGTTGTACATGAGCTGCTTATCCGACAGCATGTTGAGTTGATCCAGCATGGTTGCGGCAGTCTTGAGCTTTGCAACGAGTTGCGGGTCCACCGTCTTGTCGACTGCAAGAGACGGCGCTGGCGCGACGAAAAGCGCGAGCAGGGGTGCAAGTCCAACACAAGCTGAAATGATCATCATGGGTCGTCGGCGGCGGATACAAATGTAGCTGATATTGAAGGTTGCGATTGAAGTAAACACCGCGGCCAGCAGAAGTCCTGGATGGGCTAAGTCTTGAAAGCCGTCGAGTCCTGAGGAAGAGCCTTGAAGTATTTTGCTCCAGCTCCAGCAGTCCGGGGCGGTCGAGCAGAACCAGGAGATTGGGTCGGTAGATGACACAGACATGAGGTGATTCCGACTTTATGGACCTTCCAAACTTACCGCTTCCCGTCTCCTTTCGAGTTCTGCTTACTCGCGATCTGGGATGTTTCGGGGAGGTAAAGTTTGGCCGCAGAAGAGAAACTGGCTCTCCCAAGCATTTCTACCAGGGTGGTGAGGGACCACAAGATTCCATTGGTACTGGCTAGCTTATTCCTTTCGACAGATCAGAGAGATGATTTGTTACCGAGTCAGATGTTGGGTTTCGATCGCGAAACAATCCCAGCAGGTTGTGTTTCGCCACGAATTCGTGGCACCGAGGGATAAATGATACCTGGGGATGAATGACAAACTCTTTCTCGCACATACCTTCCCAGAAGCACTACAACCACGGGTACCACGGTCTGGTGAATACGCTTCGGGTCCAGGTAAGTTTCTTTTCGGCTACTAGCATCATAGTGCAGCCCATCCAAATACTGTAGACGGTGATGTCGAGGCTTTTCGTACAGGGCCGATGCTATGCCGCGCTTCGACCGTCGTGTAAGTTACTTAGAAAGTCAGCTCTGCGAGGTTCGACTTGAGAAGGTTGCCGATGGTGTCCTTCTTTCTTGACTCTCTGAGAATCTGTTGTAGACCAGATGACCTGACTCACGAAGAGAAATGGAATTGTCAAGATACTTTGAATGATTTTAAATCCCCCCTGAGACGTCCTTGCTGTATTCAGAGCACACGAATGATAACCCTCTCGTAGATTGCACGATGAGCAAAGTGGCTTGCACTTGTACATTGTTAGCAAGTGCTGAGACTTGGTTTCCAGTGTAGCCTTGACCTGTGCAATGTAATTGTTGGAAGTTGAGGGTTGCTCTTGTCCAGCCGTTGTTCGTTCTTGCCATTCAGCACGAAATATCATACGAGCAAATAGAGTCGGTGTAGCTGTCAGTTTGCTCTGGGGAGTACATCCCATACAGGACTTCGTTGTGAACGGGTGCAATAGCATGTACGTTGATGATACTGTACCTGCTTGCGCAACTGCGAAGCGGTAAGCAATGTTAGTCTCTCACCTGGTGCGATGACCAGAGCCGTCTTCAACCTCGATCGCACAACCTGATCTTTGCACAACGCGGGGCACCGGCCTTCCAGAAAAGCGATCCTGGTTTCGATCGAGGTAATTGTCATGAAGCTGGCTACCCGCATAGAACAAGTACGCGGGTCGGATTGCTGCAGAAAAAGCGAGGTTGGTTCACAGACCCAGAAAAAGAGGTCATCTTGCCCATTTTCGGTTACCCTCATCGTTCACAGCAGGAGGACTCGAGAATGAGCATTGTGAAGGGACCAAAGACAAATTGTGCAGATATGGCTATTTCTCCCTGCACAATGGTGTGAGTGTCGGGTGTGGGCGCACCTTTGTTTAAGCATGGCCGAGAGATTTCAAGGGTAAAGGCCTTACCTGAATGACGGCCTTGCAGGCGTGCTGCCGCACGTGATTCTCAGTGGCTTTACCGGGTTATCTCGTCTAAGTTAATCTCGTACCCAGCCGGCTTGAACCCAATCCATGCACACGTCACCGTCCACAGTTCTCGGGATAGACTACTGTGGTATGCACTCATGATGTGTGCCTTCTGTCCCAATCTCTTCCAGCATGTTAGTTTTGCAGAGGCATGGATCTTGTTCAATGATACAACCATCCTTGTAAACCATAAGAAACCTCACCCCGTGGTGAGTTAGCGTTTCCTAACGTTTCTTCGGAAGAGGCTGCGGAATGACATCGGCTCTAGCAAGGGTACAGGCTAGGGAGGCGCAAGAGAGAGATAGGGATGAGCATGCTTTCTTGACAGGAAGAAGAGGACGCTTTCCATCCCGTTGCACCTAAGCGATGCAGACAAAGATGTACTTAGTGGAAAGGCTCGATGATCGGTTCGAGGCTCTTCGACAGGTTAGACGATGTTGGCGTGGTAGATGTTGACGAATTGGTCTTCGCTTGTCTTAGAAATCCGGAGAGACTCGCTGCTGAAATCGTGGGTTTGCTGCTAAAGTGCCAGTGTGGATCGGAATCAGGGGGTTGAGCGTGGCTTATTGATTTGGCCTGATGGAGTTTGGCGTGTGTTACGAAAAGTCGTGCCTGCAGCCGTTGTCTCCTCCCTGGGGGGCCGCCTCTATCCTTGGGTGCAGCTGCGGGCGGGCTCAAGCATGCGGTACCAGTGCCAGGAAATCCCAGGTCCAGGTTCAGGGATACGTTACGTTCCGTGAACTCGCCGTCTTTCACACAAGAAAGTCTTGAGTTGTGACCAAGAGGATAGTACACCCAAGAGCTGTTCCGAAAGATATTCAGAAACACTCACTACACCAAGAGCGAGTCTGTCTCATCCTCGCTACTCCGTACTGTCTCTGACTTGTTAAGCGACCTACACTCCTCCCTACGAAACTCGCCCTAAACCTGTCAACCCTTCATCAGTTAATTGGCGAACCGCCCTCACTGCTGCTGCACCTGTCATTTGCAAGCCTTTATTCGCCCTTCCTCAGCTTTCGCACAATCGGCGGTGCACCTGGATCCAATACATCAGCTTCATCGACCAGACCTTTCCTGTGCCTTGCGATCGACACGGTCCGTCGTGGTCTTTACGAGAGATCCCTCCTAACCGATCGCCGACCTCCTAGCGCCCGCCCCTTGCGATATACCGACACTCACCCGCAACCTCTACTGTGTTGGCAGTGCACCTACTGTTCTCTCGTCGCAATATCATATACGGGCTTGAAGGCATAAAAGGAAGACGCACCGAAATCGAGGATCCATGAATGTCATGGCCGGCTGAACGAGCGCCATGTTCTGGTCCGCGACGGATTTCAGATTTATAGGCCATTCAAAACAAGAATCAAGGAGTTTGATGAGCAACCACACACAGCTATCATCGAGGGTTCACATATCCTGAGAGGCAAGTCAGTATATTCTTCAAGAGGGGGAAAGAAAGCCACGGACATCACGACACGCGGACCCAATAATTCACCCAGGTCATTCTGATTGTAGTCTGGACCAACTCTGCATATCGACGAAATCATCATTCGTCAAGCGCAAAACGATTGAAGACCAGACAGCTGCAGGTACAAGCCTGCCAGCACAGTATTGCCGGCAAGACTGCAGACCGTTGGAGGATTAACTCTGCATCTGCAGTGCAGCCACCAACGACCGCGACTCGATACTGATCACTATTCGCCTGCCCGCTCATATCAATGTACGCTCCATTCAACAAGCATTATCCCAGTATCTGATCGTTCATACGTTCAGTATACTGCCAAAGATAATGAGCTCAGCTGCGACACCTGCCATATACAACGACGAACTTTCAAGGTCCAATCCAACGTTGTCCTCCGGGTATACGATCAAGAAGTCTGCTCCAATCTCGATTCGAACATCGAAAAATGCGCATTTAAAGCGGAAATCGAAGAGTCCAGATCGACATCCTTCAGCGTACGTCCGGGGCGGGAGGGATCATTCCGAAACTCGACTTGCGCAGCTCAGTCCCAATCTCAATATCAATCGCTGGTCTCATTCCACTTCTTCCAGTGTATCGGCAATAGATACGGAGGCAGTCCGCGTGAAGGCCAACACATCCCGACGAATGAGTGCTGGACCGTCCCTGATCCCGCCGGTCTCGAGCAGTCGAGGCCAAAGAGTTTCACAGTCCTTCATGGTTCCCAGATCCATCAGTCAAAGTCCGCATCGCCTGCGGGACCCCACCCGCCTTCAGGTTGATCGCAATCATACCTCACGAGATGTAAGTCCTGGCGGGGTCTCGCCGCTGACACCCACCTCAATGTTCAACCCTGCTGCAAGTGAACACTTCGGCGAGTGGCAGGCCCGGAAGATCGGCAAAGCCGGAGAGCCTGTTACAATGTCGGTACATTACATGAGAACCACTGAATCGGGTAATCTCAGGCCTACCGACAATATCGCATCACAACATATCTCACAGAATATGCGTCCCAGCACTCGAGAGGGAAGACCAGAGTCGGTGGCTCCAGTCGAGGCGACAGACTCTGCAGCAGCCAGCATACCCGGCCAGGGGAGGAGTCACCGGAGCCCAGCGCAGAAAACCATATTGTCGAAAGCACTTGCAAAGGCGAACAATGCTGTCCTTCTGGACAATGCACAAAACATAGAAGGTGCTATAGAGGCCTATGCTGAGGCCTGTGATCTTTTACAACAAGTCATGGTCCGCAGCTCCGATATGGACGATAGAAAGAAATTGTCCGCCATCAAGAGCACATATTCGAACAGGATAGCGGAACTTCATGACCTGGATGATACCTTTTCTGGGTTGATGGAAAAAGAGCTTCCGGAAGATCCTCCCTTCGACGAAACTAATCAGTCATTCTTCACAGGTGATGGCCTGGAACCCGATACGACCCTCATACTGGAGTCGGTTCAGATTCCTCCTCGGCAGGAATCATTATTACCTGAGATCTTTGGTGGAGAGACATACATCAACAACTCCTCCAACCACAAGAGTATACGTATACCCAGTCTGGCTATTCCGATGGACACACAGTACATGCCCCCTCCGCTCTCACCTAAGAGACCCCTATCTGCCGCTTCTGAAAGGGACACCGACACGCCATTAGCTCCCATGCGTCCTAATGATGTGGTTAATAACATCATGAATGCCCGGGAAGAAGGTACTACAGAGTCCACTTCGTGGTTGGATACTGTCGAAGATGGTGAAATTTCGTCCAGATCTTCAAGACTATCGTCGATTGACCTTGGAATACACCATACCGAGAATCTGGTCGATAATATTGAGGCAGAGTTCGACGCTGCTCTGGATGCTGCTGTTGATGCAGCCTATAACGACGACGCGGCTCCCGAAGATTCGACACCCAAGCCGGACAGAAATGCACAAGATGTGTTCAACATAAATATGCCAGCATTCCAATCGATTCTGTCAGGGCATGCTCCGCTTGAGGCTGACTCCGGCCTTACCCGAGAGTACGATGATGGCGATTCCTCTGACGAAGAGGAGCGGATGCTCGAGGAAATGACCAAAGGTTACTCTTTCGATGATTTCTCCTTCGACAACAAATCCAAGTCTGCTCTACCTCGGCAGTCAGACTCGAGCACTTTCTCCGGACAGACTTGGGCAAGCTCTGTGCCGTCAACAACAGCGACAACTATTACGGCTCTGAGCACGCTAAGAGAGTCCCAGGAGCCAGCACTCGAGCAATCACCGCGACCTCTTCCCCCTGCGAAAGATTCTCCAAGGACATCACCTCCTAAAGCACCACTTCCCCTCCCGCCTACGTTACCTGTGCCTCAGTCTGGCAGCAGACCCAATAGTTTCGATCGGTATGGTGGACTCGGCATCCGGGAGAGAAGATTTTCCGGCAGGAGCGGTGAACAACTCAGGGTCGAGACCTTCGCTAGACGAAATTCATCAACACTATCAGGCAAACCCCTTCTACAAACACCAGCTGCCTCGCAGGCGTCGGGTCCTTCTGCGCAGAATGTTCCTCGTACGGCGCCACTAGAGAACACACCGTCGTTACTGGCTGGAGGCGAACCTCCCTCAATGGCGACTGTCCCGTCAATGGAATCGTTCCAAAGTGAGTCTCCATCAACACCTGCTCTAACTCAAGGCGGCTCTCAGGGGAGCATCGATGAATCCATGATACCGCCTTCCCCTGCGCGATTTGGGAAGATGGTTTCGCCGCAGGGAGGAATCAAGAACAATTCGTCTTCCTCAAGTCTAAGGCCGAGAAATTTGTCGGTTGCGACTATCGAAATGAGCAATGAGTCTCCCGTGACGCCCATCAGCGGGAACCTTGGTGGTGAGGCGAGTAAGGTCCCGCCACCGCATCCTCTTTCAGCCTTGCCCACCCCATCGGCAGCAGCTTTTGGGCCGACTTTGCTTCAAGCTGGCGGCATGTACCTGTTCGATGATCATACCGGTGTCCCTGGTTCTCCAACAACTCCGCGGAACCCGAGCGCTTCGTTAGATCCACCGCAGCCCCTCGAACCCTGTCCGGAATCATTTTTCCTACGACCCTTCTGGCTGATGCGCTGTCTATATCAGACTTTGGCACATCCGCGAGGTGGCTACCTGACGACAAACCTGTTTATTCCGCGCGATATCTGGCGGGTGAGGAATGTCAAACTCAAGGCTCTCGAAGACAAGGTTTCGCAATGTGATCTCTTGACTGCTGCCCTGCAGAAATTGGCGAAGGTCGATACATTCGATGCAGATGCAATGCTCGAGGAATTGCAATGTTTCGAGACTGTTTTGGACCAGGTTCGGGTGACGTTGCTGAAGAAAATCGGCAGTGATGTGGGATTCGGCGGCTCTTCAAATCTCTTCAAGCCGAACAAAGAAGATGAAGGAGCGGGCAAGACGAATACCACGACTGGCAAAGGCTTCGCTTCCAGCTGGCGAAAATTGAGATCAAAGTCAAGCGCGCCTGCGATGGGAAACCCCATAGGTCCGAAAGATGCGGCTGCGTCTGGGTTGACCATCCCTTCGTTGCCGATGACCTCGTCGTCTTCAATCCAGTCATCTCGATCGCTGCACAGTCGCAAAATGTTACCACCACCAACCCCAACCGCCATGCCTAATATACAAACCATTCACGCCACTTACATGTCGAGTCTCGCCCGCCTTTTTGGTGCCGCCCAAGTGTTGGACGCGATCGCAAGGCAGGTCGAAGATCCAGGCCTGAAATGCAGCAACAAAACCCAAGTTGGGTTGGAACTGGGAGTTAAGAACGCAGCGGAATTTTTTGCCTTTTACATCATCCGGTTTGTGATGGCCGATCTGATGCTGATGGTCGACAAGTTTTTGAAACGGGGGACAGAATGGGTCCTTACTTGAATGTGTCTTACGAGACAAAATCTGATGCCTTTACTATTTTGCATTCACTAGGAGTTGTTTTTCTTATGATACCAATCATCGGCCATTGCTGCGTCGCTCTGTGTTGAGAAGAGCAGGACTTTATATTTGTCATGCGCGGCGTACAGGCGAGGTACGGGTGTATATAGATCTGCATCCATGGGTGGCTATGTAGCTGAGATATGCGGCGTATCGAATATCTTGCTCAGTGTGCATGAGATTTGCAACGAATTTTATATTCATGACGTTCGTCTAGTTGTAGCCCCAACCTGTCTCTCGAGTGAAGCTTGCTTCCCATGAGAATACTTCGACGTTGAGAGGGCTCTTACAAGGGGTATCACGGTGATGAAAGCATGTCTGCCGCCACAGATTTTCCATTATCTGCCCTTGAAGACGGGCTTTCTCTTCTCGGCGAACGCCTTGAGCGCCTCGACGCGGTCTTCAGTCTTCAGGATGACATCGTACGCCTCGTTTTCAGATGGCTCGCCGCGTTGCCAGCCGTTCATCGCGCGCATTGCCTGAGTCACAGCTATAGGTCCACCTTCACAGATCTCGTTGGCGAGTTGTAAACTTGCATCAAGGACCTTTTGCCGTGCCTTGCCTTCTTCTTTCGCCTCTTCTGGCGTCACTTCGACCAGGCGATTGCACAGACCTAGAAAATATGCCTCTGCGCCGCCAACTCGTCGTCCTGTCAGGATGAGGTCGCGTGCGCGGTTGACACCAATGAGTGCGGGGAGACGATACGTCCCACCTGCACCGGGGATGATGGCTAGCTTGGTCTCGGGTTGGCCTACGATCGCAGTTGAACTGAAAATGCGAAACGTGGTGCAAAGTGAGATCTCGGTGCCACCTCCTAGGGCAACAGAAGAAATGGCGCTGATGGTCGGGATGGGGAGGTTCGATATTTCGGTGAACGTGTTCCGCATGGAGCTGAGGAACTCGAGGGTTCTATATCTTGTCAACAGGGATGATTTGCTCGGATTGTCCACACATACTCTTCATGGGTCATGCCTTTTCGTTCCCGTAGATCTGCGCCTGCGCAGAACGCTTTATCGGTATTAGACGCGAGGATTAGGGCTCGGGTTGGACCTGAACCGTTCTCGGCTTGGATTTCGGAAACGTGTTCTCGGAGGTCAGACACAAGTCTGCGTGAGAGGGCATTGCGAGCTTCTGGACGGTCGAGAAGAAGGACGCGGATCTTGCCTGAGTTGGGCGCCGGGTGGACTTGGACTTTGATGGGGGATGCGTTAGTGGAGGAAGATGCGTAGGTCCGATAGTGCATGCGAGAAGCGCGAAGGAGGCTTCCAGTCCTATATGCCAATGAGGTTCGCATGGTAAGCGAACTGTGGTGTTAACCTGTGTTGTGTTGACCTGCAGCATGCGAGGGCATTGAGCGCAGTTAATTGTCTGGGGTAGCACATCGCGGTTGGAGTCGCCCGAGAAAGCCCGCAGAATAGGCGTCCGGGCCGACAGCCGATTCTTGGCTGATGCGGAGATTGAAGCAGCCTTGATTCCCTTAGTGTCGTGCTTGACATTTTGATAGCAATTGAAGTTGTGGTAGTCGGCAATCACCAAGACTGTCAAAGTCAGCAGCAGTCGCCCAAGCTATACGAGTATTGTTCGCGAACGTGTTGTCAACAGGCTGCCCTCCCCCAACGTGTGTGAGGTCGAAACATGGATGTATCCATGCTGGCCGATACAATCTCTGCGCTCGAAGACCAGACCTGGCGAGCCTTGATGGACAACGGTCGTGCCCTTCTTCCATTCCTCAGCCGTGACTGTGTCATGCTCTTTCCCCTGGGTATGAAGATATCAGCCAGAACACAGCCGAACCTCGAAGACGTCATGAAGTCAGAGGCATTTGTGCCATGGAGACGTTACAGATTGAGCGATGTCGAGGTCACGCCGTTGGGAACAGAAGCGGCATCCATCACATATCGAGTCAAGGCAACGAGACAGCATATCACCGACGACGATGATGAACGTTCTGATGAATTCCGAGCCTTGGTTTCGAGCGTCTGGAAGAAGGATGCTGAGGCTGGAAGATGGCAGATGTGTACACATCAACAGACACCATACGAGGAGGAGCTTTAATGAATCTGTCAATGGAATGAAACATAACCATTAGGATATACTGTGGTATAGCATTGAAGGTCGTTGTAGCATGGTCTGAACATCTTGTCCGTAGTACTTTAGGCGAGATTGATAGTAATTGCATGTGGAACTAATGATTTAACGGCGTGCTGCACAATGACATCACATCTTCAACTGCCACGGGTTTAATAACCGAGTCCAATGACTTTCCAGTCGTGGGGAAGCGTCTTGCGTACTGTAAGAGTGACGTCGGGGTCGCAGCGAGCAGTGAAAAGGGCACTTTCCTTCTGTCCACCAGACAACGCCTGACCTCATTTTTTACCGCAGCTTTGTATAGCAAACAAAACAACTCACACTTCCTTGAAAGCTACCTCTACAATTACCAGGACTTCCTGAAAACGCACAACCATCACAATGTCTTTCCTTTACACTGCAACACCCGCTCTGCGAGCCGTAGCACGTGCCTCGGCCCTTCGTCAATCCCCTCGTCTTTTCTCCACCACCCTGATTCAGCAGAAGTCACCCGTGGATTCTGCCAAAGACACCCTCAAGTCAGTTGACCGAGCTGTCTCCGATGCTGCTGTATCTGGAATTGACAAAGGAGGTGAGTACAGAGAAAAATCGTCTTCACTTTCAGATGTGCTAAGTGATATTCAAGTCGAAATCAAGGACAAGGTCAAAGCAGCTGCAGGCGTCGAAACCAGCAAAGCTGAGGGCAAGGCCTCAGAAGTCGCCGGCGAGGCAAAAGGAAAGGCAGCTGAGCTCAAGGGACAGGCCAAGGGCAAGGCCGAAGAGATCAAGGGAAAGATGTCATAAATGATTCGCGATTGTTCACTCTCAGAGATGAAGAATGCCTAAACGCATTCAGCTCCCGTCAGGCCATACTGCGACGGAGCAAAAACTGGCGTTCCATGTACAGTAATCATCATACCAATGAGCGCAATACCCTGGCTCGCTCTTGGGAATTATATTGAGTGCTCGTGAATCTGCCAACTGGTGATCCGACGCTGGTCGCGTGACTGTGGTCGTTGCTCATTCCTTCGTTAACGACCTCATGAAATGTGTGCGGTTTGAGGATTTGCAGCCGAATTTATCAGCTCTCCTTCGGACGTAAGCCCTCGACAGCTTCAGAATCATTTAGTCGTGGCATCGGTTGCATAACCCCCGAGTTGGAAAAGTGTTTCCGGTATGCCTCTCCCTCTTCGTCTTTCAATCCATATTTTGATGGATCCCGTTTTTCAAGAAAATGTTTTATTCGACCTTCTGCCTTCTCCGGATAGTTCTCCTCTCTCGTTGCTAGAAAGCTTCTGGTCTTTTGTGTATTTTCGTTGACCTTCTCTTCCAGCCGACCTGAGAATTGCCCTGCCCTTGTCGCTTGAAACACTCCAGAAAGCACGGCCAACAGAATAACGAAAGATGCAAAGGCATTCGGGTGGACGTATGTACCGGAATATGCTTGTTTCTCGGGGTTATCGCGCCTCCTGTACCATCTCTCCCAATCCTCCCACGTCGCATTCTGGAATATCGTGGAATCGTCATCGGGCCCAAACCCATATCTTTTTCCTTCCGCATTGGTGAAGCCTCTTGAGTGTCGTGTGGCCCCTGTTCGACTGTTACCCCAGCCTGCGCCTGATGCGTCAAACGCTCGTTTTTTGGCTGGATCCGATAGGATCTCATGTGCTTGGACCACAAGCCTGTATCTTTCCAATCTTTCTATGTCGCTGATGCCGTCCAGAGGTATACTGCCGCTACTGTCTGGGTGGTATATCTTGACCAATTTGTAGAATTTATGTTTCGTGTAGACTGCGCCCTTTTCTAACTCGAATATCTCGTACGGTGAGGGCGTCCAGGTGGCATTCTTCCTGCAGGGCCAATTCATGTTATCTCGAAATTCGAATCCATCCTTGACATCCGCGTAAGTTCTCTGTGGCGTGAACCTGGGATCGGCCTTTAACCTTTTGCGCGGAGATGAGGGCGAAGAGCAGCAGCACTGGAATGAACTGTACAGAGCCGGGAAATTGGTCTTTCTCAGTAACGATGAAGGCATTTCGACCTGCAAAACTGCCTTATCGATACCGTGAAGAAGAGTCGAAAGAGGTCAGACGAGCAAACGGCACAGAACGGGTGGGGAAGTCAAAGTCGTGCACGTCAATACCGGGTTCTCTTCGGGGATCAATTTAGTGGGAAACCTTGCCGATCCCGCATATTTGTGCCTTTCTGCACAACATTTTGAATTTTGTGCCTTGCAGCAATGCCATATTCAGAGTCAACTTCGCCTCTGAGGCGACGGCACGAGGCCAAAACCGAAAGCTCACGCCATGAGCGGAGGGCGAGTGAGCGATATAGGTCGAGAAGTCGGGAACGACGTGATCGATCGAGGAGTCCAGAGGAAAAGCACCGGAAACACCGCGAACCAAGGAGGTCGAGGAGTTCAGAGGACAGACACAAAAACCACCGGGACAAGAAAAGTTCGGATAGCAAAGACAACAAAATAGTTAGGAGGAGTCGTGATAGAACATCTCGCTCCCCTCGAGGACGTTCGTCCGAACCCTTTCAACGCAGCAAAGCTCCACTCCCGTCGCAGGTCGATGCATTCAAAGGCGATACCGATGCCCCTTCTCCAGGGCCTGAGAAGCAAAAGCCAAACTTCCGTCCTTCTGGACTATTGGCCGCAGCGTCAAACACAATCGCTACGTCAGCCGGTGCGATTGTGCTAAAATACCACGAACCACCCGAAGCCCGAAAGCCGCCCTCTTCACAGTCATGGAGGTTGTACATTTTTAAAGAAGATGAGATCCTGGACACGATAGACTTGTACACTCAGTCCTGCTGGCTCTTCGGTCGGGAAGTGTCTGTCTGTGATTATGCTCTAGAGCATCCAAGTTGTTCAAAACAACATGCTGTAATTCAGTTTCGGTATGCTGAAAAGAGAAACGAATTTGGGGACAAAATCGGCAAGGTGAAGCCATATGTGATCGATCTCGAGAGTGGGAATGGCACGACACTCAACGACGAGCCGGTACCAGAGGGTAGGTATATGGAGCTTAGGGATAAGGATGTGATCAAATTCGGACACTCTACAAGGGAATATGTGGTCCAACTACCACCACGATGAGCACTATCATTGCATTTTTGCACAGAAACTGCAGCGCCTCAAGGCCAATCGACCGGACCTTTTCGAAGCCACATCAATAGATTAGTCTTCACGTGTAACGTCGCAGACCTCGCACCATTTCCGCTTCACTGCCAGCCTCGCCTTGGCAATCAAGATAACGCGTTACCTTCAGGTCGGTTTCGTTGTTTTCTTCCACTGTTCGAGAGCACGACTCGCGCTGTACTGAGCCGCACGATTTACTGCATCGAATACTAGTATGCTGCTCGAAGTGGAACGCAAATTCTGTCCCTCCGCCGCAGGCCTGATCACTTGCAATGCGGGATCGCCTCCTTTTCGACAGATATTGCGACACCGACGACAGGTCTTCAGGGACGTCTACTATGATCATGGACGTTTCCTCCGCAACGCTGGGGTATGGCTCCGCAGGAGGAATAAGCGGTGGGAAGCCAAGCTCAAGGTTGGGGGCGATTACAAGTATTCACAGTTCCAAGAAGTGAAAGGGAAAACGGCAATCGACGCTGCTATTGCCAAACACCTTCAAGGACTTATTTCCCGCACAGGACCACGACATTTGGACCTGCCGCTGTTCTTGGGTGCTTGCAGAATCGAGCCCGTGGCTGATATCGAAACGATGAGAGATTCCTGGACTGCGGACGACGAGTACACCATTGTCATTGACACCACAGATTTCGGCCACACCGTTGGTGAAGTCGAGCTAGAACACAATCACCCAGAACTCGTCCAGGAAGATGCGAAGAATGATATGCTGAAGCAAATGGACCAGAAGATTGCAGTGTTTATGCAGCGTTACGCTTGGGCTTTTCCGTCCGGGCAATGCAAAGGGAAGCTTACAGCATTCTTCGAATGGAAGAACAGAGCGACCGAGCAGAAGCCGTTCGAATAATGATACCATCTGCCTCTTGAGACAACAAATGCGGCGACTTCATACACATCCACGAATAGTCACCCAAAATGACACCTCTTGGGCTTAACAAACATTGTGTCGCTGATATCCCTTTCTTGCATACCCCCTATCCAAACCATGGCCGCATCTCAACCTGAGTTTCAGCCTCAGCCGTTGGACTATCGTATGACACCACCGTTTCGAAATCCGCCTCCAATTTCGCCAGCATCTCTTTCCAAGCGGTCGATCTGTCCAACTGCTCCGTCAAACCGTTCCAAGACTTCTTTGTGTCTCCACTGGTATCGATCTTGACAACTTCCTTTCCAGCCTTTACAAAATGGTCCAGGACTGCTGGATTCTCTTTCTCGAATTCGGCATATCGCTTGGCAAACACATCTGATGTATCTCGGGTTCTGCTACCGTCGATGCGGGTTAGGACTCTGTTGCGTGCGACATGCCCCTGGCAATCAAAGAACAAAACAATGGCCGGCTCGATTTCGTCAAAGTCCGGGATTTGAGTGACCTTTCTTGGGAATCCATCGATGAGCAGGGCGGGACACACCTCGTTTATCGGCTTTGGCGCAAAGAACTCTTCACTGAGAATATTCTTGATGATTTGGTCCGGAACAAGGTCGCCTCGCTTGACATATATTTTAACGAGATTTCCTGTGTCGGTCTGTTTAGCAACCTCAGCACGCAGCCAGTCGCCGATCGAAATGTGTTTGATGTCATATTTTTGCTGGATCTTCTTGCACAATGTTCCCTTTCCGGCACCTGGTGGTCCTGGTTCTCGTCAGCATTTCTCGTCAGCAGAATCAAGTGCTGCATGCGCATACCTAAAACGTAGATGACAATGGGCTTCTTCAACTCCGGCATGATCGGTACGAGTGTTTTGCTTCCCTCTTTGGGCCTTGTGGTCTGTTCACGCTGCTCGATATGCTCAGTCTGCTCTGCCATCTTGGATTGGGTCGCTGGAGAGTATGCGATGTGCAGGGAAGTGTGCAATATCTGTGGTTGGTATGAGGGAGTAACTTCAGCTCTTTATGGCCCAGGAGACTGCTCTCATTGCGATATGGGTACAACTACCACAATGAAGGCTGAACATGACCAAACAATACGTGAGGCAACATCAATCACCATTCAAGTTTGTCTCAGTGTGTCTCTCTTTGTGCAGTGTGCAACTCTTGCTGGCGACAATGGACTCAGAACGGCTTGCTCCGTGGTTTTGAGCGTGGTACCAAATGCTGAAAATGATATCGCTGGCTATCAAGATTGTAGGTTGATACAGCAATAGTTGGCCGAACAAAGCACGCAGCAATGGATTACATGCTTGACAAAGCCCCGGGGAGTTTGCTACCGCCGAACAGTTTCAGAGAATGTTTGTCTCTCATCGGAGTCGTTCTTTCTATTTCTGCACCTATCGCTAGGGATTGGAAACTGGATGAAAAGTCCATCTGTTCCTTCTTCCATGCTTTCCTGATCTCTATCATCTTATGCAATTGCGACCCTCACAAATCAGTCACCTGCCACGAGAAGCTTCTGTCATGCTCCTCCAGAACCTCTATCTTCTTCCCCTGCTTTTTCTCCTTCCCCTCTTGTCATGGAGTTTCTACCTCTCTCGCAAAATCAGAATCAGACTCCGGCCAAAGACAATCCCCCTCTCGGTAAACTACCACTTCACGCGCAAATGCAACTACGAATGCGGCTTCTGTTTCCATACCGATACAAACAGCTACATCGCTCCAGTCAAGGATGGCAATGCCGCTCTCAAGCTCCTTGCTCAGGCTGGCATGAGAAAGATCAACTTCGCGGGTGGTGAACCGTTTTTGTACCCAGGCCACCTTGGAAAAATGGTTGACTTCTGCAAGGAAATTTTGAAGCTGGAATCTGTCTCGATCGTATCCAATGGGTCGAAGATCACTGAAAGCTGGATCAAAGCCCACTCAAAGAATGTCGACATATTGGCCATTTCTTGTGACAGCTTCAACGAAGAAACCAACATTGCGATCGGTCGTGGAAAGGGCACGCACATCAAGCAGTTGTATCGGATCGCCGACTGGTAAGTTCGTCTTTTGCTCTCGAAGACGTTTTCTCACAGTATGCAGGTGCCGCGACTATGGCATTCTTTTCAAACTCAACTCTGTGATCTGTCAGTACAATTGGAAAGAGGACATGAACGAACACATTGCTCGCTTACAACCGTACCGCTGGAAATGCTTCCAAGTCCTGCTCGTGGCTGGCGAGAATGATTCCGACAAGACTAAGCGCGATGTGAGAAACTTCTTGATCTCCGACGAAGAGTATGAACATTTCTGCCGCAACCATGACAAGAACGCATGCTTCGTGCCCGAACCAAACAATCTCATGGCCAAGAGCTATCTGATTCTTGACGAGCATTTGAGATTCTTGGACCGCACAGGCCAATGTCCAAGTGGATCGATTTTGGGGGTGGGTGTGAACAAGGCACTGAGCAGTGTGTTTTGGGATACCAATGGCTTCGAAGAGAGGGGAGGAATCTATGCTTGGAACGAAGAACAGGTTCGAAAGAAGCAAGAAGATGAGCTGACTACGGCTATCAAGACGCAGTTGGGCGCAAGTGTCAGTGGGAGTTGTGGAGGACCTGGAGGCCAGAGCGGCAAAAGTGCTGACATGGAGGACATTGGCGTCAGACCGCTTCCATGACCCATCACGGTGCGCTGAAAGACCCAGTGTGTTTGGAAAACGCAGGATGCATTGGAGTGTCTGAAGAAGGATATGTTGGAATGTTTCGAGAACGCAGGAATGTTGAAGTCTAGACGAAGTAGGATAAATTGGAGTGATCGGAAGACGCAGAATACTCACTCAATTGGTACACATGAAATCAGAGTGAAGCTGGAGTGAGGTTGCCGCCACAATAATGCCGGCAGCTTCGCAGTCGTGACCACTGGTGGTTGTTTTCGCCAAGCCAGCAGTTGAAACGACACATGATTCATCTTTCGACTTGCAATTCGCTTAGGGCGTGAGGTGGTTCCCAGTCTGGCATTGGATCATGGTCCTTGAGCATACTTCACGGTGGTCCCAGACGAGACCAACATACCACCGGAAGGATCGCCACCTGATCCAACGAGTGTGGGCAGGACCATCTTCGCTTCGATCTAGCACCAGGCTATCGTTGCTTTGCTGTTCGGGTCTTTATCCGGCGTTCAAGATGAGAAGGGATACGTTTCGCAGCTGGAGAACTCCTATACTTGACATTTCGATGCGCTTTTGCGTCGTAGCTCATGGGAACAGCCCATCTGGTGAGGACAATGACTGTGGCAGATGCAGTCGCTTCTACTCTTGTCATGTTTGAGTTCATGAAATGGCTCAAACACTCCTGCTCGCGAGACTACTTTGTCTGCTGCTTGAGGCTAAACCCTACAGCCCTATTTGACATTCTACCTCACGGAGGGTGAATCGAGAATCGGGAGACAATCACTCTTACTCCTTTGTACCTAGGAGCATCAAAGTTGAGAAGACGAAATCTACGGGCTTGACATCTCCTAGCATACGCATGCCCAAAGGAGGTTGTTTCCTCAAACGAACCAGAAAGGTGGCCCAGAAACATTGTTCCTCGCCAAGAGGCGTCACGCCTGTTCCCGCGCTTTGAGCCGTGTGACGGCTGACCCTGGATCATGGGCTCGCGGGTTGTGAGTCTGATGAGCTAGGTAGGCACCTTTCCTCCCCCGTTGTATGCTGATCTGTCATTCTAGGTGACTAGCTTTCCGTCCGCCGGGACATCTCAGTTTCGCAGGCGGGCACATCTGCGTGCTTGCACCGCGGGAGATCTGTTGTCGTCGAGCCCCGCCTCGATCACTCGATCGGACGTCCAATCGCGACTCAGTCCCCTTGTTGGCTTCAAGCGGAATCTGCCATGATCGACCGGAACGCTTTTCCTTACTGTGCGCGAATGACGTTAGGCACATGAACAACCTATATCACACGACCAATGCACACCTCGAGCCTCTGTCTTCAAAGGACTGCTCGACTGGCTTCGAAACCAAGTATCTAGTGTCTCACGATCATAATGCCTTGTATGTCGACCCATGGATCCTTATCATTATGACTGACAACCTATCAAATCTAGCCGGCGGAACCTCGAACGAAAAAGACCTCACTCCAAAACAACAGCAGAAAAAGGAGGACTATGAAGCTCGCAAGGAGCATTCAAACAGTGGCAGCAACACACACAGCGGTCAAGGGATGGAGTATGTGACGAGGAAGAACCACAGTTCTAGGAAGGACGAGGAAGGACATCAGAAGGAAATAATCCACGATGGGTATTCTGGCAATCACAAGAAGGTTGAGGATCCGTAAGGGTGGTCAGTGTGGAAACACCCGTATGTCTGTGGATGAGGGATGGCTGAAAGGTTGTCAGAGACATCTGCTCTGTACGAGGATCGAGGTGACGGCGGCTTGGTTGAAAGCCTGCTTTGGCTGTCAGTCAACATACTACGCATACATATCCTGACAGGTCGACTCAAAAGCCGCGAAAAACCTGTACTTGCAAGACTACAGGTGCTAATATTGTATCCAGAGAAGCACATTGCCTTCCCAAATCGCATGAATTCCAGGAGACGTGCCCAAAGTGAGGTAGAAATTCCAGTCTGTGGTACTCCAGAAGCCCACCCCGCATTTACGCAGACCCCTATATCATTCAGCCTTGTTCCCCAAATTCCATGGAATTTGCGGTAGGAGTCGAAATATCCACCACAACATTTGCCAATGTTTGCTCTGCGCGGCAATGTGTAGCCTTGTGCGACCTTCATCTTCAATTCACTTCGGCACACTGCGTCTCCCCAACGTTATATACCGATGGATTACATTTTACCACAAGAATCAGAAAACATGGTCGATGGTAGATGGTATGGTGTAGTGGTAGCACGTCTGTCATGCAATCGTGCATTCCTTTCAGCCTCGAACGAGGTCGTACAGCGCTGGGGCAATCTTGGTCCGTTACCTGCAGGGAGATATGCCGACAGGAGACTCTGGTTTGAATCCAGATACTATCGAGTCCTCTTTTTTTGTCATTTTCGCCGTCTCGACGGAACCTGCTGATCTTCATTGAACCATGCAAACGATGCTGTCGTATGAAACATAGCCTTGGGACAAGATTCAAGGGAAGTGTCATTGCTGGAGAACCGCTTCTCACATACTACTTCTGCAAAATCTAAGCAAGAAACATTCAAGACCTTCTCAACAGCCTTCGCTCAAGGGGAAATTACGATGGTCTCCTTGATGCATTTGACCCGGACGCCTTGTGATTGCGCGGAGCTTCTTTTCTGACGGCCAGTACGAAGCGACATAGTTCATCCCCAATCTCCCACAGTGCAGGAACTTCCTGGTCAACGCGCCGCCTATATCCAGCCATTAGGTTGAGGCACTCTACACCGAGGTTGTCATCAATTGCCTTCCCGTGCCTAGATGAATGTTGTTGTCTCAGTCCCTCAAAGGAATCTTCGATGAGATTTCCAGGAAGTGTATTTCACAGATTGTATGACCAGCTGCACCTGTCGTTGCAGATGAGCCATGTTAGGCCAGACCAGAATGTGGATGCCCCTCGGGTGGCGAAGGATGGGCCGCAAAGCGGTCGGCATGGCGTTGACAGAAAACTGGAAGAGCTCTTTGACAGCAAAGGAAACTTCCGCAATTGTAAACTTGTTGGCTGTTGCTTCGATATCGGCGACCATAAGGTCTCGGTTTGCCAGGTGGTCGTTGCCAAATGTGGCAAGATGGTGGCGAAAAGTGTAGAAATCGTCACGATTGATGCGTTTCGAGCCGCCTTCCGTGGTCCTGTCAAGGTAGTCGCCCACAGCGAAATGACTGTAGGCGATGTGACGCCATTTGCGCCGTACGGCCATTTCGTCGCTAGTGGGAAATTCCAGCAGTCTGTTGCGTGCGTGATGAAGAAGGCTGAGAATCTCGCAAAGGAAAGCTCTCGTACCATATGCCGCCTGTGCCATAACGCTATCCCATTCTTGAATCAAAGGCTCGTCCGATTTTGAGCAACGACTGATCTTATCTTTTTGAGACTGAGATCACGAGCAAGGATGATTGTAGGCCTCGCTCGTCCACTCATTGAGTTTCTGCAGATGAGCCATGGCTTCGAGCTTTGTGACTGGGATAGGCTTTGATGTGAGATTTGCAACAACCTCATCCGGTATCTTCCAATGCAGCTTCAATGATGGAACCACGAAGTTTCTCTTGGCCCCAGGTTGTGTACATCCTTCTCCTTCCCAATGCCCGAATGTGTGATGCCGCAGACAATACGGTGGCACAAATTTCTGGTGTTTGATAGAGCGGGGGCCGTGGCGACCGGGTTCAATGTGTGCGAGCGACAACCGATCCTGTGCTTGGGTTGTTCCTTTGCAACTAGGGCACTTCCTTACAGGAGGGCTTCTTCGGAACCACTTGTCGCAAGACCAGCAGTACCTGGCAGGCATCGTGCCGCGGATAGGGAGTTATCGTGCAACCAGCAAGCAGAAACGATGAGGCGAAAGTAAGGTCAATTGAAGCGTGCGTATACTCAGTGTGTTCTTCATTTCACAGCAGGTGCGAAACTTTCGCCAAGAGGCAGTCAACTGCGCTCACCACTACCATCACCTACCATGCGGTCAAAATACCATCTACCGGACTGGTGAGGCCTCCCTAGCCTCGTCCATGTGTCCCGCGGATCATATTCTGGGTCGTACGTTCAAGATTGCAGACTGATTGGATTACAAGTTGAACTTGTCGCACGCTCCCGAAACCCCTCGCGCGACATATCCTTGTCCCCAGAGTCTCGTATATCTCCTACTCGTTGTCTTTTTGTATCAGGTCCATCTCAGATATTTGCCAGCGTGCTCCTAACTCGGAGGCTACGGGGAGGATGGTAGTTGGCTCAGTCAACCCAGCGCCTAATGGGGAGTGAGACTCTGTGCCTTCAGCTTCAATGTGCAGAATACACAGTTTCACTGAGAAAAACTGTCCGTCAAACAATCATGCAGCACGTGCTTCGAGACTGCGGCGAGGTGGCCTTGGTGTTGATAAAGGTGAAGATGGGTTGTAAAAGGGGATGCGGTTGTCAGCCAGCGGGCTCGGGGTTCTTCTCCAAGCGCTATTTTTAGGCTTTGTCAACCTCGGAGCCTCAATGGGGTTGATACCTACAGTAGATAATCACCGAAAGATCTTGATACCCTAAGGCCACATATTTAAGAATATGAACACCTTCTCCCTGCTTTATTTGGTCTGATACATTATCTGCCCCTCTGATACGGCGTCTGATGGGTTAGGAGTCAAGTCGCAAGCAACCCACCTACGTTGGGATCTGCACCGGTGTACAGCGTCCGTTCCTGATTTCATCGTATATTATGGCTTCTACGCCTGATCCCACATTGAATCTACCAAGAATACTGTGTCTGCATGGAGGTGGTGTCAATGCGGCTATCTTCAAAGCTCAATTTCGGGCATTCTTGAATCACGAGAAACTCCGAGATCGTTACCGCTTTGTGTTCGTTGACGCTCCCTTCTTCTGTGACGAAGGTGTCGGAGTCCATCCAGTATATTCAGATTGGGGGCCCTTTCGCAGATGGTTTCGGTGGCTTGATTCTCACCCAGAAATCGACCCAGCCGCCTGTTCTTACGAGCTCGAATACACAATTGAGCGGTGCATGGAGAGCGACGAAGGAACGGGAGAGTGGGTCGGAGTTCTTGGTTTCAGTCAGGGCGCAAAGCTCGCCGCCAGTTTGTTGTACGAGCAGCAACTCCAGGGAAAGACTGGGCCATGGAGGTACGCTGTTATTCTAGCTGGACGAGCCCCAATGGTCAGTCTCAACGAAGAGTCCGAACAACTTCCATGGATGCAATCAGCTGGAGGACTAGCAGATGCTGCAGATTTGGAAAGCATTTTCGAACGACCAGATATGAAACTCAAAATCCCAACATTGCATGTTCATGGCCTGAAAGACGAGGGGCTACATTTACACAAGATAATGGTTGAGGATTACTGTGCCCCAGGCACAGCTACGCTGATTGAATGGGATGGGCCTCATCGCATACCCATCAAGAAGAGCGACGTCGACAGGGTCGTTGATGCTTGGGTGGAACTGGCAAATGAATATGGAGTATGAGATGAGCAAAGTTCTACAAAAAATTGCGACCAAGCCACTGCTATCTCGTGGCCAGCGCTCCCCTATTCAATCAGGGAAATCTGCGAAAGCGAGGAGCTGCTTCTTGCGGATGCTCAATATCCCAACCTTGTCCGAGGTCACATTCACCGGGTCAATATCCCTGGGTCTACAGCGTCCACTGAGTTGTCGCATACAGCCTCCAATCCTCAATCGATGCCAGCCGGTGAGGCAAAGCAGTGTCTTCGTACTGCTTGCTTTCCAGCACCTTCTTAAAAGCTTCAAAATTTGGGTATGCGATCACTCTCACGAGGTCCCACATCTCTTTACCAAATGGACCAGCAAGAAGGCTTGCGTGTGGCGTGCCCAGGAACAAAGGCTTTACCGCGTCGTCTGAGCCTGCCACTGATGCAGAAATGGCACCCCATGCTGGAACATAACGTCCAAGGTAGGCTTCTTTGCCACTGGTTGGAGAATGATCCGAGTGCTTGGGGTAGGTGGTCTCCGTCTTGAACCGGATCAAATTGACCATCACGACGGGCGTATTCTCTGGGATCGATTTGGCGGCGACCGCGAGATCGGTAACATGGATTTCGATGGCCGACATAGTGGTTTGGTGGTGCAATGATACTTTGTCACTGGTGCTTTTCAGAAACGAGTTTGTTGGGTTTGTGATACTATGAAAGCTTGCCTCCTGACCATAGGTGCTCAAGACCTCTCAGCAGGTACTATCTGCGACTTATATAGACCTTAAAGTCCTCCTCAGGGTCTTAAGCCATATCTCAAGATGGATGTATGAGTGTGGGGTTTGTTGATCATGCATTCGAATAGTTGCGAGATCCTAATGGGGAATCTGCATAAGCCATAAGCCAACATGAGGCTAGTGAGGCTAGGGACCTGCATTATTCGTTGACAGGTAAGGAGCCGGTTTTAAGGAGAGGCCCGTGCGGCTGTTTGGCTTAAGCTTAGGTCTCTCGGCGACCACCATGGAGATCCCCTTATTGTTAATGCCCACTGCAGATTTCAGCCTCAATGACCATATTACGTTCGCTTCAACGAAGCTTGAACACTTTTACGATGAAGTGCTTCACACGAAAGCAGCAGTGGTTACAGTCCCGCGATCATCGCGTACATCAACACGCCTTCGCCGGCGGGCTCAACCCACCCCTGGCCATTGACAATCCCTACACCTATCCTGAAATCGTCCACCACTTTGAACCCAAAATGCGAGTAGACATCTCTCGCATGAGTATTCGTCGCCTCCAGCCATGCAGGCAAATTGTCTTCTCTAGCCTTCTCCAAGTAAGCCTCGATCAAACCTCGAACAGCACCTGTAGAGGTTTAAGTCAGCTATTGCAACAGAGTCACACAAGAACTGGTACCTTTGTCCTGCCGATCAGGCGCCCTTCCTATTAGATTCAGGTTCCAATGCGGTCTGTCGCCCAAGTGTTTCTTCCTCAGTTCATCGACCTTCCTCCTGTACTCTACCGAGCCCTCTGGTGCGTTTGCCGCGGGCTTCGGTTTCTCTATCCCAGGTGGTAGCCTGGAGTTCGCTGGTCAGCACGAGTTTGATTTTGGCAAAGTTGATAATGCTGCCTACCATAATGCAACGGCCGCCCAGTCACAGGTTTGAATTAATATTGCTCCAGTCTCGAAACGACTCTGGACAACGGGCAACCAATACTGGACTCTCTTCTCCCATTCTTTGAGCTTCGGATGATCTGGCCTGGACTCGCGACCGAGAAATATGAACCGGTTCAGAGCATCATTGGAGAATGCGGCCGCGATGACCTGGGCAAAATTTTTCAGTTCTTCCACCTTTGTGACTCTGGCATATGGAACAGTCACTTTGGCCGCCATTGCTCCCACTGACGCTTGTCCCTGGTATCCGGATCGAAAACCAAATTTCCACGTTTATGCCGCCACATTGTCGTTGCAAAAAATTGGTGAGTCATCGCGACATATTTCGTGCTCCATTTGCTCCATACAATGGTGCAACATGGCGGAGAACCCCGCAAATGTATGAGGCCGCATTTCAGAATAAATTCTTCAGAATATGACGCCGATTCTTTGTATTCCTGTCTACATTTTCACTTTGCGCAGCACAATCGTCCACTCGGCAAGACAAAGCCTGGATTTGATGGACTGGGACATGAGCGGTCGAGCTGCCATGGACTCGGGCCCTGGACCAACATCTCGTCCCTGTGTTTGACATTCGCTATTGATTGTTGGAAGCTACGAGGCCAATGACATGCTCGGCCTCGTCATTATCAATAACATCATCTTCAAGTTCACCAGTAGTCCCCGTCAGTCCCCTATACATCTCTTCTTCGCACTCCGCCAATTTGGAGTGTACGAGCTTCCCAGGCTTCAAGCCATAAAAGTCGCAAAACATCATGATCATCGGTTTCCACTTGTCGGCGTCGATCCGATTACGATATCCAGCTAATCTGAGCTCCTCATGAATGCTGACCCTCAGTATCCTGACCTCGATCGCGAGTACCAGTCCCTCGACCGCCCTACCTCGATACATCTTGTGCGACACAACGAGCTCAGCTTCCATGATTACAGGGCATTCCTTGATTCCAGGGCAAGCAACATGCTTGGATGGGACCGGCGTCAACCCTGCACGCCCGAATTTATCCTTGACGAAGGTGTACCCCCGGGGTGCTTTGCCAGCAGGGACTGGATCCGTGCCCGTAGTACGAGCGAGCGCGTTGACCGCGTCAATCTGGTTGTCCGAGGCTAGATTAAGCACACACTGCCCTGTGCGTAGCAGATTTTGCGTCGTTTGGGATGATGCATCCAAGCCGAGCATGCAGCCATGACCGAGCCAGAAGACTGAGGACATGGGACCGATATTTGCCGAACCATCTGAGTTGGTGGTGCTGATCAAGGTGACAGGTGTACCCCAGTACAAGATTGCCGGTGAGATTTCTTGATGAGACATTGTGATAGGTTTGCTTGTTCTTCGTCGGCAATCGAAAGGATTTGTCACAGTGAAAGTTGATGCTCGAATGGTTGAGTGCCACCGACATGACAGCTCATGGCGAAGAAGGATCTCTTATAGCCCTGGTAATTGGAATTCGACAGCATACAGGCGAGCTACCGGCGCGAATACTCTAACCCGCAGACAACACAGGTATCAACTCTGTTCAAAGACTCCCGACGGCAAATTTGAAGCATATTGGGTTCTCATGCTCTGACGATTCAGCCGGCTGCCCTATATGTGCATATTCTGCGGCCTAATCCCCAAGCAGCAAGCCGTCGCTTGTTATCATTGGTCAGTTTGAGAGCAACCCGAAGCTGGATCCGATCTTCCGTCGTCAGTGGCTGTTCGGCCTCCGGGGATATCTACTTCAACCTCGCTCTCCAGTTACAGTGTCTTTCCACCATGCTCTGAGTTATGGCGAATAGCTTTGCATGACTAACATGATATGGGGCTGCTTGTTATGCGCTTTACCACAAAGAAATATCCTACGATCATCTCTCGATCTCAAATGGGGCTGAGGGGCGTTGAATTACAATATCTTGCTCTCGGCGAAAGTCCGCAGCATTTTACCGTCAACCTTCATCGGCCTTGCAGTATGCTATCCTGAGGCTGGCCCCTATTGCTGAGTAAGTGGCCAGTCAGGAAACGACTTTGCCATGAAGTCGGGCATAGCACACCTCAAGCAATGTACGCTGGTATATCGTGTTGTGAATATGTGGTAGTTCTTTCTCCCACTATACGACGTGTTGAAGGGGCGTATCTAGTTCCAGATCCATGAGCTTGACGGGCTAACAAGCACAGGTAAGCATTCCTCTCCTTCATTCTGGGTCGAAAAGAGCGAAGCCAACAAGACTTCAAGATGGTTAGAATGAAAAAGCGCTAGTGTGGAATCCTCTCGGATGGTAGGGGATTCAACCTTGGATCTCCCCTATATATGCCTGGAAAGATGTCTGCGACCTATGTGCTGATTATGTCTAGCCAACCTTTCTCAACCCCGGAGGCGCGGTGGACGGCTGTCCGCACACGAGACAGTAGTGCTGTGGGCTCATTCATCTATGCTGTTAAGACCACAGGAGTCTACTGCCGACCAGACTGCAAAGCCCGACTAGCCCGACGAGCCAACGTCGCCTTCTACGAAGACATTCCCCAAGCAGAAGAAGCAGGCTTTCGGGCGTGCAAGAGATGCAAGCCAAATGCTCCGCCTGATTACGACAGAGAGCCTGTGTTGGCCAAGATTCGAGAGGCAGTAAACCACGTCAGGGAAGGGGCTGCACGTGGCGAGAAAGTCACCTTGAAAGAGTTGTCCAGCCGAGTCGGTCTGAGCAAGTGGCACCTACAGCGAGTCTTCACCAAGATCAATCGCATGTCACCAAGGGCCATGGCCAATTCGATCATCAACACGATGGAAACAGAAGCAGCCGAGACTTCTGCGCGCAATGAGGCTGCGAGGGACCGAAGAGAATCCAGCAGCCATTCGAGTATGGCCTCTGACAGGAGTTATCCGGATGAAACCGAGATACACCGATTGGGTCTGCCAAGCACCTTACAGGATTTCCCAACGCAGTACGACGATCCGGACGTTGATAGTGTGTTGAGAGATCTGTTCCCTGAGCTCTACTGAAGCTCCAACATACGCCACACTGGAGGGATAAATAGAATAGCCGGGCAAGGAGGCACCACTGCTGGTTGGTCGTCAATGGAGAGTTCTAGGTGTGGATACATGTCGAAAGTAGACAGCTGCGGGCGTTTTTATCGGCCTCGACGATAAACATTCAGTGTCTCATTCAAGATCAATGAACGTAAAGTACTTGCTTTTGATCTGGCGGTCCCCTCTGATCTCTCTTCCTTCATCGTCCGAGCGCTCGCAGCCCTTTGCGTGTTTCTTCAGGGCGGTCTTATCATCATTTGCGCGAGATCATGAACAGGATGTTGCGCAGATTGCGGAAACCACTCATGGTGTGAGCCTCATGTGATACCGATCCCCTTCGAGGTCTTTTCGACTTGTTTCCACACTCGCCCTGTGCTTAGATAATGTGGGGTGCTTTGAAGATCCCGTTTGCCGGCGGAGGACTTTTGCGATAAGCGTTATCGTGCCGATAAGCCTGACTTAAGTTAGCTTGTCTGATGGGACCCTGAAACTTAACCTGGGAGATGAAGATGGTTCCTAGGTCTCTGATGAGAGTGAAAAGCGTTTGTCAGGTCTTTATCAGCGTGTTCACTATCCAAGAGCTGAGATCATTCTGCTTCATGTCACAAGCCTTTTGAAGAAGCACTTGGACCTGGAAAAAGTAAGCCATGGGTGTTCTAATGTCTGTTTGAGCGTACGAAAACAGATGGATGCAGTTCCGCTGTACAGATAGATAGGTGATCTGTTTCTGCGTTCTATCTACACCAACAACGCTCATGGGAATCGCGCGATCTCAGTGGCTCACTCGACTTACTCATTGCACATGGTACGATAGAGAGTAAGATAGGGAGTGAGTCGTGGCTAGCTGCTGAAGAGCCTGAGGGTAATTCCGACAGACTGTTTGACAGGGGTTCTCTGACCAGAACACGAGGTTGAAGCCTGACAAAAGATTGTGATGCCTGGCATGGTCAGCCCTATCTGCCTTAGCTTGACACCTGGAGGGTTTAGCGGCGCGCCTAGGGTCACTTAGGTGCGTGATTGGGATATGGAGACATTGGAGAGTCGTTATTGGGCCTGGGGCTCCGGAGTGTCAACGAGTCAAAACTCCTCCTCCAGACACCTCGAGTTCGGCTCTCTCCAAATCTCATCACCTTATTTGTGCCATCAGAGAAAGTTCTTACCACTGCACTCTTATTATGCAAACTTTCTCTTATCAGGCAGTCACAGGCGGCCACAATCACTGAGCAGTTTTCGAAGGGCTTCTTGTGAGGTCTGTGCAGCGCCGTGTCTCATCATCCATGACGATTTTTTATCACAACCCAACCGCCAGTGTCTCAATGTGCCACATGCCGACGAGGGGCCGTGGGTGAGAAGGCGTCTGTGGGGTCGGTCGAGAATTCGGCCCATGCAGGTTCAAAAGTCATGGCTTAGGCAGCGGGCAACCACCTCCTGGTGATTACCTTTCCCCATCTGCAACCTCAATATTCTTTTCCCACTAACCTCATGCACAGCCTCGAGACAATTGCTGCCATGGACCATGAGAGACAGCCGAAATGACGTCCACCGAATTGCTTTACATCCCCTACAGGAATCAAAACCCCGCGCAGCCCAGCGCCGAATCACGGCAGAAACATGCGGCGCGAGAATATCACAGAAAGAGGCGGCTGTCCAAGGTCCAGGTTCCTCGTCGGGCCGCCAATCCTAGTAACAGCAATGCCAAAAGAAGCAACGCCTCAGCTGAAAAAGCCCTGCAGCTCTCTACTATAGCACAAGGCACACTTATTACTCCGACGTCTTCCCCTACTGAGATCGCTTTACCCAATCATCCCGACATCCTGGGAAAATGGCGTCTGGATCCGTTCAACACGCTTCAGAGCGAACATCTTCCGGCCTTCGTCCAGGAGATGCTCGATCACGGTAAGATTTCCCGGACAAGCACTCTGTCATCCAAATTTTGCAAGGCCTGTAAGACGTCAGCTTGCCAACCATTCCGCTGACGTACATCATAGCCATCAGGTACCAATGGGCACTATATGCCCCTTCACGAAAAGATGTCAATAAAACCCAAAATGCTATTATGCATTCGGCGATGAAGAGTCCTGTCGCCTTCTATTCTATCATCTTTGCCGGCGCATGTCACTATGCATTTCTCCAACGGAATAACAACGTCAGCAAAGACAGTGTGGCACTTCGCATGTCCTACAAGACGCAAGCTATTAGCAGTCTCAGGGATGAGCTTCAACGATGTCAAGGGGTCGTCACAGAGGAAGTGCTCTTGTCCATCATTCTCTTGGCTATCCATGACAAGGGTGATACGCTGGTGGCTCCCAAGAAGCTCATGGATTCGCCCTTGCGTCAGGTTAAGGACAACGAATTCTACACCAGCATGAGATGGCAGCCGAAGCATTTGGACATGCTATACAATATGTTGAAACAGCTTGGTGGCTTGCAGTCACTTCAAATGCATGGCCTGGCAGAAGCCGTCGAATCGTGAGTGGAGTGAGATTGTCTCGGAAAACTTGTTAACCATGTGACAGGGCTGCACTGAACGAGTCGCTTCTTGCCCAGGAACCACCGCGTGTCGGATTGCTACACCCTGCTTCCTATTATCTCAAGTCTTGCCAACAGAAATGGGACGATGAAGGCTGGCAGCGTCACAAAGTAGTGAGTGCACGCAAATTTGCACTTCTGGAAGGAGCCGAAGGCAAGGAACACCTCTCCCAAACTGTCGCCGACACTCGAAAACTGCTGGTCACATACGACTGTTTCCGCCGAAACAGGGTCAATGGTCCAGACCTCCTGCAGACTATTGGAGCGCGACGGTCGATACAGTGGAACCTTCAGCGACCACTTCCATCGAATGACTGCCGCTATCGAGTCTGCCGATATGCTATGCTCATCTTCTTGGTGGAAACTATCCATCCCAAGCCACGGTACCTCGACATACATCGCAGATTGGCAGAGAAGCTCATGCTGGCATTGGATGAGGCTTCTATGCTGGGATATACGAGCAAATGCCCCGAGGACTACGCTTGGGCGACAATACTTGGTGGTGCCGCCGCGTCCGAGACGTCTTTAGACGAATGGTATCGGGCACAAATGAGCAGTTCGTGCAACTTCGTATTTGAAGAGACTTGGGAGTCGGTACAGTCTATGTTGTCCTCATTCCTTGTGCCAGGGGCTGAGCATGAAGAGAGATGCGAGCGCTTCTGGCATGAAGCACGCGAATACTACCTTGAACGACAGGGGACGAAATACTGGGACCCTCCGACCGACACGTCAGAGTTTTGGAGTAGTCCCGAATCATGAGTACCACGAAAATGATACCATTTAGACTATATATTTCGGGAGCGACGATGCTTATATTTATTTTCAGCTAGACGTAGATCATATTGACCACGGCGATGATGGGTGCTTCAGTTGTGTCATTAGCGGGGTCGTCTGGGGTAAGATCACCACTAAGTACTGTAGTCTAGGGACTGCCTAGTTTATTACTCATAAATTAGGCCTCCAGCCAAATCTTCCCGTGTCAACGGGTCGATCTCGCTAGGACGTAGATTTGTAAGATCTTCGCTCCTACCTTGTTTCACCATCTTCCTACCTTTCTTTCAGATTTCGAGGCTTAATTTCACTGCTGCAGCCTACTTCTTCGACAGGATTGCGGTGTATGTCCAACAGCGACTCTCATCAAGCTCAAATGCAACGACGTATCTGAGAGATGACTCAATTGGGCGGCAAAGCCCATGGCAAGCCCCGTCAAAAAGCGTGGAAGCCTAAGGTCAAGACTGGGTGTGTCACTTGCAGGTACGTCCCTTTTGTTATTACTCATTTCACCTCGTTGAGGCTGACATTCATTCTCAAGGACTCGCCGTATCAAATGCGATGAAGCCAAGCCTACTTGTGTGAGGTGTGCCTCGTCTGCCCGGAAATGCGGTGGCTACACAGACGACCAGAACCAACAGGAGACAGGACTTTCATGGCAGGATCACTCATGGCAGCACTCTTGGACGCCCTTGGCGGTGGAAGCAGACCATTCACAGACCTCGAAAAGTTCCCAAGAGATATTGGCCTACCCGCAACTACTTGTCTTTGACAGCAAAGTCGAAGGACAGGCTTTCGACTTTTTTCGCTCATATTCCGTGCCAGATCTGACAGCTTTGTTTCGCGTCGATGAAGATTTCTGGCATGTCTCAGTCCTTCGCATGTCCATGACCCAACCAGCTGTACGGTATGCGGTCACCGGTCTTGGGGCTCTTCATCAGGTCTTCTCTCATGGTTACCAGACTGTTGTGCCCGACGATACGTCAGACGCTCAGGTACAATTCGCCCTGCGCCAATGTAATCGAGCCATCAAGGCGCTGTCTGCCAACGCTGGCCGTCAGGATGAACCAATTCATAAAGTATCAATGCTCATGACGTGCATCCTCTTTACCTGCTATTCCACCCTTCAAGGACATCAGACTCAGAGTCTCATGCACTTCCGCAACGGACTAAAATTACTCGAAAGCCTGGAACGCTCAACGAGAACCTCGGGAACATCAGCCACATTGTATGATGAGCTGATGGAGTCGTTTGTGTCCGCTTTTACCACCCTCGAAAACCAAGCACGAACTTTGATATGTGATGAGAGACTACCGCCACTGGCTACGCAGATTCGTGTGCAACAACCAATGTGCACGAACGACACTTTGACTTTCCGTTCTCTTGTTGAGGTGCGATCCTTCTTTGACTGTCTCCTGAGCGACATGCAATGCTTTGTCCAAGAATCCGACGTGGAAGCTGAATGGGTCCTTGCCGGAGCACGACCTCGAAGATCGAGCGCAGACGGATACCGAATCCTTGTGGATAGGAGCGCTAATGGCAAAGCGGCTATGGACAAGTTTCTGTCTCGACACAGTCCAGTGAGCGACCGAGATCAGAAGACCGTCTTGGTGTTGCAGGTGCATCATTGTCTTCTAGACATGTACCTGGCAATATTCAGACTGTCGTCCGAGTATGGCGATTTGGTCTGGGATTGCTTCGAGTCAAGCTTTGAGACCATGGTCAATTTGTGTCGCCAGATACTTGGGTGCACCGATAAAGACCTGTACACCACGTTATCAAAAGCAACGCAACGAAGAATGGTCAATGACTGTACGTCGGCCGGCAGCAGTCCTGAAGATTGCAATGTCCGGGATACTGGCGCAATTCTGTCAGCCAAGGGCGAGCAACCTAGGCCGGTCTTTGCCTTTAGCCAAGGTGTGGTTGGACCGCTATATATCGTCGCCATGCAGTGTCGGTCACCCAAGCTGCGTCGAGAAGCCATCGCTCTGCTCCTACGGTATCCCCGTCGCGAAGGACTTTGGGACAGCTTCAGTGCTGGGCGACTCGCATTCGAGGCGATGAGTCTCGAAGAGGATATGACGCAAAGATGGCAGGCTCCTCAGGATGGTGACTTTCAGGTGCACGCTGCTCATGATATCCCTGCTCAATGCAGGATCAGAGACGTGGAAGTGGTGCATATCGGTGCTCGTCTTGCCAGAGTTCGATTTCGAACCACAGAGGACTGCATACGCAAAGAGCAAGCGAGTTATGAGAAGTGGATGGCTTGGTAATGATATACCCTCTCTGGTACCGGGTCGACGTCTCTCCAGTGGAACAGTACAACTCAGCACAATCTCCACATGACTCGTGGCCTGATCTCGTGATCAACATTTTACTTGAATTGCAAGGCTGCCTCCATGGAGGTTGCGTGGCCTCTGGGTCCATCATTTTCCAGACAGCCCAAGAATCAATGGTGACTAAGGAGGGCATATCAGGATCCTCGCAATTGGCGGGGTGATTTTGAGCCGGGGAAGGCCTAAAGGGGCAAAGCTTGGTTATTGCGAGGTTAAATGAACGAGACCGTCGGCAGAACAACTCGCATCAGTCCACGGGTGGCCTCATGTCCACCTCTTTACCTCTTCGGTACAACACTTCTCTGTTAACACCCCTCGATGCCATCACACAGTCATAGTACTCACAGCGCTAGGCTTGGCTGAAAAGTCGAGCTCCGTCTTGCCCGCCGGGCGTGGGAACTCCAATCTTCGATGTTAGCCGAACTTGGCTAAGGGCCGTGCAATTCTCAAGATGGTCGAAGTACCTTTGATAAGTACACGCCATGATGAAGGACCTCGGATGATGATTTTGCGCACAAGGCTGAGCAACCGCTGGTGCGTTCGGCCTCCCATCTGTTCGAAGTGGTCGTCGTCGCACAGCACAAACTTGGCTGTGACTAATACATATCGGATCACGTCAACTCCGGCTCTCCATAAACCTTGCATCAGCTGGCCTGCTCTTTTTGCGAGAGTCACTGAGTACCACTCTGGGACTTCCGCCCTCGCCTAGATACCTCGACTATGCTTGATCAAGATTTACCAAGTTTCTCAACCCACTCCAGACTGGGGCATCTGAATAGTCACTGCCAATGACAAGTTGAAGTGACTATGGCGAGCACAACCATAGCGTCGACTGTCTGTCAACATAACCGATACGGCAAGCGAGCGATGCGAATTGTGTCCATCTGGCTGTCACGCCTGCATGCTGTTGAACGAGATGCGGTCCAATCTTTTTCCGCCGTCCAAGCATCGTGCAACGGGGCTGAGGGCGTATATGAACGAAGCAGAATACTCGCAATAAACACGCTGGATGTCCTTACATACATGGTGGACCTCACGCACATAGCACTGTGCCTGGCGAGTTGATCGCCTTCATATTTTGGGTGATACTGCGGACTCAATTTCATTCTCTCCACTATGCGGTATGCCGAGGTGGCCCTCTGGGCGTCTTTCGCCTCAATGTGCAGGGCCGACTCCTGTCCCAAGATCGATCTTGCTGTCCTTGGTCCCGTGTATCAACCAGCGAGCAACAGCTCGTATCAGGCTTTCATTGACGCCAGTGCTCAAGCAGCAGCGGCACTCGAGGAAGCAATAGCAACTGGGAACACCACTTATGGAGCCTTTGACAATCGAGCAACCTCATTTTCGGCATCCGTATTTAGTCTGACGAGCGACGTACCTTTATTCGAATTTCATTTCGAGGCGCCCCAGCTTAACGGCTCATATACTCAGGGGCAGCTCTCCGCAAACACGATCTACAGGACTGGAAGCTTGGGAAAGCTCTTGACGATATATACTTGGCTAGTGGATATTGGAGATTCAATATACCTAGATCCAATCACGAAATATGTCGTGAGTCCTCACTGATCACCGAAGTGCCGTCCGGATGATTGACAAACAAAGCCCGAACTCGCCGCGGCTGGGGAGTCTTTCAAGAATCCACTCTTGTCCACAAATTGGAATGAGGTCACCGTGGGAGCACTTGCTTCCCAGATATCTGGCATTGGACGTGACTGTAAACATCGTTTCCTCGAGTTTTCTCGCATACTTTGCTGACATAGTCGGAGTCCACCTCGGCGACCTGGCTATTCCTTCATTCCAAAGCCCACCGATCTCAAACGACATCCCAGATGGATATCCACCCTTGAACAACGAGACAATCATAGAGTGCACATCCTATGGCGATACGCTGCCTCCTTGTTCGAGAGCACGTTAGCAACCCTCAAGTTCCGTAACGTCGCTATGACATACTGATTGGGCCTAGAATTCCTGGACGGCATAATCAATCACCCACCAGTGTATCAGTCGTACACAACTCCCACATATTCGAACCTCGCCTACGCCATCCTCGGCCTCGCGTACGAGAACATAACCGGACGCTCGATCTTCGATGGCCAGCGTGATGTCTTCATCGACAAGCTGGGCATGACATCGACTACACCGACTGTTCCTGGCACTGGTGCAGACGCCGTCATTCCAAGAAATGATAGTTACGCAGTGTTCTCGTATGACATTGGTATTCAAGGGCCGTAAGTCGAACCCGACTCTGTCACACTGTCCTTGGTGAGAAGCTGAACAACGTCAATGCAGCGCCGGAGGACAGTATACCTCTACAAAAGATCTCATTACCTGGGGCCGAGCCATTCTCAACAACAGCCTGCTATCGGACATTGTCACAAGACGATGGATGAAACCTACATCATTTACTTCGCAGTGGGAATCTGCTGTTGGTGTACGTCATCAATGCACCCACGCTCATACCACAACTGATCTTCGTATCTAGGCACCATGGGAGATCTACAGGCTTGCAATCCCAATCAACACAATCATCAATGCCAGCCGGATTGTCGACACGTATACCAAATCAGGCGACATCGGTCAATACTCGACGTACTTCGGTTTGGTCCCGGACTATAACATCGGCATCACGGTTCTCGCGGCCGGAGATAATCCGAATCGACAGGTCCCTCCAGTCAGAGGTACTCTCGTTGATATCTTCGTGCGTTCCCCACACACTCCCTGCATTCATGATGTGCTGACGAAACAACAGTACAATGCTGCCGAACAGGCTGCAAAGGAACAAGCCCGCGTAGCGTTCACCGGCACGTTCAAATCTACGGACCGTAACTCCAGTATCACACTGGGCGTGGACGGCGGACCGGGTGTTGTTGTCCAGCAGTGGATCAGTAATGGTACGGACTTTCTGGCAAACGAGTGGCTCGCCAGCTACAACGACTTTCGCCTTTATCCTACGAACCTGAAGACTCAGGCGGACGGTCTGACGTACTACAAGTACCATCTCAACTTTCTGGCCTCGAATGGTGAGCCTGTGACGGGAGATCCGTGGTCCGAGTTGAATGACTATTGGCTCGAAGTTGATGAATTGATTTACAATGATCTGGCGACTGATGCTTTTGTGATCGGGTTCGATCAAGATGGGATTGTGCAGAGCGTTAGCTCGCAAGCACTGCGGACGAATATGCTGCGACAGTCATAGCAGGGACCTTCAGGTCTTGTCGATGTTCGCGCGTGGAGATGGGGGACTCGTGTTTCAGCAAACTGAATGTTGTGATGGAGACAAGAAAATTTGTTCAAGAAAATCATTTTTGTAACTGCCGTGGCGGTACCTCCCAGCTTCAGTGCACGATGGACAAACGAAGGATGTGCGCTCGTGCCTATCCGTGCACCTGTGCAGTGGTAAAAGCACTTCGATGCAATAGTGTTCCAATGTAACTTGATATGAGTACATCAAAATCTCTCCTCGACGACACCATCATTTTCACCATCAGTGAGATCTTCAAGTCGCATGTACTCTCGAGCTCGGCCGTAACACCAACCTAGGCGGTTCTTACCGGTCCATTTATTCTTCCAATTTTTGAGTTCTACACCAATGCTCCAGTACTTGCCCACCCTTTTTGCGTTCGCGAACTTGCGGTTTCCTGATCCTAGTATTATCTCTCTCAATGACAGTACCTGTTCTGAGCGACATATGATGGCAGCAACCATGACGCGGTCCGCTATGGACCTCCAGACTGACTCGTCGAAGTTCTTGATGCGTTTGGTATGTTGGAACTGTGTGTGTGGAGTTACGGCCCGCAGTATGCAAAACAGTGGGGCATTGTACAACTCCGCAGGGACAGGCCCTTTTTGACTGTGGTGTTGTTTCAGAGCAGCGATTACTTCGGCCCTGCTCATTCCTGGCCGTGGGCGGTATGTCTGCCATGGTCCATCTTCTTGCAACGACGACCCGTCGACGTAGTCACTCGACCGCTCGAACAGAAGGGCCTTGGTGGCGGCCAGGAACTGACCGATGCAACTGAAGGATGACTGTTGGATGGCCTCGAGAAAGAGTGTATCACCATCCAGGATTGATGGTGCGTTGGACTCTGTGGACAGGGTTTCCGTCAAAGAAAACATCAATGTCAGTGCAGCTCCTCTAGAGAAGCGTTGCTCCAAGTTTTTGTTGTCATATTGGAGGTGGCTGAAAGCCAGTGGTGACTGCTCTCCATAAATAACGTGTCTGTATGTGCATAATGTGTCGGGCGCAATCCTCTTGAACTCAGGGTCGGCCACCTCTGGCTGTAGCCCTTCCCGATAGTTGATTGCTCCTGGACCTTTCTCCCTAGTTTCCGCCTCTTCGTTGGTTTCGGCCTGCGATTGAGAGTTCGGAGTAGTGACGGGCCAGCCATTTGAGTCGAGGAACGCACTGTTTTCTTGGCTCTGGGGGAATGAAGGCATCTTGGTGGGAAAAAGCTGAAGATCGTCTTGGGATCTGCCCAGACTCAGGCAAACAGGCAGCTGTCCCTGCGAGGGTGGAAGGATTGTGGTCGGAAGGTGATATGGCGAATGCGTCAAAGTGCTGGGCAGGTGTGCTTGAAAAGGCCTGATGCTGGGCGAGAGGAATTGAACGGGACGATATGTGCCTGTGAGGCTCCAAAATGGGATCAATTCGCAAGAGTCGTCCAAGCGTCAACACGAACAAGTAGCTTTGGCCGCAACAGGTGAAAAGGTGCTGAAGCCGACTGCAGACCAGGGGGTCACAAGAGGTGCAGAGGTATGGAGGACAAGCTTGTAATCATACGAGAGCAGACGATGCGAGAGTATGTGTCTGGAAATTCCGAAGGTAAACTCATGTAAGAGGGGAAAATCATTCGAACAAGTGAGGTAGGGTTCTTACGTGAAGGCCTCCATCGCGCAGGACTTATGATGGAGGTGGTTCCTGCCTGGTAGGGGAGATCAGGCACACAGGTGCGGCTTCCCCTGGTTTCAGCGCATGCTGATCCCACAGGAACAAGGAAAGCATGAGGGCTCGACATCGCCATGGACTGTCAAGTATGACCTGACAAGTAATCGCGATATTCATTGTGATGCGTCTACGAGGAAGCTGTGCCAATGGGCGAAGCTTTGGTAGTATCTCGCAAGCTCGTCCAACGCAATCTTGGGCTTTGATAAGAGGGTTACGTCTTGCCACCCAGCGATATCTCCGCATTGATAGAGGATATGGGTGCACTGTGTGGTCGGACTATCAGAACAGAAGAGGCAAAGAGATGTGGCCAGCCTGAACAAGGGTCTGAACAACAAAGAGCCGACAAGGCTGGGGACTTGGCATCAATCCAGCCTTGCGCAGGTGTCAAATACGCTGATTGCTTTTCCACTTCCTCAGACCTACGATTCATCACCCTTTCCCCAGTGAGACCTGAAAGCCCATCGACATCCATACGCTCCGTCTTATCCACCTAATGACTCCTCAAGCTAACGGAGTGAGGACCTAACGGACGGGTCATTCACTTGGACAACCGGTTGGAGCGCAGTCTTGAAGATGTCGACGATGTGCTCGACCTGATAAGTAGCTTTGATGCTGATGCCACGTCGCTCGAGTTCCTGATCCAGCATTACCTCCGCACCAAACCTCAGGCACTCCCCTAGCTCGGGAATACCTATGCTTGGGTGTCGCCACCAGCCCGTGCCGGAGTCTTCGTCGGAATCCAGCATTTCCTCTGTGATATGACTGTGGCATTTCACCCTGATCACGTCGAAAGCGGTGACTGTGGTCCCACGCATTGCAGAAACGATAGTTGCGACGTCCCTTGCCAATTTCTCGTCCACGGCGAAGTCGTCACAGAAGGTAAAATACCGCAGAATTAGGTGCCAACTCGATTCTTCTGCAGGACCGGTTGAAGATTGGCGAGCTTCGCTTCTCCGGTTTCGAATTGCATCCTCAAGTTTCTGTGCGTCTGTCTTCGTATACGGCATCTGGAAAAATCGAGGAGCGCATGTGCCTCTCAGTTCACGAAAATATGGGAAGTCAAGGCTGCCCTTCGGCTTTGGCTTGGTGCCTTTACTGAGCAAGTGCTCTGCGTTCAACCTGTCGACAGGCTTGACGGCGTGTGCTGTGATCAGATTTCGAACTCTGGTCTCTTCACGTTCGTCATGTGAGTCGTACTGTCTTGACCTGTCTACCCACTTCTGCGCTGAGGCCACGTACTTGCATGGTTCATTCGTCCCATGGCCTTGCGCAGCTGTCCAACCAAACAGTCTGTGTAACTTTGTCTGTTGCTTAGCCGGATCTTTTCCGATTCTGCCAACTGCGCTGAAAAGTGGTGTGCCGTCATCATCGAGGAAGGACCAAAGTAGCAGCATTGCTGGTTTCTTTTTCAGGCCTTTGAGATCTGCCGAATCGTTGCTTTTCTCTTTGGACAAGCTCTGACGGTGATCTTCCAACAGGGCCATATTGACCAGGATTATCGCAGCTTTACCCCTGGAAACGCATTAGCTTGCTGTCCAGCTTTTGCATCACATGACCCAACTCCAGTGCTGCAGAAACGTTCTCTGGTGTAAGTTCTTGGATATCAACATCATGAATATTGTACCAGTCATCCGGCTGAGACATGTTCTGGCGTTTTCTAGGTTCGCTGATTGAACAAGGAGGCTGTTGCAGCGTTGCTCAGGCGGTGAGACTGCTGATGATGCGACGACATGAAAACTAGTTTCTTGCCTCTTGAGTGCTGCCGATCAAAGAGGCGAAGTGGTGGAGGGGAGCTGCGGTTTGAGGTAGGTACAAAACAGAGGAGGTGAGAACGTGCAAGGGCGAGGTTGCTGAGGGTTGCAGGAATGCACAAAGCTGAGGAAGTAAACTGGTCGAGTAGTCTAGGGGGCCTTGGAAGTGGACAAGGTGAGGTGGTGAAAAGTTGAAGAGATGCAGAGAAACGTGTCGTTCAAGGTTGTGATAAAAGTCCAACAGCAACAACAACAAGAGCAGGAGGGGAATGTATGTATTTCGAGTAGTGAATACAGGCAGTGACAGTGACACTGCCTGTACATGTCGCTGCCTCCGAATGTGAAGAGTCCTTCCTAGAGTTTTGGTTCATTGTGGAAGGCTTCACATATCAGGCATGACGACCCTGTCTACCTGGTGCACCGGGGGAGTACATCGAGTTAAATTCCGTGTTGAAGCTGACGGAAGCCAGACTTCATCGCATCGAGCGTGCGCGTACATTCAACGAGCCTTTCCGATGCTACAAAAAGTTCGTATGATGGTCATGTGGTGAATGTTCAGCCTTGTCGGGCTTGAAACATATCTTGCAGGGCCTCGCTGTTCAAGACTATTGATTCGGCGCGCGATGTGAGACTTGTTGCGCAGTCCATGCAACCTCCATCATCCTCGACATCGATCCCACAGCTTCGCTTCTGTCTTTCGATAAATATGCATATGCAACGAACAAGGCGTGTTGTTCGTTCGATATGTTTGCTCGCGTTGTCGTCATGCAATTTCTCCAAGTCTTCTCATAGACTCCTCCTTTTGAACCCCGTGAGGGGTAAGGCTGTGAAGTCGTCGGCAAACAATCTCCACGATATCCAGCCGAGGGTCAACAGATGTGGCAAGTCAACATACACTCGAAATCATGTCCAGCGGTCCAGAAAGTCCTGTCCAAGATCATCTTGCCTTAAAGAGATGTCGATTAAGATTCCCACTCCTGAGCCCAAGTAACACTGGCGATGGACGACGCCCCAGTTGCCGTTGGTGACGGCGTGCCTTTTGCCACAGTACAAGATCCTGGCACGCCATCACTCGATACGAGTAGGGAGACCAAGCAGCCTCATCAGACAAACGGTGTAAATGGTACGAATGGCCACGCAGATTTGTCGAATGGCGCCCATGCCAGTCAAAATGGGACCCACGGCAATGAGATCCCACTATCAAACGTACCCGCATACAGTACCCAGCGGAAACTCCGCATCATCACCATAGGCGCCGGCTTCTCAGGCCTGATGCTCGCACACAAACTTCGCTATGAACACCCAGAAATGGAAGACATCGTGACCAATACCATCTTCGAAGCACGACCAGAAGTCGGCGGCACATGGTTGGCCAATTCATATCCAGGGGTACGCTGCGACGTGCCCTCTCACATCTACGCCTTTCCATTCGACCCAAACCCGGACTGGGGCCACTTCTATTCCACCGGCGAGGAGATCCAGGAGTACATCAAGCACACGGTCAAAAAGTGGAACCTCGACCGTGACATGCAACTTAACACCAGAGTCACTGGTGCATACTGGCAAGAAGACCTTGGTCGATGGAAAGTGTCGGTCGAGCATGATGGCCAGCACCGCGATGAGTATGCCGACATCATCGTGGCAGCGCAGGGCTTCCTGAGTACTTGGAAATGGCCTGATATTGCTGGTCTGGACAAGTTCAAGGGCCATAAAGTCCACTCAGCATCGTGGGATCACTCGTTCAATTATTCCCACAAGAAGATCGGCATCATCGGCAACGGCTCGTCGGGGATCCAGATATTGCCGCACTTGGCCAAACTTGAAGGTACAAATGTGACGAGTTTCCAACGAGGGCCGAGTTGGATTGTCGCGAGGATGGATCCGGGGAAATTGCTGGGCAAGCCCGGGTTAGGTGACAATCCAGAGTATACTGAGGAAGACAAGAGACGGTTCCGCGAGGACAAAGAGGCGCATCACCAGTATCGAAAGAATCTGATCCATTCGATCAACAGGGCTTTTAAAATGGTAAGTGTCCGAATAACAGCATCGTCCGGTTTGATTGGTGCTGACGATTTAATGTGATGCTCAGTTCGTCAAAGGCTCTCCAGAGAATATTGAGAACCAGAAGTTCGCGGCAAAGCAAATGGCCGACAAATTGGGCAACGACCCGGAACTCTGTGCAAAGCTGATACCAAACTGGGAGCTCGGTTGTCGAAGAATTACGCCTGGATCAGGATACTTGGAGTCATTTCTGCGGCCGAATGTGCACTTGATTCAGAGCTCGATCAAAGAGGTCACAGAGGACTCTGTGGTGACTGATGATGGGAAGACCACGCAAGTGGACGTTCGTAAGTATCAGCCGAGCCACCATATCTTCAGTATTCTGACAGCTGACTGTCTTTAGTTGTTTGTGCAACGGGTTTTGATGTTTCTCACTGCCCGCGCTACCCAGTCGTTGGCCGCAACTCGGTGAGCCTGGCAGACAAATGGGCAGATGAGCCAGAATCCTATCTCTCAGTTGCCTGCCCCGATTTCCCCAATTATTTCATCTTCACAGGCCCCAACGCGGTCGTCGGCCACGGTTCGCTTGTGGAGGGCTTGAACTGGACGGGTGATTATATGGTGCAATGGTTCAAGAAGATCGTCGCGGAAGATATCAAATCTGTAGAGCCGAAGCAGGCTGCCGTCGACGACTTCGTGAGGTACGGCGATAAAGTAATGAACACGCTGACGTGGACGGGTGCGTGTCGGAGTTGGTACAAGAAGAATCGTGTCGATGGAAGGGTCACCGCAACGTTTCCGGGGAGTGCCTTGTTGTACAAGAGGATGATTGCCGAGATCCGAGGGGAGGATTGGAATGTCGAGTACCGGAGCCCAAATCGGTTCAAGTTCATGGGAAATGGGTTTACCGAGTATGAGTTGGATGAGGGGAACGATTTGTCGTGGTATATTGCTCGGTAGATGAGTGTAAAGTGGTATCCGTGGCACAAACAACCATGCTGAACACATCAGAAATCTTACTGCACGCAAGCGCTGTCTGCCTTTCTTCTCGCGTGCTACTGCAAGGCTGGCGGAAGCGACGAACCTGTAAGAGCCGGTGTCGTTTTTGGGGGCTGAACGAGCCACAGAACGAGTTTGGCGTTTCCTTGATGTTCGTCTCAGCCTCGCCAACCTTAATTTCGTGACAATCTGGCTAGGAAAGCCAGCCTCATTCATGCGATGACAACAATGTATGTGGCGTCCCGCGTAGTTCCAACAGTTCATGGTTTCATTCGTTATATAAGAAAGCTAGGTACGCAGTCACATCAAACCGCGTGCCCAATGAAAGAAGTAGTCGTCTTCGGTTGGCCATCCCACTCAGATTGCTCTCTCAACTCCATTTCATCCGTATCGCGACGGACATCCGACACATTCACATCCATGGACTTGGTAATGTGATTTCGGGGAAGACCAGCAGATGCCTGTTGAGGCGGTGCTGGGTCAACCACATTGGGTTGTCGGACGTAAGAATTTCCATACGACCCCTTCCCTGAGTTTGCAAACTTGGAGGGCCAGATTCTTTGCAGGAAAAGACGAAAGGCCGGCATGCATGCACAGATGACGCTGACGTACAACTCGATCGAACTCCAAATAGAGGTTTGTAGGAGATTGTCTTGCAAGAGAGTCAGGTATTGGTCATGTACAATGCAAGGAACCACTTACAGGTCAAGTTTGTCTCGGTTGCAAATGTGATGAGCGCTTGAAGTCTGATGATGCTGATGACGGTGATGCTGATCAACAGAGTTAGTAGGTGTTCGCGTTGATGACGTTCAAGGACTTACAATGCCCCCACGCCAAACATGCTCAAGATTTGAACCTTCTGTTGCCTTGAGATCTGAAGCTTCATGATCACCGGGATCGGAATTATGAGAATCGAAAGGTCAAGGGCAATGTTGATTGCTGCTGCTGCCCATCCTCCAGCGTTGATGTTGATACATTTGCCTGCTGAAGGGTCCCGCCATTGTGTCCAGAAAAACGAGACGGGCGTGCACTCGAAGCCGAGAATGAACATGAAGGCAACAAAGTAAAGGATGCAGCCCGCCATGACAATATAGCCCATCTTTTGGAAGAGAGGTTGAGCAAACACCTTGAGCTCAAAGACCAAGACGGCCAGCTTGGTGAGGACGCCGATGAAGATGTACAAAAATTCGCCAATGAAGAAATTCTGATAAGCGGGTTAGTCACAGTGTTCGACAGAACAGGCGACGAGAAGCAGTACCTTTAACACGGTATCGATGTTGTCAGGTGCGACATTCCAGATATCCTGACCTAGGCCAAGATGGGCGGCTTCCAAGTTGACACCAGTGAAGACGATGATGGAAATCTTGCAGAAGTCGTTAGCAAAGAAGGGTCTTGCACACAGATGAGAAGTTTATGCTTACTGTTGCAACCAACATGATAGCATCATCGATACGGAAGAGAGGCGTGAAGGGTGGTCGAACGTAGAGTCGAACGAGGTAGAATAGGATAGCCACCACCAGAAACACTGATACCACCACGACATAAATATGTGAGTCATTGTGCGGCGTGACACCACAGGTGGATAAAGTGATGTTCTGAGCAGCTGGGAGGAATTAGACCGACGAGTTCATCTTCGGACTCAGCAAGCTTACTCAGTGATTCAACGATCGTGCAGTTGGCCTGAGTACATGAAGATACTTGGGCCAACATGGCGGTATCTTCGCAGATGCACGTAAGATCGGTCAGAGCACATGTTGAAGTAGGAACAATGGTCTCAGCGCAGATAGCCTGTGGGCGATCATGTCAGTCATTGATCAGCAAAACTCGTAGCTGGAATACTTACCGCGCAATGAGGAAGAGCTGCCAGCAGCTCCTCGAGCTGCTCCATTGATGCTTGTGCACTGGCCATGGCGAAGAGTCGTAACAGGATGAAAACGGAGAGGAATATCTTGAGCATCTTGGGCGATGATATCGTTCCAGCAGAAGCCAGACAAACTCAAAAATATGGTACTTGACGTCCGATCAAACTCTTGTCACGATCGAGGAAGGGACCAGGAGTGGGAAGTCAAGTGTTGATATGGTTTTTCTTACCTGCCAAAATGTTCCAGGATCGAAGCTAGTGTGGACGTTCGCCAGGAACCATGTCCTGGGCATCGCAGTGGGGGATTGTGGATAGGACTGCTGGTCGTTGCACTATGGGAATGGTGAGGCTCCCATCATTCCATCAAGGGCTTAGACGAACGGCACATGGGGCCGCCGTTTATTTTTTGCGGGTACAACAAGACCATGGGGTTTTTCCAACACGGCACGGCCAGCACTGGCGAGATAGCGAACAGGCGATCGGCAGCCATTGACGAGGCGATTGGGAGAAGTAAGTCAGTCGGTACATCAAAGCGAGCCGTTCATCTAACTTTCGTCTTCGAGAGAAAGTTGCGGCGCACAGGGCACAGCTCGGGAGCTGCCAGCAGCCTTCCTTTGACTGCGTTGGAAGTGACCACGAGTGATGGGCCTGGCGTCAATCTCCACAAGCCACCTCAGAACCGTTGATTGTGTGAGGCTCTTCATGCCTTCCAGAAGAAGTGGGCAAGGGAGTGAGATTTGGAACAATCAAGTTTCGCCCTCTGAAAAACGCAAGCTGACAGATCGACATTGTGGACAAATGTGGTTCTCGACCCCCTGCATCGGACGACCTTTCCACATTTGGGCCAGCCTGTTCGAGCAAGTTTTCCTAGCAGTTCCTGCATCAAGATTCAAGACGGACACTAAGACAGCCACCTGCCTGAACCGTCGAAGAAGTAGTCCCTGGTAGTCCCAAATCGACTCCCGGCTTATCGAAGATCTGCAGGACATGCAAGGCCTCGCCAGGAACAGGAACAGGAGATGGCCGACTTTCGCGAAAAAGGGACAAACCACTGTTGTGGTGCACCAACCACAATGCATTTAGGCCACATGTAGGAATATATCGTTTGTTTCAGAGCAGAACCTTCTTGAAATGATCCCTTCTGTAAGTTCACCTTTGTTCTTTGCTTTTTGGACGATCATGCAATGCTTCTGGGGAAGAAGGAAAAAAATCAATCATCCCTCCACCTCCGTCTGTCCGAAACCGACAAAAAGCCGCCATTTCGGTTCCAACCAGATTCAGCCCCTTAATCCTGACAACTCTCCACCATGACTGCAACTGCCACCATGTTGACAGACCCTTGGCACAGTAGCACACAGACGTGATATTGATAATGTCGCTTATATCCAACCCGGTCCCTGGTTTGTAGCATTCACTATTGCAACATTCAGCAAGTACTCCGGAGAGCCTGTTACGCAATCCCCGGGTCAGAAATGAGAACAAATGCGAGAAACTCCTCCAACGTATCGCTTATCATGTGCAAATTCATTGATTGTTTCATGCGTCTGACTACATACTCACAATGGAGACCGGATGACGGATGTCAGACGCAGACCTGACGTTCTTACTGTGACTTTTCCTTGACGTGATCCAACACTACTGAACGAGGACCTCGGATGGAAAAGTGCCCGCCCTTCAGCATGCTATCTCAAATTTTCGACTGTTTCATTCCTCGCTGTGTGGCAGACTTGTGACCTCCCCCTTCGAATTTCGAGCTAGCATCATATCGTCCATCATACTCCTGTCGTTAGGCAATACCAGATTGAGGAATACTCCGACAAGGGCCGCAATGATGAAGGGCGTCTCGACAATGAGATTGATACCCTGCTCAAACCCCTGAAGATGGACATTGTTGCCACTGTAGTCCAGCACCTGATCAAACCATGTAGGCTGCACAATGTCGATAAAACCAATACCCAAAGACACAGTCAAGATGAATCGGTTGCGCCGGGTGAAGTCAATCAAGCCAAGCACGCGAATACCTGCCACGGCGATGGTGCTGTAAAGAAAGCACTGCATACCACCAAGCACCGACGGAGGCATCGCGGAGAAGACGGCACCGAATTTTGCGAAAAACCCCATGAGAACGAGGAAGACGGAAGCTGCCCATCCAGCGCGTCGTGACTGTTTCATGTTAGAACAGATTCGCCTGCATTTTATGAGTACTTACCGCACAGCCCGTAAGCACAATCGTGCCGTTGTTTCCCGCTTGAGAGACCATGGGCAATCCTGTTCCCAGCGCGCTGATCAAACTCCCTAGGCCGTCGCAGAGGATACCTCCTTGGATGCGGCTGTTAAATTGTGTGCCCTCGACTTCAACTCCGGAGATTTCCGCCGTGGCCAATATATCAGGCATACAGCTCACTGCTTCACAGATGAACATGATGAGCAATGGAAGCACCAATGCTCCGTCGACTGAAAGTTTGAAGGTGTGAACCCAGAGAAAAGTGACCACAGGGGCTGCGTCAATGTTTTCGCGTGACCAGTACCCAGTGGCTCCAGAGATAGTGCAGCCGACAGCCAGACCGATCAAGACTGCGGCCGACTTCATCAGAGGTGAGCCGAATTGCTCGACAATGATGATGCTGAGAAAGACGCTGAAACCCAGACCTATAAGCTTGGGGTGCGCCCAAGGTAGTGGCTTTGGTGCGTCAATGTTGGGACACAAAGCATAGTAGCCGGTACCGCCGTTGCAGTTGGAGGATCCGCCCAGATTCTGCATTCCATTTCCGATCAGGTACACTCCCACGAGAAGCAGCAGGGCACCCGTCACAATCTTTGGAAAGATCTTGTTCAGCAACCTCGGAGGCACCATGGACATCAGCAGCTGAACCAGCACTGTACATAGCATGGTGCCAAGTATTGCACCCCAGGCATCTGGGCATGGAAGTTGAGTTCCATCTGCAGCGGTTGGACACGTGCCGTTGCTATATCGCATGCTGGTGTATGAAAATGCGATGGGTAGGATGTCGAAAGTCGGGCCGACGACTGACAAAAGGCCGGTACCGATGAAGAACGGTGTGCCTTTGAGATGTACCCGAGTAACTTGAAGGGCTGTTGCAATGCCAGTCGTGATGAACGCAGCAGACACCAGATACGACACCTGCTCAGAGGGTAGGTTGAATGCCCCAGACGCAATTGCCAGGGGTGGTGAGACGACCGATCCAATCATTGTCAGGGCATGCTGTAGCCCCAGAATGATGGTGAGAAGTATTGGGACTTGGTCATGCAGCCCGTAGAATGGGATGGCCTTGTCTTTATACCGCCGATTGAAGGGCGGTATGTTTGGGGTGACCAGATACCAATAGTCGTAGTCTCCCAACCATGCTTCTCTCGAGGCGAGGTATGTTTTGAGTTGGCTAGCTTTTTGGCCCCAGGTAAGTCGTGATGTGCCCCCTAGTGCGGCCTCACGGGTGGAGGCTACCGAACCTTCGGTAAAGATAGTCTTGTCTTCCATTGTTTTAGGGGCGATGTCCATGAAGAAGAGATTGATCCTTGAGATTGAGGAGAAGAGGACGTTGTTCAATTGTCAATATGGTAACTGGGCTGTTGGGGGCACTGTTTTTATATGCCATTTTGATGACTAGACAAGCCGGGTCATTCACGGAGAGCATGGAGATGTTCGTGTGAATCATCGATTTGGGGAAGGTATATTCTCTTCGTGCGAGATACGATGTTGAGATATGCAGGATGATCTGATGTTTGGTGTATGATAGGCTATCCCATGTGCCTCGAACTTTCTGGCGATAGGCGTTGTCGTACTATATGTCCAGGCGTCTGATTGGCTTGCGGGTACGTTAGTTGACTTCGAAATCCCCCGAGGCCTGGGGCACGGCTTCCTTTTCAGGGCCATTCGGGCCTGGCCCGACCCTCCCCGTACGAGGGAGGTTTTCGGTGGCCTCGTACTGTCTTTTCGTCCTTGATCTTCCGATAACAAACACTGATCAATCGCACTTAACAACATCTTCAGTACGAAGATAGCCAAAATGGATCTGGCCATGGGGGCTACTGATCTGAAAAGGCTTTCAACATCAGCTGGAATAAATTGCAGCTTTACCCACCACCTCTCAGGGTCAATGTAGGCTTCTCATTTTGCGTTGATTGCACATTGCACAAGATGAAGAGCACGTCAACGTTATTCATCCATGCGACGATCATCACAGTCGATAACGAGCGAACAATATGGCTTGATGGTGCCATTCTGGTAAATCTTGATCGCATTGTTGCCGTCGGCAAGACCGCGCAATTGCTACACGATCCCCTCCTGCCTACTGGGACGAAAATTGTGGATTGTTCCGGTCGCATCATTCTCCCAGGACTCATCAACACGCATGCACATCTTGCACAATCACTGTTGAGGGGCCTTGCTGAGGATGTGCCTCTGCACTCATGGCTTTGTGACTCGATATGGCCATTCGAAGCAAACTACGATGCCGATGACGGCTATGTTGCAGCCAGACTGACAATCGCGGAGATGCTGCGAAGCGGTACGACATGCTTCCTTGAGGCAATGTTGACCTATCGAAGTGGCTTCGAGAACGTGGCTCGCGCGGTCGAGGAAATGGGCATCAGGGCATGCTTGGTATGGCACCCCTTCAGGATCCAACAGATGTGCTGACCTGCTTCAGGGCAAGCTTGTGAAAGTTGAAGAAACCAACACAAAGACAGGAATGACAGACGCCAGAGATCGAGATGTGGCCAGTATGTCTATCGAGAACGCTCTCGAGGCCCACCAGAAATACCACGGGTCTTGTGGTGGCAGGGTTCACGTATGGATGGCCGCCGGAACTCCCCGGGGCTCCTCCGAGTCATCACACAAGGCCATAGGAGATGTGTGTGCTGAGCACGGCATCGGCCTGACCATGCATTGTGCCGAAGCACCAAAGGATCTCTCCATCTACCGTGACTGTTATGACTGCAGTCCAGTCGAGTTTTGCCAAAGGAACAACCTGATTGGGAACGAAAGGAAAACTGTCCTTGCTCACATGGTGAATCTGGACCTGGAGAAGGATTCTCCCCTCCTACAGCAGGCAAACGTCACCGTGGCACATAATCCGAGCAGCAACTGCAAGTTGGCTTCGGGGATAGCGCCTGTTCCCGAATTGATGGCTTCCGGGGTAAATGTCAGTCTCGGAACCGACGGTGCCCCATGTGCCAATACGTATGATATGATTCAAGAGATGCGATTGGCTGCATTAATCCAGAAGGGCACCCGGAAGGATGCCAAACTCCTGGGGGCGGAGGATGTACTCGCCATGGCCACAATCAACGGAGCCAGGGCCCTTGGTCTCGACAAGGAGACCGGAAGTCTCGAGGTCGCAAAGAAGGCCGATTTCATAGTGCTTGATCCTTCAGGCCTTCACTGTGCACCCTTCGACCAAGACCAAATTCTCGATGGAGGGCTGGATCCTGTCACAACTGTGGTCTATTCGTGTAGCGGAGCAGATGTGGAGATGGTGGTTGTCGATGGTCAATTGGTGGTGGAGGAGCACCAGCTTGTATCTGCTGATGAGGGCCAGATCAAGGAAAGAGCTCGTCACAGCGTCAAGAGGATAAGGGAAAGGTCCGAGGTGCAATCGCATCTTAAACGGAACTTTCGGTGACAGGTAGCCCATGTCTTGAGGTGCTTTTGGAAACCAGGGTCGCATAGCATTGAAAGCATTTCGGCAAAGAGAAAAGTGCAAATAGTTATAGGCATCGAGCCAACTTCATTTCAACCGTATGTAGCCTTGTATCTTGAAAGCATGTGCTCCGTCACAGTAAATTCTTTTCCTTTCTTACCGTCCAGAGGTTTGATCACGCAGTCAGGATTGCCGTCCCAGAAGAACGGAATCGAGTATCGATCGACACCACTGGTGTTGATGACGCGATGGAGGTTGCTCTTGTATGCTCCAGAAACCCAAACTTCAAGCATGTCACCAATGTTGACCACATATGCACCCTTTGTTGGGGTCACGTCAATCCATTCCTTGGTGTCGTAATTCAACACCTGAAGACCGGAGTGTCCGTCTTGCAAAAGCAAGGTAATTGCACCAAAGTCTGTATGAGCACCGGCACCAACCAGATTGGCATCTTCCGTCTTTGGGTGTGGAGGGTAATGAAGAAGCCTCACGTTGGCAATCGGTTCCTTGCAGTACTCCTCGAATACGCTGGTGTCAAAGCCTTTCAATCCTCTCGCAAGTATGTGCATCATGACCATTGAAAGGTCTGTCAGGGCTTTCTGGTACTCAAGCAAGGGCTCCTTGAACTGTGACTCTGGAACCTGAGCTGGATCGGGCCAGACGTTGGGATCTTGGAATGGTTTGTACGGTGGCTTAATGTCTGGAATCTCTCGGCCCATCATGTACCCCTGTCGTTGGTCAGTGGCAGGACAAGTACTTCGACGTAAAAAGCCTTACCTCTTTGAGATCTCCCTTTTTGCCAGCCTCCAAGATCTGACCCCCAATCACTTCGTAGCCTCGGCCAGGCTTCCCCTTCAAATTCACTTTTTCATTCTCGGGAAGAGCAAACAATGTTTTGGCCGCCGAAAAGACTCGTTGTTGCAATGACTCTGGGATACCATGGCCGGTAATCTGGAAAAATCCACTTGTTGCACAAGCGTTGCGAATCTGCTCGACAATCTTGTCGGCTTCGGTAGACTGAGGATCCCGGAGATAATCGGCTATATTGACCGTTGGGATGGTGAAAGTTGGTTTGGTGTCGTACGTGATGGCCATCGTGCTCGCTGAGTGAACAAGATCCGGATTCGAGATTCCTGTTACACACGAAGAGCCAGTGTTAGTAGCTTACTTTGCTAATGCAATGCAGAGGATGGACCTTGCCATGATTAATATCGACCTGAGAAGAAGCTTGAAAGTCAGAATAGTCTGGATGATTTGCGGAGGTCGCCGTCGATATGGACGATTGTGAGGTGTGAACGTTGGACAAGTATGGGCGTCTCCGGGCGTCACCGTATCGCATCAGCCACGTATCATTGGCGAAGATTTCCGCCCAGCACGCCTGATCGGAAACTCCTTATCGTACCAATCTGATCACGATTGATCGCTCCTGCCCCCAGATTTGCCCAATGCGTTCAGTACGAAAACTTCTTTCTCTCCGAAAGTCGCACCCGACAACTCCATCACACCTCATTATCCCTTACAAGTCCACACCTCCAGATTCTGATAGTCCAATGACCAAAGGACGCTCACGGGAAACATGTACAGAGTGCTCACTTCGCCGGCAGAAGTGTGACCGTCAAAGACCCTGTGGTCGTTGCGTAAAGCGAGGCATCCCCGACAAATGTCAACTCCACTGGTCTGGTGAGTACGATCCAGCACTCCATCGGGTCTATCCAAGTACACGCCCTAGATCCAAGCAACAGTCATTGACATCAGACACCCCTGGACGTCAGTCCACCATACATGGAGACTCCGACAATGAATCTACACTGCTCGAAGGCTTGCATGCGCATGCTGCACATTTTGAGGCTCAACAGATGAGATGGGCAAACGAACCACGCCTGCAGTACACTTTCAAACCTCACAATCCTCCACAGATTCGAAGAGGTGCTGCGGCGTCTCGGAGTGTGCAGCAGCCATGGCTCCCACCAGGAGTGTTTGGCTTCAACTCCACTGCGGATGCGCAGGCAGCCTTCCTTCAGATGCTCCTGCCGAACGTCGACCACATCTGGAGCCTGGTAAACTATCACGAACTGGCGCTCCTCTGGTACCATGGCTGCTATCACGGCCCAACGCTTCGGTGGGAGCTACAAAGTGTCATTGCTGGCCAGGAACAGGAGGAGACCTTGATCATCAAAGACTTGGACATGCAATGGCTTGCCCTCCTGTTCGCCATCATGGCCGGAAGCATCACCTGTGCACCAAAACGAACACTTGAGCGATGGGGCTTTTCAAGACAAGAAGTCGTCAAACTGTCGTTGCAGTGGTACAAAGCTAGCATCTCATGCCTCAATCAAGCAGAGTATACCTCCAACCACAGCATCTACTCAGTCCACGCCATCGCCACATTAACCATGTCCGCCCACCCTCTTGGTCAGTCAGCCGAACTCTCTGTTCTTCTGGGTGCCGCTCTAAAAATTGCTCAAAGCCTGGGACTCGACAGACTGGATCACAACACGACACTGGAGAAGATTACAAGTACATCAAGCGAAGAACAGCGACACAAGCTACTCAATCGAGAGATAGGTCGGAGGTTATGGTCCCAACTATGTGTCCAAGATTGGATGTCTTTACCGTTTCACGACAGCAATAACATCAAGCCACTCCACTTCACGACAACTAAGCCGTCCAGCCGCGATCATTTGACGATGAATCCGATTCCGCCGACCTTCCCCACGTACATCAGTTACGGCAACTACCTGTTCGAAATCGCCAAGCTCATGGTCAGTCACCACGATGCAATGCTGGGGGCCACAACACAATTCACCCGGTACGAGCACGTTCTGGAGTACGACGCTCGGATGCGCACATTAGCCACCCAAGGCATGCCACGGTACTTTCATGTCGTGGAGCCCATCGACCCCTCCTGGCCAGAGTGGGTGCCGTGGGCGCGACGTAGCTTGACAATCTGCTTCGCTCACAAAATCATCATGATCCACCGAGCCTTCATCAGACAGAGCTTCATCAACCCAGCATACTCCATCACGCGCATGACATGTCTGGCCGCAGCAAAAACCATCCTCAACGAGGCCAAGCAGATCAAGGATCTGGATGGCCCAACCATATGGATTGACAAAGCATTCTGTGTCGCAGCTGCAGTCATTCTCTGCTTGGATATTTTCCATCGCCCGGAATCTGATGCCGAGTACAACTCTCACAAGACCTTGGTGACCGATTGTATCGACCTACTACAAACGTTCGACACCAGCATTGTCGCCGTCCGAGGATCGAGTCTGTTGAGTGCGCTCATTGCGGATCGAGACCGGCTCAGATCGAATTTGACTTGGCCGCCGGAGAGCATCAAGACGTCAGACGTTTTCAAGTCACTCATGACAGGCACGAATTCGCCAACAGGGCCGGAAGTCCAAGATGAAGCACGCCCGCTGCCGGATCTCTTCCCTCCGCAAGTGGGCTTCTGTAACCGCTTTTTGCTCGAGGACCTGCTGAGTTTCAACCGTTCCAGTTGAAACTCCAGTTGAAACTGGACCATCACAGCTTCATTTGAAATGCGACCAGCTCACCCCATGGGGCAATATCCTCCGTAGAGGGAAGGCTGGCTCTCTCCGCCACAACCAGACCACCATACTGCCCATCCGAACATGTGGTCTGAGCAGGAGAGGAAATCCTGCATCATGACGTGAATTCATTCTGCATTGTGCTGTCGTAATGGCTAAATCCACAAGTTCGTGGTACGCATTATATGTCACCTCTTGGCCTGGCGTCAATCCTGAACGACCGTACACTGGATGTGTCACTAGCACTCAGAGGATTCTCACTCTCATCCCCACCAACAGAGTATACTCCAGTCACCATATCTTGTTGTCCCCTCCACGAGTTGATGGGCTCATCGAACTTGCCCCACCATCCCATCCTGAACATCTCTCCCTGCCAGATACCGCTCTTCTCCCAGTCGTTGTCACTCCAGAACTCAGAACCTTTAGGGATTAGACCGGAGGTCTCGTCCACAATACGACTCCCGGCCAAAAGACTGGCTACTGCCGCCACGCTGCCCATTGGCTTGGGAAGAACGTGTCGCATATCAATCGTTACGAAGATCGTGGCGGCGCAGATCAAGAGTGCTGCAAGGACGCCGACGAGCAGATGTGTTGACAGCGACGACTGGACCACTCGCATATTACGAGCGTCGGTATAAGTGGCTTGAAGCGGGTTGGCAACGGTCTCTGTCGCATTGTTGGACAGCGTGCGAAAGTCCGCGCGGAGGAACTCGTCGACCTCTTGCGCCATATACTGACGGTAGAAATGGGTGAAAGTATCGATAAGTTTGGTGTGGTTCGTGAGCTCATCCATTGGGACACCATCGCGGCCATAGACCATGGCCTCGAATGCGGTATCGAGCACGTCTGTCGCGGTGAGGTTCAAGGACAGCAAGGTCGGAAATTCCTCGCGATAACTTGAAAAGTTGACAGCGGATCCGTCATCCACAATCGGTGCCGTGGAGATGGTCATGTCTGGAAGGTCGAAGGTTACATTAGCATTGACACGTTCGAGGCCTTGCGTGCATAAGTATGCAGTGAAGTTGTCCATCACATTGTTCTCTGTCATGTGTCCATAAAACAAAGCGATTGTGGGGCAATAATGGTATTGACCTACTAACACCTCTGTTGCACCGAAATAACCTGACACGTTGACGGGAACTGACGGATTTGTGATGAGATACTCGTATGGTCGGTCTGCGAAGCCTGAGTTGCCACAGCCCGCAGCCATGGAGATGTTGACTTCATTGATTCCTTCTGTGTCTGGTATAGCAATTTGTAGAAGTCTCTCCTGCGGGACGACATAGCAGCTCACAGAAGCCCTGATTGCAGGTGTCGAGATCGAGATGGACGTGTTCTGAAGCAATGTTTGTTCATCGGATTGGTTGACCTTGATGTGGGGGATGGCCAGTTCGTCGTACGTCCACTGAGGATAGGACATGTTGCCCTCAATGACGAGAGATGGGATGTTACTTGATGATGTGGAGTATGATAGCGTCGTCGTGTTGAACCAGTTCAGGGCCGTGGCTTGCAGTGGTGTAGTCTTGACGGTCGCTTGGGAGATGAAAAGACCCGACACGACAATTGTGAGGAAAGGCGCCAGAACCGCTGAGGCGGATGCTGCGGTCAGTGCGAATCTGCTGTGCCGCAGACCGTTCCAAGTCGCGTGCAGCGATATGTGGCGAAGAGGGTACCACAGCATGCTGGAACTGGCGTTGCAGAAGCCCTTGGCCATTGCGTGATACGATTCTGCAGACTCAATTTCAAAGTCCATGATGTTGAAGAGGGTGCCGAGAAGGACGAAGACGAGCACAGGCACGTACAGCCAGCTGTAACGCGTGGCGTCGTTTTGGCCCGGAACATTGCCGAGGCCATCGTTGGCGCGAGACTGTGAGAGGAGGACTTCGAGTACAATGATGGCGGCTACAGATGCGAGCATGGTGAGCCCAATTGCAATCCTGCGCAGAATAAAAGGTTGGATCCACTTCACATTGTGAAACATACTGTCTTCATCGTTGTTCAGCTCGTGGACTTCTGAAGCAGTGGACATTCGGATCGAGAATGATCTGGCTCCGTCTTCGTACCCGATGCACGTCATGAAGCGGTAAGGTGAAAGGAGTTCTCGGAGCTGCTCCAGGCTCATGTGACCTGTACCTCGGAGTCGTGCCTCGAGGAGAGGACTGCGGGCTAAGATGGCCGCGACAGCTGCAATCGAATCGATAGCTCGCGGGACGACACCTCGAGGCGTCCAGAACAGCATGACCAACGTGAAAACGAGCATACCGCCAGCAATACCTTGCATGGCATGGACAGGGGCTGCTCGCGCAACCAGGCGATTTTGGAACTCGGAGACGGTGCCGTCAACCGTCGAGGCAGCGTCTGTGGAAGGTGTTGTAAGCAAATAGATTCTCGCCAGCTGTGCTGACACCTGGCCGAAGGCTTTGTTGCCGACGCTGGTCAGGTAGGCGGGGTCCAGGAGCTGCGTGGTCTGAAAATTGTCCGAGGCTTCCCGCATCAAAGTCATGAAAGGGTCGAGCACAACTTCATCAGATGACGAGTCATCATTTGAGATCGCATAGCTGTTTGAGGCCGATGTCAAAACACCTTTCGCAATGTCAACGCCACTGACGCCGTCGAGCGTACGAGGTTTTCCAATCAGGTCGACAGATTGAATATTTCCGTTCGTGTCCAAAGTCACTGCACCTTGTTGGATAGAATAAGTCGGCGTGCAGACAACGTTGGACGAGTTGAGCATCGTGAAGGCGTCTTGGCTGAATCCTTCGGAGTATGCCACAGAGATCATATATCGGTCTCGATTAGGGTCGTCTTCCGCCAGATTCGAGCAAGATACGTTCTGCAAAGATCCCTTGTATCCGAAGTTACGCTTTGTGACGTTCGTCTGATAATACCATTCCGGCGCACGAAGGTATGCATTGTGAATTTCACAGTCGGGCAAGGAAACAGATGTGTTGTAGTAACCCGACACCGGAGTATTGTAGTTTCTGTCACGACTAATGGTGTAATTAATCGTCCCCGTCGTGCAATTCACTAGGCTGGCACTGAAGACATCAACTGTTGCAGTGTAGGTCAAACTCCCGTTGATGAAGCCATTTGCGGGGCTGAATGTCTGGACAGCATAAGTATCTGAGGTTCCCACTGGCAGAGAAACATTGTATTGGTTTGCGCCGTACACGGAGATGACGGCCCGCGCGTCAACCGATGCTGCGTGATTGAAGCTGGATCCGTTGAAGGTGGTATTGAAGGACATGGTTGTCGCCACACCACTTCGCTGGATGGAGATGAGTTCGAAAGTACTCGTGGACACGATCGTGATAATCTTGATCAGGAAGAAGACTGCTATTGATGATGCGACCGCGACATGCCCTTTTCGTAACGACTTCCAAAGTGAGAAGAGCTGGAGTGGCGTTACATAGTCGAGCAGAAGGCTGTCCTGGACAGGCTGCGGCCCTTTGGCCATCTCTGCCCAGGGTTGAATCGATTTTGCTGCATAGTCGACTTGTCGCCAGAGAACGGTAAAAATGACGAAAACAGCGGTTGGACCATATGTCCAGAGATAGTGTTTGTTGTCATCGCTACTAGCAATGCCCTGATCTCTGACGGAGACGCTGTAGATGGCCTGTAAGCCGACGATGATCGCAACGAAGAGAACAGCAAAGAGAGCCAGGACCCAACGCCGGAGAAACGGCGGATCCCAGTGGGTGTCGAGTCCACCTGTTGGCCGATGCGAAGGCTGCTCGATATCGTGCTTGTAGACCAAGGCAGCATTTGGAGAAATGTCCCGTGAAGCCTGCTCCCGTGATATATACGGGCCCTTCCTTTCCATCTCGATGGGTTCTCCGTGCATCTCCCCAATGCTCGGATTCAAGCTGAGGTAGTCATGCTCGCGGAAACGACTCATTGTTGGCGACTATCGACGTAGGGACGCCGATTAGAAGTATAGGTCAGTCGCCCCAAAATCCAAGGAACCAGACGGCATGTGTGAAACGCGCTTGTGCTCAAAGTTTCCGGCAGATTGCCTTGTTCGACCCTCCCTCACGGCGAACTCGGTTTCAATTTTCGAAGCGTCGTCGAGAACCCCGAACAAAGAGGCGAGGTGGCAGCAATGAGTGTAGTTGCAATTTGATTTTGCGCTGGCATCCACGGTTAAAGTAACAAATTCCCGGATGTGCTTGAAGAAGCTGGTGTCGTATTGACCAACGCTTCGATATCCAGCTGCCGCCAATTGAAAATTTAGCCAAAGTCCCCTGATGAACAGCTTGATTCGCCCTAAGAAGGTATCCATTGGGGCCGTTCGCGCCGTGTTACTATTCTTAAGGCCAGCCGCGCCTGTTTGACTTCGCCGCTAGTTGCCAGTTGGTTAGGTATAGGTACACAGACTCGCCCGCAGCATTGTTTGCCGAGCCGCATGGTCGACTTATCCGTGCTTATAACCGTGCATCCTTCTTATGTGGTATTGTTCTGGAAGCACAAAAGACAAAAATCTGGATATTCTGCATCTGTGCGGTTGCGGGTGAGAACATATATGTCTGAAGCTCCGGGCCGAGGATATCGATCAATTCTTTGAAGGAGTAAGGGACCCAGTCTCAAGGGTCCAACAGGTAACGTTAGACCGAGTTGCAGTGAGAATCGTTTCTTTACCAAGCGTCCGTCTGAAGCGAATGCAGGTCAAAAAGCTGGGCATTTCAGCCCTAAATCCATAAGTTACTGTGTATAGCCGACGGTTGACATATGGACCTGGTGGCCCTAGGACGTTTCGACTGATCAATCGACGAGTCATGCCACAAATGCTGTTGATGATAATTAGCATGTGTTGTCCCAAGCAGCATTCTATTTCGAGGTTCTCCCCTTGGGACCCGACCCATAGGCGTTGGTTAGGTCGACATTTCGGCGTGCCCGTCCGTGGCTTGACAATTGACAGCATTGGAAGGTGCAGGAGTGTGAGTACTCTCATGCGTGGAATCAAACAGAGCGGACGAAGATGTCCTGGATACAAGAAGAGGACGCGCAGGCACCACAGGCACATATGAGGAGGAGTGATGTCATGCACCTCAACTACGGGCATGGCAGGCGCGGTTCACGGTTCAATCACCTTTACAACGGCCATCCATCCTTCAACTTCATACACTCTCTGATCGGCACTGAGAATGGTTTATATGGCTGGTTGGCAAAGTCTGCACAACTCACAACAACCACCGATGACGCTCCGCGAATCGGCATCATGACGGGTGGAATGCCGCTTCTTTCCACCCAAGTCGACAGGTCTATGCATAACAGATATGGATGGCGGGAAATTGACGGCTTGCTGACTATATTTAGTGCAGACGCCCAAAGAGACTCAGGGGAGCAATCTCATGCACACGTCCCTACCGGACCTCCCGCAGATAACACACTGTCAGATCAAATGATCCCAGGCTATTCAAGAGGCGGCACCATATGGAGCTCGGCCATCTCAATGATGACCTGCTTGATCGCATCCTTGGTATCAACAAATCCATGCCAACCCAACTGGCGATTCTTATTCATCGACATGACCCTACCCCAGCCCCCAAGAACCTCGGCGTCCAGGAGTCCGAACGTGTCCATTGACTTGTCACCAAATGGACTGTACTTCAGACCGTATTTGTTTCTGACCTTGTCCCAAGCGTTCAAGACCTCCCCCTTCTTGCTCCATTCGAGAAAGCTGAAGGACGCCTTGATGACGCCCGGGCCACCGAAGCCGCGTGGCGGCACGGGGTAGAGCATCGTGATTGTTACATATGCATCAGAATCGTTGGCAGGCTGGCCCACAGGTATGTTGTACCAGCTGGCAAGTGTAGGCCAGAACTTGCCCCATGCAAAAGCACTCGAGTCGGACTGATTGAGTGCTTGATTTCCCGCTTCGGGAGTCAAGAGAGCCCATTCAGCATGGTATCCGAGCAAGGTCGACATGGACTGGGCCTTCTCCGCAGCCCATGCTGCCACATCTCCAGGGAAATCCAAGGGCTTTCCGAGGTGTGCTTGAATGGAGGCGTAGATTGACAAAGGCCATATGACATTCATTGCGGCGTTCTCAACTGCACCGAGTATGAAGCATGGGCGAGTTTCAACCCAGTTGGCGCCGTGCTGCCGGCAAAAAGCCTTGAGAAGATCTACTTGTGGGAAGTAGAAATTGCCCTCGATCCCGTGTCTCGGATCATCTTCTTCCATGGGGCTCGCGGTTGGCCCCAAATGCAGGCCGTAGTGTTTCCCTCCAGTTTGCAGCAAGATACGCTTTGGTTTGATATTGGCGAGCAACAATGCTTGCAGGAAATTCGACAGCAATGCCACATTTTGCGTTGTTGTAGCATCGATGTCACTCCATAGGCCTTTCCCCGCAAGTGGAGGCGGCTGGACATAGCTGGAGAAGTAGACGTAGTCACTATCCATGTCAGTACGATCTTTTGGCAATCTCGAACGTTCTTACGCTTGGACATGGTTCTTTGCCAGGACTTTTGCGATCTCGTTGGGCCCATTGTTCAGAAAGTCCACAGCGATTGGGACGACATTGCTGGTATAATCACCTTGCAGGGGGCGTCGTGACAGAGCGTAGATCTTCTCCCATCGCTCCGGTGCTTCGGATAGCACCTTCACCACGGCGGATCCTGAGATGCCGTTGGCACCAGTCACTATGATACGAAGCCTCTGCCCCTGATGTTGTGAGAAAGTGGGAAGGCCATGAAAGATACCCTTGGAGATGACGGTCTGGGACATGCTGGAGCGGAATGAATTGAACACGAGGTAATGAGCCGTTCGAACAGGAAAAGCTGTCTAGCTGTGAATACTTATACCTGAGGTGTTGCAGTATTTCCCCATCGACGACGATCTCAGCGTAACCTCTCATGCATGACAACATCTTAGCAAAGCAGCTTATCAACCGTTGTTTATTGAGGATGCCGAATCAAACGAGCTTGTCGCCGACCAAAATGTCGATTGACGTGAGGGAGTGGTTTGATACCAGCATCCGAATCAGGAAATATTGTCTTCATCACGTGGAAGGCTTGCAGTTGCTTACCAAACGATCTCCATGATGCGATCATAGGTGTCAATTCAGAGACGTGCAGAATGCTGATGAGCGTCCAGCTATTGTTGGAGGCTGAGTGTTGCCATCCGAAATATGGATGGGTGGTTTGTTAGACATGGCGGCTTGGTAAAGCTTTTGAGTGATCCGATAGTATCAATGTCGAACCTGCGGACTCGGCCGGCGGCGCCGAAGAGAGATCCAATCTCTCGGCATGGTTGTACATGCTCGAGTACTTATCTGCTCGGATAATCACCAATTGACCCATTCTCCTAGAATTATGGCACTTCAGCTTGTACCATATCATGCCAAACGTGATACTGAATCATCAACGGAACCATTGATAGCCTTATCTAGCATGACTGAGGATAGAGGTACTCCAGAAAATATGGAGGTAAGTGGGCGCCTTTCATGCCGAGGATGAACTATGGTGTGGTGTCAAATCCACTTGGTAGGCCACGCCGTAGGCTTCCTTATCGCAGCAGGCGGACTTCTCCCACAGACGCGGGACGGTGGTACAAGCGGCCCAGCCGCGGCGATATCCATCCATTTGATACGCTTCAGCCCTCACGATGTAAAAGGGCGTGGAGTTCCAGGGCGCTGGACGATAAGGTAGGAGACACTTTGATAATGGGCAGTGCTCCTTGCTCGTAGAGATACTCGACTGCAACGCAAAAGAGAAGTACTCGGTGCACACCCATACAACGGTGATCCATTGCAGCAATCGACGAGATGGCCAACCGCGGGAAGACACTTGACCCTGAGGTCTTTTCCATAAAGGACCTCAAGGAGAAAGCATCAAAGAAGCTGCCCAAGATGTATCGGGAATACTTCAATGAGGGCGCCATGGACATGATCACTCTTCATGACAATGAAGCGGCCTTTGACAGATACCGAATTCGCCCGCGGATACTGAGAAACATCTCGAAGATCGATACGACGACCGAGATCTGGGGAGAACGAGTCCTTTTCCCATTTGGATTCTCCCCGGCTGCAATGCATCGACTGGCTCATCCCGATGGTGAAATTGGGACCTCGAGAGCTTGTGCGGCTCTGAACGTTGCAATGGGCCTTTCGGCATATTCGATGGACTCCCTAGAGGATGTCATCGCGCAGGGAAAAGGGAAAACTAACCCTTATGCTATGCAAGTTAGCTTGCTGAAGAATAAAGACATCAATTTGCAGCTGTTGCAAAGAGCTGAGAGTGAGTGCACAGTGTTCTCGATCTTGTCTTAAAGGCAGACTCTCTGAAAGTATCAAAAGCTAACCAAATCTTTGGACTGCAGAAGCTGGATATAAAGCTATCCTGCTTACTGTTGATGCTCCAATCCTGGGCCGGCGACTAAACGAATACCGCAACAGTTTCGCAATGCCCAAAGGGACGGCTTACCCGAACATCGCGCCCGGTGTTGACATGAGTAATCTGGAGGACGCCAGCACATACGCATATGGTAGGTCGTTCAGAAGTACCTGGGGCCCGTTCTGTAACTGACACGGAGTGATGTGATAGAGGACGGCGTGAACTGGGACGAGGCCATCTCTTACGTCAAATCCAACTGCAACCTGCAGATCTGGGTTAAAGGCTGTGAGTCGAACTCTCCATGTGTGTGTTTCCATCCATCTGATGAGTCCAGTGTATACCGCCGAAGATGTCGCGACTGCCATCTCATACGGTCTTGACGGAGTCGTGATCTCAAATCACGGTGGACGACAGCTCGATAGCGTACCAGCGACACTAGATGCACTTCGCGAATGCGCTCCTGTGGCCAAAGGCAAGATCAAGATCGGCATCGATGGAGGAATTCGACGCGGAACGGACATTTTCAAGGCTCTTGCGCTAGGAGCAGATTTCTGCTTTGCAGGAAGAGTGCCCATTTGGGGCTTGGCTGTAAGTACTGAACCTTCGAATGTTGACAGAGACTGAATCCTGGGCAGTATAACGGCACGAAAGGCGTAGAGCTGGCGATCCAACTGTTATATGAAGAGTTCAAATTGGCAATGGGTCTCACAGGGTTTGGCGCGCCTCGTCAGAATTGGCCGGAAGGGATTGCTGACTTTTTGTTGTAGGTGCAAGAGTATCGCAGAAATCAATCGGGGACACTTGTCAATATTGGAGACCAACGGAATCCTGTCCAAGCTTTGAAATCATGACCGGGCATCAAAGGGTCGAAGGTCGATAGAGTGCAGCAGAGGTTGTGGGAATTGGAGTTAAAAACTTGAACTCAGTAAGAGGTCAGAAGAGAAAGATCCCTCCCTGATCAAATGCAGCGTTGCGTGAGATTGTCCATCGGCATGAGTTTCTCCGATTCTCCGCTGGGCATGGCATCTTCATTCCAACTCCATAGAAATCGACACTTCAACCCTCTTTTTTCCCTTCGCACTTCTGGAACTTGCTCAATTGCACCCATACTGATACACATTGTTGATACCGTAATCCTTGATAACGGTAGACACGATGGCCTGCAACGTAGAAGGCACTGCCTGTGGTCAATCAGAATCCAGGGCGACAAGCCAAGCTGCGAAGGTAGACCAGCGTCAACCACCTCCAGCAGGAGCTACACAATGTCTGGCACGACTATGTACCACCGAGGCTCCCCCATATGAGACTTGTCGCATCAAAACGGCTCCTCGATGATCCTGTGTTCGTTGTGTTGGTGAGCCTGACCGCTGTCACCTACCTAGACCTTCTCACTAATATTCAACGAAGGCGTACTTCTCGCCAAAGTCCGCGGCACGGGGTGTTCAATGCTTCGCTCAGGGAAGCAGACACAGTCGCCGCTGCAAATGGCGCCACAATGTGCTGACACCGTGCTTGCCAGTAATAGAGTGTGACTGCCATCACGGTTGACCAGCAGCTGCCTTCGCCATGATTTGAGGAAGGAGGCAGCTTGAAGAGAGCAAGACTTCCACCATCTAGAAGGCGATACGACTCTTGCCATGCCTGATCAACCTCACCCTCACTATCCTCTCAGCCACTTTTGGACTCTTTTGAGCTTCTTGGACTGTCGAAAGAGGTCTGCGTGGTCTGCTTTTATACGAGTCTGGCGGCGAATATTCCTCTTCTTACTCCTTTATCAAGCATCAGGCCGAAGTGACAGCTCTCTTTCACATTTTCCATCTGTATGACCTTTGTATTCGATCCGACACCTGCTTTCACGGAAGAAGGTTGCCTTCATTAGCGACAAATTCCACTCCTCACCAAGCGAGCGGCCACAGCACCTCGATATGTCTTGGAAGCTGGCTGAGCTAAGATGGCGTCAAGAAGTTGGGCTTCAGGAGACTTGTTGGGAAAGAAACAACAAGATCCTGTATGGCAGTAATGTGCCAGCCGGGACAGCTTGCAGGCCCACGGTCACTGGACGTCGACGTTCTCAGACAATGCCATCGTGTGGGAATTCTTCTGATTACATCTCAGCATCTGTCGATCAAGGATTATCGGCTTCGTCTCAATTATCTTCCGGAGGGTTTCGACCGCACCCAGACACACTCGCTCTTCCTTCAGTGTCGGCTTTGTCGACAACTCCTCTGCTCAAGTTCACTCAAACAAGACCAGAAGCGTTACTTCAGGACTCTGGTTATGACAACGTCGACGACAGCCATCTAGAGACTCACGACCAGGCATCTCAGTTCCCGCCAGCGGGCACCCTTTCCGCTTCACATGCAAGCACCGCGTCGTCTCCGCGAGCGCAGTTTGATTTGCGTGAGAAGGGTTCTTTATTTCCCCCGGGTCAGTGAACCCGGCCTATACCTTCCATTTCTCTGACAATATCACGGCCAGATTTTGCATCTGCACTACAAGAGCCCTCATCTAGTTCGGCGACATCGCCTGAACACACCACTGCGGCTGCCGAATTGGAATTGACGTCTGTACCACTGGAAAGAACACTTTGTATGCCACTCAATGAAGACAGGCAGTTGACTCTGCTGACCAGTCATAGCTCGTGGCTATCAATCACACACTCAAAGATATCCACTCAGAACTTCTTCTTTCACGTCAGAGATATCCACGACCACTGGACATTGGCTACGTACACGGAGTTTCACAACGCCGCAGGGATATCAGCCTGACATCGCCGTATCAGCGCTTATCGGTTTTCCATCGTCACCGAGCTTCGGCCTTCACTTCTATGCTGGCGAGGACGTACATACAGGCGATGATAGTGCCTGGCCAGGCTTCGCGCTAGATTGGAGCAGCTCTCGCCCTCCGAGTAGGCATCGCTCGCTATCCCAAAGCACTCGTTGGTCATCGGCTGCATCAAGACACCATTCTGATTCTTACTTGCTGCAAAATTACAACATAGCCACCATGGACGAATTGGACGACCCAAGAAACACATCCCGGACACTGTACCCTGATCTGCGATCTGCATATACACAGATACAGCGTCGAAGGGTAGCAAGCTCCCAGAGGACACGATCCAGTGGAGTTGAGACCCGATTTCCACTTAGTCCGTCAAGCTCTTCATCAGAAGAGGACGACGACGATCTGAACCCTTTGACGCTTGGGAATGATGCTATACCACTACAAGGCCTACCCTGTCGGCGTGTACCATCCGCATTGGGCATCCTTCACGAAGCCGACGACCACCAAGAGTCCAGCGCAATCTTCGACAGTACCCTTGATGCTGCACAAGGCGATCTTTCCGGCCGTCAATCTCTTACTTTGGACGAAATTGTTGCGCAGTATGCAGACCTACCATCAGCGGCTTCGCCACTCGTACCTACTCATCACGACCAAACCTACGCCTCTACTGTAACGCCGCATCAGCACTATTCGTACCGTGGCCAAGAGGAGGACTACGTTTGCAAGGGGAATGCTTCTTTGGGCCATCTCCCGAATAGCACAGAGTGTCTTCTGCCACGAAATCATGCTTCCAACTTTCGCCAGGGACAAGAGAACGCTTCGATTGTTACGCCGGGTGGTAAAACTGTGGACATTGGAGATCACGACGAAGAATGGGAAAAGCCGCCAGACACTAGCCGCAGAGGCTTCTTGAATCCTTCTCGATCGCGCTTTCGTTTGACGAGCCGGGAGACCGGAGACTCGTCTCAATTGAACGCGAGCGTAGGAAACAGCCCTGCAATGCCGTGGGACCCGCTTTCAAACGTTACAGAGCCACCAATTCATGGACCTGGCTTGCAGCGTCATGGCCGTTTGCAGAGCGACCAACGACATATGTCTCCAACACATCGACCAAGCAGAATAAAACGTTATCCAATCCTGAGGTGTCCAAGACAGGGAGTCAACGAAAATGGCGAAAAGCAATTGCAGGCGACTGAAGAAGTCTCTACATTGAATTCTGCCCGCGCTTCTGCCCTCAAGCCGCAATCTTCACAGCTGGCTGTGCGCTCCTCTATGCTGTCTGATTCAACACCGCTCATTCTGGAAGGCAACTCAGCGGTACCGTCAAGCACCCTGTTGCCTAGAGGCTTCAGTAAGGCTGTTATGAATGACGCCGACATCTCTCGACTTCTTCGAGACAGTCGTATTACGCACAGCAATCTCCGCCGCTTTAGCGGCTGGTCCCGTGTCGATGCCTCTGCCTCGCTCCTCTCCACCCAGCGTCAGGCTGGCCGGTTGTTGTTGGTGGTCTCCGTGGCCACATATTTTGTGGGTGGTTTCGTTTTGGCCCACGATATGGGCAAGGGGGGTGCCTTGTCCTCTGTGGCAATGGCCGAGTTGACCGGCGGCGTTGTTTCGCGCGTCCACCCAGTGGACACTCAATTGGCGCAAGCCATTGAGAAGGGAGGTTTGTTGGTGGCTGTCTGTGTGCTGGCGGGTTGTGTGGGTGTTTTGGCCTGGTCGGCCATCATGTAGATGGCAGCGTTAGAGCGGGCGAAAGCCCTTTTCACAATACGAACAATACCACTGTATCATAAATAGCCTGTTTTCCGATCGAAATTATGCTTGTGATGACCTCTCCAATAACGAACTATATGGCAGATGAAGCCTATGAAGAACGTCAAGAGCATCAACAAAGTGGTATTGTATATCGTACAGCGTACTCCTGATGCTCAATCAAGTCATGATGCACGTTGTGCTAGAGTGGAACTCCATGCCTAATCTTCATCGACCACATATCCCAGGGCCTGACCAACCTGGACTTTCTGATCTCTTTCTACAGCCCATTTGAATCCACCTTTCAAGTCTCCTTCTTTATGACCAGCTGGGGCCTCAAAGACCAATACAATGCTGGAACCAAGTTTGAAACCGCCCATCTCTTCGCCTCTTCGCAAAGCGTGGCCACCTAGCAATTTACTCGCATGTCCGTAATGCGCCTCGCTGAACCCGGAGTACGGCTCGCCCCGCTCTGCAGCCGCAGCAGCTTGTCGGTCTGCTTCGGTGTCGGTAGTAAGAGAATTCGTGCGGAGTTCCTTGTCAAAGTTAATCACCACGGACCCGACGTTTGTGGCCCCGACGGCTGTATAACTGAAGAAGCCGTACTTCCAGCGGCCGAGGAGCACGACTCGTTCGTTCAGAGTAAATAGACCTGGCAAAATGCGTTGGACGTAGGGTGACACGGAAAAGAGTTCGCCTGCGAAGTGTCGTCGCGCACTGCAGACCCAGTTTGCTGGAGAGTGAAAACGGTGGTAGTCGCCTGGCGCGAGGTAGACCACTACATAGTAGAGTTTGTTGTTTGTGGATGGTTGAGAAAAGGGGGACCACCATGGTTGAGTGGTCGCTAGGTCGGCGCTGACTTGTGCTTCGGAGGATGCGGAGGATTTCGTGGATGCGTCTTGCGCATGTGTGTTTGACGATTTTGCGCCGCCGGAGAAGAGGTTGGGGAGAGTGTAGGAGATGCCGTTCATGTTGGCAAATTCTTGGTCGGCGGAGATGGACTTGGCTTCTGGGTCGTCCAGATGTGCTGGGGACGTTCCCTGATCTTTGTTGGAGAATATGTTTGATGGTGCTTGCGGGTTCGGGGATGTTCCGGGAGATATCTTGCCCAGGAGAGCGTCGACGCTGTATGTCATGCCTTTGACTTGTTCTACTTCGCCGTTCTCGATTGTACCAAATTGGAGGACTTTGGCATCGGCCGGTGAGAGGATCGCGTTGGGGTTGGCGTCGAGGGGACGAATGCCTGGCTTGAGCTCGCGGTAGAAGAAGGATGCTAGATTCGGGTAGCTGCGAAGGTCTGGGTCGCCGACTTCGTCGAAGTTGACGCCGAAGATCCAGCCGTAGAGCTTGAAGCCTGGGACGCGCAGGTAGTAGGGGATGGTCAGTTCGTTGAAGCGTCCCCATATGCGCGAAATGGCCTTCAATGGGAGTGTTGACATGATCTGGACCTGCCATCCACCTCCGGTTGGGTATATTTTTTGTCTTTTCGGCGGGCGCCCACCATCTGTCCCTCCATCGCCCTCTTGTGCGCCTCCTTCTCTTGATCGGATGCGCATGAACTGGACTAGGCCTAGAAATCCGATACCGAGGCCGATGGGAATGGGCTTCCACTCTACCCTCGTTGATCGCCATGCTTTTCCTAGCCTCGACGAGAAGCTTTCCTGGTCTTGTTTCCATCGCCTCTGAGTAGATGTGAAGGGTCTCCTTTGTACTTGTAATTGTGTGCGACATCGTGGCACGCGATGAGGTGGGATGGACTCAAGAATCGGTCGCATGGTCTGGATGGGTACCAGTGACCTGCGATAGAGGCATGACCTGCCCACACTGGTGGCCGACATGATGTACTAGACGCGACGCTGAACTTTAGTGTCTCATCTGCCCGTAGTTGAGACTGTATTGTTGGTAGGATCTGGTGGATTTGAGACTTCAAATAATTTGTGCAAGATAGCAATGACGCCGAGCAGTGTCTGCTTCTGGGGTGTGGCTGCACGATGACGAAGTTCGGTGTGTGTTTGGGGTCTGCTCTGGTGGCTTTAATGATTGGTTCCATTCACTCTCGCTCCGTGAACCCTTACCACCGCCTAAACTGCGGCTAGAAAGTCGATCTTCTAAACACCACGCTGGTTCATACACCATCATTTACTTGACTACCCTTTGCAATGGGATCTTGACATTTACATGCTACTCCGCTATGGACAACAACACTACTACGCCAGCTGCGCCCTCGCAACAGCCCTTCTCTGACTCCGTCTCGATACCTCCCGATCATGTCGCTCTCCGGGTTACATATATGGTCACTGGCAACCCAAGGCCACCTCACTCTCTGGGCAACTTGCCGTTGAGCACGTCTATCGCAGCCCTCAAGGACAAAATAAAAGACGAGCTTCCTGAGCACCCATCTCCGGCAGAACAACGTCTCATATACCAGGGCAGACCGTTGCTGCGCACGGATGCCACACTGCGGGATATTCTGAGGATTGAGGTACGGAAGAAGCCATTGAATGCTCTACGTGGTCTAATAGTTGTCTAGCCCGGGTCTGCACCTGGTCCTCTTCCATACACTATCCATATCGTCATCCAAACCGGCGTGCAAGCGCCTGCGAGTACCACCAATGGTCCAGATACGGTCACGAACCGTCCACCTCCTCCGCCTATGCCTGCGGTGCACCCCAACCACCATATCGACCATCTGAGAGCAGTGGAAGCATCGGCAACGATACTACAGGACTCACTGTCTCGCATTCAGCAACAGATTGAGACCAATAGAGCTGATCTCCTTTCTGTGCAACAGAGAATAAGCATGAACCACCATCCTGCAAGTGCATTACAGGCAGCTCTAAATGGTCAACCATTTCCAGGACCTTCTTCACCCATGAATCTTCCCCACGGCCAAACTCAAGCACCACCTGCGTGGATGCAACCTCCGACTGCGAGTACCCGACCTCGGCCGCAAAACCCTTTTCGTACTCCTGCTCAGCCAGACCAGCAGAATCCGACTCCTGGTGTTCCTTCGATCGGCTCAACTCAGCCAGATGTGGAAGTCCGCCATGGACCTCATGGTGAGCGCATCACGCTGACCAGGCACCATATGAACGTACCACTTCCTCTACAACGACCTTCTTCTGCACCAGGCCAACCTCAGGCACCTCTGACGGCAGCGCCGCAAAATACCGCCTCTCCACATCTACCCTCAACGTTTACTAGAAACATCCCTATGCCTCTTCAACTTCCTGCTCCACCACATTTCCCTCTTCCTTTTCCACAAACCAGACCATTGCAAGCACGAATGTCCACTTCCACGCCCACCGCCTGGATACTCTCATCACCCAATGGTCCTCAAGCATTCTTGTTCGCTCCAGGTCATGGCTTGTTCTCAAATGGGCAACCTCCTCCTCGATCCGCGACACAGCATACATCACCAGGCCCTGCTCCTACGCTAGCCTCACCACCTCCAGTCGGCCAGCAACAGCCACCTGCCCCCATCAATCAGAACGGCAATGTCCAAAATGCATTGATCCGACCAGCCCAGCAGCCAGGCCAAGCACCTGTGGCACAGATACAGCAGAACGCAGAGAACAACGATCTATTCAACTTCTTGATTCATCGAGGGTGGCTGTTCTTACGGCTCTATCTCTTCATGTTTGTGTTCTCGGAACCGGGGACCTGGAAGAGATGGGCAATGATACTGATTGCGGCCATTGTCTGCCTACAACCCAGAGATGGCCCCTTCGTCCGTGCCATAAGAGTCGCTCGTCGCCATCTTGACAATCTTATCGGCCCGCCGGCCCGGCCACAAGCACAACCAGCGGCTGCGAGGCAGCGCATAGCGGAGAATGCTGGCAATGCTGACAGAGCTGGCCAGCGACCAGCTAACGTGCGCGGAGCGGTACAAATGACACCAGAAGAGGCTGCTGCACGTTTGGTTCGGGAGCACCGGGAGCAGAACCCTAACTTCTGGCGGGACACATTTTATCGAGTTGAGCAGAGTGTGGCGCTTTTTCTGGCAAGCTTGGTTCCTGGCGTTGGTGAACGGCATATCCAGGCACGAGAGGAAGCGAGGAGGGAAACGCAACGACTCGAGGAGGAGAGACAACAGGCTCAGCAAGAAGCACTCGCCCAAGTACGAGCTGCTGTTGCAGATGGCAGTTTACCAGGCGAAGATGCCACTGAATCCGGGGCAAGTTCTGGTACTGAGGTGAAGGTGGAACGGCCAGATGAGCCGAGTACATCGACGTCGGTCCAAGTGAATGACTCTAGTGCAGAGACTGGAGAGCTGCGCAACAGAACTACGTGATGTTGACTGCCAGACAAATGGGATTGGGTCGCAAAGCACGGGCGTCCTTTTCACGCGGTCATGCTCACCAGGTCATGGTTTCCAGGATAGACTCAATCAATCGCATCCTCTAGACTCGTCTACTCGATCGCGGAGACCCTTCGACGTGATGCTCGTTAACACTGCAGACCTCAGATGTACAGTGTGCTCTTTCACCCTATTGACGCCTTGTAATCCGCAGTGTGTGTCATTTCCTCGTTCATTCTGTCTCTATTGCTCCCCATCACGATAGTTGTCCCGATATACTCCCCCCTCTCCCAATCCGGCTCCTCGTATCCTTCCCCTTGCCCTTTAGAGGGTGATTTCTCTCCCACTCCTCATCCGCCTTGAACGCCTCGATCGCTATGTCCAAGTTGTAATCACTACCCTTCAAATAGAGCGTGGCGACATTATAATCGGCACACTTGGTCGCGACCATCCACCGTCTCAATTTGGTCTTTCGTTCTTCCTCCTCTGGGTCTGGCGGTGTTGATAGCGCTGGACCGTCATAGTGACTCCGTGGAATGAGGATCCATTTCCGCGCCACGAGAAGTTGATCGGAGTACAAGTTGTTATATTGCCTCAGTACGGGGACGGGGACTTTATACCCGAGACTCAGTGAGGCTAATGAGTCCTCCGAGGCGACGTGGTGGATTGTATCTTCTGTATCTTCGGGTGGTCCTCTATCTTCGTCCCGCACCCGCCGCCGGGGTGGGTGGGTTGTGATTTCGTCGTAACTGGGCGGTGGCGATGCGGATTCCGTCCGCGAGTATGGAGTTCTGGTGTATGACGGTGGTAATCGCAGGCCTTCTTTCGGTAGGGCCGACGGGCCTGAACTGATCTGGCAGAAGGGGCAATATGATTGGAAGCGTGGGTTCTTGTGTTGGCATAATGCGCAGATTTGGCGATTGCAGCATTCGAGGCGGCGGTTGTGGAGGAGTGGTTTCTCCGAGGCCGGGTCGTAGGGGACTTTAACGTCGGTGAGCAGCGTGGCGCAGGTGCAGCAGGAGTCTTGGAGGGCCATTTCGATGGAGAGTCTGGGTGGATGGGAGGGTGTGTAGGTACTCTGGTGGTTTGGGATTAACAATAGTAGTCCGTGAGTGTATGACTTATTGAGCGCACGCGAGGCTGAGCCGTAATCGATGATGACATCAACTAAGTTACTGTAAGTTGCGGAGATGAAGCCGATCAGGCCATCCGTATCTTAGCGTCGCCTTGATTATGGCTGCAATCGCGATTAAAGGGAGGTTCTTTCCTTCAAGGCATGCCATACATGCGAACGTTTCATATTTCTGGATGCAGGTCGTTTTGTCTATTTACAACATGCTTTTGTTAAGCACAGGCCGACCAGTCTGTGCCGAACATGCCATTTTGTAGGAGACCCTTCCGCCATGATCCTTCTCGAGACGCTCCATGCCGAAGTCCCTGGCCGATTCTATATATCTCTCATCGCCATGCGGCAAGATGAAAACCACATCCTTCCAATCCGGCACAAATACATTGTCAGGTTTTGGCGTCAACGACACCGTCACCTTCTCTTGCGTGGAGGTGTAGGTGACGGTGAACGAAGAAATGTTTGGACTCAGAGACAAACCGTCGTCCTCGTACCAAGTCGTGGAGAAGAGGTGTCCGAGTGAGCTGCCTTTCGGTGGGAAGATCTCTATCCCACGCCAATCATCGGCCGGAAGAGTTCTGCTTTCGGGACTTTTCCTGTCACCTGGCAGGCGTGTGTGAACACTCTTTCCCACAGGAATTGCTCCACCAATCTTCGCGAACAGTGGGATGCTTTCCCTCCATGGCGAGTCAACTATCACCCACTGGCCTGGAGCCAGGTACTCGTATGGCGCGTTGAGATTGACGTATCCGAAAGCAAACCCAACAGACGAACGAGGGAGGTAAATCTTTGCCTCGTCAACTCCAGGCTGATACACGCCGCCAACAAGTAACGTATCTCCAAACCAGTATTGTTCCTCACCATTTTTCAGAGCTTTTGTCCACACTTCCGGGTCAGACTCATAGCCCCATCCAATCCACCGTTGCGGAGGACTGGCTGTCAGGTGGCTTTCCAAGCCCAGAGAATATATGTACGGCATGATCTCGTACCGTCTCTTGATGGCTTTGCGAATCATGGGCGTGATCTCAGGATACATCCATGGCTCAATGACTTCGCCTGCCTGATTATCTTGAGGCGAAGTCTTGAAACAATTGATGGCAAATCGAATCTGATGGCATCCGAGCTGTATCCAGCGAAGCAGCAATTCTGGTGATGGCTGTGGACCCTCGAAGCCTCCTATGTCATGACCATAGCAGTGCATCAGACTTACTCCTGCGTTCAGGGACAGTGCATTTGCGGCTTTCATGCTTTCCCAGCTGGTCATGTTGTCACCACTCCACGAACTGCATGCATACCTCAAAGTGCCAATGCTTGCGCTACGGGTCAGCACAAACGGCCGTACATGAGGTTCCGCACGCAAGAGTCCGTCATACGATGCTTTCGCCATCAGCTCGGTGTGCATTGCACGTCCCCAGAGACCGACCTCTTTGCCAACTTTGTCTCGAGGTTTTGGTACTGCTTGGAGGGCCATCTGCCAATTGTCGTTGGGGAGAGTATATTCATTGTTGTCATTCCACATGGCGTCCACACCTTGTTCCTTCAGCTTCTGCACACCACGTGCCCACCATTCATATGCAGCGGACGAGGTGAAATCGACGTGACTTCCAAGGCCACTTTCACCGCCTCCGGCACTCCAGAGGCGCATTTCCGCCGTTTTATGGGTCTTATGGTCGGTGAACAAGCCTTCATTCTCGGCCAAGTATTTATAGTCTGGATGTGAGGCAAGTACGAATGGCTTAATGTTGGTCAGAAGACGGATCCCTAACGCGTGGTACTTCCTGATCCACCCTTCTGGGTCTGGAAAGCGATGCTTGTTCCAGGTGAACACATTCCTGACTTTTGGCTCTGTCTCGGCAATTGAGTAACCGGAACTCATCTGATGTGCTGAGCACGGTATGTCATGTTCCTTCAATTTATCGGCGAAGTCAAGAAGTTGCTGATATGCTGGAGGGTCATCACCCATGGTGTATTTATACCCTCCCGAGAGGTATCCGTACGCCCAACGTGGTGCCAGCAAGGGAAAGCCGACAAGCTCCGCATAGCTTCGCACCACGTCTTTCAACGTCCGGCCGACGATGATGTACTCTTCCAGGCCACCATAGTCTTGTCGGTAGACTTTGAAGTGGCCCCAAAGACCGTCAATCTCGGATCCCACAGACCATGATCCCCGACTGTGGCTCGTCGAGACTATGCCGACGCACCCGTTTGTAGTGGCCTTGATGAGCAGCGGCATGTGTTTGTACAATGGGTCCGTGGCGTATGCATCGTAGCCAAAGCAGTCGGTGGCGGAAATCTGGAAGTGCCGAGCTGTGAGGTCCATGGGTGCGGCTTTCTCGCCCAGACCGACGTGCAGAGCTTTTCGGTCATGACGGGTATAGTGTGTGATGCCTGGTCCGTCAACAACGTATGATCGAAAGTCGAGATCGGCATGGAACACTTCGTCCGAGTCATCCCAGCTCAATGACACGACTGGGGCGTGCTTCCAGTCGACAGAAGCCTTGATTTCTCCAACCTGGAAAGAATGATGAAAGCGTCCTGAATCCAAGGTGGTAAGTCGAACGCCACCAAGCTTCGTGTCAGGCTGCGGTATTGATGGGTACGGAGGCAATGGGTGAGTCTCTGACGTGAAGGTTGTCCGGAAGATGTGTGGTCGGACTGCATCGAATGTGAAATTAAATGGTGTTTCGTCATCATTAGACCTCAGCTGCACTGCTGCAGTAGTCTGGCTTTTGTAGGGAGTGGATTCGTAATGCTTCGGTATGTATTCCAGTTGAGGCATCTTGACAACTTCCGGTCCCCCACGCCAGCTTTTGAAGGTATAAACTCATCATGTATAGGTCCAGCAACATATGAGGGATGTACGAGATACCCTGGTCACCCTCTCGGCTTCTGTCGCAATATTTACCGTCGGAAAGACCGGCAGAGGCTGGCTCGAGCATCATCGACAGGAGGAGAATCATCCGAATGGTGGCCAGGATCCAACTTTTTCCATGATGTGATCCATGCTGCTCGAAGCCAATGAGAGGAAGCACTTGTCGCATTCCCCTTTCGCCTCTGGATGCCGATATCCGGTCCCCACAATGCTTGTGCTCCCCGCCCCAAGACTTGACCCCAGACTATCTTCCGGCAAGAACACTTCAGAAGTACCTAACTTGTATAGTTTGATCTACTATTCCGTCGCGACATCCAATACTTTCGTCCATCGCACGTCAAATCAATAGTCCTGCCCTTGTAAGCCCTTCACCAGTCAAATTGTTATTCTTTCTACAGCTTCGCCAGGGCTCCGTCAAGTCCTAGAATGGCGAGGTGGCCCCTGTTGATCTGGCTTACGCTCTTACAGCTTTCCCATATATCAGTGATCCAAAAGTAGAGACGGGGAAGTGGAGATTCCTTACCCTGCCAGCGCCATCGTCACTCTCAACTCGTTCATCAGGATCTTCAGGGCGAGTTCGACGCCTTCCTGACCCTTGTACTGTACGCGCCTCTTCGTCAGTCATACTAGGCCATAACCAACAGAGATTACGTACCGCCAGCCCCCAAAAGGGAATACGCCCAGCAAAACAGAAATCCGCCCCGAGCGCAATGGCCTTGAAAACGTCACTACCTCGACGGATGCCTCCGTCGACAGCGATTTTGATCTTTCCTTTAGCCACGGGAGCGCAATCTCGCAAAGAATCCAGTGTGGCAGGAACTCCATCCAGCTGTCGACCGCCGGTGTTGGAGATGATGACTCCATCGAGGCCATGCTGAATAGCAAGGGCAACGTCTTCCGGAGTATGTACTGCTTCTGTATCAGTATAGTGACACACTCATATTGTCACAAGGTTTGCGGAGGGAAGCCGAGCACATACCGCCCTTCATCCAGATCTCAAGCTTGGTGTTCGCCTTCATCCATGGAATCACATTCGCCCAGTCGAGGTTGTCCTCTACTTCTCATGAGCATCACGACAGAGTCGGAAGAATTCGAGAAAGTGCTTACCGTATTCCAATCTCCGACTGCCTCCTTCCATAGTGTCGGAATCGTCGGCCTCGAGATTTGGACAGGTCATGCTGTCGGGGAGGTCAAATGAGTTGCGATACTCATTGAGACGCATTCCCAGCACGGGTCCATCTATAGAGAGAACGATGGCATCATATCCTGCTTCTATGAGAAACAATGTTAGCAAAGTGTGTGCTGGCCAGTGAAGCCTGGGGCGTTGAGATACTTTCGGCGCGTTTGATGGTCTTCAGAGTAATGTCCCGATCCCTGACCAACGTCAACTGCATGCCGTAGGGGTTCTGTTTACGCTGTGCAACCACGTCTTCCAGGGAACAGTTGGCGTAGTTCGACAATACCATTGGTACATTCAACTCGGCCGTTGCACGAGACGTTCCAACCTCACCATCCGGGTGGGCCAATTTGTGGAAAGCTGCAGGGGAGAAACCGAATGGAAAAGCAACCTGTGCAGATGATTTCTGAGCGTTTGACCACAGTTCTCGGTGATTGGACTGACATTCTTGCCCCATATGGTCGTGGACATGTCTATATTGGTGACATCTTTCATGACTCGAGCCCTAATTTTATAGCGGTTGTAGGCTTCCTCGTTGTCTCGTAGCCTTGATATTGCTTGTCAGCGCAAGTTACAAGGACTATAATCTGATGACTATACGTGATTAAGTCCATGGCTCCTTCATTAACAAATTCTGATGAATATCGTCAGTCGCTGGTTCCTTGTGCGAAGTTGTCGGGATTGATTGTAATGTTACTTTCTATACATACCTCTGTGTGACTTCTCCATATTCTTCGAGCCGGCCTTCTGCAGGTCGGCGATTGTGTAGACATGAGGGTCGAAGGAAATTCCGCGATTGATGATCATTTTGAAATGGTGTTGAAATGGACGTCGAGATGGTGAGTAGAGAGAGTATAGAGGATAGCTGTACGCAGTGTGCACTCATGGTGTGTTGAAGTACTAAACTTCTTATCTTCGGTATTGCGGGTATGCGCTCTCTCCTGCCAAAAGCGCCGCTGTCTCTTTCCCATCTGGATTATCAGAACGGGTATCCCCGTTTTCAACGCAGGTAGTAGCCGCAGACTAGTTATTGATGTGTTCAACGCAGACAGTGCCAGACACGCACCCGCGTGGTAGGCACGATGACCTTTCCTGGGATGGCCCTTGGTTGTTTTACATCACTTGCTTCCAGTGCTCTCCCAACACTGATATCAAGATTCTGGACATTGTCACGTTCCGACAGCGACTCGAAAGCTTGGCGAGAGTACCACGGGTCAATGGTTGAGCCTTAGTGGCAGTTGCGGGTGATTGGCGGTGTTAAAGAATTTCCCAAATTGGCAATCGACTGTTTTCGGCGGTGCAACGATGTCCCGGTCATAATTCGGTATAACTACTCAGCCTCGTGCGCGAATCGACGGCCTGGCATTGAGCACCAACCTTCTTCCACACGCTCAGAATGTCTTCAGTCTCCAGATCTATCCTCATCACTGGCGGCACATCCGGTCTGGGCTTCCATGCTGCCACCGCAATCGCCAGACGCTGTCCTGACAGCGACATTGTGATAGCATCACGCAAAGATCCGGACAAGGCTGCGGATGCGATTAACACAAAACTGGGCCAGCGAAATGTGCAATTCATGCCACTAGATCTGGGAAACTCCAAGAACGTCCGCTCCTTCGTCAATACCTGGGCAGAGAAAAAGTTGTCTCCGATCTCAGTGCTCTTGCTCAATGCAGGCCTTCAATTCCCAGGAGAGGTCCAGTACACGGCAGATGGTCTCGAATCAACATTCGGCATAAATCATGTTGGCCACGCACTTCTATTCCACCTACTCCAGCCGTACATAGCAGAGGAAGCTCGTATTGTTGTCACAGCAAGCGGCACCCATGACCCAGCCCAAAAGAGTGGTCTGCCCGATGCAAAGTACGACACTGCTGAAAAGCTCGCGCATCCTCCGGCTGCAACACTCAAGACTGACGGTCGCCAGCATTACTCGACCAGTAAACTGTGCAATGTCCTGTGGTCGTACGCCTTGGACCGACGGCTCTCGAGCACCAACAAGAAATGGACTGTTGTTGCGTTTGACCCGGGACTCATGCCTGGAACTGGACTGGCGAGAGACTATGGTCTTATCGCCCGATTCCTGTGGCACAAAGTCTTGCCAGCACTGATTCCGCTTCTGAGACGTCTGTTGTCGCCGAACGTTCATACAGCGGAGGAGTCTGGTAGAAACATGACCTGGGTAGCATTAGATGACAGAAATACCAGTGGCAAATATTATGAGGCCAGGAAGCAGATCCCATCGAGTAAGGATAGCTATGACGAGAAGAAACAGGAGGATTTGTGGGAATGGACGGTCAATTACCTGGCCCAGAATCAGCAGGAGAAGCAAAAGTTTGAGGCCCTAAGCTAAGAGCGTGAATGGGGTACCTGGTCTCAGTGTTCCTTCACACTGATAGAAAGTTTATAAAATACTAAACCGATTCGTGAACAATTGAGCCTGCAAAGAGCTCAACTTCGAAGAAGAGGAGTTCGGCTGACAACTGATTCACCATGTGGAACATCATTGTGTGCAGAGAGATCTTGCTTTGGCGCCATGAAATTGAAGAATTGAGCGTAGCCTGCCATGCTTGAGAATCTTGGAAGGTCGTGCAGAGAAGGACTATGCTGCTTGTCAATCGTTGACTGAAATTTGATAGTTTCTCTATGTTAGGCAGCATGGTCCGGATCCGCCTCCGGAAGATAGGCACGTCCACGATACTACTACTTTGTCTCTAAAGTCATTTTACCATGCATTGTCTCATTCCTCGACCCGATATTACCGTATTACTTGATTTCGCAGTACTCATATGTACTTGATAAATTTGCTTTGTCAACAACCGCTTGAACCTCTTTGTTCGTGTTCTCTTTCCCAGCCAGTGGTCCGTGAGCCCCGCAATCCGTCACAGAGGTTGGATACAATCGTCGCAGTCGCTCTCCCAGTTCGCTTGCGCCAAGCTTACCGTCATGTCATCAAAATTGTAGATTAAGTATGCGGAGCGGAGGAAGGTGTCGCCCAGGAGAAACGCGCCGTCCATGGCTCCATCGGGAAAGCCGCTTAGACCTAGTAAGCATTGGCCAGCAGGGAGGTCGAATCCTGATACGTCGATGACGAGCTCAGCATAGGGAACGGTGATGGTAACGGGGCCGGATGTGCCGAAGAAGGTGAAAGAAAGGCCACCAGTGGCGGAGCTCAAACTACATGGTAGGCTGTAGAACGTTTCTTCATCGTCACCGGAAAAAAGCTATGATGTTCGAGTTAGTGATGCCCGGGAAGAAGGAATGAGTGGCAGGAAGGACTGGAGAAGGGTCGCATACAGTCGCCCCCAAGGCGTAGGCGATCGCAGCGATTTGGGTCTGAGGGAGAAGACTTATACTTGTCCCCGTATCCAACGTAACGGCATATGGGACCGTGCTGAAAGGAACTTCGCTTGTTTGACCGTCGAGAGTGAGGGAGAGAGTAGGTGCGGCGACGTCAAGATGGAAGTAACCGTCAGGCGCTGGTTCAATAAGTGAAAATGGGACCAGGCCGCCGACCCACTTGGACTTGTCATACCCGCCGAAAATGACCAGACCACTCGTTGCTGAGATGGCATTCAGATAGATACTATAGGCACGGACACCAATGAGGCCTTCCGCCTTGAGCTGGTCGATATAGCCTGGATATTCAATACCAGAATTCAAGATGGAGGCTTCGCCTTGAGGAAGGCCAATGCCCATGATGCCACCTCTAGGATCACCCGAATTGAAGTCTGTGGCGACGCCAATGACAATGTTGGTGGCTGACACACCATTGGTCTCGAGTGTGTCCGATACGTAGAAACCAGTAACGCCAGACGTTGATACATAACTGATATTCAAGATGCCAAGGTCGTCACGCTCGATAGCTGTGTGAGATGCAGAAGGGTCGTCTGTAGCAGTCCGTTAGAGAAAGAGGTAAAGAAGGACAATCACTGACAGTAAGCCGACCCGCAGCCAGAGCATGAAGAAGACAATTGTGCTGAATATGCCCAAATCTCGCTGCTCCCGGTATCAAGTACCAAGTCAATCGTCTGCGGAGGAGTGCCAATTCCAACCTCAATATAGTAGGGGGAGGTGACACTTATCCTCTGAAGGGCCGAATCAAAACCTGAGGTTGACCTCAAACTGCCTCGCTCCTGAAGGCTAGCTGTGCGCTTTGTGTTGAATGGAAGGGTGACGTAGGAAGAGTTTCTCTTGTGCCGGGCTGGAGGCAGTGCACTGATACAGTCAAGTAGACTTCCTGCGAGGAGCATAAATGAAGGACGCATCTTGACCCAGTAGAAGAGTGACCGTTCTGTCTTATGTCTGAGACGAAGAGATGAAGAAAAAAGAACACTTCAAGCCATTCTCGACTGTTTTATACTTGGCGTGAAGCTAATTTACATCGGCTCTTCGAGTTCTTGCGGGTGCATTGTGAACGAACCTCACGTTTTCACACGCGGTGGCTCATTGCGTCCTCATGCGTTCAAGCTGAAAAAGAAGGACCGGCCCCACAATGGACGAGGGTGTTCTTGTTGGCCCTAAATACACCTTTTTGAGAAATCAGCTTAGTGGTGTTTTTTCTCGAGCCGGCTGTTCGTCTGGGTCTTTGATCCAATTGCATCGCATTTTGGCGCCGTGGCTGGTGGGAGTCGTTCCCCCTCCAAGCTGGGAGAAGCCATATGCCCATGGTCAAGTGGTGTAATGAGTCCTAGTCTAGAAGTCTAGTCCGGTGGGAAAGAAATAGTGTCAGTTCCAGCTCCACCGTGCAGAGTGGCTGGATCACCTCGTGCAATGAGTTGGTCGGAACATGTTGCAAAAGTTGAAGAAGCCGGGACTTTGAAAGGGACAGAAGTGAAAGACCACGCATGAAACTATCGAGAGGCTGAAATGCCACACTCAAGTATACGAGCCGTGTCCGGAGACTGAGCAACAAATACGAAGACATCAACGTACCGGGATGTCGCGAAGACAGCGGGATCGTTTTGATCTCATCGCCTAAGAAGGACACCGGTTACAAGGTCTATAAAGACTCAGTGCCGACATTCTGGCCCCCGAGTCTTTTCGCGCTCGGGTATAACACAACATTTGATCATGGAACTACCTTTGGACGGGCCTCCCGCATTGCAGTGGTAAGAAAGCGGTAAGTAGTTGCACGTTACAGCATTCCTCTTCATGGAGGAAAGCTTTATCGCCCTGCACTGACCTCGCAGCCCCACGGGGAGACTAAGAGCTAAAAGATCCCTCGCTGCAAGTGTAATGCAGTAGCGCCAATTTGCGGGCGACTTCTCCTCGTAATTTCATCTCCTAGCGTCTTCTCGTGACGAAGATCAAGCCCATTCGGATCCCGCGCTTACAGATGAGGAATCCAGCGCCGAGTTTGGTTTAGGCTTGGAGGTTATCCCCCCGGCAAGCTTGTTCATCCGAAGTCTCCTCATTTGCCTGTTTTTACGCCGGATTCAGCCATCTCACTAGTCAAAATTCTTTGATATCTTGCGAGATATTCATGCTGTCGACCTAAGTCAGGCCACTCTAAACGGCATCTGCAAATCTAGCTCTATTCTGGGGGGATATCGGTAGCGCAAATCAAAGCGCCCTATTCCAAAGCAACTAGGGCTGGCATTGGCTTCGTGAAGTGTCTTCCCTGCTTCCGAGCTGTACGTGCTTGCTGAATTTGTGATCAGGCTGAGAAAAGCCGTAATGCTCTTTCTGTGTCAAGCCATCTCTACAGCCTAAAAAAGAACACGAGGTCATGCAAGTCCAACATCGTTAGTTGCTGGCTAGCTCAAATCTTGAATCAGCATGCTGAACCGGAGACACTCAGCAAATCGAATACGAGGGAGCCAGGCATCCCCTTGGCTGGGAGTTCTGTCTGGTTTGGGAGTCGTCCTCTCCGCTCGGCCATTACAAACGAGGGACTGCCACAGAGTCTCAATCTGCCGCAGCGGAGTACATGGACGTACATTCCACCCTGCTCCTAATTCCATTTCTCTCACCCTCGGCTTCTCCTCGATATTCTCAGGATCATTCTGGCCTCATCAGTTCCTGCTCACCACAGCTAAGCTCACAGGCGGGTTAGATGTTCTTCTGAGACCTCAAAACTTTCACAAACATGTCTAGTTGCCCAAATGGAGCGGCTCCGATATTCCTGGAATGGGGGAACATAAGCGTGAACGTGGACCAAACCCTTGCTCGAGGCATTCAAGTTGGCATCGGAACTCCACAGCAGATTGTGGCATTATCACCTAGTTCTAGTGACAATGACCTATACGTTGTTAACAAGGAGGCATGCCAACCCTCCTACAATGACAGTTGCAGCGGACAGTATGGTGGATTGTTCAATCCTACTGCATCTACAAGCTATGTCGAGGTTACGCAGGCGCAGTGGAATGGTACAGCCGAACCAAACCCCAACCATCTTTCCTACATTTACTTTAACGACGACCTCTCTTTCGGCAATGTGGTGGTCGATGGCTTTCCAGCTTTCATGGACCAGCTAGGCTATGGTGATTCTCGGCTCAGAAAAACTATGCACACGTTTGCTGATAGTTCTATCAGGTAACCAAGGCACCCTTCCGCTCGGATGGAACTCATCCTTCCTCAACGCTGCGCTCGCACAGAATGCAACACCCTCCCGATATTGGTCTTTGTGGCCGGGAAGCCGCTCAATCGACTACAGCGTGCCTGGAGAGCTTGTGGTCGGAGGCATCGATGTGACACGGTTTGAACCTCAGAATGTTGCTACCTTCCAATCCACATCGAGCTGCACACTCTGTCCCATTGTTACCGGCTTGACGTGGGATACCGATAATGGCTCTGTTAACATCTTCTCTAATGCCTCGGAGGCTCTTCAGATATCGTTGCAACCTGCTATTAACTATCTGACTGTCACCCCGGATATGTTCGCCAATTTCGCCAACGCTACAGGGGCTTCCTTGACTCTGGATCCCGGCGTGCTAGCATACGATGCAGCTCAGCCACCTGTGGGTAATCTGACCGTCACCTTACGTGGTGGCTACCAGACACAGATCACATCTGCAGATCTTTTCGTTTATCCCAGAGGCTACATCAATGGAACCTACTCGGTCACCAACAGTACCTTCTTACTGGCAGAAATGGTAGCTCAAAACAATACCGGATACGTAAAGAACTGGGGTGTACCTTACCTGACTTTCAACTACCTCATGGTGGATTATGCCAGAAGCCAATTTCAATTGGCCCCAGCCATTCGCACCGATTTTAGCAGTCAAGGAGGTGGTTATGAACTCTCTGCCGTTTGTGATCCGGTCACAACGGTGACTTCAACTCCAGTGTCATCGTCACCAGTACCTCCAGTGACAATTACATCCTCCACATCAAAGTCGAGCTCTCCCAAGAGTGGCAATAACACTGGGGCTATCGTTGGTGGGGTAGTCGGCGGCGTCTTGGGCCTGGCTTTGATACTTGGAGGCCTAGCACTGTTGTTCTATCGCAGTCGCAAACAGAACAAGACGGCCTCTGTAACTCCACGCGAGCAGATGGCTCAACCGGAGCGGGTGTCTCAATACACAGCATATACCGGGACCACCCCCAGGGGAGCCTATGAGGTTGATAGCACGACCAAGTCCAATCCCGAGGTCGAAAATTGGATCAATTCTGCCGGAAGTGATGCGGTGAGAGGAATGCGCGATAAGATTGACCCCAGCACGATGCTGACTCTGCCCCAGATGCCATCCGCAACCTTCAACAGTCCTCCACATCCACTAGAAATGCCTTCTGAGCACTACTAACGGTCGGTCCAAGTCCGAAAGAAGTCATCAATCCGCAAAACAAAAAATGATCTCGTCGAGTTGCGGAAGTGTTCGCTGGTATGCTGCCGATCAGACTCGCCTGGTCAATGAACGAAGGTTTCTCACGTTGAGACTATCGCTGGCGCAATTTGTCCTTTTACCTGCTTTATTAAGGACGCAGCATTCACTCATTGTCGTGATTGGCTACGGTAGCGTTGACGAAAGTTTGGGACGGACTATATATTGATGCGCTCTAATTAAATATGCCGATTGCTTCATTACTATAACTTTGATGCTTTTCCCTACTTGAAAATACAGATCTCGTGCTAGACTGGTGACTTCTTCCGGACGAGTACAAGCTGAGAAGTTTGAGCTGCACAGTGGTTGTATCAGTCTATCGTACGATCATAACGATGAAGGCTTAGATACCTGTCACAGAGCACAACTACGACTTTATCGACCTCCCTCTGACATAAACTTTTACGATATTGCGGTCGTCTCCGGTCATCATAAACTTCTCGAAGATCATGCCGATCGGGTCGTCGTCTTCAATGACGGCAATCTGCCCTTCCACCAGCGCGTTGATTTCCAACGCGTCAAAGTCCTTCCCAACCTCGAACGAGCCTATCTTGTCCGCCATACAACACACCCTGGCCCCTCCCAACGTCGCCAGGTAAAAGCACTCATTCAGCGTGAGCGAGGTTTCTTTGCCGTCCGTCAATGTCTGTCGGGCGTGGCTGGTAATGTACGCCTGCCGACTCGCGTCCAGGATACTGCTGCTGTAGCCGCCGCCAGAGTCCGTGCCTAAGCCAACTTTGATTCCCATGTCGAGATACTTACGTATGGGCGCGGCGCCCCATGTTTCTACCGTGGTCGTGCTGACCGGACACGTGGCGACGCCGACGTCGTGCTCTCTCAGCTTGTCGATTTCGTAGTCGCTAGGGAAAATGCAGTGGCCCATGATGGTGCGAGAGTTGAATAGCCCGAAGTGCAAGTACAAGTCGGCCTCGTTTTTGAATTGCGGGAATAATTCGCGAGTGAACGCGACTTCTTGTTTGGTCTCATTGAAGTGCGTCTGGATCATGATGTCGGGGTTTTGGGCGGCGATGGCGCCGATGCCTGACAATAGCTCTTCGTCGCAGCAGATGGCGAAGCGCGGGGTGATAATCGGCCGGACTATGTCCCCTGCTGGATCGAGGCGTTTGACGTGTGCGATGACGTCCTGCGTGACGGCGAGGGATTCGGCGTTGGATGCGTCGCGGTAGAAGTCCGGTGCGTTGCGCGCCATATTGCATTTACCGATCAGGGCGCGCTGGCCCTTTTCGAGACATGTCTCGGCGAGGATCTTGGTTGCTTCGCCGTGCAGGCTGCCGTAGTATGCAGCTAATGTCACGCCCTGGCGGATGAAGCCAGAAACACAGCTGGCGTAGGTACGGTGAGCGTAGGCTTTGTCTGCGAACTTGGCTTCGTGAGGGAAGGTCACGGTGTTTAACCACTCCATTATGGGAAGGCCGCGACCTGTGCCGCGCTGGGTCCATTGTGGGGCGTGGTTGTGTGTGTCGACGAAGCCAGGGATCAGAAACTCGCCACGCTTGAGGAAGCGGATGGGTAGGGATGGGAGATGGGGTAGCTTTGGGATCTTGGGGATCTTGGGAATATCGGTCAAGGTGGTTTGGACGTCTGCTCGGGGAATGTTGCGCTGGAGCAAAATGATCTTGCCCTCGGGCGAGATGACCAGGAGTCCATTCTGGATGATCTCAACTTCTTGAGGGTTGTTGGAGTGGATGAAAGTCCCGTGGAAGATGAGCGGTGTTGATGCTGTGGTAGACGACATGATGAGTACGTTTAAGCAGGGCAGGAGAGTCAAATTTGATTCAGGAGAAGCTTATCGTGGCTTATCTCGATCTAATTGTGGGTGGGGTCAGCTCATCGACTGGCCACGCTTCGGGCCGCTGCATTAAGTGGAATATGACGTCGATTACTTCATCGTCGCTTGCACGTGCAATTCGTGAGATGGCAAGGGATGATAAACCTCTGGGGTCTCCGCACGATGTCCTTTGGTAGCCTTGTCCTTGACGACATTTGTAGCGCGAGGCTCTGCGTTTGTTGCCAGGAGTGTCGAGATAAGTAGCGACATCTTTAGCGAAATGTAAACAGCCTTAGTAAGACGGTCTTTTTCCTGGAGAACGGCCGGGGTGTAAAAGCGAAATCGTTGGCCAGGAGTTCGGCCCGTTCACAAAAGCCCTGAGCGCTGTCACGACTCACGGGTAAAATGACAGTCGTACTGAACCAGGCCAACCACAAAATGCCCATGTTCGTAGCGCCGTAAAGTTGGCAAAGTTGGCAACAATGTGGAGTTGGCATAGCACGCTATGAACAGTTGAGCCACCATCAGGCGTCTTGGCATCTTGGCGGTGAACTCAATTTCTGAATTTACCCTCGCTTGCTTACAATTGACACCTCGCAGTGGCCAACACTTGGACAATTCCATACACGTCTGACCCGAAATGGTTTAAACCTCAACAAAAGGCGGGAGCCTGCTGAGGTTAAGGGGGTTAAGCATGGCCCTTGCCGATCAAGCGAAAGGTAAGAAAATTGTATTCCCACGGCCGCCACTGCCAGTCTTACTATCTTGTAAGTCTTACTGATTAGCGCATACCTGGTATCTCTTTCTCGTACTCACCCTAATCCAACCTCCTGCTGCGATTGTACTCTTCCCAATGCAGAAAATTGCATGATGATATTGAGATGCTCTCTTTGTTAATGGCCAAGGGCCGAACGCATATCTTGCCCATCGCCCTGGTACTGTCCGTCATTCTCCTTCTCGGCTACTGGAAATCTGTGCATGAATCGGCGTTTGGCGTATTCCAGCCCGATCTTGGTCGACCTGGAAGTCCTCGGAAATTCAACGGAAAATGGAACTACAAAAGGGATGCCGACAATCTTATGCTCAATTCGCAACAATGCGAACAGGCGTTCCCAGGGCTCTTTGAGGAAGTCGAGAGACCGGTGAGGGACAGACTGAGTTCGCCTATCACTCTCGACGAGCTGGATTCGCTGCCCAGACAGAACGGATATGTTCGCGCCATGATATACAATCAACAGCTCTACGTTATCGACACAACAGGTCGTATCTATTCACGCGGACTTGCAACCCTGCATGCTCTACACAGGGCCATTCTATCATCACCTGAAATTCTACCGAACATCGAATTCGCATTTAATGTCGACGATCGCATTCCGCCAGACGCCATCTGGGGTTATGCCCGACAAAAAGAAGACACCAAAGTCTGGCTGATACCCGACTTCGGCTTCTGGTCATGGCCCGAGACGAAAGTCGGTTCGATGCGCGAAGTCCAAATGAAAGCCACAATGGCCGAGCAAGTCGATGGGTGGTCATGGTCGACAAAGATCCCCAAACTCCTTTGGCGCGGCGCGACCATGGGTTTGGAATTGCGGGAGAACTTCGTCGCTGCCACGGCGGATCAACCATGGGCAGATGTCAAGGCGCTGACATGGAGGGACAACGACTCCATGGTCAACGATCTTAAGTCCATGCCCGAGCACTGCCAGTACAAGTTTCTAGCACACACCGAAGGAAACTCCTACTCCGGACGACTCAAGTACCTTCAAAACTGCAAGTCCGTTATCGTTGCGCATAAGATGGACTGGATCCAGCACCACCACCATTTGATGCGCTCGAGTGGGCCCGAGCAGAACTACGTCGAAGTCAAGCGCAGCTTTGAGGATCTCGCCGAGAAAATCTCCTGGCTGCAGGACCACAATAAGAACGCGGAGAAAATCGCTTCGAGAAACGTCAAGGTGTTTCGTGAGCGATACTTGACGCCTGCTGCCGAAGTTTGCTATTGGAGGAAATTGATCCATGGCTGGTCGAGGGTCAGTTTTGAACCCGAGTTTTTCACGGTCGTGGACGGCAAGAGAGTCTGGAGAGGTTTACCCATCGAGTCATTCTTGTTGGAGAAAAGGCTTGAGTGGGATCCTTATTGATTCCAATGTGGATATCCATATTTGTATGTGTATTATTAGCACAGGCGATAGAGCTAAGGATCAGGACATTAGAAGGAAACGAAAATGCATATTGAATAGTCTTTCATCAAGGATCAGGTCCCTCTTGATTAACCTTAAGTCGCTGAGATCCCGATCTTGCGGGGAGCGTCTGGGGAAATCTACAGTGACTTGGGGGTGTGGCGCGACCGTCTGATTGCCACTGGCCAACGTGGCTGACCTTGACTTTACGCTTGCTAATTACTCGTATCCATAAATCGTTCTATCACTACTCCGTCGTGTGTAGAATGTCCCTCAGTCGCATACACGTGGAGGGCCTGGAGTCTCCGCCCCTTTCGGCTGTAGTTGGGGGAGCCATTTCTAGGCGACAGGGAATGCTGAAGGTCGCCTGAAAACTTCAAAACAGGGTGTTTTCTACAGAAGAAGAATACAGCCCGCTTTTGTGACAGTACATCGGATATTACTATACAGACAGACACATCAAACCTCGCGGAAGAAATTTAAGCTTGATGTCGTATCATCTTTGAAATAACTTCACCACTGATTCGATCAAATGCTAGGACTTAAATCCCGCAAAGGTCTGTACTGAATCAACAGCATTGATAGTATGCTTTTCACCACGTAAAACGTTCTAGATGCCCAGGTTGTAAAGGACTGCACCTGCGCCAGCCAGTAGCACAACCTTTTCGTACTTGACTCTCGATGCGGCCCCTGTGTAGGTGCTGGCAGCGACAGCGGTGGCTGATGTGGCGGCGACAGCAACCGTTGAGCTGGCAGGTGTTGCTGCTGCGCTGCTTTCAGTCGTTGCCGCGGCAGCGCTGGTGGAAGTGGCGGCGGTTGTAACAGCGGCAGATGTGACGGCAGCAAAGGTAGCAGCGGCAGAGGTGGTAGCAGCTGCCGAGTCTGAGACGGCGCTGGAGGAACTCGGCGTGGAACTGTCTCCGCATGCAGAAGCCGCGGACTCGACATAGCTACCGTAGTATTGCCAGATGTCCTCACTCAACGCACACTCTAAGCAGTCCGAGAGATCCGTCTCATAGGTCGAGTTGGTGCAGTAGCCTGCGGTCCCGGCATCAAGTATGACACCGCCTGAGTGAAACACCTTGTCAGCCATGCTCTTCCATCCCTCCCAAAGGCTCGAGAATCGGGTTCAGCTTACCGCAGTGTGCGTGACATTCGTAGAGAGGAGTGCCAGGCTCAATGTCCTCACGTTTGTCCAGGACCGCGAGGCCGGGTAACTGCAGAGCGAGGGAAGCGGTCGCAAAGGATAGCACAAAGGTAAGAGCATGCATAATGGCTAGCGAATGTATGGAGAGTGACTGGGACTCTTCGGAAAGTGAACGTAGGTTCCTGACGGACGGCGGGGTGACTCTGTTGGTGTACAATGGACTGACCGGATGAGGTTCACCCTTGGAGGCTTGTCCATTTATATGCGAGCATCATAGTATCAGTCTCTTCACCGGCACCGAAGTTGAATGACGATCGTTAGCCTTGCTTGCTCCTCAACTGCGAGGTTGGGTAGCCGTCCCACATGGACATGCGACGGGAAACCTTCCTACGTCTCCATGATATCCGGTTTCGGCATCAATAATGCAGGTGGCACCACGGTCGCAGATCAAGCAAGAGGAGAGTGTGTTGTGTCTTGCGCTTAGCATTGCCATCCGGCCTCGGTCGATCACGGCGTTTGCCTGATGCCCACATGGGGAAATGGATAGTCGAAGCTAGTTAGCGAAGATCGTGTGTATTGTGATGACATGGAGCTGGTGCTCAAGCCTTGAGTTGGCGCTAAACCGACAGGAATAGACAAGGGCGGATGGCGAGGTATTATCTCGCATGTGAGGTGGACGTCGGGATTGGAAAACAAGAGAAAAAGTATACGTAATCTTATCTTATCCGATCATCGGATCAGGCCATCTTTACTGTGAGGACTTGATGAGAACTTTTAACTTTGTGGACACGAGCTGCCCAAAAACATAGTCTCTCCATCCGAAGTCTGCCGTGGATCCTTTGTGAATGAGAACAGCAGTTTGACTGGAGATGCTGAGGTATTTTTCCGCTGGTTCAACCTGGACGGTGCCCGCATCCTCGCCGAGCAACAATGGCATCTAATCTTATCCGATACGAGCCGCGACAATCAGAGGCTGCAAGTCTCAATCCTCAATGGTATGGGTCCTGCCCTTTCCTCGTACACGGTTTGTATTGGGAGTCTCTAAATAAAGCCTTGACAGCATGAAGTCGCATGATGGCTGTGGACTAACGATGAAGTAGAAGCTACTTTGGCTGATGGACTCGATGAGCCACTCTGATAGCTCGCTGGGCACACTTGGAAAGTCTTGTCTATCAACCGCCGCACGCACGGTCAACCCAATGCACCCTCGGCACCGTCTAACCGAGTATTAGAAGACCAAGGCCGCCAGAAAGAATGATGGAGACCGACTAGACGACCCGGCCACACCTCTTCTCGTGTCAAGTAGCTTTGGTCACTCACCGGGCTCAGACAAAGTCCGTATACCTCTGACATGCATAAATATCAAGCAAGAACCTTGCCCACTTGCTTTGCAAGTCGAACGTGACAACCCGGCTTTCTTGCTCATCTGCTTGACATCCTGAAAGTCTCTTGTCGCCTGTTGCCACGATGCTCTCAGCCTTGTCCGCAGCCCTTTTGGGACTCACATCCATACCTTGGACGAGCGCCCAACTTGACGATGACATGGGACCTGCTGCTTTCCTATGGCCATCTGACAGGGCTTACTCATCAGCCTGGGACAATACAGCGCCCTGTGGATCTGCAGCTGGGGTGAGCAATCGAACCGACTTCCCAATGTGTACGAGAGCAATTTCCCCGTCTTTCGAAAGATGACTGACGCGGCAAACAGCTAATGGTGCCGTTGCCATCGTCCTGCAAGATGACTCTTACTCAGTCAACTTAGCCATCTCATATAGTAGCGGTGAGTCTCCAGTCTTCGTTTGTGGTCTCGGCGCAGATGTCCTGACACATCGGTATCTCCAGACCCGACAAGCAACTCCAACTTCACCACATTAGTCCCCGGCACCGACTTCCCTGAGATCGAACCTGGGCACGAGTGCTACTCAGTGCCTAACCCACCGTCGACAGTCTCAGCTGGTAGCAATGCCACTCTGCAATTATCCTACATATCTGCTGGCACCACTGGCGTCAACAAGACGTACTATGTCTGCGCCGACATCAAATACGTCGAATTGGCCGACTTCACAACAGACATACCGTGTTTCAACGTGACAGAAGACTCCGCTTACGAGACATCGGCCGCCGGCGTCGAGACAACAGCAAGTGCGACTAGCACATCGGCTTCTGCCACGTCAACCTCTGGCTCTTCAACGTCGTCGGACTCTTCCAATTCGTCGTCGACGCACAAAGGCCTTTCCGGCGGCGCCATTGCAGGCATCGTTATCGGCAGTATCGCGGGAGCGGCCATCATAGGCGCTGTTCTGTGGTTTGCATACCGTGCACACATGCGACGGATCAAGAGGGAGACCGCCGTTCAATTGAGGATGAACGAACTGACAAACACACACAAGGTCGGGACAGCTGCATCTGAGACATCGGGCGAGCACCACTAGTTCTGCGATGCCCTGTAGGACGTCAACAGGTCACAAGGCATGATACCTGAGGACCTTGTGAACTCCAGGCTGCTCTCAGGCACACTTCTGTTCGTTTAACGAGCGGCACCAGGAGACTCAATGATGTTGCATACAATGGTCCTGCTTGCTTGGAAATTGTGCCTCCCATCACCTTCAACGCAGTGAAATCGTGTGTGTTGAACCTTACTCTGGGCAACCTAAGAATTGAAAAGGCAAACACTCTTCTTGAGGTCAACATTCCGCACACACTTAGGCGTGAAACAAGTACCAAAAGAATTACCTTAACCCCTATTGTCACCAACGGAATTGAGCGTCAATGGTGTCTCCGGAAACGTTCCGCTTCGGGACTTCTCCCCACAATCCCCCCCACTCGGCAGCAACAAACCACTACCCGACCAATTCTTCTAGACCTCGCACGACCTCGATATAAGAAAAATCACACTGACTCCAGATCAAACAAATTCATCCCAGTCTAAGTTATCGCAAAAATGACCGCCAAAGTCGCCCTCGTCACCGCCTCCAGCGCAGGCCTCGGCGCCGCCACAGTCAAAGCTCTAGCCTCGCACTTCCGCGTCGTGGTCAACTACAACTCCCGCAAAGAGAAAGCCGACCAGGTCATCAGCGAAGCCAGCGCCATCCCAGCCTCATACAAACATGACGGACCACGCTTCCACGCCATCCAAGCCGACATCTCGCAACGCAGCGAAATCCAGCGCTTGGTGTCTGAAACTGTCAGCACAATGGGCCGTCTAGACGTCGTAGTCAGCAACGCGGGCTGGACGCGCATCACCAACTTTTTCGACATAGAGCAACAAGTCAACGAGGACGACTGGGACAAGTGCTTCAACGTCAACGTCAAGGCCCACCTGTGGCTCCTTTACGCCGCGAAAGACCATCTGGAAAAATCCGTCGACGAACCCAATGGGATTGGAGGCGCGTTCATCACTGTCGCGAGTCTCGCTGGCGTGAGACCGAGTGGAAGTTCTTTGCCGTATGCGGTGACCAAGGCCGCGGAAATCCATATGACGAAAGGTCTGGCGTTGATCTGTGGGCGCAAAATCCGGTGCAATTCTGTCAGTCCCGGATTGATGATGACCGAGTGGTGAGTCTACAAAATACAGTAGTACCTTCAACCCTGCGGAGCGTCTTGCTAATAGTGTGCGATCTTTTAGGGGCCAAGGTTTTCCCGAGGCGAAGGTAAAGGCGACGACAGATAAGTCTGCTCTAAAGTCGCTTGCTACGCCTGAAGATGTGGCCGAGCAAATTAGAACGATTGTCCTAAGTAAGTCCATGACCGGACAGAACGTTGTTATGGACTGTGGTATCGCCATATAGAATATCATGGAAATCTGCTCAGAAATCTCTTGTGTTCCTTCTTCGTCTGCTGGCCACGCATCACTGCTCAACGCTCATACCGCCTATTTCATCATCGTCCTCGTCGCTCCTCGTGGAAGACAATTCTTCAATTCCAGCACGGCGATTGTCCGCGGTATTGAGTGTGAGTAGGTCCATGTTAACCGTGTCCTCATCGTATGCCAACACATTGTCAATCCGCTTCTTCTCTTTCTCTAAGCTTTCCAGCACACTTGTGCTTGTCTCCAAGCTTTTTCGAAGCTTTCCATGCAGGCGGCGGATTGTTGACAGACATGTCCTGGTCAGCTTTCTCACGTCCTCACTGTAAAGCTCAATGTTTCCTAGCTCATTCGTTGTTCGGGTCAGGAGCAGAGGACGGTGCCAATCTGACGGTAGGGGTTCTCCCTCAGCTTTTCCCAGGACCTCGGCGCTTCTGTCAAGTTCGAGAAGGATTGCTCGGATGAGAGGACGTGGGATCTCCACAGTATCAGGCATATCGGCGGTCGATTGTGCTAGTATTGTTCCAGTCGTGCTTTCCGGAACTTCTGAGATTGTCGTCTTACCAACGCCTTCCGACGCATTTTATAGCACGCCAATCTAGCAGACGGTGGTTTGAAATTTCTGGACACAGCGTGACGAACGATCACGTTTGATGATCGTCATATCAAACTTCTGCAAACGTCCAACCCTGCGAATTCAGTCTGCAATCCCTCTAGCCATCGAATCGAGCTGCGCAAGGGTGTCCAACGCAATTTTGCATCCTCGTTGGACCGTAGCCTTGTCTCCCTTCGATACGAGATCCGACTTTCGTACGTTCTTCTTGATGAAATACTGCAGCCGCTTGATGATCTGTGGTGTTTCTGCCGTTCGCTCAAACAGTCTTTGCAGGGAATTCTCCTTTGCTGACTTTGCTTCCGTCATTGTCATGATCAGCAACAACTCCACAAACATAGTCGTTCGTTCCTTGATGTAAGCTAGATCGAGAACTTTCAAAACACCAAGCGTCTCTGCGCCGTCCAGAATCAGATTCGCGTACAGTCTTGCCAAGTTAGCGATCTCGCTCATTTCAATGTTCTGGTCCTCGTCGTTATCTTCTTCCTCATCCATGTCAGGATTTTCACCCATCCTCCGGAAGTAACTCCACAGCGCGAACTGAAACCCTTTCCGCATCCTTTTGTCCAGGCACAATCTTTTCGCCACGAGCGTGTAATAGTGATTATATGGTTTCTCCCCTGCTGCACATCGAAGCAAGACTTTGGGGATTTCCTGCTCTTGATTGCGCTTGAGACGAAGCTTTAGCAATCTAATATGGGCATCCTGGTAGTCCACAGCAGATAGGAGCGCAATGAAAATCGATCGTCGCACATCTGTGTTCATGCCGTATTGCCGGGCCAAAGCGAGTAGGTCGACAGATTCATCGTCGTCCAGAATCTGATCATCATCAGCTGAACTTGTGACGGATTCCTTTGTTGCAGTGGCGTTATCATTCCCCTTCCAGCTTGCGCCGACCAACCACCACTTGCCCTTTTTATCGCTATTTTTGATATCATCTCTGGTTATACGCAACGGGTCGGACGCTCTTAGGGCGCGATTGTTTAAACTTCCCAGGACTTTTCTCATCTGCGTGATGTGCTCACTTGAAAGACCGGCATTGTTTGTTGCAGCTTTCATCTTGTTGTTTTTCAAGTCGGTTATCGTTTCAATCATGAATTTCGTCCTTACACTCATCTGCTCCCCTGCCGCATTCATCCGAGCTGCCTCTTTCTGCATGAGCTGCACAATCGCTTTCATCGAAGATGGATCTTCCTGCCTGAGCTGGGGACCACAGTCTCTGATCATACGTAGCAGTAATTCGGTGTTGTTCTCGCTCAATCGTTCCAGCAACTGCCGGATATGGTCGAAGATGATGGTGCTGCTGACAACGTTGAACGTGAAAAGGTTCGAGAGCAAGCTGATCAGATTAAGTGCCTCCTTCCCGGCCGCAGAGTCACTGTGATAGTGGTCGAAGCGGTCTACAAGTTGGGACAGGAGTTCTGCACCGAAGTCAAGTCCAATGACTTTGTACACTGCTGCAGCAAAGGCTGCATGTAGTATGACAAAAGTGTTTGGAAGGGTTGCCTTATTGTAAAAGAGTGTCAGAAGCAATTCGATGAGCACCGAAGTGACATCTTGTCGCGGATTGGACTGGTAGACCTTCTCGATCTCGCCTAGTATGGACACGAGGTTGGCCTCGGACAATTTGTTGAGGTGGCCCTGTATTTGTCGTTTCAGTCTTTCCAAAGATGCCCCTTCTGAGTTTTGTGCCTTTCGCAAGGATGGTGGGACATATTTAGGGGTAGGTGCATTCGAAGCGACGGGAGCAACATAGGGATTCTCCCGTACTCTCCTCGGCTGCGGCTGGACTGATTCTCCTTCGTCTTCTGTGCCGAATCCGTCAAAGTCATTCCCAGCACTGAGGTCAGACTGGTCATCCGAGAGGTTATCTTCATCAAAATCGCTTCCAAGATCAAGATGGTCCTCTGAAAGAGCCTCCTTATCCTCATCAGACCCGTCAAGTCCATCCCAAATTTCGTCACGGTCAATCCCTTCAAGATCGATGTCGCCCTCCTCTTCACTTTGTTCTTGCTGTGCAAGAGCTTTGCGTCTCTTCCTTTCTAGCCACTCTTCACCTTCGCTCTTTCTCTTGACGCCTCGGTCGGCCGGTTCCTCGTCTAGACCTCCCAACAAATCGTCAAGTCCATCATCTTCGAAAGACTTCGGCAAAGATTTCTTCGTCAGTCCCAATCTCTTTTCAAGTGCACTGACTTCTGCATCGTCTTGTGCGGCACGCTCTCTGAATGCTTTTGACGAAGCGTCAAGGACCAGACCAGGCGACACGGAACGGGACAGGGAGCGGGACTCGGAGCGGGAGATAGGCTCTGATAGAGACGGCGATGGCTCCCGTGGTTTCTTCAGGATCGATTTGGGGCGAGATTCAGCATCGCGTATAGATGTCTCCGTGGTCTTCCTCTTCTTCGCAAGGACGGGCAAAGGATCTATGTCGTCGTCGACCTTTTCGAGATGATCTTGCTCAAACTCGTCATCTTTTGCACCTAGCCGTCTCTGTGATCTTGAACCTCTGATGTTTTGTCTCTTCCCCAGCCTTTCCGCTTTGCGCTGGTCCTTCCTTTTTTGCACCGCGCCAGGTCGTTGTCGCCCGTTTGACTTCCCTTCGTCCAGACCGAGCTCTTTTTGCAGAGCAAACGGCAATTTGATGCCGTCTCGCGGCTGCCCATTCCGTCGCGACATGTCATGGGAACTCAACAGCGTACAGCGCACAGCGATTGTGATTGACGAAGAAGAACTTGGTCTGCTTCCTTGCGCAGTTTGTCGATCCAAAAATTATTTCTCGGGCATGGATTTAGGCGGCGATAAGCGACATCTTAGCGCATCCGACACCCTTCCGCGCCTGGCACGTTGCCCCTCACGGTTCTCACTCAACCCCACGGTCAACGTCATATTGATACAGGACTCAACTCGTGTCTGGAGACATTGAAAGTTTTAGCAACTCTCCGAGACGAGTCTTGAAGGCACAGTGACTCCTCTGTCATTTTTCGAGTGTGCACTCGTCTTGTATGCCCTTGGAGAATCGACTGACACTCTTCTTTGGTACGACCATCTCCATCGTTCTACTAGCCGTGCTATATCAAATCACTGGACCCAGAATCATCCCATTGTTTTGGTTTCTTACACCATCAACCATGGCCTGGAGGTGCTCCGGTCGTACGAATGCAGAACTCATTTCGAACCTCTTCAACGCCGGCCTGATCACCTCTCCACGCGTTCGCGATGCCATGACCTCCGTGGACCGGGCACATTACTGTCCGTCCTCACCACTCGCGGCGTACGAAGACTCCCCTCAACCCATCGGCTTCAGCGCCACGATCTCAGCTCCGCACATGCACGCCTCGGCCTGCGAAAGCCTACTCAACTTCATGCCCGAGAGCAAGGGCGCGAGGGTGCTCGATGTGGGAAGTGGTAGCGGATACCTCACGCATGTCATCGCAAACCTGGTCTGCGGTGCGGATGGTAAAGGAGAAGGCAAAGTGGTTGGAATAGATCACATTCAAGGCCTCGTGGATATGTCACGGGACAATATGAGACGGAGCGAAGAAGGTCGCAGTCTCCTCGATACCGGCAGAGTGGAACTGGTGAAGGGAGACGGAAGGAAGGGTTATCCTGAGGGAGGTCCTTACGATGCCATTCACGTTGGAGCCGCTGCCGTGGAACTACATCAGAGCCTCATCGACCAATTAAAGTGCCCTGGAAGGTTGTTTATTCCGGTCGAGGACAACGATGGCTGGGGGAGCCAGTGGATATGGGTGGTCGATAAAGATAAGGATGGCAAAGTCTCGAAGAAGAGAGATATGGGAGTGCGGTATGTGCCGCTGACCGATGCGCCCAAGCGATAGAGACAAAACAGGGGACGACTGTGGAAGAAATCTTGCGGAAGCTAATGACGGCGGGAAGGATTCACCTTCAGCAACTTGTCGATGGCGATGGCCTTGTACGAATTTATGACAGCGATTTCGATGTGCAAGGGTATACCATACTATCGGATTATGGTTTTCATAAGGGCTGGTGCTGTGTGGAGTAGCAGTGCCATGCCATCAGAGCTGGAGGGCTCGATTGTACAATAGTAGTTTACGACCCGCGAGGTAGGTGGAGGATATTCGAGGTCAGTCTGGAACTGGGCATCTGATATTCTTTGACAGCGAGACAGTATTCTACCTCTAACTCGAACATGCTAAACAATCCATGCGACCACGTCAAGGTATGTCTGCATCCATGACTTATGCCTGGATCATAGGCTCTTCAGCAACATAGTGCAAGTATGCGCCCAGCAGCTTGATACCCTCAATGTAGTTTGACCGGTCAAGCTTCTCATTGATACTGTGTGCACCATCCGTGCTGCTACCCATGGGCAACAACAGCACATTCTTACCAGTGGCCTCCTCAAAGGTAATCGTGACCGGGATACTGCCACCCTCACGCGTCATGTCGGGCTCGACACCAAATACTTCCTTGACAGCCTTGCTGGCAGCCGAAAAGTTCCAGTGCTTGGGGCTGGCGACCCACCACTTGCCATCGTGCTGGCAGTAGACGTCGAGTTTGTTCTTGGTGTCGAGCTTCGCAAACTCGTCCTTGATGAACTTGTAGACCGCGTCGTTGACCTGGGAGGATTCCATGTCCGGCACTGTGCGGATGGAGAACTTGCCAATCACTTTGGCGGGGATGACTGTTTTTGCGCCCGGCGCGGAGAACGCTCCCTCGACACCGTGTACTGAGAGAGACGGATACCGCCAGCGCGCCATGAGAGTGTGTTCCTTGTCTTCGAAAATGCCCGTCTTGCTGCCCAGAGATTCGTACAGGTCATCCATCTTGTACGCGATGGGCCCGTACAGTTTCTTCTCTTCTTCTGTCACTGGCGCAACCATCTCGTTAATTCCCGGGATTAAGATGTGACCTTTCGCATCAACGAGCTTGCCAAGGATCTGTACCAGGTCGGTCATGGGCTCGTGAGCAGTACCGCCGAAGACACCGGAATGGAGATCCTGGCCTGGTCCTGAGATCTCGACTGAGTAGTAGTTGCAGCCTCGCAGGCCATATGTCAGACATGGCTTCTCGGTACCCAGCCAGTAGTTGTCGGAAATGCAAACTGCGTCGGCGTCCTTGAAGAACTTCTTTGCCTCGGCCTTGATGAAGTCATCAAGTCCTTCCGAACCGGATTCTTCCATGCCCTCGAAGCAGCAGAGGAGGTTGACCGGGAAGTCTACACCTGCCTTTTGGTGTGCTTCGATGGCATTGAGCCAGCCTAGGACGGGTCCCTTGTCGTCGGTGCTGCCACGGCCAAACATGCGTCCTTTCTCATCGACGGTCAGTTCGAATGGTTTCGTGGCCCATCCGTCCTCGAGTTGAGCGGGTTGTACGTCGTAGTGGCCATAGACGAGGATTGTGCGCTTTTTCTTGTCATTGCCGTAGCGTGCGACAACGACGGGAGGTAGGTCCAGGTGTTCTTTGCCAGGCTGCTTACCCAGAGGTCGTTGTTCGACTTCTGCGCCTAGGGCTTCTAGCTCGGACGCGAGGAATTGTCCCATCTGTCAATGTTCTTAGCCATGTTTCTTTTGGATTCCCAAGCTCTTGTAACGTACTCGGACGACATCCTTCCTCCGTTCCTCTTCTGCGGATACTGATGGGATGGCTACAGCTTTTCGTAGACCTGGTGAGATGGTGTCAATGCCCCGCTATCTTTGAGGACTGCTCAATGCTTACGCTCGATGAAAGTGTCCGCTAATTCGTCGACCCTGTCAACGATCAGTCAAACGTGCCTGGTCAAACGAGGTCTGTCTCATACTTCTTGAAATAAGGCTCTAATTGAGGTGCCATCTTGTCGTCTGAGATATTACCGTAGTAGGTTCGTAGCGGCGTGAATGCAGATGGACGCAGGCGAGGGACGCTGGGCTTCAGGGCAGAAATGGGCAGAGCGAATCTCTTCGATGGAATGCTCAAGCTCGTTCTGAACTGCAGCATATATGTTTATCAAGACGATTGTGGTTATGTGCGGGTAATTCGGCCTGCGTTACGCTCAAACTAGAGTACAAGAAGCAAATCCGCCAATCGACTCCAAGATGAACGAGGGTTGTCGGATTTCGGAGGAACACTCTCGTATAGGACCGCTTGGACAGAAAGAAAATCACCACAACCGTGTATATCCTGCGACGACAGTAATGTATTAGAGTACAGTCTTTCTCGTTCTACGTGTTGGCACAGTATTCCTAGTACACCACTATTCGTCCCTATACCACCTTTCTTTTCTCAATGCCCGGTCCTCGCGTGCTTCTCTTCTCTTCTTTCCCCATCGCGACTTGACAACTTCGGTAACCAGCTTTTGCTGCTCTTGCTTCTCTGGCGCAAGTCCTTCGGTGGCATACATGGCGAATATCGGGGAACAATCAAACTTCTTCGCTAAATGATTGACGCTCCACTGCATCGGGTCATCCTTCCTTAACTGCTTCATCTCTTCCACCTCCTTTTCTGTCAAATGATACCGCTTCTCTCTGTGACCTTTCATGGGCGATACCTGTTGACTCAGTAGCATTTGCTTGGTGCGTGTTTCCGGATCTGACATGATTTTTCTTCGGTCATTCTTTGGTAGGAAAATGTTTGGTGTATGGTAGATATTCGGCATACTGGGAGGAGGGTTGTATATTATGTGATCATGCTGCTCGGTCTTTGATGGCAGAAAAGAAGCATCAGGCTTGATATTGAGTTTCGATCTCGCTCGTCGGTAGGTGGATTCGTGTCGTCGAAAAGATGGTTGCAGGATCTGAGCGCAAAGCTTGTAGAATCGCGACGATGCCGTCAAGGGCTGAGAGAATATGGTCGCCGACTTCATCCTGGCCAAATGTCGTCTTGTATCCAACGAGTTCAAGTCCGAGTAACTTCGGAGCTTGAGATTGCTACCAGAAGTAGCTGGTGCAGTAGCAGTATTTTTTGAGTCGAGGTGGATTTATCGCCAGAACGACATTGTGGTATCCGGGAAATGGCGGGATGTCCGATTATAATATTCCGGCCTGCGAACTCCAACGACAGACTCCCGGTCACAAGTTTGCTGTTACTGCTGAAGGAAAGCTGGAGTTGGACCTTGACATTCAGTTGCAATCGACCAGCGAGCCAATTCGGAGAAATCGCAGTCCGGAAATAAAGGCTTGGCAAGCCCCAGCCTTGCTTACAGAGTCTTATGGCTCCCCTCGACCTATTTCAACCGTCTAAACATTCGGTGAGCCCATTACTACCTAAAACCATCAACGACCAATCTCGACCTTCATAGTTGGTGAGTCCAGAGTGATCACAGCTAAACTGGTGCGTGTTTCGGTCAAGTAAAGTGCCATGTCAGGCGATCTCTCTTATTGTATTGTGAAATGGAAGGATTTCATTGAGCTCGAGCAAGAGCACGTCAAAGACAAACATCAGTTACGCAACTGTCCATCCAGCCTTCTATCGTCTCATCGCAATCCTTGAGCAACGGTCTTCCAGCCTGGTGATCTCCGTTATACTGCTGCCAACCTACGGCACCTTCTTCAGTCACCAGACCAAGGAGTGCTTGCGCCCCTCAACGCAGTCGAGCATCCTAGTGAATGACCAACGTATCCACGCACTGCCAGTATTTGTTTGCAGACATTTTTCGGAACTTCTTGCCCCAGAAAGTCATGATCAAAAAGCTGAGATTGCACGCGAGGCAGAGGAATGCTACTGCAACAAAGCATTTGACAGTTCCAGTATTGTCCAGCCATGGAGTAATACCATAACTCATCCCGAAGCCCATCTATCAAAAGGTCAGTCTTGAATACCTGCGTCTCGATGTGCGGAGGACTTACCGTGTTGCGAATAACAATAACCAAGACTATTGACTCTCCAGCAATCTCCTTGAAGCAGTCTACATCGTATGCAAGTGATGTGCTTCCACCGGACACAATTCCAAAGCTGGTCATTCCCAGTCCAATGATCGGACCCATGAACTGGACGTGATGGGCGGCACCCACACCCCAGAGGATCAATCCTGCTGTTGCGATGGTACCAGAGAATGCCAGGAGCCAAAGTCGTTGTTCGGGTTCGCGAATGCCTCCATTGCGCCTGGCAAGCCTGATTGCGATCTCGTCGCCGGCCCACCCTGCCCACCACCAAGCTAGGCAGCACCCAATCTAGGAATCAACAAAGTCAGCTATATTTTCTCGGAGCATGAATTCATATTCCTGGCATTGGCCGTGCTGAAAACAGCAACGTAGAGGGATGAGACTCACCAGTGGTGACAGATACGCGGTGCCGACCATGCTTGATCCGAAGTTATACGGAGCAGCACCCAGGATCAGAGCCAACGTCGCGTTTTGCACATTGTACCAGGACAGGGAAGCGCCGTACAGGAAGCCGGACCAGATCACGTTGGGAAAATAGAAAAACATCCACAGAGGTCGACCCATCATGATGAACATCTGTCTGACCGAGGGACGCCCTTCCATCCTTCTGAAAAGCGCCAAACCTTGCAGATATGTTCGTGGCTGAACCCAGTGTTGCCCGCGCGTAGCAACCGGCGATGCTGGAGTCTGTAAAGGTTCATTCTTGGCGACAGTATCGGTCTTCTCGTGTTTTTCTCCTAGGGTGTCCACGCCAGTGACCACCTCCGCGGCACCCTCGTCGATACCCTCGATCGTCTGACGGAAATACATAGTTTCTTCCAAACAGAAGAAGTTGATGATCAAGCAGACGCCGAGAATGATGGTGCCGAACCAGATTGCAGCCTCCCATCCCATGCTTTGGGTGACGAAACCGGCCAAAAACGGTGCCAACGCGTTGGAGCCAAACACGAGCAAGGTATAAATACCCATATAGTTGCCGCGCTCGTGGGCGAAGAACAGATCAGACACGGAGATTTCACCCAGAGACTCAACAGGAGCCACGATGAGGCCGAGCAAGCTTCGGTGGGCCCACCATACGCCTCGAGAGGACGTATACACTGTCCACACCATGGGTCCAATGGCCAACAAGCTGCTGAGGATATATACTCCTCGACGGCCATAGGTAAGTGCGATCGGTTGCCAGAGCAAACACCCCCAACCAGCAAACAAGAATTGCTGGAGTTACGTGAGCACAACGGTCAGTAACTGGGTAGCAAACCACTTACCAAGCCGGTGCCGGTGTTGATGTCGGCAATTGAGATGTTGGTCGCTTCGCCAATATTGGTCAAGATCGAATATTGCACCGTGGTGCTCATTCCAATTCCCAAGATATAGATATATGCCTGGCTGATTGCCCACCACTTCCGCTTTTTGGACCAGTTCAACGGATCTTCCGGGTCCGCACTAGGCTTGGGGTTCAGCACGATATCATGTTTCTTGGTGTGATCCTTCTGGATGTCGACAAGATGAATGGTGCCAGGGACGACGTCCCTCTCTGCGTGTGCCATGATTGCTCCGACTGATCCAAGAACGGGTTGCGATCAACGTACTTTGGAGGGGTGGTCTGTTCAACTGACAATCCGCAATTTCTGGCGATCACAAGCATTTAATAGTATCGTGGCGACAGCCTCTCGAGAGATATCGACCTACAGTCTCTCTTTCCATTATGGGCGCAGATACCGGCATACCACTTGCGGCGTTATCGCGTACAGCAGGACTAAAGGTCTTGTCATTCACCACCATTCAGTGTCTATCAGGACGCCGATCAAGTGCGAAAGCCAATGAGGCTTGGAGTTTGCTCCTGCAAAGTACCAAACCAGGATGATGAGACGCATGGCGGACTCCGCAAGGCTACCGCTAGCGTTATCAAAACATTGAATGTGGCATACACTGTGCCGATCATTCTGCACGACGGTAAAACGTGCATTGAGTTACCCGAAGAGGCATGAGAGTTGTGGCGGCACTGTATCAGTATTGCCGAACTTCCTGCCACTTACGGGCAAAGCCAGTATTCTTGTACCAGTGACCTGTCTATACCCCATTAGCCTTTCACCGGCCACACCCCGAAGATGACCTCCAGAAGCGCTTCACGCGGACTGACAGGAGGCATATCTACCTCGGTTCAGTCCGGATGGTACCAGGCAACATTCACCCCTATGCGCAGACTACGCATACTTATTGATGTGGCTGACAGCTTTCTAGCATACATACTACACAGCGGTGATCTAGGATGGGACAGTAAAAGGAATCCAGAACCCTACTGCGTACTTAGACACCTCCATTTAGACTCGATTGCCTCTTCAAGTCAGATGTCCCACTTTTCTCGGATCTCGGCTCGAGCCCTATCGAAGAGACAGCATCCTTGATAAGAGCTTGAATCGCATGATTGCTGCGTAGTCAGGGCGGGCAGATATCGCTCGAATATACATCTTCATTGCTTGTTTAATTAACAGCTTTACCATTGGCTATCCACACGACGCCCTTCAGTATTGGATAGCGGCCAAGCCTATACCCGAAAGAGTAGGCGAGACGATGCAGCTTGTTAGATAGCCAAGCGCCTGGTCTATCAGACAGATCAGGGGATGCGCCCATATCCGTACGCTGATAAAACACGCTCACTTCATTGGCATCCACGCCATAGACCGCATTGACTTGGAAGCATGACTTCTAGAACCGAATATGTCATCGGAGCCGTTACTCAATGACCAGAACATAGTAAAAGCGACAACATGACGACAATTGACACTCCTCCAGCAGACTATCCTGCCGAGATCACCGGTTATGCTGAACCATGGATTGCCTCTCCAGGCGATACGGTCGCTATCAAGGTGAGTCTTACCAGATAGTCGGCAAGGTGGTCGACGAGTCCACTATCTCGCCACCAGCAAAGAGTCGCCGACAAGACTAATATCAATCAGATTTCATGCACTGAGCCCGAGTACAAACATCGGACAGTGCGAGTGATACAAGGTGTCGACCTCGAGCACTCTCCGAAGCAAGAGCTCGAGGAGATCAAGGCAATTCCCTCAGGCACCGCAAAGGGTAGGTTCCAGCTCGCACGGCCAGGCTCATATGCCCGGACCGAAGAATGGGGAGCAGCATTGTCGAAGGATGGTCTGGAGGTGTCTTTATACTTCCAACCACACCTGCCCCTGGCCAAACACTTGCAAGCAATCATCTCCACCCTTGACGTGGAGCAGAAGAGCGGTTTCGCTGTCTTAATCACCGCCGAGGGAGCTGTTGCGCTATGGGTCGGCACGGGAAAGGAAGTCAAAGTGATTGAAACGGGGTTCAAACCAGCCCGCAGACGATGGGTCAGCTTGAAGCTCACTCTCAAAGATGACGATGTCGCTCTCTCACTGCAACCACTCGCCTACATTGCAGAGAAGGCCGCTGCAGCTGTTAATATCCAGGAGAAGCTCAGTGACAAGGTCAATCTTTCTGCCAGCGACGTCCTCTTATTTGCGGGCAGCAACGCCGAATCTCCCACTGCAGCATTCTCCCGAGTCACCAACTTCTTCAATGGCCGCATCGACAATCCGCAGATCAAGTCCCTTGGTCCCAAAGGCGAGATCCTAGTCAAGTATGAATTCGCCCGCAACATTTCCGAGGACACCATCATCGATGCCTCGGGAGCGGGACACAATGGCATGCTCGTCAACGCTCCAACCAGAGCGGTCCCCGGTTTTGATTGGGACGGCAGCGAAGTCGACTGGACCAAAGCCAAATACGGCTATGGGGCGATCCACTTCCACGAAGATGACCTCGACGACGCAGCTTGGGACACCGACTTCACCATCACACTACCCGAAGACGCAAGGTCAGGCATTTACTCAGTCGAAGTGACGTCCACTAACGGCAAGGCCGCCGACATGGTGACATTCATGGTGCGGCCAACGCCAGCGACGACCGCGAAAGTCGGGGCTAAAGTGGCCCTTGTCCTCTCGACATTCACGTACCTTGCGTATGCGAATGAGCATCTCTGGGACCTGGACCGCCCGTCTTCCGTCGAAGTCGGGCCAGGTTTTGACATCAACACAACACTCCGCACCGAGGACTTTTACAAGCTCGGGAGACGTTCCGACATAGGCTTGTCCAACTACGACGTGCACAACGACGACTCCGGTGTAGTCTTCTCGTCGGCGAAGCGACCCATCCTCAATCTGCGGCCCAACTACGTGATGTGGGCATTCAGTCGGCCACGCGAACTCAGCGCCGAGTCCATGATGATCGGATACCTCGAGCGCGAGGGAATCCCCTACGACGTGCTGAACGACCATGACCTCCACCTGCACGGCGCGAAGGTCCTCGCGCCATACAACACGGTCATGACAGGCTGTCATCCCGAGTATCCCACGCTCGAATCGTACAATGCCTACGAGCACTATGCCCGTCGCGGCGGCAATTTGATGTACCTCGGCGGCAACGGGTTCTACTGGGTGTCAGCACTCGACTCGGCGCGGCCGTGGCGTCTCGAAGTCCGCAGAGGCGATCAGGGCGTGCGCAGTTACACACTCCCCGGTGGCGAGCGATTTTTGAGTCTCAACGGCACACAGGGCGGCCTATGGCGCACGCGTGGCCGCTCGTCGCACGGCCTGTTCGGTGTTGCGTTCAACGGCGAGGGTACCGGTCCGGGTGTGCCGTATAAGCGCACCGAGGCTGCCTCAGACTCTGCCCTGGCTTGGATGTTCAAGGATATTCCGGCCGGTGATCTGATCGGCGAGTTTGGCCTGGGTGGCGGCGCGAGCGGCGACGAGATTGACAGCTTTGATTTGGCGAGTGGAAGTCCCGAGAATGGTATTGTCGTGGCGACGAGTACAGGGCATCCAGATGACTTCGGTGTGGCCCCTGAGATCGTTGGGTTCCCGATCTTGAATACTCTGGGCACGCAGACGAACGAGATTCGATCAGATATTTTCTACTATGAGACCAATGCTGGTGGTGCAGTGTTCAGTGTGGGCAGTATCAATTGGTATTGCTCGCTGGGCTGGGACGATTATAAGAACAATGTGGCCCAGTTGACGGGGAATGTTATCAAGGAGTTTTTGAAGAGGGCGGAGAAATAGGGGTCATGGCTGACTCTCATGGTGCCTAAAGGGCCCGCTTAGGGTGCTTGGAGGTAGAGGAAAGCCTGGGGTAATGTCATTGTTATCACTATATCACATATCGTATTTCCTTATCTAGGACTCAATCCCATTTCCAGTACCCCGCGCCACGCCGAGATTGAGCTTCAGCCACCGAGAACTTCCCAAAGACAATGTAGCAAGGGGCCTCGTCAGTCTTGACTTGCTATTGCCATCCTCGCGTTTTTCCCATCGATATGGTGAAGATATCAATCATTCATCCGCGAGACCTGCCTACGGTCTTCCCTGACAGATGGAGCATCACGAATCCCCAGGCGAATCATCAATCACGCCACGATTCGGTCGCAATGGACCTCGCTCCCGGCATGGCTGCATGACATGTCGCACGCGCAAGGTCAAATGCGACGAACGGCGACCCCTTTGCGCGAGATGTGCCAAAATAAAGATCAAGTGCGAATGGGATCAACCCAAACGCATTCGCCCGGCATCCGTGCAGTTGACGACCAGAGACAGTTCGCTCATCGAAGAAGATGTCACCAACATCAATCAAGTCATGGACGTGTCAGCGAGAGCAGGCGAACGATCGACAACGGCATCCAGCCTATCACCCACTGTTGATGGCATAGCACAATGGCTGGCTCAACTTGGCCGAAACAGTCCGGTAACGACACCACTTCGGCCAACATTATCTACGAGCCACCTGCCCTTGAGCAACTCCTTGGTTCTGGATCAGCAAGCTTGGGAATGCTTCAACTACATGCCCAGCTCAGTACTAGTACGTAACTTCGGAAAGCCGTGGACGTGGAGTATGCTCGCCTACATCCATTCGAATATTGCCACCTGGGAACCTGGAGTCATGCGAGCCTTTATTGCGGTGGCGTCAACAGAAAGGGTGTGTCTCCAGCCCGAAGACAACGAAACGCTTGCGAGAACCCGAAGGCTCCGACAATTAGGCATGACGCAGTACCGTCTCGCGCTCAAGGACCTTTCTTCGATCATTGATAGAGCAGCCAGAGACGACCGAAGCCCTGCGGACCTGGATGCCTTGTTTGCCACCTGGTTTTTGATCTTGGCTTTTGAAAGTTCTCATACAGATCTATACTCGGTGTCGCATGTGCACCTCAATGGGATACGCTCCTTCTTGTCCAAAGCTTTCGGTAGCAATGGCGCTACCGGGCTGGAGCCGCAACTGCCGCCCGCCTCACAGCAGCTCCTGCTGTTTCTATTGTTCGTGCCCTCCTGCTCTTTTCTTCTACCGGCATTTTGACTTATGTTCCTTCTCTAGCTTTCATGATACCAATCTCATCCCGAGAAATGCTCATGCAGGGCAATTATCCCGTGATATGCAATCCGCGCCAGCGGGCTCCTCAATTTCGGCCGACCGCTTATTTGAAGATGCGAGAGTGTGCCTACCCAAGATCTACGGGTCCACATATCCAGTCCAGGAGTTTATGGACGACATAGAGAACTACCGAGCCCTCAGCCTGCTTCATAGAAGCTCAAAGATCAAGCTCGACGTCCTGAGGTTCGGAATGACTTCAGCGGAAACATCGATCGACCGGAGAATGCTGAGACTACTGGGAGACCAGATTCAAAGCGTGGGTCAGGTATGTTTATTCGCAGATTACAGGCGGTTCCCAAATGTCCTCGTTTCTTCTGCAGGTATACTCATGTCAATTCTACCAGGAATTCTGCGACCTGATCGCCATGGCACGGGTGATCCAGAGTTCCGGCGGCCGACGGGTTATTTTCAGTATCTTTCACGCGGTCCTTGAGTATCATGCCGTCAAAGTACTTTATTGCTGCCTCATCGAGCCCTTTTCCCGTCGCCGACCGTACTTCTCAGACATCCTCGCTGGCAGAAGACATCTGGACGACACTGTTCGAGAAGAAGTGTTCACTGATCCAGATAGTGGTGGTTTGTCTGCTTCTACGGCTGGCCTGCTCGACGCTACTTTGGCTGACCTTCTGGACATCGCACACAAGTCATTGGCTGAGGATCCGTCCCTCGTCTACAGGTACACCGGGCCACTGTCAGTGGCATTACTCACGACCAAAGACGCCATTCATCGTGAATGGATCCGCAGCCATCTTCTGCGCGCTCAGGCTCTTTTCCCTGACCCGGGAGGTCTGCCACCACGATTACTCGAGGGAGGGCAGAATCATGAATTGGCCATGCCCATGTCTGCAAGTATAGATTTCGCTAAGAACTGGTCAAATGCTTTCGACATATCCGGCCCGATTGCATCAGCTTACTCGGTCGGCTGACAAAGACTAGCCTCATTAAACATGTATCGATCTTGGACCAAGCGGCCATATACGACGGAAAGTCATCTACATCCCTCTACTGAAAGGCTTCCCGAACCACACGGTACATGGCAGCAATCAAATCCAGGGTCAGGCAGGATCGATCGACCATGCACAATTAGAGACAGTACAAGGGTCTGAGCACCCTTCAGACCTCGGCTGGCTTGACACGCCTATCTTCGGTTTTGACTTGGCCTCGCAAACGCAGACTCAGATCACATAGCGGAAATCGATCAGCTCACGATCCGTCTTGCCCGAGAGATCTTCTCGCAACTCTTCGTCCAGACTCATCCTTCGGCTTGGACCATGGAGCCTATCTCTCCGTCGATTTTCCCAGATGTAGTATACCAGAAGACAGACAAGAAATGCAGCTCCTAAAGCCAGCCCGGAAAGAGAGGCTTTGAGACCAGTCTAAACCGCCAGACACATGTCAGCCTTGTGATGCTCCATTCAACTTGTATGGACGCAGCTTTGCAGCGTAGGACGCATCAGGAAAGGAGAGGTGACGTACTTGATACCTTGGTTTCTGGCTGGCTAGGAAGAATTGCGGGCCAATAATGTTGCCGACACAATAAGCGACAAACAGAGTTGCACTGGCGACGGATCGCTTGGTGAAGCCGCCGACGTTAGAGCTGATCAAACTCAAAGATAGGGGAATGTTGCAAGCAAAGACGGCGGCCAGGCACAGCCCAGCCATACGGCCGGCGCGACCTTCCAACTCGTACACCATGATCATGCCCACCATCGCAGTGATCGTGTTGAAGATCATGAGCCCAAGTCGGGATGACGGGATGATGGAAGCCAGGCCCGAAGTCAGGATGAGGAAGACGAGTTGAGATGCACCCACGGGCATCTGAATCAGGAGGGCTTTGAGATCCGTAAACCCAAACCCTGCGATGACGATGGAGCTGAACTGGATGACGAAAAAGATCCTCCTGTCAGCGTACACTTCCGAGATCGGTACAGGTTTGAAAGGGCAAAGAAATGGGTAGGGCAACAAAGATATCAACTTACACTTGTCAAGCCGCCATTTGCCAGATTGACTGAGACGGTGTATAGGACCAGAAGCCATAACTGCGGATCGCACAAGGCATCGACGATCTGGGTTGCCACAAAGGTATCGTTGTCCAGAAGACCCGTCTTGTTCTCAATGGTACGCTGCAATGCCACTTGGCGTTGCTTTTCATCCAGAAAGGCGGCTTTGGTAGGTGAATCTGGAAGAAAAAGGTATAGAACGAAAGCATAGGCTGAAGTAACGGCTCCCAGGATCAGGAAAAGCAACCGCCACTGCTGGATAGGCGATGTCGTGATCTGGCCGATCCCGTGCGCGACAACACCACCGATGACGTTGGCGATGGCATTGCCTACCCACCAAGCACCCTGTCTCAATGGCTGTTCTTTACGGGTGTAGAACATGCCCGTGATCAAGGCGAAGCCAGGGGCGATGGCCGCCTCTCCGACACCGAGAAAGAACCGTGCAGCCATCAGCCCTGCAAAGTTCTGGCAGGCACCGTGGCACATCAGGATTCCACCCCACAGGAATCTATTCAGCCCATCAACATGAAAGGTCGCCAGACTCTGGTGAAGACAACATACACTGAAACAGCCAAGTACTTCCCGATGGGCAATCGGACGGCAAGATATGAACTGGGCCAACTCCATGCAAGGTAGCCGAAGTAGAAGACAGCCGAACACCAGGAGTATTGATGTCCCGTAAGATGCTGCGACAGGATCCTTGGTCAGCGCCTCATTCTCTGCAAGAGGATGAACAAGTGAATGAGATTTTGGGGGGAAAATGAGGTGCATGAGGTGATTTTTTCTTACCAGATCCTCCAGCAATCCCAAAAGAGTCGAGGAACTGAGGGCCAACTTGTCCATGTATTGCAGCATGTAACAGAAGCCCATCAGAGGGATCATGCTATACCCAAGATATCATCAGCAACTGAACCTGCAAGATCTGGATGACCTTGTTTTGGTAATATCACTGACCACATATCAATCTTTCTCAACACACGCTTTGACTCTGCGGGTGCCACAGGCAATATATGTCCTTCTTGAGTCGTCTGAGTAGGCATCAACTGGTTGTCGCCTTTGAAGTCAGAGAGCATCACGTCTTCTTTGGTCGCCATGATGTTTGAGTTGGCGGTTGACATTGCAGGCTGCGAAAGGAGGTGAACCGAGGGATGCTATAGCAATTCGCGGTGAGTGTTAAGTTTGTTCTTGATTCCTCGAAAGGTGATGATTTTCTCGGATGGAACTCTTGAGCCAGTCCAACAGTCAGTATCCTGTGGGTTTGATTGTCTATTTATCTTCCATCAGCTCCTTGCTTTCCGTTACCATCTGTGTCGTTTTGTCTATCGACCTTATCTCGGATATACTCGAGGAAGAATTGTGTTCTGGACTTTTGCTGATGATGAGGCATCTTCCTTGATCAACTAGACCGAGGTAGCTCTCCCCAGGCTTGATTCTAGTGGGTCATTGTCCTTTTGATATCTCGGCAAGGCTCTGCACGTCGGCTACCAGACGGCGCTGCTGATTGGTCGCATCGGCTAAAGTGGGTTGGGACAAGACGGAATAGGGGCCGCACAGCCTCGCCACCTCATGGTCCTAACCATTTTCGGCGCACAACTCACGATTGCGGGCCTTTTTTGACTTGACGTAGCGAATCGATGCTGGCTTATCTCGGCAGCTACTTCGAAACGTGCAGAATTATGTCGATGCAGCCATGGCATCTGCCGAGATAAGAAAGCAACTACCTCCCACATCGACAGTAGCTGTGTCTGCCGAGACAAGAAAGCAAATACTCCAGAACCAGTATACTTAGCACATCATAGACATCGCATGCAAAGAAAACATGAATACTTGCGACACACCCCCGATAGGTGCACCGACTTCTTGCACTTCTTCAACGATTGAGTCTCCGCGCAACCACATCTCAACACAATGGCAACAACAACAACCACTACCACATTGACTGTTCCGACTAAGGTGGAGTTGAAAGATCTCGTCGACGAGTCGCTGGAAAAGCTTACACAAGAGTTATGGGAAGTCAATCATCAAGTGAGAAAACAGACCCCTGCTAGAGAAGACAAGCACGACTAATGTCCGTGTGAATCTTTCAGATCTGGTCCAATCCTGAGTTGGGCTTTCAGGAGCACAAAGCCCACGATACGATCTGCGACTTTCTCGAAAAGCAAGGCTTCAGCGTCACACGTCACGCGTACGGCATCCCAACGGCATTCGAAGCCAGAAGCGGACAAGGAGGCCGTCTCGTAGGCTTCAACGCCGAATATGACGCTCTTCCCAACATCGGCCATGCTTGTGGACACAATCTGATCGCCACCAGTGGCCTGGCTGGATTTCTAGCACTTTCACACACCTTGAAAATGCAGAATATTCCCGGACGGACGCAATTACTGGGCACGCCAGCCGAGGAAAGCGGTGGCGGCAAAATCAAGCTGCTCCAAGCAGGAGCCTACAACGGTGTGGATGTTACATTGATGGCGTAGGTCAAGCTTTTGGTCCAATCTAGCTGGTCGATGTTGAATTGCAGGCTGACAGAATGCTTCTGGTGTACAGGCACGGAGGTACGAATAACATGAAGAACTTTGGCGCAGGTCACGGTGGCGTTGGCGGCGTCCGCATGGTAGCCCGGGAGCAATTCTTCTGCGAGTTCAAGGGGAAGAATGCCCATGCAGGTGCCAACCCGTGGGATGGCCATAACGCCCTTGACGCCTTCGTCGCCTCGTACAACAACGTCTCCCTGCTTCGTCAGCAGATCCTCGACACGGACCGCATTCACTCTGCTATCACGGAGTCTCCCAAAGCTGCGAACATCATAGCAGCCGCAACAAAGGCGACATTTGTCACGAGAAGCGAGACTCTCAAGAGTCTCAAGGCGTTATCCGAGAAATTGATTGCCTGCATCGAGGCTGGGGCATCCGCGACGGGCTGTGAAGTTTCCATTGAGAGGTATGATCCTCTGCAGTCGTTCCGGAAAACCTGGCGGCTTGATTTCCTCCCCAGCGGTGAACAATTTTTGCTAACACAAACGCAACAGAGAAGCACACTACGCAGACATGGTCATCAACGAAGCCCTGTGTCGCCGCTGGCAGGCAAGGATGGCGGAATATGGACGAAATGTCCTCGTGAGCATTCCGACGCCAGTATCCGCCTCCTCGGATTTCGGTGAGTACCTGTCTTCCGCAGTCCCCATACCACACTGAACAAGTGCTCAACGCTGTGTCGTCTTGTCTAACGCGTGTCCTAGGAAACGTCAGCTATGCTATGCCGGGCCTGCATCCCATTTTCACGATCCCTGCTTCGGAAGGCAGTTCGCCACATCATGCCTCTTTTACGAGCGCTGCTGGCACCAGGGAGGCGCATGATATTGCGGTGACTGTGGGGAAGGCACTTGCGCTGGTGGGCTGGGATGTGCTCACTGACGATGAGGTTTTCGAGGCTTCAAAGTCGGAGTGGTTTGGGAAGATGGCTGCCGAGGGTGTTGCCTAAGGAATTCTTGTTGTCAGATGTTAACCCTCCGCCCACTCCTCCAAATTGAAACATGGACGGCGAGGTAGGATCTCTTCAATCTCGAGGAAATCGCGGTGATAGTAGGTAGACTGTCGAGATCTCATCCTCCCAGTGATGTAGACAGTATCTTCGCGCAGGACAGGACCGCTTTATCAAGGTGCTGTCAGATAATGCCTCGAGAGTACCTAGGCCCATCAGCGTGATCGATTCTGATATCGCATTGCACTGCCGTGCCCGTCTCTAAGCCGGATACATCTTGGACGATCAAGATTCGCATATCCACTCGAGCACTTGTGGGCCGGTCTCCCAACTCCGTCCTTGTTAGAGGCGGGTCATAGCCGACGTGCATGAGAGATCCACTTTAGCCGCCAGCCTCTACTCGTGGAAGATTATTGCAATAGCTCTGCTTCGAACAATGCATCCAGGCAATGTCCATGACACAATCCGACCTTGAATGCGACCCAGCATTTCGGAAGTAATGGCAAAATGGAAAAACTCCACCACGCCGCGATGTCCGGCCGCTGTCCTGGCCGACGATTTCTGAAAGGCAGCCTCGAGTGTTGCCGCAACGCCTCCCGGCAATCCCAGGAGTTCGATGGCGATTGAGGGATAAGTATAATTTAGAACTCAGACTGTTGTGTGATCTTTCTTCCAGAGTAGATATCCCAGCCGCACACTCGTCCACCTCACAGGCTGTTTTTTTCGATCACGATGTCCTTGGTCGTTGTTGGCGGTGGTATCGTTGGGCTCGCTATCGCGTATTATGTGAGCTTGACCGACCCAAGCAGGAAAATCTTCATCCTCGACTCCGAGAAGGAACTGTTTCTGTCTGCATCGGGGTATTCTGGAGGGTTCATCGTTCGCGACTGGTTCAGCCATACCGTTCTACCACTTGCAGAGCTATCATTTCGTCTGCATCGAGACCTAGCAGATGCCCAGAACGGACGTAAGCAATGGGGATATACGCCCAGTATTGGATACAGCTTGGTCATGGAAGACAATAGTACTGGGCAGAAAGTGCGTGGGGAAGATTGGTTGTTGCATGGTACGAGTCGAGCGGAAGTGGCGCGCAAATATGCCTCGCTCGCGAAACCAGAACCAGAGTCAAAGAGCCAACAGCGCGTCGATCGGGACTCACTGCTTCGACCGGATGGGTCTCCTTTGTGGGCTAACATACCAACTGGAGGAGTCCTGGAGAAGATCTCTAGTCCTTCGGGATGCGCGCAGGTCGAGCCACGACAGCTTTGTGAGTGGCTGTTGCAGCGCTGCAGGGACCGCGGTGTCGAACTACACCTCTCAACCAAGATTACTGGTCTCTCACACGACTCTGCGGGAAATGTGGTTGGGGTGCGAGTCGAGAAACGTGCTGCAGACGGTGTCAAAACCCGAAGAGCTCTTATTCATTGCAAAGACGTGGTAATCTCGGCCGGCTGTTGGACTCCTCGTGTCTTTGAGACCTTGACTGGAAAGAAGATGAGCATAGGCATCACACCGTTGCCAGGGTACAGCATAACAGTCCGCTCTCCGCGGTATTCTCGTCCAATCCTGGAAGTCGACGAAGCCGGCAATGAGGCGGAAACCAGCCATTCGATCTTTTGTCCTCCGGGACGCAATTGGCAGTATTCCCCGGAGGCCATGGCGAGGCAGACGAGGGAGGGCAAGCCTGAAGTTTACGTGGCAGGGCTCAACAACGAGAGCCATCGTCTACCCGAATTGGCAGGTCAATCGAAGCAACTCATGGAGAAATTCCTCAGGGACGACCTCAAAAGGACGGCTGTCACGTTAGTCGGCAAGTTGGAAGGACTGTCGCAGTCGCCTGTTGATGATCTCGAGATTGTGAGAGAAGGCCTTTGTTTCCGGCCTGTCTCCGAGAGCGGCAAACCCATCATATCTCGAGTGGAGGACATTGTCACCAAGGGTGGCGGAGGTCTGTATGTTGCTAGTGGCCATGGTCCTTGGGGGATTACATTGTCTTTGGCGACTGGCTTCGTCATGGCAGAAGTGCTGCAGGGCAAGAATCCGAGTGTCTCGCTGGATGAGTTCAGACTGCAGCCGCAAACATCAGCTCACCTGCAGGCGCGTCTATAATAATGTGAGGAGCTCGGAGTCAAGAAGTGAGCAAGCCAGCTCAGGTTAGAGATAGAAAAGCCATCATCGTCTTCGTGAATCGTCTTGGTATGCGGTTGTCAGAAGCTGATAGTACAAAACACTGCAATGCTGTCCGGTTCCGGATGACATTATTGTTTGCCCCCCCCTGAAGTCATTCATCGAAGCACGCCAATCGTCACAAGAAACTTTCCCCTGACCGCCTGAAACCCCTTTGCTACCGACGCCTGATCCTCCATGACATTCTAGCATGAGTTCTAGTCGACTGTGTGAAGAGTTGGTCAGTCAAAGAACGGGGAGAAGGAGTCCGCCACGTACATGGTAGGTCAGAGCAACTTCAGTGTCAACTTAGCAAGCTGCTCCTGCAGGTCGGTAATCTGGCTTAGGATCTCTACGCGGTCGACCTTGCCCTTCTTCTCGTGTTCGTCGCCTTTTGCTTCGCTCTTCTTGTCGCTATGGTTCTCGTTCCCTGCTTGCAATTCTTCGTTCTGCAGCCCACGCTCAACCTCTGTATGCCCCTGTTTTCCGGAATGCTTAGTATTGCATCTCGCTTGCTCCCTACTCTTCTTGCTGGATTTCGGCTTTGGAGGGCGCCCCTCAGCGCACACAAGGGCGATCATATATTCGTCGTTTCAACAACATAGGCGTGGAATGGGGCGTACTGTTGTACATCTCAACACGATTGAGGAAGGCCGAGTACTGATCGGTTGGTAGGTTTCGAGTGATCTTGTTCATGACCGTCAAGTCCGAGCAGGTGCCTTGCGCGTCGTTGATGTCTTCTTGAAGTTTGCAAACCTTACCAACGAAAGCCATCACTGGCTCGGAGGGATCGAAATTGAGCTCTGCGAAGCTTCTCTCTGCAGCCTCAAGAGCTCCAACATCGGTGACCTTGTATGTCTCGCGGAGGTACCCGTTCTTGTTCCCAGTCGATTTGTTAACCGAGTCTTTTTCAGATTTCTCAGCTTTCGCGGCTTCGTCGCGTCGAACGCCCTCCTCAACAAGTTCGTCGGTAAGAGCCTGAAGGTCATGGCTATCAAAGGATCCCTTATTGCGCATGATGTGGCTGTACTTCTTCTAAGGTATTGCGCCTCTTCCTCGTTGGTAAGCTCATGGTCATACTGGTTTTGCAGGTCTATGCGAATCTGGAAGATTCTGCTGACGTAGTTGTCAACAATCCATTTGTGACTATCGAGAGGAATGTCTCTGAGTACAGTAAGTGACACCGCCACATAGTGCTGTTTCATGACCTTGAGGTAGCCTTGCACGACCTCATCAGCTGTTTCTGAAGTCGTGGAGTCCGCCATACTGAGGGCCGAGCAGTTGGAACTTGATCTGGTTTTATCTGGCTTCGAGTGCGGAAAGAAAGCGATGTGAACGGTCGAAGAACCTGAACCAAGCAGAAGGAGAGATTCTCCGTTGATAAACCTCAAGAAGGAGAACGCAGACTGGGATCATGTACCCTTCACTGGCTCCAGTCACCGCCTAAAATGACTGCCCACCACATCACCGCCCACCAGTGACAATCCGGGAAGTGAGTACCACATGACCCTACTAGGTCCAACATTAAGAGATGGCGGTGACTCCGTTATCAGCATTACATTACCACCTATCCACCTCCAGGCACCACTCTCATGCCGCCTCCGTAATCTTCGTCGCCTTATTGATACTCCCTCTGACCGCCAAAGCCATCCAATCCGGCACACATCGCAAGAACGTTCCCTGGATCATCTTCTCAGGCACATACACGCTTCCACTCCGTCCACCTAGCACCTGCACCACCACTCTCCCTGCCACTTCGTCAGCCGTGAGCACAAACTGCTTGGACCGATCAAGCTCAAATTCCCAGGACGATACAAGCGGAGTCCTCGCCCAAATAGGATGCACGATCGAAGCCTGGATACAATGCCCATTCTCGTACCGGTGAGCAAGCTCCTGGACCAGACTCTCGTGCATACCGAGCACCGCCGCCTTACTGGCGGAGTAATCGCCGAGGTTAGGTTGTCCCGTGTAACTGGCCATGCTGGCGAGTGTGACGATATGGCCCTTTTTCGCGGCGAGCATCTTTGGCAGGATCAGCCGCAGGAGTGAAAAGTGCGAGAGGACATTGATGCGGAAGATCTTATCGAGAAAGGCGTCTGAGGTGTTGAGGATGGTATGCGCCTGGGCTATGCCCGCGTTGTTGATCAGCACGGTCGGCGTGGTTGTCTGGAGGAGTTCGGTTACTGTCGAGTGGATCGAGTCGTAGTTTGACAGGTCGATCTTGTGGTAGCTTAGACGAGGGACTTGCTTCACGTTAATAAGGCCTCAACTGTGATGGATGGCCGGCAGGAGAAGGAACGACAAGGTCTGGCGAAGAAAGAACAAGAATCAGGGGAGATGCAGAGTCAAAGGCAAACTTACTACTCTTCATATCCTCCGGTAAGTCCTGAATGTCCAAAACCACGATCTTCGCCCTAGTCTTTGCGGCCAACATCTTGACCATCTCCTTGCCGAACCCGGAACAGCCGCCCGTAATAACAATGACCTCTTTCCCCTCGCCATCAAAATCCCATGGCTCCCCCTGTTTCGTCAAGTGCCAATAATTCAAGGCCAACCTGTTCAACCAGCGATTGACATACAGCGCCAACCCGATCCCGAAAAGTACCTTGAGTGTCTTGAGTGGAGGGTCGGCGCGAAGGGTAATGCTGTTACGTATGTTGAATGGCAATCGGAAGGGCAGAGTTAGGGTCAGGTTCGGGAACCATGGAATCTTGTCCAGTATTGACGGATTGCGCTGGACGTACAGCAGTAATGGGCCCGTTAGGAATGGCGACAAGAGAGTGTTTTGGACGATCGTATTGGCGGAAGGGATATGAAGTTTGGATTGAGAGGCCATGTTTGTGACGCGGTGTGTCTCGTGTTCGGGAAAGGCGAGAGTAGTAGACACGAGGACCAACGATCACGACCTGTTTCGTCGGCCACTTCGTATCCAGAATGTTCCTCTTATATTTGCTGTACGTATGAACCTCGTCGTTAACAAGAAGCCACTCAACGCCTTCAATGGAATCGAGGTACTTCTTTCCCTTCTGTGAGGAATTTGAAGCAGATATATCGAATATAGTACTGGGAAAGTGAACAAAAAGAAATATATCCAGAGAGACGAGGAGCGGATTGAGTTTAACCTTCACCCCGAGCACCGACCATCACGTACGAAATACGGAGAGATAGCAATACGAAAAGGCCAAAGGGCCCGGCTTTACGCTTCGCGGCATAGTGTTGTGCAGGCAGACTTGACGTTGTGAGCATTGGGAAGGCCAAGTGGCCGGCAGACCTCGGCAGATGTGGTGAGTGATTTGAGGGACACTGGAGAATGCGGAGGGAGGAGTGAAAGAGGGGAGAAGTGGAGTGACTGCCTTGTCATTCCTTTTTGTGAGTACGAGAAAAGAAAGAAATGGTCAGATGGCACCACGTACTAGCATGTCGAGCGAATACGAACTAGGTCTCCTCAAAGGAAACGGGATACTGGGTGAATGGTCAGAATATCGGAATAGATCAGCTATCCATCCTCACTTCCACTGGAATAGTGGTATCTAGAAATCCTCATGCACAAAACAAACATCGCCGTTCATATAGCAGGTCAGTGAAGAAGACGAAAGACGTATGGACCTATAATACCACTGCCGTCTTTGCAGAACTGAACCCTTCATGATATGCGCCCGCGTAAATCATGCTGTCTCATCCCATTTCATCCCACATCTGCCTCATTATAGTCATCATCTCATCTAAAGGGTCGCTCGAAAGAGGGTACAGTGCCCTCGTCGTTGCCAACGGCACTGCCCGGTGTACTACGGAAGTGGCTCAGATCACCACTGCCCGTCTTTCGCAATGCCTGTCTCATTGTTTCGACATTGATCTCACTGTTGATGCCCAATGGTGAACTCTGTCCTGGTAGAGGACTTCCGGTTCCTCTTGGGTTTGGAGCACGATGGGGAGATGTCTCGTACCCCTTGGTTGACGCACTGACACTGGTCGGTGGAGATGTTCCAAATGCTGCAGAAGACGTAGGTGATCGGATAGGAGAAGGTGAGCGAGGAGGTACGAGAGACGGATGACCAGACAGGTGGGCAGAATCGCGCCGAACATCGCTCCCCATTTCCTGCTCGGCGTGGACAACATCGGCGAACGAGATAAAACTCAATCGGCGCACATCCGTGTTGTCCAAAGAACCATAATTAGACGCGTTATCGGCGTCTTGTCGAAAGGCGGCTGAGATGGCCGACGGCGGCGGCGAGAACGAGTCTTCCTGCATTGACGATGCCAAAGAATGATCCGCGCCCAATCCAGTAATGGTCACTGCAGCTGGTTGATGTGTTGCATGTGTCACGATCTCAACCTCGTCTGGGTTCAGCTTTTGGTTTGTGATTGCTTCCGCGGATGCGTCTAACGCTGGCGCAATGTGATTCTCCATGATAACGTGAGAAGGTAGATGCGGAGATGTTTCGGGATGTACGACTTCTTCTTGGACATTGCGCTCAAAGATCATGGATGACGCGGGTGATTGTGGTCGTGGGGAGGAACTCTGTCTTGCATATCCCGGCGATCCAGGAGGAAACACCTGTGCCAGAGACCCTCTGTGCGGTGATATTGACCCGGTCGCAAGATCGGGTGATCGGGCAGGAGATGCTGGGTGCAGCCCAACTGCCGGATTTCCGCTGGAAGCTGGAGGAATCGAAGTGCCCGGGGTCGTGGCCATTGTGTCGGCTTTGTCTCCCTCTTGCTTCTTCCCCAATTTCCAGAAATCTCTCTTTCGTGGTTTGGTGGAGCTATCTCCGCCTGCTGGCTCAAGCCCTTGCCGGGTGCTTTGTGAGAAGGATGGATCTTTTAGTAGCGGGGAGGCTGAGTCTTTGGACTCTGTACTAGGAGCAGCACTGTTCTTGTCGGGTGTGAATTCTGGGGGTAACATGCTGAGACCGCCCTTGTGAGATGTTTAGGATTTTGGTGAGTTGAAGTTCAACCCGAAGCACAAAGGTCCGTAGGGTTGAGTGGAAGGTCAGTGGGAGATTGCGAGGAAGTTGATCATCCGTGGAGTTTCGGGACACTCATGTCTTTTCGCAGGTACTGGTAAGAAGGGATGTGTCAATTTTTGACGATCGCTGATTCGGTATATGGGCGCAAATGTCAAACATGCGCTGATATTGCGCAGTCTGGTAGATGGTCGTGTCGTCCAACTGAGGAACCAATCTCGTTGACAAGGAAAGTCGGATAGATAGAGAGGTAGCGAGGTTCGGCAGTGAACTGAGAAGGATTTAACGTCGATACAATGAAGTAAAGTAGACAGAATGACGACAGATGGCCTGTGCGACGAGGTATATCACACGTTGAGGTTGGGAGTTGGTTGTGGGAGGATACGAGATGAAGACAGGAGAAGCAGCAACAAGTGCAGATGTACGTAGGTGTGCCTGGTCGTGGTTGAGTTGACTGTTTGGCAGTTGAGGGAGACACACGGTAGCTTGGTTTCTTGGTGGGTTTCGGAAAGCGGGAGGATTCAGGAATGGCTTTGGTTGCAAGGGGATTGGGCCAAAACGCACTGCCCAGTGATCAGTGATAGACAAGACGGTCGCCCATCAACAATTGGAGGTCAACGGCTATTGGTGATTGGAGTTTCAGGCACTAATAAGGGACACACACCACCTACGTAACTAGTTGGGGAGTCTTGTGACTGGCAAAAATCACCAAACAGGGTATCCAATGCGAATAACGTTACACTATTACTGTACCTATCATCACGTGGGTGGTATCTTCTAACGGATAGGATATCAGTATGATTGAATGGCAGAGTCATTGCTTTTCGATATATGCCAAACATACCTCATGCGAACTATACAACATTGGTGGTCATACTTTCATCCTTCTCAGCTGAACCAAGATCTCACTCCCTAGGGAGTATCATATTGCACAATATATTCCTTCTCCCTTTTCCACCTCTTCTGCCTCATGCCGTAAGATATAGTAAGTCAATGAAACTGATCTTCCGTCACACCTTTACCCATAGCACTCGTGCTGCTTACACCACCTTGGACCATCTTAAGTAGGTTGTCCACGTAATTGGCACCACTCCACTTCTGGTGCGTCACCACATCAACTTTGTTGGCCATTTCCGGCTCCTGGATCAGCTCTCCATATGCGCGCATTCCACGCTTGGCAAACTCTTTGGCGAAAGTGTCCGAGATCAGCGCGGTGGAATGTAGACCGGCGAGAGTAATGAATTGCCAGCAGTAGCCCATCTCCGCCAGGCGTTGAATGTAGGTTTCTTGGTCCTTGGCGGCCATGGCGGCCTTCCAGTTGAAAGAAGGTGACAGGTTGTAGGAAAGTCTAGAACATGATATGTTAGTATCGGCTCATCACGGAATTTCGATCGTACTCACTTCTGTTCAGGCCAGACAGCATGCACGCCATCCGCAAATTGCTTGGCTTGGGCATAATCGGGCAGCTTGCTCTCCATCCAGATCATGTCGGCATAGGGAGCGTAGGCAATGGCACGGCTGATGGCGGCTGAGCATCCTCCCTGGAACCGGTAGTAGCCCTCGCGTGTTCTGGCAGCATCCCAGTCCCAGTAGATATCAACACCAGTAAGACCCTTCGCAATAGCGCGGCATTCGCTGTTGGTCTTGCCCTTGGAGGCCTGCTTATATTTGGCAATCAACGCTGCCTTGTCGACATGGACACCTGCGTTTATAGCCTCAATGACGGCTTCGTCGAAGACTTTAAGTCCACTCTGTGCGGTCCAAGAGTCCTCAATCGCTTGCAGCTGTTCTCCGTTTTTGCCAGACTGTTCAGCGGCAAACATCAGATCATTCAATGGCTGTAGGTTGGCATTGGTTGTGCCAAGGATGAAAGGGTGATCTCTGTGATCAATCGTGGTGGTGATTAATGTGGCAGCTTCCGAGTCCGTTCGGGCCACCGCCAACAGGTCGACACCCATAATGTCGGCTTGGGCTCGGATAGCCACAAGACGGTTGATGTGCTCGGATACGGGCACCAACACCTTTCCAGCCATATGTCCACACTTTTTCGTACCCGGAGCTTGATCCTCAATGTGAATGCCGGCCGCACCCTTTTCAACAAACATTTTTGTGAGCTTCATCACGGCAGTCAGACCACCGTGACCAGTGTCAGCATCGGCAATGATGGGTCGCAGGTAGTCGACCTGGGGCAATGAGCTTCGCTTGTCCTTTGGCGTTGTCAGGCGTTCTTCTCTTTGTTTCCGATCGTGGAAGAGTTGTGCCATGAACAGGTGCTGCACCTTATTCGGCACCGTGGTCGAGGGATAATCTGCCAAATCAGGACCGGGCTCGTCGGTGGAGGAGGCGGTGGAGGAGGATTGCCAGCCGGAAACATATACAGTGTCAAGATATTTGTTCATTTGAGTAAGCATGGTGGGCTCAAGACAGCCATATGTAGCAGACGCCGTTTTAGTCTAGAAAAGCCCCCATGTTAGTATACTGGCGCGGACAGCCCTGTTTTTGATAGTCTTGACTCACGGCGAATCGGTTCTCGACCAATTTCCATAGCTTCTTCGCCTGGTCATTGCTTGGGTATTGAATCTTGATGGTGCCTCGTTTCTGTACAATCTGCTCGGCGGTAAAAGGTCTCTTGGTGTACCGCCATCGAGAGTCACTCCACCACTGCTTGACAGCCTCTACGTCTTGCAGATATTGCTGTTCTTCCTGGTCAAGCGAACCCATCTTGAAAGTGTCGACGACCTTTTGGAGAGTGGAAGTCATACGAAGGATAGACGCACGGGAGGTAGTCGGAGCCTCTCACAAAGGTCAATGACGGCGTGAGGGAGTTCTTATATCACCGTTGGGAGTGGAGAGACAAGACAGCGAGCGACAAAAAGCAATAATCAGTCATGAGAGAGGAGCGCATGCTTCTAGTTAAGTAAAAAGGGCACAAGCCCGTGGACGGACGTGAGTGGTCAAGGGTGATTCCATCCTCCTCCGATCGGCATGGCACCGAGGAAGAAGGGTGCGTGCGCATGTTGACGCTTCTGGCAAAGCTTCGTGTTGGGCCTCCTCTCTCGCCTGGGGTCGGAGCAAGGGCATCAAGGGAAGAATAGCGGCCAGTCAGATGTTATTGGCTGTCAGCACGCAATAGCACATCGGGCTGAAGGGAGAGGCAAAAGCAGGAGACTGTTGCAGGATGGATTTTCGGTAGAGGGTCGGCTTCTCGCGCTTCTCTGGGGAAACATGACATGATCAAACGAGTCCAGGCGCATGTGGACATTGGAAAATGACGATTCATCCCTCAAAACCCTCCGCTCGCCCGTGCCCTTTCATATGCGTTCGCCATAGACCTTGTTGCATAGGGCAGCACTCGAGATGTTGATAAGTCACCTGTGCTCAAAGTCGGCACCAATGCCTCCACACTCAACAGCCTCAAAAGCACCTTTCTCATGCTGACCTGTTAGGGGTTGTGATGATTGTTTGCCCTCAAGAAACGAGATGCCTCGGCATATACACCCCAGCGCTATACCATAAGGAGACGAAAACCGGAACCTGCATCACCCAATTGTCGCCAGTCAATGCTCCACGAAAAAGAATCGGACCCGATACCGACCAACTTCAACAGCAAGAATACTTATCGGAAGCGTGACCGAAAACTAACTGTGGTAACAATAATGTTTCATGACTCATACAGCATGGTACCCGGCAAAAGCGCGAGCGATAATGATATGTACAGGCTGTGTCCATAGGTTAGAGGGTCGCTGTATAGCTCCCATACCACTCCTGCCATCAGAGCGCCGGCTCGAAGTCGTTCAACCTAAGCACGACGAGGCTCAACTCCCCCATCGAAAGACCGACTGGGTCCCCGTTCGCCTGTGAATGCTAACTCCATACAACACCATTTGGCTCTTCGTCTAGAATGCTCCAAATAAATGCAAGCTCAATGCAATACTCTCCTTTAATCCATATCAGGTCTATCCTGCACCATAAGCACGAAACCTTGGGTATCTTTTCGCAAACGCTACCTCACTCCTTGTTGTCCGATGCGTTGTTGTCGGAAATCACTGCAGCATCAGCCTCGTCTGACGAGTCAGGTCGGGACTCGTCAGAGCCTTCTTCTTGAATGGTGTCATCGGCTGATTCGTTGACCGCGGACAGGTTGATTTGGGTGGCTCTCGCGAATGTGTCATATGGCGTAAGTGTGCCGAGAGCGCGTTTCATGTGGATGGGAATGAATGACAAGCCATACACGTAGCTGGCGTTGACCCAACCAAAGCTGTCCAGTGTCAGTTCTCTGTCCATGAAAACATCAATTGTGGAAGAAATGAACTTACCCTTCGCGAGGAACGCCTTTGAAGTCGGAACCTTGGTTGCCATACTCTGCCTCGACTTTGTGCGGATCAAGCTCCCGCGTCACATTGTACTTTTCAACCACCACCCCGTTGAAGTCGACGAACGCTTTCGTGACCATGTACAACCATTTATACGCAAGTCGCTGTGCATCTTCGATGTACCCATACTTGAGAAAACCACCCCACGCCAGTATTTGCTGAGGTGCCCAGCCAAACGGATAGTCCCATTGTCGATTCGGGCGATCGAGTCCCACCTCTCCGCGCGATGCTTCCGTTCCCGACACAAGACCCCCAAAGCAGTCAAACTTGGGCAGTGCATTGAGAACCAGAGCGGCAGCCTGTTTCGGAGTAGCAAGCCCTGCCCACATGGCCCAGAAAGTGGTAGCAGTCTCGTAGTCGGTGCGCTTCTTGTTGACGGTATCGTAGTCGAAGAACATACCTTTGGCCTCATTCCACATATACTTGTCGATGCGAGCCTTGCGCAACTTGGCACGACGATCCCATGGTGCCGAGTTCTCGAAACCTGACTTGCGGTTCTCATCGGTCTGGAAGTCTTCAGGTATATTTAAGCGTCCCTTAAAGTGCTTCTGGATGCAGTAGGAAATGTCGACTTCATATTTGAACAGCAAAGAGTTCAAATCAATGGTTGCCAGATTGGCGGCACAGCCTTCCAGGCGATAAGATGTGTCGTGACCCGATTCTCGCACCGCACGATCATGCAGGAAGTACTCATCCAAATCAGGCTCATTCACACGCTCCTCATTGTATGCTTCAACAAATTTCTCAAAGCTCATCCCGTGCTTCTTAGCATATGGAGTGAGGATGTGGACAAAGTGAGAAGCTTCGGTCTCCGGTGGCACGCCCGCACCGTCTGGGCGATAACGTGATAGGCCTGAAACAGGATCCAAGCGAGGTGCGGACATCCAGACGCTATAGTATTCCTTGATAGCTGCGCAAAGGGCCATCCGCAAAAAGTCCAGAGCACCAGGCTCGTGCTTGATCTTCTCGTAGACCTTGAGGGCCATGTCGGTCAAGAAGGGAGGCTGTGACCGAGTGAGGTAGTACGACCGGTTGGCATTCAAGATCTTGCCGTAGTGCTGGATGCAAAAGGTGAAGTTGACGACCATGGATCTGGCCATGTCTACCTTACCGTTCTCGAGCAACCCAATCGACTCCATGTAACTGTCCCAGCCATACAACTCGTTGAACCTCCCTCCAGGCACAATAAAAGGTTCTCCTTTGAGTGTTTCTTGCCTATTCTTGTCGGTCGATTTCTTCATGGCCAGAGCCAGGATGCCAGGCGCGTTGTTCAAGCTTCGAACATATTGCGCTGTCATTGGACCTTCTGGTAGCCAGCGAACATCCAGTCTCAATTCAGGACGATCCTTGGCCACTTGAGTGTAATAATCATGTTGCTCAGGAACACCACGAGGGATATAGATGCGAGGCCGTGGGTCGGACGTCCAATCTTTGGGATCCCGCCCGGCTTTTTCGATGGTGGCAGCGTCAAGGGTTCGTGTCAAGTTGTTCCAGAACTCGTCTCTGATACGGCGCGAAAGTCGGTCTACGGGATTCTCACTGAGACGAGAACGGTGGATCTTGACGACTTTCTTGCCTAGATCTTGTGCCAGGGTCAACTCTTGTAGGAGATTGCTGATCATGTAGTTTCCACGGATCTCGGTGGTACGGTAACCTGCAGAAGCAAAAGTGCCCAAACTGATGTGCTATAGCCATGTTAGCCATCGACGCCCCTCGACAAAAGAGGGTTGCGAACTGACCTTGGGACCATTGTCCTCGATTGTGATCTGCTGGTTTCTGTCGACATCCTCTCTTTCGAGCACATCTTTCAGGGTCCGTTCAACGTCAACCAGAAGTTCTTGATGTTGTTGAGTGTGTTCATCTGCAATGTTTCTTATTAGTTTGCAAGGTTGGGCTGAGGATGTCAGGTCAGGAACGAACCGTGACTTGTTCGACGGGCAGGATAGTTGTCTCGACCAGGACCAGCCTGCAAGGACTCGGCGTCTCGAGGTTGTCTTATGTACTGTATACTATGTGAGTTCGGAGTCAGAGACACCAGGCAGGAGGAATAGACGTACAGATGAAACGGCTCTGTTGCGGGTGCCCAACAATTGGCGTCTAACCGCATCTTCATCGTAGTAAACAGAGGGGGAAGAGTAAGGATCGCGTCGCTCTAGGGATGAGCTTCGTCGGCGATGGTGACCATTTGGCAAGCTCATGACCGACAGAGTGGTCTCAGAGTGTGCGAAGCCAGGCCCAAGAACGCTAAGGAGCGGACAAGGTGGAAAAGAATGTGAAGTTTGCGTGCGGATAGAGTGCAGAAATGACTGATGAGGGACGCAGCCAAAAAGGAATTGAGGGACGCAGCTGACAATAGGCGATGATGTCGTGGGACCCGCTTCAGAGTTTGATTGAACGCCGGGGTTAACAGGTGAACAGTGAGCAAGATCCGCGAAGATGTTGGAGTATTGAATTTCAGGCACACGACCACACGACTGGACGTAAAGGTGATGGGAGTATCGTGAGAGTCAATGAAGAAGTATAAGAGATTTAGGAATTGTCGAAAGTGAAATGAGCAGGCAAAAGCAGGGAAATGGAGGAATAGGATGGATTTGTTGCGGTGTGAGTTGATGATGACCTAAGGTTGCAGGTGCAGGCGACAGGTAATGTAGGTAGAAAGAGTAAAAGAGTAAAAGAGTCAAGAACACTCAATGATGATTGAATAACTGCAGGCGGCGACTGTCAACAGTGGATGAAAGAGAAAGAGATTAGCAGAATGGTCAGGTGGCCACGAGGACAACGACCCAGAGTATCAAGAATGGGTGCAGGCGGTGAGGTGAAATCTGCATCAAAGTCTTATCTCTGTGTTGATCACAGTCAGATTTTTCCTCCAGTCGTGGCAGCTGAAATTACTTCGAAAAGTCTCTGAAAGAAAGAAGAAGAGTCGAGACCAACTCATGGGCGCGATATCTCTATTCGGATATCGCACCGCAAAAGAGAAGAAAAATGTCGGAGTCCGTGCTTGTTTCTTTTTGTTCTGTGACTTATTTATGGCCACGACGCTGATGATGATATTGAATACTGTTGTGTCACCTGCCTCGACGCCGCCACCCTTCCTTCTTTGTGTCAACGTCAATCCATACGCCAATACGGGAAGGGAGGCCAATATCAACTAATCGAGTCGCTCGTCTGTGCAACACTCCCACGTCGTGTCAGGCTGCCCAATCACAGCCTCAATCTTATCCAATATACTCCAGTGATTCACGGTCGGTAAGCCGCTTCGGGTTGCGCCATCCGTGTCCGTTATGCAGGCACAAACCTAACCCCCATTCGATGCCATCCCCCTCCCTCCCTGATATGCCGGCCAACCGAGGATCTGGAGATCTCAACTGGATAGATCAGGAACCGAGGGTTCGACACAACCTACACACGGAACAAGTCTATGCTAAGCTTTGTATATGGTACTTTGGTACCTATGCGGTCATTCGATACAGTTTCATCCAGGATGTAAATGGTTTCTGATTTTCCCTGTACACTTCCATTTTCCAACCTATATCCCTCTAATTTTCGCTCCAGTCCGGGCACTACGCCTCATAACATCATCATGATGGGAGATGCTCGATCCTTTTCGTCTAAACACAGTCGATTGCACCACGCGCACCAGCTGCGAATCGTCCCTTGCGCTTCTCGCTCGAGATACTTTCCGCTTTCTCTCTCATCAGCATATTCCCAGCAAGTTCCCCCAACCTTAACACGCTTCTTAACCTTCTTCTTCACCACTCCGCCTATGCCTTCAATCTCCTGCTGCAGATAGCCAGGCTTGTTGTTGACGTAGTCAGGCGCGCCTGCTCGACTCAAATTGTGGCCATCATGTTCGCGGTCCTCTGTTGTTCCCTCGGAACAGTCGATCTCGACCCAACATACAGCTTTGCCGCCCTTGTCCAAGCAAGCTTCTCCCCTTCCACATTTTTGCCCTTGATTTCCCTCTCCCAGGCCGGTCCCAAGACCACCGCCTATATGGGTCGAATATCGTGATCGCCAAGTCCACACTCGTTGGTAGGTAGTGTCGGCTGAAGTGAGATTCTGGCCACAAGGCACGCACAGGAAAACACCACGAGACTCACAGGTGCATGGTGAACGAAGAAAAGCTATTGAAGTGGATGTATGCTGATCTTCCTGTTCATCAACTTGCATCTCAAGGGTGTCAGTCCCGCTCGAAGTCGACGAACCAGAAAATGAGCGTGCAGACTTGACCGAACTCGCGCTTGACCTGGCTCCTCCATCGACAACGTCAATCTTGAGTGCAATTGGCTGTAAATGCGCTTCTATGGGTGCTTCCAAGCAGGTTCTGCACAGTCGTCGATGGCGACCTTTCAGCTTCGAATTGCTGGGTGGCTTAATCGTGCAATTGCGACAGATAATCGTGCCGCAATTCCGACAAGGAGCCACTAAATCACGAGCACAAGGGCTTATCTTGCTTGTAACTCCCATCGATGTATAAAGTCCTTCGGGTTGAGATTGCCGCCCGGCATCACGGGCGCCACCAGCCGGGAGATGCTGAGGAACATACGCGGGGCCTGTAGGTAGGAAAGCATCGTATAAAGAGTATTCGATCTGCGTTGCTTCTGCTTGTTCCGGGAGTGCTGCTGTCAGCATGGGAATCTCGTCGTGGACGCATCGGAGAGAATGAGCCTTGAGCTGCTGCGCATACTGCGTCAAGCTCGTATGCACACTTTTGCAGGTGGATGCAAGTGCATGTAGGTCGTTGATATCGAGCGAGGAGGACAAGGACCAGGCAATTCTAGGATGGTACATCAGTGAAACGACTCGGAAAATTCACCATTGTCAAGTCGTACGGATAGCACGTCAAAGCAGCCGCGAGTTTGTTCGGCGGACTCATAACATCGACTAGGATGTTATCTGCCGGGCTATTCCCATGCAGCGCATCATTTCCTCCTTCTTCTAGGTGTTTCAGCTGGTCTCGTTGAACGGACTGGCGGACAACGTGTCGCGTTGATGCCGGGTCGAGGGGCGATTGACTGTGGGCGCAGTCATCATCGTCGAGGTCGATAAACACCGCCATATCGAGGCCATTGGTAAGTACTCGCGCGTGATCCCAAAAAGTACGGAACTGTGTAAGGGCTATACAAGCCGGCACTGCATTTCGAAGTCGAAGACAGGAAGAGTGGACAAATGCAATCTGACTTCAAGGAGACCGGAACAAGTACAAGCGGGGGTCAGGTGAATCGTCGTCATGAGGAGATGGTCGCGGAACAGCCACGCGATACTGCCGTCCAGATCGCGCCTTTTCCAGCGCTATGGGCATCAACCTAGCGCCTATTCTGGACTTTGTTTTAGGCAACAAAAGATCCCCGCAGCATCTGATCGCCCAAAGCCGCATATGACAGGTACCAAGAAAGAAAGGTTTTGGAAAAGATCACGATGCGTAAAAAAGCAACGCCCAAAATGGTCTGTTCGGGAGATCAAGTGCAAAGTCTCTACTCGAGTTGCCTCTGCAATAAGACTCGCAGACATGTGAATTGATTCACAACCGAGGTGCGGAGGAATAGTAAGCTGATGGACGGCTGAGAAATCTCCCCTTCACAGGGTAAGCTAAACACGAGCAAGTGCTCTCCACAGCCCAGGCTCTCTCATCTTCAAAAGCCGGGGTCGTCCTCGAATGCAAGCATAGAGTCTCCCTCCTTCATCCGTGCTTTCAACGACTACTGGCACCGCAGACAAGATGGCTTCGATCAAACTGCCAGAATTCTCGAATACCCCCGTCGACCAGATCCCGGACATTGTCTCGCGTGTCCGAAAGACCTTCCATTCCCAGAAAACCCGCCCTGCAGAGTTCCGTCTTAAACAACTGCGCAAGCTGTATTGGACGATCGTTGACTTTGAGAAAGAGCTAATGGAAGCATGCCGGCGAGATCTGGGCAAAGGCTTCTTCGAGGCCCTAGCCACGGAAATCAACTGGGTACAGAATGACATTATTTTCATGACCAAGAACCTGGAGAAATGGATGAAAGATGAAAAGCCTGCAGATATACCCTTGAGTAATTGGTTCATGAGTCCCAAGATTCGCAAAGATCCCCTGGGAGTGGTCCTCGTCATCGGGTATGCTTGTTGCCTCATTTGCCGCATGCCGCTGCTAACCATGTATTAAGTGCTTTCAACTTTCCAATTCAACTCACATTGGGTCCCGTAATCGGTGCGATCTCAGCAGGAAATACCGTGGTGCTGAAGCCTTCCGAGAACACCCCAAACTGCGCCGCGGTCATGCAAAAGATTGTGGAGGAGGCTCTGGATCCTGACTGCTTCGTCTGCGTGCAGGGTGGTATCCCGGAAACATCAGCCTTACTCGAACAAAAATGGGACAAGATCTTCTTTACTGGCTCTGCGCGAACAGCTAAAATTGTAGCACAAGCAGCTGCGAAAAGTCTTACTCCCTATGCATTGGAGCTGGGTGGAAAGAATCCGGCCATTGTCACGAAGAAAGCAGACATGCGCTTAGCAGCCCGGCGGTTGCTATGGGCCAAAACGCTGAATGCTGGCCAGGTCTGCATCAGCCAAAACTTCATTCTGGTCGACAAAGATGTAGCCCAGTCGCTTATTGAAGAGTTGAAGACAGCCATAAAGGAGTTCTTCCCAAAAGGCGCGAAGAATAGTGAGGACTACTCTAGGATTGTCAACATCCAAGCATTCAACCGCATCAAGAAAATGCTGGACAATACATCAGGCAGAATCGTTGCCGGTGGCACAATGGACGCTGAAGATCTCTTCATCGAGCCTACCGTGATCGAAGTTACAGACCCCAAAGACTCACTGTTGGTCGAGGAGTCATTTGGCCCTCTCATCCCTGTCTTGCCAGTTGACAATCTAGATCAGGCCATCAGTATTGCCAATGAAGTGCACGAAACCCCACTGGGAGTCTATGCCTTCGGATCCAAGGATGAGACTGATAAAGTTCTTGCAGGAACTCGTTCAGGTGGGGCCAGTATCAACGATGGTTTTTTCCACGGCACCATACCGACCCTGGCTTTCGGCGGCGTGGGCGATTCAGGGACAGGCGCATATCGCGGCAAAGCTTCATTTGATTGCTTCACTCATCAACGATCGATCACGACGACACCGTCTTGGATGGAGAGCATGCTGGCAATGAGATATCCCCCTTTCGCCGGCACCGACAAGCTCAAGCAGTACAACAAAATGGCACTTCTGAAACCAGATTTCGACCGGCAGGGCAATAAGAAAGTCAGTTCACTCTGGTGGCTGCTAACCCTGGGTTCAGGCAGTGCTTCAAAAGGTGCGTTAAGAGCGGCGCTGTTAGCTGGAGCCGTCCTGGCGTTGAGAATGCTGATGGCAGGCAGAGCACTGAGAAACAGTAACGGAGAATGGCTGATTATTCAGATCAACTCCTAGTAGCGAATTGCATAATTCATAGCAAGCTACTAAGCAAACATTTGATAACATAGCATGACGATCGTAGAAGTTCTTCTCGCAAAAGCATGCCTATATCAGGACGCGACGCCACGATTGATAAGGACGGCTTCTATTGCCCCAATTGTCAGCCACACCTCCCAGACTTTTGTGCACGTCATCGCTGGTTGCTCGAACCAGTAGGTAAAAGCATCCCGCATTTTGAGATACCACGATCACCATCTACTGCCTGTGGTTGGACACTTCTTGCACCTGCAGTGCTGAGTATCTTGATTATTTTCCTGGACACGTCCCGGAATCCCCTATCCTCGAGCCTCGACCTGAAACTCAAGACCTCTCCATTCTTATTCCCGCTATCTGACTGCCTGACGAAAGAGATAGCCTCTCTTCGCCCTCGCCGCAACCACCTGCGCAAGTGCGCCGTCACCCCGACCCAGATAGCACCAAGAGTCATGACATCGACCTCGAATACTCCCTTTGTTACGCCTGCAACTTCTACTGCCAACACCAGGCCCCCTAGTCCCAGCCAGCCTCCTCCCACTGTCGCTGCGGACAATCAGTTGCAGGATGATTCGTCGAAACTACGAACGTTTCTGAGCTTGTTAAGAAAGTACGTCACATATACAACTGGATCAGGGCACATTCTGAGAAGGAGTTGGCTGTATACACTTGGGAGGGACGCTGTGCTGACTTGCGAGCGATTTGCAGGTTTATCGGTGTCACAGATATTGCAAATGTCCGCTTTTCTCTTCCTTCTCAATTAATAGAGCCTATCCCCAACCTAGGTATGTCCCATGCTGGCCATCGTGGACCGGTTGAACCGAGCTCACACGCAGTTCAGAATACTGGCATTACCTCGACAGGCCTGAGACATTTGCAAGGTAAGTTGACCTTGTGTAAAGCCTTATCACGGGCAGGCCAGACTGACACGCTAATCAGCATCGGGACATCGGATGACGAAGTTGGTCGTATGCTAGAGGTGCTAAGGTTCTGGTTCACGAAAGATCTGGTTCGTCCGAACGAAGCGTCTCTGAGCGAACATGAGTACTGAGACGGTGTGCAGAAATACATCAAGGGCAAGCCTTGCAAACCATACAACTCCATCCTTGGAGAATTCTTCAGGGTTCGTTCCAACCCGTCATGCCTTCGCTAGGTCAAAAGGCCGAGCAAGACAAAGAGCTAACACATCTCTTCCAATCTAGTGTAACTGGGATGTCAGTCAACCAGCTCCATCAATAACGCGACCATCCCAAGCACCTCCACAACCTGCCTTAGATCCTTCGCAACCTAATGGCCAGAAACCCGTCCGAATATCCTTTCTGTGCGAACAAACTTCACACCACCCACCCGTCTCAGCCTACTGGTATGCGTGCCCCGAAACAGGAGTCTACGCTCGAGGCTACGACCAACTTTCTGCAAAATTCACAGGAACGTCTGTGCGGGTAACGCCGGGCAATTTCAACCGGGGCATCTTTATTAACATCGGCAAGAGAGGCAATGAAGAATACCAGCTTGTTCATCCTGTAGCTGCGCTTGGAGGCATACTCCGCGGATCCTTATACATTTCTGTGGCAGATACTTGCTCGATAACTTGCCCGAAGACAAGGCTGAAATGCATGCTAACGTATGTCGAAGAAAGCTGGTTTGGAAAATCACAGAACAGGGTTCATGGAGTAGTGTACCGTTATGACCCCAACGACGACAAGTACACGCGGGTCAAGGATGTGCCAGATAAAGACGTGTTGGTGAAGCTGGAGGGATGCTGGCAGGAGCAGATCACATACACGATTCCCAACAGTGCCGCCGTCAAAGAGAGACAGAATCTCCAACCCACATCCGAAAAGCAGCTCCTCATCGACCTGCAGCCACTTATGCCGGTACCCAAGACCGCCCCGCCTCCCGAGCAGCAGCTGCCAAATGAGTCGCGCCTGTTTTGGCAGGACGTTACTACCGCAATCCTTGCGAAGAGGTTCAACGACGCCACCCGGATCAAGCAGGACTTGGAGCAAGTGCAACGGGACAAGGCGGCCAAGAGGGTACAAATGAACGCAGAATTCAAGCCGAAATTTTTTACTGCCGTCACCGAACCAGATGGAAGGCCCAACCTGACCCCTTACGGTAAAGACACACTTCAGCGTCTGAGCAACAATGCATATCAGATCGAGCTTGTACCAGAGCCCGGCATCGATGTGCCATTGAAATGACTGCCTGTCTTGCATGCAAACCTGAAGGGGAGTTCGAGTCTGCCTCAGGTCGATTCCCGCGCTTGAGATTTCTGCCATGGTGCGGCCGCGGCCGGAGATATGGTGGCCAGGGCCTGATGCGTAGGGCATTGGTACAGGTATGGGCCTCTGTCTTTCTGCACGTACAAAGCCGCCAAAGGGCGGCGACGGCTCAGAGTTCATGTCCATTTACACGGCGAATATGAGGACGAGAGACGGCGTTCAGATGATAGACAGAATACCTTGCAAACTGTCATAGCATGATTGGGTTTCGACTCTGGCGTTGTCGTCACGAGAGCGATATTGTGATGAAATATTACTTTTGCCAATGCGACACTCCTCAAGAGACGAGAATTACCTACCCGAGCAAAGAAAGGGTCAAGTTCTCTTCGAGCCTGATGCAGCAGAATTTGGAACTGCCGAACTGATTCGAAATACCTCATGCCCCATTTCGCTTATATAATACTCCTTTGCGGGTCAGAAGGATTGTTGATGCTCGCCTCGAGAACAACATGTCAACATGTGGTGATGACTTGTGGAAGAAGAATGTCCCATGCTGCAGTCCATCATGCACCTCCGAATCCTTCCCAGAAGCCCTTGACACCACTAACTCATCAGCATTCCTCACGTTCTAGAACTGCCGATGACGCTGCTCGACCCATAGGTGCTGACACAATACTTCTGTGGTTGAAGCGCCGTGTATATCTGCGCATTAGTTCTTGACGCGCCATTTTCTGTCAACTTGCTCTCGCTCAGCAGACTTCACGTGCGTCGGAAATCGTACGGGTTAGGTAGTCCCTGTGGTCCCACCTTCATGACCGGTGAGTTTCAGGAAGCGAGGCGATCATTCCGAATTGGGTAGCAGGGCATACGGTGTAATTGGACGGGGAGGGGACACTGGAAATGATCCCCTCGAAAGCTGCCATGGCTGGCCCACGTGCCGACACGCGATGAAAGGGAGATGTTTTGTTTATGGAGACCGCCTCGTATGTTGACGGCCCGCATCCGGTAGGATTTCGCCCTTGTTGTTTTCGCTGAAACAGTCGCTAAGGCTTAATGGAATTATGAGCGGCCGGGTGCGCTTTCGAAAGACGAAACACCTCCCTACACCTTCGAGGCGAGCGCCATGTGGGTGGGCATCATTTTTGGGGGGGTATTGATTGGCATTGTTACGCGTGATGGGCCTGGAGGGAATTGGAAGTTACAAGGGAAGGATGATTACCGTTTGTGGACGTTTTCCGGCCACTCCGTGTGCTTACTTACCAGGTGGACACTCTGGGTGACTAGCCTCGAAGTTGGCAATGCATGGGTATACCGTAGTGAAAGGAAAACTTCGAAAGTGTGTTGACGGGATTGAAATTGATTGCACCTGGGATGGATGCAGAGATGATCCTTCGAGAGATGCAGGGGACAGGAGCTCTTGGTGGCATTTGGGAAGGATTGGCTGGGAACAAAAGTTGCCAGACTTACAGGAGTGAATAGCTTGGGTCTTTTTGCATGGTCTTTCGTATCGAGGCGGTAGGTCTATCGCCGGAGTGCTATACCACAGTCTCCGTACGAGTAGTACGCTGGAGAATCCTCCTTAGGCATGTGCAGTCTGCTAAAGGCGGGCCGAAACACCCTCGGGGAAAAGAAGCCGGTCGGGCTGCGGGAGTAGTATCTTTTGAGACAACGGAAGAAATCAGTTTCTGGGTATGCAGCAGGGCTATCATAGCGACAATAGTCATCTTTTGCAGACTTTGAAGACGGAACACAGCTCGAGAGTGGAATGGTCGTGCATATAGGCGTGTAGGGCTGGGACGGGGTCGGAGATCTAGCGGGAAGAGGAATTGTCCGTCACTCAGTCTGCGCATGCATCGATCGCTCTGCCGGCGCCGGAGGCAAGCAGTTTCAGGACATGAAGCATGTCTATCTTAGCCGGCGGTCGTCATTATGAAGACGGCAGACTGCTTGAGAGCGGAATGATGGTTGCACAAGGTAAGGCTGAAGGGCTGAGACGGGTCGGAGATGTAGCGGTAAGAGGAACTGTCCGTCACTCATTGTGCTGCAGCTGCATGCATCGCGTATATCAGGTTCGGAACAGCCGCTTCGAGGTTGTTATCCGATCGTTTGACGCATGAGTAACCGACACGGCTCAGAGCGAAATGCAGGTCCTTATTAACAAGCTTATCGCGGGGAATATCATGTTTGAGGCATCATGCCCGTCTTGCAAGATCGCCATGTTTGGGGTGTCAAAGGTGAATGCCTCATAGTGGTTAGCTCAGCCGAAGATCGAAGAACAGCTCTCGCCTGGCTGCTTGTGATACTGTAATCCCCGTAGAGATCGTCAGCCTCAAGAAATCGTAGGCTATCTTTTTGTGGCGCGTACTATGTAGTATTGCGAAAGTACTCGTATGAATAGCACGGCAATATGTGATAAGCAAACCAGCCGCAGTCTTGTATGACATGCCACGAATGAAGCAGGATCAGGCTGACGAGATGATCTACGTTTCGACAAGGCAGGATCGATGAGCATGCATTATTGGGTCATCAAGAACGACCATCAGCGCGCCGTTGGTGCCAGTGATAGTCACTTGCTTACCGCGTGTGCACAACGGTTCATTTTGGCGTCCCCGTATGATATCGTCATGTTTAGTATGGTTCGTCTATGTGAGCAGTGATTTGTGATTCCAGACATTGCAGCTTCCAATCGCAGTTGATACTCTTTTGGTCATGGTTTGACGCAGCAAGTTGTTGATCGAAAACACTTACGAAGCTTTCGTCGGTGTCATGCCCAAGAGTGTTTGTAAAGCCCGAGTCTTGAGACCGGAGCCGACAGGTCCAGAGAACACCCGAGCATCCGGGGAAGGCGTTCGATACAGTGACCGTTGACCGACGCCGAGCTAGAGCTACGAGACGATGGCGCGATCAAATCGCTGTCGCGAACTGTCGGTCATGATGAGAATATGTCGATCGATGGGCACACTGCACAGGATGTTAGTTGTTCGACAACGAGATTTAGTTCTCAGGTAAGGCAGACTCTTGGTTTCTAAGAAGAAGCTTTGGAGTTTAGACGGCAGCCGGGGGGCTTGGCTGCCGGTAGTTTAGGGCCCGTGGTTGGCTGCTAGGGTTTCAAGCTTAACCAAGTCTAGTTTAACCGCAGTTCTCCAAATAGCAGCATCTCCCAGGATCCATCAGGGCCATGAAGCCAGTGCCACAAGGATTACTTCACAATTCTCTTTGCTATAGGTCTGCTATTCAAAGCCAATGTCATTCCACCCAATCGACGCCGACCCCATGGAAGGCCTCAGGTACCACACATACACCATCGACACCCACTTCCATCTCATTTCTCACGCACTTCACTGGCCACCCTAGCAACATCTGACGACCCATCTCACGAGATTTTGTTGCTAGCTTTAGTGTCAACGACGATCCCGGGGAATTCAGTATCTGACTGGCTTGTTTCCCTGGTCTCATGTATCATAGTGGCCGACCTGCCGTCATTCCATCGATCCACCTCTCTTCGCAAGCTTCGCACCCATCAGCAATTTGGTAGCGACATTTCCTTTGTTTGGTTGATTTTGCGACGCAACAACCCTCGCTACTGGTCCTGCAAAAGTTCCCAGAAGGTGATGGCGCATGGGAACCCCTCATGGGGCCTGCTTCCCCTTTGAGTTCCCGCACATTCGCTACGGTGGAAGGCTTGTCATGTCTGTCCGTACGAGGCACGTACGAGTCGATCCAATCACCAGCAAGCTGTACCTTAGATCGAACCGTCAGTCTGGTATTTTAAGGTAAGCGGACCCAAAAGCCTCATGTTTCTTTACACAGCCGCTCCATTCTGATTGGTGCGAAGGGGGCCTATACCTCCAACACTCCATAAGGTGTTTGTGCATACTTCTTACACCCACCCTTTAGGCTCACTAATTTCACCCTGGCTCCTGCATCTCATTCACTACCTAGTACGTGGGAACTGCCACTCTGCTTTAAGTGCCAGAGACGACAAGAATAACTCTGGTCGTGGTACACTTGGCCGCGCCCCGCCACGTGCCTTTTTCCGGTCTACCTTCATTCACCTGCCAGGAGCCTACTCAGCCCTGCCCAATAGGTTCCGGAAGACCTCTAGTCTTTTCCCTTCCACCACTACAGCGTCATTTCCTTCATCACACCAACTCTCCTCACCACCCATGCCCTACGTCTCCATTTGCTCAAACAAGCTTAATCTTTTCTCCCATGAGGTGAGGCTCAGTAGGGGGCGGAGACTTTCCAACCATTTCACCGACTCCACCGTGAAACGTTTGGCGCAGACCCTCTGGCCTCTTCGTATACTCTATATCTTCTATACCATACCCGCGATTCCATCATGGCCCCAAAGAAACGCTCCCTGACCCCAAGACACTCTGCCATCACCGAGCCAACTTCGCCGCTCCTTTCTCAACAGTTAACAAACACATTCCTTTCTGATCCTTCGACCCAGGATCCTCGTCACCGTGCAACGGACAGTCCCCGTGCCATTCCTTCAGCTCAGCAACATCTCGTCGCGGCAAGTCGATCGTTTAGAGTGCCAGACTCGCCGCACTCACCCGTCGACGCTCCAGATTCTCGTTGCGAAAGCACTTCCACCATGAGGACCTCGTCGATTTCGATGGAGGGAAATGCTTCTTGTACGCCCACTGGTCGCGTCAGTAAGGCGAAGAAGGGCAAGAGAATCCATGCTTGTGAATTCCCCGGTTGTGGAAAGGTAGGTTCATCAAAGCACCGCGGCTCCTACCGCTGGCCCACATGTCAAATCCTGCGTGAACGCCTAGCTAACGTCGAGACAGGTCTTCACCAGAGCAGAACATAGAAGGTCAGTCCGAGATTGGATCATCCATGGCATGGTTCCTAACGATATACAGGCGGCATGAACTCAACCACAATCCCGAAGCACTGTTTCCTTGCACGCGGCCGGGGTGTCGAAAAGCATTCCACCGCATTGATTTACTTCAGCGGCATCAGGAGAGACAGTACGTCCTCACGATCTTTGTTGGAGGAAGAGTCTTACCATCATCGTAGTGACCTCGAGAGCGCGGACGTCCCTTCTGGACATATGAACCAGACTTCTCACATGTCAGTCACGTCAGAACCTCCTTCAGTCATGCCAGCCGCAGTCATGAGTAGCCCACAGACTGACAGAGGCGCTCCAAGATCCTCCGCCGGTGCACTATCCATCGGCTCTCTTGTCCATCCTCAAACAGACTACCGGTACAACATGGGAACGTCAGCATTCAACGGCTTTTCACGCCAACCTATGCATTTTGTCCCTGGCTTCACTTCTGACGATTCCATGTTCTATACCCCCGAGAGCAGCCAATCTCCTGTTTCAGAGTACTATGGCCGTTACGCCCATCGTCAAAGCATTTCTTCCTCTTCTTCTGTTGCTGCATTTGAACCCAGCGGAGCGTCTCCTTTGATCGGTGGAAACATACCTGGCCATTGGGCGCCTTCTTCGGCTCCTCCAAGCATCCTCCCATCGAACATGCTCGATGAAGGTTCTTATCTTCCTGTATGCCCCCCTGTTTCTTGGATTGGTGCGTATACTGAAGCTGATCAGTCTCCTGCAGACTCTTCCGTACCAATACCCCTCTCCGACCTGGATGGATACGAGTGGTCTGTCATACGAAGAGAACTATCAAATACCTCTGGAATATTGTCAGGGGATGCCGCAACAGGCGTATCAGACACTATAAGATGGGATTGTCTCGACCACTACTGGCAATACTTCCATCCTCACTTCCCGATCGTTCACCGCCCGAGCTTTCTACCCACGAAGCCGAGCCCACTGCTTGCAAGTGCGATGGCAGCCATCGGATCGCAATATGACAGTCGTCCGGATGCAAAGCAATACTCTTTGACACTCTTGGAGGTTGCGACGAAACTTCTGCGACGACGAGATAGCATCACCAGCCGATCCAGATTGGCTGATCTGCAGACTGTTTTTCTGCTCGAAATCCTAGCCAAGTTCTGTTCCAGACGAGCCGAAGTCGAAATGTCGGCACGATTTCGTTCACTGTTTGCCAGTCTAGACCAGGCGCGTCGAACGTTGGCAACCGATCCTTTGGCGGTATTCCGAACTCTGCGCAAAGAGAGGACACCAGAAGATGTTGCAAGAGCACACAAGTTCTGGCTTGATCATGAAACGCGGAGACGCATCCTACAAGCATCTCATGTGCTGGATCACCAGCAAGTGACTTTTTTTGCACAGGCGCCCACCATTGTCCAGCACGAGCGGCCAAGGCGAGGTGGTGCTCCCAGTCTACGATGTTCCATTCCCCTGCCTTGTTCAGAAGAGCTTTGGGAAACAAGTCCAGTAGAGGCATGGTCTGAAAAGGCGTCGAACACGCAGGCGCCAAAATTACGAAGTCCTCAGCAGCAGCAGACACCCAAAACACCCACGGACTACTTTCAGGCCCAGGTCAGCTTGGTTTCCAATCCGGATCTGCCAATTGATCAGGTACTGCCACAAGAACTTCAGGCGGGAAAGACTGGTGCGTGTCTGAGCTTCAACTGCCATGTCATGGAAATGGCTCGAAACACACCGGTCAGGCAATTGCTCGTTGTGAGTGGCGAGTCTTGGGTCCTGGGAAAGAAGCTCGAAAATGAAGCCGAATTCCAGGAGGCGAAACGCACCCTGAGGGCCTGGGTGGATGCGAACCACGAAAGCAGGACCGCAGTCTGGCACGCTACGCAAGTGCTTCGGAGTCGAATCAATTCCACCTTGTCGGACTATACGAACACTGAACTGTCCATTTCTTTTCACGACACGCATATGCTCCATGAGCCCTGGGCATTGTACCTCGCCGCCCTTGTTTGTTGGGCTTACGGCTTTTCTGCGTCGACGATGGCTGAGAACAGCGGACAAGGCTCCGGTGCCGCCTCGGTCATCAGCGAGCCTCAATCAATCCTATCGCGAGCTTCGAGCATGTCTTCGGCGCATCCGGCATTGCTTGATGCTCATGAGGCGGCGTATTCGACGCGGGAATATTTGGCCGCCACAAATGTTGGAACAGCGGAGAATATATCACGCATTGATTTCCAGGTGTTGGGACGCACACATGGCCTTCTCGAGGTCATCCGCCTGTACAAAATTGGGGCCTTGCTCGGCGGGCTCATGAACGAGGCGGAGCGAGTCTTGTATCGGCTTGTGGAAGGAAGAAGCCGGTTGTCGCATTTTTGAGCGCTTTCCTTGTTCTATCTGTGCAAGAATATAATTGGAAGTGGGGATCGGAGGACATTGTCACGACTATGGTTAACGAAGATATGTTACGAACGACACGATTTGTTTTTTGGGCTGGTTGATACCACGGGGTGCTTTTTGGCGCGAAACGGAACAGACTTCATCTTTTTGGCGTTCGGATGGACGATCGGAAAATGGATTGCAATTGCTTTCAGAACGGACACGAGAAATCAAGGAACAACTCGGGGTTTCCAGCATGGCGTTATGACGAGACTAGATTGTGAAAAGACCATTGACTTTCAGTCCACTACACTCAGCTGTACATTTTCTTGCCGTTGCTTCAAAATGTTCACCGACTCTCATCTTCCACCTCTCCACCGCTAAAATCATGGCGCGGCATGGCCCGTCTGCAAGGGCCAGGTTCGAACTCAATTGGACTCGGCAGTTGAGCGAATCGCACTGTGAAAGCCCATTACTAAATTTGGTTTGGGGTCTAAAGGGGCAGCCGCTGGTCATAGGAGAACTGAGCCTCGTCTCAGCCACGAACGTTTGTGTTTCCCACCACACACTGATATGGGAGTTTCGAGAATGTCAGGCGGTGCTTACGTCTGTAGATGTGTATGCATGTATGTCTTGGATATACTGCTATATATGAGTGCAGCAAGAGGGAGTATCTGGTCATAGGGCTTGGGGTCGTATCTTCGACAACTTCTACTGGCTGTGGAGCCGCTGGGACGCTCACTGGTGCAAGGCCATTGTGCGAATGGCCACATGGTCTTCTAGCGAGTCGCGACAGAAGACGACAAGATGAGGTCACTAATGGAGATACATTGGAGAGAGAGGAAAGGATGGGCATTGTACGAGAAATCGATCTAGTACTCGTACGCAACTACCGACCTATCGAGGTTGACGCGATCAAGTGGAAGCCGCCTCGAAAGTACTGTTTTGAGTGCTCGTTCATGCAAGTGCGGAAGAACTGCGTCCTGGCTTTTTCTAAGGGTCAAGCTTTGATTGAATGAGCACGGGAAATGAAACACAAATACTTATGGTAATCAAAGATATGCATACCGAAGAAAAACGAGCCGTCCAGTCCGCACACTGGAGTCTTGAGTTGCATGTCACTTTCCCCAACATGAAACGCTAAAGGACTCATGGCAGAAAAGGCAGACTGGACTCCGTCGTGTACGAACGAGCCTACAACTTGCGATCCTTCCTACGATGGTTCAGGTCCGGTGGAAAACAAAATGGGGCAGACAGGACGCCTGAAACTGCCGCCCAGCACAGCAAGGGGTTTGGGCGCGGGTTGCGACTCCGGCACCAAAGCTTTTGCAGTTGTTGTAAGTACCTTCCTGTTAAAACTACCTGTGGAGAGCTGCCTGGGAGGCCTAACGATCCAGCATTTGGGGTAGGGAGTTACGAGTAAGATGTTAGGTAATTTGCCTAGAGGGCTTCCTTCGATCTCGCATCTAAAGTATTCTCCTCTTTCAGGCAAGGCAACGCACGCCACGCCTCTTTCCCGTTGCTCGTCACAGACCTTCTGTTTCTTCCAGGTCTCGATCTATTGTATTTTGCTGTTGCCTGCGCACCGAGCGATCACGCTCTGACCTTTGGAGAAGCTACGCCTGAGTATGCCGCTTGCAGTCACTGCAAAAGCGGAAGGTGGTATGACGGCTATTGCCGATACATTTTACTCGTACCAGTCTTGTTGGGCTGGTCTTTGAGTTGTGCCTCAAGCTCGTTCATGCGCCGTTGATCAAGCCATGGCGGGACCTGTCAAGCCTCAACGAGCCGTTGCTATGATGTTATGCCGTCTTCTCATTTACTACGGTGCGCAGGCCTGGATCATCCTTTACTCCATATTGTGACCCGTCTGGTCAGCTACGGCAAGAAGCTTGTCTTTTTGGCATCGATCAAGGTCAAGGTCCTGGGTCGTCCTTCCTTTTCCAGCTACAGGCATCAACGGTCGTTTTGCTTTTACGGCACGTTTTCACCCGATACACAAGGCGGTATTGTCCCAGACTCCCAGAGTCTTTGATGCAAGATCAATCTTCCCGGGAATGTCGTTGACTGGTGTACCTTGCCTCATGTAACCTCGATAAACGGGCCTGTCCACCAGAAGCCACTTGAATACCCTGGGAGAAATGATGGGTGGCTGTATTGCAGCTGTGATGACTGGCACGCCTAAGTCACCCTCTCAGGGATTTGGAATGTTTCTTTGGACAGAATCATCCCAGACCCACGTTTCACCTGGAGCCTTTGTGCGAGCCTCGCCGGAGTGCAGTACTCATCATTTGCTGGAAGTCCATGAGGCCCAACCTATGACCAAAGGCATGAGCCTCTTCATTTGCCACGGCGGCCTTAATGGAAACTCCCTGATCGTCTTCTGACTTTTCCTTGCCTTTTCTTATTCTCAGGGTGTGTCATTTAGTGAGTGAAGATAGAGTCCTCCGCGTCGCGTGCTCAACATTGCCTGCGACCTGCGTCTTTGGCAGCACACGACTGCACTTGAACCATCTTTATACTCGTCCGAGAGTCCAACCAGCGAGCAAGTGAGGGAGTGTCTCACCTCAGGCCGATACAATGGCGTCGTCGATCTCAGTAGCAGTCCTCTCGATCGTCTTCCTGTTGGCTCCTCGAGTGGCCTGGGCCACATGTTACTGGCAAAACAGCACACTTGCTCCTGATTCTCAATACTCGATTGCCCAGGACGACACAGCATGTTTCCCAGATCAAGACAACTCTCCTTGTTGCGGGACAGGATGGACTTGCATGTCAGATGGGGTGTGCTATATCGAGCAGGAAGGCGAATCATTCTACTACCGCGGCACATGCACAGATCGCACGTGGGATAGTCAGCAGTGTCCAGGCTGGTGTTTTGCTGAGAGTGAGTGGAAACATCCCACAGCCTCAACCGGCAATTGCGGGTTATCAGAAGCTGACTTGACCTCAACGGCAGACTCGAACACATCTATACCTCTGGACAAGTGTGACACTACTGAAGGTATGCCTCCATATGAAGATGTTGGCTGGATGGACCAGAATGCTTATTCCCTCTCAGATTGGTACTGTTGTCCTGGGGATGAAACTTGTAACTGCGACACCGGCAAGGACGCAATCAAGCTGGGAGCGAGTCAACCGATCACAATCACCGTTATCGGCAGCACAAGCTGGCCTGGATTCACCAGCACGACGAGTCTTTTCACAGCCGAACCCCTTGTTACAAATGGCACCAGCACAAGCACTGACAGCCAAGCTGCCGCAACCACATCGTCAAGTGGTACGAATTCGGTCTCGACCACAACGCCCGGATCGTCCAGTCAGTCAGCAATTTCTGCGGCAGCATCTGCCAGCTCGAGCAGTCCAGCCGTATCCAGCAGTCCAAGCTCAGGATCAGGTAACACCGCTCTTGCTGCAGGATTAGGTGCTGGCCTCGGTGCAGCGGCAGTTCTGGTTGGCGTGCTCGCCTTCTTTCTGATCCGCAGCCGACGTCGAAAGAACAAAACAAAGGCCGCAGGAGGGGTTGACTATGGTGGACTGCCCAAGGGCAACAGCAATAGCCCATCGCAAAAGCCGCTCTACGCTGCCGAAATGCATACTCCGCAATCAGCGCCGTCGTATCGGGATAATCCGTACCCTGGGGCCGAACAACAGCTTAAGCCCGAACTGGCTGGGGCAGGAGAGTATAACAGGACGGAGATGCCAGCAGAGAGTGAAGGACACACCGTGTTCAAGAAGGACAATCGAGCCGAACTTGCTGGTTCATGAGTTTTTGGAGCGATGTAGCGAATGATTCTGGTACAGCGTTGCATATGGGATCAAAAATTGAACTATCAGGCTATAATGCATCGCTAGGTAGGCTTGATGTCTCGCACGAAATGACCCGCATACATGAATACATATTCGTGACTCAGAGTTGGTACGCGTCTTGCCACTAGCCTGTTTCGAATGGTTCTTGTGATCTTCTCAAAGGTAGATGGGTTAGTCGGGCAAGGTAAGTGAACATGCATATCCCTTCAACAACTGGTACGCCAGAACGCCCTTACAGCTCGGTTCAGATCATGTCAAATCACATTCCTCCATAGTACTCTCATGGCGATACCGCATGCTTAGACACCGGACTGCTTGAAGTCGTGTCGGACCCAGAATTCGACAGATCAATTGCTGTCCTGTGTCGGGCGTTCTCCCGTTTCGCCAGTACAGCCTGCCATGCCTCGTTGTCCTCGAGCGTGTACCTGTTTAAATCCGCCATAGCAGGGCCGATGGTCGCGGCGTTCGCCGTGTGTAGAGCCGTGCTCACATGCGGCGCTACGCTGGCATCGTCTTCGAGGTGATTCTCAGGGATGGGGCTGTCGACCAGACTGTGTCTGGCCTCGCGCTTGGCGCTGCGAAAGTTAGAGTTGACTGTATACTCGTTGTGGTGCTTTGCGAAAACGGGAACGTGTTTGTCAAGGAATTGGGTCGTAGATGCTAGAGGGTGTGGTGTCGCGATGTGCATGTGTGGTATATGGGGTGAGTGGGCGTTCCAGGTTGCTGTGTGCGGGCATTGAGGATTTGCATGGAACGAGGAAGGTGGCATGTCGATGTGCATGTCTGAGCTTTTGCTGGAGGAGTGTGAGCTTGGGGTTGAGAGGGAGTCGGTAGACATTTTGGACTTGTTGTTTCGTGTATGGCGTACTGTTGATCGATTGATATACTTGTAGAGCTCTCCACCGGCTGTCGGTTAGTCAATGTCAATATCGAGACTGGATGGAAGCAATGTTCGTCGAGATCTTGGGACCCTGGAAGGGATTGCTTGTCAAATCGTGCTGCGCAAGTGTGTGCGCTGGGGTGTGGGATTTGCGGACACAGCGGACAATGGCGTCACATGCGTGTGGTGGTGATCAAGTGCGGCTTTGGTAATCCGAGCTTATCGTATGTGGTCGCCGACGAGAGAACTGAGACTGGGCGTGTCTTATCTTATAGCAAACAAATCTCAGGTAGAATGGGTGTGGATGACTGTTCAGCGTTGCGTCTTTTTGGCAAGATGATGTCGACCACAGCAGCACCAAGACTCGAGATGTGATCAATCTTAGCCAGACTTACCAAATCATCAAGCATCCAAGGGACCAAGAGGCTAGTTATGCATTTACTCATCTGGCGGATAAACTCCCAAGGCCACTCTTTGAGGAGGTAACCCCGCCCTTAGTCAAGTCGTAGTGATGATAACGGCCGTCTTGCGAAGTTTGCGAGCACCAGGCGTGGAAGTATAACGAAGCGAGGTGTCTGAGAACCAATCGAGGCCGTGGGGACTTGCTGACACATCCTGCGCGGATTCAGATGGTGCATTTTGGACCCTGAACATCAAGCCGCTGGTGCATTAGTCTTTGTCGTTCCCCAACTCTCCTCAAAGAGTGGGATAGATCTTGGAGCTTTTGCCGGCTGGCAAGGGCGGATCCCAGACGAAGCAGCTGCAACCACTGGGCCAAGATTTTGTGACATGTGTTTGTTCATTACGGTCGAACCTCGCTGCTCAGGGTCCAACCAGCAAGGACGCATATTCTCGGACTTCGCCTCTTGGCCATGTAATTCCTACGTCTTCGAACCGTGTCAGAAGAACACCGCACCGCTGCAAGTCCTTGCTCATGTCTTGGCCATGTTCGCAATGTAGAACGCCCATAGCTTTGATCGCGGCAGTCAGTGGAAAGTGTGCCGCCATCTTTGCTACAAGTCCTTGCTCACTATCAAGCATCCAGTCCATCGAGCGGCAGACGAAACGACAAGTGGAGAGCAGTTCTGTGAGAGCGCCATCGAATTCGTGTTTGAAAAGAGTCTTGGCAATATAGCCCTTTAATGTCCGACATAGGTGAGCAATGGCCTGTGTGCAATATATGCGAAAGGCCGAGTACCACAAAAGCGTCAGCGCCACTGCGAAGGAAGGAAATTGTACTGTACGGTCGAACAAACTTTTGCTGTCGCCGGGCTTGTACACAATGATTTGGGCCTCGTGGTTTCGCCTCATGAGATGTTGAAACCAGCCGTGTAAAGCTCGCCGAACTCTTTGCAACCTGTCGAGCAATTCCAGAATCCTCTCCGCACTTGGCGCAGAGCTGTCGTATATCTCATGGAGTAAACCTGGAATCTGACATCCAATATCACCCAGACTATGGAATGAACCTGTGGCCTCTCTGCATTGTTCCTTGCCAGGAAAAGATACCCATTCGTCGGCCGCAAAGAATGGACGTCTGCGCTGTAAGCAAGCATTTGATAGTTGAACGACCCTAAACTCCAGGAACACAGTGCGGAATCTTCGATCTTCGAGACACTCGGGCCCAGCTACCTCGAAGATCGCTTCTAGCCCATTCGTATGTTTGCAGAAATTGGCAAAGGACTTGTTGACGGATAATTCGACGAACGCGAGCCAAAGGCATGTCTGGAGGTCGTCCACATCTGCTCCTTTCCTGGGATCGAACGCTAGGAGTTGCAATCGTTGGTGTGTTTCGAGCAGCAGTTTTTGATAATTGTGGAGACCTGTCGAGATGAGGCCTTTCTCATTGTGTATGGTTCCTATGATCAGGTACGAGTTTGTGAGTATGGCTTTACCAACAGAACTCTTAGGATGGACAGAAGCGTCATGGTAGGATTGTATGATCCAGGCTTCGCACAGCTGCTCATGTCCGGCGGCGCCGAGTCCTGAAGAAACAGCTTGGAGCGTAGACACGGGCAAGTAGGATTGGAGAAACTTTTGGAGGAAGGTGGCATAGTATTGGCCAGAGTTGAGTTGTGCCAAAATCGTGCTGTCGGTTGCAGGAAGCTCTGTTCGCCCACTTCCCTTGATGGATCCTTCAACGAGGTCAGAAGAAGCCTGCGGGCATTTTGAGACAGCATGATCATGCTGCTGCTGCTGATCGATTCTGAGCTGCTTCCGCCGTTGTCTGAATCGGCACACATTCTCACGTACTTTGGCCCGTCGCCTTGCTTTGCGCAACCCTTCCTCAGTCCATATCTTCAGGTCTTCGGCTGCCATCTTAGCTATTGTTCCCCAAACATGTCATGATGTTGTGAGTGTCCCCGTTGTCTGCCGCAATGTCGATTGTTGCACTTGAGGTAAAGACAACGTTGACGGACTTGAGTGAAGCATCTGCCCAACACTGACAATGGCTCCTACTCAGGGCATACCGCCTTATATCCTCCAGAGTGCCAACGAAATAGGTGACTGGATCTAACCATGCTAGGTGGCAGGTTCATGTTCATGGCAGGAGAAATTATCGAGGCTGCGTCAAGTAAGCTGAAAGTTCGAGATCCAGTTGTTTCAACGCCTGCATGGAGGTTTGTCAGCATAAGATGCAACTTGGGACGGCCGAGCCATAAGTGTCCAGAACCAGCTCTTGTGTGGTACCATGCGAGTGGAAGGAACACAAATACTCCGCAAAATCGATGCGAGGGCCGGCACGGTTGGAGATGCCCCCTCTTATTAGCTTAAACGTCTGCATCTTTGCTGGATACTTCACCCGGAGAAGACCAAGAGACCAGGCGACTTCGAGGCCAAAGTCGCAAGTGTCAGCGTGACATTGATACGTTGGCATAGGACGTAGGCGAGGCGGAGATGCTGCCAGGTATCACCAATCATAAATTCGACATATTTTCCGTGTGTCATGGCAACGAGAAAACTCGAAGCTGATGGTGTAATCATATAAGCTCGTGATATCTGCTTTCTTCGTCATAACGAAGCACTGCGCCTGCCGTGATAGCGAAGCCATCGAAGCTGTTCAACCGCCCCTGCCAGAACAAGGCAGGTACGTAGGCAGACAAGGACACGAGTAATGGCCCAATCATGCCAATTGCAACGTCCCGAACACCTTACATCGAGTTCTGCGCCCATACACGGACGCGGTCATAACTTCATGATATCCTGTGACGGTGGTACAAGCCAAATCAAGCCTCAGTCTCGACGACTCTATAGCCTTCTGCCACCCTCTTCGCAATGTCCTCATTCTTATGCTGCAGCAAGGATAGCGCGTACGCAGTATCATCCCATTGCCGCTTGTTAACGCACCGACCCAAGCGAGCGGCGAGCTTTTCGGCCAGATTCTTTGCGTGTTTGTCCTGTTTGACACCGATCATTAATTTTATGAAGAGAGGCACGGCAGCAGTATAACATACCTTTTCGATGAATCCGCACAAGAACTTCAATATCCTCTTGACAGCCTCTTCTTCCATGACGCCACCGTCAAATGGACCATCCTGCGTAAGCACGCTGAACATATCGACAAATTGGTTGTACACTGCATTGTCCTTGGTGGCCAACTCAGAAAAGAACATGCGCGCCAGATCGGCAATCTTCTTGTCGCCATCTTCAAGACACTTGGCCATCTCGCCGAGTTGTCCTTTGACTTTGACCTGTCCAGCCAAGATAAGGAAGGTCAGAGTCATCAAACACGTCCGCTTGACGCTTTCGTCTCCATCATTCAGCCGTCGGTACAGGAAATCTGTATTCTCGTCGATGAGATGATTGAAGCAAACGGCCATATCGCCGAGTGCAATCACAGCATTCGACCGGACAATCGGGTCGGTTGACCGTTCGAGAATCGTGATTAGAAGCGGTAAATTCTTCTCGCAGTACTCACTGCTGACGCACATAAGCTTTGCGAGGCAGAGCGTTGCTTGAGCCTGGAGATTGCGGTCTTTGTACGCTGTGTTGTTGGCACAGATCTCTGTGACCAAGGGGCCAAAGTTTGCGAGTAAGGAATTTGGCCCGTAGAGGAGCTCTCGTTCCCGAATGTGTGCAATGGCTTCGGTGAAGTCGTCTTCCGTGGTTCCACCAATGAGGTCGAGTTCGTCTTTCTCTTCCTCTTTCTGCTTCTCAGCCAGCACTTCCTCGGCTGCAGTCTTCTTTCTTCGCGCAGGTGTGGGGCCTGAATTATCCGGCGAAGGGTCAACGGTGGGCTTATTCTTCTCTTGGTCTTGTTTCCGTCTTTTGAAGTCGAGCTCGCACAGTTCTAGATGGACAATTTGCTTGACTGCGATGTGGCCAACCGAGAACAACAGTTGCGACAGAGCCATCGACGGCTTTTCAGGTTTCTCTTCTGACGATTCCGGTTGCTGTTCTTCGTCAACTTCAGGGTTCGGCGCAGGTTCTTCGCCATCAACGTCCATTGCATCCGCGTCTCGTTCCTGCTCTGGTGTTGGCGATCTCGAAAGTGACGACAGGTTCTTTGTTTGCTGGAAGACGAGTCTGGTCTTCTGTCTCAAAACCTCAGAAGACAAGACATCTGGATGGTCCGAGAGCACATAGATTGCACTGATGGCCTGTTCTGCCATCCCATACCAGTCTTTGCTTGCTGATGTTGTCAAAAGGATCGAGGCAAGCATTCTCAAAACTTCGTGATTGTTGGGCATCTTCGACAGTCCCACTGCGGCTGCTGTTTTGTCCTGTGCCTTCTTCGCGACCGGGATCATGCGGCGAAGAGCAACACAGGTAAATTTGGCCAGCACAAGATCCTGCCTTCCAAGTTGTCCAAGACCTATACGGAGCATTGTGTCGATTTCCTTGATGACGACTTGTGGATTGGCCACTGCTATCATGCCCAACACGATGATGGCGCCCCTTCTTTGTGCCTTGGAGATCTCCTTATTGACGCCGTAGACTTGCCACAGCTTTGACACCACCAACTCGGAGATATGACCGGATTTGAACATCGTCGCCAGGAGCTGTTCAAGCGAGGTCAGTTCTGCTGGTGTGGCGCCAAACGTCAAGCTGATCATGTTTCGTGCGACAAAGTTTGCAGCATCGTTGGCGGTGAACATCTCTGGTGCGTCGAAGAAAAGGCCTCTGTAGTTGTCAATGAGGTGGGTCTGAACTCCCTTTCCTTCATCACTGTTTCCTTTTGTCCAGATCAAGCGCAGCATGCGTCGGATGCCTTTGCGAGCCGTTTCGACCTTGAACGCGTCAATGGTGACGAAGTAATCCATCACATCGATTACTTCAGTCTTGTTGGGCGACGACAGGAGCTGAACAGCAATTTCCGAGGCTTCATGGATCACATCAATAAACCTCAATGCTTCGATGTAGTATTTGCGGGTCAGTTGAAGTTTCCCCAGAGCTTCCGATGTTGCTGCCTCTTCTTGAGCCTTCTTGACAGCCGCGATCTTCTCTTCCTCGGTCATCTCCTGAGGCTCGTCAATATTCTGAGATTCAGGCGCTTGTGTAGCGTCTTCCAGTAACTCTGCATCAACTTGTTCTTCTCCATCAGCTGTCTGTGCCACTGCGGCTTCATCAGGCGGAGGCTGCAAGGCCTCGAGTTGAGCCTCGACAGCCTCCAGTCTTTCCACCCACTCTTTGCGTGAAAGCTGTCCTCCATGCATCAGACTGAAAGGATGCGATGCAACCAGTTTCCTCAGCAACTTGATAGCATTGCGGCGCACGTTACTGCTCTTATCTTGAAGACTTTGCATTGCCAGCTCAGAAGCATGTTGCCGCCTCTTAGGAAACTTCTGCTCCAAGTCACATATTTTGGTGAAGACCTGAATCGCCTTAACTCTGCAGAATGGGGCTGTGTCGAGAAATCGTTGCTCCAAAGTATCAAAGAAAGCGTTGATTTGGATCTTGGTGGTTTCGTTCTTTTCCTCCTGTTTGCTCAAGTCTGACAATAGGTTTCCACAAACTTCGATGACTGCACATCTTAATGTGTAGGACTCGCTGTCAAGGAACTTGGCTAGAAGGCCCATCTCTTTGATCACAATGCGAGGCTCCAGTTCAGAGAGTTTGATGATGAAGGACGACACAGATTTCGGACCTTTTGTGTCGTTTTGGCTGAATTCCTTCGCGGCCAACTCTCTCAATATTTCGCCAGAGAGCTGGTGATAGTCGTATTGTTCCGATAGAATGTGCAGAAACTCGGCCATCGGTTCTGAAAGATGCTCGAAATATGTGAGATTTTGGACGATCGATGTCTGCGCTCCAATGGCATGTCCATGATGCTTCACAGCGACACAGAGGACCTTAAAACAGAACATCCGTATGGCTGTGATCTTGACTCTTGCTTCACTTTCCATAATGAGGTATATGGACCTGGTGAACAGATTGATGAATGTGTCTCTATCAGACGTCGTCTGGAATATCCGGTTCAACTTGAGCTTCATGACCCGGCACATGACATCCATTGCGTTCTGTATCTGACTGGCAGAGTCCCATATGTCATCTTTGGCTGCAGATTTTGCTTTTGCACCTTTACCTCCTCTTCTTGCCGGTGCTGTTGTAGACTTCTCGAGGGCTTTCGCTTCGACGCTGGATATGGACCATTGCAGGAGGAAGGCGTACATTTCCAGCAATCGCTTGTGTTGAGGAAGGGTTTCCTGTTCATCATTCTCGATATCATGGTTTGCAACATCGGCTGTGTTCGACAGACCGGATACTACCAGATGTAATATCTTACTGAGTGACTCGGTGGAGAGGCCTTGGGTTTGCCTAAATAAACGGGATAGTTCAGCACAAGTATCCTGGGGGTGCTCCGAAGCAGAGGAAGAAGAACAGGGTGCGCACTTCAGTAGAAACTGTATCGTATCAAAAGATGTACTCCTTGCCAATGCCTCTGGGTTCTCGGCGATTGAGTCAATTACGGGGTCCAACGCATTGTCGACAAGGGATGTCGTGAGACTATCCGGGTCATTTTCGCAGTCCAAAAGTTCGGGGCTGGCTTCTGCAGTAGGTATCGTGGCTGCATCGCTGAGATACAGCTTCAAGGCCTCATTGATGTCGAAATCGACCTGGTCATCCATTACTGCGGCGCTGTGTTGGTGGAGTGCGGTGTCGACTCGTGAAGGACCTGTTTGTTGACAGTCGGCAGAAAAATGGTCACAAAAGCGGTCTCAGTGAAATGATAGAAGAAAACTCGCCCAACAACAAAACCACCATCATACAGGAGCAAGAATGGTTTTCCGACAACAACTTGATTGAGAGAATCTTCGACCTTGCCTGCGACCTTGAATCGCAATTGCGCACGCGTGGTAATTGGCTCGAATTGGAGTTGATTGTTGACACTTCCCGTTTAAGCGTCTTGGGGTCCACCCGCCAAACACTCTCAAGATGAAATTAAGAAAGACTGCCAGAGGCGTTCTCAAGCGTCTGCGACCAAAACAGACCATTATAGACCCAGCAAATGCACCAAAGGCCTCCGAGACACGTTATAATGTTGTTCTGAGTTCTCCAGACGCGCAGGAGTCAGAGGAAGAAACCACGCGTCTGCCGGGACAGCTGCAGCGGGCCGCCGCAGGTACATCTGCAAGCATTCTGGGCAAGAGGGGCAGACTCTCGAACAACATGGGACACCCTAACATCTCCATACACGAGGACCAAGACGATCTTCTCCACGAGACACGTCGCCCACAGAATGTCAAGGTCAATGAGATGGAACACATTCTATCACAAGACGAGGAGTCTGTCGAAGGCTCGTATTCTGAGGACTCGGAAGAAAGTGACGACGAGGTAGATGAGAGCGTCATAGAAGACATGCGCAAGCTGGAAGAAAGCTTCAAGGGCATCTCTGCGAAGTATCGACTGATCAATCGCATTGGCGAAGGTGAGCCGGATCTCTGTTCTCGTCCTTGCAGCATGCTCACTCTCTGTAGGTACCTTCTCCACCGTATACAAAGCCGAACAACTCCAACAAGACGAAGACCCGGATCAAGAGAATGATGAGCCCGAAGACGAGTCTGATACTCAGGGCCCACCTTCGAAGAGGCGGAAGACGAATACTGCTGCTGGTACACATACAAGGTTGCGACGAAGACCACAGATTGTGGCTCTGAAGAAGATCTATGTCACTTCGTCACCGCACCGCATCCTGAACGAGTTGGAGCTTCTGCATGAACTCCGAGAGTCCCCATACATATGTCCCCTGTTAACAGCGTTCCGACACCTCGATCAAGTCGTTGCCGTACTGCCATACTTTCGACACCTGGATTTCCGCCTGTACTACCGAGACTTCCTGGTCAACGACATGAGACACTACTTCAGGAGTTTGTTTAATGCTCTCTGGCACGTCCACAAGGCAGGTATCCTCCACCGAGACATTAAACCAACCAATTTCCTCTATGACCACTCCAAGCGACAAGGCGTCCTCGTCGATTTCGGTCTCGCTGAACGGCAAGGCACCGACTGGCAGCCATGTCTATGTTGCGAGGCGAGAGACAAGCGAAAGGACAAATTCCTCAATTCTTTCGCTGTACAGATCCTCCAAACCCAACCCGATCTCATGTCGACTGGCTATCCCAAATCCGACAGCCGGCCGTCTCGACGCGCAAACAGAGCTGGCACCCGTGGCTTTCGAGCCCCAGAAGTGTTGCTCAAATGCACTTCTCAAACAACCAAGATCGACATCTGGTCGGCAGGTGTAATTCTGCTGACGCTCCTGGCACGGAGATTTCCATTCTTTAACAGCGCGGACGACGTCGACGCCATGATCGAGATGGCCTCGATCTTTGGCAGAAAGAAGATGCAGGCTGTCGCCGCCATGCATGGCCAACTGTTTGAAACGAACATCGAAACGATAGGTGAGCGCGGCTTCACCTTGGAGAAAATTATACTGTGGGCAAGTTGCCGAGAGAAAGAGCATGATGCTCTCCGTGCAGGCGAAGCCCAAGCAGTCTCATTCCTCTCGGGTCTGCTCGAGCTCGATGCAGGCAAGCGATGGAACGCAAAGGAAGCCTTGCAGCACGCCTTCTTCACCGCGCCTATTGAGGACGAGGACGAGCGTGCTGAACGAGAGGCACAAGAAGCGGCCGAACAAGCTGAGAGAATGAGGCGTTGATCACAGTTCTCGTCACCTTTGAGTGATCAAGAGTTTGGCGCCATGAACATATTATCCACACCAGACTTCTGAGATGTGGAAAGGCTGCATAAGGTATCCTACACTTGCGCAGATGGAGTTATGTACTTCAATGAAGGGTTGGCCACTTGTATTACTAGCAGCTATATACCCCTCGAGGCATCGCGTGGACTGGCATGGCATTGCATTGCACGGCGCGGTTTGCCTCAGATGGCGGGCTTGTTCTGAGACATGAGATCGAGATTTCTGGGCACTTAGCATACAGCAATCTAATATCATTGACAGGGTGTTTCAAGTCCATGTATGGTAAGTACCTGGCCACTCTGGCACCCACTCCGGTTCGAAAGGTACACAGGTGCTCGCGTCCCGGGACTGTAGTGTGATTCCAGTCAAGTGGTGATTGAAAATCTCACCAGATCGGTTCGTTGAACGCTTCGTCTCTTGACCGCCTCCTCGGCACCTGTTTGGCCCTTTGCGCCGTGAAGAAGTTCCCGAGTCTTACCTTTGATCCTCGTTTAGTTGATAGGCTTCGATGGACACAACGGTGGTACGCTGTCAAGCCAAGACGTTATAACTTATCGTTGATGTCATCGGCGACCTTAAAAAATCTCCCGGAGATGGACGCATTTTAGCCGATGAGGCTCTCGAGGTTCTCAATTTTAGTCACCACTCAAATATATTGGCGCACGCTGGTATGCGTGCCGGCTCTAAATGACCTCGATTCAAGAGTATCATGAAAATAAGATGTGCTAGCATTAGAGCTTCAAACAACCTTTTTATCGGGCTCCAAGCGTCGACATACTCACATCCACGAAACCCAGTGACTTCACGTTGCGTCGAGTATACTCCAGCTTGCAATAACTACTTGCATTTCAGAGCATTTGACAGCTCTAGTCGTCGAATTCATTTTCCAGACTTGTTGTCTGTACCGGCACAGAAGCCATCGTGGAGAACGATGTCAACGATACCATCCCGAGAGACGAAGCGAGAACCCAAACGCTTCGCGCCGCTCGATCCTGCCGAGCAGAACGGACAGCATCTGCCGAAGCTGAAGGGCATCATTTTCGATGTAGACGGCACACTATGGTGAGTGTTTTCAGCAACGAAGCAAACAGGACATTATCTAACCTTGTGATCAGTCTCCCTCAGAACTACATGTTCAAAGAAATGCGCTCTGCATTGGGCATACCAAAATCAGTCGACATCATCGATCACATACGGTCTCTCTCTAACGAGCCTGACGTCGGTATCATCAATGGCCATCAGCCACCAGAACCGCATTCGTCTACAAACACCAACCAACCACCATTGGAGAACATGATGTCTCACAGTGCCGACAGTCCTGATCCTCCACTTGATTCTCCTCAAGCACGCGCGGTAAAGAAAATCAAAGATATCGAAAGACAGGCCATGACTTCCCAACGACCTCAACCTGGGCTGCAGGAATTGATGGCTTACCTAACAAGGCGTGGAGTGCGGAAGGCACTGTGTACCAGGAATTTTCCCGCGCCAGTACACCATCTATTGAGCAATCACTTGCCTGACGAGGAGTTTCATCCCGTCGTAACGCGAGAAACGGAAGGGATTCAACCAAAGCCTAGTCCTGAAGGGCTGTGGTCGATCGCGCAAGCCTGGGGTTTGGACAAGGAAGTTGACGAAAGTCCAGATAAGTTGGTCTCGACCAACGATGGAGAGGAAATTGACCCACTGGAATTAGCGAGACAATATCTAGGATCCGGCTTGATCATGGTGGGCGATAGTGTGGACGATATGGCTGCCGGGTACCGAGCAGGTGCAGCGACTGTTCTGCTCGTCAATGATGAGAATGAAGAGCTAGCGAAGCATGCGTACACTGGACGGACTGTGAGAAGGCTTGATGAGCTCATAGACATCTTAGAACAGGGTTTCGCAGAGAATCTCAAGTAGATGTGCTTGGGACGGAGGATTGTGGTGAGTCTATGCGCTAGAATGCAGATCTTCTACCGCATGAAATCCTGATATTCTCAACACAAGATCCATGCCTCATACTTCAAGCGAGGAAGCTAGTAGCCATCCTGCATCTTGAGTCTTTGGATGCTGGGCCAAAAATCACCAGCAGCACGTGGACTTCGCGGAGATCTTAGGCTGCCTAAGCGAAACACGCAGTGAAATGTGCTGCGACATGCTTATTGCGTATGGAAGGGGTTCAATGGACACAAAAATAGACGGGAAGCAGCAGGGCGAGAAGCGATTCGCAGGTTTCGTCCTGATGTGTTGGCAAGGTTGGATGCAGCGTTATCGATAAATTGTGTGAGAGCGCGAATAAAACGACGCAAGGGCTGCTTGTCACTGTTCTATCACTGTCGCCCGTGCAACCGGGATCTTTTTGTGGGATTATGACTTGCCGCAGTGGAGAGCTGGAACTGCGGATGGCGGCAATGGGCCGTACACAGTAGTCCGAAGCCATTTGTCCAGCCAACCGTAAGATCGGCCAGTGAGAGCGATCTTGATCTGAAGCGTATGTTTTGCAAGTCGACAATGACGGTGATGCATCTGGCGGTGAAGGAGATGTTCGATTGTGATAGACGGCGTTGCTTGCGTCTGGAGAAGTATCATCGCTCTGCAAAGCCACCCGCAAAGCAAGGCTATCTGGCAGGCAGAAAGCAGGAAATTCGAGGCTTGATGGAAGGGTAAACCTGATAATCCTGGAGTTCGTGAAAGTTTGCTGGATTTCGGCTTGCGCGTGCAGCTATAGCCGCAGGCAGATCTGTGCGAGGAAGCTCCAGCTTCCCCTGATAATGCTTTGACCATCTGTCCGCTGTCGAGCGATAACCATAATTCAACATGGATAGATCTGATGATGCATTAGTAGACTTCTTGATCCAGTGAATCGATCCCAGGTGTTCGTTGACGGCATTTTAGGATGGTGGATAAGCGGTGGGAGATGGAGTGATGGACGGGGAGGAAGGACGCCAAAGCCTAGAGGAGTTTTTAGAGGCTCCATTTTTGGCCCCTTCAGTTCCTGGCTTGGGGCGTGGCTGACTTCCTGTCAATTGACTGGCAGAGGCCAGTAATGTTCCGTCAAGCCTGTGCCATTCTGTTTTGGCCTTGTCACTCTCCATCTCACCTGCGCTTCCCTGTGATAGGTATTGCGCAGTCCGACGTGCACATCCCTCGCTTCAACTCTTCGACTTGCTTGTGTTTGCCGTCCAGTCCTTGTCGTTCGAACTGCTTGAGATACCCTAGAGCTTTGTGCGTGTCCTTCCTCAGTCTGTTCGAACCTCAATCACCATCGTGCGGACGTTGCGCCTCTATCGGTACAATCAAGAATATTCCCAGCCTCACAATTTTTGGCACCCATGTCCTAACACCTACTCAATCCTTGCACGCCTTCGGACTGACGTCCTTGCGGTGAAGACGTTGTCTTTCACTCGACCCGATCTTTCACACGATAGCATCATACTTGTGATCAATCGAAGACATCGCAGCCATTGTTTACAACTAGCGGCAGAAGCTCCTCCACCTCCAACAACCATGAATAACCGGGTCAAAAGTACAGACATCTAGAGAAATACACCAAGCGAACAGTACATGTGCAAATCGTCACAGCGCATGTACCCCATGCATTGCCGAACTTGAGGTTGCTTCAGAATGGGCTTTACGAGTCGACGCCCACTTCTGCCTGCACCGACCGACTCTCTATTGGGTTCGGCCAACGATACTGGTATCGAAACCGACTTTGGTACAGATCTCTCCAGAAGAACCGACAAAACCTCCGACACTATCCCGGAAGACGGCACCCCGATTACAATTGCGACGGCTCCTAAGCGCAAAACTCCCAACAAGCTCACGAAGACCCGGCAGCAGTCTCAGACATCCCTGCTCATTGAGTATTTTGAGGGAAGCAAGGCAGTCGAATCAGGTCAGAGGCGACCAAGCCTACGTGTGAGATATACTCCGTCTCAATCGCGCAAGAGCAAAGAGAAAGGAGAGGGGCACATACTGGTCACAGAATCCCCAACGGCTAGGCGGCCCTCTCAAAGCCATCGCGTCCTCCTTGGAGGCAACGAGGCGCTTGCGGACAACACTGCCTCAAGCAGCATAAGCGCTTTGGACCCATCTGACAACTTCCAAGCCCACGCGCCTGTGGAGGTCGAACTCTTACACTCCACCGGAAGCGAGTTATCTGAGCGGACTGCCTCTCCAGAACCAAGATACATACTCCCGGAATCCGACATCTCGTCTATGCCAGCCGAAAGCTCACTGGGTCCACGACAGTCCGCCTTCATATCATCATCAACGCATAGCGACAGCGTTGTTGAGTTCCCAACCGCAACCATGCTTAAACCACCCGTGATCATGACAGATCGAAACTCGAGTCAAGAGCGGATCACGCAAAAGGTGATCGAGAAGCTGAGCAATAAGCCAAGAGTGTCGAGCAGTGGAAAGCGACATACCAGCAGTCACAGTGGCAGTCGCAGTACTCGAAGCAGAGAAGCAGAGGCGGGAATCTCTGAACCGCGCATTCGTCTCACCAAAGCCACGGATGTGGACTCTGTGCCGAGCGCTACTAATTCTAGTCTTGTCAGCGGTTCTCACTTGTCGGCGGACCCTAGAGCAGCCGACCAACGATCTGTCCAATCAGGTGCTTCCAATGTCTCTATCTCAAACAATCCAAAGCTATTGAAGACCGTTGAAGATGTCATTAGGCGTCTGATTCTACCCGAGCTCGATGAAATACGACGAGATCAGAAGCACACCCATCGTTCACGTCAAGAAAAGCTGAGCAACCCCTCCGATGTTTCTTCCAGTACCATCTCAAGGGAAGATAAAGCACGTCGCAAGTCGTCGGGAAGCAAATCATCACGTCGAGTGAGCCGAGACTCTGAGTCTGGAATGCCTTCGGGATCGTCTCGTCGCTACAAGCAACACAAAAGTTTCGACGACGATTCGCCATCTGAGCAAAGTTACGAGCAATCCGAATCGGCCGAGAGTAGCAGCATCCGTGATGAGAAGAGGTCGCATAAGCGAAGAAGTCACCGTGCCAAGGATGTTGCTGCAGGGGCACTTGGCGGAGCTGCGCTCACAGCTGCCGCACTGAAGTCGCATGACTCTGGTTCAAGTCTTGATCATCCAGAGCACCGTCGAAGGCGGAGGAGCAAAAGTCGAAGCAGCCGAAGCGCGAGCATTGCCGAAAAAGAGGATGCGTTCCGCAAGCATCATGTGCCGTCTATGCCATTTGTCAGCGAGATTGGAACGGATATTACCCGAAGCTCAATAAAATCATCAAACGACGGACGCGAGACGCCAACTCGACGTGAAGTCCGCGAAGTGATACGTGGCTCACCACTGGATTCGCAGTCACCCGCATCTTATACTCCTACCCGCAATTCCTTTGATCTCAAAAGAGGACTTGGTACTCATCATGGCAACTTTTCCGAGCATGATCTGTCCGGTCACGACATATCCAGCAGGAAAGAAATCGTCGAGGATGAAGATATCAACCGATCGCACGAAGGTGAAGATGGTGATTTCGATACACATGGCTTTGCCGCTCTGACAGACCCAGAACGTGCCCGGGCATATGAGAGAAACCTCCATCAACAACACCCAATCCGACGAGGCCTAAGCCCTATCCAAAGCGTGGCCAGTTATCAAACAACCGAGCCAAACCGCAATTCCATGATGCAGCAAAGAAGCTCTGAGTCCATGAGCTCGTTCAAGAAGGAGCAGCAGATGGACGATCAAGTATCGATTTCCTCGTTGTCATCACCACCGAGCACTGATCTTGCGCGCTCAAGACGTCCTCATGGTATCAGTCTGGAAAACCGCAGTGAGATTATGGCGCAGCACAAAAAGTCTCCCCATAATACACCACGCCAAGCAGATCCAGAAGCCGTCTTTGACGAGCAACATCTCGAGAACGAGAGTTATCGTGATGCTCCATATATCGATAAAGTCACTGCTGGACAGCAAGTGGCTAAAGTGGCCGGTGCAACTCCAGAATACTTTGAATATCCGCCCGGTGTCGAGTCAGCAGTGGCTTCCCTCATTGATCCCTCTGTTCTCGACGCGGACTACAACGACTCGGGGCAATTCAATCAAGCGGACTCGTTCACGGCCCGCGGACCCCGGAGTCCCCAGTACTCTCAGCCGAATAGCCCACTGAAGCACGAGATCTCACAGTACGGCGAATATGTTCCTACAGGAAGAGTGAACATGGCATCTCCTCCCCAGAGTCCTGCCCGTTCAGTCGAAGATTATGACGACCAACTGACTGAAACAACTCATCCTGTTCCGGTTCCAGAAGCAGAAGCAGATGCAGCTAACAACAATCAGGCGGAGCGGTCTCCTGATTCTGACATCACTACCAATCCCTCCATCATCAGAGGTCCTATTCGTGGACTCGGAGAAGGGAACACAGACCATTGGCCATATGACCCTACACCTCGACACTCTCGTGCGGAGGTAGCCCTTCCGCCTGTTAGTCGGGACATACACTCTGCTGGTACCGATCTCATTCCCGAAGCCCTTTCTATCAGCCGAGACCACGATCTGGAGCCAAAGCGCGATTTATACACCCAAACACGGTCTCTGGGAACTCCTACAAGCGTCAAAGATGAAGGGTATGAAACCGGCGCCAACGCACGATCTCCGGGCCTGTACTCAAACCACCAAGATGCTCGACATGAAAATGATCCACAATATCTGGGACTCAAAAGCCCTCCTGTAGAGGATGATCCTTTCACTGGCAAGCGTGATAAATATGTCAGTGGCCTCTCGCATGGTCTCTCGCCCATGTATGATAGCGCCACTGGCCGAGGTCGTGACAACATCCAGTCCAAGGATATTGTGGCGCTCATGGACCATTTGACAACTCGAGATGCTCAGCGTAATGCGAGGGATACGGAGATCTTGGTGACTTTGGTTCGAAGTGCCGCGGAGATGCGCAATTCTTTCGAAGACATGAAAAAATTCATCGCCGAGCAAGATGACATGGTGATGGACACGGCCGACAAACAGCATGAGAGGACGCAAAAGATTGTTGGTGGTCCACGACCGCAACCCACGGCAACACCTCGAACTATCCAGTCTGTCACGCCGGAGGAAGACATGCCATCGAAGCGTCGTAATGTCTTCCAACGGGCTCTCCGCGGTCTGGGTGCCAAAAACACTCAGGAGCTGCAGAATATCGAGTCAATGCTGATGCGACTACTTGACGAAGTTGAAGCTCTTCGTGCAGTTCAGGCCCCGAACAACACGCCAAACCAGCCCAGATCTACCAGCTTGGCGTCAGTAGACAATGCTCGCCCTCTTACGGATACCGGTTATGAGCCGGAAGGTCAGGCCGGGACTTCATCAACTGGTGATCGATCTGGCTTCTTCTCGAATAACTCCTCTCGTCAAGCGGACTACCGCAACTATAGCATACACCGCGACTCAGGAAACCGGGTGAGCACTGTCCTCGAGGGCGACGAGGAATATGACGACTATGGTATGCCTCTGGGCGGAGCTACTGCTGGAAATGTTCAGGCCACAGTGCAGACGCCACCAAGGAATGAGGTAATTCAACAGGCCAGAGCTGGCTCGGCACCCCTTAGAACGCCCCCTCGTTTGCACGAGCCGAACACGAACTCACTCAGCAACGAGAACACACCTCATTACTCAGCTGGTGACGGATCTGGACGCAAACACAAGTCATTTGCGTCGTCATTCGTGCCAAAAATGATGTCTCGATGGTCAAAGACTACCACGTCGTCTGCAGACAATTACCGATCGAGTACACAGCGAATGCGTCCGCAATCGGAAATGTCTCGTTCTGGATCTGATCTGGGAGAGTATGAGTTTGAGCATGATCCCCAGGGTGATGACCGGCTTCGATCACAACATTCCCTCCAGCAGGACCAGTATCAAGATCAGGAGAATCGTCCGCCATCGCCATTGATACCTAGCCAGTTATCCGACAACCCCAAATACCAGGCCCATCGCAACAGCATGAACCTACAACATCCCCAACCCCGACAAGGTCCAACTGGCCGCTTCCAATCGCGACTGGAATCAGAGGCCCAGCTCTACAGTACCCAGATCTCGCCCACGTCGCAACACTCGTCTCAGTTCGAGACTCACTCGGGACTCCAAGAGCCAAACGGTCATGCTGCCATGTACGGTGGTCATCAAAGCCCTATGTCGGATGGACAGTATGACGACGGAAGTGTTCACTCGGCAAGCTCACAAGGGCCGCCACGACCACCAAAAATATTGGACGAGGACCCTTTGGTGCCACAGCGACCGCCAAAAATATTGATGAACTCACCTCAGTCCAACAGAGGGCAGACATATGTTGATCATGTGGCTGCTGCCAGGGCTGGTAGTCCGGCTTTTGATAAGGTATGTATATATACTGAATGGACAATTGAGAAACATCAGCTAACATTGCTTCTAGTCACCAATTGCGGCACTGCGATCGCCTCAGAGTCAAACGCGGAAGCCGTCAGGGCCGAGACCACTTAACAACGCAGGCGGACCAAAGGGCGGATCCGTTACGGTCAAGAGAGCACATTTCAGAAACAGTCCGACACAGGTTGATAGCGATGACGAGAATTCTCTGCCGTATTAATGTATCTTGGGGTATCTGCATCATCGAAGATGAACCGCACAATTCGTTTCCGCATCGGCGTCATGCGTGAGGGCCTGTCACTACTGGCTAGTGTGCAGAGTCCCCCTCACGGTCAACAGATTATTTAGGGGATAGGTTTTCAGGTTGATCTGGGAAGGTATGGGAGTTACATGGGCTTCACGAAATTACATGGAGATCATGAAATTGTTCGTGTTCTACGACTGAAATCGAAGCGCTGGTGTTGAGCTTGAATCGGCCTACAACGGGCCGCAGATGCGAACAAAATCCTAGATACCTAATATTGGGCTCGAAGCCTTTGAACTGCTCTTAATTTGTGCTTCCTGGATGGCACCCGGTATAACAGAGGCAAACTTATCGCCAAGCTCTACACAGAAAGTCACGTACGTTCTTCTTCACTTCGAACTCAATTGATCTTGCTTGGGATCAACCTCAACTTTGACTGAATTAAATCCATACCCTTCTCACACCCGACTGCGACGCGTCAACGACGTCTTCGCCGGCGCCAAAGAAGCGGAAGTTGACGCGCCATAGCGTCGTGAAGATCGAACTCCCAAATCCTCCCGTCCTATCAAATCCACCTTCTAGCGACGAAACCGAAGCTGAGAAGCCCCCGTCACCCGGCATCTATGTCGTGGTCGAAGGCAGCGAAACACGTTTCAAGTGCAACGTGGAAGCTCTGCAACAGTCAACCTACTTTGCAAAATACATCCCTGAAGTCAATAGCGAAGCGGTTACTGAGGCTGAGGTCGAACTCACTGTACCCACAACGGTTGCAGTTGACGATCTGGGACGTGCTCTTGCTTGGATGCACCAGGATCTTAACAGCCGAGACTATCCTACAATCTCACGGCATTCAATCGGGCCCTCTTTTAAGATGATTGACCGCTACATCGTCGCACAAACATTCGGTGTTGAGAAGTGGGCGAACACCATTGTCGATTGGTATCTCATACATCTGCCGTTTAACTTCAGTAGACAATTGGTGAAACTCGAAGGTCCCCATCTGAAGGCTTCTGCCCTTGTCCGATTCTTGCCGAAGACATAGCTTGGCAGCTGCGCAACAAGACAGATGAGTGGGAGACCATGATTTCAGGAAGACAGCACGAGCTGGCGGGGTATGTGCTGGATCCAGACATATTGGTCAGCATCATCAAGTTCATGGCCCAGGGCAATGAGCAACACCCTGCCCACCGGTGGGATCGCTGCAGATGGCATACTCATGAGGTTACGGCAAAGTGCGAACTCACAAAGCCACTGAAATAATCTCGAAAATTGGACAAGATGCAGTTCAATTGAGGAGAAGATGTGTACTGTGTCAAGACAGCCACCAACAATGGGAGAAGCAGAGGAGAACAGCAGAGCTTGATGGCGAGTCAGGTGAAGGGCTGGATGCGACAGCATGGACCTAGTTAGCCAGCAACAATGTGGCAGCAGTGGTCCTGGGTGGCAATCAGCCTCAGCGGCTTTGGCAGCCACTTGGAGATATTCCAAAGCAAATAATACTTGACCTGAATTTGTTCTTCATGTCTGATGTTCTCTTACTCGACCTGACGTGGCTACAACGCAGCCGATGTCTTGTGGTAAGGTCATAACATCTACACTTTCTCCGGTATAGTCTATTCACGAAAGAGACCTTGTAGCGGTAGCGCGTCTAGCTCGTTGGCTTCGGCTGCAGAAGTTTTTCATGAGACGAGGTATATCTTCTAGACGCATGAAACAATGATCTGATAGTGAGCCGAGGACCTTCTGAACTCATCTGTCGCAGGGTTTCAATGGAATATTGTAACAATGACTTTGCTCGAGATCATGCGAGATTGGATTGTAACAGGCCATGCATTTTCACGACGAGGCTGCGTTGGAGAATTACGTGTATTAGCCAATCGCTTTTGGCGAGGCTTTGCAAACTCAGGGGCAGTGGGAAGACTGGTCCGTGCGCTGGGGAGGTTAAATTTACCTACCAGGTAGGTACTGTCCCTTGATCTTTCTTACCTCCAAGTAATAAGACTTTTATGCCTCCCCTTGGGGACTCCAAGTGGCACGATTGACGTGGCTGTCTGAGTGTCCTGGACACTGGCTGGAGATGAAGTTTCAGGCGATCACTGTCTCTGGCCAGTGAGATTGAGGAATTCGGAAGGTGAGGTTGAATTCACTGATCAGACCTCAAGCAGCACTCACCTGCAGGTTGACGGGACTGTGATGTACAGCTTGGCGATGCAGGCGCTTTTTGTGACCACTTCCTTGCGTCTACCAGTTTATCCTTTTTACTTCACTTCCTTGCCCTGCACTGGCCTCAAAATCGGCTGTGGGTACGAAAATATGGCAGATACAGAACAGAGGTGAGGTGTCCCGAAGTGTCACTCCCTCGCAGGCACGCTGATCATTTATATGTAGCAACCCTTGCGCCTCTCCAATCGTCACGCTGGACCTGCATCTTGTGGCTGGCGACACGGTCACCCTCATCTACATTCATCGGGATATCCTTACCAACAGGTCATATCTTGCGAGATGGTTTGATGCCTACGCCGTTACCAATGATCAGGACATCAGGTTACCGATCTCGGGTTGGTCACCCTTGGTAGGCCTAGAGATTGTACACTGGCTTTACAGGGGCAAAATCTCCTTCGAAGTCAACACCAACGAAATCAAGCACGGTCATGTGTACCCCAGCGTCCTCCTCATGAAGCTCATCAACCTGTACCTGGGCGCCAATCGCTATCAGATCGACGACCTAGCTGCATACACCTTCGATAAACTCGACGCGATCTTTCAGTCTCGGGGCCTCGACTGGTGGGACCTCAACAGATTGACACCCGATATGTCGGAGGATGAGGGTGGAAAGCTTCAGGGTCTGATGATCGGTGTTGTGGCTGATGGTATCCGCAAAGAAGGGTGGTTGGCTTACACTACTGCGAGACCAGACTTTGCGAATTGGGTGGTGACGACGACCAAGACTTGGCTCGTGGAGGAGCTCCTTCGGCAGGCTCGGGTATGCAGATGAGCGTGACATGTCTCGACTTCATCATCTGAGCAGAAGATCGCCACAGGAATCGTGGAAGGGCAAGGCATTTCATGGAGAGGAATGTGAATTACGGCTGCAATTCAGGGAGATAAACAGCCAGACTTGTGCACTGCAATGCAACACCAACGGATGTCAGTAAGACAAGGATGGGGGCTGAAATCGCAAGGAAGAGCGCTTGTGAGATAGGATACATGAATCTTGCCTATTCATCGGAGACGATATCTAGTAAGTAGCTTATCTATCGATGGGTGCAGACATGAGGACTGCAGCTTCTTCATAATGCATTGTCTTTGCTGGGAACTATCTCGCGCGAGACAATCACAGAGACTTCTGGACCTGTCCTCGACTCCGTGGCTTCCTGTTCTCACTTCACTTTGTACTCACTTCACTCACCACGAACTTCATTATATCCTTGCTCACACCTTCACGGAATCGATCTAAGTTAAACCTCGTGACTTCTCAGCCCTTGTCTGCTGTCTCTGATCTACCGGAGGCTCCATACCTCGATCGATAGATTTGGGGTAGCTTGCCTGCAACAATGGCGTCCCGCAAGAAAAGGTAAGATCCTTCAATGTCGAGTGCGATGTACCCAGACATTGCTAACAGCAACAGCATATCCTTCTCCACCGATATGGTGACTCTCGGGTTCGGCAACGACAAACAAGAAATAGCTATTCACAAGGAGATCCTCTTCGAATGCAGTAAGATTGCAGACTACTACGCCGAGGTGTCGTCTCGTTTCGGATGGGATGACCGGACGCTCGTTGAGAACACACTCGTTTTGCCAGAAGTCAGCAGAGAAACTGGAAATCAACTAGTCAACTGGCTCTACTTTGGCACATTGCCTTACAACACCTCAGACTTGGGAAAGCTCGGCGGAGAAGAGGGCGTTAAAGTGGGCACCGAGATTGTCGAGGCTTACAACGTGGCACTAAAGTTCGAGATGGAAGACTGGGCAAACGCACTCGCGGACGCCTTCAGTGCTCTCGCCCTCGAAGATATGCCGTGGATCAAGTACGCGGTTCTTTTGAAGGCGGTACAGCCGAACGACGAAGGATTGAGAGGACTAGTATTGACATGTCTTGCCCTGGCTATCCGACGCGCTGGCTGGGAGATGTACACCACTGAAGTCAATAAAGAGTTGGTTGATACCGTCAAATTAGGTGGTGACTTTGCCGTCGAGTTGATGAAGTACTTGCTGGACACCGAGGGTGGCGTACCGAAGCGAAAGAAGAAGAACTGTAACTGGCATGTGCATACCAAGACCAAGAAATGTGGAACTTGAATGCGACGTGCTCCTGATGAGCACGGCGGTGTGAGTACACATCAGGAGCATGGCGGTGTGAGTACTGGTGGGCCAGAGTCAATCGAGACAGAAGATTCTCTGTTACTGGAATAGACACGAAGTCACCAGTCAGACGCGGGCATGTGTTGGAGTAGTGAATGTGAGATTGGAATGGAAGCTGCGACAAAGGACAATCAATGGAAGTCTTCAGGATCCTCTTAGGCAGTTCGAAGTATTCACTTCACACATCGGTGTCTCGTAATCACTTCGGACCATATGTAGCCGCAGGCAGTGACGACTGCATGGAACAGTGACACCCTCTCCAGATTAGGGATTCATTTCCTTGTCGCGCTCTCTTTTATTTCTTTATTTCTTTCTTTCACTTACTCTCCTCCCTGCAAATACACCATCTCTGAAGCTCGTGGAAATGGCATCGAAGCACCCGATGTCCAGCATGGACGGTCCCCCGTGGCTCGACGCTGAGGACGATCCTTTGGTCAGACTCGTTGCACAAGACATTTCGGTCCCGTAAGTGAATATCCTGTCGCGCACCAAACCCTGTTTGCAGAAAAAGTGGCACATTTTGACGAAGAGTACATCAACGACGCAAGTCCGAAGTCCACCAAGTTCACAGTAGCGGCACCCTGACAGCAAACCAACATGGTTATGCAATGAAGATGATGACCTTTTCGTCATCAGGGACCGACGCTATACTGTTGTGTGCGAAGTCCCTCCGCTTTACAACAAGGAGCAATGTATCTTTGTACCTGGAGCGATACAGCGGTCCAGTGCCACTTTTTCCGACAACGGCAGCGATTTGAAACCATTGCTGACTCCTGCATAACAGGCTCGGTCATTTCGATGTTGCGCATCTCACCTCCCCAATCATCACGTTGGAAGCCGGACCAGACGCGACGCCCCTCACTGCGCACAAGGCTATCCTCACACGATGCAGCTATTTTGCCAAGTGCTTAGACGATCGCTTCGAGGAGGGAATCAACAACAAGATCAAATTGCCACAGGAATCACCTGAAGACCTCCTCAAGTTGCTGAGTTGGCTGTACACCGGTAAACTGTACGCAGGAGATCGTGAGGATATGCAGATCGTGGAGCTAAGGAGTGAGCCCACAACAATGGCAGTAATGGACTTGATCAATCTGTTCATCATCGCCGACAAGTACTGCTGTGATCGCATGGCTGCAAAGGTCTTGGAGATCGTCGGCGACAGCGACTGTATTGGTCCTGAAGAGGTGTCCGTTTGTCATCTAGAGAGGGTGTATGATGCAGACTTGCGAGGCTCCCTCCTGTGGCAGGTTTTGATGGAAAAGCTTGCGAGAGGCTTTCATCGCGCGGACCAACGATTCGATGTCCTTTCTCTTTACGGAAAAGGTCTAGATGCGAAACCGGACATAGCTTCTGACCTTCTGATGGAGATTGCGAGAATCGTGAAGGAGGAACCACTTGTCGCTTGCTGTAAAGACCAGCGAGAGAATTCGAACATCCAGGTGTGTAAGCACGGCTAGGGACCGCGCAACGCAGGATGGGAGTCAGGTCGTTCGAGCTTGGTCGAGGACGATGGCCCGTGCGCGAACCGAGGCGAAAGTGAGCTGTTTGCGGCGTTGATACAGCATGTTTTGCAGCTTTGACAGAGAAGCAGGGAGACTTGTGCTGGCAATCACAGCATGGCATATGCGCAGAACAAAGGACATAAGCCATAGGTGTCACACATCAGAGACACACTCACAACGAGTACATCCATTGTTGGTCTTTAGGAGCCTTTTGTGAATAGCATGATAGCAACGTCGATGAATGAAATGCTTCTCATGGAACGATATAGCCTCTGGCTCCCTCTGTGCTCAGTAGGACGAGAACCGCATCAACTCCAAGGTCCAGGCTCGTATCATCAGGGGTCAACACCTTTCTAAGAGCAGCGAGCGAGGCACCACCACAAGGACCGGCATTGACACCATTAGCGTGCAGATACTGGACTGCATGGTGACATTCAAGGTCAGAAACAGTCACACTCGCATCTACACCGTTTTGGAAAACAGACCAAGAGATGGGAGATACCGTGCCACAATTCATGCCGTTCATTATGGTTGCTGAGGTCTCGATCGTGGTCCATTTGCCCGCCTTGAGGTTTTGGTGCAGACAAGCAGCTGTCTCTGGCTCGACAGTCACCACGGCCACCTCTCGACCATCGGACTTGCAGTGAGCGACAACAGCGTGGCCCAGAGATCCTACTCCGATGGGAGTCACCATCGCTGTCGCTTTCAAGCCTTGGGCAGCAAGTTGCTGTTCGGCCTCTACCAAGAGGGTGGAATACCCTTCCACAATCCAGGCCGGAATCTGCTCGTAGCCTTCAAATGCATTGTCTTGGATCAGAAGACCGCCAGAGGCATTGTTAGCCTCCTCAGAGGCTTTGGCGACCGCAGCATCGTAATCTCCTGCAATCACGACAACATGAGCGCCTTCACCTTCGATCTTCTTGACGGTCTCCTCGTCGGCAAATCTGGACATGAGTATTCGGGTCGGAACACCCAGGAGCTTACCCATGCGGGCGACTGCTCTGCCATGGTTGCCTTCAGTGGCAGCAAACAGCGTGGTATTCGCCTTTCGTGCCGCTTCTGCGATGGTTTCAAGGGAGGAATCCAGGGACAAGCCTGTCTGCTCTGCGATGGCACGAAAGGTCCCCCAGGAAGCACCGAGAATCTTGAAAGCAGGCAGACCGAGTCGATTGCTTTCGTCTTTTACGAATACATTCTTGACGCCGAGCTCTTTGGCCACAGCTGGAAGTGGGACGAGGGGGCTGGGTCGGTAGCCGGGAAGTCGCTTATGGAAGTCTTGGGCTAGCTGTATGTCCGTCTCGTACTGATACGTCCAGCTCCTCGCCGCTGGGTTGGTATACATCTTCGAGCTGGACATTGTATGTTCTCCTTGTGAAGGATGGCCGCCTTACAGTCATCAGCACTACTAGGTCGACGTTGACATTCTTCGGCCGGAGATACTTTGATGCGCTACATCCAATAACAACTGCAGCGCATACCGCTTCCAAGGCTACTCTACAGCAACTCGCACCATAGTATTGATAGTATTGGTCTCACGGAATCACCTACAGGTGCCTCGTGTTCACGCCTCAGGTTGCACTTTGCAACTTGGCTTGCCACCATTGGCTGCCCTAGCCCACGAGGGGTGCACATTTTACAATATTCTTCAGGTGAATAATGTGCGCCACCTAGTGATTGGCCGGCTGGGTTTCAACGCAGCCCAAAAGCACTATTATTCTCGTGCTTGTCACTCCCGCTGGCGGCTGCTGACGAAGGCAAAAAGGCGTTGATGGCAGGAAGCGAGGTGAAGCGGCGAAGGACTCACGAACGACATGGTGAAACTAAAGCTTCCAAATTCCGCAGGCGATCTGAGGATGATCGCGCGACTACGAAGTCCATCCCAGCCACCGCCGCAGATCGCTCCGTCGATATCGAGGCCCTTCGAAAGGCGAGACTTGACCACCTGTCGAGCAAAGAGATGCCACATGAATACGTGAAGAGAACCATAACTGTGTCACACCGACACCCAGACAAGGAGAAACACCACAAGGTTCTGCGAGACCAGACAACAGAACGAGAGCCTCCGAAGCCGTCGGGAAGGTCTAGTAGGCGGACCAACGACGATCGGCAGAGGTCACGGCGAGAGCACAACGAAGATGACTACGTTTATTCGCGGAGGACAACAGAGACAGACTCGACGGATGCGAAGCCTAGGACGAAAGTCCGTGAGTCGAGTCCAGCGAAGAGAGCGGACCGGCCGCGGACATCAAAGCGCAGCCATACGGAGCCGCTCAGGCGGCAAAAGTCGCATGACGAAGTCGAAGAGAATAGAGAAGAACATGTCAGCTCTGCTATCAACACGATACGGCTCGAACGCGTCTCTTCCAGACGGCGCAGCGAAGTAGAAAGGACAGACACATTCCCTCGACGAAGCAGCGTTTCCGGTGAGAAAGCAGCACGTCCTCCTTTGAAACGAAGCGCAACAACCACGGTGTCTAGGACCGTAGTCAGTAATGCACCTTCCCAGCCTCATACGAAGGCACCAAGCCTGTTCAGCGGCTTTTTGTCTCCAAATTCCGCCCCAGCGAGAAAAGTTCCATGTTTGACTTGTGGCGACGACGACGTCCCCATCACCCACTCTGCCAAACTACCCTGCACGCATCGAATGTGTCATTCATGCCTGAAGCGCTTCTTCACCATGTCCGTGAAGGACCCGGCGCATATGCCTCCGCGATGCTGCACCGATCAGCACATCGACCTCAAGCACGTTGACAAGCTGTTCGATCAAAAGTTCAAGGTTCTCTGGAATCGCAAATACTCCGAATTTAAGACGAAGAACCGAATATACTGTCCAGCTCGAAAATGTGGCGCATGGATCAAACCATCCTACATTACCAAGGAGAACGGTCGCAAAGTGGGACGATGCAAACAATGCAAAACTCGAGTCTGCGGCATCTGTTCGCAAAAGATGCACAGCTCGCGCGACTGCCCCAAGGATCCCGAGACAAAGGCCTTCGTCGAAGTCGCGAAAGAAAAGGGCTGGCAACGTTGCTACAGTTGTTCTGCCATGGTTGAGCTCAAGGAAGGATGCAATCACATGACATGTCGTTGCACGGCCGAGTTCTGCATGGTTTGTGGTCTGAAATGGAAATCTTGCGATTGTCCATGGTTCAACTACGAAGCTGTCGATGCGCATCTGGGCGACCCGCTACGTTATCAACAAGAAATGGAAAGACGGCGGGATCAGGAGCAACGTGACGAGGCTTTGGCGCGCCGCATGCAACGAATGGGTTTGGGCAACGCAGTTCAAGACGATGGCTATGGAGTTGGCAACGCCGCGAATCACCATATGAACCAGAACTTTATACAGCAGGCAAGGGAGGCGCTGACCGCTAACTACGCGAACGCGGAACAGGCTGCGCGAGGACTCATCAACGGGTTTGTTATGGGGAGAGAGAACCGCCTGCCCGGAATACCTTCGCCGATGGATCAGACTATGGACATGCTGGGACAGGCGCCTCGCCCAGCTCGAGATCCGGCGGAAGAGGATGCAGATGTGCATGATGGTCGTCGACCTGTACGACGAGTCACGGCGCGACGGAGGAATGTTGTGGGTGATGGGGATGGCGGACATCACGTCGCTCGGGAGACGGATCAAGAGAGACGTATGCGTGCGTGGGCGGATAGTGTTCCTGCATATGCATGAGAGCGGGACGGTGTGTCGGACTGGATCTGTCGTGAAGATTGACTAAGTCTGGTGGGAATTCATGGGGTGTTTCGGCCGGGGATATTGTAGGGGCTGGCTGTGCTTGGAAGGCCTTGTTTACTAACGACTATATGATATGATGACAACAGATATAATGACCAACTTGGGAGCGATTTCTTCGGATACTGGACGCTTAACGTCAGACTAGAGGGTACTGTTCGATTCAGCGAAATTAACACTGTACAAGGATGAATGCTACGAAGCTGATAGAGAAACATCATTGTTGAGGACTGGTTTGCTGGACATCTTGCTTTTTTCCGATCCCCGACGTTCGACGCAGAACGGCCACACCATCCTTATGCGTTATGCCCAATCCCTTCTGAATATTTACGATTGGAAGAGCTTTTCCAATTCCTTGACAACCTCATCACCGACCTCCTCCGTCGAATTTTGTCCACCAATATCCCTCGTGGTAACACCCTTGTCAATGACAATCCTGACCGCCTGCTCAACAAGCACGCTCTCCCTCGGCATATTGAGACTGTACAACAGTAGCATAGCGACACTCAAGATCGCAGCAACAGGATTGATCACACCCTTGCCCGCAATATCCGGCGCCGACCCATGAATTGGCTCGTAGATTCCATTACACAGACCCTTGCCGTCCGGCACACCACTCAGACTCGCGCTGGGCAAGAGACCCAAACTACCCGGGATAACAGACGCTTCGTCACTGATGATATCGCCGAACAGATTACTCGTGACGATCACGCCGTTCAGCGCACGCGGGTTCTTGACCATGATCATGGCCGCGGAGTCAATGAGCTGGTGCTCGAATTCCAATTGCGGGAATTCCTTCTCCATCGTCTCGGTGAAGACGCGGCGCCACAGACGACTTGTGGCCAAGACATTGGCTTTGTCCAAAGACCAGACCTTGCTAGGCGGGGACTTGGCGAGGGCAAGGTACGCGCCCAATCTCGTGATGCGCTCGATTTCCTTCCGGGAATACGGTTCGCGGTCTTCGGCCCACTCGTCAGCACCGTCCGATGGGTTTCCTTCGACGCGATCGCCAAAGTAGATTCCGCCCGTCAATTCGCGGACGATCATGAAGTCTGTGCCTTGGCAAACCTCTTCCTTGAGTGGGGAGCGGGAGGCGAGGGATGGGGAAGCGAAGAAGCAGGGTCTCAAGTTGCCGAAGGTGCCCATTTCTTTGCGTAGACGTAGCAGGCCTTGCTCAGGTCGGACTTTGCCGAAGCCGTATTTGGGACCACCGATGGCGCCTAGCAGGACGGCGTGTGCGGATTTGGCGGCGGAGAGGGCGTCGTCGGTGAGTGGTGTGTCGTGGGCGTCGATGGAGCACTAAGCCGCAGGACTGGTCAGCATTGGATATTTCTTGGATGATGGCGAGTGTAATGGTTGAAGTCGATCATCAACGTTTGCTTCGCCACGGGAGACAGGCTGCTGAGGGATGAACTTACACCTCCGAGCAAATGATCTTGAAAATTGAACTTGACATCCTTGGAGCACTTCTCGACCACTTTGAGAACCTGTCCAAAAGCATGTTAGCATTGTCAACCTTGATTGATACAGGTAACATCGCCGGGACACCACGTGCCCCTGTGGAGGGATAATGTGTCCCGGGTTGAAGCTGGGTTTGTCGATGTTCTTTGCCATCATTGAAATAGACTATCAGAAGAGCATACCTTGACCGCCTCCTTAGTCACCTATATCACCATGGCATGTCAGCATTGCCAAATAGAGTCAAGACAGGCTGAAGGAACAAACCTCCGGACCAGCATAGTCTCCTGCGAATACAACGATATTGAACGTCGGCATCTTGATGACAAGATTTCTTTTCGCTTGGTCAGTATCCAGCGGTATTGAATGTTTTTTTCGATGTCTTACAGGCCCAACAAGACAATGTAAACGGTTTTCAGATATGATGAGTCCTGATCAGAGGATAATAAGGAAAGAACGAGTCTTCAATGGTATGAGTTCAGGCCATAAAAACTCGCCGGTATCGGGATTGCGCAGCCTTGTCGTGTGCCAAGCACCAAAGAAATGCGTTGCTTACTAAGATTCGCAGCCTTGTCGTATGTCTTTACTATGTCCGTTTCTCGTACCAGTATGCTTGGGGTTTGCAATCCTACATACCCATTCTGCCACCTATGTATGCTGCGTAACATCATTAATGAGGTCGCTGTTTGCTATATGAGTCCAATGTTCGACCTATCCCAAGTGATCTCAATACCCCGCCCAGAAGCGAGTCTGGGTCTCTCTGCCAGGCATACCTGTCCTACTCAATGTTTCATGTCTCATACAACTCTTTGAATCGACTCGCTTCCGTCCTTAGCAGGACCTGCGGCTCGCCCACCTCCGCGATCCTACCCTGACTCAACACCACCACCCGATCGCCATCTTCAATGGTGTTCAGCCGATGCGCCACCGCGATGATGGTGCAGTTGTGGAAATGTTCCCGGATAACTTGTTGCATCAGCTTGTCGGTGTTGACATCGACATTCGCGCTGACTTCGTCCAGAACCACCACTTTACTCTTCCTCACAAGCGCCCTAGCTAGGCAAAACAGCTGTCGTTGGCCATGACTAAGGAAGTCCGCTGTCATAACGGCATCGAGACCACCTTTCTGTTCGATGATATGCCAGATCTGGCACTGCGTCAAAGCCAAGATGAATGTTTGATCTGCTTGACTTCGCTCGAGAGGCGTGTCGAACTCTGAATTTGCCGCATTCCAGGGATCCATGTTGAAACGAACAGTCTCAGTAGTCACCCACCAGGGCTCCTGTGGGATAACGTTGATCTTTGCACGTAGCGTCTCTCGTGGTATTCGCGACAGATCCACACCGTCAACTACTATCGCCCCTGATCGGAACTCGAGCAAATGAAAAAGACTTGCCAGCATTGAGCTCTTTCCACTTCCAGACCTACCGCACAGCCCCAACTTCTCTCCGGCCGAAATCTGAAGACCGACGTTCTTGAGCACAAGCGCAGACTCAGCAGAATAGCTGGCACCGAAGCTAGAAAAGGTGACCTCCCCATTCTGTGGCCAACTTCTGTCCACCGTCTGCACCTCGCACGGTTTGTGCTCAGATTCAGTGGTTTTGACAAAATCTGTCAATCGCGTAATTGCGCCAATGCTCGTTTCAAGTTCGGTCCAGTGTCTGACGACTTTTGTGAGACTTTCACTCAAGTCGACTACACTCAGAAGGCTCAATCCCACCAGCCCGGGCTCAATGGAACTCCTCCTCGTGACGACCATCACCATCAAGATGAGGACCATGATCGCGACCATCAGATCCAAAACGATCCCGAGCCACCTTTGAATGCAGAACATGAGGTAAAAGGGCCGCTGGCTTCGGTCCAGTAATTCCAAGTTTCTGCCTGCGAATTTCTCAGCCCAGCCAAAAGCGCGGACACTTGCTAGACCTGACGCTGTTTCTCCAAACCACGTATACAGCGGGGCTTTCTCCTCCAGATCCAGCAATCTCATCTGCCGGCTTGTGCGTAAGTAATATTTCTGAACCGCATACAGAGCAACCGCGACCACCGGCACTACGACAGCAAAGAGTCCCGTACCTGACGCGACTAAAGCAACGCTCATAATGCAAGAGAAGAACCCTATAGTTGTGTCGGCGTATGCGTATGGCATGTCATTGTCAACCATGGCCATGTCTTGGCTGAAGCGGTTGATGATCGTGCCAACATCCGTTCGGGTAAAGAAGGAGAGTGGTGCGTTCAAAACACTCTCAAGCAGGTTCAAGTGCAAATGGCTGGAAGAGCGTGGTTGCATGTCAAGGAAAACCTGATATCCAAGCAACCCGATCGCGACGGCCGCCATGCCCGTCGCTGCAGCAAAGATTGCGATGAATGCTGTTGATTGTCCGCTATTGTTCGCAAAGAACTTGACAAGTATACCAGGCGTTGCGTCGGCGAACATCCAGATTCCGACCCAAGTAAAGGACAGTAAAGTGGAAACATAGCCACAAGATTTGAAATAATGCTTGTACGTACTCCATTCTCCTGTGCGTCTGAGGATATTTTGGGCGTCTGCACCATCTTCTGCTAGAGATGCGGCAGGAACGCGTGCTGAGTCAGGTTTGCCGACGTCAAACTCGGGTTGAGGCTCATGCATCTCCAGGGCTTCATGCTCTTGTTTGAATCGAACTTCCAGGCTGCGCACATAGCCATTGCCAGAGTTGACAAGAGCTGCGTAGCTTCCTTGCTCACTCACCCGGCCGTCTTTGTCCAGACTGACGACGAGATCGGCATACGGGAGGCGATGTACTGCATGTGTGACCATGATGACAGTAGTCTGCAACCTGCGTAATGGTCCTGATTGACTGAGCAATCTTCTAAATATCAGCTCCTCTGTATCGTTGTCGAGACCGGAGAAGACGTCATCGAGAATGAGGACTTCCGCTTTCGAGAAGACTGCACGGGCAAGTGCCAGTCTCTGCTTCTGACCGCCGCTCAAGGATATCCCTCTAGACCCTATCAATGTCTTGTCGCCTTTCGGGAATGCTCTCAGATCTTCAGCTAAACCACAGCAGTATATGACCTCTTCATACCATGCGTCGTCAAATGACGATATGTCTCGTGAATCAGGACCGCGAATAGCGTCCCTTATTGTACCATTCTGAATCCAAGCTTCTTGATCGGCAAAAGAGATGGACTGGTTTCGAAGATATACAAAGCCGCGTGAAAGCGGAGTTTCGCTGAGCATACCCTTGAGCAATGTTGACTTGCCACTCCCAATTGGACCGATAATCATGGTCACTGTGCCTGCTTTGATGGACAGATCGATATCTTGCACGACATGTGGTGCATCTCCAGTCCATCCGAACGAACAGTTTCTGAGAGTTAGGGCCTCATTCGCCAGACTGCGACTTATGCTTCCAAGTCTACCCATTTCGATGCCGTCGGTAGTAGAGTCCCAATAACCGTCCGAATCGTATACGCTGTCAAGAGAAAGTCGATTATCGTGTCGCGAAGGCGCGAGCAAGTACTGTTGTATCCTGTCAAAGCATGATAGCGAGGATGCTAGTTTTGGCGTTACGAAGAAGAGTATGTTTAGTGGCTGTTGGACTAGGCGCAGGATTGTAAGTGCGCTGAAGGAGGTCGCCAGATCCAACGGCTGTCCAGACCCTTTGGCTTGAATGTAGTACCACAAGAAGACCGCAAACGGTGCGAACGTGCCTGGTCCGTTTTGAAGGAGGATTTGTACGTTGTTGATGAGTCGGAATCGTTTACACTTCTCGATCTCCGTTTCACGAAGGCCTTGGGTGCGGACCTTGATGACTTCCGACAACCCTAGCAGCTTGACGTTTCTGATCGAATGAAGCAGCGCGGAGGTGAAAGATACCCGGACTTCTATAGCAGCAAGCCATTGCTTTTGGAATGAGGAGATGACCCTCGTCACCCACATAGTACCCAGTGCCAGAAGGACGTACACCAGTGCAGCAGCCGAGCATGCGCTACCAAGGTTGCGGTAGAGCAAATACATACCTAACCCAAGGTCGACTATGCCACCCCAGGTATCATGTACGTATTGAATTGGGTCCACGATGCGTTGGATGTCGGAGGACATCAACGTCAATGAACCCGAACGATCTGGTGCCGCTAAGCTGAGATCAATCGTCTTATGATAGAGGAGCGAAACAAGCCCACCGCGGACCTGGACGGCACATCGATTGAGGAGATGCTTATACGCTCCTTTGAGGATGGCTTGGGCGAAGTAGACCAGGAAGTACGCGCCGGCCAATCCCCACCCAACAGAAACCGACTGCTTCCCCTGGCTGCCGAGGAAGTTTATAGTCTCCTGCACCAGCAATGGCTGCGCAAACATGTCCACCGAGAGCAGGAGACGGGGAAGAGCTGAGACAAGTAGTTGCCATTTGAGAACACTCAGGACGGTGTACAGAAGGCTGAGGCGACCATGGTCCTTCACCAATGCCCATCGTCGTCGAAACCTATCCTGCACGTTAGCGGACAAGAGCGTGTCGTCCAGGTTGAACAAGTCGTTGAGGTGTAAGGTCTTAGCGAAGCCAACTCTTAGCAGGGAGTTGAGCCACCAAAACACCGACCTGCTGTAAATGCCGCTGGTAGTCTCTGGCGGAAGATCACGATATGGCTCCAGAAGTATGCTTCGCTTCTCAACGGCCTCTGTGATCAAGACCATGAACTTGATCGCCAGAGACAACGCCAGTGAGTTGGCGATGCCTTTAGCGGCGTACCCGCGTAGAAGGTAGAAGGTGCGGAGTCGAGCGGCATCGAACGGTAACGACAGGAGCAGATATAATCCGATGATGGTTGATGGCGTTATCGATCGAGAGTGCTCGTAGCATGATAGCACGAAAAGGAGACAAGCAGCAGAAAAGTCCAGAACAGCCGCAGCAACGGAGGCTCTTGTCGCAAGTTCCAGGTTCGTAGCGCGGCTCAAAAGCACTGTAAGTTGTATTGTTGCGAAAGCGGACAGAAGGACCTGTCAAGAAGAGTGAGTTCGTACGACCTAGGCAGGCCGTATTCGAACACCTACCAGCTTGGTGAGACGGCTAAATGAAGTTGACACTTTGTTCGGCTTGGTGGTCAGCCATGTCGCCCTTGCTCCTGCGGCAATGACGAAGATTGTTGCAGGGACAATGGTCAGGATTGTATCCTCAAATAAGAGTGTGAAGTCGAAGTTTCGTGATGGCCCTGAGTACGCCGGACCAAACACTGAATCTGAACCGTTAGCTATTACGAAGGCCATCGTGGCGATGTCACTACATCAAAAGAATGTAGCAAAAGGAAGAAAACATATGCATCTGTGTGCCTTGAAGCGTTAGTATATGGAAGGGACGAAATGGTTCTGCCTGAAAAAGCATCATCGCCGGTCATGATTGCCTAGACCCTGGACGGCGATCCTGCCTGCATAGGAGTGAGGTTTCTTATCGTTCATCAAGTAGGAGCATCAAGAAATTGGGGGCCTAATCTGTACGCGGTCCAGCGTACAGCGTACCAGCTTGGGTCATATTTCGAGCGGCACAATTGCAACCTTCAATGTGACGAGATGAAGTCCCAGGTCTGGTGTTTTGAGAAGGAGCAACAGAAGAACGTAGCGGGCAGATACTAAATGCTCTGCCGTTGCCAAGTTGTGCCTCAAAGCATTCAAACCACAGATAAAATCATGACTAATCGCGGCATCCAGGTATTTTTTTCTGAGGGAAACCGATCTCACTTGTCGAGGTTGGCACTGCAATTATTGATATTCGAACTCAGACTTGCGCGCATTTTGTGCCTCTCTTGCCCTCGGCATGCTGAACACATACCATGAGGTAGCAAGCTGTGCGCCGTCTCGGCACAATGATGTCTACATCTTCTCGATAGCACCTCTTGCGCGAGACGGTCTTGCCGCCATCACTTCTGCAAATGAACTTCTGCTATTACAAGACAGGGGAGCCCTTGGCACTCCCAATGTGTCTGTTCTCAGCGACTGCCCTCATGGTGTCACTTCGATGGCTGTGGCAGATGCTGGACAGACTGTGTTCTGTGCAGGAAACGATGGCCACGTTGCAGTTTATGACTATCGCACTCGGTCGAAAGCGGTGGAATTCAGGATAGGCTTCAAGGCGCTGAATGCGATCGCCTGTAGGGGTACTGATGTGGCCGTTGGCGGTGACGCAGTCGTGTCTGTCTGGGATCGAAGACAAAATAAAGTGCGCTGGCAAAATACGGAGCTCAATGACGAAATTACCGCATTGGACTTTCATCCTACTCAGGACAATGTGCTTCTTGCCGGAGGTGATGATGGCTTGGTCAGCATTTTTGACACCCAAATCGCGGAGGAGGAAGACAGTCTCGTTCAGGCTGTTAACCATGGTCCCATTCACAAGGCAGGATTTCTCGGCACAAATGATCTCTATGCTTTGAGCTCAGATCAGAACCTCGCACTGCATTCACTTACTCTTGAAGACACCGATGATACTGAGCCTTCGCCGGACTTATTCGGAGACCTACGTCCTATTGTTCCTTGCGAATATGTGATCGATGTTTTCCAGACTGGACCGGATCATGTAGTAGCTTGCGGTTCGCACAGGTGAGTCTTGATACAGATACAGCAATGGATCAAACTAACTGGAGCGCTGAAGCCAAACTCGAGTCGATCTGGTCAAGCTCGTGAGAGGTTCCAAAGTTGATCCAAGTCAGCGTATCGTCCTCGAAGGTGCTCACGTGGGAGAAGTCGTACGTTCGATTTTCGCAGATGAGACGGTAGGTCAAACATTCCATACTCCATGAATGCCCAGTACACCGCTAACATGCGCAGAACGGTACAATATTCACCGCCGGTGAGGATGGCAGGATAGCGGCTTTTCGACCATCAGAAGGTCAATCTGTCTCTTCGCCTACATCAACGACGACTAAACTCAAGAAAGGGCTGGCAGGTGATGCAAGATACAAGCCGTACTGATATTGCTCGCCTACCTACACTTCCTCTACGTTATTAGCCTTACTGGGCGGTCGTGCAAAGAAGGAAAAACACAGTTCATCAAGCCTTGCATCGTCGACATCCACGGTCGAGATGATTCGATCGGACCACTTCCAGGCATTGGTTCCTTCAATAGAGGTATCTCGGATGATCAAACACGCCCAAGTGAGAGAATCCTCGTCACAGTCACCCAGCTGCGGATCCGCACTCAGTTGAAGGACTTGCTCCTCGACGATATGTTCGTTGGACCAATGACTCCAGTGCCATGACCTGGGCTCCAAGTGGTTGAGATATGCTTGAGCGGCAACAGCCAACGCACGCTCCGTGATGCTAAGCTGCGCCATAGCGAGAATTTCGTGGCCTAATGCGACCATGGACTCGTGCGGCTTGCCATTGGTGCGAGTGTCGTCAAACCACTGGCAGAAGAGCTGAAAGAAGTTGATGCACTGGAGGCTCAGGCGCGATTCGAAGGCCAACGACGCCAAGCCCGAGGGGAACATCGAGAGCTTGGAGAGCAGCGCGTCGGAAAATGGCTGGACTGGGTAGACGAGGACGGAGTCGTCGTGGAAGGTCAGGCCTTGTGCTTGGTCTTGCACGCGCTGGGAGTGCTGGCGTTTCAAGACCTCGGCGTGCTGGAGCGTGCCGAGGACGGAGATCTTCAGGAAGCCGTCCATTCCGAGGTTGTCAATGCCGCCACGGAGGGCGACAATACGTTGGACACCTTCGACGTGGGTGGCGAAGCCGGCGTAGTCGTTTGTCATGCTATGGACGACGGATAGGGGGAATATTGTTGCTAGGACAATGTCGCTTGTGCATCGCTCTGGGTCGGCCAAGCATTCTCGCACAGCGGCCACTGCTACATTGAGATGGTACATGGCGGCTAGGGATAGGCGGTGTGCTGTGCCGTCCTGGACCTGGGCCTGGGATTGACTTTGCACCGTCAGGTTCAACGCGATCATCGAGTGGCAGTACATGGGTGTTTGGAGCACGTTGGCCGCCATCACGCAGTGTTGGTGGTAATTGTAGTTGCCGATGCTGAGGGCTCGAGGGCAGAGGACTTGAAAGTCTATTGGTTGAAGCGTGAGATGGATCATGTACCGTTTCAAGGACTGGTTGCTTACGATGGTCAAACCCTGTCATAGCGTCGTGTTTGTTCTCAACAGGAAGACTCCAGAAGGGATCATCTCGAAGTCCACCTATATGGTGGATTGCAAGAAAGCGTGAGCCGAATGTTCTTCTTGTGATGTTGGGTACGCGAGCTCGTTTGCGCCGGCGGTGTGAGAGCCGCGCGATGTGCGCGTTGACGGCTGGCTGGTCGCTCGTAAGGCCATAATCGCTGGTGGTGCGATTGATGAAAGTTGGTCTGGTAGGAGACGGCATCTTTTTGACCGTATTGGATAGGATATAGTATGAAGGTCAAGTAGGGACATGCTTTCTGCTTCAGCTTGACCTGCAACAAGCCTTAAATGGGCGCTGAACATCCAAGAGGCAGCCGTAGAGCTGACCCGTGGAACGTGGTGCATGGCATCGGTACATGAGAGGGGATGCACAGGTGGACGGTCAGGGAATACGAGGGGTCTTACTAAAGGTGCATGAAGAGGCGTACTGTTCTTGACGCCGTTGGTGTCATGAGGAAAGGATAAGACTGGATGCAGAAGGTCGGTGGCGTCCAGGCTGGTCTGGACTCGGGCCACGGTCAGGGATGCCAGCGTGTACATGGTAAAACGGCTCAAGGTGTTGTGCATACAGTATGCTGCGTTTAGTCATGATTTCAGGTATATTAATTATACCTTGACGTACAATCTAATCACCTTTAACCTACGATCCTCGACTTGCAATCCTTTGCCATGTCTGCTCAGTGCTCATTATGTTGGGTCAATGTGAAAAGAGGTCAGAAAGAGATACAAGAATAAGAAGGTCGAAGCACCTCATGGCGCCGTCGACGGTGCGTTGTTGACATTCATAACATCGTAAAATTGTCCAGACTGAAGTCGCTATGCGCCTCCAAAGCCGCGACAAGCCAACACCACCAACACCTCGCAATGCAACACCATGCTCAAACGCAGTCCTCTGCCTAAAAATGCATACCAGTACCTCAATCGCTTACACTTCCAGGACTCTAACCCTCGACCGGCCCTGATTAGCCTTAGCCCGAGCTTGCTTCAACTCCTCTCCAATAAGCCTGGCATCTCTCCACTGCTCTTCCATATTACTCATTCGGATGGCGGCAATGACGGCGAAAACGCCCGCGCGGAACTTCTGTACAGGCCTCAACTTGGTGTTGTACTTGCTCCTATCCAGCATAACACCCATCTCGCCCAGGATGCGGAGGTCAATCTGGTTACTAGGTGGCAGTCAGTATTTCTAGTCCGATATCGAAAGAACTAAAGCGAACATACCATTGCACCCTCATCGCCTCATTCTGTGCAAGCAGTCCCTTACTCCAAGCGAGGTCTTTGCGAAGACGCTCTTCCCGCTTGCATCTGGCCTTCAGCCACGTGATCTCTTTGATCAAGCCTCTCATCTCCTTCTGTCGGATCTCGTCTTTGCTGGATTTACCCGAGCTCAACTTTTCAAGCATGTTTTCGTACTTGCTCTGCAGCACCTCCAGCTGGTTCTCTACCTCCTCGGCCTGCTTGTTGGCCAGGCTGCGCTCTTCGCGTAGGCGTCGAAGCTGGGATTTCATTTGGCGCGCCTCACCGTCACGTACGGAGAGACGCATCGACACATCATTGACTTCCTCTTGCTCCTTGCGCAAGCGTTGAATCTGCGCTTTCAGGTCGCTGATTTGCTTGTCACTTTTACGAACGTCCAGTGACATGTCTTCTGTTTCTTGGTACTTGCGAACATGGTCAAGTTGTTCTCGCAGATCTTCTACCAGGTCGTTTCGCTCTGCAAGTTTAGCACTCAGAGACTCAAGCTCTGCTGCACGAGCCTCGATCGTTGATCGTAGGGCTGCAAGTTCATCTTCGATCACAGATGCTTTGCGGCCTGCACGCTTCAAGTCGCGGTTTTCGGCGCTCAGGAGCTTGTTTTCGGCTTGCGCATCGATAAGATCCTGGCGGGATTTGGCCAGCTCCTTCGAATGCGACGGAGGAGGCGACACCGACGGAGACTTGGCCTTGTATTGTGCAAGTTTCACTTCATGCAGTTCTCGTTCGAGATCGTTGATCTTCATCTTTAGATCGCGGTTGGCCGATTTCAACTCCACCTCTCGCTTGGCAATAGTCGTTTCATTCTGTCGTGCTGCATTGAGATCGCGCGTGAGGCCGGATAGGTCGCCTACGGGGGATCCGACAACCCTTGATCGATCGTTCAACATGCCTTCGAGGTCTTTGATCTTGGATTCCAGTCGAGCGAGCTTGTTCTTCGCAGAAGCCAACTCTCGGTCTTTGCTCTCTCCCATGGTGGCTTTTTGACCTCGAAGAGTGTCAATTTCCGCATTGAGACGATTTTCTTCTTTGCTGGCTCTTTCGAACTCCACGTTGATCTCCTCTTCGAGTGAATTATTCGTTTCAGACAGATTGTCGCGCTCTGTCGTCAGACGTGCTACATCCTTCTCAAGCTTGACCTTCAATCGCTTAAGCTCGCGCTTCTCCTGGTCGACATTGAAAGTATCATCGTTCGACTTCTGCGCGTCGAGGAGCTTGGCCTCCAATTTGTTGCGATCCTGTTCGGCAACTTTTAGTGATGACTTTGTGTTCTGCAACTCGAGTTTGACATTGGTCAGCTGTTCCTGCAAAGTTTGCTTTTCCTGGCGTAATTTGAGGACCTGAGCATCTGCATTGGCTGAGTATTTCTGCTGTCGACTCTCGGCAAATTCATGTTCTTGCTCGATGTCTGCTTGAAGTACTTCAATCTCCTCTTCGAGCTCAGCTACCTTCTCCTTCAGTGCTGCTTGGTCGCGGATCGAGATACGAAGCTCCTCTCTAGCATTGTTGAGTTCCATTCGGACGTCGTCTGTGGCAATTCGCTTGGCGAGCAGATCTTGTTGAAGTTCTTCGATTTGTCTCGACAAGACTTTCTCTTCCTGCTGATGGCGGTGCTTCTCACTTTCCATCGCTTCTTGCACCTTCATTTCGCGTCCGGAGAGCGTGCCTTGAGCATCCTGAAGTTTGTCCACTGTACGCTGTAGCCCTTTGGCTTTCTCTTCTGCCTTCTGGGAGACTGCTTCGAGCGCTCGTCGCTGTGACTCCCATTCTTCCAGATCAGCAGCGTGATCGTTCTCTTTTGCGTTGACTTCACGATGCAGCCCATCAATCTGTTCATTCAAGAGATCCAGCTCATTCTTATGCTGGGTTCGCAAATTATTCTCGTTCTGAGCAGAAATCCGACGCTCCTCGTCTATCGCAGATTCAAGCTCGTGAACTGATTTTTGAGACCTGCTGAGGTCTTTTTGTAACTCCGCAGACTCCTTGGTCAAAGCATCATGACGCGTCTGGAGCAAATCCTTTTCTTCGACCTTGATCTGGAGTTCTTTCTCGGCTGCTTCCAACTGTTTGGCCATGTTGGTCAACTTTCGCTCCAGAGTCTCACGCTGTTGTTGCGACGTTTGGAGCTCTTGTTGTGACTGGCGAACATCAGATGCTCCTTCCTTTTCCATTTCTCGGACTCTGTCGCGAAGCTGCCTCTCAGACTCTAATTTCTCGTTCAGCTGGCTTTGAAGCGCGTCATATCGTTCCTGGAGGTCCTCGAAGTCATCTCCGAGTTTGTTGGCCTTCTCTTCCATTTGTCGACTGAGGCCCTTGGTCGTGAATGACTTGTTGGCCATTTCATCGCGAAGCTCATCCAGGTCCTCTTCAGCCCTCCGCTTCTCGTCCAGAGCTTCTTCCTTCTCTTCTTTGGCCTCCTGTGCATCAGCTTTGGCCCGTTCGAGGTCGTGTTTTAGGTCTTCCACTTCCTGCCTTGCCGAGTCCAGCTCATCTTCAACTTCAGCAGCACTGTTGGATTCTTTGCTGGCCTTCATTTTGAGCTCGTCAATCTGGTCGTCTCGTTCGTCAAGTGCGCGCTCTTTCTCACGTAGATCGGCCTGCAAGTCTTCAAGTTCACTTCGAAGTTTGTCGACTTCAGACTGCTCTTCGGTGACTGCACGGTCTTGCTGGGTTTGCAAGTCGAAAATCTGCTGATTTTTGCTCTTTAATTCTGATCGAAGACTCTCCATCTCTATCCGCAGGCTCTCGTCCATTTGCTTTCGCCTAATGCGCTCTTTGAATTCTTCGAGCTGCGACCTGTAGATCTCCGCCTCTTTCTCAGCCTGCGCAATGTTCTTCTTGAATTTGTGAAGTTCGCGTTGCATTGTCACACGGTTGACCTTCAAGTCAGTGTTCTCTTTCAATGCTGCATGGTTGAACTCATTCCCTCTCTTTGACAACGCCTCTTCCAGAAAGTGTATCTTCATCTTCAAGCCGAAGTTCTCTTTCTCGATCTTGTCGATTATGCTCTCTTGCTCTCGCAGTGTCATCATATTCCCGTCATTAACAAGTCCACCATCGCGTCCAGGTAGTTGCGCGAGAGGAGTGCTTCTGACGCTGCTGGTAGCGTGCTGTGGCAGAGGTGTATCGTCAACAGCATTGCCGGCCGAGCTCGATGTGTTTTCGCCATCCAGACGCGAAAGGTCGCTCAGTCGTGGTAGACCAGGCGTCTGGCCACCCTTGAGATATGACGGCGTCCCAGACACTCTACTCTTCCTGCTAGACAGCCGGCGCGCAATGTTGGTCTTGCTCGCACTCTTGAAGAATGGTGTAAACTCCGTCCGACCGGGGTTGCCATTGGGAAGAGGCCGTAGAACTTCGCGCGTTCCAGCTCGGGGAGTCTTGAGGTTCATGCCGTAACTCTTTGTGTGAAGGTCGCCGTTGAGACCAGGGACTTGGAAGGATTTTTCGGGTGACATATCGTCGAGTCGCTCTCCATTTGTGTAGAAGGAGCCATCGTTAGTTTGCGCCGGCGTGTCGATGTAGTGTTCCATGTTGGGCCCGACTGCATGGATGCTGGATAGAACAGTATCAATTGAGCAGACAACACGCTATCATATCATTCAACATGTAAACATAACCTAGTGAAGTGCAGCAGCATTCGGATTCTTTGTATACACTGTTTCCCAATGAGGAATGGTCTATGTTTTGGACGATCGGATTTGGGTGGAGTCTCTCTTTTTCATGCAAAATGATTTCATGCGGAGAAAAGACACAGCGTAGTCTCATCAGAGCCATCAAAAGACATCAAGAATCGGTTCAGTCCTAAGTTATAGAGCCGCGATACTCGTATCATCAGAATGCCTCCCACTGATGAAGACATTGCCTGGTTCCAGTCCACCTTCCATCCCATTCCGAAACCCGCCTTACCAGACGACTGCATAGAGTACTCCATCTACCTAATATCCTCTTCCCTCGATGCGAGCCACGACTCAGAACTGCGCCTTCGTTTGCGCGATGTACAGAAATATGCCACAGATCTACACAAACAATATCTGAAAGATTACATATGGCAGCGACAAGGGTTCTCTCTTGAACTCAACAAAGAGGATGGTGAGGTCTGTAATGCTTGAAGAGGACGAGCGGGAATGAACTAACACCCATGACAGGCTTGAGTTTCCTACAAGGTCGGACGGAATATGGTGATTCCGTAGAAGACGAATGGGTCATAGTCTGGCTGCTGCGTGAGCTCACCCGCAAATTTAATGACATATGGGTCAAAGTCACCGACAGCGATGGCGAGTTTCTTCTTATTGAAGCATCCGGCACTCTGCCCGCCTGGTTGGAACCAGACGTCGCAGAAAACCGTGTCTGGATTAACGATGGTCAACTCAAGATCATCAAGCCGGCAAGCGCCTCGAGATCCTCAAGACGAACAGAAGAAAAGTTGTCCCTACCACAGGCGCGGGAAATCTTGCTGAGGGAGCCCAAACGAATGATGCACTCGACTAGCATGGAAGAAGAAGCATTCTTCCGGCTTCGCAACTATCCGGCCCAAATCGCAGACAACATGCACCACGCAATGGTAACCATGCCTCGAAAAGTGGCGTTCCTCCTCCATCAGAAGCCAGCCTATATCTCACCAGCGATTGAAGCATTCTACCTCCGAGATCCTATCGCGCTTAAGCCGCTGCAGAAGAAGGAAAACAGAGACTCAATGACATTTGCTCCACAAGATCTTGTCACCGTCACCGTCAGATTCCCCCGCGTCGGTTATGCTCAGGTCAAGTCGCAGGACTTCCCAACGCCGGCCGTGTTCCAAGATTCAATGCCATCGAGGACAGATTCGAAAGAGTATGCGCGCGCGGAAGCTGGCATGAAAGTCACATGCGGTTTCGAAATGCTCCTCACCGACACGCACTACCAGGATCGACCGGCTGTGCGAGAAATGAAGATGCTGTTAGACGACTTGAAGACTGGAGACGAGCAATTACCCTCTGATGCTGACGTCGAAGCATGGGATCAGCGAGAAGACGACGAAAAGTGGCTTGATATCGACTTCGATGACTTACAGAAAGAGCTGGGTGGGGAGAAGGGCAAGAAAGCCGGGTTCGGAGACAAAGCTACGCATGAGAATCTCTCACGAATCGTAAAGCAATTTGAGCAGTTCCTGAATGATGATACAGGCGGACCGGATGGCGCGGGGTTGTTCGGAGATGACAGCGACGATGATCTCGACGACGACGAGGATGATGAGGACGACGATGAAGACGAGGACAAGGACGCCAGCTTCGACGAGGATGAGTTCTCGAAGATGATGCAAGAGATGATGGGAATGCCCCCAGACGTTATGAAGGAGATCATGAAGGGTCAACTCGGACCTGGGGCGGATGCGAAAGATCCTTCGCTACGGGCTGGGTTGCGACAGCCGCAGCCACCTGATGGACCGGGACATGTCGAGGAAGCAGAAGTCTCGGATGAGAATGATGAGGATATGCAGGCTTTCATGAAGCAGATGGAAGCCGAATTACGAAACACCGGTGCTTTGGACCTCGAACCGTCGTCTAGTAAGAAACCTGCTCTCAAGGACACGAAGCACGATACTGAAGAGGACGTGGAGGAGCTGTCTTCGGATGATGATATTGATCACGAAATCGACGTGAACCTTGCGAAGAATCTGCTCGAAAGTCTGAGGTCGCAGGCTGGAATGGCTGGGCCTGGAGGTAATTTGATGGGCATGATGGGGCTTGAGATGCCTGAAGACAGCGACGACGACGGTCAGCCTGGACCTAGTCGTGCGGCCGGCAGCAAGGGCAAGAAATCAAAGTCTTGAAATGTACAGTGGAAGAAAATATTATGATATTGCCAATATCAGTCACGCCCGTCAACGCTTCATGTCAGTGCCTAAATGCATTGACACGTATGTTACTCAATAACCAGTCTTCCCATCTACCACTCCATACGCACCGCCTCCCTTGCCGAACATCTCTCGCAAGTCGGACACAATGTCCTCGGGGCGCTCCCAGGCAGCGAAGTGCCCACCATTTGTATGATCTTTCTCGAAGACACAGTTTCCCAGTGTCCTAGTCCACGCACTGTGCATGACACTGATATCGCGTGGGAAATGACTGAGTCCAAGTTTAACAGGCTGCCACTGTTTAAGCGTGTCCCTGGTCAATCTCTCTCCCCAGGGTCCACTCCGGCCCGTCTCGTGGTAGATTCTACAGCTCGCGGCTGGACCAGCGGTACTGAACCAGTAGATGGAGATCCAGGTGCAGACTTCTTCGTCGGTCCAGGGGTAGCTGTCTGTCCAATCGTGCAATTTCTCGTAGATCCACGCCAAAAGTGCCACGGGACTGTCGGCAAGACCGTACGCAAGAGTCTGAGGTTTTGTGCGCTGCTGGAGATTGTACCCAAAGCCTTCCTTCTCAAACCACTCGCTTCGCGCGACGCCTTGCTTTTCCCGCTCGGACAAGGGGCGCAGGGCGGCCTCGATGGCGAGGAATGGGTGCTTCAGGAATGTGGGAGGGTCCGCAGCGTCCATATTCAGATGTGTAGCTCTGCAATGTTGAGGGTAAAGTAGAGACATAGCTCGAGTGATAGACCAGCCCCAGTCTCCTCCCTGTGTGACGTATTCGCTGTACCCTAGTCGAAGCATTAATTTGTGCATGGTCTCGGCGTATTGATTGATCGCGAAGCCTCGTTTCTTGGTTCCTTCCGAGAAGCCAAAGTTTGGTAGTGAGGGTGCGACAACGTGGAAAGAGACCTGGCCATCTTTCGACGAGGACAAGGAGTCGATAATTTTGGTGGCTTCGAGAAAATTGCCCGGCCACCCATGGACGAAGATTAGAGGTATTGCTCCTTTAACAGTGGACTTTTTGTGTAGGAAATGAATTTTGAGGGATTCATAGCCTTCACATTGGACTTGGGTGACAAAGTGAGGGAGTTTGTTGAGTTTCTCTTCGGCACTGCGCCAGTCAAAGTCATGGCACCAGTATTTTGTTAGTCGCTGGATATCATTGAGTGGTGAACCATAATCCCATTCTGCTTCGTCCAGTTCATCAGGAAAAATGGCGCTGTCGAGTTTGTCATTGAGCTTTTGGATGTCTGGTTCCGGTACAGAAATGGTATATTGCTCAATTGAAGTAGCCATGATGGAATGTGAGTTTGTTTCGTGTTTGGGGTCAACTCACAAAACAGGTAGAATATATACTGATGATAGAAGATAAGTCCTTACCTTGCTTCAATGCAGACGATATATATCTTTGTGCAAAATAACCCTATACGCGCTTCGCTGCATCATAGTTTGACATTCACATCATCCAGGGATTCTTGGAAATCAGGCGGGTAGCCTGCTGTTCACGGTTTCGAAAGCTGGAGTCATCACTGCAGGATACGCGCATATTTAGTCAGCCCATCAGTGACGTCGGCGTCACTTGGTCCGACTGAAATGGTCCTTGGTGTTGTGTATCCTGACTATTGCCGAATTGGCATCATTTGTACCCGAGTAGAGGTACTCAGCTTTTCCTGACTCTTGGGATGATGTTATCGTACCTCAGATGCCCTGTAGATCGAAGGTGACAACTCTTGTCGAAGTGCTGGAATGAAGCAGGGGAGTAAACACCGGCTCACCTTCCTTAGATGAAAATGCGGGTTGAAATGAGTGACGCCTGCCGGGCATCATCTTTCTCGAATCGCAACACCAATGCCTAACACAATGAGATGCAAACAACCACCTCCTTCCAGCGCAGCCTGGCATTTGTGCTTGCACCGCCATATACACTCATACCACCTTTACGGAAGCTCTTATTTGGAATTGTCGACCGTTGATACTGGCTGAACTACCATCGTATTACCCCACATGGGCACCGAGACCTCGTCAGCATTGGGTGCAGTTGTTCCTTGGTGGTGAAAGATGTCAGGTGTAATGGGAGTCTTGGGCTCCTCGCGCCCGCCTAGAAATGTGCAGCAAATCACCAAAGCCGCCCAAGAGTATGAATATGACGCTGGGGTTCCCCTTCGATACTGGTTAAGATCGTCCCAGGCAATGCTGAAAGAGGTTGGTTTATACATAACCCATTTCCGAAACCCTTGACTGATCCCAGACTGCAGGCAGACGTGTATATGCGGGAAGGCGACGAAGAAACGTCATATTTGCTCCTTTTCCGACATGCCCATCTTATCCTCTCTCAACTACCCGCACATCCACAGGCACGAGACAAGACGAACAAACTACTTCTAAAGGACGCAGAAAAGGAAGTCAACAGAAATCTCAAGATCCTAGATCTGCTTAGGCCTCAGATCAATGCGAGATATGATCGTTATGTCAAGCTTGCCAAGGAAAGAGAGGCAAGAAAAGCAGCCCAAACACAGCAAGGGTTCGCAGGTGACTCCTCGAGTCAAGTACAAGACTACAAGCAAAGGAGACAGCCGCTACAAGCACACGAAAATCAAGAGCTTGCGGCGAGAATCGCTCAGAAGGAGATATCGCGGAGAGCTGCAAATCGACAAGCAGGAGTACCACCGAGCAGTGTAGGAGATGATATTTCACGACGACTTCAGGAACTCCGCGCTCGAGTCGAAGGAAGCACGCAGCCCACAGCCCCGGACCCGGCGACGCCTTCACGGCCTTTGAAGGATAGCAGCTCGCATTATCACTATCCCTCTATTCCCTCGCATCACGCTCAGCTGGTGCTCAGCCCTCCATTACCGCACGGTTCTCGACCCGACTTCCAGAGAGACATACCTCCCCTGGTCCCTCCAAAACCCACAAACGACTCCGCCGCACCTCCACCACGTCCAGACAAGGTCTCGACGCAAGTGGGATTGCCTGCTCGATCAGCAACACCCGAACCGGTCCACACGTTTGCTCCGGCAGCATACCTGGAAAATGGAACACCGTTACGCACGATCTTTTTACCGCCAACGTTGCGGACAACCTTCTTGAGGCTTGCTCACAAAAATACATTGACGAATCTGGAAACATGCGGATTTCTAGCAGGCACGCTTACGGCGAACGCTTTCTTCATCAGCAGGCTGATCGTACCTTCACAGACAGCCACATCCGACACGTGTGAGATGACGAATGAATCACAGCTTTTCGACTATGTGGATTCGGAAGACCTCATGATCCTGGGATGGATTCACACCCATCCCAGTCAGACTTGCTTCATGAGCAGTCGAGATCTTCACACTCATGCCGGGTACCAGATGATGTTGGCTGAAAGTGTGGCTGTTGTATGTGCTCCGAGTAAAGGAGACACCTCACACGGCGGCGATTGGGGCGTGTATCGTTTGACGGACCCTCCGGGTAAGAAAACGATTCTTAATTGCAATCAGCCCGGCATTTTTCATCCTCATGATGTTGAAAACATCTACACCGACGCGCTCCGCCCGGGACACGTGGTGGAAGTCAAGGGTATGGAGTTCGAGGTGGTGGACCTTCGAGACAGATGACGACTTCATAAAGAGACTTTTTTCGCGGTGATGTCCCAATCGGGCTTCGTGGTCTAATACTTCGGATCCTTACAATGATGTCTCACGGGATGGCGTCGGGGACATCGGACTGGAAGAAGTCTACAGCAGCATAAGCACGGAGTGAGGACTCTGAGGACTCGGAGTAAGGGCCTGCTTCAACTATTTGGCAATCCATGCTATAATATTGCATACGTATCGCTTGTTATTGCCCTAACGGAGACGACCCAGGCGAGTGATGCTGATAATCTGCAATCTGCAGGATTCCAAGCCTATCTCTTTAGCTGAGACCTTCTTCATCTCTTGGCCCATTTGGAGCCAGAAATAACATGTTATCTCTCGGGAGTCGTTTGCCATCATCCCGATTGTCGCAATCGGGACATTATTTATGCACCAGCAGTGTTGATATCACGCAAGATCGAAAGCGTCGTGTGGGCAGGACTCAGCCATCGTGGCCCGTGGGTCGTGGTGGCACAGAGCAGAAGTCGTGTGTCCGGCCGAGCTGATGAGTCGTTGACAGCTTGCAGACAGCGGTACGGGGGTTTATGAAGCAGTCGTCGCGTCCTCGACATGTTGGTATTGGACGCCATCAAAAAGCCACTCAGCAACTGGGTCCGCGTGTGGTGCGTTGGCAAATCAGAGGCTGGTCTGCAAGCCATCAGTTGACTAAACGGCGCCAATGCAGGAACAGTGCACTTGTGCCGCGGACTGGGGCTAGCCGAGCTGATCGTTGGAAACGTCACAAGAAGGAAAAGTCTGCTCCCTTTGAGCACCTGCAGTAGAGTAAACTTACCCAACCAGCGTGACATTCAAGATGTGAAGTGCTGTGCTCCCAGTGCCTGTACGGAGTAGTCTTCGAGCAATGAACAGTGAGTCAAGATAGATCAATCTGTAGTCAATGAGAACCCGGTGTTGATCGGAAATGATTGTTTAGGCACGCAACCACCCGGAGGCAGATTAAGAGGATGGGCGCCGGGCGGCCAAAAGTGTGGGATGGAGACAAGCGTTCCTGAGTGAAAGGAGACCACCACGCCCATTCAGGTTTAGCTAGGCGGGCCGCCCGAGCTTGTTTGGGCCATTTAGGCCACTAGCCTTGTTTGCAATTTCGGCCTGTCTCGCTGTTGCTTTTGTGTCCCTCTGACTGATCTCAGAGGCCCCTGCACCGTCGTCTCCTTCTTCCTCCAGTCTTTTGTCCTTGCAGTCTTGCCTCCACTCAGTCAAACTGCGCCGTTTCTTTGCCAAGGTTCCGCGCGCTTTTCCCTTCTCCTGCGGTCACTGCTAAGGGAACGAGCCCTTTGTGTCTGTCAACCTCATTTCCTTTCACGTCTGTCTTTCACTCACTCTCCCTCCACAGTCAACTCAAACATTCACACATTCCTTTCGACAGAACAACTCGAACATCTTCAAAACACTTCGCCATCGAGGCATCGACACGACCAGCTGACGACTCCAATTCATCGACTTCCTTCTTCGTACACTCGCTTACCTACATTCCGGCTTTGTACACCTCAGGGGCCTTCTGTAGCAGCTCTGAAACAATCCGCATTCCCCAGCCAAGGGTGGTCTCGACTCCTCGAAAAGCCTACTTGACGTTGTCCTTTCGATTCTAGAAAAACAACTCTGTTGTTGTCGTCGTCGTAACTGGAGCCAAAGTCAAGCAAAAAGAGCAAGGAAAAAGCAGCGCGGGTCGCTGCTGTGAGGTTGACAAAGAAGTCAATTGCCTGCGTCGGGCTTCACCATTTGCGGTTGTACAGCGTTACACTGACAAACTCGTCACTCAAACTTGCCAACTTTCACTTCGAGCTCATCAACTCTCACTCTCGTTCAGTATATGACCAGTGGATGAAGAATTCGCCGCAAAGAACAGCTTAGCCGCCAGCACGATACCTCTTACTTTCAAATCTTTAACCCGTTCACAACAACCAGAAAGGATGACACGATCATTACTACGCGCCGTCATCTTGACGTCCGCCTTTGCTTTCTTCAGCTCAGCTGCAGCTCAGTCTTCAGCGACCACAACAGATGCTCCATCAGCTGTCCAAACACTGGGTTGTTATAGCAAGCCCGATCCTCTAGTCGAACAAGGCAGCTACACATTTCAGACCTCGGGATACTGCCAGACACAATGTGTCGCGTTGAACAAAGCGGTCATGGCAATTACTGGAGGCTCAACTTGCTATTGTGGTACCGAACTACCCGCCTTGGATCTAGAGGTGGATGACAGCAAGTGCGATTCGCCGTGCAACGGTTATGATTCACAGAACTGTGGTGGGCTTGGCTATTGGCAGCTCTACCTCACGGGTTTGACCGCCGATGTCGAGACTGCTGCCAACAGCACCTCCTCTGCAGCAGCAGCCGCCACAACCCAAGCCACTCAGACCTCGGCAACCACGCAACCCGCAGTTGTAACTAAGGCTGGTGCCACGGTGGTGGTAACAGCATCAGCGAGCTCGACCGCCAGCGCTGCAAAATCTGGTGGTTCCAGCAAAGTAGGAATTGCCGTTGGTGTGGTCGTGGGTGTTGTCGCAGTTGCTGCCATCGCTGGTGGTACTCTACTGTGGTTCAGACATAAAAGAAACCGCGACATTGAGGAAGAACATCGCCGCAACGCGGCAATCGGCGGAACGCAATCTGATAAGTCATCAAAGACTGATCAACGACTTGATCCGTCGATATATTCTCACCGTCGACAAAGTATCGGCAGTATTGCTGATGAACGAGACTTTTCACGGAGGATCTTGCAGGTGAGTCCAAGGCCTTGAAGCTCATTGTCGTCCATATGTCTAATTCCTTATAGGTGCGGAATCCGGATCGAGACTCGAAAGCGTCGAACCTGGCATAGTCGACGTACTAGACAGACCTCTATCACGCCTTCAATCTCGACTCCGTCCATCCACGCGACATCCTGCAATACCTTCCGAGCAGTGCCGCCACCTCCTTTTCTCATCCACATGACACGATACTGTGTATGTCGGAAATGATTACGATCCTTACATTATTTGGTTCGAGTTGCTCCACGGCGCCTCTCATCGAACATACGCTCCTTTTACCCCCTTGTTGTTGCATAGCTGGGCGTTGGTGATATTTGGGCGTGTAGTCCCTCAATCTGGGGTGGAAGAGAAGAAACGAGAGATCTGCATGAAAGTTGAAGCTGGCATCTGGGGATACACGAAATGCCCAAGCCAACCCTAAGTCTAGTGTGTGTTGAGAGGGCAGGGTGAATCTGCTCCGGTGTTGACTGCCATCACGAGGAGATGTTCTCAATACTTGGTACCTGCTCGAAAGAAACGAGAGCATATGGAGGTCAAGCCTTGATATGATTCAGTCAAAATATCTGGGTCTCGGACTTGGTTGGAATGGGGCGTTGACATGACATTTCGAGATGGACGACTTCCCATGTCACACCTGTGTGAAGGTAGATAGATTTCTCTGTACCACTACCGAATTGACTGCTATTACTTTTCTAAAACCTTGGTCTTTTCCGGACCTTGCCCAACGCCGTAGATACCTTTTCCTTTCCAGTGGCAGACCAGTAGCAGACCAGTAGCAAATGGCAGGGTTCCTTTTGATTTCGTTCGTCGTTGCTCGTTTCTATCGCTTCGGCTCTCAACACTCAACAATCTCTAAAAGCACCCTGCTTTTCATCCGCGTTGCAAATGTATCTGTGTAGGCTGACCTCCTTGAGGCAAGTCTTGTCCGGCGACCGGAGCACTGGTGTCACAGCAGCAAGTGCCATCATGATACTCGCCGAACTTTTCTGGTAGCGCATAGCCACACCGGTCGCATTGCTTCATAACCTGGTTCCAGCCGTCCTCATCATGGTTGATTAACATCTGGATGGACACTAGCATCTCAACCTCTCTTTCTAGTTCAATGGCCGTCAGCACCACCACCTTCGACCGGCAGTTTCACCGCTTTCAGTATATCATTGAGGTGCCAGCCTGGACCTCCAGGTACGATCTCCCGCCATGTATCGTCCGGAATGTTGTCCTCGGTTGGCATGGCCGACCAATTGGGACTGGGCTCAGCTTTTAACCATTTGAAGTCGTCCACTTGGTCCCACTGATTGGGCGTCGCGTCGGGCGCGGTCTGAGAAGAGCTGATCAGGTCGGACTATGAAGGTTAGCACTTGTGTGGAAAGCTAAGAGGTAGGGGGAAAACCATACATGGAACTTCGGCAGCGTGGTGAACCGAATGCCGTGACAGTTCTCGATAATGGGCCTGCTTGTGCAATGGAGATAGACGTCGACGTTCTTGCAGTCGTGCATGCGGAATTGGCGGCCTTTGACGACTAGGATGCTGTTCTTGACTTTTGTGATGTGTGCAGGGCCAGACACTGAGCCGCAGATGAGAAGGGATGATGAGACGTTGTTGATGGTCAGGCTGGCGAAGGGTGCGGTTGCGGTCGTCGGAATAGATAGGTCCAGGACGCAGTTTGACAGTTTCTGTAGAGAGCAGGGGGTTTGGGTATTGAGTGATGATGAGGGCAGGATGATGTGTGCGTGCGTCTGGTTGGTGACGGAGATGGAGGTTTGTGTTGTGTACAGTGGTGGTCGATCATTGTCTTTGTCTGAAGGTGATGAGTCGGTATTTGTAGGCTGGTCGTTCGACGTCTGATCTTGCTGGGTGCCTTCTTCTTCCTCGCCGTCTGGTAGAGCCCGCTCGTTGGCAGGGGTCATGCTGAATGCCGGAGTATTCGCGAAGGAAGAGTTCGTCTCGGAGCCTGGATCGAGGATACCTGGGGCACCTCGTCTCTTCTCTGCGGCTAGTTCTGCGGCATCGCTCAGAGAGAGCGAGGAGGGACTCTTGTGCGCGGACTTGAAGGAGAACTTGGGCTTCGGCGCGAAGATCTTGCGCGTGTCGTCGAGTTTCTCCTGCAAAGCCTTTATTGCCTGTTTTACGTCAACATTGTGTTTGGGTGTTGACAGTCGAGTGCCCATACCTCAGCGTATGTTCTTTGATCATAAGGCGGAATGTAACTTGAGGCGTCTTTGACTTCGTTGGAGAGTCGCGTGATGCCCGCAAGACAGTGGTCTGCGGCGTCGTTTCGTTCGCCGCCCGTTACCGCAGTTTCTGAAAGGCGATCCATTTGCTCTTGGAGGGCTGATCAAGACGACAAGTTAGTGAATGGGATGCCAATCCCTTGTGGCAAACTGACCTGTGATCTCTTGCTGGAAGAAATGGAAGAACCGCTGCTGAGGGTTGAGTTCAACCCCAGAAGGCTGTCCTGACGTCGCCATGTTGGAACAGTATACCCAAAAGCTAAGGCAAGATTGCGACTGTGTCTTGGATAGACAGGGTTGAAAGAATGAGAACCGCAGTTTTTATGAGAAATTGGGCAAACGTTTGATCGGCATCACTATTTGTGTTGTAACCGTGCGATTGGGATGACGAAAGCATGGGAAAGCTGGATTCGAGGGAGGGACGAAGGGGATTTTGCGGGGCAATTGACGGGCGTGGGTGAGAATCTCCAATTGATCGTCAGGATCAGCGCCTAATCAAATGCCGAGGAGAAAGCTGATCAGGTAACACCCCAGGCTATCACGGGCGCCATGGCCTGCTCGCGCGTTACCTAAGGCCCCTTAGCATGCCTAGCACGCCTCTGCCGCCCATTGACAGCGGCTGGCGATGATTTTTCCGTCATGCACTTTTTACAACTCGCATCACGTTTGTCAATGAATCACCATCCTCCAGATACTGTGCCTCTCTCAATTGTCGACCGATCGCCCCTAAGACTACTCTCCCTCCCACGTCCTCCCCGCTTTTACTCCTCCTCGCACCTATACGACACGTGCCCCTGCTCATCCTTGCGCGTTCCTTTTGCGCATGATAAGACGTGCCTTTGTCCGGCAAGTCTCGACTGCAGCAAGACATGCATCGACTTCAACAAAGGCGCGGCGTACATCGCGCGGACCTTCCGGTCGCTCTACCCGTGTCGACATTGTCAACGAGGAACTATGTGGTGAGTGCCCACGAACACCAGGTCTTGGTCTTGCTAACACACAGGAGATACTGTCTTGAGTCGTCTAAGGACTACCTTTCCTACACCGCACACCTGCGATATCATCGATGTCAATCCCGGGATAGGCCTCTGGTCTCGGAAACTTCATAGTGCAATACAACCTCGACGCCATGTTCTCGTCGAACCCAACTTCTCCGCGTACTCCGAATATCTGAGTCCATTGATTGACCAGAAGGATTCAAAGTTTCGGCATACAGCATTGCTTGAGGATGCCTACGATCCTAGTAGCGAATTGCTATCCCACTATCCGACCGACGGGGAGAGCAGACTGCGCCTCAACTCCACCCTTCTGATGACAGTGAATCTCTCGGGAGGACATCTCAGCACGGCGCTTTACAAAGGCACCCCAGCACGGAAGTTCTTTGCTGATCTGCAGTGGTCTCTTTGGAAGATAAGGAACAATATCTCCCGCTACGGTCTTATACGAGTTTTGGCCTGGGTGTCGGATGATGAGAAGGATGCCTATATCCCAAGGACGGTGACTGCGCGCCGAAAGCAGGCCGTCTTGTTGGAGGGCAGCTCGATCATCAAGGAACTCGCTGGTGCTTCCGTGACCAGCAGGCCCAGCTTCCTCAGAAAATGGCGTGAGATTGAGGTAGATGAGCTTGCTCGCGTTGCCGCCTTGGAGGAAGCAGGAGGTATGACGCTACCCAATAAGAGACGTCAAAAGGTAGCGCCTCCAGATCTTCTCAGCATGAAGCCTAGCCCGGAAGCTCTGCGAAAGGGCCACCATTCCTCTGATGCATCTTGGGTCGCGGAGTTTGTTGAGTTGGACAGCAAATTGCGAACGGAGCAGCCGGAGTGGTACGCGAAGATGGCGTCTGGGGAGCTTCGTTGGCGTCACATGATGGATCCCAAGCAAAAAGACCAGCAATTGTGGCGGAAGCTACTCAGAGCTGCGACTACTCGACACACGACTCACATGAAGGCTGTCGACTTGGTTCTAGAACAAAGAGACCTTGACACAAAATGGAGGCAGATGCTAGCTTCGTCAGAGACCCTGGGACGCCATGAGCATTCTCTGAAGGAACAAGCCGAGGACCTCAAGAACCGCATCTCGAAGCTGAGCCGGACAAACCGAGCCTTCGCAGAAAAGGCCATCGACGACTATCGGGCACTGGACATGACTCCACCAGCAATGTCCTGGAATCGGCGTCAGATGGAGCCTGTCCTAGTACATTCCAAAGACTTTCAGCCCGCCGACAAACCACTAGCATTGCTAGATGTCACGCCACGAACAGACTTCTTCACAAGATTCGACACGTACGACAAGATGGTCTTCTTCGCTCATGTTGTGAGAACTCTCTGGTTCAATTCTGGCAAAAGCGTCCACGACGCTTTGAAGGTGCTTGTTCATGAAGGTATGGATGAGTTTGTCAAGACTGTTCCACAGATTCATGACCCCTCGCAGGGTGGTTGGTATGATTTGTCTGCTGTGAGGGTGCGGTCACTTCCTGTGGAGATGGTTATTGAGATCGCGCTCGCGTATATCAGATGGCCTTTCCGCCAGTCTGCGGACAGTATACTCATGTTCGGTCAGGATCCGCAGGCTGCATATAGTCTGGGCGATGATGACTGATAACTTGTTGTGCCTGCCCCGTGTGTACTCTATATTAGCGGTGGGAAGAGAAAGGATAGGAGTGATTATTGCCTCAACCCCACGCCTCACATGTGCTTGTGATCACGCTCAAACCCATTCCCATTTTCTTATAAGATTATGACATACAGCCACTGACAGGAAATGCTCTGTGACCACGCTTTACTAATTGGCAGTCCGGGCAATACAATCACGGTATTGGACGAGAGTCCTTGAGTTTCTGCGGTCAAAAGGTGGAATGTATTAAAGAAAAGCCAACTCTCCTACAAATCGATCTCTGCCTCCTGCAAAGCCACCAGACTCAAACCACCCTCACCATACTATCTGACGATATGCGACGCGCACCAGCCCAAAAAGCCTGACTCGACCAACCCAAGAAATGTCAAGGACAAGCACCTAGGTAGACGCTGCACAACCTGCTCCGAGAGAACAGAGACTAGAAACCTCCTTCCGCCAAATACTTGAAGTCGAGAAGGCCGCTAATACGGCTTGTGAGTACCCCATCTCTTGCCGTTCCACGGAAGGATCACGTCGGCCTTTTGATAGTCGTTATCCGGCAATGTATCCCTGGCGAGCGATGTGTCCCTGGCAGGCAATGTGTCCCTGGCATGGTAGCGAACACTCCCAGGACTATTGTGCAACGAACGCTTGTATTCTGCTGGTGTCGATGGGATTTTGTATTCGACGCCAGGGTTTCGATTCACTCCGGAAGCCATGATTCCAGAGAAAGTCGTGGGGACATCCTGCTGAGTTGAATCGTACCCGTTATAGAGGGTACATATGCCGCCGTAGCTGAATGTCCACGTCTGGCAGGTCAACGACGAATCGACCGTTCCACCACTGCCTGGTGCGGCTTCCTGCCAAAGGTAGGCGCAAAGTCGTGCGCAGTCGTCGGCGGTTTGCGGATAGTCTACTTCCACGGCATTAGCGCCGTCTGTGGTGTCGACGACGGGTGCTGATCCAGGATTGTAAACATTGCCACCACAAGTGATCAACCAGAGGTCATCCCGGCCACCTCTCAAAACTGATAGCTGGCTGTAGACTCCCACAACCGTGTTGTCGTACTGATAGGGGCCTCCCGTTGACCCTGAACAAAGTCCCAGATTGTACGTTTGGTTGTCGTAAGGTAGCATAAGAGTAGTGTAATCAACAACCTTGGGAGCACCTTGTGTAAGCAGTCTCGCGCCGATGTGGTCGAACGCCATGCTGTTCGGATAACATAAGCCTGCACCGGTACCACAATTGTTTGCACCATCTTTAAGAAAGCAAGTATAACTGAACAAGATCACCTGTACACATAGGCCTCCGCTCTGAGCGTTTTGATTGCAAAGGTCAATACAATATTCCATAGAATTGACATTGGGATAGCTAGTGATGCCATTGCCGCCCTCTGCTGTCATGAAACACGAAACCTCGTAGACTCGCTCTGGATAATCCGCCAAGGCGACCTTTTGATAGTTGTAAGCCCCTGTAGCCATTGGAAGGGATGATTGAGAGGCCGCCACATTGGATCCTGAACACAGCATGCCAGTTGCGGCTGCAGCAACTGTGCTCACTGTGACATCTATGGCCAATGCAGCGAAGTTAGGAGGAGAGATACCAGTAGTAGTGGTACTGGTGGTCGTGGTAGTGGTCGTGGTCGTGGTAGTGGTCGTGGTCGTAGTAGTGGTCGTGGTGGCAGTGGTTGTGAACGTGGTCGTAGTGGCAGTGGTTGTGTCCGTAGTCGTAGTGGCAGTGGTTGTGTCCGTAGTCGTAGTGGCGGTGGTTGTGTCAGTGGTCGTAGTGGCGGTGGTTGTGTCAGTGGTCGTAGTGGCGGTGGTTGTGTCAGTGGTCGTAGTGGCGGT